ACTACATCTCTGTGACCGGGCAGCCTGGCAGAATGACAGCTGGCGGCCGGCAAGCCGGCATGCATGCAGAAACGGACAGAAAGGTCCGCACTTGTCAGAATGTGTAAGACAGGGATCCGGGTCCAGGCCCGCGGGATCTTCGCCAGGCTAGATGCTTCCCGATCAGCACCAGTTTCGACGATGAGCGGAACATGTCTTTTTGTGGGGCCGGCACAGCAACCTGGGTATCATGTTTGTGCACCTGCGCTTTCATACGCCCAGGGTTATATGTTAACGGCGACCGACCCGACAGCTTATTATGTGCCCTGTTGCCCGTTGTCAGGCCGCCGAGCTCGAGAGGGAACGTGTGCAGATAGACGCCCTACCAAATGCCCGCAGCCGTGGACAGCAGGTCGAGTTCAAGCTCCGGTGGGGCTCCCATGCAAAGCAGTAATAGTAGCACGAGAAAGGCAGGTATACCTTGCACGGTATCTGGGTACCTAGGTGGTCAGTCTGTCAGTGTCAAGAGGAAACGGCAGGGGTGGGTCCTGACGTCACCCCCTAGTAATTTTTATTGCTGGATGATGGGACATATGCAGCAGTCAGGTCTCCCAGCAATATGAGCAGCACGCACCGCACAACCGAGGAGCAACAGCAGCAGCAGCACCACCACCACCACCAACAACAACAACAACAACACCAGGCCAGCACAAATCAACGATCCCCATTGGGCCTGGGGCCCGCAGCCGGGGATGAGAAAGTTGCACGCCATGGGCAAAACCTTGGAAGAGCGAGGCTACCTCGCACCAGAGCTAGGCCGCGACGAGAGAAGTGCCATCTGGGGGCCCAGGTCGGTGGGCTGTCGGAAATCGATCTTCTGCGGCATGGGAAAGAGAGAAAGTGGGATGTGGATGACCACATGAGGACGAACCCTCCTGCCCTCCCACCACCCACCACCCACCACCCACCACCCGCCACCGCCACCTCATCCACCCAACTGCCCAACACTCGCATCACCAAGCAAGCCAGCAGCGTGTCTCCCTGGAGGGGTGAGAGAAAAGGTGGGGGGAGGGGGGAGAGGGGGAGGGGAGGTTGAGAGCCAGGAGAGCTCGTGGGATATGCAGCCCTTCCAGCCCCGTCCAGCCCTTCCTTCTTCCAGCCAGCCCTCCCGGCCAGCCGTAGCACGTAGTCACGCAGCAGCCTCCGTACGTCGACCAGCCGAGTCACCGTTTCCGTGCCGCAACGGTAGCAGCTTGGCCCAGAGCTGGCTACATCGAATTGGGCGTGCGGGAGATTCCCATCGGGAAAGGTGCCCTTTTTCAGCCTGGATTTGGCCCTGCCCTTGCCTGCCCTGCCCTGCCCTGTATCCGTACTTGTTGCTTGCTGCTGCTTCTTACTCCGTACTGCACACCTCGCGCCCCAGAAAAAACAAGGGGCATGGCCCAGCCCCGGCCACAGCCCAAGCAAGTACTCCGTACCAGTAGTTCCAAGTCCACTCTGCCACGCCGATTCCCAGTCCCAGTCCCAGTCCCAAGTTGCAGGCAGTAAGGTCACCATCTCGATTTGGCCCTTTCTTTGCAAAAAGCTGTCGACCGACTATCTTATCGTCGAGTGGCATGCCCAGTGCCAGCATCCCTAAAACCTGGTTTCTGCCCGCCCAAAAGACCCCCCCTTCCTCCCCCCATCGGCCCGCCTCGAGTCTTCCCTTCTCTTGCGAGCTCTGCGCAGTTACTCCGTACAGTCGACAAAACACCACAGACCCTACCGCCGCCCTCCCATACAACCACCCAGGCGAGCATCAGGACAATCGGACACGCCCTCTGGATACCACACGCACACCGACCCTGAATCACTCGCGAGCTGATCAACGGCACTGCCAGACGAGGCTACTTGACTCAGGTACGAGCTCGCCTGTTCATAAGGAACAATCGAGACCCGGCGCAGTCTGGGGCCATCTTGACCTTTCCGATCCCCTCCAAAGGCCTCGGCCGTCCTTTACTGCTCTTCACTCTTGTCCTTGTGCTGTGTGGCCCTTTGCACACAAGTCCGGCCCTGCCCAAATACCGAGGTCCCCAAGCTCATGTCTGCATAGCGGTCCTCTCTTGCCCGTCAGTCAGTCACTCAGTCAGTCACTCAGGCTAGTCGCCGAGGCACTATCCCTGACATCGCACTCCCGAGGCAGCAAAAGCACTCCTCTTTCGCGTCGGTACGTGGGACGGACGGCCCTTGCCCCAGCTGCAGAGTGCAGAGGGAGACAACCCCAGAACCTGTCGTCTCTGCACTATTGCAACTGCCAGAGCCCAGCACTCTTTTGGTACTTTGCCCCTCGATTGCAGCCCCCAAATGCCCAGTCTGAGCGGGTAATACCATGTCTGCAGTGAGCTCGCAAGGCGAGGCAGTTGCATGGCAGCACCTCGACACTTGAAACCCAATCGAATCGCAAGCGCCCATTGCCAGGAAATTGTTAGACTAGAGAGCTAATACACCGACTTTCAGCGCCTCGCCTTCCCTCCCCCTCTGCGCCACTCCGGTTCCTCAACCCCAGCTTCCGCCAGCACTTTCGGAGCCCCGCGTCGCCCACCTGCCTCTTCGTCCCCACCATTGTTGCTAGCCAGCCAGCCAGGCGTCCTACAACCGAGCACTCCTTAGCTCTGACGAACGTTGCTGCATTCTTTTCCGCCCTCCTACAGCAACCCCGCTGGTCTGCTTCACCACTGCTCGGCCACGAGCGACGTAACAGGTTTGAGACGCTTCGTCAGCATCGCATCATCTCAAGTCGATCTCTACCTCTCCTGTTAATTCCCTTCGACACGTCGCCCTCGCCAATTCGATCCTCCGAATCACATCCATCATGGCTGAGTTCGTGCGCGCCCAGATCTTTGGGACGACCTTCGAGATCACATCGAGGTACTCCGACCTACAACCAGTGGGCATGGGAGCCTTTGGTCTGGTCTGCTCCGCCAGAGACCAGCTGACCAACCAGAATGTCGCCATCAAGAAGATCATGAAGCCCTTCAGCACGCCAGTCCTGGCCAAGAGGACCTACCGCGAGCTGAAACTTCTCAAGCACCTCAGGCACGAGAACGTCATATCTCTCAGCGACATCTTCATCTCCCCCCTCGAAGACATCTACTTCGTCACCGAGCTGTTGGGCACCGACCTGCACCGGCTGTTGACCTCCCGGCCCCTCGAGAAGCAGTTCATCCAGTATTTCCTGTACCAGATCATGCGAGGTCTGAAATATGTGCACTCTGCTGGCGTGGTGCACCGAGACCTGAAACCCAGCAACATCCTGGTCAACGAGAATTGCGATCTCAAGATTTGCGACTTCGGCCTGGCCCGTATCCAAGACCCTCAGATGACAGGTTACGTATCGACAAGATACTACCGTGCTCCCGAGATCATGCTCACCTGGCAAAAATACGACGTCGAGGTTGACATCTGGAGCGCGGGCTGCATCTTCGCCGAGATGCTCGAGGGCAAGCCACTCTTCCCTGGAAAGGACCACGTCAATCAGTTTTCCATCATCACAGAGCTCCTTGGTACACCACCCGACGATGTCATCAACACCATTGCTAGCGAAAACGTGAGTTGCGCATCGCGTGCCGCGCTCCAACTGCAAAGTGACTGACAGTTTGGCAGACCTTGAGATTCGTGAAATCGCTGCCCAAGCGGGAGCGTCAACCTCTGGCAACAAAGTTTAAGAACGCCGACGAGTCTGGTTCGTACATACTGTCACCTCATAGCTGTGCCAGCAACAACTTTTTCTAACGATAGATTTAGCTGTTGACCTTCTCGAACGCATGCTGGTCTTCGACCCCAAGAAGCGGATAACAGCTGCGGATGCTCTGGCGCATGAGTACCTGGCTCCCTACCACGACCCAACCGACGAGCCCGTGGCAGAGGAGAAGTTCGACTGGAGCTTTAACGACGCAGACCTGCCTGTGGACACGTGGAAGATCATGATGTGGGTTTTCGCTGATACCAAGGGACCTCCAAGGGGTTGGCCAGGCAGGAAAGTGTGCACGTGTGCTAATACCTAATTGCAGGTACTCCGAAATTCTCGACTACCATAACGTGGAGGCCAGCGGGGTCGCAGCAATGGAAGGAGAATTCCACGGCCCACAGTGAGCGGGTCACGCCGACGTGGCTCAACGCGACGGCGTAGCTGTTTAATACGTGTTTCGGGCGATGCTGTTCGTGATACCAAGGAATACAGGGAATGTGTCAAAGGGGGGCAGATGCAAGGGGGGAAAACATGAGGGCACTGCATCACAGGCGCATTCTTAACAACTGGCTATCGTGCTTTTTTACTCCAAACCATTCGGTAGATACACAACGGCGTTTTCCCAAGCCCTTGCTGGCCCCGGGCCCCTCCCGGACAAGCGCAAGGCGACAAGAACAGAGATAAGAGAGGTCGGCCAGCAGCAGACCTCTTCTTCCGAAACTTTCAGCAAGTTCAGCATCTGAATCTTCCCCACGGAGGCCAGGGCGTTATGAGGAAGAAGGCGGGCGTCTTTTTTTTCATGTGTTGGGGATAAATAACAAAGCCTCCGAATCAGAGCCGCGGACCGAGTGCAAAGTGTCCGAGTCTTGTCCACTCACTCCTACTCTGATGAACTGTGGCAACTTGGTCAAGATGTGGAGGCTTGTGTGCACCACGAACATTGACGAGACGGACCCAAGAGACAGAGAGAGAGAGAGAAAAGTCTTTTGACAATGATGTATTTTGACCTATCCAAACTATGCAACGTCCTTGCTGCCGTGGCTGCTGTGTGGCCCTTTCAAGTGCCGTCAATGCTATGCTATGCCATGCCGTGGTATACTTTGTTTTTGATCTAAAACCATCCGAGATGCTTGATGCGTTTCGTTCGTTCCCATGCCTTTTTCTTCATTACACGGCCCCGACGGACACGAGTCTCACTTCACCCCAGACTATTACGGTGCGATCCCACGCCACATCTCCTCAGCGGGCCGAGCGGGTTGGTCCGGCGCCGCCTCCGTGCCACCGCCGGCGGACGCTATGCCAGCTTGTACTCGGTGGGCGACTCGCGGTCGTTCCACACGCTCGTCTCCTTCATCGCGAAGTCGATCCGCGGCTTCTGTGGCGAGGCCTCGGGCGACGACGCGGTCCCGGACTCCTCGGAGCCGAGTATGCTCTCGCTGAACGAGTGCTGGGTGCCCGGGCGCACCGGGTCCTCCTGGCGCGCCTTTTCCAGCTCCCGGGCGCTGTCCACGCTCTTCCTCACCGAGCCAAAGAAGGACGAAGACGTCGACATGCGCGGGCTCTTGACCTCCTTTTCCGAGGCCGAGTGCAGCGAGGTCGTGCTGCTCGCGTCCTTCTTGCTCTTGGTCCTGCCCAGCCCGAGGCCCCATCCGCTCGTGCTGCTGCCGCTGTTCCTGTTGTCGCTGCTGCCGCGGTTGGCGAGCGCCTTTCGCTTCTCTCCCGCCCACGTGGCCCAACTGCTCATATAGGCACCCACGCCTGCCTTTTCGGCATCATGCCCATTCTTGATGGTTGGACTGGCAGGCACAGAGTCGCTGGACTGCTGTTGCCTGGTCTCCTCCGCCTTCTTCCGCTGGGCCTCCCGATATGCCTCAAGCTCCCCGTAGAATTTGGTGATCATGGCACCTCCCTTATCCCTAGCCGCGGCCAGGTTCCTCGCGGCCGCCTCTCTTCCTTGAGACAGCTTCTCGTCCAGATGTAAGTCCTGGACCTGCTGGGTCACGCGCCTTGATACATCGTCAATGGTGAGGCCGCCTGCACATATGTGCCTTGGTTCGGCAATGTCAAACAGATGGCTGTCGGTGTTGTTGTTCCAGATCCGGTAATTCTCCGTCTTCATCCAGGCCTCGACCCAGTCCAGATTGAAGTCCACTGCTGGATCGCCATCAATGTGCGGAAGAAGCATTTTCGGATTATCTTTATGCTTAGCCAGGAAGGTGTGATACTTTACGGCCGAAAGAAGCGCAATGATGTAGTCCTCGAATTGAAGTCGGATGAATTCCTCGCTCCCCATGAAGCCCATCGTCTTGGGCCGGCTGGGATTCGCCTCGTCCCATGTCTCGTTTACAGTCTGTGTGATAAAATCGATCCATCTCCGGTCTGGGGTCGAGAGTTGCAGTGCTTGTTTTAACGATGTCGACGTAATATTGATGAAATCGTCATCGAGGTTGATGAGGATGTCACTATACCTGTCGCGCTGCTGAAGAAGAAGTGAATTAGTGCTTCCAACAATGTACGATTTTGTCTCGTGGTCTGCCAAGACATCGAGCTGCTGAAGCGGTGTATATGGCCCAAACAGGCTTCCCTGTGTGTTCGGTCAGCTCCAACTCGCAGGCATCACCCGGGACGACGCAAACCGACCTTGCCGAATATCTGAAGCGGCAGGCCCATGTATGCCTGTAATGATGACCGGTCACTAGATTTCAGGTTTGTGGGCATGGTCAGATGCTTCTCGTAGCTGTTCAGTTCCGGATCGGCACAGTCCTGAAGCCTTCGAATAAGACCGGGTATCAAGGATATTAAAGAAAACTGCATCATGCAAAGTCGCTCGCATCGTGAACCAAAGAACAACATCTGAAGAGATAGGGACGTTGGGTTAGCGACAGCCCACATTTCCGAGCGGTATCTGAGTCCCCCTCCCCGGCCACCCACGGTCGGATTCTCCTTACCTTGGGCTGCAAAAGGCAGCATTTCAACAGTACCAAAGTCTGCCACCTGAACTCGTGTATCATCTCCCTCAAACTCATGCCGAGGTAGGCGTCCCGGTTCTCATCCTCGCTGAGGAGACCCCGCTCCTTCTCGTCCGCCAGGCTCTCCTGGAAGCGACGCAGGATCTCCGTATCGGTGAACTCGCGCTGGGCAAACCACGCATGCGTGACGACACTGAGCCGCTCCCTGAGCGTGCCAAATGTTTGTGGGTTGTCGGCTATGACGACGACGGCCTTTTGCACGGTTGACCGCGTAACGTCGGCGGGGCGGTTGATCAGGGCGGAGGCGTCCATCTGTCTGGTACATGATATTCCAAAGAGCGATGTTGCGGGCTCGGTCTCGGTAGCAGGCTTCAGCAGGGTGAAGTAGGAGAAGTCTTCTGTCGCGCTATATCCGTAGATGACGACAGTCAGTGATAGATGTCGCCAGGCACCGCCAGGCGGTCGATTGTCTGGATGTGGCAGATACTTACGCATGCGCGCCGTCGCTGAGCGCCATGAAGGGCAGCAGTGACCAACCATACTCGACGGCCGGGTCTGTGCCCTCGGGGTTGCCATACCAGGACTCGACCTCGGGACCCCTCGCGTGGTGGAAGCCAATGACTGTGACCAGCGGCACGAATGTGCTCCTGGGGCCCCTGGGCGTTGAGATGCCCGAGGTAGGCGTTATTGGAGTCAAATTGCCAGTTGGGGTGAGGGTATCCATTGTGGACGCGATTGCAGCCCTCGAGCCTGTGGCTTCCCGGGCCTTCTCCTGGCTCTTTGTCTCAGCACGGGGCCTGTGTGAATGGTTGAGAGACAAGCTGTCATGAGACGGCCATGAAGCAGACAGGAGAGTCTAGGAGGTCAGAGGTGGCCAGCAGCAAGCAATGACTCGCCGGTACGATGCTTATTTGAGAGATGGAGGGAGGAGGGTCCGGTGGTGCCGAGGCTGTCGGGTCTTTGGCCGGGCGGGCGTCGGTCTTTGGCCTCTAGAGGCTTCGAGGCCGCCGTGGTTCGGGTGGCGCGGTGGGAGGCGCGGTGGGAGTCGCGGTGCAGTCGTCGGGGCCTGGCCTCGTGGGCAAGGTGGGCAAGGGGCGAGCGTGGGGCGGGTTTGATGAGTGCCGGCGGCGAACGGGCGAGCTATCAAGAATTCTCCGGCCGAGAAAGGCTGGGGCCCTTGGCACAGAGGCGAGCGGGGCCCGCTTCGACCCAGAAGACAAGGGCGAGATGTATTCGCCAAAGGGAAATATCGTGGAGCGACGAAATGCCCATGGGGGAGGGAATGACGTCTCGGGCTCAATGCAACCACAACCACGGAAAAGTCGAGGTTAAGCGAGATGAGGGCACAAAGCGGTCTGCACGAACGGCGGCGCGGGAGAGGAACAATGCCAGCAGGTGAGCCGGGATAATTGATTGCAGGACAGCCTCGTTGGCATTAGCTGGGGGTTGCAACTTGCAGCCGCCAAGTGGTGTGAATGCTGTGAGTCGGACGGGGGAGTTGGGAGGTGGAGGTGGAGGTGGAGCTGCAGCTTGTCGTATTATTCTTGGTGTTGATGTTGATGTTGATGTTGATGTTGATGTTGCTGTTGCTGTTGCTGTTGCTGTTGTTGGAGACGAGGACGAACGTATGCAGTCCAACCGAGGGGAGGGGCGACCGGGTGCGTCCAGCAGGGACAGACAGGCATCAATCAGGTGGCGCTCAAGCATGCGAGACCACAATTGCAGGTAGAGGAACCGGGTGAGGTTGTGGGTGACGGCTTTTTTGGTTGCGTTGGCTGATCTAAGAAAAGGCACGCGTTCAATATATATGAGATGGGATGGAATGGACATGGGGAGGGGGTGAGAAACGGACCAGGGTGGCCCAAGCCCCAAAGATATTGTTTCAACGACAATCACGACCACCGACCACTGGCCTCGACCGTGGGCCGACCACCACCACCACCTGGCCCGGAACGACCAAGTGTGTAGGCCTGCCTACCTGCCTAGGTACCAACCACCCAGGCCTGCCTGCCAGCCTGCCAGCCTGCCAGGCGCCCAGGGGACGGGCCGAGGAAAGGCAGACGACGGACGGGCTACAGGTCCAGAGGTCTACGTACAGTCTACAGGTACGAAGATGGTTCCTCGCCCGGCCAGGGAGGCCTGCTCTTGCATCGTGGGGCCCACCAAGGCCTGATCTCGCATCTCAACGGCGACGTGGTTCATGACCAGTTGCCAGGACACTCGGACTGACTTGCAGCCACCATCTGCCCCCGCATCTGCTGTCCGGCCTGCTGCCCACTCTCGCCCCGTCTCCCATAGGGCACACGGGCCCGATGCCAGCTGTCTTGCATATTGCGTCAAACTTTAAATAGACACCTGCTGCCCCCAAGCCTCAAGGACGGCCGGGCACGACCCCATCGTTTGCACCACACGCCGGCCGGGCGGCCACCTGCTGCCCATCATCACACGTGGGCAGGACTCGGCGGCGAGTCCCTGAACTGCCTACTTAAGTAGGTGGTGTACACAGTAGCTAAGCTCGGGGCCATAGCCAAAGATGGGATGGACAGGGTGAAGGCAGTCGTTCGTCAGGACCTCTCGTGCTTGCCCGAGTACCTACCTAGGTAGGTACTTGAGTAGCCAACCCGTCGAGGGGAGCCGGGGAAACCAAATGGGGTATTGGATTGATCCTGCCGGCCAAGCATGTGCCCCTACAGGATGATGAGGAGGAGGAGGAGGAAGAGGATGATGAGAGTTCAAGAGAGGTCAAGATAGGTACCGAGTACCGAGTATCGTGTACGGCTGACTAAGCCTGCTCTTCCCGCCTGGTCCCGCTACTGTGCTTTAGCGGAATCCGCGACCTTGTGCGAACAGCTCAGTTTCACCGGGTCCATTTAAGTGCATGTGAGGCTAGACAGGGGGGGGGGTCCAAGCAGGCCTGGCAAGGCCGTCAGCTCGAGGTCAACCCGTAAATGTTTGCGGCTTGCGACCTCAACGTCCCCCTCGTGCGCCTCACATCGTCCTCGCCGCCAACCTCTCACCAGATGCCCTTGTGCTTCACAGCCCTCACATAGGCCAGTGACTGCGCTGCATCCCTTCAGACGAGGGCAACAGGACGGGTCTTGATGCGAACAGCTCTGCCCTCCTCACTGCGCAGCCGAGTTGGCATTGGCATTGGCTTTGGCACTGGCTCAGGAACTGGCAAGCTCGCTGCTACCTTCCTCAACAACATCCCAACCCAAGCCCTTCGCCGCCGCCGTCCCATCCACCTGTTGTCATCTGGTCTTTTGCCATTCCCGCGCCATTCACCAGCTGTACCACCTTGCACTCGTCTCGCCAGAGCTCTCGCTGCAACGTCCCCCGTCTCCGTCTCCACGTCCACATCGGACCGCGTACCACCGCCGCTGACCCGCCAGTCTTCATCACACTCTTCGAACGCTTCGAACGCTTTAAACGCTTCCACCATGAACGGCACCACCGCCTCTCCCCGCGCTAAGCGCAAGCCCTCCCCCTTCGACGCAATCGACACCGGCCGCCCGCCAAAACACCACCGCCACTCCCTGAACGGCAAGCAGTCTGCCGGCGACAATACCCCCGACATCGAGGCCGCCGACCTCGACATGCACGACCACGAGTTTATCGACGAGACTGCCCTGCAGACCCTCCCCTCCCTCGGGCCTGATACCGCCGAGTGGCAGTTGACCATCGAGAACGTCGTGAGAAATGTCGTCTCCATCCGCTTCTGCCAGACCTGCTCATTCGACACCGACCCCGCCCTGAACTCCGAGGCCACTGGCTTTGTCGTCGACGCAGAGAGGGGTTATATCCTGACAAACAGGCACGTCGTTGGCGCCGGGCCCTTCTGGGGCTACTGTATATTTGACAACCACGAGGAGGTGGACGCCTACCCTGTCTACCGAGACCCCGTCCACGACTTTGGCATCCTCAAGTTTGACCCCAAGGCCATCAAATACATGCCCGTGAAGGCCCTGTCGCTACGGCCCGACCTGGCTAAAGGTATGTCTCACCAAGCCCAACGTGTTTGATGGATTCTGACCCATGTCATGTGTGCAAACAGTCGGTATCGAGATCCGCGTTGTTGGTAACGATGCCGGTGAAAAGCTCAGCATCCTCTCCGGTGTAATCAGCCGTCTGGACCGCAACGCCCCCGAGTACGGTGAGGGTTACAGCGACTTCAAGTAAGTCTATCCCCTGTTTGCAGCTCGCTCGAGGCTTGGCTTGGCTTGGCTTGGCTCCTGGCTCCTGGCTCCTGGCTCCTGGCTCCTGGCTCCTGGCTCCAGACACTATCAGTGACACTAGAGCCTGCCAAATTGCTGACAAGCAGTCGCATAGTACTTCCTACTACCAAGCCAGTGCCGCTGCCAGCGGAGGTTCTTCTGGCAGTCCGGTCGTGAATCTCGATGGCTGTGCCGTTGCTCTGCAGGCCGGCGGAAGAGCGGACGGCGCATCTACGGATTATTTCTTGCCTCTGGATCGGCCATTGAGAGCTTTGAAGTGCCTCCAAGAGGGGAAGCCCATTACCAGAGGCGATATCCAGTGCCAGTTTCTCCTGAAGCCCTTCGATGAGTGCAGGCGGCTCGGGCTGTCTTCTGAGTGGGAGGCACAGATGAGGAAGCAGTTCCCCAGGGAGACCAACATGCTTGTTGCCGAAATAGTCCTTCCCGAGGGCCCGTCCCACGGCAAGGTCGAGGAAGGCGATGTCCTCGTCAAGGTGAACGACGAGCTGATAACCTCGTTCGTACGGCTTGATGACATTATGGACTCGAATGTCGACAGCACTGTGAAACTGCTGCTCCAGAGGGGTGGGGATGATGTCGAGGTGGAGATCAAGGTCGGTGATTTGCACAGCATCACTCCTGACCGCTTTGTATCTGTCGCCGGTGGCAGCTTCCACACGCTGTCCTACCAGCAAGCGAGGCTATATGGCGTGGCTGCGCGAGGTGTCTACATCTGCGAAGCGACAGGCTCTTTCCGTTTCGATAACAGCGATAACGGCTGGATACTCCAGACCCTCGACCACAAGAAAGTACCGGATCTGGAGACTTTTATTGAGGTCGCCAAGGGCATACCAGACAAGGCTCGGGTCGTCGTGACATACAAGCACCTCAGAGATCTGCACACACTCAACACCACTATCATTTATGTTGATAGGCATTGGTCCTCCAAGATGAAGCTCGCTGTGCGCAATGACGAGAGTGGAGTCTGGGACTTTACCGACCTTGCAGACCCGATCCCACCAGTGCCCCCGGTCCCGCGCAAGGCCTCATTCATTCAGCTCGAGCATACTTCCCACCCGGCCGTGGCTGAGCTCGTGAAGAGCTTTGTCCATGTCAACTGTACGATGCCAGTCAAGCTCGACGGCTTCCCGAAGAACCGGAAGTGGGGCATGGGCTTGGTCGTTGACGCAGACAAGGGGCTGGTCGTCATCTCTCGGGCTATTGTGCCCTACGACCTGTGCGATATTAGCATCACCATTGCGGACTCCATCGTTGTCGAGGGCAAGGTCGTTTTCCTCCACCCCTTGCAAAACTACGCCATCATCCAGTACGACCCCAAGTTGGTTGACGCTCCTGTCCAGAGCGCGAAACTCTCAAGTGAGGAAATCACGCAGGGCGCTTCGACGTACTTCATCGGATACAACAGGATCGGCCGCGTCGTCCACGCCGCCACGACCGTCACTGAGATATTTGCTGTTGCCATTCCGGCCAACTCTGGGGCGCCGAGGTACAGGGCTGTCAACGTGGATGCCATCACCGTCGACACGAGCCTGAGCCAGCAGTGCGGTAGCGGCGTCTTGGTCGCTCCAGACGGTACTGTGCAGGCTCTGTGGTTGACATATCTCGGAGAGCGCAACCCCTCGACCCACAGGGATGAGGAGTATCATCTCGGTCTTGCCACGCCAACACTGCTCCCTGTAGTGTCGCAGATCTCTCAAGGTGTCGTACCCGACCTTCGGATGCTGTCGGTTGAGTTCAGGTCCATCGCAATGTCGCAAGCACGCCTCATGGGTGTGTCCGAAGAGTGGATAGCGCAAGTATCCCGGGTCAACACAAGCCATCACCAGCTGTTCATGGTCACCAAGAGGACGTTCGAGCGGAAAGATAAGGAGGGCGATGAGGCGCTGCTCGAGGGCGACATCTTACTGACGCTGAACGGCAAGCTAATTACGCGCATCTCGGAGCTGGATGTCATGTACTCAAACAGCTTCTTGGACGCCGTTATCGTCCGCGACTGTGAGGAGATCCAACTAAAGCTGCCCACAGTGGCTGCGGACGACGTCGAGACGGACCGTGCTGTCTCTTTCTGTGGTGCCGTCCTCCATAGGCCGCACCATGCCGTGCGCCAGCAGATCAGCAAGCTCTTCAGCGAGGTATATGTCTCTGCTCGCACACGGGGCTCTCCCGCTTACCAATACGGGCTGGCCCCGACAAATTTCATCACGCACGTCAACAACAAACCCACGCCGGACCTCGAGTCATTTATTGCGGCTGTGGTAGACATCCCAGACAACACCTGTGAGTCTTCTCGTCCCAAAGGCCCCCCCCCCCTGACCAATCGCAAGATACTAACCAAGGACGCCTGCAGACTTCCGACTCAGGGCTGTAACCTTTGACAGCGTGCCGTGGGTCATCACCATGAAGAAGAACGAGCACTATTTCCCCACGGTCGAGTGGATCAAAGACCCCGAGGCCGAGTGCGGCTGGCGCCGCCTCACCTACGAGGCGGGCAAGACGATAGAAGGCGAAGGCCAGGAGGGTGTCCCCTCCGTTACTGATGATACAGGGGAGCCTGACGACGCCATAGCCATCTGAGAGGCGCGATGAAAGGAAGGAAGGTAGGGCGTGCTGGGTTTTCGGCTGCTTGTATTAAAGGTGTAATCGGATTCTCTCTGCTTAGGTCTCACGGTACGGGAGTTCCCGGGGCTATGTTGGGTCAGGAAACCAGCTTATATAGCACACCACTGAAACGAGGTAGAGAAGGACGCAATTCCAAGAATTGCCCCCATCCCGGACAACTCGAATATTGCTCACGTCTTGTCCTGAGTTTCCCAGCGGCCGTGATATGGTCGAGCAGGCCCATCCTACATGGGAGAAACACTTTGAAAAAGTTGCTACGCCACACAAGAAGACATCACTGGAAACCGCTTCAATAATCAAGCTTTGAGGGTCGGTGTATCTGATCTATGCCTAGAGAAATATATCCCAAGACGACAGCTCCCAAAGGACGGCGACCGTTCCTCCATCCCCGAGCCCGGTCTGTTTTAAAACAAGATACACGCTGGAACAATGCTCTTGCCGATTCATTAATGTATATGCGAGACAGGTATTGTACCAAAACACCGCCTTCCCACTCCTTGCCTATCCATGAACTTGTTTCCCCAAACCCGTCGTTACTCGTTGGCCATCCACGACCAGGCACCGAGACTTCAAGTGCCCTGGATTTATCGGCCCATGGCCATGGAGCCCGGCATCTCTGATGGGACAAATTTTGACGTGTCCCATGAGTCCCTCGTCGCAGTTGGCCTCAACTCGATGAAGCTCCACGATTGATCCCAGCCTATTAAAGCATCGTATGCACCGATGGGCCCAGTTCCGAGACCCCAGCGGCTCGCAAACAAGAGAGCCATATTTGCTGGGGGCATCCAGGCATGGAGCTGTACCAGAGCGGAGCAAAGAGTTTTTTTCGGAGAAGCACATTTGTTGCTGAATCGAGGGACTGTGACCTCGCTGAACAAACGTACCGGCCGGATCGATGCCCTCTCAGACCTTGACGGTACAAAGCAGTCTGTTTGGGGAAACACTCTGCCGAATTCAATACTCCCATGATACTTTGCTCTGCGGCTTTTCTGCCGGAACCAAAATGAAGTCACTTCCTCTGCCGGTCTGCCGAGGTCTACTTCATCATTTTCTCCCGGTGAGCCATGAAGACCCTGACATGCATCTCATGGTTGTCGCAAGCCTGTACCCATGTGGCACGCACCTGTCGATCCTCCTCGGCCCACGTGAGGTACTCCTGAATACCCGAGGAGTCTCTCGACTTGACCCAGGCGGAATCGGCCACCTTTTTCTGCACCTCGAGGTTCCTTGCAAGGAAGTGGTCGGAGAACTTGGTGTTAAACTTGTGCCATTCCGTCAGGTACTTATGAAACTCGACAGCATACTTCTCCCATGCAGCCGCCGATGGTTTGAGACCCGGCACGGCGAACGTAGGCGGTGCGTTTGGAGGCTTCGGTGCCACCGGAAGGCCGAGGTTGTTTGTCTTGGGGTTGGGCTGGGGCTGTGCAACGGGAGCCTGGCCTGACGGACCACTCTGGAACGGAAGTGTCGATTTCAGGTCTCCGAATGATTCCAGGCCTGTGGGACGTTGGGCGAAAGGCTCCACGTTCTTCAGGTCGGAGAGACTGGCCCGGAACTCTTCAGTATCTTCCGATCCCATAGCATGGGGGACCGCGCCAGGGGTCAGACCAGGGGTCATTCCCTTGACATCACCAGCCCTCCACTCCGGACGCGATGGCTCGACGGGGATGTTGCGCACCCCTTTCGCACTGAGATAGTCCATAGGAGGGTCGATATCCATGGCATTAGGGCTGGCCGTCTCGTTGATCCCGTTCGTGTTCCCTGGTGTGGTTGGCTTGAGATTGTCGTCCTGCCCACTGCTGCTCTCATCAGACTCAACCATGCCGGCCGTGCCTGTCGTCATACGGACAGGCTTTGGCTTCTTGCTATTGTTGCGGATCGGCCGGGCTGTGTTTGCCTTGTGCGCACCCGATGCCTGGAAGATCTGGGGCCCAATCTTCTCAGACCACTCGTCAGGGTTGAATGAGCTGTTCTGGGGTGGGCCACCCTCGTTAGCAGGCTCAGCAGAGGGCGCCTGAAAGTGGTTGGCGCGGAAGGACGATTGGCGACCGACTCGACTTCCAGACTTGGATCGCGGCATGGCTGGTCGCCCAGTCTCGTCGACTGGTGATCCAGCGTTGAACTGCCAGTTAGTAGCATCACTCTCATCAGCAACAAACCTAGTGTTGATGTTATCGGCGCTGTTCCTGGAAAATCGGTGGCGGTCAGTGAATGATTCGTCGATCTGCACACCAAAGCTGCTGGGGTTTTCACTGTCAGCCCTCTGCTGTTGGAGATTCTGTGAAGGCAACGCGCCTGGGTATCTCAGTACCGAGAGGCGGCCGATTATGTCGCGGACCTTGAGGTCAAAGGGGGTCAAGCCAGGGCCGGAGGGCTTCGGGTCTCCACTCGAAGACGGTACCTCGTGCAACGCTGGATTGGAGTGACGCGACGTGTTGGAGATTTCGAAGATTTCCTCCTGGCCCGCACGACTGGTCGCTTGCTGGGCCTTTGAAGGAACTTCATTGCTTGCGAAACAAGAACGAGCATATGGCTGATGGGCATACAATTTGGATCCTTCTTTGCCGTCCACACCCTCCTGCTGGGTACGGGATGTTGCCTCGGGAGTCGGGTCGAAGCCATCAGTGCCTATGCTTGGGTCGGCGGCGCCATTCACGTAGCTGTCTTCCCTCCGCTTTCCCTTGGGGTCGTTGTCTAGGTTGTCGGGGACACTGGCGCGACGTTGACGCGCGCCGGAAGGTGGTGAATCCTCGCCGTCGGTGTGACGGTAAGACGTGGAATTCGTCTCTCGCGTGCTGCGGGACCGGTTGATGTTGGCGGCGCCCTGGAATGGGTCGAGTTTCTCCCCGCCGTGTGACATGTAAGGCGTCCTCTGCCTGGTGTCCATGAATGTACTATCGCGAAACTCGGAGCTAGGGGTGGGGTTTGAGGGCTCGCGCCGCCGAGCCTGCGCTGCTGAAGAGGTCTCAGTGAAGAGATTGGTATGGGTCCTGGTTGTGAAATAGTTGTTGCCGGCAACGGATGGCTCATCCCCACTAGGCGACTGAGGCGTGTAGCCACGGCTGACGCGATGACCAAAAGACCCCTTGGGCTGTTTCTGAGGAGAGCGAGGTGGCACTGGAGGTGGTGCTGCCGAGGGCCTGGGGGCACTCGAGGCTCTTGCGGATGCCCCAGAAGCAGATGCCTGGCCGGCGGTTGCCTTGGCCTTGGTACCGGGCCTCATCTCCTCCCAGGCCTTCCACGTCTCTTCGGCGGGCTTCCGGCTGGGTCGAGGGGAGGCAGACTTGGCGTCATTCGCCATGTGGGCGTACCTAGCGGCGCCGGTCTGACTACCAGGTCTCTTGGGAGGGGGCGGGCGCTGGGGAGGGAAGCCTGGCGGGCGTGGCGGCGGAGGGTAGTTCTTGGAGACATCTTGCCATGGGTTGCCCCGGACGCCGGACGCGCCGGGGAAGCGAGACCGACGCGAGTTGTCGTATCGCTGTTTCTGCTCTGGGTTGGTAAGGACCTCGTAGGCTGCCTGGATCCTGGTGAACCTCTTGCCGGCCTCGACCTCGCTGCCGGGGTTTCGATCGGGGTGGTATTTGAGGGCTGCAAAACAGGCAAGCCGAGGGTCAGATGGGAGACGCAGCAGGAGGCTAGGCCAGGGCAGTTGGGCCGGGCGACTTACCAAGTTTTCTGTACTGTTTCTTGACGGTCTCGGTGTCGACCGACTGTGGCAGCTCCAGGTCTGCATAGTAGTCCTGGTTGACGTCTATCTTGACCATGGTGGCAGGGGGACCGCGTGTCTGTGGCTCGAGAGACGTTGTCCAGCCTTGAGTTCAGCTACATTGCACGCAGGGTGCAGTGGAAGGTATGGCCGAGCCCGTGGGCGTGGGTTGGGTATCGTGGGGGTTGTTTATCGGCACGGCGCTGGCTGGCAGGAGTAGGAGGAGTGAACAGAGAAAAGGGCTTGTAAGAGACTGGATCAGAAACTGGAGGGGATGATGGCCAAAGCTGGTGGTGCCGCATGGGTTGTCGCGTGAAAAAGCACTTGTTTCTTTTGCTGGGCTGGGCTATGGGGCGAAGCGAAGGGGTGGCTGACTGTTGACTGGCACTGTGCCAATCCGCAGTCTGCAATGCAGTACGCAGTCCGCAGTCCGCAGTCTGCAGATGAGCAGGTTATCAGGCCTGCTCTACGACATGCACTCTGTGCGAACGGCGGCGTGGTGCGTGGTGCGTGGTGCGTGGTTCGCGGTTGGGGTCCAGGTCCAGGCAGAGGCAGAGGCAAACAGCTGGAGGCGTCGTTGATAATTCTGCAAGACTCGAGATCAACCACCTCGACGCCCCTACAAGACCAAGACACACCTCAGATCGCGTCAGGCTTGTTAGGCACCTCTGGGTGGGTAATATGGAAAAGACTGGTGGTTGGTACGCGACCACAAACTCGTGACAGAGGGGCTTTGCCTGTGGTTGAAGCAGGGGCCAAGGGGCGCCTCAGCAGGCATCCCCCGCTGCTCCACCTGTCCCTGCCCGTCCTGAGAGCTTGCAGCTAACTCAGGGTGGGACTGTTGACTGGCTGCCCCGGTGAACGGCGGAGATGACGTAGCAGCGCAGAGCAGGCCCATCCCTACAGGGATCTACTGCGTGTACACCTCCGTGTGTGAACCCCGACTGGATAGATATCCGGGCCTGCAGTACCCTAGGTACCTAGGTAAGTGGTCTATCGCGCCCTGGTGGGTACACGGCAGGACCAACCGACTCCTGCACACACCCGGCATCGAGTAAGGCTGACAGGCCTGACAGGTGACGGGAGGCCCACAGGGTGGCGATGATCCTACCATCACCTAGCCAACACTCCTGGCTGAAGTGCACTGCCGAGTACCAAGCAGACGCGTCACCAGGGTGCTGCTATCGTCTGAAGGCAGGTCCAGTTCCCAAGAGCTGGGCGATATGGACACTACCTAGGTAGTTACAGCCCGTCCAGTCTTCGAGTTGTGCAGTGACGAGTTTGAACAAGACATGCAGATGATACCTAAGTACCTTTATCAGCTCTGAGCGCTTGCGTGCTGTGTGCCTACAGCTTGCCGTGACGTTTACCTGAGATACTGAGCTGGTCATAACCAAAACCTTTAATCTCCAGCATTCTGGTACGCTTGGTCGTTGCCACATTTGGTGTAGAACTCAGTGGGAAATAGCAGTATCAGGTTCCCCTGGACATGCTTGCCACGTTGGCACAGAAGATCAGTCCTTCTCTGGCCAGTACCTCTCTCTATGCGGTGATTGATTCGTGCATACGCTTCCGAAAAGGACAGCACCTTTAGTAGGCCTTGTTTGCAGGGAGTAAAGAACATGCTGACATTGTCATAAACTCCATGATCGTGAGTCTAGGTATACCCCGAAACCAATTAAGCCAAGTCAAAAGGCTCTCATGCCACAGTAAACAACCGATGTCCTCAAGGCCCTGAGCATCATTGATGCCGATATCATACCCCAACTCCGAAGCAATGCTATAGACAGACAAAGTCCCTTCCACGGCGCTTGTGCACCAATCCCAGTCCGCATTGAGGCTGCTGAGCCCATACGGCCCTCACATGTCCTTGCTCAGTTCATATGTCCACCCCCCCTCGCGTCTCATTCGGTCTCTCGCGGCAATATCCTTCCGGATCTCGTCTTCCGTGAGCCGGTCCGCCCCGCTCCAGTTGGCGCTGCTCGTCCTTGCCCGGAACTTCTGCCACCTGTCCTTGCTCTTGCTGAACACCTCTTCCATGTTCAGCGGCGCTGGCGGCCCAAACACCTGCAGTGGGTCAATCGTCTCTTGCCGCATAAGCTCGCGCCGAAGGGCAGGCGTGTCAGCCCAGGAGGCGACTCCCGTCGCCTTTGCCCCTTCGTCTTCTTCTTCATCGTCATCGTCGTCGTCCGTCTGGATCTCCGGAAGCTCGATGTTTTCCCCGTTTTGCAAGCGCGGCGATGATCGGTTGGCCGGTTTGGCCGCCGATTTAGTGGCCACAATGCTTTTTGGCCGGGCTGGGGTCTTGTGGGATGCCCCAGCAGCGTGGTGACTGGACGCAAACGGTATTGGACCCTTGGAAACTTGTGCCATGTCGAGAAGATGGCCAGACTTGTTGATCTGCTGCGGTGCTACCGGTGCCTTGAAAATGTCGCGTGTGGCGCCCTGGGCGGCAGGGGCGTAGCCACTGTACAGTGGCTTGTTAGGCAGATCCTGGTGTACTGGTCAGCCTGTTGTCACCACGACTAGCTTGATGAAAACTTACTTTCTTAAAACCGGCTGAAGGTCGGACAGGCGGGCCTTTCAAGCTCGTCCCGTACGACTGGATTTCTGCCTCGTCTTCGAAGGAGAACTCGTCTGACATGCGCATACGCTTGACCTCCTTTTGCTGCGGCTGGCCGCTTCGAGATGCAGCTGGTCGCTGTGTGCCGTCTTCCGCGCCATCAGGCTGGAGCGGCCTCTTCAGTGACATGCTCGTCGTGCTTGACAAGACAGCATTGACCGGACGGCTGACATCCTCCTGTGATCGGTGGGCTGTGGAGTGCTGCAGGCGAGACGGTGGCCTGGGCAAGCCTGCCTTGTCCCGGACACTGCTGTATTCGGGCGCGGCGTTTGGCTGGGGACGAACAGCAGGCGGCGGGGCTCTGGTCTGCTTCGCCTTTTCGATCGCGGCCTGTCGTGCCTTTTTCTTGGCATCCTCCTCCTTTGCAGCCTGCTGCCGTTCTTTATCCCGACGCTCCTGCTCCTGGCGCCGTTCCTCCTCACGCATAGCCGCTCGTTTCCGATCAATCTCCGCTTTGGCATCACGCCTCCGCTGAGCTTCCTTTTCTTCCTGCTGTTTTCGCTTTGCAGCAAGATCTAGGGCCTTGGGACGACCTGTTGTCGAGTTCACAGAACTGTTGAAGCTTTGCTGTGACGCCTTGGTCTGCAATGTGGGCTGGCTAGATTTGCCCTTGATTTGCTGTTGAGAAGGTCCAAGGGTGCTCTCTAGTGTTGCGGCCAAGATGCTGTTGGAGGGGTGAAATCCGGTGTTCTGAGACGACGTGTTCACGCGTATCAGAGTGGGCGCCTGCTTCGGCTTGGAGGCCGTCGTTGGCCTAGATGGCCGTTTTATCTCCTGATTCCTTAAAGACGAGCCAGGAGTTGGGCGCGGAATGGAAGGGGGTGCCACCTTCGTCGTGGGGGCATCAGTCATCTCTGTGTCCTGATCCACAATTCCAGGCTCAGCCATCTTTGCCGCGGCCCTGGAATCGGCTTGTTGGGTCTTCGCTTTTCGCGGGCTACTACGCGTCGGCTTGGGGGCTCCCCTCGGTGCTGGCGTCCGTACATCTTTCTCGAGTTCCTTCTGTGCGGCGAGCTGCTTCTCCGCCGCGATTCTCTCTTGTTCTTTGCTGAAGACGCGCGCCTTTTCCCGTTCCTTTTCCCGCTCCTTCTCAAGTTTATCCAGCTGAGTGGCGAGGTGGGCTGCTTCCTTGTCCTCCCTGCCTCTCTGCCTCTGCTCCTTCCTATCTCGCTCCGCAGAGGCACGAGTCCGGCGCCCACCGGACCGCGATGGGCTTGACAATGTCGGCGCAGGTTGGGAATCCCATGACGGATGACGCGTCAGATCTGGGTAAAGAGGCTCTTGCTCTTTACCGGCTCGCAGGGAGTCGGTCGAGGTGGTCGCCTGCTTTTCCAATCTCACAGTCGAGGGCGAATTTACCAGCGACGCTTTGCCCTCCGCGCTTATTGCTGCACTGCTTGCCAGCAGACCTTTCGAGTTCTTAAGTATGGAGGAAAACTTGTTCTTAACCTGTTTCAAGGCGCTGTGTTTTAACGGACTCTCGCGGAAAGTTCTTGAAGGAGATTTGGGGGGCGCATCTATGTCATTTTGCTGGGTTGTCACCGAAACAGGATTCGAGGCCGACACAATCTTCCTGAGGTTGGAATCAGAGATTCCGGTCAGATACTTGTGATTTGACAAATCGACCGACGCTGACTTCATGTGCCCAACGGTGGAGGGAGCCAGGTCTGACTTGGCGGCAGTTGGATGGGGCGGCGACTGCGATCGGCCCAACTGTGACGAGTGCTGAGCGACAGCGAGTTGTTCGGCGTCACCAACAGTACTCTTGCCGTGCAGTCCCTCCATCACGTCCGCAGTATAGCTTTTGGCGATCGCGGGACGAGGGCTCTGCACGGCAGCTTGGATTGTGGTGGGTGGTGCAATCCAGTCGTCCTCGTCATCGTCAGGGAAAGCTCCAGGAGTTTTGGTCACCTGCTGTATCCTAGGTGGTGTCTGATCAACCTCCATGTCCACTCGAGTGGTCTGCGATACTTGTGACTGGGATTTGGGCACGGCTTTTTGAGTGCCCACAAGACTCGGTATCGATTTCGAGAGCCTCGGCCCACCTGACTGCGATTTCCCGAGCATACTGATCTGATCCTGCAGCCTCTGGGTGTACGTTTTGCTGTGAGCAGTGATAGTGATTTCTTTGCTGCTGGCTCCTGCCATGTCATCCTCGTCAATATCCATCGCGTCAGCGTCATGATCATCTCCGCGCATTTCTTGTCGAATTCCTAGGCTCTTGCCTCCGGTCGGCCTGGGATAGAAGCTGGTACGGGTTTGGTCGATGTGGCTTATTCGTGATACCCGCCCACCCAGACTCTTGTTAGAGGCCATGGGTTCGCGGGCAGGAAGAGATGCAAAGTTGAGACTGCTCTTGCGAATCGGAGGTCGTATTGGGCTTGAGCCCTCGGATGGTGATCGGGTAACGTCCACAACTTCATCGTCCTCGGCTGGGTCCCCTACAGCGGGTTCTGGTGCAGCTCCCTCTACGCTATGCTCGCCACCATCATCAATGGCGGGCGCTTCTGGCCGAGCTGGTTCAGATCTCAACGGCGAGGCTTGAACTGGTGGCTCCTCATGCGCCTCGGGACCCAGCAAATTGACGGGCGATGACGCAGGCACTGGTTCTGCTTCAAATCCTTGATCAACCGCTGCCTCCGGCGAAGTAACTCTCGTATGTTTTGTCTCTGTGGCGTTGACAGCCTCAGCGGGATCCTCGAAAATCTCGTCGTTCGGGTCCAGGTCATCTATGGCGTCAGATTCTCCGGGGGCCGTCAAAGACTGTCTTTGCGGTTCCAGTGTCCGTTGTGGACTCTGCGATGGTACTGGCTCGGCATTCACAACCAACTCGTCACTTTTGAAGGTGACCTCTTGACTCTGGCTCCCATAATAGCCAGAGTCAAGGACTGCAACTGGTTCTCGATTTGCGGGCTTCGTGGGCACGGGTTTGCGAGCCACAGAAGGGCGTGTGGGTGGACTAGCCGGATCGTCCTCGGCGATTCGGAACTTAGGGGTTCTGTCAATATGCAACGCGGATGTTGTGAAAGGGTTCGGTTCGCCTTTAGGCGTCGAAGAGAATATGTTTGACAAGGGCTTTCAAGCCTGTCAGTCTCGAGGGTAAGGAGAATGGGGCGCGTCATGAGTCTTACCACTCTATTTTCGTTTTGGATAGGCTTATGTACGGTCCTCGGGGTCTTCCCACGGAGCTTTCCTGGCGTTTTGAAGACGTCGGCGACATTTCTGTGTCAGTGTCAGTGGATGAATGCGACACTTGACGCGTCTGACACGTACATCTGGTTCTCGGAGAAGACGTCTGCCATGTGCTCGTTGAGCCATTCCAGCTCGTTCCTCGCAGAGTAACCGAACTCTTCCACCTCGGACTGCGCGATCTGGAGCGCCGAGGACCTCTCCTCTGTGAACCACGCCGTAGACCCCACGGCCTGACGCGGCGGGCCCGGACGCATTGCCATGATGCGGCGCCGGCTCGAGACGTGTTACGTGTGTTGCGATGCAAAATTGGTATAAGGTGGCGAGGCTGTCAGGGTAGGGCAAGCATATTTGAGCCAGGTGTGGAATGAGAAAGCCAGGGTTTAAAGCGAGGTCCGCGTCGTGGTGACGATGTGTGTGAGGGATGGACGTACGCGCGACTGTGCACCGATGGATCGTGTGAAGGGGGTTCGGAGTGTGCCAGAGCTTGTTTGTCCATTGTTTACTTAGGTGGATCCCCTTGTGTGGAGTCGGACCAATCACAGCCAACCGGCTCGCAGACCCCACAGCCATGCCGCACCAAGCTCACAAGCTCACAAGCTCACAAGCCCTCCCCGACTCGACTCGACTGACTGACAGACAGAGCGAGTACCGGGCACGCAATACTCCTTCTCTGCTCTCCGCTTTCCCAAGAGGCGACGGGCTGTTCATCCAGCTGACCGACGATCCAGATTCAGATGCGTCATGACCATATGTTTTGACGGGACAATGCCATTCGCCAAGTGAATGCTACCCAGGTCCGTGGAAGAGCTGCCAGCCTTTCCGTGCTGTTCGAGCTCCGTCAGGCTTTGAACAGGCATCACTTGCAGTGATCTGTTTTTACTCCCTCAGGCTGGGCACCAGCTGTCAGTCGGCTCGGGCATGTTGTTCCAATGGCCCTGCCTAGGTGATACCTGATGTTCTGCATTGGTGATACGGCAGGGCCATGCACACATCTCAACCACAGAGGGACAGAGGGTTGGCCAACGGCAATAGCCGCCGCTGGTTCCAGTCACTTGCAGTTCCGACTAGCAGGCACAGGCTGACAGGCTGCCGGATGCATATACGTATATCGAGGGACGGGACTCGTGACCTCTCCCCGAGCTGCACAGGAATGAGGCGCTCTGCTGTACGAGGGTGCTCTGCATGGCCGTTCGCAGTTGAAACTGGCACCCTTGTATCGACGTTGATGATTCAGCCGACACATCCTCTACTGTCAATAGGCAAGCTTCTACGAGCCCAGATACGCAACAGCCAGAATGGAATTGTCCGGACTTGGTGCCAAGACACCCAATACGGGTCGAAATCAGCTGCCCCGAACGCCCATGCGATTTTGACAAAAACTCTAGTCTGCAGGACAGTGCAGCAACGGCGGCGTTACATCTGCCAACACTCCACTAGGAAATGTGCGCTTCTTTGGCTTGAGGATACAACATAGGGGCCGGCCGTCTGCACAAGTTGGCCGAGACCAGCAGATATCTCTGCAGCTGCATCAGCGCATTACTGGTTCGACTTGCGAGCTGTGTGTAGCTTGGAGGTGATCTCTCATTCGACTGGTGCTGGCAAAAAAACACGAATTATCTGGTGCCGGAGAAATCCGCAGCGTTGGGCCACTTATAAACCACTAAACACGGATTGACCGTCTGCGCGCAATGTGGCTTTGGGCAAATTACGAACGAAGCCTTACACGCACCATTAATAACCCGCTCAAAGTACGACAGCTCCCGACGAATAGCATCCCTTCGGCCTTCGGTCAGTTGAGATGGTTTTGCCTTGCCGCAACCCAGAATGTTAACGTGTTCCTTTCTGGTATTTCAGCTCTTCTCGACCCGGCGAAGATGGTGGGCAGCCTGCACACCGGTTGTCGTTACTGCCCCTCCTTGTCAGGAATGCTTAAAATAATGTGCACAAGCAACCGCACTTGAATCAAAACGACTGGCCAAGACCTGCAGAGCCCCAGCGGAGATCCACGAGTGTTGGCCGGCTTGGACTTTTGCCCTCACTCGTGCGGCATGACACATGGATTGTAGCTGCACCAAGGACTTTACAGTTCACAGTCGTCTCCATCAGAACAGAATTGGGGGCTGACTGATGGTTGCTGTTGCGCAAGGCTAGTTCGCAAAGGGCAGGTGAGCAAACCTGCAGACCGCCATCTTTGTGATATACATGCGACTACTGCAGAACCAAGGTGCGGCGTGGATCATCCAGTGGAAAGCCCGCCGCTCGGAAGAGAGCGTTGTATCTCGGGGGCAGGGCCCGAGACCGGCAAGCCGAGAGCACTTGGGGCCGCAAAGAGCGCCTTTGCGCCTGCAAGCACGGCAACATCGTCGTTGACACCGGCTGGCTGCAGCAAGCTGCCGATCTTCGTCCCAGGTGTGACCCAGACCTCGTCCACACGACAAGTCAACAATAATAAATCCGACTTCGCACCTCTTGAGTTACGAGTGCTCCTGTATGTCCGCACGGCGTTGACCATCCGTGCCGAATCCCGTCGGCCCCGTCTGCAAACCTCGTGCCGAGTCGACCTGGCCGAAGGACCACTGCCGGGTGCTAAGACCGGCGTGTACTGTACCTAGCAAACTAGCGCACTGAGTCAGGGGCACAGGACAAATCGGAGGTTGTACAACGACCTTGTAGCCCGAGTCGTGGTTCGCTCCACATAACCACACCACATGCGGCCACTTGAGACTGGTAGCTTGCCCGAATATTGCCCATTGTTGTCCCTCCGGCCTGCGGCACGGCAGAAAGACCAAGCATGTGTACCTACCGTACCTATCTAAGTACCTACCTACTGAAGTCGGTAGGTAGCCGGCCACCTGGCAGGTACCTGGCCAAATGGCAGCCCGGTGGGCTGCCGAGTCACTGCCCACACGTGTCCGCATTGCGGAGGATGGGTCGCATCCAAAGAACCCTGGGATTCTTGGATACCACATGCCCAGCAACAACGTAGAGAACGAGTGGTCTCTTGTTGGCATACCTGTGTGCCTGCCGGCCGGGCTGTGAGTAGACACACACATACACACATGTGTATATATATGTGTGTATATTCATCCGCCTAGGCCCACGGCTAGGTGAGTAGTGCCGTGCTTGTCAAGTCGCCAGAATCGGCTGATCATTTACCCCTACCAAGGTCTCCTGTCTGTTCTATTTCACAGTGCCCTCTGTCTTGTTTCTACTCTGGCATAATGACTCAACTCCAGCTTGACAACTCCAACGGGGCCATTCAGCCTGGCAAAGTCATCAAGGCAAATGGCGCCCCAAAATCCGCCGTGTTACACCGGCATCTCCACCATGAATTTCTCACTATTGCGCGGGGCGACGGCCATTATCTCGTTCTAGAAGACGGGCGGAGGATCTTTGACGCCTCAGGCGGCGCAGCTGTAGCGTGTGTCGGTGTATGTCGAGCTCATCTCGTTGATGTCCCAAGTGTCACGCTTTTCCATTGTGCAGGGCTCGCCCCTTTTGGCCTCTTCCTTGACCCCTGTACTCGCTAACCTGCTCTAGCATGGAAATGTTGCTGTTAATCAGGCCATGGTTGATCAGATCCAAAAGCTGAGTTACTGTGCCTCGACGTTCTTCGTAACACCCATTGTTGAGCAGGCTGGACGGGCTATGATCGACACAACCGACGGGCAAATGACGAGGGCGTACATTGTCGGCTCGGGCTAGTGCCATACATACGCATCAATGTGACAGAGCTGAGCTGACTCCCAGCAGGTTCAGAAGCCATGGAAGCAGCAATGGTAAGCTTCAATCTGGTACACTCTCGCAAGAGTCTACGGCTTTAAGGATAAACTTCGCGAGACGTGTTCTCGCTTGCTGGAAGGAGGCGGATGACTGACTGCCCCCGTCGCCGAATAGAAACTGGCCCGGCAATATTTCCTGGAGAAGGAGACTCCTGAGCCAGCTAGAGCCCGATTCATCTCTAGGCATCAGTCGTATCACGGGACAACGCTCGGGTCTCTTGCAATGGGCGGCCATGTTGCTCGTCGGGCTAAATTTGAGCCCATGCTCACAGACATAATCTCCAGGGTGTCGCCATGCTACGCGTATCGCGGGAAGGAGGAAGGCGAGACAGATGAGTCGTATGTGAACAGGCTTGCCCTGGAGCTTGACCAAGAATTCCAAAGAGTCGGTCCCGAGACAGTCTGTGCTTTCGTTGCGGAGCCAGTTGTCGGTGCTGTAAGTGGTTGACCGAGCTCGTGGAGAAGGCCAATGGCTGACTCTTTCAACACAGGCATTGGGATGTGTCCCATCTGTTCCGGGCTACTTCAAGGCCATCAAGGAAGTGTGCCGCAAGTACGGCGCTCTGCTCATCTTGGATGAGGTCATGTCAGGTATGGGCCGGACTGGCTCGCATCATGCTTGGCAGCAAGAGGGCATTGTGCCGGATATCCAGACAGTCGGCAAAGGCCTTGGTGGTGGTTACCAACCTGTGGCCGGAGTTCTCATCCACAAGAATATCGCCGACACACTTGAGAATGGCAGCGCGTGAGTACTTCTCCTGTGTGGGAATTGGGCACTTGTTAACCCCCAGTTCGCAGAGCATTTGTCCATGGCCACACGTACCAGGCTCACGTCGTGGGCTGTGCAGCAATAGTTGCGGTACAGCGGATCATCCGAGAAGGCAATCTAGTTGCCAACGTCCGTGCTATGGGTGACCTTCTCGGGAAATCACTGCAGGCACGCCTGGGTTCCCACAAACACGTGGGCAACATCAGAGGGCGAGGGCTATTCTGGGCGGTCGAGTTTGTTCAGGACAGAGCAACCAAGGTACCATTCCCAGCCAAGGACGGGGTGGCTATGGGGATTAGTGAGCTCGGATTGACAGAGCCATACTGCATGATGGTGTACCCTGGTGCAGGAACCGTGGATGGAGTCAACGGTGACCACATGTGAGTACATCCACCTTCCAGGCGGAGCCTTGATCCGGGATTTGAGACCAATCGCTAACTTGTCGCAGTATAATCGCTCCGCCGTACACTGTGACACCTGAGGACGTTGAATTCATTGTGCTTGGTGTCTCGAGACTTGTAGAGGACTATTTCCTTCGACGGAACGTCACCATCTGAGATTCTAGCGGGCTTGGGCCCATGGGAAAACACGAGGCACAATGTATCACGAGATGAAATAGAAAAGGATTCCACTCCTACAAGACCAAGTCATAAGCGTGACACTGTAAAATATCTGTGTCGGTTTGCCACATTTTGGTCCGATTCTGCGCACGTATTTAATGATGCAATCAGACGATGACCGGGCCAGTTGTTGTCTCAAAACAAAACAAAGCCAGGACTCGAGATTCATTTTCATCCCAAGGCAATTCCAGTGCACTGGAATTGGCATGTGAGAGAATGGCGATTTACTCCTGCAGCAACACTGGGGCGATGCCCCTGAATCAGCCAAGCTGCTGAGACCAACGTCTGTGCGCTCCGCCCCATCCACCTGACGTGCGTCACAGGCCCGCCCCATCATGCACGCCCGTGTTGGGTGCACTCTCCATCTCAACCCACCCCGTGGACCTCCTCCCCATGTCATCGTGAAATTGCCGAGTTGAGGGTTTGGCCATCCCTTTCCCACGTGTCCCATCGCCGCATTTCGGGAGATCCTCGCTCCCACTACTCACTCCCATCCGCACTCGTGCTGTCAAAGGCGCTGGAACCGCAAACAGCAGTGTCATGGTTTCCGCCCCCTCCAGTCGGCATGCTGCCGAGGAGGAGGCGCGCGCCGAGGTCGACGTCCTCAAGTCGCATCTTGACAAGCGGGCCCAGTTGACCAAGAAGATCGAGGCCCAGCTCTCTCGCGTGCAGGGCACGGGCAAGCGCCTCAACGAAGCCGTCGGCCCCCTCAACGGGGAGACGAAGCAGCTGCAGGTCTTCTGCAACAGTACGTGATGCGTTGCCAGAGGCCCGCAACACCCCTCCATCGGCGCATCGCACTCTGACAACCACCCCACTCACAGACATCGACGGCGTTCTCGCAGCTATCGGCCGACTGCGACAGCAGTCCGATAGCAAGAATGACGAGGAGCAGATCATCCGCATGGGCCCCGAGAAGGCCGGCCTTTCCAGCTACCTGAGCTCGCTCAAGCGTCTGAACAAGGCCCTCGCTGACATGAAAGCCTCGAACCTACGCTCCACACAACAGACGACCTCAGACCTACAGCGATTGATAAAATCAGGGAATACGCAACTCGAGGCTTATTTCGACAAGGTCCTCCGAAGTGAGACACCCCGGTCCATCGAGCCGCTTCACTACATCACGAAGCAGCAGCCCTTCCCTGTGCTGTCCCAGGATAAGAACAACAGGCTGGGCCTCGTCAACTCGTATATCGCCGGCGCTCACCGCGAGAGCGGCGTCATGCAGGAATCTCCGGCAGCCAAGATCTACACCGAGATTCGCGGCCAGTACCTGACGGCGACGCTGTTGAACCTGGCGTCGGCAAGTGTAAACACCGCCAAGAGGAAAGACACCTCGTCAAATTACCGCGCCGGAACAAGTGGCATCGGGACATATGCTCAAGCAATGGAAGGCCTATTCTTGGCCGAGTATGAGATAATATGTCGCATCTTTACAAGGGAGGACTGGGGCCCTGTGTTCCAATCCACCTGCCAGGCACCCCTTGCCGAACTCGCCCGGACATTGCGAGAGCTGAATATCCACATCAGGAGTCATCTTAACACTGACTGCTTCTTGGCGTACGAGATTGTCGAAGTCATGTCAAACCTTTCGAACAACCTCGACTCCACAACAGGCGAGCTAAAGGCATCGCTCGCAGCAGCGCTTAAGCCCGTCAAGGAGACGGCCAAGTCGTCACTGGCCGAACTGCTAGACACATTGCAGATGAAGATCAACAGCCTGCAGATGCTGCCCACGGATGGCGCTCCCGTGCCGGTTGTCTCGGACACTTTGCAGAGGCTACAGACGATGGCGAATTTTCTGCGGCCAATGTCGATGATTATGGTATCTTTAGGCGACGGGGGCTGGAAGTCGGCAGCGGCAGCAAGGAATGCTAGCGACAGCGTGCCAAACCTTGCGTCTTTTGACGTTAGTGCTGATGGGAAGGAGATATTCGCCAATTATTGCGCGGACACCATTGAGACCCTCTTCTCGTCATTGGATGCCCGTGCCAGAGCTCTTTTCGGGCGGAAACCAGTCGTGGGGGTCTTCATGGCCAACAACGTTGTGATTGTCGAGCGCATGATCCGGGACTCAGATCTTGGTCCTATGCTGCAGCAAAGGATACCGAGCGTTATTGACACCTGGCGGAAGAAGGCTAACGCAACGTACATGGACGTCTGCAAGGATGTATCGGTTCATCTCCTGGATGTGATACATACCTCTCGGGCGAACCGACCAACGTCTGGACAGGGTATTGTGGACTCGGCGTCGATCATGAAGGGGCTCTCGTCCAAGGACCGGGAGAAGATCAAGGACAAGTTCCAGGCCTTCAACGCCAGCTTTGACGACATGGTGACGAAGCACAAGCAGTACAGCATGGAGCCCGAGGTCCGCCGAATGTTCGCAAAAGCAGTCCAGCAGACGGTCGAGCCGCTGTACAACCGATTTTGGGACCGATACCACGAGGTCGACAAGGGCAAGGGCAAATACGTCAAATTTGACAAGTCGAGCATCGCGGCAGTTTTCCACACACTCTATTAGCCAGACCATCACTCGGAGTACCACGTTTAATCCAATAATACCCCATCTTTTCTCCAGCACTCGTGTCATGCACCATGTACCTGTCTGGTCTTGCAGAAGCAAAGCTGCGCGGGGCGAAGTGACTGTCAACGCACGTGCGAAGAAGCAAGCTACTCTGGGAGGTTATCCTCCCGCCTGACCGCGGAGGGTTGCACACGGCAACAGTACCCAGGACGGGACAAATTCGCTCAACAGACGGCCGAAGTTCCATGACGGCCGTGTCACAGGATCAAGACTGTCGGTAGCCTGCCCGTGGCCTCGTCGACTGCAGCCTGCCTAGCGCTGACGACTTCCCTTCCTATCCACGTTCTGGCTTGCCCAGGCCCGACTCTGTCATTTATGATATCTGCTACCCTGCCCGGCGGCCTGGGATTATCAATTGCGTGGCGGGCCGGCCTCTCCCTTGGCCTAGTCCTTTTCCTCTTGTCCCATCCCCTGCCAAATGCCCCGGCCGTCTTTCGGTGGTGGATCCGGCATGCTTGGTAAAGTCGGGCCCCCATCTTTCCCAGGCAACAGTTCCCGCAGCTATCGGGGTCTCAGCAGGCAAGGAGAAGGGGGTGAGGAGAATCCAGAGCCCCTTTGGAAATGCCGTCCGCGCCCTTGGGGGAGGGGAGCCCATTCGACCGAGCCCGATGCACGTGCGCGGCCGAGCTGCCGGTGTGTCTTCAACGGGAAAGGCCCGGGCTGTGGTGCGCTGGCCGCATGGTCGTGCCCAGCCTTGCATTCACAGGGTGGGGGTCAAGCACGTTCTGTTGAGCAAGGTCGAGCGAGCATGGCGAAAGGGCGGGTGAGAAAGGGCCTTTGCCGTGTGCAGAAGAGACGGTACGGGCTACGCAGCTTGCGGTGGTGGTCATGGCGATGTGCATCTGAGTTGGAAACCCTAGCTTGGTCTGCCAATAAGTATCAGAAACCACGCCTCGAGGTGTGGATGCATCCATTTTCCTCTTGGCTTAGTATCTGAGAGGCTTAGACCCTCTCTCGCTGGGGCCAGTCAGGCCCCTTGCCGTTGCCGAGGGGGCTCAAGCTCAACTGGGAGAGCTGGCGGCGGTTGCACAGCATTAGGTGGGAAGTCAGCACTTGCGTGAGGAAAGACGTATCAGATTCGGCAGCTGTGTCATCATGCTTGGGGGTCATGGCCTGACATGACATCGACCATCAGCCAGCTCCCAAATTATCACTTTTTTTGCTTCTCCTCATTTGCCCCTTGTGCACGTCTCCCGCTCGTGAATTTGTTCCCCAGCAGAAGTCTCATTTTTGACGGCATGATAATTGCTGCTGATCCTTTCCTCGTCAAGAAACCCCGAGGAGGGGTTGAGAGTAGCACGTAACACGCATGCAAAGCTTCACGGGAATTGAGTTGACCCACAGCCATGACGATGGTAGCAACAGCTTGGTTGCTTGACTTTTAATGTTGCATACATACACACATACATAGATGTATGCGTCTTAACCTCCAAAGACGCCGATATATCCCAAGAAAAGTAACGCCCCCCTCCTCAGAACACCTAGACCACCTCGACGTGGCCAATCAAGAGACAGTCTCTTTCCGAGGAAAAATCAATGAAAATAACAAACTCCCGCGCAAAGCGATAGTGATATGGGTATAATATAAGGATGCCTCGCTGGCTAGCAGCGGGATAGCGCGAGAAATGAAAGAACCGGTCCAACGAGTAACTCCTGCCGAGACAGAGAAGTGTGTGTGTGTGTGTGCAAGGGGCTCTGTTTGTGGGTGAGAGTCTGTCCGGCGGCCATTGCTGCAGCATGCATGCATACATAGCTAGGTACATGCACACACACACACACACACACACAGCGGTAGACCTTGATGCGAAGCAAAGACCACAGATACTATCCTCGGGCCTGCATTGGCGTCCGCCCGTAACACGTACAAGTCGGGCGATGCTCAGGGCTGGCTGGGTGCGAAGGTTCCCAACACCCGTGCGCCCCCTCCGCCCGACTTCCCAAAGCAGCAGCCCATCAGCCAGCCCATCTGCAGCCTTGCGCGCCAGGGCAGGCAGATAGTGGCCGCCGCACCGCCAGCCTCCCTCAGCAAAAATCTCGGGAAGCACGGGGACCGGGGTAAAGGGGCGGCGGTGAGGCGCATGTCGAAGCGAGATTTGCAAAAGGCGAGGGAGGCGAAGGGCGTCCGGTAGGTTGATTACGAGGCTTGGAGCTCAACAACCGGAGAGGGTAGCAGAGTAGAAGAGGAGAGAGGTCGTGCTGTGGTGGAGTCAAGCAAGGACCGGCAATGGCGCATAGGGGGCCCCGGACGGGTGCGAGAGGGGTGGGCGCGCCCGGGAGGTGGAGGAGGACTGGAATATGTCGTCTGTTCGTCGAGGGTTGCATTGTTGCACTGTTGCACTGTTGCATGGTTGCACCGAGCGCAGCGCAAATGGGCTGCTCGACCAAGGAGGCGGAAGGAGATCTTCTGGGGCGGGCTGGGCGGGTTGGATCCAGCTCAGGGGGATGTGGTGGCCCAGCTGCAGGACTAAGGCACGCGCAGGCTATGCCCTGGCCCTTGGGAGATGCGGCTCGCCCAGAACGGCGGGTTGAGGACCAGGGGTTGCGCGGGACGGGAGTGCAGGCGAGGATGGAGAAAACCCCAAAATTGACCAGGGAAAAGAAAAATTGACGCAGGTGCACGATGCCTTAATGGGGACACCGAGGGCAATAGTAGGAGCTGCCAGAGCAGTAGTCGTGGGTACCTTATCCGGGAGAAGTTAGCAGACGGGAGTGGTTTTGGACCGAATTGCACATACCGAAGTCGGCTGCCTTACAGCAGGTCGAACAGCAGTGGTTGACGAGCTCGGTGTGTTCCTGGACCGACATTTTGGCTGTTTGTGTGTGTGTGTGCACGTGTAGCAGCGGGTGGTGAGAAGGTGACTGATATACTCGGTGCTTGGTATGTCTTTTGGGATACAGATGTGTGTAGAAACTTGACTGGTGGTGGGTCACCTTTTTGAGCCGAGGGTGTGGTCGTGTAGTCGCGTAGTCGCGTAGCAGGGCAGAAGATGTGATGACTGACGATGAAGGTGAAGGGGAGAATAGGACTGCGAGGGCTTAGATCCGAGGTGAGGATGAGGGCCAGCCGGGACTTATACAGGATTTCTTTTATATTGTGTCTTCCTTCCCCGGGCTTCCATGTGTGGGATGTGAAATAAGGCGATGCAACGATCACCGAGTAGAAGAGACCTAGGCCGCAGGCGGCCGATCGGTGGTAGTCCGTGCAACGTGCAAGAGGTGGAGGGGGTACAGAGGTACAGCCCTGATCAACGGGAAGGGACAGGCGTGGGCTGACTTGAAATACCACAGTACACGTACATTTATATTAGGTCCTGCCCGAGTGCTCTTGATAAATTAGTCGAAAGGGGGAAAATCTTTCGAAGCAGCAAGGGGACAACGTCCGCCAAACGCCCACGCGGACGGGGCCGGGGCTAGGGCCCTGTCATGTCACTCACTCCTTCCTAGCTCACTCACACTCGTCCGTCCCCAAGTCCCATCCTCCCATTGATGCCGGAGTACCTACCTCGAGGTACCTGCGGGCGAGGTTGGGGGCGACGTGCCGAGTCACCACGGGGAAATTGCACCGTATGCCAATGGGACAACAAGCGTCACCCATGTATAGTATATACAAGCCGACGGTCTGTTTGTAAGTGAATCAATCCACTAGGACACACTGTGGTATGCATGCATACTTTGCCTCGTGTGGCTTCGGCTGCCAGACAAGAAGAAGACGAACGAGGAGAAAACACTGGTGGCACCTGCCGTGCGACGTCAAGCTGAGAAGGAAGGCAACCACCGCAAGGCTCATCGAGCCAGCTGCCAGCCTCTCTGCACGCAGCAGCACGCAGCACGCAGCACGGCAGCGGTGAGACTGGCGCATTCGGGATCGGTGATGGTCCTTTTGGGGCGAGCTACACCATACACGGCGATACATGGATGGGTGCCTGGACAGCCTCGTTCGACTGCTCCTCCGAGACCTGGCAGAGGCTGGCAGGCTGGCAGCACAACGCCGCTGCTCTCGGGCACGTACTCCGTACCGCGTATCCGTGTCGTGTGCTCCTTCTAGACAAATGCGATCGCGTTTCATCCATCGTCCGACTGCACCAGACGCTTGGCTAGATCGGTAATCACTGAGGACGATGCACCAAGTCCCGGCTGCCAGCCAACCTTGGTCTGCTTGTCGTTTCCTAGTCGTCGTCGCCGGCCACCCCCCCTCCCCCTACCACCACCACCACAAATAAACTAACTTCTCCGTTTCCGTTTCCTCCACCACCTCCTCCACGACGAGCAGGGGGCAGTCGACGTCTCCCGAGTCTCAGATCAGCTGACGTACATATACAGGCCGACGATCTTGATACAACGGTACGCGGGCATGGCGTTGCCCTGTCCCGCCGTGTCTTGCCCTGGCTGCCCATGTCTCGCAACTCGTTCGATTTGTGGCATTGAAACGGCACCAATCAGTATCAGATTGGCAAAGCGTGGGCAGACTCCACCAGAAGCAACTTCTCGAAAAGAATGTCCTCTGTCTCTCGTTTCCTGGTGCGCAGTGGATCTCCCTGTTTTCTCCGGGATCTGGGGTCCTCGACCCTCTCCGTTCTAGAACACTCCGTGCTCGTCAAGCCGAACCGGCGGCCGACTCCTCTCTGTCGACTATGCGCCTACCCATCAGTCAATCAAGAATCGCCAATCGATCGCATCGCCGCACCTGAGCGACGTTTTCAGTTCATCCGAGCATGCCGGGCCTCTTACTCCACGCCTCGGCTGCGTCACCTGTTTCTCCAACGTGCCAACGTGTTGCTGCAGCTCTTCGTCCCGCGCTACCAGAGTAGATGACAACATGCTCGATCCCGTCGAATCGGGCGTGCAGGCCGTCCGGGGCGTGTGACCAGCACGTGGGATTCCCTCGCTCTTCGCGGTTGATGATACCACCCTCCCCTGTCAGAGATCTTGCAGCCGCCTTTACTGTCTTGACTGTGTCCTGCGTAGACCCCCATCCTTGGCGCCTGATCCTCGACGAACCTAGGGCATTGCGAATCTGGCTCCGGGGCAAGGGGCAGTAGTTCAAGCTCAATCGATCCAACTCGAATGGAGGGGCCTGCTAATCCTTCCAGGCCCTGAGCCACGTTATGCGCACCTCGATCCTGCCTCGTGGCTTCTTGTCAAGCTGTCAAGGCACGTCTTGGCAGAGCCTCTTCCCCAAGCCCGCTACTGAAACAGAGACGCAGTTCAGGATGTCTTGTCTACCGCGGACGGCCTGCTCTTCCACCCGGCCCGGTGAAACTGTCGAAATTGCCCTTGAAAGCGGCATTGCAAGCGGCCTGGATTCTCCGCGAACGCGTCTCAAGAACTCTTGGGCCGCCGAACAAGGTAGCTCCCTGACCACGGGGAGTCGGCAGCCAACCGGAGGCGGGTCAGAACATGTCGAGCTGTCGTTCCAGCCTGGTATCCGTATTTTGGAAACAACGACAGACCATATCTCGTTGGGGCTTGATTATGGTAGACCCGAACTGATTCTAGGCACGAGCCGGCCAAGCCGGCATTGTTGGTATGCAAATCAGTAGCTAACACCTCAGGATTGCCGTCCGAGTGGCGTGACTTCTTCAATTCCGTCCGCCTCTAACGAGGCTTGGGATAGACGGCTTGAATCCTCCTGCAATTTTCTGTACCTTTATCAAAACGCCCCCGTGAAGCCGAAAAATTCGCAACCTTCTCTCTAGATGACAAGTTCAGAAATACCGAAGGGCCCCTGGTGGACACCCTCGTCATGTACAATGTGAACTTTTCACTTCTGCCGTATGATTCACAATACCGGATAGCAATGTTGATAGGCACGATGTTCTCACTGTGCAATCAAGACGTGTGACTCAGAGAGAAAATGTTGCTCGTTCGAAGAGCAGGAAATCCCAGAGAAAGGTTCATCCGGCATTGAATGGCTTCGTGACTGCTAATTTCCCCGAGTGAGTGCGTGCCACCTTGGATCGTCACCCACTTGGTCCCTGCTTATTTGGCATCCATATATGTCCCTGCAAGCAAACCGGGAATCTCCAGTGTCGGTTGTGTTGTCTGATCATCGCAACCCAATCGGGTTCCCGTCCACCCATCTGACGGGGCTCCGTCAGCCTTCTCGGGCTATCCTGGTACGACGTGATCCGGGATCACACTGAACGCCCACCAGGGCAAGAGTTCGCTACTCCATTTATATGGTACACTAGCTGGAGCCTTAGTGCGCTTTTTGCCTCCCTACGGATTCGGAACTATGCCGGTTTCTCTCCCAAAGCTCCGCGGGCGGAAAGTGGGTTTCTGGGAATTGTTATGATCGACCGACGCGGGTGTTGCAGACAAGAAGCCGTCTGGCGCGCCCGTAGTTTTCGTGACCGTGGAGCGATTTCTACAGCAACAGTCCTGGACGATGATTTCTAACCAGAGTGGAATAAACATCGCAGCTGAAAGGACTTGGCCTCTGATGGGAGTGCTGGTCAACTTTTAAGTATGCTCGGAACTTATGAGCATTGCGAGCAAGGCTACCACAGCCAGTCAAAGCCGTTGCCTGCATGACTGGTGCTATCACCGAAGGCCTTCACATCAATGGCTATTACAAAGTGGACAATCAAGTCGCCAAGACACTGGCCAGCCTATCCAGTTGCCAATCGGGAATTGAATCACGACATTGAGTATGGTGTCAAGCAACGTTGCTATTCTGAGGCTAGCAGGAAGTTACCACATGCGTCTCATTGTATCGCTCAGACTTGGTCTCCGTTGTGGCAATCGTTGCCACAGCGTTCGCACATGGCAAGGGGTATGCAGCCTACGGAGTTGACTACAGTTTCGTAAAAAAGCGCTATTGTTGATAGACTGTCATTGTTCCAAAGAGACTTCTCAACGTCGCAGGGCCGTGCAGCTCTGCAGGTCTTGGTACAGCCAATGGTGATTCTATCTCTTCGTAATTCCTATTGGCTCCAGACGTCTGCAAAGCGAAGCTGCAGACACAATTCGGCATTGATCGGATTATCTTCCAAGGTCTCGTTCTCGGGTTTGGCAGCACTCAAATCAGCGCATCTTTTTTTATGGCATTCGGGCCCCAGCTTAGAGCCCGTTCTGTATGACCGAGATCTCCGAGCCCAAGTATCTCCGAATCGGGCGGCCCAGACCGGCCGCTACTCAAGAAACCTGATATTACGGGCCGAGGAAATTCGTACCTGCGGAAATAAATTAAGCACCGGGCACCTGCTGCAGTGAATATATTATCTTTTTACCCAGGTCGTTGGGTCTGTATGCCAAGTAGGCAAAGTAGTAAATCTACCGACCAGCATACTCACAACATTTGAACTTAATTAAACACTTGTTGCAATACTACGTATTTGGGTCGTGAAAGACATATCAAATATGGCAGTTACAGAAACAGGAAACCCGGCCGACACGTTCAGGCTGGTGACTGTTAACACATCAGCCGAACGAGCAAAGAAAATTTGTGGCAGGTTGTGCGAGGAACTGCGACCCAGGTATAACATTGAGCATGTTGCCAATACAACAAGTAAGCCAATGAATATCAGAAGGCGGGCACCGGACCTTCTCAAGAACTAACCGTCCGCGACCAGGCATAGAGGGCGTGAGAGCCTTGATAGAGGAGCATAAACCAAATCTCATGGTATGTAGTCTTCGGCGATTCAAACTCAAACCACAAGGCTGAACAGTGCCCCTTTCTTTTTTCAGTTTACGGCGTCAATGTGGACTCCTGAGGAGGCGACACAGGCCATTTCCGTTGCAAGAGAAATAGTGCCAGATATTAAAGTCATGTCTTTGCCCAAGGGGCTGCAAGTCGAAAAGGGACCTGAGGGAGTGATTGAATATGGAAAAGCCTACTTGCCTGCAATTCTTGATTCGTGATGGAAGTGTTGTTTGTTCCCAAAGGGGGAATCCGGGAGAGACGAACGGTAACTTTGGGAACGAGGATAGAGTTCTGATCTGGGAAGGAGCTCGAGTGTCTTTTGTTTTATTTCGAGAACAGAGAAGCTCAAGGGCCAGTGGACTTTCCGACTTGAGCAGCTAATAAATACAGGTTTAGACATGAGGAGCCCAGTGGTTATGAAAGTGTATCGATGTTTGCTTAAATGTCTAGAAAGCCGTGCCTGGTGTGTTCCAGCAGGCTAGTGTCTTATTCCATTTTATATTTTCGCCCTTTCTCTGCACTTTATTGGTATCCTCTTTTTTGAACACAGGGTCTCGAGCGTTTCCCACAGTATGACAAGGCGCCGTGTATGGCTTCGGACATACTATACAGAACGGAAACAAAACCAGACATACATCTTACATGTATGGGGAGTACAAGTGAAACCAATTCAAGTACGGTGAATTTGGTTCGTAGATAGGGAGCTATAACCTACACGCGAGAACGGACAGCCCATTTATATCCGTTCGGCAATCCTGAATGTTTTGAAGGTGAATCATGAGAGAACCTGAATCGACTGTTCTAATCACTCATTCTACATTAGAGACATGATGGCGAGATGCAACACAGCTTGATTCTCTTGCCAACTGCAGCCCTGCACATGTCAGACCCAGCGGTTTTCAAACTATTTCTCGTCCTCCAAGACGTTGTACAAGCTGCCGATATGGGGCAGAATCTCGACAACGAACTCATCGCCCCCGTGCAGGGTAAGCTTGGGGTTGCGGCCCCAGCCAATGCCGGCGGGCGTGCCGGTGATACTGCAGAAGTTTTCAAGTCAGATTGGTGAAAAAGTTCAATCAATTGCAAGTTACCAGGCAGCGCGGATGCGTAGGTCGGATGCTGCACGACTTACATAAGAGTACCTGGAAGAAGTGTGGTGCCCTGCGAGCACCAGGCAACCAGTTCTGCGACGTTAAAGATGAGGTCACTGGACACGGGCGAAAGTCAGCAAGAGCTGTCAAATCGTGATGGTTCGTCATTTGGTTGGCTCACTCAAGTCCGCTCTCCTGCACGACCTTGCCGTTCAACAGACCCCTGAGTTGCAGCTTTGACGAGTCTGGGATGGCCTTGGTCGAGACCAGGGTCGGGCCTATGGGGCAAGCGCCGTCGAAACCCTTGGAGAAGCTCCACTGGCTCTGGTTGAGCTGTTGGACGCGGCTCGAGATGTCGTTGCAGGCGGTGTAGCCCAGCACGTAGTCAAGAGCCTGCTCCTTGCTGACATTCTTGGCCGTCTTGCCGATGACGACCGCGAGCTCGCTCTCGTAGTCGGCACAGTCATCCTTGAGCGTGTGCTTTGGGATGACGGTTGGCGCCGGCCATGGGTCTGCCAGGGAGGTTGCTGGCTTCCTAGATATGTATTAGATGGCTCGTTGAAAATGGCAATAGGCGCCAAGTGCACTTACATGAAAACGACCGGGACATCGGGTATCTTCATGCCCACCTCGTTGGCATGTCCCCTGTACTGAGGGTGATGTCAGCGTTGATGGCCGTGGGACCTCATTATGGGGCAGACGTACGTTCAAGCCGATGCATCGGATAGTCCCGACTTCATTAGTGTCAAGCGGCGAGAGGACCCGGTCAATGACCTCGACTTTGTCTGTGGCCGAGCCAGGGTTCAGGACTGACGAGCCGCTGAACACCTTCACCTGGACGTCCTGGCCCTTCCGGACAGCGACCCCAACATCGACAGAGGCGTCGACCGGCTCGCCGATGAGAACGGAGCTGCTGCCGCCCTTGGGGACGAATCGGACAACTAATGGGCGTCAGCAGAAGGCCATGTCGGCGACAGTGGGGCCATGGCGCCCGGAGATGTATTGACTCACGGCGATCGAAGGACATGGTCCTTGTGTATGCAGAGACGTGGATGAGTGAGTAGGATGATGGTTTCCTAAGTGCACATGAATACACAGCCGTGGGTCGGGCGCAGCTGAAGGAAGGGAGCCTTGTACGCAAGGCGGTTCTTATGAATGGCTGCATAGGGGATCGACCTGATAGCGTTATGAGCGGGGGGTGGCCAGAATTATGCCCGAGACGGGAGCTTCACAGGCAGTTGGCCCCAACCCCACACTGCCGAGAAGCCGGAGCTCCGAAAAGACTGGGAGTTGCTCTGGTGGCCCGGCGCGACTTCGCACGCGGAAGCGGGACACGGTAGGCCTCGGGTGAAATGCTTTTGTAATCCCTAATTCCATTTTCAAGAGTATATTGCGCCACTACACTGGAGGCTTTGAAAATTACATTTGAACGAACACATATCATCCGAAGAAGAAGAAGCAAGGGAATCAGGCCGGTGTATTTCCAGGTTCAAGCAAGGCATCGGAGCACCGCAACACGTCGTCCAGTGGCTGCATTGCATATAAGCCATCCGGGTTGCCACATGACAGTGATTCTTCAAGGTGTAGCTCGTCCCGGATTGTCAAGTGCTAAAGGCACTGCACATGTACACACTACGAAAGCTGTGAAGTAACACCAGGATAGTATGTATGGAGGTCTTAAGACTACTTACAATGTGTAAATATATATATTTGAAGTGTTGTATGGATCGTCACCTGATGGAACAGAGGCCAGTCGGTGTAATGCTCTCTGGCCCCAGGTGGCACACCGCAGCGAGGTACGAACATGGCAGTTGTGGTCCCTTACATGTGACCATGGTGACGGTGGCGACCAAATAGTTGTTGGAACCAAGCAAAGGCAGGCCGCAGAATGGGCCACATAATGGGCCACATACATGCATCGCCGCACGGTTGACGCAAGCACGGCAACTCAATCGAGACCCAACAGGCAGGTTCTCGACAAATACTAGTAGATACAGCACTAAATCTGTCAATCGGCCACAGGAACGGTCCGCCTGTCTGCAAGCACACAGGCGCATCAGCCACCAGGTCCAGGGTAGACTACTGCACCCCCGACAAGTCGTTTGTCCTTGTGTGCATTCCCGCTCTTCTCCACCCAATCGACAAGTACTATCTATGTAGTAGCCAGTCTACTTACCATGTATCCACTCGGTACCGAGTGCAGTTCGCACCGAGCACTAGCTTTTTGCTGACCGCCTCGCCCGCTTCGCGCGTGTCGAGGAAAAGAAAAAAAGAAAATTAGAAGAGAATAGATCCTTCTAGAGACGTAGAGACCCTAGATGCAGGCGTGTTTGGGTGTAAATGCCTGACTGCGCCCTGGTTGCGTGGAACCTGCTGGGTGAGGATGCGTGCGGCGCAGGGTTGCAATGGCGGCTAGGGACCCAGCTGAGGGCCAGCGAGACGGGCTGATCCCAGCAAGGAAGGGAGCTCCCGCTCAGAGGCCGCGTCCAAACAACGCCTCCGTCACTGCCTGGGACTCCCAGAGCGTCGAGGCTGCGAGGGTCGTCGGGCGGCTATGACTGGGTGCATCATCGTCAAATCACCATCATTTCTCCCATCGTCAAGAGACCTCAGGAGTCAAAACTCCAGAGCAGCAGCCGAACCACAAGGTCAGTCCTCTCCACCTGCCTCTTGGACAGCCCTGCAACCTTGGAGCCCGTCCCCACACCTCTGCTGCATGCCGCACCCGGCCCAGATACGTACCGCGGCAACTGCCTTCCAAGGTTCCAAGGTTCCAAGGTTCCCAGCAGCTTACGGAGTACTGTGGTACTGCACTGCGCGTGTTTGCATTTGCATCGGGGCCCAGCCAACCCACTCATGTACAGTATAGTACGCACGCAGTAGCACGATACATCCTCCCATCTACCTGGCCACGAGCAGCTACCCAGCGAGAGCTTATCCCACCTCCCCACGCACTGCGCCAAACAACAAACAGCCCCCCATCGTTATGAGATTGTCCAAAGATTCTCTCACCCTTCACATCCTGGGCTAGAAGCTCTCTGAACGACCTCAGAAGGGCGACCTGCCGTACCCCCCTCTGACTACAAGCTTTCGTCTTTGGTCTTTGGTCTCTGGCTTCGACAACCCCGCCCCTCTGAACCGCCCCCCCCAAAAGCCACCACTTGCCAACCGCAAACATGGCCCAGATTCCCATGATATCGGTGCCTCTCAAGGCCACCAACGAGATCGACTGGATACACCCTCTGAAACACTACATACAGCATACCTATGGCGACGACCCCGAGAGATATGCTGAGGAGTGCGCCACCCTGAACCGCCTCAGGCAGGACATGAGGGGTGCCGGGAAGGACAGCACTGCCGGGAGGGATCTGCTCTACCGATACTATGGCCAGCTTGAACTGCTCGACTTGCGCTTCCCCGTCGACGAACAGCACATCAAGATTTCGTTCACGTGGTGCGTTGTCTGGCGAGGTCCGTCCGGCGGCGTCCCGCTGACATGCGGCTAATGTCTTTTCCAGGTTCGACGCCTTTACACACAAGCCTACCTCCCAGTACTCCCTGGCCTTCGAAAAAGCCTCCATCATATTCAACATCTCCGCCGTCCTGTCCTGCCATGCCGCGAACCAGCCCAGGTCTGAGGAGACGGGCTTGAAGACCGCCTACCATTCCTTCCAGGCCTCCGCCGGCATGTTCAGCTACATCAACGAGAACTTTCTCCACGCGCCGTCAGTCGATCTGAGCCGCGATACCGTCAAGACCCTCATCGCAATCACCCTTGCCCAGGCTCAGGAGGTGTTCTTGGAGAAGCAGATAGCCGACCAGAAGAAGGTTGGGCTCTTGGCCAAGCTTGCCAGTCAAGCAGGCACATTGTACAGCCAGTCTATTGAGGGCGTTCAGGAAAATGTCACCAAGGCAATCTTCGAGAAAGTTTGGCTTCTGATGGTCCAGGTAGGAGACAAAGCCCCGAAAATCAGGGCCGCCATTTAACACGGTCTCGCTAACTACCCACTCACGGCAGATCAAAGCCAACCTCCTGAATTCCATGGCCCAGTACTATCAGGCTTTGGCAGATGACGATGCTAACGCCCATGGTGTTGCTGTCGGAAGACTTCAAGCTGCCGAGACCCTGGCAAAGGAGGCCAACAAAGGCGCCTCGAGCTTTCCTGGGTTCGTCCCACCAAGCTCGAATCTACAAGCGGACTGTGGCAGCCTTCTTGCGGAGCACACGAAGAGGCATCTTTCGACTGTCCAGGAGAGACTGAAGGAACTGGCCAAGGACAACGACTACATCTACCACCAAAATGTTCCCCCAGAGGCTAGCCTGGCTCCTGTGGCCAAACTGCCTGCTGCCAAGCCCATACCTGTCTCAGAGCTCTACGCTGGCCAGGATATCCAACGAATAACTGGCCCGGACCTGTTTTCGAAGATCGTGCCGATGGCTGTGACAGAATCCGCGAGTCTTTATGACGAGGAGAAGGCGAAATTGATCAGGGCCGAGACGGAACGTGTTGATTTGGCAAATAGCGAGATGGCTGCGAGCCTGGACTACCTGAGGCTCCCAGGGGCATTGCAGGTGCTCAAAGGCGGCTTTGATCAAGACATACTCCCGGACGAGGACTTTCGCACATGGTGTGACGACGTTGCAGGACATGAGAACCCACTCATGATCTTCGAAACCTTGAGATCCGAGAGAGACTCCACAATTTCCACACTAGATAAATGCTCACAGCAGCTGGACATGGAGGAGGGCGTCTGCGAAAAAATGCGTTCGAAGTACGAGAGTGAGTGGACACAACAACCCAGTGGACGACTGACTACAACACTGAGGAGCGACATCCGGAATTACCGCGAGGCGTTGAGTCAGGCATCAAGGAGTGACGCACAGCTTGCTTCAAAGCTCGGACAGAATCAAGACGTCTTCGACGAGATGCGTTCTGCGGCTCAGCATGGTGAAGTCGACGCATTGTTCCAAAAGGTCGTGAGCAAAGTGCGCGGGAAATCAAGTGGCGTGGGAAGCCCTGCAACGGAGCCGAACCTTCTTGACGCGGATTTCGATGACAGTGGGCCGAGTGTTATGGATCAGATCAAAAAGGTCGAGGAGACCTTGAAGAAGCTGAACTTGATCAAGAGGGAGCGAAACCAGGTCCTCAAGGATCTCAAAGAAAAGGCAAGCATCCAATGATTGCCTGCCTTACGAGCACACGCTAACTTGAGACATAGGTCCACAACGACGACATCTCCCAAATTCTCATTTTGAACAAGAAGTCGATAGCGAATTATGAGACTCAGCTCTTTCAACAAGAACTTGAAAAGTTCCGGCCGCACCAGACACGCCTGCTTCAAGCCAACCACAAACAGTCAGCTCTGATGAAAGAGCTCTCTATGACTTTCAACAATCTGCTGCAGGACAAGCGCGTCAGGTCAGAGCAGAGCAAGTACGAGGCTATTCAGAGGCAGCGGGCCTCGGTGGTGGGCAAGTACAAGCGAGCATACCAGGAGTTCTTGGATCTCGAAGCAGGCCTACAAAGCGCGAAGAGATGGTATGCAGAGATGAAGGAGACAGTTGAGAGCCTCGAGAAAAATGTGGAGTCCTTTGTCAACAACCGCCGTGCTGAAGGCGCCCAGCTCTTGAACCAGATCGAGCAGGAGCGCGCTGCCAACAAGAGCGCGCAAGCTTCGCTTGAACAGGAACGCCTCCGCGGCCTGATGGAAAGGATGTCCATGGAGCCCCCCTCATCTCCACCGAACGCGGCAGATTCGGCGAGACCTACGCCGTCGCCACTGAATTTCAGCAACAATGTTCCAAGATACCCGCAGACGAACTTTGCCGGCCAGTATCAAGTGCCGACGTCGCCCCCACCTTCTCAAACGCAAATGCCCCAATACCAGAGCGCCTACAACCCAAGCACATACGGGCGAACACCTGGGCCGACCTCGCCGCCACCGACACAAACGAGTTTTGGATCGGTCGGTGGAATGCGCCCAGGGCCTGCGTCACCACCTCCAACGCAAACCAGCTTTGGACAGTCTTCAAGACCATTCAGCACCTATGGAAATCCTCATGCAGCCACGCCGTCGCAGAGTTATGTCCCCCCGGGATTCGTACCGCCTCCGCCCCCGCCCGGGCCGCCGCCACTTGGTCCCCAGCAGACTGTCCACTACGGAGCGAGCAATTATGGATACCCGGCGCAGCAGCCAAGTTCACAACAGCAACCACAGAGCCAAGCAGACCCATGGGCTGGCCTGAATGCGTGGAAGTAGCTCAGGCAGTAAAATGCACGAATACAGAGCTGGTCGGGACATTCCTGTGCGAGCAAGCCTTGGGGCCGCCGACTTAGTACTTAGTCTTGAGCTACCTCAAACCCGAAGCCGAGAACAGTAATCCGGGAACCTGAATCATAAGATGAACTGCTTTGGGAAGAGGGTGAATCGGGCGAAACATCAGTAGTTCTCAAGACAACATTCTTAGGAGGGTCGGCGAAGGCAGGATCAAAATTTGAATGAGATTTGCTTTTACGCACAACCTCGGACCATGCGCATGATCGATTCGTCGACATCTTTGATATTCTGATCACGGGTTTTTAGGCCAGAGCACAAGTTGTGTTACTGCGCAGGTCCACGATCTTAAGGTGCTATGTTCTGAACCAAAATCATGCGTGGCGCATGCTTCCTCGCGATGAGACCAGCATGGCCAACATGCAGCCAAGAACAAGTGCTGTACAGGCTGGTTGTGGTGCGGAGATCATAAATAGCCTTCAATGCGGACCGAGACGATAGTGTACTGTACATGGAGATTGGAAGAGGTGGGGGGTGTGCTTGCAGGGATATAAATGGGATCTTGGAGCCTATCTGGAAGAACCTGAGTGAGCTGCAGAATGTGCAGCAGAAAAAAGTCGTGTCTGTTAGAGAAGCCACTTTACGCGCCAGGACGCGGTCGACCCAAATCGACTTCGCGTCGACGCGTCCCAAAAAGTCGCAGTGCCCTTCTTGTTCTTCCCCAATAACCAAGCGGCCCAGCAACCGTCCTTCCACCTCCTTCTGCAAACCTCGAAGTCAAACCTCCACCCGCCTTGATCTGCCATAGGAAGTGTCCAGATCCGCCCGAAGTACGACACCATGGACAGTCTTATGCTGCGCGATGAGGCCGCGCGCGACCGAGTGCGCCAGGCCGAAGAGTTCCTCGATCCACGTGCGTATCTCCTCCACAGCTGCAAGCAAGAGACCATTGGACCGCCTGCTGACTGCTGTCCACAGATGACCAAAATGTGCGAAGCTACAGATCCGACATTATCCTGATGTTGCAGAAGAACCAGAGGAGGCTGGTAGTCAACATAGATCACGTTCGCGACCACAACCCACAAATCGCAGAGGGCCTCCTCGTGGAGCCCTTCAACTACACCCTCGCATTCAACCATGCCCTCAAACAAATCGTCAAGACAATTCCACAAGCGAGGCCAGACCAGACTGACGACGAAGTCATGTACTACTGTGCCTGGTCTGGCAGCTTCGGCCTGCACGCCTGCAACCCCCGCACCCTTTCCGCCCATCACCTCAACCACATGGTGTCGATCGAGGGAATCGTGACACGATGCTCCCTCATTCGGCCCAAGATCGTCAAGAGCGTGCACTACAACGAGGCAGAGAACAAGTTCCACTTTCGGGAATATCGAGACCAGACCATGACCAACGGCGTCACCACAAACAGTGTCTACCCACAAGAAGACGACAAGGGGAACCCGCTGATGACAGAGTACGGCTGGTGCACGTACAGGGACCACCAGAGCATTTCCATACAAGAGATGCCCGAACGGGCTCCGGCCGGGCAGCTCCCCCGCGGCGTCGATGTTATTCTCGACGACGACCTGGTCGACAAGGTCAAGCCTGGCGACCGAATCCAGCTTGTCGGGATTTACAGGACGCTGGGTAACAGGAACACGAATCACAGCAGCGCGCTTTTCAAGACGATAATCCTAGCCAACAATATCGTCCTCCTTGCGTCAAAGTCTGGTGGTGGCATAGCCACCGCGCCAATCACCGATACAGACCTGCGAAATATCAACAAGGTCGCCAAGAGCAAGAATCTGTTCGAGATGCTCTCCCAGTCGCTAGCTCCTAGTATTTACGGCCACGACCACATCAAGAAGGCAATCCTGCTCATGCTTCTGGGTGGAATGGAGAAGAACTTGGAGAATGGTACCCACTTGCGTGGTGACATCAACATCCTCATGGTCGGTGACCCCTCTACCGCCAAGTCCCAGCTCTTGCGGTTCGTCCTCAACACCGCTCCCCTGGCTATTGCGACAACTGGTCGTGGGTCTTCGGGTGTAGGTCTCACAGCTGCTGTTACTTCGGACAAGGAGACGGGCGAGCGCCGTCTTGAAGCAGGTGCCATGGTGATGGCCGACCGCGGTGTGGTCTGTATCGATGAATTCGACAAGATGTCCGACATTGACCGTGTCGCCATCCACGAAGTAATGGAGCAGCAGACCGTCACCATCGCCAAAGCTGGCATCCACACTTCACTTAACGCACGATGCAGTGTTGTCGCGGCTGCCAATCCCATCTTTGGCCAGTACGACCCTCACAAGGACCCCCACAAGAATATTGCGCTGCCCGACTCGCTCCTCTCGCGTTTCGATCTTCTGTTTGTTGTCACGGACGACATCGAGGATACCCGTGACCGGCAGGTATCGGAACACGTTCTTCGCATGCACCGGTACCGCCAAGCCGGGACAGAGGAAGGTGCGCCAGTGCGAGAGAATGTACAGCAGTCCCTCAGCGTTGGTGGCCAGGCACAGAACGACTCTCAGCGGCCCACCGACGTGTACGAGAAATATGACGCAATGCTCCACGCCGGGGTCACTGGCCGTGGTTCCAAGAAGCCCAAAGTCCTCAGCATACCCTTCATGAAGAAGTACATCCAGTACGCGAAGACCCGCATAAAGCCCATCCTGTCGCAAGATGCCGCGGACCGCATTGCCGACATCTACGTGGGCCTGCGCAACGACGACCTCGAGGGCAACCAGCGCCGCACGAGTCCCATGACGGTGCGTACGCTCGAGACGCTCATCCGTCTGGCGACCGCGCACGCCAAGTCGCGGCTGTCCAACCGCGTCGAGGAGCGCGACGCCGTGGCCGCCGAGAGCATCCTGCGGTTCGCGCTGTTCAAGGAGGTCGTGGAGGATGAGTCCCGCAAGAAGCGCAGGCGGACGACCGCGCAGCCTCTCAGCTCCGACTCGGATGACGACTCCTCGAGCGATGACGACGAGGGAGGGGACCAACGTGCCTCGGCGCGGAACAGCCGGTCCGCGCGCGCGTCCGCGAGGGCGAACCGGGCCAACGCCCGCGGTAGCAGGGCGAACGGAGCAAATGGCACCAACGGCGCGCACGAGTCGCCAGAGCAGGAAGAGGAGGAAGAGGCCGAGGCCGAGGAGGCCATACCCCGGCGCTCCAATCGGACGGTCCGCAGCAACGGCCAGTCCCAGTCCCAGTCCCAGTCCAACCTGTCGTTCGCGTCGTCGATGCCGGCCTCGCAGCTCGAGTCGCAGAGCGCGGAGGGTGAGAGCCAGGACGACTCGCAGTTGGCCAGCGGCGCCGCGGGCCTGAGCCTGGGCGCCGAGGAGGACGCTCCGATCAGCGACGAGCGCTTCTCGACCTTCACGGCGGCCCTGGGCCCGCTGATGAGCACGGACCTGTTCGAGGACGACGCGGCGGACGTGGACGCGCTGATCCAGGGCGTCAACAGGCGGGTCGGCTCCCGCGGTACATTCAGCAGAGACGAGGGTATCAAGGCTCTCAAGAGGATGGACGAGAATGCCATGAGCATTATGTAAGTCTGACGGCTATCCCCCGCTCTCACAACTGTACCTTTCTGTCAGACAGTGCTAACAGTGATGAACCATGCAGGTTCACTGATGGCCAGCTTGTGTACAAGATCTAATGAGGTTGATGAGATGAGGATGGCATGCACATTGTATGTTGTCTGTCTCTGGAGCGAATATTGTGTGGCATGGTATGGATTGTTATGTTTGGATGGGTGGTGGCTTCCTGGCGTCTTGGCTCCGGATGGAAATGACAATTGTGCGTCCGGTGAATATCGAAAGCAACATTCTATGTGTGTTCCGGTTAGATTGCTCTGTTTAGTTTGCATCGAGGCAAGTGAGTCATGATTCTTGCTTTTTGTCTTTCAAATGTCCAACCCGTTACCGGGTGGTAAGCAACTCCAGCCAACGCCTGTCCCAAGTCTATAGTGATCTTTCCGCTGCTGTGTCAAGCCATGGTATCTTCAAATCTTGGTCTTTGCCCTCGCTTTTGGCGTAGAATATGCATGCGTTGAAGACATGCGTCAAAGTCTCCCACGGTCTCCATTGTGGGTCTAATTGACTTCCTCCTCATCTCCCCCCACAGCCTTCCTCCTATTCTCTTACCCTGCTAGTCTCTCACTTCCTACCCTCTCACTTCCTACCCTCCCGCTTCCTACCCTCCCGCTTCCTACCCTCCCGCTTCCTACCCTCCCGCTTCCTACCCTCCCGCTTCCTACCCTTCCGCTTCCTACCCTCCCACTTCCCGTCACGCTCACAAGGAACGTTACTCCGCCGGTAGCTCAAGGCGTGCTTGTAAAGCCTCCAGCCTGTCCTGCACTCGGTCGCCGTTCCACGTCTCCTCGCCCTCTTCATTCTTCCCCAGCTCAGGGACGCCAACCTGCTCGATGGCGAAGCTTGCGGCTATGCTACCCCAGCACGCGGCCTCCTCCATGGCCTTACCTCTCGCCAGCGCAACGGCCAGGCCGCCGAGGAAGGTGTTCCCGCCGCCGGTGGGATCCACGACCCTCCCCGCAGCAGCATCCTCTTTGGTGAAGAAGGCGGGCACCCACTTGTCCAGGCCAGGGTCGATGTCCACCTCGTCGAGTTCGTCCTGGATGAAGCTGAAGGTAGCGGTCCCGTCCTCGTCGCCGCCGTCCTCACCGGTGGCGGACTGCTGCAGAAGGCCTGCGAAGAGACTCATCATGTCGGTGTCAGGTTGTAGGCCGCCGTGTGCGGCATGGACCTTCTTCCGCTGCTTCGAACCACTTTTCTTCGAGTTCTTGCGGCCGCCATTCTTGGCAACTGGAAGTTTGGTAAGTCAAGGTTTCCGGTATGAGAGAACAGACAGTCAGAAGTGACGCCCGCCAAGAGTGCACTTACTATAGCAGCCCTTCTCGCCGGCCCTCACCACGAGAGTGAAGCTCGAAAGGGGCATGGAGCCGAGGAGCTGTTCGCAGGCCTGCTCGACGGCGACGGTGCTGATCTCGCCTGTCTCGGGGTCGATACCAGTGTCGCCCATGAAGCCAGCAAGCTCCGAGTGGTTTGGACTGCAGACGTCCACGAGGGGCAGGCAGTTGGTCAGGTTGAGAAGCTCGTCAGGCGTGCAAAGGTCAGGTACTGGCTCCCAGATGATGATAGGCCTCGAGTAACCCCCACGACCCTCGTCGTCCTCGGGCGGGGCCTCTTCCTTCCGCAGGGTCAGCAGCTCTGTAACCAGCTCCCGACACCTCGAGGGACTGCAGATGATGTGGAAGGAACGTGCTTGCAGCAGCGGCGAGCCGCTCAAGTCGGAGGCCACTAGACGCTTCTTAGGCGTAGTGTACTTGAAGGCTCTGGTCTCGTTATCGTCCACATATCCGTTCCATCCGCGAGTACACTTCCTGTCAGGGTCATGGCGCACAAGTGCGGCCGTTTCCCAGCTATCGATGAGGGTCGTTATGGCTGGGGGAAAGTCGGAGCCCTGGTCAACTATCCACCCAACGGACTTTGACTGGATGGGCCCTGGGGAGAAGAGGCGGGCGCCAAGGGCGGCATAGGAGCCGGCACCACCTAAAACGTCCTTCTGGGGAGGCTTGGGGGCTATATACTCGATGTCGTCTTCATGTTGGGGGTCAGCTTCTGTTTTGGTGTGGTCATGTTCTGGATCCCGGGACCGGAAGGGGCCCAGCAGCCAAGAAGGATAGGGTTTTGCGAGGTAGTAGTGACATAGATATGAGAGGAAGGCAACCAGGCTGAGGGCGGCATGCAGCATGGTGGTATCGCTCAGAACAGGAGATGACATCCCGATAGTACGGGGATAGATGGGTAGGAGGACTTGGCCTTGAGAAAGAGGCAAAAGCTACTCTCTGGCTGAGCCAGGAAGAAGAGCATAAGAGGCATGTGAGGCGCAGGAGGTATGGACAGCAGAGCAAAGGAAAAGGGACAGAAGGGAAGGGAAGGGAAAGCAAGGAAAGGAAAGCATGGTGAACATGGGAGGTTGGACAGCAGCAGCAGCAAGCAGGCCATCACTCGTTCGATCAATCAATCAATCAGGCCGAAACACGAAACACAAGCAGGAGATGTGTGACCAAGTCAGGCTGACAAAGGCAGGCTGTGAGAGCGGAAAGAGAGAGCGAGACAAAATATACACAGGCACATGGTGCACATAACATACCAATGATAAACATTCCCAAGGTGACGAAATCAACATCCTGGGGGGACGGCTCGGGGGCTGGGGTTGGCTCAGGCTCAGGCTCAGGCTCAGGCTCAGGCTCAGGCTCTGGGACGTCACCACTGACAGCTTGAGGCTGGTCATCGTCAGGCATAGCGGCAGAGGCAGCGGCAGCAGCGGGCACGGGTGTGTGCTCAGGCAGGCAAAACGCGCCTTGGATGTTGGGCCTTGGACCTTGGGCCGCCTGGAGACGTGGAGGGGTGTGTGCGCACGTGCATGCAGGCACAAAATGCAATGCACACTGGGGTTGGGCCGTCGTGAGTGAGGGTGGTGGTAGTGGTAGGGGCAGCAACAGTTTTGGGCCGTGTGGAATGAGCTGGCTGGCGGGAAGGGGGAAAATGAAGGCAGCCCTTATGCAAGCTGAAAGGGCACGAGGCTCATTGGCAAAGAGGTGATGGCTGGAGGCAGGCCTGCTGGAGCCAGGACTGTCCTCGATCTGAGCTGAACTTGGTGACTTTTAGAAAAATTGCACCGGGCCGGGTAGATGACAGTCAGAAGCCGTTGCTTGCCTCAATGTCGCCTGCTTGCTTGCCTGCTTTGCTTGTGCTTTGGTGCTTGGGGACTGCCTGTTTCAGTTCCTGCCTGCCTTAGTGGTCCACACTTTATTACCCAACTGCTGTACGGAGCGGGTAGTGCAGTATACTGCAAGAACCCCTGTTGCTGGCACTCCAGTGCGACCGTAACACTCGAGGTGGAGGAGAACAGGTTGAGCCGCTAGTTCTTGTGCAACGGCCAGCCCGATGTGCTTACTGATGGACAGCACCGGCTCGGCTGTGCCTGGCAGTAGATACCAGTAGATACCTAGGTGCCCAGGCGGCTATGTACGGAGTAGGTATGTACCTTCCTAGCCCTACTGCTTGCTTGTTGCTACACTACATGCCCAGCCAGAACACCACTGGCTGAAAAGCAGTGTCGCCGCCAACCTGCTGCTCAGGTTCTGCTGTTCCAAGTCATCTCTTGTGCGAAAAGCACCCAGACTTCCCACCGTGCCTGCAGTCTGCAATGGGGCTGTCCGGTGTCAGACGCACATCAGCCTACGTACACAGTACGTACCATCACATACCTCCTACCTCTCGGAACCACCCGCATCTGTCTCCACCATCTAAGGAACGTGCAGACGACACCCGTGCAGCCGTGGTAGACCACACATTCGACTACTGCAGTCTGGCCGGCAATAAATAACCTCGCCCAGCTTCCCCTCTCCCAAGGATCCTCCCTGCCTCTCACCAGGGGCACGCATCCGAGAATGAACCACCATCAGCCGGAGCAGAGACCTGAGATACCATAACAGGATGACCCAACAGCCATGCCCTGGGCCAAGGGGAGGGAAGGAAAGGGAAGGGAAGGCATCATATGTACCTAGGCAGTAGGGAGCAACCAGAAAGCCAGCACCCAAGACACCACGAGTACATTTCGTACTACACCAGCGCCACACCTATCCATTTCTTTCTGGCTGCGTCTCTGTCCTCGTCGCCCGCCCCATCTCACTGGCCAGCGCTGCTTCAACGGTCTTGCATATGCCTTGCCGGGTTCCCTCCTCCCCTCCCCGGACAGCTCACCACGCATGTGCTGATGCAAAATGAACGGCCAGCAAGATGCGTGCACACACACGGCGCCACAATCTTCAGCTCAAAAACATGTGAGATAGACAGCTGTCTGGGCCAAGTATCTGACACGCACTTTGCTCCACAGATCCCAACTCAGCCCCAGATATCTCCCTCCCGCTCTGCTCCCTTTTTTCCTTGGCCACCACAACCACCACCCCGAGTCAACGCATGCTCATGGGCGGGCCGCAATGACACCCTGTATGGCAGTGGACATCCAAAGATGTTGTATGAGCTGGAACACGGCAGTATCGGCACTGTTCATGTCGTCGAGAGACAGGAAGCAGCGCCCAAAGCATATCCGCGGTCTTGGGCGACCGTAGCGGGATCTAGTCACACTGTGGTCAGCTCCGTCACAGCACGCGTCACGATTCAGCATTGTCCATTCGGCTGGGCTGACCAGAGGTCTTGCTGTCTCCTTTGGATCCGCGTCGGAGGGAAGGCCGATCCCAAATTTTCAAATGTTCCTTTCACCTCGCGGAATCTGCCGGCCCGCCCAGGGTGGGCTGTGTGCCCCGTCCCCTATCTCTTCTACACAGTACCCCGTGCCGGACTGTTATTTCTTCTCATGGCTAGCTTGGCCGCTCGCTCTCTCTGACATCGATCTGGTTCCTAAACACCTGCCGTATGCGGGGGAAACAGGATGATCCAGTCCCCCCACCCTGCATAAATTCATTGTATTCGTACTTATACCTGTGCACAACTTGCCGTGATGTATTAGACCCAGCCACACCGCCCCCCTATGCAGCTAGTCGATCGGAGTGGAAAATGACAGGTAGCATGACATCGCGGCAGTGTCGATCCAGGTTCGAGCCAGGCAGTGGGTAGATAGATAGTCAGTCACATAGTCTATAAAGTGGGCTAGTCAACGGCAGCCCTCGAACGACAGGGTTGTCTGGACCTTGGTGGGTTGGGGTAGTAGGAGAATGGACGACGGCCGCCGCGCCGCGCCGCGCCGCAACTCGCCCCTGGACCTGATAACTACCAGATCAGACCGCACCGCTGGCCTCAATCTGATGATTTGGAATGTCCCACTGGTCAAACAACCCACCGGAAGTAGCCGGCTGAGGACAGGGAACAAACTTTAGCCCACACCCGGGGCTAGAACGGGTCTCCCACTTTTCAGCCTCAAATGGTCGACGTCTCTTTCGAACGGGCCTGCCTGACAACGACCTTGCCAAGCCCAGCCGAGTTCCCTGTCCCCTTGGGACGGCTATCCAGACGATCCCTTCGAACAATGATGTATGCTGCCTTGGGTACCTTTCACTGGGCCTTCAACCCATTTGACTTTTAATGCCCCTGTCATTTCCTGTCTCTGCAGGGCTCAGCATGCTGCCCCCAGTTCCTGCAACAGGACTCGTGTCGCCCCCAAGATGCAAGGCTGCGAACACGTTCTTCATGTCCTGAAGGCTCTCCGTCCGAGCTGAGCTGGCCGCCTCGTTCCTTTCATCTGCAAATGCCCGGACGCTCTGCAATATGGGAGTGAACCCGTGATCATCCGGGAGCCACCAGCGAACCACCGTCTCGTCCTGGAAGAGCTCCGCCATTCTTTTCCGTACCATGATCGGGAATATATACCTAGTGAGTTGGGAACACGGGTCAGCGTCAACAGCCGTGCCATTCGCAGCGGGACAAGCCCCGCACTCACCCAGAGCTTTCTAACAAGGCAAATTTATTCCTCAACCATAGACTGCTGCCGGGGCTCGGTGGAAGGAACATCGATGCAATCGTGAGACAAGGATGGAGCATGATCAGAAAGCCTTTCGGGCCGGAAGCCCATTGCTCACTAGCGCTGAAGATCTGGCCGATGGCCTCGGCGTGTTGTGACAAACTCCCCAGCTCTGATAGAATCTGACCTTGAGTGCCCTGGCTTGCCTGGTACAGATGCATCATTACCGTGGCATGCCATTCGCAAAGGAGTAATGTCGTTGAAGCTAAGGGCGCGTCATATAACGGTGCCGTCTGTGGTGAAAATCTGACCATCTCGTCTGGGGTATGGGAGGGCAGAACTACCCGGCGAGAAGGATCCATGAGCGCGGGTTCAAGGGTCTCCCTCCACTCTCGCAATTGCCGGGCGATAGTCTCGTGTTCCGTAGTGAATGATGCTCCTTCGATGTTATCTCTTGCACGCCTGGCAACAAGAAGGCTGATGTCGTGGCAAATCAGGCGAAGACGGTTCTCGGCCTTCTCATATAGCCACTCCAAATCGTCGGGCTCATTTGCTAGTCTTGCTCGGCAATGCCCGTCGAATGCGACGAACCAATCTCGTGGAAGGCTCGTCACGAATCCTCCCATGAGCCCGACAAGAATATCGAACCGAATATACCATGACAGAATGATGCGATTGAGCGACGTTTCTACGATAGACTGGGGTGTGAAGAGCTGACTCAATATCTCAAGGGCTGCCTTCTGGTGGCCCATCAAGTTCACCCAGTCGCCGAGGTACTCCTACCCTCACACATTAGGATCTAGCATAAAACGCAGCCAAGCCCAATCAGCACGTACCTCTATTGTTGCTAGCTGCAATATTGTCAAGAGCGTTGTGAGCTCATGCTTGTCCCCACTCTTGAGAAGGTCGAGTAGCAAAATGACACTTCTGTTGTAGTATTTGAGGAATTCCGGAAGCTGACCGTTCGGGTCCCCGAGTGTCTGATGATATGCCGCGAAAGCAACGATGGCATGGAGCAATGGCTCATTGCGGAGCGCCAAGTTGATAAGTGTCGTTCGGAAGAAGCCAGCAAAGTCTCGGTGTACACCGTAGTGATAATGCGTGATATTCTCGAGGAAATACTCGAGGTAATATCTCAAGTCGGCTGGGAGATGGGAAAATTCTGGGACTGCACCAAAAACAATATCTGGCAGGTTAGCCATCAAGGGAGTATTGCTGCTAGTCGTCCCGATCGACCTCGTCGGCGACGAGCCTTTGGCGCCTTCTTGAGAAGATGTCTCGGAAGGCTGGCGATTTCGAGTTAAAAGTCGCTTCAGATTCAAAGAGGATGCCGTGCTCATGTGCCTGAGACTTTGTGTGGGCGGCATTGATTGCTCGGAGACGCTCCCTAAGTCGTCCTCGTCCTCGTCTGGGATGGGACTTAACCTTCCGTCCTGGTCTGCGTCATCTTCCTCCTCATTTGAGGATGCCGGACTTGCTTGACGACTGGTATCCGCATCTTTGCCGCCATGTGGGACGGAGTATTTCGAAGACGGTGGATCCGGATAAACGCAGTCTCGTGAACCTTTGCGACATCCTATCACCAATGTTAATATCCAAAATGACGGTGCGTGGCGGAATGGGATGCTGCCCACGTTCACAAACGGGATGTGTCTCGTCGCACTAGATGATCATTAGGAATAGGTCGTTGGGGGAGAAATGCTCGAGGCTGTGGCGCACCTTGACTCTTCTACTCCGGCAGGTAAAACAGCCGCTGCGAGTTCTTCTATGTTTGATGTGATCCGCACCAGGGGCAGACTTCCGTCTATTTCGCTGAGACCTTGGTGCTTGGAACAACGCCGGCTCTGCAAAACCAGAATAATATGTCATGTTCTGGAACTTGTTCGGGTCGATGCTGCTGCCCGTACCAAAAGCAGGCGGGGGTCCTTGCGGCGCATCCTGCGGGCTCAAGCCGGAATTGGCCCCCAGTCCCGATACTGAGGACAGAAAGTTATGGTAATACTCGCTCATGACTCCCTGAGTTGCACCTGTCTTGTATACTGGAGTGCGAATTAGGCAGAGTATCGATCTTACTTAACTCTCGTCGTCGTTGTCGGCGAAGGATGAAAATTGCTAGCCTGCTCTAGCATCCCCGAGATGGAGTAGATTCGTGAGGGATCCGACGCATCAATGCACCACAACCCGCGCCTTTGACAGAACTCGATTCAGGCTGTTGTGGGAAAGGTTACCGAGGTTGCGTGACGCGTTGCAGAGAATCAGCAAAGAGAGGCGCTTTCCGGAAGACGGCCGCAAATGATGCGCCGTAACTGGGGGTTTTAGTCGTAGCTGTGACGTTCCGCCAAGGCACGAAACTGTTGAAAAATACAATACAGGGAAACTTGTTGCACAAGACACTGTCCAAAGGTGTGAGTGACCTAGTAATGCAATGGTGCTATTAGTTGGAGCTCAGGAGGCGAAGGGTCTGTCCGCTCACAAGGTAGTTGTCTTTGGCCAGAGGTCCTGCCACCACAGCAGTATGTAAACTACTTGCTCCGGGAGTACCCACGACGAAGAGGAGGGGGGGCAACTTGAATAGCGGGACGGGACGGGAATATCGACTTGGGCTCAGATTTTCAGTGGGGCCACTGTCACCGGTGGGAGCCTAGTTCTGAGATTGATCGTATTATTGATCAGCTTTCATTCACTGGCCCGCCAAACGCCAGGCAGAGAAAAGGCAGGTGGTTATGTGGTGAAGACTGCGCTCGGATAGAGTAGGCACAGGGAGGGGCTGCGTTTCTGTATGGGAGAGGGAAATGTCCCGGGTGATAGCGGGCAGGTTGCTGAGTACCCCAGATATGTAGCCAGGGCCATGCCTCCTAGGGGATGACAGTGGTATTTTGAGGTACTGGTACGACTTTTGCAACAAACTTACCGGTGTGACTATGGAGGTGGCAACCTACAAGGGTATGTATGCAGCGAAGATGTATTCGCCAGCCGAGAATAGCCCCCCACAGTGTTCTGCGTGACTGCTGCCAGGTCAGGGAGACTAGAGCCTCTGGTAGCAAACACGTTCCCGTGAAGGAAGCAGCTGGTCCACTCCTCAGGGCTCGAATGCTGGTCTGCTATGCGGGCATATCAGTTTTAATTGGGTGTTGTCTGCCTCTTCAGAGTCGTTTTGGTCTGACACGAGATCACTGATGCCAGTGACGGAGCGGAGGGGCAACCCGGGAAGACCGAAATCCCGGGGATGGTGATCGATTGGTCGCCCAAGGGTGAGCCAGGTGGAGATGTGAAAGTCAATGGTTCGGGAACAATATGACCAGACGCCCCGTTGCTCCTTGAGGCTCTCAACTGGAAAGTGGCCGGTATAAACTTTAGCAATGATTTGGATCCGCTGACGAGACTCGCGCCTCCGGAGTATACCAAGAGTTGAATATGGTCGGACACCTGGAGGCGACTTGGGCAGGAGTTGGTGGAAGGGGGTAGAGAGAATCTTTTGCTGCATAGAGGTCAGTTGCATGCGGCCTAGTAATCCAGCAAGGCCCTTTTCTGGCGGCGAGAAGTCCAAACAGCCGTCGAGGGATCCAGATTACCTTACACGTTGTGTCTGCTGGATTCGTGGTTCTGTTGAAAATCGCAGATTCTTCGACTGGGAAAATTGTTGACCTTCCAAACTGATTGACAGACGTAGATAGGGTGTAGTCGCCAGGGCCGGCCGTGATGAGCTTTGTGCTAAGGCATGCTGGTCCTATATCTGAACAAGGGCCACCTTTGTATTTCCCATCTGGTGGGTATGGGAACAGCTAGGGATGGCCCGTCCTGCTTCCGCTCGCTGGGGTGGATGGTGCCTGAGTTGCGTCGACAAAGTAGCAGGTGGTCCTGCCTTACTGATCCTGCGATTTCTGTATGGAGCGGTTGAGGATCTTGGGGTGCAACTGCCAGATCCCAGTCGAAACTCTCAGTCCACGGAACCGCGCGAGTACCATGTAGGTTGGCTGATGCCGTGGCACTGTGCCGGTATGAAGCTTGGGGATACCACCGAGGTGGAGGATTCCTACCTACAGTAACGCCTGCATGGGCTAGACCTCAGACCTCATCTCACATGGGCGTATGAGCTGGGGTTTGGCGGACCCTTGACAGACCGTGTCAGGCAATACCCTGCAGGCTTTTTAGGATCTGTACTTCCTGATACTACTGACCCATGAGCGGCTCCAGGGCCTCACAGACAACTCGGACGATGGAGGTGGACAGGCGGGGGCATGGCCACCCACAGGGCTTGCTTATCCCGAGCCCACAGTTTGTCACAGCAATGACCTGACTGGGCGTCCCGAGGCAGACCATTGTAGCAGCACTTGGATGGGCACCCGTGCAAGTGTGCAGAGGGCGCCTCCTGTGGCAAGCACGGGTCAAGTCGAGAGCAGAGGAGGCGTCCCAGGGCCCCAAGATGGTACTGTGTGGATATCCCAGTGGAACCGGGGTACAAATGAATACACAGTACCCTCAGGCAAGCCCCCCATGTAGTCGAGGCTCCCACGAGCACACCCTCCCGGGGCCATTGTGGGGGGGGGGAGGGGTGGAAGAGCAGGGCGGGCTTGCCCATCCCAGCATTTTCCGATGGCATGCCGGCGTGATGTATTTTGGACCTTGGTGATAAGCGCCCCGCTGCCAAAGTTGGAGAAGTGCTCCACATGTTCCAAGAAGGATTGCAAGATGAGGTCAAGGAGGGACTGCGCATGCTGGCAGGCTGGCACTGTCATGATAGAATTCGAAACCCAGGCTCTGGACAAAGCTTGATCCTGGTCGAGTGCAATCAAGCGGCCAAGGACAAGCAAACCCACACCACTGGCCAGGGGGGACCCTTCATCACGCGTGGAATTGGCGGGCCGCGGCGCTGGTGACATGAGAGGAGCAAGTGGTGGATCCGAGAATAGTGGCCTGGATGAGAAAGTGAGGACAATGGCCTGGGATGGACTGTGGCAGTCCAGGAGCTACACAGGAGCTGCGTGGCTGCCCGAATTGTCGATCGACGAGATCAACGAGCAGTACCCAGGGTTGGGAAGCGAGAGCCGTGTGATGTTGAAGAAGGCGGCGTATGTGGCTCTCGACCTATCAGCCACCGCCGTGTTCCTCCACTTCTTCGCGCCTTCCATTGCGGCCGCCACAGGCAAGATGGCGCCTTCTTGTGCTGCAAGACACCGCTCGACCATGCGGGCAGGCGCGCGACCGGCATCGTGGGAGTGGACCGGGCCTGGAGCATGCTTGCCTTGCAGTGCCAGTGCAGTGTGTGTCGAGTGACCTCGGTCGACCTGGCAAGACTCTGGCCCAGCCCAGCCCAACGAGATCCAGATCCAAGCCCCCCCCCCTGGACCCCCCTGGACCCCCCAAGATGCAGGTTCGATGTGCCGCCCACCCACACTATGGGATTGCTGTGCCGTGACAGCCATTAATGGACGAGACGCATCTGGCCTCGCATCGTCCGTCCCCCATCCGACCGTCAACCCTCCTCTCTGGCAGGCAGGCTGGTTGGTTGGCGGGCTGGCACCCATGGCTTCCATGGCACCCACCTACATGATGGCCAGCATTTCCGGCTCGCCTGGCAACCTGGTTCTTCGGGGCCAGGATGTGGGGTGCTTGAGCAGGACGACATGCGACATGCGACATGCGACCTCTGGCTTCGGGTGATTAGTCAGGCCGCCCTGCCCATGCTGATCAGAGCGCCCCTGCATGCCCCCGGCATGGGGTACTGGTACGGGAGGCGCGGCTGTCAGGAGACACCTGCCCATAGTACATGTACAAGTCGTCATCTGAGCTGCCCCACGCCTCCCTCCCTGCCACAAGGCCTGCCCGACTCCCCAGCACCCAGCCAGCCAGCCAGCTGTGTGCCCTCCTCCATCTCCTGCCCGTCTGGCCCATGTGCCATTTTAATCGCCCCCCTCACGGCTCACGGGCTGGGCCAGCGAGCTGGAGGTGGTGTTGCTGCTTCTGCTTTGGTGCCTCCGGCGCAGCTCACCAGCCCGCCAGCCTGCCAGCCTGCCATCCATCCATGGTCCTGGTTCACTCACTCGGGTCAGCCCCGTCAGCCCGATCAGCCGAGTGCGACTGTGCCTGCGCGGCTGGGGCCGACCGTCCCCAAGATCAGACGAACTTCACGTGGGAAAGCACTCCAGGCTAACCGTTCCCAACAACCAACATCCAAGGCAAAGGCATGCAATGATACATTGCCTAGCAGCCTAGCAACGGTGCCCTCCTGGTCCCGGTCTCACCTCTGGTCCCGGTCCTTACCCTGCCGTCGTCATTTCCTCTTGATTCAGACGGGCACCCACCTGAATTCTTGTCCTTCAATTTGCCCATCCTCGCCAGCTTCCGCCTCCCGAGATTCACCACCATGCTCATTTCACCGCGCCCGGGTCTTTGACGCGCTCGAGTCACCGCACGAACACGGCCCCAAGAAAGAGGATCCCGTGTTCCGCGCCAGTCTTGCCCGGGCCTTGAGTCGATTTGACGTCCATGCCCTCTGGGCGAATCCCGAATTTTGTGCCTTGCCGCCTTCATGCAAGCCAGCCTGCCAGCCAGGTACATACATGGCCTTCAACACGCGGGCCCTGGCCGTTGTCATGCACCAAAATGCTATGCGTCTTCGGCACGGCGGTGCCACAGTATTTATCACAACACCATCTTCTATGGCTCCTGTATGACGGCGTTGTCCAAGGTCACGCCGTTCGCAAGTCGACTGTCTATTAGTCAGTCTTCATCCCAGCGCAGTCCAATCCAAGCTACCGTACGGTTCCAGTTCGGGTACCTGGCGATCTTTGCTGTCCCAGGCTGTCGGGCCCCGGCCTGCGCCAATCCCGTGTCCCAGTTCTTTGGAAAGCGATGCCCGCTACCGCTCCAGCCTTCCAGACGGGAAACGGATAGTAGCGTACCTGGGACCATGAGCGCCCAGCCAGCCCAGCCAGCGGCCCTGCGGCGTGCGCAGTACGAGCAGGGCCCCTTGCCAGTGGCCCAGGACGCCCCGTCGTTCCCAAAAGAGCCGGCCGCCAGGGCGGTCGCGGTTGACCTGCCCACCCTAGTTCAGAACCGCCAATTCGGAATCACTACAACCCTCTTCTGCCCACCGACGGACACTTTTGAGGCTTGGGCTCTTATCATACGGAGTACATCAAATGCGACTACATTTGTCTGCTGTACAGTACTACCTAGGTCACTGACCATGTGAGCTCGAGCAGAAACCACCCATTTTGTGGTTGAATCTTTCTAGGCGCCATGCCCCCAAACTAAATCGCACCTCTCGTACCCTTGATAAGGCATCTCGATTGTATCACGCACTCAAATTCGCAGTCCCGCCAGGGAGCACTGAGACCCACAGGGCTCCAGGACCTGGTGTACGATGCAATTTTCCGGTGTGATCTCCGGTGAGTAGTTTACGACAACCCGCACACTCCTGTACACAGCCTTCACTGTCAGTCTGTCCCACTGCCAGGGACATTATCCCAGCGTCTCCGAAAATCGCTCTGCCGGGTGCGCAGCCAATTTTTTTTCGATCATTTTTTGGGGCGCAAGCATCGACGAAGCTAACAAAAGGCTGGACGCACGCAATTGACCTCTCTCGCATTGCATGTAGCCCCGGGGGCTTGTCTCTTCCATCAATCACCAGCTACTACTACTGCACAAGTCGTGGAGCATCGACATGCACCTGTCGGCGGCTGCTGGCATCCTTCAATTCATCAAGGCACGGGGATGCCGAGCAACGTCTGTTGGCGTTTTCCAGCTACAGTGATCGCATATCCACTGCACGGTATACGCACCTTATCCTGCGTCAAAGTGTTCCACCGCGTGCCAGGGAGTTGGCAGAGATCGCCCCACACAAGGCTAACTAGGCAAGTCTTCGTTCTGGGAACCGCCCGATTAGGCAGGCCATCTACACTCTCTCCTGGTGCGCCCGATGTCCAGCCACCACCACACAACCACCAGCCTGCTTCAATGCCGCCCACGGGTCGCGTTGTCGGGTAAAGCGCAAGCCACAAAATCCTCGGAGCCACCTTACTGCAGCAAGCAATGGCGATGGGCAGTGGAAGAGGCAGGTAGCGTCCGGCATCGGGCACTGCGCGATCGACTGCCGCGCTGCAGAACTATTCCCGCACAGATATCCGCGACTGTGCTGGGCCTGGGCTCGCAGCGGCCCGTTGGACGGCGGGATGTCAGCATGTCAGGTGGTGGGCCGCAAGAGGCTATCTTGAAACATGATCCATCACAAGCCCGCGAGGCAACAGCAGCAACAGCCTCTGGGGAATGTGACCGTCATGATTTATCCTGCCGACTGTCAAACTCGCGTAAAAGTACACACACGTGGGAGGTGGGTTGGTGGGATGGTCAGCACTGGGTCGCAGCAGTACGGAGTACGGATAGTCTACAGTACAGCCAGGCTGCCAGGATACAGGAGTGCACCGTACGGTCTAGTACCTGCAAGTGATCTAATCTCGATAATAAGCAAAGCTAAGCCGTTGGACCGACCAGCCAAGATGAAGCCTCACAACGTCGCATTTTGGCGGTAGTAGCATCGAAGAGAGCCCCTAATATCTCGACTGGGTTTCATCTACACTACACAATGACCGACCCTCAGCCGACAGGGGAATGGCCGCCTACCAGCACGATGGCCGGGCAGCCATCGGGCTGCACACAGCCGAGCCGAGCGGTCCACGAAAAGGTGACACTCTGCGAAGAAAAAGTTTGAGGATAGGCATATCCATTCGGTTTCGCCATCCGCTGCGAGCGAAATATCAAGGGGTGCCTGCTGTGGGTTTACCCAAGCACTGCTGGTATTCATCGCCGGTGGGCAGTAAGCAAGCAGCGGCAAGCCGCAGCAGTCCTTGCGTGATTTCCTGCCCAGGGCATCGTCTCGACCCTGTGGGGTTACGTTACCGTGGGCTGAGTGGGCAGGTGGGTGCCACTGCCAGGTGCCAGGCCGCCATGGCCGCCATGGCCTGTCTCGGCCAGGCTCCCCCCACCCGGCAATCTTTCCACGTGGCCCCCTCGGCCAGCTGCCGCTCGCATTGGGCCAAGGGCTTTTCTGGGGCTCCGGAGTCCGGACTCGCGGTGGTCTGAGCTCTCCAGCGCCTGTCAAACGTCAAACGAGCCCCTGGTCTCTGGGGGGGCTCAACAACGGACCTCTGCTGCGTGCCTCGTGTGTGGGACTGGGACAACTTCGGGAAATACAGGAATTTCCGTCGGCTCCTAGGGTTCAAAACTCGTTGCAACACCAAGACCAGCATCGCAAGATCCCAACTTGGCCCTGGTGTGTCGGTTGAATATGGGAACACAGGATTAAAACACGTAGGTGCTGTAGGTAGCGTGGCGTTAGTAGGGGCAGGAATCAGACGGTGAAAGGTGTCTCCCAAACCTTCAAGTGTCGCAAGATGACTGACACCTCCTCATCCGAGTGGGCCCAAACACCGACACTGTTCACGGGCCAGCTCACCCCCAACTTCTATACAGCCTCGAAATATCGAGGCCGCGGAAATACACTTTATCAATCCCACATACTGTGTTTCTGCCTATCCTGCATTGCATACTGTATAACCGCCCGATCGCCGCACAGGATGGGGTACATGGACAAGTATCTGCCCGCGTCCAACGCCACAGCAGGTAACATCACCATCCCCGCCACCGCTGCCTCCTTCGACGCGGCCTCGGTACTGGTCCTGATTGTGACCCTCTGTGCCTTCTGCGCCCCGGTGTTCGTGCTGTTTCCCCCCTTTCCGCCGCGGAAGAGCGATGCACTCCCGGTAACCCACACCAGGCTCGGTCTGCAGCCGTCAAAGTCGAACCTGCGCGACCACCGCGCTGCCGGCCGTGCCGGCCCGGGCGCGCCCGCGGTCAAGTCGCTCTTCATCTACCCCATCAAGTCGTGCATGGGCATCGAGGTCACCAAGGCAAAGGTCGTCCATACCGGGCTGGAGTTCGACAGGCTCTTCACCTTTGCCCAGCTCAAGCGCGCAGGTAACGATCCCAAGGGCGACGACCAGCCCGCCTCATGGGAGTTCATCACGCAGCGGGCGTTCCCCCTGCTCGCGACGCTCCAGCTGGAGCTGTGGCAGCCGGACCTGGACAAGCTCAGGGGTGGCGAGCGGGAGACCAAGTCGGACGACACCTTCCTGGTCCTGCGGTTCCCCCACAGGCGGGCCGGCGCCGCCGGCCTCCTGCAGGCGTTCGCGGCCAAGTGCCTGAGGGGCTGGAGGGCCGTCCCCGAGGAGGAGGTGCTACTCCCCGTGGCGTTCCCCTCGCCCGCGGATATCACCGCCAAGGGATACAAGCGAGACCGCGTGCGCGTCTGGCAGGACACGGTCACCGCGCTCAACATGGGGAATGAGCTGCCCGAGGCGCTGGCGCGGTACCTGGGCGTGAGCAACCGCCTGGGGCTCTTCCGCATCGACCCAGCGGACTTGCGGCCTGTGTTCAAGTGTGCGCCGGCGAAGGAGGCGGCTGGGTACCAGCCGGTCGTCAGCTTCCAGGACTCCGTGAGTGCAGCACCTCTACCTCTTTGCACAAGAAGGACTCGTGTCACAAGCTGTTGTCAGCTGCTTTACTGACGGGAACATTTGTGTAGTATCCTCTGCACGTCCTCGGGCTGTCGAGTGTGCAAGAATTAGAGAGTCGGGTCGAGAAGGATGCAGACCTACGCGATCTGGACCCTAAGAGGTTCCGCGCCAACATCTTTGGTTCGTGCAAGCACTCCTATACCTCCTGGGGTCCACATATGAAACGCCCGTTGGGGACTAATAGAAGTTCCGGCTGTAGTCAGTGGCACTCCTGCATACGACGAGGACTCGTGGACAAAGATCAGGCTCACGGATCCGTCTCACAAGGAGGACCAATCGGTCTTTCATGTTTCGTGCCGAACCACGAGGTGAGTGAGCGCGCGGGAGCGCTTCAATCCCATAGATAGGACCGCAGGATACTGACGCATATTATAGATGCAAATTGCCAAATGTAAATCCAGCAACCGGCATTCGCCACCGTGTCGAGCCAGACAGGACACTCAGAGCCAGGAGAGAGATTGACGAGGGTGCGCCAAAAAAGGGCTGCCTGGGCATGCAAGTGACGCCCCTTTTCGACAAGCCCGAATCCCCAGAGAGCCACCTGGTCGTGGGCATGTCGATAGAGGTGCTTGAGAGAGGAGAGCATTTCTTCAAAGCTGTGTAGCAAAAAGGAGAGGCACAACACAGGATTCATTCAATGCGGCAGACCCAAGACTCGGGACTAATTAGACAAAATAGACATGCCCATCATCAACTCGTGAATACCCCCAATGCCAATTCCAATGTTCCGATTGCCTTCACTTTGTGATATCAAACCGCTGCAAACCGTTGCAACACAGTGCTGACGACAACCCCCCAATTTCCTGAACTCCGAACAAATTGGAAAGACAGTCTCGCCCTCTTACTTGATATCCGCGGGAGTCAGCGCTTGCACCATACTCGTGCCTTCGCTGAATCTTGTCTTAAAGATGCGATTGGCGTTCTGGAACATGCCATCTTTCAGACTGACAACAATGAACTGTGAGCCCTTGAAGCGCGTCTTGATCAGACGGCCGATATTTTGGGTGTGCGACAGGTCCAGCGCGGCGTCAACTTCGTCCAGAATGTACATGGGCGCTGGCTTGAATTGCAACAGTGCCATGATGAGCGAGAGAGCAATAAGAGATCTGCGGGAGACGTTAGAACCCATTCTAGGGAGATTGATGCGCATACACGTACCTCTGACCACCACTCAGCTCTGTCAGACTCTGCTTCCAAACCTTTCCCAGGCAGACCTTGACCTCGAGACCATCACTGATGGTCTTCCCCTCTGGTGGGTCCAGCTTTGCGAAACTGCCTCCGGGCAGCAGTTCTGAGAAAATACCACCGAAGTCGGCATTGACCTTTTCCCAGGTCTCATGCAGTGCCTTCTTCTTGTAATCGTCCAGGCTGATGATGGTCTCTTCGATCTTCTTCTTGTCACGAATGACTGTCTTCATCATGTGCTTTAATGATGCCTCTTTCTTCTCGACGCTGTCGATCATGTTCATGACCTTGGGGTTGATCTTCTTCTTCATGCCTTGGAATCGCTCGGTTAGGTTCTTCAGCGTTGACTTGCACTCCCCGATGTTGTGGTTCTTGAAGTCGTACGGGGTACCCGAACGGCCAAAGTTGTCCTTCTCGTCGGCGATCCACTCGTGCTCTTTTTCCATGTGAGCGACGGCCTGTACGGCAGTTTGCTGCTCCTTGTGGAATTTTTCAACCTGGTGGCCTAGCTTCTGCATTTCTAGGCCTTCCTCCGTGATCCGAGAGTTTTTCGAACGCATCGCGTCCTCTAGAGCCCGGAGTTCATCATCAAAAATGCTCAGCTTAGCCCGCTCTTCATCAAGGTCGGCTTGTGCCTTTTCGTGGGTCTCCTTGAGCTCGTCCCGCTGCTTAGACGTCTGAGCGATCTCATCTTGTTGGGCCTTGATGGCCAAGTCGACTTCCTGGAGCTGCTCCCGCGCAGCAGCAAGGTCGCCAGAAACTTGTTCGGAGTCTAGCTGGGCGTTCTGCAGCTCCTTTTGAAGAGTCTTGACGGATGTCCTGTTCTTCTCTAGGGAGGACCGCAGCTTGTCCAAGGAAGCCTGCAGCTCCACCAGCTTTCCGTCCTTATTGTTGTCAAAATCCTTCATGTCCTTCTCGATCCGTTTGGCATCTGCCGTAGCCTCCACGTGGCGTTTCTTGGCTTCTTGGATGTCCGTCTTGAGCTGAACAATGCTCTCTTTCATTTTCTCCACCTCCTGGATGATGGATGAGGACGAGTTGCTTCCAATTTGCTCCTCAGCAAGCTTGATCTCGTGGGACTTGAGATCGAGTTCTTGCTTGATTCGACGGGCCTGATCCAATTTTGACCTCTCCCTAGCAATCTTGGCCTGCAACTCTCGGAGCGACGCCTCGGCCTCCGCCAATTGTCGGTTCAGATCGTTGAGCTTTTGCATGGTCACCAACACCCCACTAGAATTTGGCGCACTGCCACCAGAGAGGGTGCCAGATGGATCGTACGAGTCGCCTTGAAGAGTGATGCTCCTCATTCGGACATTGGGGTCAAAGGTCACCCTCTTTGCAGTGTCTGCATCCTCGCACACAAGAGTGTTGCCAAACACATATGCCATCGCTGCCGAGACCTCGTCATCATAGCCGACAAGTGACAGGGCCAAGTCGACCTTCCCCGGGGCAATCCTTTGAGCAGTCGCAATCGTTTGCGCAGACGCCTTGAAGGCAGCAATCTTGTTGAGAGGGATAATGGTGACACGCTTTCGCAGCTTGCCACCTTTGAGCAATTGCGTACCCGTCACCTCGTTGTCGACCACAACGTTGTAGAGACGGCCGCCGGCACAGATTTCGAGAGCAGTTCCAGCTCTGGTGTGGTCTTTGTCGAGCGTGAATAGCTGGGCGACAAGACCCTTGACCTTGGATCTGTCGAAGTTCGGTACTGGGTCAGCATAGTTGAAGTCGATGTTGGCAACTCTGCGCTTCAATGCGTCCGATTCTTGCCGTAGGCTTCGAATCTTCTGTTGCAGGCTGCTCTCCTCCTTGTACAAGTCCTCCTCTGCACCGGGGCTGAAACCGAGCTTGCCGAGCTCCTTCTCGAGCTTCTGTGCCTGGGACTTGAGACCTTCGAGCTCATTAAGCAAGCCGGCGTTCTGTTCCTTCGCCTTCTTGGCACGCGGCTCTTCTTCTTTGATGCGCTTCTCGAGATGAGCAATCTTGATCTTGGCTTGTTCTTGCTCAGTGCCCGCGGCAGAGGCTCGACTCCTTGCGTCTTGCAGTTGGGCCTGATAACCATTTTCCTGGCCCTCCTTGGACGCAACGCCGGTTTGCAAAGTTTGCAAGAGTTCTTCCTTGGATTCGGCTTCCTGGCTCTGCCTCTCGAGCTCTTCCTTTGCGGAGTCATGCTTTGCCTTCATCTTGTCGAAAACCTTGGTCTTTTCCTGCAGAGCGGCCTCGAGTTCCGCGACGTTCTTCTCTCCTGCTATCCTCCGGTCTTGCTCCTCGGTCAAGCTTGATTTCTTGAGATCCATTACTGTCGCGAGACGAACGAGTTCGTTGGAAAGCTTCTTTACAGAGTCCTCGAGAGCTTGTGCCTTGGCGCCTTTTCGCAGCTCTTTGTCACGCTGAGACTTGACCCTCTGCACATCTTCCTCCAAATGAGATATCTCGCTCTTTAGCCTCACAGCGGACTCCTCAAGATCCTGCTGCCGCTTCTTCTTGCTGTCGAGGTCAGAACCGGATTGCTCGAGCCGCTCCTGATACCTGACATAGTCATGTGCAACGACCAGCCTTGTCAACCGTTCGAGATCATTTTGCGTTTGTTGGAAGTCGAGAAACGCCCTCTTTTCCTGACGAAGTTTCTCAAGCTTGGGCTCGATCTCTTCATGCAGGAGCGCCTGGATCTCCTGCAGTTTCATTTCCTTCTTCGACATGGTCTTCAATGCCTTGTCCCGACGGTCTTCGAACATCCTGGTACCGGCTGCCTCCTCTATCATGGCCAAAATCTCGACCGACTTCATGTTCAGGACTTTTGTGATTTTTCCCTGCATGATCAGAAAGTTTGGGTTGTTGATGTTCAAGCCTACTGATTGGAAGAGGTTTTGTACGGTCTGCTGTTGCGCCCGGTGGCCATTGATGAGGTATTTGGACGTCCCGCCGAGGACGATCTGTCGGGTCACACTGATGGTCGCGTATTCCTCGAATCCGATGGGTGACTTGTTCTTGTCCCGGTTATCGAAGACGATTGTGACACTAGCTTTCGTAACTCCGGCTTGACCGCGCTTGTAGATCAGGTCCTGAGATCGCCAGAGGTCAGAATGGGGCCTGTACAACGAGCAGACACGAGAGGGCGAGCTTGAGCCGCACCTGTAAGTTTTGCGCTCGAACAGTGGTCATGTTCGTGATGCCCAGGACGAAACAAATGGAGTCCAGAATATTGGACTTGCCACTGCCGTTGAGGCCGGTGATAGAATTGAATGTCTCGTCCCTGCAAACTTGTCAGCGGTCGTCGTTCAGCTGCGTACGCAAGGAGACATGTTGTTTACCATCCTGATATGACGGTGCGCTGGGCGTACGACTTGAAGCCCTGCTCGGTTGTCAGTCACAGCTGCTTGATGTGGGGTCGAGGAGGTTCAACGGACATCTATAATAATCTCTGTTACCCTCATGGTGACAGACTTGACCTGATGGTCTTCGTGGGTGTATGCATTGAAGGGAAGTCGGATTCTGGCGGGACGGAGGCGCGTATTGGTAAACAAATCATTGCCTCGCGGGCCTGGCAACGAATCCCTGCTAGACCATCCCGCTTCCCGCTTTGCATGGTCCCGCGACATGGCCCGTGCAGAACCTCCTGCCGGCCTCGGGTACTCCAGGGTTAGGGCTACCCTGCCCAAGTTCCCCAAGTCCGCAACAGTACAACATAGCCTCAACTATAGATACTCCGTAATAGGCTGGGGCTACGTGCAGTCAATATAGGGAACGTCCTCCTGGAATGTACGTCGACATGGAATCAAATACGGTGTGTTCAGACTCGTCCTGTGGGGGTTCGTCTTCCACCAAAATAAGGGGCTTTCAAAGTGTCCCACAAGCTTCAACATGACGAGCTTGGCAGTGACAAGTGATACGGCGCCTGATCACAGGAGATGTTCTCGGGACACACGTATTTTACCTGGCTGCGTACCGCCTGCTGCCACCGAGTCGTGGCCGCCGCTGTGACTCGTAAGCCATGGGAATAGGTACAACTCTCCCGCAACGTTGTCATAGCCATACCCATGGCCTATGACAGTTGATAGTTGAGTCGCAGCATCGTCGCTCCAGATTGAACGGCGTGATCGCGGGTCTTACTCCTGGCATGCAATCGCCAGCACAGAGGGGGGCCGTGGGCCGGCTGGCCGAGCGTAAGGAGGTAGGGAGGTTAGAACGGCCACAATGTACCCACCCACCTACATTCCAAACAGGCCTGCAGGCCTGCCTGACAAGGTGACGGCTCGCCTGTAGCCGGCTCTGGGGGGTAGTATTTTTGGAGTATAGGTAGGCAGGACAGGTATGAAGTACGTATCCTTCAATTCCAACTCCCTAGTATCAATCTCCCTCCCAACATCCACGCAATTGAAACGAGCGACGACGCCTCTCCCTGGGCATCCTGGGTCCTTGACGGCACTCCAGCTACTCCGTACACTCGCTACTGATCCCGCTATCGCGACACTAGCCTAGCTAGTCTTTCTCGCCCCCAGAACCCGTGTCGCCAGGTCGCTCGCTGCACGGCACCCACGAACACCCCTCGATCCCTTGGCTCGACAGCCCCCAACACCACCATCCACCATCCTGCCGCCGACCTAGACTCAGCTACCGCCGCTCCGACCCGCGACCTTAATTCATTACCTTTCTCACCCACTCAGACACCCTCAAGTCGCAATCGTCCTTATCCTCGTCCCTGCCGTCCCTGCCGTCCCTGCCGTCCCTGAACTGATGGTTGCCATTCACCCCGGCGACTGCACCGCGCCGAGGTCGTAGGCCTCGTCGTGATGTCGTCCTCCGCCCGACTCTCTGCTCCTGCTCACGATGCCGACGCGCGCCCCCGGAATCGTCGGCTAGGGACAGGAGCGGACAGCTCCTCCAGATCCACATCCCTACTCAGGACTTCCGCAAGTCCATCGTCTAGCAGGGGGGCAAGCCCCATCCCGACAGCGCGAATAGGACCGACCTCTAGATCATCAAGCAAGGTCGCCCCCTCCCGGTCCAACACCGGGGACTCTGTATTTGGAAAGAGCTGGCTCGACGGGCAATGGACCAGCAGTTGGGCATCTATTCAAGACTTTACCACAAGCCTGCTGACTGGAGGTGATGGGTCTGGGCCTGCCAATGAAGGACGCAGCATGGGGGCCAACCCCAGGAAGCCGATGCAAAGAGCCTCAAGTGGAACTCTACGGAAGCAGCCCAGTGCGTGGGGGCCAGAGCCGCCTGAAGGTACTCGCCCGCGGATTGAGGATGTCGCAGCGGGAGCAGTGGCAGACCGGCAAGCTGCTTTCAGGGCGGCCAAGACAGCCAGCGTGTTGGAAAGCCACGATGGGGTCAACGGTGGGCTCGATGTGACAGGAAAGTTCAAGAGACGGAATTCTGATGAAGACTCGAGAACCGATGCCGTCAACCCGGAAGTGGAGAACCAGCTGGTCTACATACACCACACGTCGCCCACTGACACTTATGCGGGCATCATTCTGAGGTACCGATGCCAGGAAGATGCATTCAGGAAGGCAAACGGGCTGTGGTCCCGGGACAACATACAAGTACGGAAGTGGTTGGCACTTCCGGTAGATGCTTGTGAGGTGAAAGGGAGGCCATGCGACGGCCCCTCGTTCTATGCCAAAGAGGTAGATCTTCTCGCTACGACTCCCTCTGCCACCACACCAGGGACCTCATCGGATTTATCAAGATCAGACTCGGTCCAGCCACTCCACGACGACTTCTTTGCCTCACGGAACGAGCATGCAGTAGAGGAGTCGAAGGAGGAGGAAAAGCCCTGGACGCACGTCAGATGGGTCAAGCTTGACAATTGCAAGGACCCAATCGAGATTGCGAGGGTCTCAAGGAAGGCGATGGGCTACTTTCCGCCAAGGAGGAAGAAGAGTGTGCGCACAACCTCGACTTTGAGCACACCGCGGGGCTCGTTCGAGGTGCCCAGCATCACTCTTAGCTCCGATATCGTCGAAAGCCCCGGTAGCATCTCTTCCCGGCGTCACAGCCTACTCGCAAATCGGCCACAGATTGGTGCTACGTACGCGTCGTCGGCACCGACACCATCCCGCAGCAGGGTAGGCAGCGGTAATGATGACCTCCGGCCAGCGTGGATGCGGAGACCAGGCGGCGTGGGGACACTGAGCAGGAGTGTGCGTGCGCCAGGCCCAGAAAAGGACTACTTCAACACTTGGACCAAAAAGCATCTGCCGGGCCTCAACATTGAATCGCTCCCATCCATGGCGGTGATGGGATCTGAAACTGCCAAGTTTGGCTTCACCAACGACGAGGCGGCTGCCATTGTCGAGAGCCCCTTCGAAGAGGGCCGCGATGCCTCGGCAGCCAACAAGCAGGGCACCGGGCTCGACAAGGCGGCATTGACCATAGAGACGTGGCTGCGCGGCGCATGGGCAAAGAGACCCAACACGCCGATCCTGGGGCCGAGCCGTACTCGGCAGCATGCGGATGGGGATCCAGACCTGATCGAACTGGAAGACACCAATAGCGAGGATGGCCGGATCGGAAGCGGTCTGCTCGACCAGGCCATCCCGGACCTGCCAAACCTGGGCAACGGCTCGTCGAGCCGGAGCGACGGGAACGGGAGTGCGCTCAGGGGCCGCACGCCCCAGCGAAGCGACCCCGGGCTTGCTAAGGACAAGAAGGCAGATTAGATCGAGACAGACGAGGGCTCCTGGTGTTGGGGGCTTCCTCACAACGCATGCATCATCCAGGCGTTTTGTTCAGGGTTCTTTCTGTATATAGGGTGTTGTACGGGCCTGGGGGCGAAGCGCTGAGCAGTCAACAGTTGGAATTAACCGAAATAGACATTTTACTGGAGGAATAGTATTTTACTTAGTTTTGCTTTATCGAAGCATGACCTTCTGTGCATTATTACTTGGTCGTTGCATGAGTGAGCTCGCACCTGGCTGTTCAGGTTTCTCCCTCACACTGGACAAAGACATGGACTCCTATACCACCTCGAGCTCATACATATCAACTGCTCAAGCACGACAAGCTGGAACAGGGGCCAGGCACTCGCATGGCGGATGAGATCATGACGACGTCGGTGCCCTGAGTAGGACTCTACTGGTGTGAGTGTGAGTACCTAGGTAAGTATTAGAAAGCCTTGTTGATCCCATCGCACTCCGGCTCTGCCTCCTTTGCCCGGGTCAAGTCTCGTGGCCATGAGCCCCCCGGCGCCTTGGAGGGGAATGCCAATGCCTGCTCCACCACCGCGTCGCCGAGTTCCTTCTCGACGCCCAGGCGTGGCAGGCAGCCCTCGCCGCCGAAGACGCTCGGCCCGAGATGGTCGTAGGTGCCAAAGTCGGCCCTGACGCCGAGTCTCAGGGCGTTGGCGAGCCCACCCGCGCCCTCGGCCACGTGCGGGCTGGTGTGCATGGCGATCGCCAGCCAGGCCTCGCGGACCGAGGTGACGTCCACGCCGTGTCTCCTGAGAAGCGAGGCGGCCACGTTGGCGCCAGCTACCTCGAAACGTTCCGGGTCGGCCCTGTAAGCGTCTGCTATGCCGATATCGTGGAGGATGCACGCCACGAAGAGGACGTGGGGCGCGACTGGAGGTGCAGTGAAGGCGGCGGCGGGACCGGCAGGCCGGGAGAGGGCACGGCGCGCATAGATGAAGACGCGATAGCTGTGGTTGAAGACGGACACGGGCAGGGACTGGGCCAGGACGAGAGCTTCTGTGCAGGCCGGGTGTTGTGGTGTCTCAGCAGCGAGCCGGGGCTCGATGTCGCCGAACCATGCCGCGTCTTGTGCTTGTGGCTGTGGCTGCGGCTGCGTCTGCGTTGAGAAATTGCACATATTCCACTTGGATGACGACGACGAGGACCGCCTCTTGAATGTGAGACCATGCGTGATCTGCAGATTGTTGCTTGTCGGCTACTCCCATCGTGCCCAGCGGGAGGGAGGGCTCCTTGACAAATGCAAAATGAGTGAGTGAGTGAGTGAGTGAGTGATTGAGTGAGTGATTGAGTGAGCTTGCAGCTAGCTTACCCCGGGGCTGATTGGCTCCAAGCCTGACCGAACCGGACTCGTCCCTGAACCTGAACCTGCCTGAACCTGAACCTGAACCTTGAACGCGCCATGCTGTTTGCTCTGCTTTGCGACAAAGCCAAAGCCACTGTCCATGGTATGGTCGACAGCCCCTCTCGGATATGTCGATCACCCCTTGAACCGTCTGACATGACCTGAGCGACTCGCCACTCGCGACGACCGCAAGCTTGCGACAGCGACAGCGACAGCGACAGCGACCGCGACAGCGACCGCGACCGCGATGCCGATCTGCATAGAATGCCGCCACCCGGTCAAGACGCTATGGACAAAGTACTCTGGCGCGGGCGACAAGTCGAGCGGGCACAACATCCGGCTGACGGTGTGCCGGAACTGCGGGCGCTTCTGCGACAAGTACGTCGAGCATGACTACATTGTGCTCTTCATCGACCTGGTGCTCATCAAGCCCCAGGTCTACCGCCACCTGCTGCACAACACCCTCATGCGCGACCACGACCAGTTCGACCCCTCCATCATCCGCCTCGGCATCCTCCTGCTGCTCTTTGACGTCTACCTGACCTGGGCCCGCATCGAGAAGCAGTCCGTGCCCGACGGCAACGACCCCCTCGCCGACAGCAGCTTTGGCCGCCTCGCCCAGCAGCCCATCGTCTTCCAGTACATGTTCTTTTGTAGGCCTCCTCCTTGCAGATGCTGCCTCTCATGAGCCACTGTCTAACCGCTTCCTACCCAGTAATACTGTGCACACTCTCGACCCTCGCCTTCCACCTGTCCATCCGCTTCCTCACCTCGTCGCCCTTCTCGCCCCTGGGGCTTCTTGGCTTCCTCCCACGCTACTCGCGGCCCAACTCGGTATCAACCGCCCTGCTCGTCTCCAGCAGCACAAAGCTGTTCCCTATCCTGATGGTCATATGGGAGTACGACGTCCCCGCCGCCGCGAGATCGCTGGGCTGGGCCGTGGTGGCCAACAACGTGGAGGCCCTCAAGATACTGCTGGATTGCGGCTACGGGGTTGCGGCACTGCTGGCTACGACCGGGGCTCTGAGCCGCTGGCTCGTCGGCAGGACCATACTGTGGGCAGCGGGGCTGGACGGCGTGGACTCGCAGGGCGAAGGCAGCGTGGCGGAGGAGGGCAAAGCGCTCTGGGCCTTGATTGTTTACGTGAGGGACTGGGTCGGCCAGCTGGCCATATAGAAGCGCATATAGCAATCTAATCCTTTGGTTTCCCCGGCATGAACCCACCGGCCGTTCGTTCGGTACTAGGGCTTGCACACTATCCCTGGGACTTACTCTCAGCCCGCGGCCTGTGCCTTGCTGTCCCTGTCCTGCTGCGGAACCTCCGCCGGTTCTCACCACCGCACCGAATAATCACAGTCAACCGCACCGCCGGAAGCTTGGTAGTATGGATCCTATTATTCCCCCAACGCCGGCAATGTGATGAAAGATGAACAGTTATTTGTACAGCTCCCTGTATCTCCAACTCTTCCGTCCTCGGCCCCCCCCCCTCCCTCCAGTCTACTGAGCGGACTCGTCTTTACTCGTGCACAAACTTCTCTCTCAGGTCGGATCGCTTCGGCTCGATCAAGGGGTGTAGTTGGGCCAGGAAGGTGAGTGCCCACATCAGATAGCAGCAGACGAATGCGAGGATGAGGGATGACCGCCAGAGCCTGTATGCCGGCACAAGTCGTCAGCACGGCACGCAGCCAACACACCTTTGGTCAAGGAGACCGAGTGCTAGGGGAGGCGGGAGATTACTCACACTTGGTTCTCGCCCTTGGGGGACAGGAACCATGCGCCTACGCACATGGCGGCGATGATGAACAGGCCGATGAAGATGCTCCACCTGGAGGAGGGAGCGTCAGCGCATGCAGCCCTCAGACGTTGCATAGTACATGTCCATGCACGGAGATGAGTTCGAGCTTACCCGTTAGCCATTTTGAAGGGACTGGCGATTTGGCGCGTGGGGATGATGGGGAGCTCGCTCGATTGTGACGGTTTGGAACGGTGATGATGCTCACCTGCTTGCTGCTCGCTTGGCCGACCGGGTCGGAGCTCCGCTTACGTAACCCGAATCCCAAGGCCACACCGTCCAATCCTGAGTTGATCAGCTGAAGAAACGTCCCATATACAATGCCATAATCAACTTAAGAGGCGATGTGTGGCCAAGGTAAGGAATCACACATTGCTCAACCCTGTTCGCCGTCGTTCTACATACCCCTAAGCTGTATACATGAATAACATACCCATCGGGTTTGCCAACATCTATGCGTCGTTCTCAAACTTCAGCCCGTTCTCCTGCCTCACAGCGCCGTAGATACCCGCAATATCACCATTATCTGTGTGCTCCTGGATCATGCTGAGATGCGCATCGGCCACCTCGAGATTCCTCAGCTTGACCCCCGAGTCCCTTGCAATCTTCAACGCATGCCCAGCATCTTTCCTGGCGAGGTCAGCGTGGAACAGAGGCTCCTTCCTCTTCCAGTAGTCACCGGTCAACATCCTGTTCGAGTAAGGGGGATACACGCCGGGCATCATCAGCTCGATGAACTTGTGCGAGTACTGTGTCCCCAGCCCGCTCTTCTCAGCTAGCACGTGGCCCTCGGCGACTTGCTCGACCATGTTGAGGATGAACGTGTTTCCCAGAAGCTTGAGCTGTGAGGCTTTGCTGTAAGGCTCCCCGCTCATGTCGATTATGGCCCGCGAGGTGACACCCTCGAGGTAGGGCTTGATCCTGTCAACGGCAGACTTGGGCCCGGCCGGGACGGGCACAAGAGCACCGGCCTCGGCCATTGGCGGTGCGCCGAAGACGGGGCATGCCACAAAGTCGGCACCCTTGGAGGTGATCGTCTTGGCGACCGCCTCGGTCGTGTCCGGGTGGATTGTCGAGCAGTCTACAACCACCTTGCCCTTGATGTCGGCCTTGACGACAGCGTCCACCGTGTCAGTGACAGCTGCATCGTTGGCAACGCAGATGAAGATCACATCGCTCTTTGCAACACCAGCCTCGATGGATTCTGCCACCTCCGACTTGCCTGCGGGCAGGCTCGCGCTCAGATCTACTGCTCGCTGCTTCGATCGGTTGTATATGGCAAGGGGCCCGCCAAGTTGGCCTTTCTCGGCGATGTTTTTGGCCATGCCCTAGAGTGAGGTCAGCAGGCCCGTGATGATCTTCTCGACGCGGGCAATTCCACTCACGCGGCCCATGTTCCCTAGACCGATCCAGAATACATTGGGAGCCATGGTTGCGTGAATTGGTATGATGTGAGTCCTTTCCGGGTCTTATAGGCGTGTTAGTGAGCTAGATGTTGGCGATCCCAACGAGTGCTCAAGCCGCACAAGAAACAATCTGTGATGGTAGAAGCTGGAGCTGCTCACGCACTTTGGATTATTTCGGAACCTGACCTGCACACACAAGAAGCTGGAAGGGATTGTGTTGAAAGAGGCAAGCGCCGCTTTGTGAAATTCCATGGAGCTCCTAGTTAACACGGGGCGCTGTCGGATGACGACAACGGCAATTCTCGTGGAGTCTCCTAATGCTAAATCCGACCGCTTCGGTTGTTGCGGGGAAGGGCCGGTTCCCAGAACTGCACCACCGGGTGAAGCATTTACGGAATTATCCTGACCCCTCGGTGTGAGGTGGGGGGTTTGTGAAAGCTACATAGCACTTCAAAGACCTCGTACAATATCATTAAAGGCGTCTTTAAATCGCGTTCCGAGGTGACCTCTCGTCGCGGCCGAGTCGGGCAACCCGGCAGCTCCCACGGGCTTCCCGAGTCTGATGTGCCCCGGATACGCTATTCCCTTGCTTATTGTTCCCGTGGCAGCATAAAGGGAAAGGCGCAACTCTGATGCAATATTCCAAATGCCGTCTAAGAGTTGCAGTGTAGACCAGGCGTGGGCACTTAGTAAGTACCTCAGTACCTAGGTAAATACTTATTAGGTACTAAGTATGCTCCAGAACAGCGACCCTCTCCCCTGCCTGGGGACTCAGGGGTTGTGCCAAGGGTTGTTATCAATTTTCTTATCTTGGGATATTGGCTCCAAAGACCGCGCCTGAGTGCACTTACACCGATCGCCGGACCTTGACCAGAAAGGAAAATTATCGCTCACTTTCTTCTCCAACATCTTGTGACTTCTTCAGTCGGCTCATGTTCTCAGACATGTGCTCCAAATCATGATACTTCGTACCCCAGCATGGAAGAAGAGGGCGACAGTGCTCGCAGAGGTAAGAGTTGGGACCTCGGCCCTGTTGACTCACCGAAATCGCTCCTGAAAGCCATTTGCTGAAACAGACCACAGATTTCCAAGAGGACGAAATCTAGCAGTTCCAAGAGCTCGGCCGCAGCAGTCACGCATAGCTTCCGCGTGGAAACCCCAAAGGACCAGTTCTCCAAGGACATCCTCAAGGAACACTATGCATCTATTCCTAGAAAGGCAAGGGAGAAGAGGTCCCAGGACAGGGTGCGCAGCATCACATACGACCTAAACCCCAAACTCTCAAGCTTACACCCGTCCAGGACCTGTACGTCTCTGTGCTAGAGTCTTCATCAGCCACGAAGAGAGACGCGAAGCAGTATCTTCAAACATTCGCTCCCACGGTGGCAAAGGTGCCCGTGGGAGCCATCACCGTCGATCCGCTCAGGAACGGCGCCAGGGCCATCAGCGAGACACCGAGGTTTCTCCAGGGATCAGTCACGACAAAGCGAGCTCCTGTGGACCCCGTACCTCATGCCGCTCTCATCAAGTTCAGGCTGCCCCAGGAGGCCGACGAAGCCACACTGAAAGGCGTGGCCAAGACGCTCGCGCAGCTCCGTGTGCTCGGCCTCGTGAGTGTGATCGTCCTCGACTGCGAGCTGGGCCCAGACGACAAGTACTGGTCCAGAAGCCTGAACCAGCAGGCCTACAGGCTGGCTGGGGCCATTGATGAATATGGAGAGCCCTGGACAACAGTCATGACAGACTTTCCCCTGTCTACTCAACATGCGTTTCCTGAGAGCCAAGCCTCGCCACTGACATCCAACACCATCGTCGAGGAGGGTGGCTCCATCTTGTCGGCTCTCAACAAAGGATCGGCCGTTATCGTCCCCCCGATCGTGCACCAGTATGGCGGGAACTCTCAACCTATTGACCCCGACGAGGCGGTCTTGTCCCTCACACGCTACCTGTCGGGGCTGCAATTAGCCAAGCCATCCCAGCCTGGAGGAGGGTACGAGGAAGGCCTGACGTTGCCGGACAAGAAGGCATATGTCGACCGAGTAATCATCCTGGATCCTGTTGGCGGCATTCCCGCCAAGAACCGGTGGAATAATGCCCATGTGTTTCTCAACCTGTCGGACGAGATCGAGACTGCGAAGACACACCTACAGTCCCTGAACTCAGCCTCGCAAGGGCCCGAGGCTGGTGGCTCGTCTGTGCGAGCACACATGCGAAATCTCGACCTGGCCAAGAACACGCTTGCAATTCTGCCTTCAACTTCATCGGCGTTGATCACGACGCCTAGAGAAGCAGCAAATCTGCACTCACGGAGCGAAGATGCCTATGAAGGAGGCGTGATGGGATTTGTCGGCACAGTCGGAACGAGGAAGAGTCACAACCCCTTGATACATAACCTCCTAACAGATCGTCCGACTCATTCATCATCACTGCCCCTCGGCCGGATTAAACCAATCACACGGAACGCAGACGCAGAAAGCAGCCCGGTCATGTCATCTACAACTCTGGCTAAGAGAGGCATGCCCGTTACGGTTTACCCAGATCCGTCCGCAATAGGGTGGGTGCCTCCAAAGCCTGGGGGCCCAGGGCTCAAACTGACCGATTCCTGCATCGACATGCCGCGGCTGGTCCACTTGATAGAAGACTCGTTCAACAGGAAACTGGACGTGCAACACTACCTGAACCGGGTGGAAAAGAGCCTTGCAGGTATCATCATCGCCGGAGAGTACGAGGGAGGGGCGATCCTGACGTGGGAGAGACCGTTCGGCATGGATGAGGAGACGGCGTACATGAGTGGGCGGATGGTTCCGTACCTGGACAAATTTGCGGTGCTCAAGAAGAGCCAGGGGGCCGGGGGCGTGGCGGACATCGTCTTCAATGCCATGGTGAGAGACTGCTTCCCAGAGGGCGTGTGCTGGAGGAGCAGAAAGAACAACCCGGTCAACAAGTGGTACTTTGAGCGGTCACGGGGCACGATGAAGCTGCCCGAGTCGAACTGGTCGATGTTCTGGACAACGCCCCGGGTGACGCTGAAGGACGAAACGATGAAGGATTACGAGGATGTGTGCCGGAATATACTGCCCTCGTGGGCGGACAATAAACATATTGTGGACTAGGCGATGAGGCGATGAGGCGTATGTTGGAGTGGAGGGGTGGGGGGGAGGTCCCGCGTGGTGGAGACTCCTGACAAGCTACTTTTTAGTACTCATCATCATGGCAGACCGGGTGAAGAGACCAAAAGGCTACTTGTGGCAGACAAGCTGGTACGCGCAGGCAACAGGCTACTAATGAGCAGGGCCAAATGCTCCGGGAAAAGTCTAGCCTTGTCGATATGGTGTTAATCAAGCCGCTCAACCGCTGTAGCACCACACCAACAGGTCAATCCTGCGTGCGACCGATCCTGGACCGGTGGAAGCCGCCCAGCTGGATTGATGCGGGGGTCTGAGGGCCTGAGCCTTGGAGGCGAAGACATGTCCAGGCGGCGGCAAGGCGGGAGGCTCGGACTGTGAGGTGTTCCCGCCCCATTGCCCGTGAGGGCCGCCCGCCGCAGGTCCCACCCGTTTGCCATGGTGGTTGGTTGGCTGGGAGCATGTCCTGGCGAAGCTTGGGTGATCACGTTGAGGGATCGTCGCGGTTGTGGCGCGTGTCGAGAGCTCTAGTGGGCCCAGCCTACCAGCCCTGCTGCCACGACACCGAACTGCGGGGCAGGTACTCGGTATGATTCTGTCAGTCTGTTGGACCATTTTCATATATCCCCGTATACCACAGTGTTTCGCCCACAAGCTTCGGTGAGGACAGGTAAACAGGTCCTGCTTGGCCACCGCTGTCATGCTCGAGCCTCAGGTTGGTGCTGCCGTGCTGTGGTGACAGTTGCCACAGCTGTCACAGTAGCAGAGTAGTATCGAGTAGACTACCTGGGTACCTGGGTACCGAGTACTTGCTGAGCCACACCTGCAGGGCACCTCAGCCTACTACAGTACTCCGTAACGGCATTAGAGCAGACCTTAGCACGCCGACCAATACATGCCGCCCAAGTGACGCAACGATGAAGCTGCTGGCGTGTTTCGAGCCACCACGGCAGCACGGCTCAATTGGACCTCTCCCGGGGCCCGTATAATTGGCACCTACTTGGGTAGCTGAGTAGCTGTGGTGGAGGCTACCAGGCTACCAGGCTACGTACAGTGCCCGGCCCAAACAAGTGCACCCACACCTCGTCCCTCTTTCTGACGAACTTTGTCACCTTAAAGACTTGGCCTACCTCTTTTCTTTCCTCCTCGCTGCCGATCTCGTACACCATCCCCCGTGTCACACGCCCTTCCTTCATAGAGCTCTCTCTGTAACAGCTGTGCTACCCACGCCTGCTCCTCTCACTCCTGCCGCCACCTCTGGCTTCCAGGTCTTATAAGAGACCTGCCTGCTCGCCGTAGACTGCACCCCGGACTCCTGTCTGCACAACCTCGTCTTACTGCTCCTCCAGCTCTGGAAGGGCAAGGCATCTACCAGTCGAGCCTCATACCCGGTAGCAACATCACCCTCCCCCTACATTGGCCGCCATGGACCGAGTCAAGCAGGGTATGATCTCCCATCTCCAGCACGTCTGTTATGAGGTGACAGTCCCTGACCCGACTACCGTATAGCAAACCCCTTCGCCAAGAGGGAATCCCACCCTCCAGCCGCCGTCATCACCTACAAGGTTCTGACAATTCTCACCTGGCTGCTCTCCGTCATCGTCTCCGTGTACTACTCCGCCCGGTCTCCCGCCGACGACATCAAGCATGGCAGGACCATCGAGGGCCAGAACTACCTGCACTGGTCTGGCTTCACGCTCAACTTCGTGCTCGTCTATGTCTACTTGTGAGTTCCAGGCCCATGCGCCCCTCTTGCTCTTGGAGAGCCACAGGCGCCTAATCCGAGATACCAGCATCATCCTGTTCATCTCCCAGGTCGGCTATATCGTGCACCTATTTTCGACCGACCTCGAGAAGTCCAACCCGGCCTGTGCTGTCGGTTCCCACTTCATCGCCAACAACCTGCTGCACTTCGCCTTCGTCATGCTCTTCGTTCGCAGCCACTTCGTCTGGGCTGAGCTCATCCTGATCATCAACTTCTTCAACTTGAGCTCGCTGGCCTTCCGCCACCATTCTTACCCCCGTTTCATCCACACTCCTGTTGTGTCTGGGCCGCTGGCCTGGACCTTCGTGGCCATCTGTAAGTGGTTTCTTATCAACACTTGCACGCTCCGCAGCGGATTTTCTAACCCAACACCTGGACAGACTGGAACGGCGCCATTATGGTCCCCAACGAGGGCAGCCTGGTGGCGAGGATTTTCGCCAACCTCTTTGTCTGGTCTATTCTCGTCTACGGACTGTTCTTCATTGCAATCTACAAGGTAAGTCTTGTGGCAGGGTGTTGTTCGGTCGCGTTTACAGGCTGACTTGTGATCAGGACTACACGATGGGCTTCTGGCTCAGCGTCCTGTCAGCAGCCTTGGGCGTGGCCCAATTCCAGCGCCAGTTCATCGCGCTCCAGTGGATCTTCGCATTTGTCATAATGGCTGTGTTGTTCAGCTTGTCTACAGTCGTCGGCATTGCCGCATGGACGGGCCGTGAGCTCCGCCTCGGCAAGGACAAGACGGTGACAGCAGATGCTGAGCGCGCACCCCTCCTAGCAGATGACAACAACCAGGCAGCTTAAGCCGCATCGATCTTGTGGCAGTCGGATCAGAGGCTCACGTTCGCTACGGCGGGGCCACAGAAAGGAGCTATCCCCCCGGGAGTCAAATGTTGGCGGAACGGGCACGTCTGGATGATGTGTCTCTGGTTATTACAGTATCTTACATGGAGTATCTATGCTCATGGGCGGCCGGGCGTGCAAATGAAAAGCTCGCCGTGAGAACAGAGTGTTTGGGAGTTGGTAATTGACCTTTCTTGGTGTGGAAAAAAGCATGTCCAGCTGCGATCCTTTCGATGCTTGTTTGCATAGTCTGGGAAAGAACGAACGATGGTGCTGAAAACTTGCAACATATTGCGTGATGAAACATTGCAATGACAGGAGGAGAGATGAAGCAAAGTTGCAATATTGGAACTTTTCCTGCCCACATGTGTAACTAAGTGACGCCGAGCATCAAATCGTGTTTCCAGCATGGCCGTGCTTACATAATCGAGACATCGCCATTCATCTCACTTGACGCTGTCGTCCGGTGCAAGGATCCCACCTCTTCTTATGATAGCCCGTGCAACCCCGAAACGAGGCTCGGTGCGCATATCCAAATGTCAGGACAGAGGGTACTGAGGAGCTTCCCCTTGGCCCTGAACCTCGGCGCCGACATCTGTCACATAACTCGCATCCGCAGGATCTTGGAGTCTCCCAGGGCGTCGCGGTTCGTTCAGAGGATCCTTAATGATGAAGAGAGAAGTCACCCGAAAATACAATGCATCCTTAACAAAGGGCACTCGCCCAGCCTGAGCCGGGCAGCCAAGACCAGTTGTGCGATGGGAGAACACCACACCACCGCTGCGGCGGCGGCCGGTGTGGAGGATCACAGCCCGTCAACAGCCGCACCAAACCTCGATGAACTCCAACTCGCAGCTACTTTTATGGCTGGAAGGTATGCTCGACCCATCTCAAGTGGGCAACACTTGACACTTGGCACAATATCCGCTATACTTGTGGCCAGGTGGCTAACTGACTGAGATTGGGATCACCAGGTTCGCTGCAAAGGAGGCCGTCATCAAAGCCCACCCGCAAAAGAACCTCACCTGGCATGGTATCACCATATCGCACCAGGCATCGACGCACGCAGACCGGAAGGGGGCACCAGCGGCTATCATAAGGGGCACCAATGAAGACTACGAGGCCCTCATCAGCATCAGCCACGATGGAGACTATGCATCCGCCGTATGTCTCGGTGCCCGTCACGCAGAGGACCTGTAGACTGATCAAAGGCGCGAGGCGGTGGGCGCGTTCCACTCGTCGCACCGAACTCCCGCCAGATGGACTGGATATGAGCAAATCTCCGAGCTCTCGCATCACGAGCAGGAGCCGGCTGATGGCTTCTAAAATCGGCTGTCCCATGCAACAACGCGTGCAGACGCGGTGGAAAGACAGCCCTGGCAGATTACCTCTCACGTCGCACAGCAGCCCAATAGCAGGCCTTTCTCCAGTTCCTGGTAGCACATTGATAAGCCAATCTATGTGCGATCACGTTCTGAGGTGGAGCACCGCATGGCTGCAAAAGCAGAAACAGCATGAAGCCGCAATCCTCGTGCGACCCGTGGACTGCGGATTAGTGCTGCGGCTACAAGGGGCCACCATGGACGAGGCTGACTGCTCGACGGGCCTGGTGATATCGACCATCTTTGAGCTGAGACAGTATGAGGGAAAACCAAGAGTTGCATCGGCAGATTGCAGAAGATTTGGCGCGAGCTTCGGCGGGCTGAGTGCCCGCGGCGGCCACTTCTCCAGATGAACCTTGGAAGCCAGGTGAAGGGGAGCTAGCCAACGGGGTGTTGGACTTGATATAAACAATCAATCTTCAGACTCAACAGTCCAAACGAACATGGGATGACTTGCGACCCTCTCTCCTGCAAACCTGATAGATGAGGTCCCAACCAACCTCGCCACTCTTTGTCTGCCCCCACGCTCCTTGACAACCTCACAGGTTGAACTTCGCAAAGCTGTGTATTAGAACCATTCTGACTTTTTGTCGTCACCTTGAATCCCTCACTTACTCATCACCAACCTGACCGCACATAATTGTCGTCAGCCAGAGCGCACGCTTGTGCTGTGACGATGCTACGACGTTGGGCTTCGACCGTCGCACTCGCTTCGTCTTTCCACCTCAGCCGTTGCCTACACATCCCTCCCAGTTCCATCAATGAGTCTCTTCGCTGCCATTACGACTACGTTATCGTCGGTGGTGGTGCTTCAGGCTTGGTCGTAGCAAATCGACTCAGCGAGGATCCAAATGGTGCGCCCGACTCCCACCGCGTTTTGGCTGTGGCGTTTGGCTGATTCGTGATTTTTACAGTGACGGTACTAGTGCTGGAGGCTGGAACACTGTTCGTAAAACAGTTCTTTGGACTCTTCCGTCTCACCATTGGCTAACGATCATGACAGTGATACGGGAGGGGCAAAGGTGACGATTCCAGCGGAGATAGGAGACACCCTCTGGACAGACTACGACTGGAAGCTTCACACTGTCCAACAAGAGTACCTTAACAACAGGAATGTTGCACTCAATCAAGGCAAAGTCGTCGGTGGAGGCACCATTCTTAATGGGATGGTGTGGACTCGAGGCTCGGCCAGGGACTACGACGCCTGGGGAGATCTCAACGATGTGGAAGGCCGGTCGAGTGGGTATAGCTGGCGGTGGGAAGACCTGCTCCCTTATTTTCAGAAGGTACGACATGAAAGCGACGGGCTTTTCCTCGGGCATTGTTGACACCAACTGCAACTACAGAGCGAGAACTTTACTTTGGACATGGATGTCGCGACCACATCGAGATTCAACATTCGTCCAAATGAGGAATTCCACGGAGATGAGGGACCTGTGTCTGTTGGCTATCCTCGATTTATTTACAACCAATCTGGTATGAGCCCCATGAAGCTTTTCCCGCGTGTCACTAGGAGCCGGTCAGTGAAGCTCATAAGATTCCAGGCAACTTCTTAGATGGCATGACAGAGTTGGGATTGCCCCTCGCGGCCGAGCCCAACGACGGAACATGTGTTGGTGCCATGATCAACCCCTCCAGCATGAACGCACAGAACCAGTCGCGGTGTGACAGTCGCACAGCATACCTCGATCCAGTGATAGACCGTCCCAACCTGCACATCGCAACGGAACAGATGGTCACACAGGTGCTCTTGGAGGAGGTAGCCAACCCGGATTTGGGTGACGGCGAATCAACATTTGATCGGGTACAGAGGGCCATCGGGGTTGAGGTATGTCCAAAGGAATGCTGTCCACTGGATACTTTACTGAATCTATATCTTCCGCAGTTCTCACACTCAAAATCCAGCCCCAGGACGAATATAACCTGCTCGAGGGAGGTCATTCTGGCAGCTGGTGCCATCTTTTCCCCCACGATTCTGCAATTGTCCGGCATAGGTCCTGGAGATGTACTCAGGTCTTTGAATGTCACCGTACGACTCGACCTACCTGGGGTGGGTGCGAACTTGCAAGATCACGGCATGTTACATCCTGTATATTCATGTATGTGATAACTCCACAAGCCAGCCTCAAGCCCTTCCGGGTCTTTGCGACTCCGTCTCTGCTTGGTAGCAACACGTTCCTGGAGATCAACTGACGTCAATAACACAGACACGAATGCCTCCTTGATCACCGCCAATTCCATCGAGGCTGACAATGATTCTCGGGCCGCCGCTCTAAATGAATACGAAATTCACCGCACAGGCCCGTTGACGGCACCTTTGATCAGCACGATCGCGTTCCCAGCCATGCGCCACTTCGCAGACGACTGGGTGGAACTCATAGACGCCGCCGAGCAACGCAACATCGACCAGACCTTGGCGCCGGGCACCCCGGCCACCGTCAGGGCGGGCTACCTCGCCCAGCGCAAGTACCAGATCCCCCTGCTGCGCAACCCGACCGAGGGCGCGGTCGAGATCCTCGCCGACTCGATCGGGACGCTGTCCGTGGCCATGCAGCGGCCCCTGTCCCGCGGCACGGTGCGCCCGTCCTCGCGCGACATCTTCGACATCCCGCCGCTCGTCGACCCGCGCTACTGCTCCGAGCCGTTCGACTGCCTCGTCCTCGCGCGGGCGCTGCTCTTCAACTGCGCCCTGGTCCGCACGCGCGCCATGGCGGAGCTGCAGCCCGTCGCGCAGGGGCCCTACTTCTGCCCGGCCGACCTGGCCGACCAGAGGAACGTCACCGACAGCAGGATGCTGGAGCTGGCCAGGCAGTACCTCGCCACCGAGTTCCACCCGTCCGGGTCCACAGCCATGCTGCCCCTTGACCTCGGCGGGGTGGTGGACACCGAGCTGAGGGTGTACGGGACGCAGGGCCTGAGGGTCGTCGACGCTGGGGTGATGCCGATGGTGCTCGGCGCGCACCTGCAGGCTGCTGTTTATGCGATAGCCGAGAGGGCTGCTGACATTATCTCTGGCAGCGATACAGATAGTGATGAGGAGGTTTGTCTCGACGAGTGGAACGCGTGAGGGACGAAAACGACGGCTGTACAGCAGAGGACTGAAGAGAGTTTTCTGAAACTCACAAGTAAGATACCTTAAGGATATTTAGTCTCATCGAAAATCACAAATGTTGGTATTGTTTCGACCAATTCAGTGTCCCGGGCTCGTTTGCGTCGCTACAAAGACCTCGGGACCCGTGGTGACAGCATTGATGTACTAATGCGCCACCTGTGTGAATCGCTTAAGGTCATTAGTACCGGCTTGAAGAGCCAATTGACAGCATGGTGTTCACTCAAAACTTGATCGGCACGTATGAATCGTACCTGGAGAAAGGGGGGGCAGGTTGTCCAGGAAGCTTGCCCGCATGATAATGGAGCTACACATGGAGCACCATTCGGCTGAAGCTCAGGAGGCGTCGCGTGATGGCTCCCAACGGGTAAAAGATGGAGCAGTAAAAGAAATTCAACCGAATTTCTCTACAAGTCTAAATTACAGAAGTGACACAAAAGAAGTCAAGTCTCGGCAAGGGGGTATCTGTCTGTGACCAAGGCAGCAACCAAGTTCCCAGCTTCTCATCCGCCAGACGCCCAGATAGATGAGTAGAGCATTGAAAAAAAAAGGAAGGAAAAAAACAAAAAAAAAAACAAGAAAGGCCCAAATGCTGCAACAATATCAAAAACGGGGCGCGACCGACCCAAACCTATTCTTCCCTGGACGCTACTACTCTATCACGCAGCTTGTGCGGCTTCGGTCACTAGTTGCTCACCCTCGTCGAGCAAATCGGTGACCTTCCTCAAATTCTGAATCATGCTCTGTCCAAGCCCGACAAGCAATAGCTTTTCCGCATTGGCCGGCAAGCCTAGGTATGTAGGCGGCTCGCGCTCAGGTAGCTTGTGGATCCATCCCATGAAGTCCTGCATGGAAGTGCCCGACGGCACCTCCAAGTTGCCCTCCTTGTCGCCGCCTTCCACCAATTTGTGGCCAATGTCATAGGCCGCGGGTGTCAGGAAGGAGTGGACGAGCTCTGTAAGGAGCTTGTAATCGCCCTCGTCGTCAATCTTGCCGCCGTATGTTTCTGTAACAAGGTACCGGATCATTTCCCAAGGAATATTCTGGGGTGCGATGTTGGTCCGGTTTTGTGCGACTGTTTCAACCCACGTATCGATCACAAAAGCCGAGCACTCGTACTACGTGTTGTCAGTAATGGCCATGGCTTAGTTGAAGGGTAAATACTCACGTCACTGTCATTGAACTCCCAGAAGCCCTTCCAACCAAGACTAGGCGCGTAACGGAGACGCTCCTGGACGACTGCATGCAAGAAAGAAAGCAAGAGATAAAGCCTCTGCCGCTCAACAGGGCTCTTGGCGGGTCTCGAAGAAAGCGAGGACATCGAGTCTTTCATGTTGGCCCTCACACCAGCAGGTTGCTCGTACATGAGCACGCGAGAGGCGCGGAGCAGGTTGACAGGAATCTTGGGGCTCGCTTCCATAGAAAGGAAGAGCCTGAACTCCGGGTTGGGGTTGAGTGATTCCATGCGCTTCTCGAGGCTCTGCAGCCAAGTTGGTGCGAGGTGAACGTTCTTGACCAGGACCCAAGAACCAAGCTGTGCCGCGTTACTGATTGCTTTGTCGGCGGTCGCAACCCCTTCGTTGGAGCCCATGGCAATATTCGTGCACCTAACCCGTGTTCTCTCCACCAGGCTGTCGACCTTGTAACTGGCGTCGAAGCCGGGACTAGACACCAGAGCAATAGGACGAGTCGCTGGTACTTGGGTGACAGTAGCCTTGAGATCTTCCACGATATCGAACAGCTCAGGTCCGAAGACAAGGGCCACGAATCGCTCCGCCGCAGGCACAAAACGGTCAAGACGGAAAAGCTTCACGAGCAGCAGTGATATGAGAGCCTTGTCGTTGTCATCCGTGCTGTCATCCCAAATTTTGGGAACGAAGTTTTCGGCTAGCTCTTGGGTGAAGAATTCCTCCCAGTCGCTGGAAGAGACCTGATCAAGTCTCTCCTTGAGACTGGGCAGTTTTCTAGCCCGCGCAAATGCCTCGTCCTTGGCATCCACATCGGTTGAGACGTCCTTGCCCTCGATCCTTTCGTCCAGGATGTTGTCAATGAGGTTGCTGTCCATTTTGTATGGAGATGCCTGCGCGAGGAGCATTGCGAGGGTAATGCGGTCTTTCTGGAGTAAACCAAGAGCAGTCCTCTTGAATGCGGCGATGAACAGATCCCTGACTATGATGTCCCGGCGCACCTTGTGATTCGTCTCGTTTGCCAAGTTCGGATTACCATGAAGCACACCGTGGAAGATGTCGAGGAAGTACTGAAGAGAGAACTGGTAGAAGTGGTTCAGGTAGTGCAGCTGTTCAAGGACAGCGTACACGGCACTGCAGGACTTGGCAATGACATCGTACTCGAGAGTGATCTGCTCGACCTCCGCCATGACGCCTTCGGTGTTGTTCATCTTGGCCGATATCTCGGCAGCCTCGGTCTTCAGAGTCTCCAACGTTTCAATGACGTTGTCGTCATCCAAAATGTTGCCGCGGGACTCGTTGAGTGCCTGCAACAGGCGCTTCTCAAGCTGTCGCAAGTGAACCTTGAACTCGCCCTGAAGTTTGATGAGGTTCGACCGCCTCTCATCAACATCTGGCCGCTCAGACTTCAGCGCATCGTTCAGCGACTGTGTCTGGAGACTGCTCTGTGTGACAGTGAAGTTCACAAACGTGGTTCGACTGCAGATGTCCGGTGCAAAGGTGGCAGACGGGTCCCTAGTAGACAAGTAGAGCTTGAACGCCGGCGAGAAGTCGATTTGCTGCTTTCCAAGCTGGATAAGCACACGCCCACCCGTCTTCTGGTACTCTTTGTTGAGCACGTGATTGAGGATGGGGTCGAGATGCTCCGCATCCTGGATGAGAATGGGGTTGCCGAAACGGAGAGAGCTCTCAAGCTGCTTGGTGAAAGAATCATCCAAGAAACTGGTGATGGTCAAGCGTCGCTCCTTGCACTCCTTTTGGAGGAATTCGTTGACTCTGCCCGAAGGATCGATGATCAAGGGGTACCTATTGAAGCGTTTCAGGATGATAGCGTTCTCGGTGCACAAGTCATCCACAGGCAGGCTGTTTTCGTGCCACCCGAGACGCTCATCGGCAGTGGACAAGTACTCGGTCATGGGGTTGTGTGGCTTGAACTGAATGCCAGACAGGTGCAGCTGGTGTAGCCAGTCCTCCATCATGGACTTTCGGAAGGTCTGGTCGTACAGACCGCTGTAGGCAAGGAAAGCAGCGGCAACAAGCACGTCTCCTACCAGTGTGCTGATCTGTGTCTCGAAGGACTTGCTGCCCTCCTCCCAACGCACGCGCTCAGAAGAAAGGCTGTCGAGCAGTTTGACGCTTCGGTCGACCTTGAATTGAACCTTGGACATTTCAGACTTGATAGCCTGCGTCTCGCTGATCAGCGCCGCATACTCTGTCTTGTACGTGGCGATGCTCTGTTCCAAGTGGGCAATGTTGCTCTCGATCGCTTTGGCTTCAGCCTTGGTCTGCAGAGCCTGCTCTTCCAGCTGCTCGACTTCCGCCCTCAGGGGACCAACTCGGTCGAGGATTTCGGCAAAATTTACCTGCGCCTCCACCCACTGAACTAGAGGACCACAAGCCTTACTGGCACGGTTGACCCTCTCAAACGTGAATTCAGGGTTGGATAAGAATTCGTTCCTCATCTTGACACGGAGGTTCTTAGTCATTTGCTTCTCGTTGTTGAAGTTGATGATGCTCGCAATAAAGTCGTCCCGTCGCACAACGGCCTGAACGGCCTTCCAATCGTTGACTTTGTGGCCGATCAGCGTGCAGACGGAATCCAGTGCAAGCTTGACGCCCTGCGGCGGGGTGTTCATGGATCGAACTTCAGTCAGGTGTTGACGCTTGATGTTGCTGACGCTGGCTTTGGCTTCCTCGACTGCGGGCTCTGCCTTTGCCAGATCTTCCAACACAACCTTCTTCCTCGTTGCGACCTCAGCTTCTTGCTTCTCGAGCGCTGCTTGGACTTCGAGAGACGTGGCCTTGCGCTGCTCAGCCTCCCTTTGATCGGCGACCATGCGCTGCAGCTTCTCATTTGCCTCAATGTCTTTCTGCTCCAGCTGGGCCTTCTTCTCAGCAAGACTCTCGCGAAGATCTCTGACCTTGTCCACGGTGTCCCTCAGTTTCTCAAGACCCACGTTAAGATGTCGCTGCTGTTCCTCGAGGTCCTCGCGCTTTTCATTGTACAGCTTGACATATTGTGCTACGAAATCCAAGAAGTGACGGGGTGTCAAAAAGGTGACCTTCCCTTGCTGCTTTTGTAGCTTGATATTGAAGCGCTGGAGAGAGTAGTGAATGTAGACCATAGAGTTGACAACAGATTCTCTGTGTGAAGGCGGCAGGCTGAGGCCACGGTAGGCGATGGGGATAGAGTCCGGTGCTTGAAAGTTCGCGCGGTCGAGATCCACAGAATGCGTCAACTCGTGAGCAACCTGGAACAATGCTTGATCCGACCAGTCTCCGAACCAGTTGAGGACACAACGATTGAACAAGGCAGGACTAGTGGCGGCCTTCGAAGAGAGTCCGTCTTCTGGTGGGTTCATGGTGAACACGACGTGCAAGTTTTTGACAATTTGCGACGTGAACCACTTGTACAGCTCCTCCTGGGAATCGAGGAGCAACCCTTGACGTTGTGCGCCTTCCTTGCAAGCCGTCATCAAGGCTGCGAAATCGTCACCTTCGAAGAGGCCAGGTACCTCAGCATTGGCGAGCAACGTGTTCATTCTCTCGAGGAAACCGGAGTCAAGAACGTTTGATTCGTCCATAATGAAGCACATTTTCTCGCCCTTGCAGCCACAACGCCGCAAGACTTCTCTCAGGTCCTCGTCGAAGTCCTCGGCCGAATACTTGCCGTGCACCTTGATTTGGTAGACCTTTAGACCGTTCATCCAGGCGACGAAGCGTGAGAGTGTTGTCTTTCCTGAGCCGCTGACTCCAATGAGGATAAGATGACCCTGGGGCTGCCGGAAGACACGATCAATGCGGAGGACGTGCTCCAGGACATCGTTGAATAAGATAAGGGGCACGTCAACTTCCTCCTCGCAGAAGGTCTTGAGACGAGCCTTGACGAAATCACGGAGTTGTTCCCGGTCGACCGGGACGTAGTTCTTAGACAGCCAGTTGGAGTAGAGGATTGGGCCACCGAGTGCCTGCTGTTCGTCGATAGTTGGGAAGAAGTCCATGGCAATTCTGCGCACAGCGTCATCTGTCCACTTGCGCTCATCCTCGGCAACAAGACGATCCTGGAACAGACGTAGAGCCTCATGTGCCCAGATTCTTACCAAGCCTTCAACCGACAAAGTCTCGAGAGGTCGGATTGCTTCGTAGACACCGCGGACCCAGCGAGTCAACTCACGAGGACTGTACACGTAATGAGGCTGGATCTTAGTCGTGAATCGTTGCTGAGACTCGAGGAAGAACCGGACCATGGACTGAGTGAGCGCCTCTGCATAGCCGCGGAGAGAGGGGATAATCTTGAGCACGGCAGCATTGAATGTTCCGTAGATTTGATGAAGAGATTGCTCCCCTGGATAGTCAACCATGATGAGAGGAGCATGGCGGAGGAAACGTGCAGCCATGGGCGTACGTCCAGCATCTGTGGGCGGATTACAGGCGCCCACGAACTGGATCCTGTCGAGGGTCACCCACGACTTGTCGGAAGTTCTCCAGAAGCCATTATGTTCGACTAGCTGACGGATGAAGGATATGGCTCTCTGCGTGCCGTACCTGTCCGGAGCGGGCAAATTGATCTCGTCACAGAAGATAACGAGCCAACGCCCAATCTGAGTTGGAGACAGCGTCACTCCATTCAGCGTCTTCTTGTACTCACAGTACTGCTCAAATGTCTTGATGAGGAGGTCAGGCGTGGTAGCACTCGAGAAGTTAAGGCCAACGACCTCCATGTTCGGGAGCTTGCGCAACGCACTGAAGAGTGTCATCGTTTTACCAGAGCCTGGCGGTCCGCACAGAAGAAGCGGCTTATGTTCAGCCAACCATGAGTACAAGACATCTTCGTGACGAACGGTGTCCAGAGTTGGAATGACAACATCAGTCTGGGTGATGGAGTGCGTGTTGACTTCGATCGTCGGCACCTGGTTCTGCCAAGGCGTCCATTCAGCTTGTGGGAGGGAGACGTCGAAGTCAATCAGGGCGCTGGAGCCATCCAGAGGCGGTGACCCGAAATCCGCGAGACCACACAGGCTGTCGCCGAATGCCTTGCGGTCACTTAGAGGACAGTCGCCGGTAAAAGACCAAACCAGAGCAAGCAGAAGCTTCTTGGCTACGAAGCCTTCGACCTGCTCTGGATCCAGAGGAAAGTCGACGTGCTGGGAGTTGTACTCGATGATGTCGCGTACGGCCTTATTGAGCAGCGAGAAGAGGGTGTTGAGCACTCTGGCCACTGTAAACTCCATAATGTGGTTATAGCTCTCTGCTTGCTGCAAAGCGGCCAGGATGAAGCCCTCAGACTCGAGATGCGAACGCAGGAGATCAGCAGCGTGTGTCTGCACTGCCAGGGCCTTTGCAGAGCTCTGCCCAGTGGCCACGGCATCCTCGTCTAGGTCCTCGAATGCGACTGTGCGCAGTGTCTCCAGGTAGTTGGTCACCATCATGCTAGGTGTGACAGTGTCTTCGCTGAACCAGACCATACCGCACCTACTGACTGTTGCGAGAGTGGCGTACTTCAGTGTTTCCACTTCGAACATGATGCGGACATTAGGCGGCAAATTGAGACGCTCGCCATTAGGAAGAGTGAGCAGCTTGTTGTCATCGAGCACACTGTTCAGGTTTTCAACCCACTCAGGGTCGACATCGCCATCGAAGACAATCCAGTGGCGCTTGGTATCCTCACCACGTAGGTTGTCCACAATTTTCCGAAGAATGCTCGTGAAGAGACCATCCGTCCATTCTCGGGTGGTGGAATCGAGATTTCCGTACAGTGCCTCCTTGGACATGACTTTTGAGTCAATGACATGGGAGACACCCTCGACACTCTCGACTTGTTGAAGTGCGTCAAGAAGCAACCTCCAGGCAGCTGACTTTCCTGATCCAGAATTTCCGACCATCATGACACCGTGATGGATCTTCTGAATTTGATAGAGCTGGAGGATTTTTGTCATCCACGTTTCGTTGACAACAAGTTGTCTTTCGTCTGCCAGGCGGCGGATCGCCTCCTCGAGACTGTGCAGGTTGGCAGGGATGTACTTCACCCCAGGGAAGCAGACCTGTTCGACATCCATCATGATGTCCACATCAGGCTTAATCAGCTTGGGCGCAATGGTCTCACGGATGCTTTGTACAATAATCTCCGGCTCGACCACTTCTTCTGCGCCAAGGTCGCCTCCACTCTCGATGAGACGGGCCCGTTTCAGTCCACCGGAGCTTACTAGCACGCTCTTCAGAGCACGAAGACCGAAGTCGTAGTGAGCTTGTTTCGATAGCTTGGCTGAACATTGGTCGAAGAAAGGTACTGTTTGCTTTGACAGTTGCTTAGCCTGATTAAAGCCTTGAGAGTACAGCATGACTTCGGCAATGAGCTCCTTGTCAGGCTTCGACATGGCCACACTGCGGAAGAGCTTCTTGAGGTTGTCTGGCAGATTGGACCGACCAGCATAGCCGGGGTTCATTGTGATGAAGATGCCCGTGTCTTCATTGACGTGAAGCTGGCGACCCACAAGCTCGATTTGAGCCTTGTCGTCCTCAGCGCCTTGTTTCAGACCAAGCTGGATGTTTTGAATCTGCTGGGAAACAGCGGACAAAATCCGCTCCTCAAGACGGTTGAACTCGTCGAAACAACCCCAGGCACCAACTTGACAGATACCGAGGAAAATACGCCCCATGGCCTGGAAATCGAAGGTGTCATCACAGCAGAAAACAAGAGTGAATCTGCCGAGTTCGACACCAAGGGCCTTGACAGACTCTGTTTTTCCGGTACCCGCAGGTCCGTAAGGCGATCCTCCTAGACGCTGGCACAGTCCTTGTGTAAGAGTGAGGAAGCACCTGTCGGTGAGCGGCGTTCGGACAAGCCTGTCAGGTACACCCAGGTACTCGAAGCCGTAGTTGAGCTTCGCGTTCGCCATCTTGACATGGATGCGGTCTAGGAATTCACCCTGAGGAGTGTAGACATAGCGCATCTGAAGTAGCCACATGTAATGGGTCGGAGTCGTGGCATTGAGGTTTACGAGCTTCTCAATGACATCTCGCTGGTGGACGCATTCGGTGATGAGCTGTTCACACTTCTTCCTCATCAGCACCTCCAGGTCACCCAAGACCGTTTCCGCGAGAAGGCGAAGCACCTGAACCTCCCGCTCAAACAGAGATTGAAGGCCTGTGCCACCATCGTTGAGTGCTTTGTCAATAGCAGTGGTCCAGACAACCTGAGTTGCCAAGACCACGATCTGACTCGGATAAGCTGCCATGAACTCGCTGAGGGCTTCTTGTTCGATCTTCTCGTTGGAGAAAATGGGCGTGTACTGCTCGACAGCCTCGGCCAGTAACTCGGCAAGCGTTGCCTTCATTCCGCTTTCCAGAAGTGCGAGCCAGTCATTAATCTTGGGAGTCTTGATGACCGATATTTCTTTCTTGAGTCGTACAATCTCGCCCTCCTTGGAGGTGAAGCCAGAAATCACACCCTCTTCGTCCATGACCAGGCCAGAGAGACCAGCAAACATCTTCTTGAAGTGCTTGGCAATACGCAAAGTGTCGTTACTGTTGCCGATCATTTCCAGAAGGTCTTCGTCGCCGACGAAGTAGAACCGAGGGAAGGAGACACGCTCCTTCTCGAGATACTCGCCCAGCGCTTTCTGAATCTTGTTGAGCAGCTCTGCCAATCGCTCCAAAGACTTCTGCACATTTGGGATATTGAGTACGTCAAGGACAGTGGGTTGTTTGTAGACCTTTTTCATCACCGCTGAGAACTCGCTGTTGATGTTCTGGAACCTCGAAGACTCGATCGGAAGCAGGTGCTTGATATCCGCGTTGCCAGTGAAGACACCCTCGAGGTAGACCCATTGGCGTTGAACATCAATCCAGACGTCGAAAAGGACATGCACACGGTTCAACCTATCCTCCCAGGTGGAGGCTTCCTCCTCAAACTCCTTGTAGTAAGGGGAGTGCTTCATTGCCTGCAGCGAATTGAGATTTTCACTGCACTTTGCGAAGAGCTCATCCCAACCGCGAATGAGACGGCATTTGTTCTGGTAATTGACGAGTTCGAGGTGATAGTTCGTCCAGTCCTCCTTCACCTGTCTCAGGAACTCTTCAAGGGCCATCTCACCCTGTGCTTGGGCAATCACATCCTTGATGATGACTTCGGTGGCCACTAGATTTAGGTCCCAGACATCTCCCAACGTCATGGACACGGGAGAATACCGTTTTCCAGGCTTGATCTGCTTCCAGATTTTGGTCCAATGCCGGTCTCGCACAGCCTCTGACTTGAGATCTCCCAGCAGGGAGTTGACTTTCAAGTACTGCCGGAGAATGTTTTGGATGTGCTCAAATGCAGCGTATTGCCGCATCCTGCTGGGCATCTCCTTCGTCATCTTAATGAGACCATCAATTGATGACCGGATCTTTCTTGGCTGTACACTGGTCCATAGCATCTCGCGCAGCTCGTTCAGACTCTTCCAAATCAGAGAAAGTGAAGCCCAGACGGATTTGAAGTCTTGAACCTCTTCCAAAATCACACCCAGAGACGAATCAGCGGACGCAGGAAGGTCGAGGGCTTCCTTCGCCTTGGAGACCATGGCAAACTCTTCTTGAAGCTGGGTAATCCTCATCTCGAAGGAGCTCAGCGTGGCATTGGCCTCGTCAGGAGGTATAGTACCAGAAACCGGCTTCTCCTCATTCCACTGCTGTGCCACTTCGGTGATTTTATCGGCAACGACCTTGTCCTCCGCCACAATCTTTGCTCGCAAGGCGTCCGTCTGGTCCTGGACAATCTTCGACTTGCGTGCTAGAAGCTCGTTCAATGCATCCCACATGCCGTCCACCTGTTCCGCATGTAGCCAGTCATTGGGGAACTGGTAACGCTGCCTCACAAGGGTAGACTCGCCTTGGCGGAAGATCTCCACCTCCGGTGCCCAAAGCTTGACCTGCCGCTTAGCACTTTGCACAATGGTGATGAACTGGACAGCTTGCGCAGTGGATGATGCTTCCAGGCTGTGGCTTTCCAAATCTCGCCGGGCCTTCTCAATCTCAGCATGGACTTCTCGCATGCGGTTTCCGAGACGACTGGCAAACTTGAGCAGAATGTCATGCTGCCATTGATCGTACTTGGCATTGACCTTGGTCTGCACCTGATCATAGTCGATGGTGACATGACCGAATGAGCGGCTTATCTCCGATGTGTCAAAGGTCGACCGTGTTTTGCGGAGCTCCTGCAAGAGTTGCAGCCATCTTGAAAGTTGGTCACCGAGTATTTCGTAGACTTGGTCTGACTGCAAGTCCCACAAGGACTGAAATTGCAGCCACTTGTCAACGTAAGCGCCGATTTCCTGAAGCTTCTTATCAACAGAGCCATGCACGCGAATGAGCATCTCGGTGCACTCAGCGGGGAGGTCATTGAAGCGGGGCTCGTCTTGGGCCGTCGTGTTCAAACTCAGGCTCATTTGATAACGAGCTGCCTTGATCTTCTTCAGGTTGCACACAACACCAAGCCAATCTTGGAGCTGCAGGAACCAGCTAGCGCGTGCAAATTCCAAAGGAGGGTCGAGATAGATGACCTGGTTTCTCATCGTGATTTCGTGAATCAGCTGCTTCATGACTGGTTTGTCAGACTTGCTGTTCACAGCACCATCTCCGTGTGCCCTCCGACGCGAATCGTCGCCCTCGAAATGGTCATCCTCGAAAGCCTCTACCCAAGCCGACATTGCGCGTTGTAGGCGAATAAGCAGGACTTCCTTGATATGAGAATTCATTCCGTCGACCCAGTAGCCAAGATTCACGTATTGTTCCAGGTTCAATTGGTCCACCGCATCCTGAATGATCCCGAGTCGTGAATCAAATTCAGAGGCTTCGTACGGGCAAGAACCGAGCTCAACAAGAGCCTTCTGGATGGTTGCGTTGATGGAGGCCAACGTCATGGTCTTGAACTGGAGCTGTGACACTGCCACAGAGAACTCTTTGACGAAAGTGACATGCTTGCTTTCACCCTTTGACGAGTCCCCTCTGAAATGTAATTCGTACATGTTGTTAAAAGACTCCCATCTGAGCGGCACACCCCTGCGGACAAGTTCCTGAACTTCGTTCCGAAGACCACCAAGCAACACGGAGACGTCCGGCATATCCGCGATCTGGCGATCAGTCTGCGCGTAGGTCCTGACGCTCTCCATGAGGCTCACAGCGAAAGGATAGACTCTCTTGGCTTCCTTGGACACACTGTTTACGGCGTGGGGTACACTATAATTCAGCCACATGAGGTTCCGGACCTCTTTAAACAGGGCAATCACCTGGCCGTCGAAGTTGATCTGAAGCTCTAGGACGTTTCCAGCAGCTCGGATCTTGCTGATGGCGAAGATGAGGCCCGAGATGGTGATGTTCTTCCTCTGCACATCGTGAAGCCAAGCTTCGTAAATCGGCCGGGTGTTGAGCTTCTTCCGGAACAGCTCGCTGTCGTTCTTGAGCTTCTGTCCTTCGGTGTGAAGTGCCCATTCGGATCCGAGAACATCCTCAACTTTCTTCATGTACCCATCGAGCTGCCGCTCGATCTGACGCGCCCATATGATAGCTCCAGAGACGGGAGGGAGATCATGGAGCTGAGCCATGGCGTGCGCCTCGGAATGGCCATACTGCTGTTTGAAGCGCTCATGGAGCGAGTTAATGGCCAGCTTCACGTTGTCAATGAGCTGGGTTTGGTACTCTGCGATAGCACCTCGAATCTTGGGTCGCACGAAAAGCGCGTTAAACTTGGAGAAGACGCGGAACATTTCGTTCGCATTCTTGGCTGTAGCAAGGCGATCTCGCAGGCGGGCGATGATGGAGTTCTCAACGCGGGAAGTTCGTTCATTGTAAGTCTCTTCGGCCTTCACCCATCGCTGAGTGCCTTCGGTGGAAACATCGAGTAGGTCCACGTTCCTCAGCGCTTCCCAGGCCTGCTTGACCTCCTCCACAGCATCAACGTCGCCCATCTCCTCAACAACGACGCCTTCTGTGTTTGCGCCATCCACGAGCTCGGTCACGGTGGCCTTTGGGCCGAGAACGTTGACGATTGTCCTCTGCAGCTGCTCGTGATTGTCGCGGAAGTTGCTGACATACTTCAGCCGAGATTGCAGCTCGGTGTGTTTGGGGTTGATCTTGATAGGAATGAACTTCTCGTTCCTCCGTCTGGTGACATCACGGGCGACATCTGTGAAAGCCTTTTTATTATCGTCCCAAGCCTTGAAGACATTGTCCGTCAGACGCATGACGTTGCTAAACTCCTGATAATCGAGATCGACTAACTCTGTCCCCGGGAGAAGGCGGTGCAGAACCTCATCTAGATCGGCTGAGAAGGCCTCGACTAAAGGCAAGGCTCGTCGAATGGGGTAAGGGCAGATCCGGAGCTTCTTGTTCAGATGTGTGAATATCTGGTCAATGGCATCCCGGACCTTGGGCAATGAGGTCGCTGAGAGAAGCTCGTCCAAGGGGAAGTCACGCATCAGCTGGTTGTACTTTTGAACTGTGTCCATGGCTTCCTTCAGGCCCGTGTCTGCTCCAAAACTGACAGTTGCCTGGAAACGCTTTGCGTGCTTCAATATCTCCAGCGTCAGACGCACACCGTCGCTTCCAAGCTGTGTCTCGATGCCACCAAGGGCGGCCTCCATGGACAACCAAAAGTTGATCTCCTGGTTCGCCGTACCGGTGGTTGGGTCACGGTTCATCTTGGTGATAGCTTGAATAGATTTGATCCAATTATTCACATTCGTCTGCAGCTGGTTCAGGAAGGTGCTGTCCTGGAGCAGCGCGGGCGGTATCAAGTCGAGGGAGGGCTTGACCTGGCGCGATGCAGCATCGTCGAGGGCATTCTGTACCGTCGGGTGGAACGGCAGGAGAACTTCGGGGATCTCGACATTCTGCTGCAGATGTGACAAGCTCAGTTCCAGCTCTGTCCACCTCTTCTTCGTCACTGGTATTCCAGTCTTAGCGTCGACGTCAGCCCTGCCGCGGACGCCGCCGATCATCTGCTGACTCTTGGTGCTCGCATCGAAGTATGGCGCCAGACCGTTGTGCAAGAAGAGTTGTAGGTATTCAAATGGCGAAGCAGCCGGGCCCTGCTCGCCAGCAGTGGCAGCAAGGTATGCTGGGCCGGGGAGGTTCAGCACCTGGAGCTGTGAGGCGAGGGGCGTGGATGGGTCGAGGGGTTGGGGGCGCTTCAGGAGGACCAGGAACGCAACGGTGGTGGCTGCTGAGGACAGGTCGGATGCGATAGTATATGTGTGTTGTGATGGGCCTTTTTGGGTTTACAGTTAGCACACATGCCACCGCCAAAGACAGTTTGGAGGGGGAGGGGCATCCTACCCGAATCCACGTCGCCATTTTCAAGTTGAGGGGAGGCGGGAAGGTCCTTTTGTATGTACAGACACACGATGCTGTCGTTGGCGAAGCGACTGCATCGCTGTAGTGTGTCGTTATACCGTGCCTTTGACAGGAGGCTGCCAGTAGCTTCGAGCTCGTCGCGTGTTGCGCCAAGGGCGGCCTCCAGCAGATGTGCCAGATGGTCAACGACGCGGGCGGCATCCATGGCAACAAGAGGGGCGGCGGTACTGACGCCGTTGATGCCGTTGGCGCCGTTGCCGTTGCCGTTGCCGTTGACAGGCGTGCCCGGGGGCTGAGGAGATACGGCCACGTCCATGGTGGGCGTTGTCGTGGTGAGAGGGTTTGGCGGGTCAGACTATCGTGGTCATGTCTGTCTATCCGACGTTCGCAGGCCGCTTCACAAGCCCGAGCCGGGGCACAGCTTGATTAAGGGGCTAACAGCCGGGCAGGGAGCAGGCGGGTGTTCGCAAGGACAAAAGCAAGAAATGAAGGCAGCTTGAAGGGGTATCTCGTTGCTGTAACAATTGGCCCGATGTCATGGGCGAAAGCTGGCGATGTGAAAATGCGTGATGCACGGGCAGGGAGGCGGCTCGATGGCGGTCGGTCATAAGAGCCCTGGAGTATAGAATTCCAGCATGACTGAACTACCAACAGAACCGGCACCAGTGTTGACTTCCAAAACTCGGGCAGCTTGGAGGCCACGCGCTGCCCGTTGGAGGACCCCTGTCGCGACTGAGAGCATGCGGGAGGGCGGGTACCTGGATTTTGATTGGCCTCGACGCCTGCCGGCATTCATGCAAAGAGCCCGGCAGCCCAGCAATTCCCCATACAAGGGCCAAAAAGTACCTAGGTAGACGTGGACTGTTTGGAGGACCGGCCTGCCGGGCCCAGGTGTGCATAACAAACAGCTACCTACACCAGGTACTTAGGTAGGTAACCTGTGCCACCTACCAACGGTAGCAGTAGCTGGGGCTCATATTCACATGAAAGACAATGCGCATCCTCCAGAGCCGGCCAAGCTTTTTCAGCTGCGAGCGCTCCTCCGGAAGGTACCTAGGTGTACGGAGACTATTTTGCAAGTGTGCCCTGGTATACTAGTAAATGCCGGCCGAGCAGGGCTTACACGACAAGCCTGCAGCAGCTGGAGCCACACGCCTCGGCCTCGTTGTGTGAGGAGGGCCGGAGCAGTTTTAGTCTCCTTCGACAAACCGCTACCGCTAGAGGAATAGGTAGGTTTGTTTGGTCATGATCCTCACATTCATGCCCGCAGAACCTAGGCATGGAATGCTTGCGAACAAACCCATGGATAATGAGTTGGTTAATGGCTTCCACGCCCACAACCTGCCTAGGAATGACATCTCGGCCTTTTTTTCCACCATGGAATTTCTCCCAATACAAAGAAAGTCAACGCCACTGACCTCCAGACCCAAGACACAACTAGACCCCGAACCAGATGCCCCCCATCTTATGCCTGGCTAAATCCATTGTCAATGCGTGAAACCGTGATACTCGTGGCCCTTTTGCCTTTCCATTTGTGGTCCGTCCGTTCTTACTCCTCCTCCTCCTCGTCGTCTCTCATCTTCTCAAGGCCTGCTGGCATTGCCATTGTCATCGATGTCCTTCAGTTTCTCCCGCTGGATCATCACACGCTCGTTGCACAGATCAACAAACATCTCGTACTTCTTGATTATCTTATCCTTCTCGCGAAGCTTCTCTTCCAGCTCGGAGATCCTCTTTTCGTTGTCCTGTTTCACCTTCTCGAACTCCTCTTTAGCCTTGGCAATCTCACGCCGCAAATCGGCCCTAATGCGTTCCTCGGCGCTCGGATGTGGCTTGCTGTAGATGGCAGGTCGGTCCTCGGCCAAAGCAGCGTTGATCTTCTGAGGGTTGCGGTTGATGGCTGCTCTCGCGTTATAAATGTCCCGCGGAAGGAGGGGCACATGTGGGTTTTCTGTCTGCAGTATCTCCAACGTTGCGCTGACACCCACACCTGCGGCGGATTAGTAGGTGTCCAAGAAATACAGCTGGCTGTTCCCGTGCACAACATACCATTTTCTTTGAGCTGCTTGACGGCGGCAACCATCTTGCTGTCAAGCTTACGTGCGGCAGGGTGTAGGAGGGGGCTCTCACTCGGGCCATGGTTGTGCTGTAAGTGAGCTGGATCCGGGCGGTAACGGACAGTCCATTGGGTCCGTTGCTCTATGGCGAAGAAACCAAACTGGCAGTCACACTTGCGGGAGGACGTCTTCCGCTTCCGCATCTCGGGGCTGACGCGTTTCGGGGGCTTTCCTGCGCGGTCACAGACGAACAGCACCTTCTTCAGTCCCGGCACCGTCTTTTTCGACCTGCCGATGACAATGGCGTATCCGACCGAAGTGCAATACTCTAGGACGGCCTTGTGTACGGCGTCAAGGGTAGGGAAGCTCCCGCCTTGGGGAGGAGCAGACATCATGGTGCCCATTGGGGTCCGCGGCACAAACGGAGTCCCGTTTTCGGCTGACTTGTCGAGGGCGCTATCGTCCCCGTCATCCTCGCCCGGGCTCTCAACCTCCATCGTGTCATCGTGCTGACCCTCCTGGCCCTGCCCCGGCGCCTCAGCTTGAAGCTGCTGGGGCTGCTGTGCCGGCGGTTGAGCTTGAGCTTGAGCCTGTGGCGGCGGCGGCGGCGGCGGTTGCAGTTGAGATTGGGGTGGCTGCGGCGTCAGCACAGGCTGCTGAGCAGGATGGGCGTGTTGAGGTGGAGGCTGGGAGATGATGGGGTTCTCGTTCGCAGAGACGTGCTGGTTTATGGACATCTGCTGGCCCACGGACTGCTGTTGCTGTTGCTGTTGTTGTTGTTGTTGTTGTTGCTGTTGCTGCTGCTGCTGCTGCTGCTGCTGCTGCTGTTGTTGCTGCTGCTGTTGTTGCTGCTGCTGCTGCTGCTGGCTAATGGACTGCTGCGGCAGAGGCTGCTGGTTCATGAGGTAGTTCAGCGGGGTGCTGTTAGAGGGCATCTGATGGGCCGTGGCACGCTGCTGACGCGAGCTGGGGACGGGCAGCTGGGGGTGGGACTGCTGGGCCCTAGGGCCATTTTGCACGCTGGGGATATTATGGACGGGCGAGGCATTGGGAGTCGTGAAGAGGTGATGGGGGTACTGGGTCTGAGGCGGCTGCTGGGAGTTGAAGGCTTGCTGCTGGTACGAGGCGGCATGCTGGGGCAGCTTGTTGGGCGAGTTCGAGTAGCCCTGGGCTCGGCGGAGCCCATTGTTCATGATGGATAGGCCCGTGTGTCCATTTGTGGTTGACATGATGTTTCGACCAGAAGGGAAACCGACGGGGCAATCAGACGCCAACCTGGACAATCAGGCTGGGCTACAAGCGACCGCAGCTGTGTGATGAGGTTGCGGTGCGGCGCGCCGGTGTGGTGCAGAGAAGCGGTCCAGTGCCGGCCCAGCCCAGCTCGAGTGCAGGCTGAGTGAATCCAGTCCAGTTGCAGTTCCAACCCAGTGCAATGCGATGCAAGTGCAATGCGATCTGGCCCAATCCAGGACGGTCCTCGTCAGTGACCTGGATTGTGGATGGACGTGGAGGCTTGCGGTCTACAAGCTGAGGGGGCGTCAATCTAGGATGGAATTGTGAGGGTGAGTCCAGTGAAAGAGATTGAGGAAGGGAAAGGCGAAAAGGGCAAGGGCTCAAAAGAGGAGAGGGTAGGGGTGGGCAGTGAGACGGATGGGGGGCGTCTCTCTGCAACGATGTGGGGGGGAGGGGGGCTAGAGCTACCAAGCAGGTAGGTACCTACCCTAGGTACCCTGCTACCCTGCCTACCCTGCCTACCGACCACCCAAGTACTTATTATTAGTCCACCCGGCGGGAGCTGGGGTAAGCTGTCCATTACGGAGCACAGGGCACGCGTTACGGCTGGGCTGCAAAGGAGGGCCAAAAGCAGGGACCACCGCGCCGCAACCCTGTGTGAAACCAAACATCTGCACATCACTGACAGGTCACATTTTACCACCCGGCCATGGCCTCCAGGGCTATTCACATGCATTCCTGACCTCGTCTGCTGCCAATATTTCAGTACTGGCCGACCACAGCCTCGACCCGACAGGACACCTGTGCACAGCCAGTATGCCTTTCTCGTCAGCTCGTATCATGAAAGCGCGGGTTGCTCCATCGTCGCCACTGAGGGCTCTCCAGAGAGCTGGCCACCTCGAGGCACCCCTTGCTTCCTCTGATGAGGGTGTCCTCCCCGCCGTCGCAGACAAAAGCCCCTGGCATCATGCCACATTATCTGCAAGCCACTTGCATGTTGAAGCTGCCCTTCTCCGTCGGGGAGCGGCCCCCGGGTCCAGGTTGCGTAACACGACGCCTGCTTCCGAAGCTGGGCTGGCATCTGCCAAGGACGTATAAGTCCTGGAGGACCGCAGATGAAGGTTATGCAATACTACACAGTACAAAGGCAGCTCTTGACCGGTCAAGGCTTGAACCAACTCATCCCATCCGGAGACTTGCTTCATTGCTGCCGTCCAAGGTTCATAGTACCTACTCCCGAGTTATGCGACGTCCTCTACGGAAGGCAGCACCAGGTGAAATCCCCAACGCCATCGTGGCTGCCGGCTGTCCTCGTTGTCTGTGACATGCATGCACCGCTTTCCGACCAGGTGAGGCAATGACAGGCTTGGCCTACACGGCCTGTGGTGTCACTCCAGCCGCCCTGGTCGGTGTGCAACCTTCATTGAACACCTCAAGCGCTGCTTGCATTAATAAGTCCGCCTGACTTGTGCGGCATCAAGACTGTACTCAGAGCGGCCTGCTGCACATGTCTCCAATTCCCGCTCCATGTTCTCACGACCCCGAACCCACCAGATTTTATCAATGAGTGAGAGCACAGGATCCCCTGCAAAGCTGTCCCCTGAGCTGCCGTCTGTCGAGGGACCTGGGCCTCACGACCGATGTGAAAATGTCCGTTGGTCGGGGTTGGTCGGGGTCCAACAGCTTCTCCGCAGCGCTTCGTCCCGTCCCGAGCAGCACCTTCAACACCGTGCCCCCACCTTCAACAGCCGACGAACCGACCCGCCCAATACACAACATACATGATCGTCCCCATGAGCCACCTTCTTCCTGTCGCGCAATGCCTCGTCAACTGAGCCCTGAGCCCGAGTCGCCCACAAGACACGGAGACGACAATGGCCAAACATTGCCGGGGCAGCCCTCTTCAAGAGCCGTGGAAGCGGGGCCCTTCTCCTTCTTCGACTTCCCGCCTGAGATCCGCAACATGATCTACCACATCTCGCTGCAGCGGCCTACCTGTGAAGACATGTACCGCTGCTACTACAAGCAGAACGCCGCGCTACCCAAAAATGAGAAGTGGGCCCGGCCACACTTGAAGACGCCGACGGTCCTGCTCCTGTGCAAGCGCATCACGGACGAGAGCATGCCCATCCTCAGGGCTCGCTGGTTCATCATCGACCGGCTGCCCCCGTGCGCCCCACCCTTGCCAGACGGCGGAGGCGGGTTCATGCGCCTGGCCAATTTCATCGGCCGCGAGACCCTGCAGCGGCTCGAGTACATCGACCTACGAGTCGGGCTGGGCGAGGGGCCCCTCGGCAGCGGCTGGATCTGGAACAGGATGCTGGACGAGCTGCTGGCCATCCTCAACGAGAAGAACGCGCTCGTGCACTTCCGCCTGCTCATCCGGAGGTGCAACAAGGAGGAAAATCCCTTTGTCTGGTTCACAGAAGACGCAGAGGAGTCTAGTATCAGGAGAGTGTGTGCCCCTTCTCCCTTGGACCTCGTTGTGGGCCGGCCACTTGCTGACATGTGATAGAAAATCACTTACTTCAAAGTGAGCAACCCGAATGCCTTCAAACCTTGCAAGATTACCGAGGAGACGTGGCGCATCGATGGTCAGCTAGCCACCCTCGTTGACATTCCTCCCAAGTGCACTCTTAAGCCGCCGTGCAGGTCTTATCCCGATCCCGAGCTGTTCCCTGGGTCGATCATGCAGTTTGTGCGCCCGTTGCCCGGGACCGCTTGGAGTGATGATGATGATGACGAGTATGATTGATTGAAACGGGTAAGATTCTTGCCCAGCGAGTTGACCCAGCTCAACCTCGACTGCTTCATGGTACGGAATTCCGCTGCATTTGGCTGGAGGGCTGGTGGAACCATGCACAAGAAAAGTCATCCAATACAGAAGAGACGGACATAGGTAGAGTCCGCTTAGTAATGATATTAAAGTCTTTGAACTCATTGATGAATGTGTCCCAGTCTTGCCAACGCCATGCAACTCCCCTCATGAATGTTCGGGATTTTCATGTCTCCCGGCCTGCAACGGCTGCTTCTGCAACACCCCCACGGTTGAACCAGCTCCCAAAGTCCAGCTTCATCAATAACCGATCTAACCCGCCCACCCGCCGGGGCACGTACTGTCCCTCTTCCCTGAGGCCAGCGCCTCCATCGCCGTCCTCGCCAGCATCATCGCTCCCCCAGGCCAGGCCCTCGTGATCCGCCTCGAGGTTCCGCAGCACCGTGATGACGCCTTCAATCCCGGCCTTAGTCTTGTCCTCGACGGACTTGATCCGGCCCTTGATGTCGCGCTCTTCGCGCTCCAGGTCGACAAACGCGTCCACCACGCCCACGTCTTCCTCGAGATCTATGGCGTTCCAGATCTCCTGCATTCGGTGGACCAGAGCCACGAGTTGGTCCATCTCGACGAGGAGGTTGTAAAGCGGGTCCGTGAAGTCCTGGTGGGTCAGCAGCAGCCGCCGGATGAGGGTGGCCAGGTACAGCCGGTGCGCAGAAGCCAGCGTCTGGGGGTCGTGGGGGTGCTTGTCCTCCGCCACGTGGTCCCGTGCCCGCGGTGTCTTGACGCCTTCGGCAAGCCACATGTCCTCGTCGTCGTCTTCGTCCATCGCATCCGGGTCAACCGGAGGGGCTGGCGTCGGCACGCGCGACGGCATGCGCGACGGCCTCGTAGACTCTGGCGGCCGGTGCTCGTCACTACCTGTTGTGAGCCATCTCTGAAAGCCCTCCCATAGGCCTGCCACTACCTCGACCTGCAGGTACCCTTCGACCTCGGCGAGGAAGAAGATCGCCGCGCTGCACGTGGTCCATGTGCTGCGCATGGCAAGCATCCGACGGGCCTGTCGCTCTCGCAAAAGGATCACTCGAGCCCGGCCGCCCTTGGTACTCCCCGAAGCCGGCGCAGGAGGCGGCGGGTGGTGCCTCCTGAGCGGTGTGATCTTCCACAGGTCTGTGAGTCGGAGATGTGCACGGCGGATGGAGTGAAGGTAGGAGTTGATAGCTGTGTAAGCCTGCACGTCCGACTGGCTGAGGAACAGGTCCAGTGGCGAGGGAACACTGACGGTGAGGGTGACAGGAACAGAGAACATGAGATTGCGGAATGGGGTCGGCACTATCTGGCTCGCTGGCCCCAGCCGCGCAGGGGTGGCCGATTTTGGCTTCGCCAGAGTTAGCTTGAGAAGGCCCCTGGCCATTTCGAGACCCTCGTCCTCTTCCACCTGGTGGCCCTGCATTGAGCTCATCGCGGCCCAAGTCCGGGCCAGGACCGCGATGACTTCACCTTCCTTGACGACGACGCCGCTCAGGCCATCGCGCTTCTCATGGGCCAAACTGTCGGACCTCCGCCACCTGCTGCGAATCTTCTCGTCTGCCTGCTGGGTGAGAGCCATGGCGAACTCGCCACGTCCGAGGAGGAAGAAGTCCCGGAGAAGATGGAGCATCTCGAGGACCCTTGACAATGGCAGGAGCATCTGCAGGGTATGTCGAGAGAGAAAAAGCCTTATGCTTGTGATTGTCCTTGAGAAGGTTGCACTGTCCAAGGGATATGTCAACTGGGAGAGCTCTCGGAGTTGCGACGATAGGTGATCCATCCCCCGCATGCCGCCCTCCAGGCTGCTCTTAGCCCTGATATGGTTCAGAGAACGGCCTATAAAGAGCATGGACGCGGCTGTCGGTGAGGTGACGAATGATGGGAGAAGGTCTGGGACAGAGACGAAGTCATCCTCGCCATCCGCCGGCAACTGGATGAAGAAATCCTCGGCGCCAAATCCAGGGAGACGGCCGTAAAGAATCCAAGCCGACACCTGCTTGACCCAGGCCGTCTCGGCGACCTGGACCAAGCTCCGGGCGGTCTCCTCGACATCCGCATACCCGGTCTGCAACTCGCCCCGTAGCCTGTTGATGATAGCCGCGCCAGTGCAGAAGGTCTCGGTGCCGTCTGAGCGCCTCTCGGCGGCGAGCATGAACTGCACCGTCTCCCACATCCACTCCAGCCTCCTAGTCCACCCGCTGAACTCGCCGACCACGGCCGTCAGCGGCACGATGTTGTAGGCGCCGACCAGGCCAGCATCCTTGCGCAGGATGGTGTCCTCGACGTCCAGCACCTTGCGCTGGAAGGCGGCCAGGTGCAGGCTGCTGACGGCGGTGGCCACGGCGCGGCATATCATGGACCGGTGCGAGGCGGCTATCTGGGCACCGAAGCTGAGCAGCTTGACGTGCAGCTCGCTCAGGTGCGCGACAGAGCGCAGGAGCTCGCGCTCGGGCGGCGAGATCAGGGCACTGGCGGGCGCATCGGGGCCTGAGGCTTGGGCGGTTCGGAGCAGGGGCGAAGGGTGTCCTGAGAGGGAGAGCAGGATTTCGTGGAGCATCTTGGGGAGGCTGGACTCCTGGGCCTGGAGCGACGAGGTTGGTTACATGTCAGCGAGGTGGTCGGGCGCGTGGGGCCGGTGGGATTTGTGAAGTTCCCTGAGGATCCCAAAGGGGGGGGGGTGTTTGTTTCCTGACCTTGCCCCATCAGTGGCGCGTGCTTTATCCTGTGGTCTTTTGCGCCGGTCGGCAAGCCGATGGTAGAACAAGATGGAGGCTCCACACAATTCCCACCGACAACACATGGGTACTCCGTACTGTGGTATCGATCCGCGGCGGCGACGCCTGCTCCTGAAGGGCAAGTGCCGAGTAAACGTGGGGCCGTGGCGCGCCGGGCGGGGAGCTCAAGCCGAGACGCGTCGCTGCGGGTGCGAGGGGTGTGTTCATACAGTGTGTGTCTCTGTTGGCCAGTCCTCTGCGGTGTGACTCTCGCATTCGCGTTGGGCTATGAGATCAGGGCACTGTTGATCTTGCTGCCCCCAAGGTCTCAGATTCCAGGCGGCATGTTTTAGGGCTCCGTCTCGGCCGAGTTGCCGGCTCTAGGGTCTGCGGCTGTCTGACAGCGTGCATGGACAAGACTCGGCATAGGCAGGTTCTGCACCCACATCAAGTACGGAGTAAACTGCATTCATATATGTCTGTGCATGTGCTTACCTACAGCGCAGATCCACACGCAGATCCGCACGCCTACCTCACCCGCTCAAGTATTCAACCCATTACTGCTATTGTTCGTTCGAGAGGCACCAGACGCGTATACACTATGCGATCAGTTCTGTAATACCGACGCTGCAGCGTGCTAGAAATCCAAAACGTCCTCTGATAATCCGCACTTGATCAAAGATTGCTCAAACCAGGGCGGCTGACCGTCTATCGCTCATCTCAACGTTTCATCGCCGGCTTCTTGCCGTCCACGCCACTTATCGAGCTGGTTTCCGACGAGGTGCCCGCGCCTTGACCCTCAAGATATTGTTGCTGCGGTCCAGGAGGCAAAGCACCGCTCACGACTGCCTCACCACCATCACCGCCACCAACCACGACCTCCCCGCCGCCCTTAACCCGGCCGACCACCATTCCCTTGGCCACCGACTTAAGGACCGCCCGCCGGGAAACACCTGTCACATCGATGTAAACCAGGCCCACATTCTTCACGCCTCCTCCTAGGCTCCTCGACAACTCCCCGGCCTCAGGACCCCATCGATGGCCGACGACAGTCGTGGCGGCGTTTGAGCTGGACTCAAGAAGCGTACGGCCCGCCTGTTCAATGCCATCCGCCACTGTTGAGAAGGCCATCATGCTCTTGTTAAGGATACCAGGTTTGTACGTGTCGAGAGGTTTGCCGTCCTTGTCGAACCCCTTCGGCTGGCCGTTGTTCTTACCATGCCGGCCGAGGGTGGCACCAAAGTTCTGTGCGACATGGCCGATTGCGCCGACCGTCTTGGCCGACACGCCGGCCGCCCCGCTCGTAAAAGTGTGAACCCTGCGGACGTGCTCCTTGGTGGTCGGTTTGAATGTCACTGGTTTCGCCACCGGCTTGGTCTTCTGGGTGAAACTGTCTGCGCCGCCCTGCAGCGCTTTCGAAACATAGTCGGACGTGGTCACGATCAGTCGCGATGCGGCGGCAGCATTCGAGACCAACGTTGACTTTTGGTACGCCGGGTGCATGACCAGGTCTATATCCTCGGGTCTCGCGGGCGCGATGGCGATCTTATTAGAACCCTCCGCGGGTAGTGTGATCTGTACTGGATCTGAGGCACGTGATTAACTTCTTGCGCCCGATGAAAGGCATGGACGAGGTTGTCCGCTCACCTTTCGAGCCCGGCTTAAGGGAGCTGCTCTCTACCATGTCGAAGCCCTCGCCGAGCTCCCCGATGACGCTGCCATCCTCCTCGTCCACCAGCACTATCTGGCCGCCGTTGTTGGAGCTGTGGCTGCCCTTAGCGTACGCTTCCCCGGGCTTGTAGTCGCCCGGGTGATAGGCAGGAAGCTGTTCCTCAGCGGCCAGGGCAGCCTTGGACCTTGAAGAGCTGCCCTTTGTGGGAACCGGGCCTGACTTGGAGTCCTTGGGAAGTGGGGGAGGCGAGCGCTCCAGGAAGGCCGTGCATTGAGCTATGCAGGTCTCCCAGGTATCAATGTCGTCCTGGACCCCTGGCCGGCTCCCCAGCTCGGGGAATTCGATTCTCGTAAAAGCGCCGCTGTCGGGCCCAAGGTCCCATCGGGGGATAAGGTAGCTCCTGGGCGGCTGGTGGTAGATCTGGGTGGTTGCAGGCAGAGGCAGGTCGAGCTCAGGCGGCAGGTGCAGGTGAAGGTAGAAGTCCTCTTCCGCTGGGGCGGACGAGGGACCCAGGGCAGAGGCGTCAGCAAAGGGCGAGGAAGTAGGGACCATCAGCAGCGAGAGGGTCTGAGGCCCAGCTTGCGTGAGGCACTCCTCCTTGCCGTTAGCAATATGATAAGCTGACACGCCATTCACGGCGTACAACAGCTTGGGATCCTGCCCACAGAGTTAGTGTCCGAGCTCGAATAATTAACCCGCATCTCCTGTTACGCACATTCTGTCCCGAAGGCATTGCGTCTCTATGGGACGTGTTCCGAAGACTAGCGTCACCGAGGAGGAGGGGCAGGAGGGGTCGAATGACGCGCTTGTCGCGAACAGCGTGGGAGGTGGCGCAAAAGGGGTCTTCTTGCCCGAAATTGAAAAAGGAAGCTGCAGGAGATAGAGAAAGGGGAAGTTGTAGCAGAGAAATTGGAAACGTCTAGGAAAGAAATGCAATCTAGGTATAATCCGTGTTGGGTCAAAAGGGGCAAATCAAGAAACGGGAGGGAGGCGGCGTGCTTGCGCGCTTAATGGGAGATGCTGTGTGGGGCGGCAGGCGTCTCGTGGTCTGGAGTCGAAAATGAGGCCTCTTGCGGCAGCCGGAGCTTGCTTTGGAGACGTCAACAGGAAGCTTGCAAGCTAGGGGCGACGTCATTGGGCCATTAGGTCACTCGGCGTTGGCAGCTTTGGCTGGCTGTCTGGGCTATGGCAGAGACTAACTGAGAGACGGACAGGCCTGGGCAACCCCCGCCGACGTCCAACAGCTGCGTCCAACAGCTCCCCTGCTGCCAAGGCGACAAGACGAGAGGACGACGAAGCATTTCGCCATCGCGCCCGAATGACGCTGAGCGGCCTCCTTTTCGATACTAAAATAACCCACCTACTCAATGCGGATTGAACCTTGTTTCTCTATCTATCAGTCTCGTGTGACAGTCTCAGGATTCACAGTGAGCTGCGGCTGTCACGTGGACGACGCGAAGTCGGAGTCGGTTTACTTTATTATTCCTCTGATGCCCAAACATACCTACCTGCACGCACACATGTCCCCTCCCCTCTCATTTCTCTGCATCTCCCCCTGACGGGCTGTGCGCAGTCTTCACGTGCATTGCCGGTGCAGGCTGCAGCCAGCTCTACCGGCTCTTGCGACTCTGGCTGCATTCAGTCCGGGGCAGCTTCAGAGCAGGTCCGTGTCGGAAGAGGTTGACTGGTCGACTGGTTGAGGCTGACCGGATTGCGTTCAATATTGTGATGGTGCCCACGATGCATCGACTGCCTATTCGGATTGCTCAGTCAGAAGTCTTGGGTCCAAAGGTCCAACCGCCAATCGGCGACCGTGTTGGACGGCTCCCGCCTCAGTCCTGCCACAGTACGCTGCAGGCCGTACAGTACAGGTAAGCAGGCAAGCATGGCAAGCAGGCAACCTGGAGGGAGGGCCGAGCGCTTGTGGTAAAATGTTCTACCACAGTAGCGAGGCCGTGGGACCCAGACCCAACCTTATCACACCCGGAATATAGAGTTCGAGGTACGGCCCGCTCTGCTCTCAGCGTCTCAGGCATTCCAATCCATCCCGCCCGCAACTGGAGACTGGTCGGCCACTGTGGGCACGGACCCTGAGCAGCAGTCCACCCGTCGACCTCGCCTTCCCGCCTGCTCGCCTGCTCGCCTGCTCGACAATGTACCACGGTATACCGTACCATAGGCCCATCCCAACATGCGGTCCATGGGTCGGTACGGAGTACATGGGTTGGAGGATCTCACGACCAGGACGACGTGGCCCGCGAGGCACAGCACTTGCCAGGCGGTCTTGGCCGTGGTGGCAGGTGGTCGGAGCTCGAAGGCGGCAAGCTCCCCTCCGTCTGTTCTGAATCAGAAATCGACAGTCACGGTACAGCACACATGTACACAGTACTGTAGTGTACAGTCACAGGAATAGACTTCAACAGTCCCCACTCACACGCGAACGGCTTCCCCGCCCAGCCAGCCCGGCCAGCCTGCCAGCCCAGCATACACCACGCAGTACTCCGTACACGCAGGCAAACAGGGTTGCCATCATCTTTCCGTTATGGACGGCGCTTCTCATGCATGCAGCTCAAAAAAGAAATCAATCCCCTCCTACCCGCGCTTTTCGGCTTCGGCATGCCCAACCAACATGGGGGTTTGCCCATCGAGCACTGCGCGCCCCTTGCGCCCGCCCGATTCTCACTCCCAGGGTTCGACGGCATCCCACGAGTCAGTCGGCCAGAATACAGTTTCTGCCTCACCCCGGGTCGAAACGGTTTTGATATCGGCAGTGCAGCCGAGGTACGGAGTACGGAGTACTCGCCCTTCCCAACTGTCTGAGTCCCAGACGTCCGGCATTTATGTGTTTGCGGATGTGCCAGTCTCTGGCATATTTTCTCATGGGCTCTCATCCCGCAGAGAATGCAGGCCGCAGCGCTGCAGAATGGCGACTCGGAGGCATTGCGGGGGCTGGTGCGCGTTCCACAACCGTCGGCATGCACCTGCATCGTCCAGGAATCGGAACGACAGCCCCCCTGGCCCTCATCACCTTCGGCCGGAGAGTCACCGACTTCCCGCGGTGCAGAAAGGCCCTTGCCTCGGCCCTGCATGTGTCCAGAGCAGTCGCCTGACAGGGTCGTTTGTCCATGTAACTGTCGGGCCACTGCGGACCGTCTGCCGCTGGATCCCCTTGTGGCTGATGGGCGGGACTTGTTTGACTGACTGACTGACTGCTCGGTACCTCCCGCCACGGGTAGGAAGGAGGTAGGGTGTTCTGGAGGGGGCGTGGCATAATGGTGGCATAACTTTGGCATAATTGTGCACACAGTCTTTTCCATGTCTCCCACTCGAATTTCTCAGGCGGCCTGCAGGAACCCTATGCCTGTGTTTATTATGTTTTTTTCTTCATTTTTTTTTTTTTTTTTCCTTTTCACATCTTAGTACAGCACAGTATTGTACTTGTGTGTGTGTGTGTGTGTGTGTGTGTGGTGTTGCACTTGCTCGACATTGCAAATGCGCCTGGGTGGGCCTGTCGTTGACCGGTCCGCCGCCCACAATCGCCAACTCGTTTCAACCAACCCCTCCCTGCTACAGTAGCGTGGGGTCCCCTTGATCTGATTAGTCCCTCAGTGGGTGCCTCTAGCCGAACCGTGTTGCCCGTGTCCGGGGGACGGGACGCGCTGGGAATAACCAGCCTAACCAGCCAAACCAGCCTGACAGCCCTGGCCGGTTGGTAGCCTGGGATGGAGGGAGCTCGGATGATCTGTGATCTCTTCTCACCTCCCCTACCAGAAAATACAGCTCTCTCTGCTTTGCATGCTGGCCCTCTCCGGATGCTCTTCACAGCCAGCCAGCCAGCCCATCTGCCTCGCCGGCTCTGCCCTCCCCTACCCTCCTCTCCCCTGCCCCTGCCCTGCCCTACCCTGCCCTACCCTGCCCTGCCCTGCCCTGCCCGCGCCCCAGCTCCCAGGTTGGACCCCCCCCCTTGACACCTCGGGCGCCAGTTTCCCATATAGTCTACCATTGGCAACGCCACTGGCCGGCGCCAAACTGCTTCTTCGACCTCGCCTGTCATATATCCCTAGGCACCATTCCAGATCGCCAGCCTCCCACCACCGTTTCTCCCACGCCGGCTCCCATAGCGAAAAAAAGAGTACTCCGGTGCCCAGCTTCATGTGGTCAGATCAATTGCGGCTCTCTCCACCCCTCCTAGGCAACCCATCTTCCCGACACGAACGCTTAACCTTGGCGCCGTCCTAACAGGGTGCTCTAGAACCTCGATTTTTTTTCTCCTTCTTGGGTCTTCCCGTGTGTTGTATATCGCGTGGTCCAGGACGTCCCAGTGCTTCGCCCTGTACCGGCCAGGTCCGTTGGAGAGGACAGACGCGGCTGCTTGCATACCTTTGATGCCGTCACACACTGCGCGAGCAAGCGGCACCCGTCCGGGATTTCTACCTTGAGCTAGAGGCCTTGTTGTGTCCAGGCGTGGTCGGACGTGTCTAGCTCTCTAGGCCACCGCTACAGCACTACGACTCGGCGCTCCCTGTCTTTTCGCCCTAGAACATCCCCACGGGTCGCTCACACGGCTGGCTCTTGGAGCAGAGCTGGAGGGAAACCACTCTTGGGTCCCTTCTCATCGCACGACCGGGCCTTTTTCTCAGCCGTTAGAGCTTGCGCCAGGGTCTGCCTAGGACCCAAACAACCGGCACAATTACCTCTCTACAGTCCATTCTCTCCCCACCCGACCCGTCTGCCGATGAAACGGCCAACACGCCTTCCGGCCCGTCTGTTCACTCGACACCGAAGCGAAAGTTCGAGGAGGCTTTCATTGCAGGGTCTGGAGAGCCCCCGTCGGTGCCTCTGACCCCAACGCTGCCGCCTCCGCCGCCGACCTACCACAACCACTCCATCAAGGGGTTCGTACCGGTCGGCGGGCCTGGACCAGGGCATGGGCAGGCGTATGATGAGAGCAGAGGGAGTGCAGGATTTCCCGTGATGAGTGCCGTTGATGACAAAAAGACTGTCATCAAGCGGCAGCCCATGCGATCGAGCATAGCTTGTCTTCGGTGTCGAAAGTCCAAGATCAAGTGCGACAACGACGGAGGCTCCTCACCGTGTGAGACCTGTATCAAGCAGGGCAAGGACTGCAAGTACCCAGATGCGACGCCGATTCCGCCCAAGCGGAGCGATCCTCCTACTGGCATCAAGACTGAACGCGACCCTGTTTCGGACCGGAAGCGCCTCAAGAAGATTGAAGATGTGGCACGAGCAGAAGGCCAGCACTCGGCTGCAGCTCATGCTGACGAGGTTTTGTCTGCACACTACCTGACACCGAAACTCTGGTCAGAAGTCTTCGACATCTACAGGCTCCACTTCGCCACTGAGTTGCCCTTTCTTCACGTCCCGACTCTCAAGGAGAACATGGGTAATAAGTTCAGAGCCAACCAGAAGGACGCATCACCGGACACTAACCTGGTATTGCTCGGAGTTCTAACCCTCACGGCCCGTTTCCATCCGGACTTGGTCAAATATGCCACACACACAGCCAGTTCACAGGCAGGCTCGATCAAGAGCCGGCCTGTCCAGACCAAGCCAGACTCATCTGCTGCGTCTGAGTACTTTGCTGAGGCTCTGCGGAAGGCTCTGGGTCCGCTGGGGACGACCATGACCACGGCGTCCGTAGAGAGGGTTCAGGCGTTTTTGATGTTGGGCCTGTACGAGTGGAGTCAGGTGCAGCCAAAAACGGGCGGTTTGGGAGCGTGGATGTACGTTGGCGTGGCCATTCGAATGGCTCAGGCCCTGGGCCTAGGTTTCGGAGACAAGGACGACCCCAAGTCTCGCATGCGAGCAGCAAAAGCTAGCAAAAGCTTATCACCCAAGTTGCCTCCATCACAACCTGAGCTGATGATAGCCAAGGAGATCAAGAGGAGGACGATGTTCAGCTGCCTCATTCTCGACCGACTGCTTGCTTGTGGGAAGGAGCGTGTGCCCACTATCCGGTCCGAAGACCTCCAAATCCAGCTACCCTGCAACGAGTGGGCATTCGACCTATCCAAGGACGTGAGGACCGGCTTTCTGAACGCCTCCCCCGATGATCAAGGCCCCAGAGACGCGGAGGATGACAGCGTGCTCAGCAGATTCGTGCGGTTGGTGGACCTCTGGGGTGAGATCTCCAAATTCAGCTTCGCTGGTGGCCGCCTGGTAGAGGAGTACCCACCATGGGATAAAAGAACCAGGTTCTGCCAGCTCCGGGAAAAGCTTGAATCATTCTATTCCGACCTCCCTTCGACATTCACCCTCTCCACCTCAAATTACCACAGGCACGAAAACCACCAGGCTTCGAGCGTGTATGTATCTCTGCATATGCTTGGTAGTGTCTGTCAAATTATGCTGCATCGGTAAGCCGACCTCTTTGGTGCTCAGGGCGTGTCAGGGGAGTTGCAATCGGGGTCTAGAACCTGACTAATCACTGTGCAGCGAGTACATCCCTTTCCTACCGATTCGCTGTAACGGTCCTGTTGGCCCATTGGATGAGCCGACCTTTCCAGCTGGCGAATACGATATCCCCAACGGCTTTTGGGAGCGAAGCGCAGAGCAGGTCTTCAAAGCTGCCAAAGACATTGTCGATGTAATCGAAATCTGCCGTGATAAGCTTCCGATGTCCGCACTGGTGCTATTCACAATCTGGACAGCAGCCTTTGTCGGGCAATATGCATGGCATTTTCCCCACATGGACCAGCAAAGACACATGCTAGTGGATGACGATGAAGAAGGTGATGGTTCGGAAGGCGAGTTGGACATGACGAAAATCGGCCCAACCGGAGTCTGTCACCAGACCCTTGTGCGCTTCTCAGGGTGGCTCAAAATGGCTTCAACTTATCTTGGTTATTTGTGAGTCAAGCGCGGATCCCTGACCCCTGACGATTCTAGAAGATTTGCCCCGAGCCATGCTCTCTTCTGATGAAATGCGGAAAATGCTAATCATATTGCTCAAACAGCAAGGACCTCGACAACTATATGGCCAAGATTAAGTTTGAATATCACGCGCTCACCCACGGCGGCAGCAAACCCGGATCCGCTCCTCAGGACGATGGCCGACACCCGATCCATGGCGGAGGATTGGCGGAATGGAAAGTACAGAATGCGAAGATCATCAACAATGGCATGATTATGGCCGAGGATGATCGTCACGGACCATACGGATGTTCAGATCAGTCGCGAGCAAGTCCCCCGAAGCGCGAGTCTCCCCCAGGGCATGACGTTCACCTTACGGAGAAGACGCCGCGGTCAATCCCGTCCATGTTCACCGCCATCAACAACGCACCCGCGGGGGGACGCCATGAATTACCCGCGTCAGGCCCGTTAACAAAATTCGACGGCACCGCCGGGTCAGATTACACGAGGACTGGGTCCATGGTGCAAGGAGAGCAGCCGTCGCCCCCGCCTGTTCACCCCCTGTCTGGGCCGCACGATCTGGATTTGATTTCCGGGGCACATTTCCGAGATTTCCTCAGCGAGAGCGAGTCCATGCGGATCGCTGAGGCGCTGGAGGGCATCGGAGGGGACATTCAGGGCTTCTCTTATGGGGAGATACCGGAGGCAATGCTCTTTGGGCAGGCATTGCCAGGGCTGGCATTTGGGACTTCGGGCAAATGGCAACTGGCGGAGGAGGCCGAGACCGGATGACCTCTTCATATCAGAGGGCCGCTTTCTTCCCCATATTCTTTCTTACTTCTCTAGGCATCTTCTCTGGGTGGCTTTTACGGTGGACCTTTTGGGAGGCAATGTTAGCGATCCATTTCCATCACAATTTTTGTTTTTGAAAAGAAAAGTTCCCGCTTCAAGGGCCGCAGACTTTCTCGGGCGAGCGAGCATTTTCCTCGATGGAACCACCATTGTTGCGAGGCATTGGGTATCTAGACGATGGCTGGGGTTCGGGGAGTTACCATACCTGCGTGAGTGGGTTTTTGGGTTTTTTTTAAGGGAATTCAGCAGAGAGCTGTCGTCTCTCAATCAGCCCCGCAGGCCATGCCAAGCTGGAATGGCGTTCAAACGCGCCTGCTGCTATGTTTATGGTGCTGCACCACCTGCCTGAGCTCTGCTGTGGTTAGACGCCTAATACCTGGTGAAGTAAGGACCAACAGGCCGCAATACCCAGCAATCTACAAATCTTATATCCCAGTTCTACGGCGGTGGGGCCAACCGATCTAGAACCTGGGCGGAGGAGATGCTCGTCCAGGATCAAAGAACCAAGGGCAAAAAATAAGAGAGAAGAACAGGCCTTCGACCGCTACACATTCTTAGTCTTACCTGAGAAATTCGGAAACTACACAGTTGAGCAAACCCGCTACCACGCGGTCGGATGTCGAACCGTCTAGTCTCGCTGTAACTCGTTCAGAAGCAGTGGTTGTTCTGTAGTCAACAACATCAGCGGTGTCACTGTCAGGTTTGCGGTGAATACAACTGCCCAGGTGCCCTCGCGATCCCGGCGAGGGCCGAGGGCTTCTTCCCCTCTGGCTTTGAACGACCGTGGAAATAAACATCAGTTAAGTGCTGAATTACTCGCATCAGGTAGCAATTGAATAGCCTTAAGAGTCATCTGATATGGACCTGAGTGAGACTTCGGACATCCAGACATTGACGGATATGGACTGTGATGAGTCCGTCGTCGAGATAATTAGGTTGCCGATTCCCCCTGATTCGGCACACCTACCTACCATAGGGTAGCCAAACTTTAACTGTTAAGCCACAGGACAACGAATGTACCCGCATGTACTGTGCAGGTATAGCCCCGTGTGTGCTGGCTCTGATTCCCCTCAGCTTGTCACTCCGGGTGTAGGGCTGAGTACCTAGGTACCTAGGTGTTAAGATAACTAAAGAAGCTATTAAGGACAAACTTACTTCCTGTAAGATTAATTCTAACTATTCCTACAATACTAACCCTTTTTCTTTTATAAGAATATTACTTAAAATTAAAGTATATAAATATCTTAGTATAGGTATATACTTATAAATACTAGGCTTATTATACCTTATTAAAATATAAGAATATATATATATATCTATATCTATATTATGTAGGTATGTGGATCTGTAGTCTAGTTACGTAATTAAGCCCTGCAGGCACCTAAAACCAACCTTCTGCAGGGCGCCCCTCGATAGCAGATTAGAGGAATCAACAACCCATCTACCTACACCGTCAACCATCAGAATCCTCGAGATCTCTGGGGTATTGATACATAGGGACGGGCAAGATACAAAGGTATGGCCCTTCACATACTACTGGTTACAACATTTTACGAACACTCCAATCTAAGAGCGACCACGCAGTAGTCACAGCACGTAAATAGAAAATACTTGCTTGCAAGGGACGGAATCTTCTCCGCAAGTAAATGGTTTCCGCAGCTTTGCGTGTTTATTACCACACAGTGGCACAGTGTATGCAACCAGCTCCCTGCCAGGGACAAATCTTGAAGCTCTTCTATTCTATAACCCAATCCCGCTCCGATACAGGATTACCCAATCATTATTCGTCAACCGCTACGCCAAGCCAATGCAAATCTGTCTGTGTATGTGAAACAGACCTCCTCCTTCCAGTTGAGTTTCCATCCCGCCGGGATCTTCCCGGGCCTTCCTTTATGTCGCGACCGCATTGCTTCTTCTTAACTGCCACCATTATATCTCGACCTTCCGGTCCCTCCTCGGAAGTAATTATAGCTCATGGGGTCTTCGTACTCCGGCTCGGCCTGAGGCAGGTTCCCGTATCCCTGAGGCCCACCGCCTAAGGAACCAGGTGCTGCTGCCCTGGGCCGGTCAAAACTGGTGGTGCCGTGGTCGATACTGGCGCTTCTAGAGCCAGCATCGTTGGGGTAATAACCGACCGTTGGTGATGCTATCGGTGCTGCTGACTGAACCAGGTTTGACATGGAGTCGTTGCCTGAGACAAGGCCGTATGGGGACCGTGTTCTTGATGGGTAGTCCATAGCTGGCGAGCCGAACGGTGCCGCCCTTGGCGAATACTGAGCCGAAGGACTGGTGTATCCAGGCCCAGGCCCCATTCCGTCACCTCCAACGCCACTAACTGATGTTGACGCGAATCCCCCTTTGCTCCCGCTGAACATCATGCCCCCTGTGGGTGTGCCGGGCCTGGAATCCGTGTCTGACCCGCCGAACATGCTCGAAGGCGTGCCTGGTCGCATCATGTCCCTAGGGTTGCCGAAAAGGTCACCCTGGCCATGGTCTTCGGCGAATTCGCTGCGATTCTTGTAGTACTCAAAGTCGAGCTTACCCTCTGGTACAATCTCAAAACCAGACAGACCGCTCCCAGCTGCCTTGCCTGGCCGGCCCGCACGCATATGATCAAGAGCGTATGTGTCGCTATATCCAGAGACACTTGTGCCTTCTGCCGCCCCCGTCTCACGTCCATCGCTGAGTCGGCCTTGGTACACGCTCGCAAGAATGTTTTGCGCCTTCGCATGGACCATAGGCGTTATGAGAGACTTGTAAAGAACAGGGTGGCCAAACTTCGACGCGAGGCGATCATTTTTGAGGTTCTCCTTGTTCGCGATGCCGACTTCCGGCTCGGGGCCACGAGGAACGAATCGGGTCGAGTAGTAATGTATCTTGTTGTCAAAGGCCTTGGCGCAGTAGATCTTGAAGCCAATCGCGATGAAGGGCAGTGGCACCACAGCATAGGCCTGTGTATAGGTGCTTCGCATAAACGCCACCAGGAACGTGACGAGGTTGGACAGGATGACTGCAAAGATGAGGCGGTTGAAAACGACCCGCCACGACATACCGCCGCTCTCGTTCTTCGTGATGAAGACGTACATAAGCAGATATTTCTTCAAAACGCAGTCGATAGCGAAGAACAAAGCCACGCTGGGCAGGACCAGTGGTTGAATAACGCTGTAGGACAGGGCGACGGTGGCATAATAGAGACAGTAGTTGAAGTAGCTGGCATACTCAAACGATTGCGGGGCAGTGAGTTCGATCATCTCCCGCGGCGTTGGGGACCCCAACTTCCGCATGAAAAAACTGTAAATGAGGCTCCAGAGCTGTGCCAGATCGACGGCCGTACTGAGTTGGCGCTGCAGGAGATAGGTCACCCAGTAGGGCGAGATCCTGCAAAGGGCAATCAGAACGGAGCCTCCGAAATCCTGCTTCAAAATTGCCGTCCACGCGTCGGTGCCTTTCCTGGCTTCTTCCGTCACGTTGGCAACAAAGGTCCACATGCCACTGAACAGTGAGAAGACGATCAAGTTGTTGAAGATGAAGAAGCTGAACAGCTTGCCGATGACATGACGTTCTCGGCCGGACTTGGTCTGGTCACCGCCCCTCATTGACAGCCGGCGGAAAATGATGGGCAGTAGCAGGTAAACCAGCGACGTGATCGCCGGTGATGCGATACCCTGTACGATAGACCAAAACACAGGGCTGGTCTCGAGTGAGATCTGGAAGCCATGCCAGACGGAGCCGAGATTGCTAAGGTTTACCAAGAAAATGGCGATCATGGCATTGGGCGCAACCCACACGAGGGTCAACAGGGCGATCCACAGGCTTATGAACACCTTCTTCCTGGCACGAGTCGCGGCACTCAAGGGCATGTTGTCCCAGATGACGTCGCTCGGTCGAGGGGCAAGCTTGATGATGGCGCCTTCGGGCTTCTTCTTCCGTGCTGCGTATGCGATTGCGTGTGCCTCACTGATGTCGGAATAAGAGGCAAACCCAAAGGGTCTCGTGTTGCGCTTGTCCACGCTTGTCCTCACTTCCTTGATCTCATACTCCAGTGTCTTGATCCTCTGGGTAAGGTACTCGATCGCGTCGACCTTTTGCCCCTTGGGGTAGGTGGAGTAAGACGGGTCACTTTTGGAAGGCGAGCAGACCGGCCGCGCGGCCGGGAGATTGTGAGGATCCTTGAGGTACTTGGACAAGACCTGCTCCAACTTTCGCACACATTTCTCGTGCTGTGCCACAAGCTTGGGCAGGATTTTCACATCGCGCGCAATAGCAGTCCTTGAGAAGGACGAATTGGGAGCAACCATATCGATGAGCCTGGCGATTCCTTCATCCGACGATAGTTTTTTGGGTATGTCATAAAGCTGCACTCTGGTGTCAGTGGCCAATGTTCTGGCTCGTGGATGGCCCACGCAAATGCTGTACGCACCATGAGAGTCCTAGAGTGCAGGCTCTGTTGATATTCCGGGCTTTCGAAGTATTCTCGACGCAAGTGCAGAACCTTCCTATAGTTCCACCACAACAGGCCAAGCACGACGATGTTGAACAGCCAGGCGCACAAGACGGTAGCCCATTGCGCGGTGTTCCAAACGTTGGAAGGAGTCAAACGCATGAGCCATGTGTCGCTGTCGAATCGGATAGACTGGGTATAATTGACCGGAACCAGGATCGCACAGCCTATGACAGACATGATGACAAACATGTTGCGCAGCATGTTGATGAACCGCAAGAAGATTGCGGCGTCCAACCCGGCCATCCGGATCACATCCTTCTCGGTGGTCTGCCATAATGGAGGAATCCAAGAGAATGGGCCCTTGCCCAGCGGGGGTGGTGCCCGGTTTTCGTCGGCATGCTTTAATTTTGGCGCGTACACGACGGTATGATATGGGCGGAAGAAAGAGAACAGCAGGACGACAGCGGCGGTGACGCCCAGAGACGAGGCCAGGGAGGCCCAGACGGAGGAGGTAGCGAGCTGTGAACGGTCTCCTATTAGCACTCATTTTCCGCGACGGGGCACACAACGACAAGTGAGCCAGCAACTTGCCTCGCTGGAGAAGGGATCCGATATCAGGTCGAGCAGCTTCTTGGCCGGGTCATCGTCCGCCGCTTGCCTAACCACGAAACGCGTGGTCGCCGGTACGTGCTGCATGATGTGCTTCGTGCCGGTTAGCTGTGTGCCCAGCACGGGGCAATCGACCTGTTTCGTTCCACCAAGCGAGGCGAGAAACGCGAGACTCTATCACACGAGCAGATGCAGGTCGGGCCCGCGGGACAGGCACAACAAGGATCGTCGGGGGTGATGTTCCGTCTAAGAGCGAATTTTGTCCCCGGTGCCCCTCTTTCGCGACTCGCAGACGCGGTACTTGGAGGGCAGAAGCAGGACAGAGGAGGCTCCCTGTCGCTCAGCCAACCGACGTCCCGCGGATATGGTTTGGTCCAGTTAGAGATGGTCGGGTCGAGTCGGGTCGGGTCGCTTCGCTTCGTTCCCAGGACGGAGTGGTCAGCGTGCCATCTGGGCCGTCGGTTGATCAGTATCAAACGAGTGGATGACGCAGGGTCGTCGACGGGGGCGAGGGGGAAGTGCAGAGGTGGTGCCGAATTCCACACAAGAGAGGCGTTGAGGGGAAGAGGGTGGGAAGGGGAGGGGAGGGCTGGAGGGGAAGGAAGAATAAACAATGACGACAATGGCAGCGACTTGTTGAGGGCGAGGGTGGTTGGTGGGAGAAATCCGGGCCCCCGGGACTCTTGAGAACCACTACTAACAGCCGGGACCGTCAAAGCAGAGCGATGCAAGGGATGGCCTCGATCTGGAATTCTGGAGATGCAAAAATTGTGGAGGTGGGCCAGAAGCAGCAGGCCCCGGCGAATAGAAGCAGGATTGCCCTGCCGTCGAGAAAAGTCTATCTTCTGGGCTGCACTGCCATGTAGGTGCAACGCAACGCAACGCAGGGCAGGCATATGGCAGGCATGACAGGCTGAACAAGTGGTGATAAGCCTTGCCCAGGTTCTGACAGTGGGCCCGATGACCTCAGAGGCCAGCAGTCCCCTGGCACGCGCAGGAGGACAATGGTCCTGGTGGCAGTCTGGCCATTCTCGCCCTGTCCCTAGCCAGAAGTGGTACCGAGCCAGCGAGCCCGAGTTTACCTTACACAGGCCCCTGAACAGAGGACAGTTGGGGTTGGCTCACCTGCTCACCTCCAGACTGCTGGGTCTTGGGGTTGCTGCCGCTGCTGCTATTTTAAGCCGACTGGCCTTGTGTCAAACCTCGTATTCAACCAGAGGAAGAGGTCGACGTCGACTCTGCACCCGTCTCACGCAACCAACACGCGTCTCTTTGCACCTACTGTGTACCTAGGCCACCTGGCCACCAGGGTTTCCTCCCGACACGTTAGAGACAATGTTCTCCTCCTTTTGCCAACGCTGCCCGGTGATGATGACAGCGGCATTCCCGCCGTCCCGCTAGCGAAGGAGGCTGTGTCCACTTGTCCCGCGCACTGGTGGGGCCCCGACGAGACCCTTCATGCCTGGGAAATAGCGATGTTCAGACATCTGTTAATCATCCTGTTATGTAGGTACGGAGTAGAGCAGCTGACATGCGTGGGGACATCTGCTCCCCTTTCCCAGCCTGCCAGGGAAAACCACGGCATGTCCATCTTGTGAGATCATGCATGCATCGACATTTTTTCGCGCTTGCCCAAGCAATTAGCCCTGCAGCCCTGGAGCCCAGCCTGCAAGGTGCAGCTCCTCGTATCCATATCTGATCTCACCCTCGGTCCGACCAACATCGGCCGCCTCGAGCCCACCGCCGCAAGCCAAGCAAGCCAGCTGCCGGATTACCACGCGCCACTGCCAGCGCCGGGACGGCGGCTAACACTGAAGAAAAAAATCATTTTGCCCTCTTATTAGTAGTCTAGCCATTAGCACAGCCAACACGGTCTCTCTAGCCTTGTCCCTCTGCTGTGGCGAAAAGAATTTCTCCTTCACACCAATACTCAACTGACTGGTACTGTCAACATACAACCAACGTATGGTCATCAAGGCTACTACTAGAAAACTAGCAAGTGCGGTCAAAGTCAGAGCAGGGATTGATGTGAGGGCCCGTACTGCTCAAACTAGCACATGCTCTTTCATGCTGCATGATGATCCACTCACCTCTGGCTTGCAAGGGGAATCGGCCGAGGCTAACTCAAACATCAATAGGTGCACTTGCAGTCAATGGCAACATAATAAAGACATTAACAATAAGTGCAGTGTACTATGAGCTCTACTCAATTCCTGACTTATGGTAACATAATGTGAATGTGGAAAAGATCTGGTATGATGTGAAGGGCCCAGTACGGTCTCTGAAAGAAGAACAGTTGTGTGATACCAGCACATATTACTTCTTGATTTTGTTAAGGTCTTTTTAAGGCCTCTTAGATAATTTAGATTCTAGTCAATCAGCAAAATCCAGGTTCAAGCCCAAGTGTCTACATTTTCTCTTCATCTTTTTGGATTGTGGCCTCTATGATAGGGTTCTCCCATTGGAACAGCACACCTAGGCATCCTGTTCTAGTACTAATCAGTAACTATAATAACATTGTGATGTATATAGATTGAGACACCTATCGTATTAGAACTATTGTTATCAGCATCGTATTCTTTCCAAGCGCTGGGTCTTGAGTGCTTACCACCGTGTGAAGGTGCCATATTTGTCCTCGGATGTATACGGAATAGAAGCGAAACTACATACATCTGAAGGCGGATGCGGTCCCTTCATACAGCCATGCAATCAAAGCACAACATTGAAATCTTTGGTGAAAGTCTACGCAAACACTTAACGCATTGCACGGATAATCTGTGTCTGTGGCACATTGCACACAGGATAATCAGGCCTCAAGCTGTCGAGTTGTCCAGAATGGCTGCTGACAAACGATGCTATTGCTACCGTACCATCCAAGTTCTTTCAGATATGGAGGTGAGGATTTGCACGTATTTGGGCTTGAGCGCCTGGTGACCTGTCAAAATGACAAAGACGGAGACCGCATAGGTCAAGGCCACTGTGCGCCTCACTCTGAAGACCATGTGAGCTCTAGAGAAAGTCGCTTCGGCTTTACAATCATCGCCGACGAAACCAACGCTTCGAGACCCTCCAACTTCCTGGGTAACGTACTGTCCGGGCTCGATAGATCTGCTCTCCTGGCCTTCCTCGGGCTGTCTACGATCTTTGTCATGAGCCATAGCCTGGGCATCTACAACCTCGATATGCTGCCGCACCTGATGCTCTCACAGTTCAGGCTCATACTGTCCCCCGTGTTCAGCAGGGGGCTTCTCAAGCAGACCTTGCAGCCGATCAGTGGATTTGCCTGGTGGTCATGACTACCGGCATGGCCTTGGTGCAAGTTGGCTCTGCGGTACGTTCTTTTGGCGGGCCGCGGGCCGACGATGTAGAGGAGGACAAGGTCTTTGTTGGTGTTTACACGAGGGCTCTGTATTCTTTTAAACGCTGGGTTTTGAGTGCTTACCACCGTATGAAGGCGCCATGTATGTCCTCGGACGTATACGGAATAGAAGCGAAACCACAAAACCACATATACGGAATAGAAGCGAAACCGGTCACATGAGGGCTTTCCTGAAGACTCTAGAGAATGACTTTATCGTACCTAGGTATGTAGATGGTCACTTGCTTCCGCACTTGATGTGTGGTGCGAGAAGATTAGTGGAATGGTCGACGCCAGCCAGGAAACCCAAGCTCTGCGCATAATTTTTGGCCATGCCCAGGTGGTGCTCGCCATGCGGACCGCACAAGACACCAAAAACCTGTGAATGGCTTGTAACATTACTATAACCCTGACCAGGATGGTATAGCTTTTAAAGCTGCTTTTGAAACTCAGGTCTGACTACCGCATCAGTCTTAGTAGGCGTCTTTGGATCCTTTGAAAGAGAGATGCGCCTTTAACGCCGCTGAAGAGGACAATGCAGAGAGCCAGAAACCGAAATGCCCAGATATCCATCAGACGTTTGGTAGCCGCTAGTCAATATACCCTGGCTTAATATAGTGTTTTGCAACTGCACATTGTTTCCATAGGTCTGGTTATACCCGGTAAGTGCACTTGGCCAGGTGGAACCTCTTAGCGCCATAATAAAGTTCACCTTTTCAACTAGCATAGTGATCCATCCTGACAGTGCCCCCTGAAACGCGGGTCCTGGGCGTGCAGTCACAATACTTACTTGCGACTGTGAGACCGGTCAGATAATTCAGTGTAAGTCAACGTGGATTCTGCTTTTCTGCGCTCATAGCAGCGTATATACAATCATCATGAGCGCACCAGCGGTACTGAAAGCAACCGGAAGCAGATCAAGACCGTCACGAAATCAATCAAGGCAAGAGAAAGCAAAACTCCAGAGTCCGAGGCACCCCATTTTCCGCCCGTTCACGCTGTTGGGCCCGCGTGACCTTCCAACCCCGATCCCAGAAGGAAGAAACTTTACCTACTGGTGCTTCCTGTTCATTCGGCCACCCGAAGTGGCATACCGTACGTAGCTCAGCCGCCGCTGGTAGGCAGGCCACTAATCAATCACCCAAACAGACCCCAGTCGCATTTCTCAACACCACTTAATCAGCGGTTCCCTGACTCCTCGTCTTGCGCGCCGTGCGGCCGACGGGTGCCGGCGGGACCTCCTTCTTGCCCTTCTTGCTGCCCTTCCGAGTCGGACCGTTGTCCTTCTTGGACTCGGTCTTCTCCTTTACCTCCTCGACGACTTCCTTGGCCTTTTCAACGACCTTGCCGATCACACCCTGCTTCTGCTTCTTCCCGGCGGGCTCCCCGTCCGCAGCAGCCCCATTGGTGCCAGCCACCTCGGCCTTGCGCTTCTCGCCGGTCTCCGCGGAGGTGCTTGCAGCTCCAGTGTTGGAAGTTGCTTCAGCCGTGGCTGCGGGAACAGGCGCCGGTTTCTCTTGGGCAGCTGGCGCCGTCGAGGAAGTACCAGAAGTCTCAGGAGCTGGAGCTGCGTCGGTGCTGTCCTTCATCTCGACATCTTTCTCGCTGGCACCGTTCAGCTCGGCAGGGTTGGTAGCAGTAGCAGTAGTAGTAGTAGCAGCAGCAGCAGTAGTAGTAGCGGCAGCAGCCGAAGCAGTGGCAGGAGCAGCGGAAGCATCTTTGACGCCATCGTCATTGGTTGGCTCGGCCGGCTTTGCTTCAGAGCCAGTAAGTGCACCAGTCATAACGGGCGCCTGTTCCGGGGCAGTCGACTCGGAGGCGCCTGTTCCGGGGGCTGCCGACGGAGCGGCCGGGGTCTCCACAGCAGGGGTGGGAGCGGCGGTGTTGGCCGCCTTCTTCTCCTCCGGGACGACAGGCTCGAACTTGGCGGCGGTCGCAGTGCCATTGACACCGTTGCTGTTACCCGCAGCGGCATCACTCGTGGCAGTAGCCTCAGCCTGAGTGGCAGGAGCATCTCCCTGCTTGCTGGTCTCAGGAGCTAAGGGAAGAGGCTCGGCGCCTCCTGCAGGGGCAGCAGCAGGGGCCTCGGCCGGCTTGTCAGCTTCGGCGCCGGGGAGCGGGTTCTTGGGCAGCGCATTGTCGGCAGCGGGTGCGGCAACTGGGTCGACACTCGGCTGAGCTGCGCATGTGTGGTACAGATGTTAGCAGCGGCGCCAGCGAGCGAGCGAGCAAGGCGGGGAGGAATTGCGCAAACGGTGAAAAGCAGACCGGGAAAGCAGAACCAGGGTCGCGTGAAGCTCGCTGGAGCTGGGCTGGGCCGGGCGGCTGGCAACCCGTGCGTTTGCGACTGAAGGGGAATTCGAAGGATGGGCCACACGCACCTGCGCTGCTAACGGGAGCTGAGCTGTCGGCCATTGCGATATGACGTAATGATGCAACGGGCGGTTGAGCGTGCGGGAAGGGCGTCGTGGGTCGCAATCGATGCGCTGCGGGCAGTTGACGGGGCCAATGCGGCAGATGGAGCGAGGTGGTAGATGATGAGGACGATGAGGCTGTCGATGGAGCTGGATGGCGGAGCAGAGTTGTTGTGAGGAGTGCTGTGCGTCGTTTGGGGGAGAGGCTGGGAAAGAGCGAGGTCGAAGGCTTGAAAGGCCGCGGCTTGCTTGCTCACCTAATCGTCCAAGGAGCTGGGGGCATTGGATATGGGGGCATCAGCTGGCTGGCTGGAGCATGGGCATGGCAGGCATAACAGATGTGGGCGGCAGGCGGGCAAGCATTACTACTGTGTATTGCTGTCCAAGTACGGAGCATATACGGAATACCAGCTCCGTCTTCTCCAAGAGCAGCCCTCCTTGCTAACGGTGAATGTGCACTACAGTACAGTACAGTACGGTACAGACTTGTGTACTGCGTATCACCTGTCCACACAGTACGATGCTGCTCGTGGTGCGCAGTATCGGCACTCCGTTCACCGTACCGCTTGCGGTGGCTGAACGAATCAGGAGCTTGCATCCGTCTCGCCATACTCGTCCACCGTCACCCGTCACCCGTCCAGCCGTCCCGTCACCCCGCGAGCCATCAAGACGGAGGTAGGAACCAAAACGTAAAGGTGGGTGCGGGACGGGGCCTTAATGAACCTTAAACCCTTGCCCCCAGATCCCCAGAGTCGTATTTCAACACGTGCACTGACACCGGCCTTGTCTTGCTACTCAGGCTACACTAAGTACTTTCTGTTCAAGGGGTGTCGCATCGAGGCCTTTCCTTGCCTTGATCCGTGAACTCTGGCTACCCCACAATGGCACTGTCCGCCGCCTCCACCTCGCCCTGCCAGCCAGCCAGCCAGCCAGCAAGCCAGCCTGCGTCGCACGAGGTCTGTACCGGGGCATGCGCGCACCACGGTGCCTGGATCCAGTGTCCCGCGGCGACATCACCTTGGCGACTGCTTGTCTTGTCGACGTTTCAGAAGCTGAGGAGAAATTGATGGGTCCATCAACCACATCCGCATGTCCTCCAGAAACAGCCCTAGCCTCGAACCAGATGTGCGCACGCGGCAGTGTGTCTGTGCTGCCGAGCCGATTCGAGCCGCGGTGTCCAACTCGCAAAGAGGCATTGGCCAATGGACGCTCGATGTGGGGTGAGCAGCCCAGGCCTGACGTGCGCGGGAAGAGCAAAGGGTGGCCACCGTTTTCGACGCAAGCCGGCTGACCTACATATCACGACGACACCATGCAGCAGGATGGTGACGCAAGACCAGAAACTGGATCAGACAGGCTGACAGGTCGGGCCACAGGCTGGCAGGCTGGCAGGCTGGACCAAAAGGAAAGAAAAGTGTTAGCCGGGAGCTTTCGGTCCAGCGGCGCAGCAGTCACCCGGTTGCGCCCCCGACTTCGATCTCGGCTGTCCGGCACAGCCAATACCGTTGCGGAGCTGTGCTTGCTGCGCACGCAAGTCACTGACTTGCCGGCTGCTTCGACAAGGCCGGCCATGCCTGCGTGCCTGCCACAGCGCCTCCCTTCGACGTGATGGAGACGCGGCAGCAGCCACTTCTACTACCGACATATGTACTCCATGCCAAAAGACTCAGTGCCATGCCAGTCCGCCCGCAAGGCCCAGCCTCCCGAAGCTTGACCAAGACGCCTGCAGGGTCCTTGCCCCTCGAACCAAGCACTCCCCGAGTCTTGATATATGGTCCCAGTTGCTTGGAAGGCAAATCTTTGCTGCAACCAGTGTCGAGCCTCTCCTTCGCCCTTCCCAGCCTCGTTCGCCAAACCAGGTCTCGGCACCGGCTAACTAGGTCACGGGCAGCCTTGGCCTGGGGTGATTATCTAAGTCCCCACGACGTCTTGATTGGCCGCCTCCAGCTTTGTCGCCCGCTCTCGGCGTTGAGCGAGCATGACAAGAGACTAGTCACTTCTTGGCTCGGCCTCCGCCTGCGACCGCTCTGTGCATCTGGTTCGATCGGGGCAACGCAAACGGCATCTTTGCTCCAGCATGCGAGGATCCTTGATGCAATTCCTGCGCCCAGAATGGCTTCCATCGGCGTCTGTCCTAGGAATACAGGAGCAGCCAAGCCTTCCGCCCAGACTCCCGCCCCGGTGCCGCCCAGCACCGCCTAGCGATTTGGACTGCCAGGAGGCTTGGTATGATGCCATTGGGCCCAATAAAACACTCCAACTGTCTTGATAACGGGTTGTTGGGACACACACGTACTCACGCGAGCCTCGTCGCGAAGCTAGATACCTGTCGGTTCCTCATATGCTGCCTCGTGGTTCGTCGACGCCCTAGGTCGTCCTCTTGGCTTTGCTCGGCGCCATGGCTAAGCCCTCGCCGTCATTGTCGGTCCATCACTGGGTCTGCCCTGGCCACTGCCTATCCTTCTAGACTCATCGAAGCTTTTCAACGAATGTTGACAAGTACTTAAGTAGCTACGTTCCCCCCTTGGATCACATGCCAATCCATTCTGCCTTAAACAAAGGACTTGACCAGTCAACATTGTGAAAACAAACCTCCGTCCCTCACAGTTTCAAAACTTCTCTGGTTGACAGAAATAGATCCAGAGTCCGCTCGCTTATGATCCAAATTTCCCCTGCGCTCGATATCTCAACATCCATGGTCATCAAGTGATTACATTATGGCCGGCCAATTTGACCGACACCCGTTCCTCCTTACTCCGAGTGATGTGGCAGCCTCTCTCAAGACAGATGTCGACAAAGGTTTGAATTCTGCGCAGGTTGCGCAGCTGCAGCAGGAATACCCTCGCAATGAGCTCGACGTTGGGGGGGCAATCCCCTGGTACACGATTTTCATCAAGCAGCTCTTCAATGCTATGATCTTGGTATGTCTCATAACCCCACCATACCTCGGACAATACGCACACATATTATATACCTAGGTATATAGGGAGCACTAGTCTCAGGTATTCTCACGACTGGCCACTGGCTTACACTCTTACACAAAGGTTCTCTTCTTTGCAACGATCGTCAGTCTTGCAATTAAAGACTGGATCGAAGGCGGGGTTCTTGCTGTAGTCATAGTCCTCAATGTATCAATTGGATTTTTACAAGAATACAAGGCTGAAAAGAAGATGGATGCTCTCCGAGCACTGTCTTCTCCTTCAGCCAGCGTTATCCGAGATGGAAAAGTCCAAGTCATCGCCAAGTATGTCTCCCATACCTACTCCAATCCAGCCTCATCTCTTCACATCATCTCAACTCGAAGATAAAATGTGTCTTGTTTGAAACCCTTTACTGACTATGTTCAGTCCCGAGGTGGTTCCCGGTGATATTGTCATCCTGAAAATGGGTGACACGGTTCCTGCCGATCTGCGAATGTTCGAAGCTATGAACTTGTCTTGCGATGAGCAGAGCTTGACAGGCGAGGCCCTACCCGTCGAGAAGTCCATTGAAAACGATATCACGGTTCCCGGTACCGAGAAGCTGGCTTCCGAAGAAGGTGAGGTCGGCATCGGTGATCGCGTGAACATTGCGTATGCCACCACTGTTGTCCGAAAGGGCCGTGGCCGAGGTATCGTTATCGCAACAGGCATGCAGACTGAGGTTGGCAAGATTGCTGCCTCAACCACCAAAAAGACAAGGAAGCCAGGAAGATCCATGAATTGGAAGAAATACGGCAAGGCAGCTCCTCTCAAAGGAGGTTTCAGGCGGACTTACGATTTTTTTGGCAAGTTCTTGGGCCTGACCGAGGGCACACCACTCCAAATCCGACTGAGCAAGCTGGCCTATGTGCTGTTCTTCTGCGCACTGCTTCTGGCTGTCATCGTGTTCGGAGTCAACCGCTTCAACATGACGAACGAGGTCATTATTTACGCTATTTCCACTGGAATTGCTATTATCCCTGAGAGTCTCGTTGCCGTTTTGACAATCACGATGGTCGTGGCCACGACTGTCATGCGCAAGGCAAACGTTGTCGTTCGGTATGTACCCGCATTTTGCCGGTTAAGTTTAGGTGGACTTCACTGACCTGCGGAATATAGAGATCTGTCTGCCTTGGAAGCGCTTGGAGGTGTTACCAACATTTGCTCCGATAAGACTGGCACCCTGACTCAGGGCGCAATGATAGTCCGAAAAGCTTGGCTGCCTTTCTCAAGCGTCTACACTGTCCATGACTCTGAAGACCCTAACGACCCAAGTGTTGGTAGGGTTACTTACCGCACCGTGCCTATTGATGCACCTGAAGAGCCAAAACAAGAACGTGACTTCGATCAGGAACGAAGCGCTCCGGCGCTCAAGTTTGACGTTCCACAGGAGAAACTCGAACAGAATGACAAGGACCAGTCTGAGGAGAAAGAGGCTGAAGCCGGTCCAGATCTGCACGCATTTCTCATCGCATCCTCTCTGTGCAATCTCGCGACCGTGCGATATGACGACCAGGAATCCAAGTGGCAGACAACTGGAGAGCCGACCGAAATCGCCCTGCAGGTGTTCTCCCACCGCTTTGAAATCCGGAAGAAGCAGCTTGAAGCCAACGGCTGGAAGCAAATTGCCGAGTTCCCTTTCGACAGTAGCATCAAGCGAATGTCAGTGGTCTACAATGCTCCCCATGGCAATGAGTACGACGTGCCGTCGACGGGCAGTATCGTCTACACCAAGGGCGCCGTCGAGCGTGTTCTCGATCTTTGCTCAAACATTGGCACCGGCGATATCCAGGAGCCCCTGACAGACGACATCAAGGACAAAGTGTTGACGCAGATGGACAAGCTCGCTTCGCAAGGTTTGCGTGTTCTGGCCATTGCTACCAAGCAATGGGATGGCCGTTTCCAGTCTGTCTCTAGCCCAGAGGAGACCGAGAATGATGCAGCACTCCGGGGCCAAGTCGAGAGCAACTTGACCCTGCTTGGACTTGCCGGTATATACGATCCTCCTCGGCGAGAGACCACCCCTGCCATTGGAGAATGTGCCAGCGCAGGTATCAAGGTGCACATGCTTACTGGTGACCATCCGTCCACCGCCAGGGCCATCGCCAAGGAAGTCGGTATCATCCCACGCAATCTGGGCATCCTGCCTGCGGGTACTGCGGATTCTATTGTGCTCAAGGCGACCGACTTTGATAAACTGACCGACGCGGAGATCGACGCCTTGGAAGAGCTGCCCTTGGTCATTGCGCGTTGCGCCCCGGACACCAAGACACGCATGATCGAGGCCCTGCGAAGACGCAAAGCGTTCATGGCCATGACCGGTGATGGAGTTAACGACGCGCCATCTCTCGCCAATGCCGATGTTGGTATTGCTATGGGCAGCGGATCCGATGTCGCCAAGTCAGCGGCCAAGATCGTACTGACTGATGACAAGTTCAACTCGATTGTCGCGGCCATCCGCGAGGGAAGGCGCATGTTCGACAACATCCAGAAGTTCATCCTGCACTTGCTAACCTCCAATGTCGGCGAAGTCATCCTTCTGATTTGTGGCCTCGCATTCCAGGATGCCAGCGGGTTTTCGGTGTTTCCCATTTCACCACTCGAGATCATCTGGATCAACATGATCACCTCATCCTTCCCCGCGTTTGGCCTTGGCCGTGAGTTAGCCGCGGCAGACGTAATGAGGAAGCCGCCCCACGCCAAGGGCATCTTCACGAGGCAGATCATGGTGGACATGGCTGTGTATGGATTCCTTATGGGCGTTTGCACCCTCGCAACGTTCATCATTGTCGTATATGGTGCCAACGGCGGCAACCTGGGCAGGGATTGCAACAGAGCATACTCCGAAGAATGCATACCAGTCTTCAGGGCACGAGCCGCCGTGTTTGCGGAGCTAACGTGGCTGATATTGTTGTCTGCATGGGAGTTCAAGCACCTGAGGAGGTCCATGTTCGCGCTCAACCCGGAGCGGCACGGACCCTTCCAGGTCTTCAAGGACCTCTACGGCAACCGCTTCCTCTTCTGGGCCGTCGCTATCGGTTTCCTGTCCGTCTTCTTGACCGTCAACATCCCGGTTGTGAGCACCCAATTCTTCAAGCACACGAGAATCACTTGGGAGTGGGGCCTGGTGGTTGGGTTCACGGTCGTCTTTATCGCGGGTATGGAGACGTGGAAGGCCATCAAGCGGGCCTTCCACCTCCTGGACGACCATGCTGTTGTGCAAGGCGCATTTTCGCAGGGCAGCGTCGAGGGCAGGAGGCTCAGCACCGCGCTCAGCTTCTCCAGCCTCAAGGGCTGGGCGAGCTTCAGCAAGGGGACGAGCTTCGGGAAGAGGCATAACACCGGTGAGCCGTCCACAAACGGCCGGACCAAGTCTGCTGACAAGGCTGAGTCTTCCCCCGACGGTCGGGAGAAGATCTCGACGAATGTGTAAGGGTGTGCATTGCATGCGCGTGCACCCCGCGCGTTTGGTGTTGCATTTGGCGTCCGCATGTGTATATCATATCAGTTGTGTTTTCACTGGTTTTCGAGGATGATTTCTTTTTGTTATGGTTGCTTTCCGAGTTGCGAACCAAAAACGCAGGAGACGACTGTGCGCAGTAGTAATTATTATACCCATGTTGTTGTGGGGTTGCTGAGATATTCATGAAGAGCTCAGGCTCGAACGCTTGTCGGGGTGGGGTAGGCTTCCCTGTCGAGTGGTAGAAAGGCTGCGATAGGGTTAAATGTATGAAGGATAGAAATCTAATTGTCCCGAATGAAGTGACCAACTATTATCAAATGACAAGGCGAGAGGTGCAAGAGTCGGTAGGTTTCATCAAGTTCACTTCCGCATCTGTCTGACTGTGAGGTCCAAAAATGTGTGAAATCGCCTAGAATGGAATGTATTGTCGCAATTCCTACTGTACGAGACCGCCTTCGACCAGTACTCATTTCTTGTCACCAGGACTTGACCTCAGGGGTGGGTGCAGTGTGTGTCTTGGGCGGTCTTTGCTTAGTCACTCGGCCCCTAGGTCCTATTCACTAATGCCAGGGGCCTCTGCGGCCGTCAACCAAGGCGCTAAGGAGCGCAGCTGGGGGCAAGCTTCCAGAAAGGCCACGACCTCAGCCGTCGTCGCATTCCACCTTGACTCCTGCAACCTCACGACGCTCCTTTCCTTTGCCCATTGAGAGAGAGCGTATTGACTGATTTATTCCTGATTCTGACACTCCCTAATACCTTCTCTTTCCCCAGTATCCCCTTCTAATTAACTCAACATGGCGAAAGGCGCGAACAAGGACGTCTACTCGGTGATCCTGCCCACCTTCAACGAGCGCCAGAACCTCCCTATCATCACCTGGCTGCTGCAGCGAACCTTCTCGGAAAAGTAGGTGGGCTACCCATCGTCCACATCCAAGTTGGCAGTCGCTTGAATCGCAAGCAAACGAAAGCTGACATGTTTGCTTCCTCCAGCAACCTCGATTGGGAACTCATCATCGTCGACGACGGCTCCCCCGACGGCACCCAAGAGATCGCGAACCAACTCGTCAAGGCCTACAGCCCCCACGTCCAGCTCAAGCCCCGGACGGGCAAGCTCGGCCTCGGCACCGCGTACGTGCACGGCCTGCAGTTCGCCAAGGGCAACTTCATCATCATCATGGACGCCGACTTCAGCCACCACCCCAAGTTCATCCCGCAGATGATCGCACTGCAGAAGGCGCACGACTACGACATCGTCACGGGCACCCGCTATGCCAGCGGCGGCGGCGTCTTCGGCTGGGACCTGAAGCGAAAGCTGACCAGCAAGGGCGCCAACATCTTTGCCGACACCGTGCTGCGCCCCGGCGTGAGTGACCTCACCGGCAGCTTCCGCCTGTACAAGCGCGCCGTCCTCGAGAAGCTGTTCGAGACCACCGACGTGCGTGGCTTCAGCATGCAGATGGCGCTGGCGGTGACGGCCAAGGCCATGGGCATGACCATCGGCGAGGTCCCAATCACGTTCGTGGACCGGGTATTCGGCGATTCCAAACTCGGGTAATGTTTCCGGTCCCTTGAATGATTTGGACGAGGAACTAACCATGCGCGTCACCAGTGGAGAAGAGATAGTAGAATACGCAAAGGGCGTGCTGTCATTGTGGGCAAAAGTGTGAGGGCACTATCCAGGCTATGGGCTCTTTAGTAATGCATCAGCGATTCCCGATCAGTCTCACTCCTTTTGCCGTGCTGCTTGGCGTTCATCTTCACAAGCGGCTTACGAGTGATTTCTGTCTTTTTCTTCGGCTGGATAGCGTGGGACTCTTCAATGGGCTGCCATCCAAGCAGCATGCAGATTCCCCAAGTGGTGATAGCGGAATGTACTCGTGTGTTGATGCACTGACCGTATAGGGACTCATAGCACCCTTCAGGTGACCAGAAACGTGGGTAGAGAAAAACCGAACATTTCCGGACTGATGGAATCACTTCACCAGCTCAACTTCAGTATCATAAACACAAATCACGCACCAGGCCGTGTGTGATGACTGCAAGCGTCGTGGACGTGCGTGGCAAAGCTCTCCGCCTCAGGTTTCTCTATTCTGACTGTTCCGAGGGCCGAAAGCTGGCACAATAGGCAGAGGTAGACCGACTCTAGACGAGGAGGGCAATCGTGAGTGTATCCCGAATTGCCGGAAAGATGCTGGTACAGACGGGGTGAGAGGATGGGCGAGACAACTCGATGAGTTGTGCACAGTGATTGGCAACAGACGACTGCTACGACTGCTACAGGAAAGACCGTGGAGAGTAGTAGGTGTGTGGTGCTGGGGTCGTAGGGGCCTGGCATCACGATCAACAAAATCGTGAGAGATATGGAGCCATATTGAAAAAGAGATCGGATATTCACACCCGCCAAAACGGAGGGTACACCCGTACCAGGGAACTCGGAGATCAAAGTACGTAGTTTAGCACCAAATCACGAGTAATTATCCTATAGGATGTTTTCCTATAGAAGCTGGTCCCATAGGAGATTATCCCATAGGAGGTTATCCCATAGGAGGTTATCCCATAGGAGGTTGTCCCATAGGAGGTTGTCCCATAGGAGGTTGTCCCATAGGAGGTTGTCCCATAGGAGGTTGTCCTAGAAGAGGTTATATCCCTTGGGGCTTGGGTATACCCTCCGTTTTGTTGGGTGCGAATATTCGATCTCTTGAAAAACTGCCTGACGGGCATGTACATGTGAATTGGGTGCTACATGTTGCGACCTCCGGTAACCATAATCGTTTGACCAGACACATCTAGTGGTGACGTTAGTCCTGGTACAGATCCTAAAGTGTTGCATTCTAGGTTGTTCCAAACATGAACAGGCGGGGGATCCGTAAGAGGAGGAAAGTAATACTGACAACTGAACAATGGGCTGCAAACAGCAAGAACAGCGGATGCTGCCTCGGACGCGGTACCAGGCCTCCTCAGTGGGATATCAAGATACTGGTCCTTGGTGGCCTGCTGTGCCGTGGGGATACCCAAGGCAATCTTCTCGCCATTCGGGCCAGTAACGAAGGCACCCTGCTCTTTTGCCTGGGTCAACCTTGAATAAGGGGGTGTGGTTGATTAGTAACTTGTTCCGCCAATGTATCCTTTCCTCTCCTCTCTCCAAGACATGGGATGCTCTAGTTACCTGGTGAGAATATGGCCAAATGCCACCGTGTTACTTCTCACACCAAAGGCAGGGCCCCATTCCTTCGCAATCGTTTTGGTCAGGCCAGTGACGCCAGCCTTGGCCACGGCATAGTTTGCCTGGCCGGCGTTGCCGTGGACGCCCGAGGTGCTCGAGATGTTAACGATGCACCGGGGCTCCCCGTCCTTGACGCGGAAGTAGGGCGCAGCGGCCCGAACCAGCTGGAAGGGCGCTTTGGTATGCAGGTCCATTATCGTGTCCCACTGCTTGTCTGTCATCTTGTGGATAACACCGTCGTACGTATAGCCTGGGATTTGTCAATGTACCATGGCCTGAGACAGGAATAGATGTGCCACACGTACCTGCGTTGTTAACGATATAATGGATTTTCCCTTGGCCAAATGCTGCGGCCTTGTCAACAAGCGTCTGGATATAACCGGCGTCCAGCATGTCACCAGGCACCGCGAGTGCCCTTCCGCCGGCAGAGTTTATGGTCTCGGCCACGGATGCGGCCTTTTCGGCATCAATGTCCGAGACGACAACAAGGGCGCCTTCATTGGCAAAGAGGCGGGCTGCTTCGGCGCCAATGCCTTGTCCGCTGCCGGTTATGATGGCAACCTGACCAGCTAGCATCCCCTTTGGGTAGTTGAGATGAGCGGCGATTTGAGAGATCCGAGATGCGGCCATTGTGATATTTTGGGGTCAATGAACGGAGAGACTATACACAGGAGTGCTGGCTTTGAGACCAATGCTACAGACGGGCTTTCAAGAAGTTATAATATTCCGAAATCTCTGACAAGATAATCAGACTTGAGGCTGCCCGCCTGTATCCCTACCATCAAGACGGGTTGCCGAGGTATGTTCCCCGCATCGCCATCATCGAAACCCCGAAGGGACTTGATGGCAACCTTGGATCCCCTGGTGGACCATCTTGACTCCGCACGACCAGTATTTTGGCAATTTGCCGGTACAAATCCTGGTATACTATCGCCTGCTTGGATTCAGGTACCCAAGTGAAAAAATAGGCGTCGGCCAAACAGCAGGGACGGTAGCTCCTTGGGAAGTCTCCAGGTGTCGAGTGAGGTTGGTTGGTGACAAACTCCCCATCTCTCGGGCTCTTGGAGCTCCCGGCTGCCGGCGTCGTTGATTGGTTTCTCGGCCCTCCACCTGCAGTAGCCATCCCAACCCCACATCGACTTCCCCTTCCCCATCTCTCCAACTCGCTCATCGACGGCGGCTTGGCCTGCTTGTGTGTGTGTCTCTACTACTTGGGCACTCGGCGACCATTCACGATGCCTGCAAGAGGCCCATCAGGACCATGGCAACGCCTCAAGCCGGTCGAACTGGACCCCCTCGAGAGCATGGGCTTACCCTCCAAGGGCGAGACGAGGTATGAGGCAAGCTTGTCTTGACGTGCAGTCCCCCCATCAAGTGCCCCCGGGTCCGGTCGCTGATGGGACCAGACTTCTCGATCACAAGAACCAGGAGCGCTACTACACAAAGATTGTCGAGCGTTATCTCAGCTTCTGCTCCGATGCTACCGACCGTGATTCGCTTCTTGAGAAATTTGGCTCGCTTTCCATCGCCAAGGAAAGGGGCGCATCCTCAGGTACCGACGCCTCAGCAGATTCCGGAACAAGCGCCTCTACCATCTCTGCGGCAAACACGGCATCCACCCCATCGGTCGCGCCCTCTTTCCCTGCACCCACGCTTCCGCAGACGGGTACCAAGGACCTGTCCACCGTCTTGATGGCTCTGCGGAAACTCCGTGAAGGGCTTGTGGCCTCAAAGCGCATCGACGACTTCGCAACACAGGCCTACCTGTTCAACGTGCGAACCGCCATTCTTGTCAAGCATTCCGAGAGCTACCACCCCGCAATCCTGTACCTCTTGCGCACCATCCACCCAAAGCACCCTCTCACCAGTTTCGAATTGCGCGAGGTGACAGGCTACCTCGTGCTTGACGCCGCATGCCGCAGAGGCGACCTGGCCGAAGCCTTCGCCTTGCGCAACCGTTTCAAGTTGCGGGACGCAAAAGTTGATGCCGTCCTGCAGGCGTTGGCTCGCGATGACTTCATCGCATTCGGTAGGGTAAAGGCGACTGTCGACGGCCACCAGGCCAAGTTCCTCGAGTTCTGCGAGGATGGCTTAAGGCGCCATACGCTCAAGTGCTTCGGGCGGGCATACCTGTCCGTCGATGTCCCTTATCTCGAGAAGGCTACCGGGGCGACATTTCTTGAGCTTGTCGAGAGAGATGGCGTTGGCTGGCACTCGGACGGCTCCAAGGTCGTCATACGCAGCATCAAGGGGCGTTCCTAAATGGGCAGGCTCGGGTGTGGAAGGGGCTGTAACCGCGGGGACGGCAATGGTGAGTGCATATCTTATATTGGGCTACTAGGACTGGGTGCATCGAGGCTGCTCTGTAAATACGTGCATATGTGCTAATCCGACGTGAAGTCTTGCGCCTTGTTTGAGCAGAATAATTGGGCCAGTCAATTGGCTTCGTGCCCTGTAGGTACCGACAAGGGCTCATTGCTTGACAACTCGTTCGATGCCTCATTGCCCGCATTCTGGCTAATTCCGCTGTGGAAGGTCATGTCGTTCCCGGTAATCAAACCTCATCAAACCTGTCGCCACTCAGCCAAGGCACACAAGCCGTGTTATCGCCGTTGTTGGACAGGACACTGGGAATAGTCTTGAAATTTCGTTCCGGCAGCCAGCTTGCTGCCTGTACAGTCGAAATGTCGCTAGCTACGTGCCGTCACCAGCTTCAACCACGATTCAACAAGCTACTTGGTCTGGCACACTCTTTCTCGATACTCAATATCTTGAATGGCATGCGCTGCGCGAGGTAAGCCGACTGGCAATGCTACCTACATCGACGCGTAATTTTAGGCCGCCGAACGGGATGTCTAAACGCAGCGGAAAGGAATGCATCCTTGTCGGATGCACGAAGGGTCCAGTCCAAGACTGTCCTCAACATCACGTTGTCCTGATCACATACTCACAGAACCGGTGACCTCTTGGCAACAGAACCTGCAAGTCTTGGTGGTATCTTCGAAGACCCGGTGGTATCTGTTGCGCGAACGCCGTGCCCAGGTTGCAGCAGGTACCACCCTCTTTTTGGCAGCTCGGAAGTCTACAGCGGCCCAGAGTCCCGGGACGGAGGTGTGCTATTGGCCAGGAGGTTGTGAGGTACGGATAAAGTTGAGGCTAAGGTCCCTGAAATCTGGAGATGACGAGCTAGTCTCCGTCCACTAACGTCCTGCAACCTCACGAACTCAGAAGAGCAAGAAATAGCAGCTTGTCTGAGGGTCTGGACTGCGGCTGGGGGAAACCGGCTCCTCTCCTTCATTAGAAATTCTTGGCAAATATTCAGGGCCAGTTCTATCGCGTTCTGGCCGGCTGAACGCTGCAAGTGCTTGCCACAATAGCCGCCGCCAGGGACACGATCCGACCTCACCAAAAAAGCGCGATTGTTCGCAGAGTGTCATCGCCTGAGTTCAGACAAAGGCTAGGTGTGGTTCGACCTCAGGGCTTGGGCAACAGTCCAGCCTTCAAGTACTACCTGCCGCTCTTGAATCTCCTGATCTTACTCAAGTGGTTCCGGCGCTGGTTTGAGTGAGCTTGTGACGGATAAATCTAGTCCGCATGCGTGCTGAGTTGATGTGTGCTACTGCAAGATCAATTTATTTATATTGCATTTTCCTTGTTCACCACTTGCAACTATCGCGTGCACCAATTTGGCGCCGGCTGAAGAAAGGTCGAGACCCTGAAGGGCTCGTTCCCCCAAGGAGCGATGAACCTGAGGATGGATATTCGAAGGAAAGTGCGACCACTCAAGTCTATATAAGTGCCGTGGTCTACCCGGTCCTCCCAAAATGTTGTCTCCAGCTGCGTTGTGCCGTACGACAATTCAGTTAGTTGGCGATATTGCCGGCCATGTTTGGTCGCCGTCTAGCTTACGTCCTTGCAGGACTCGGAGCCCCAGCATGGTCGGCTCCGGTCCTGCCAAGGGCAGACAAGAACCCACAATCAGTTCCCCATGGCTGCATTCCTGAAGTCTGGGAGCAGGCACACTTTTGCATCATTGCTCCTCCTACCACCACCATAGTTCCGTCCAACAAAGCTCGGGATTCGTTAAACGAATGGCTGGATGTGAGGGCTGCCGACACTCCAAGCCCTGTTCTGGACGTAAAGGGCACTCCCACCGACAGCGATTGCATCCCCATTGTTTGGGACGGGGTCTTCATTTGCCTCGCCCCACCAACGACAACAATTGGCCCTTCAACCAAGCGCGATGAGTCCGAGGCTCTAGCTGGGAGGGACACCCCAAGCCCAACATCTACGGACCCTACTCCTACGGACAGCAAGACTTGCGCTGTCTGGCAAGGTGTGATTATCTGCTGGGAGCCTCCAAAGACTACAATCGGGCCTTCGACTAGGCGTGGCCTTGATGCGGCTGAGATGGAGAAGAAGGACGTCACTGAAGACAAGCGCGATGGTGGCTGGGGTGGAGGCGGTCTTGTTCCCGACACGCCTGTTCCCGGCGGGCCACTGCTTCCAGGTCCATATGTTCCTGGCGGTCCGCTCATCCCGGGTCCCTACGTGCCTGGACATCCGGTCACTCCAGACCCGACGTACCCAGGCGGAGAGATCACACCGTCCACCTAGATCCTCGAGGCATGTCGATATGGGACTGGTTGGCAAGTGTCAATCGTATCGTCCCGAGTGAGACATACTGGCTGCGGTAGAGCCAACTTGCGGCTGGTTGGATATGGAGGATCGAAAAAATGTGGACATGGAAACAATGAGGCTGTCCATGTCACCGTCCCTCAGGGGGAATGGTTTCAAATTCCTTTTTGGTTGTCTTGATTTTTTTTTTAATGTCCGATAGTCTTTTAGTGATATTCTCTGCTTTTCATCAACAAGGCTTGATTGACACAATGTTTGCGTCTTGCTCCACAGTGATAACGCTCGACCTCCATGGCTCACACCCCAGCACTTACCCTCTCACATCTTTCGGGTGACCAAAGCTCAACAAAAGCTCCATCACATTTTAAGCCCTGAAAACCCGATACATAATTTCACCAGAGGGGTGGACCATTGTATCGCCCCTTAGGTGTGTACGTATTCACGGTTTGACAATGTGATCAAGCTGGTGCAGTGTTTGCCTTAAGCGGAGTCATATCGTGGCGCAACCGGCACCAAGCGTCATGACGGAATAGCTTGCGACGCGTGTTCAAGCGGCCTCCGAGGATAATCTAGGTCTAGAGTATCGATGTGAGGCTCAAAGGCGGGATCACGTTCATCACTGTGGAGGCACTGGATCCACTTTTCAGGCGTCCGCGTGGAATACGGTCGTGGGAAAGAGCAGCAGACTTTTCACTATCGACGCGGACAGAGGCATCGTCAGCACTTCAGAAAGGTCCATGCTACTGCGATAATCAAGAAGCTTCGTTCAGCCAGAAGATATTGCCACATCATTGCGCCATGACGACCATGTACAGTACCTTCTGGAATACTTGCCACCGTGTCAACTCTACTATCTATGAGCACAACGGATAGTACTTGGCGCTTCTGGCGATGCGGGAAACTTCTTATTAATATGTTCCTTTTTCTCAAGGCTAAGTTCAGCCATTCAGACCGAAAGATTATAGCAGTAGGCGAATCGTTGTCCGATCTACTTTTCAGATAGCTGAGCACGGTCTTACGCCGCAAGGCTGAAACGATGCAACCCAGCTACTCGTATTTGCAGTCTTGTCCACAAGCTTTCGCCGAGCATAGTCATGCTGGGGGAGAGCCAAAATATTCCCGAACTCATCTAAAATTTCTTCTAAATAATATTGTAAATAAATTAGAATAGCATGGTTGTTGGCGCGGGCCATGGGCCATGTGATCACAGGGCTTCTCCGATAACATACTTGTAGAGCTAAAATGGTGCACGACTGGAAAACAACATACTTGCAAGGCGCGGACACATCTCTGTAATGCATAAGATCAATGGTGGTATGAAAGGCACTGGACGATACAGAATTTTAGGTGCTAGGCTACCTAGGTAAAATTGACGAAGCTCACACAGGTAAGTCCGCTCTCAAGTGCTTTGTCTGTCCCAAGCACTACGTAACGGCGCTGACACGAACACTGAACAGGCCCATTAGGCGTGATAATCGCCACCCTGGGGCATGAATAAGGAATATTTAGTAGGCATTAGCTCCGTCAAAGCACATTCAATGAGATTATTCAGCGGTGATTCTTCCTTGGGTCGAAACTTCTCCGGAACTTATTTTTTCTCCTTAAACGTCAATTTCTTACAAACTCGACAACGGTAGCCGACAGGATCGTGGCTTCTTCGTTCATCACGATAATTTGAGTAACGTTACCTCAATAACAACTGTATGAAGGCGCGACATACGTTTCAGATGTATGGAGATTAGAAATTAAAGCACATCTCATTGTCAATAACACGCGTTCAAGCATGCCGTTCAGAATAATCGAGTTGATCGAAGGTTGAAGCCTCCCCGAGGGTCCTCTCGAGTGGCGAGACCCCTCGAAAGAAACGCTATTAATGTACGGGCACAGTGAGCTCGTAATTGTGATACTCATCCATGAGTCAACTGGGCACATCTTTCAACTCTGCGTGCATCACACTATAGGTAGAGTTCGTTTATATAATGCATCTTATCATATCACATTGTATAGGTTCATTCCTTCGGTCCAGAAGTCACAAAGCATGGCCCGTGAGACAGTACGAAGAACAAAGAATTTCATATTACAAGCCTCTGAAGGGTTTGAAATGGTGCTCTGAAAACAGATGCAATTGGCTTTCACACATTCCGAGTCTTCGAGCGTTGTGTGAATCAACCTACATCGTGATCAAGCTCCTCAGTCATACACTCTCTATATCCGCATGGTTTCAAGTTCAGAGTTCTTGGGGGGGGGAGTTTATGGTTCACACTGTTAGTAAGCCAACAGGAAATGGATGCACCCACACCTCAAGGCGTGGATCTGACACTTATGTTGGCTGGTAGAAGACCAAGCCAGATTTCTAACTGTGTTCCCTGCTAGTAGTTCAAGTTGACTACAGCCCCTTTTCTGAGGCTTTCTGTCGGAGGACGGTAGTGATCTTTTTACACGGATGGCGAACGAGATACGTGGGGAAAACCCAGCGGGATTGCTTTTCCTTGAAGTTGGATAGTAACCGAAGATCACTCAAGCAACCATCATTCACAGAGGTAATTACTACAAAACAATGAGCAGCACGTAACTTGGAACGTAACTTGGAACGCATAGAGGCTTTGTACCACAGACGCTATGATAGGTGATCCAGCATTCACAAGTGATCATCCAGCTAAGCAATTCTTTCTTTTCTTTTGCCTCCAGCCTACCCTCAAGATCCCACAACTATATCCGAACCTCAAAGTGCTGGGCCTGTGAGGGGAGACCATGATTCGAGTCCAACGCTTACAAGGGGATACACAACGTTCTTTATTTCTGCTTTTGCTGATTTTGAAAGCTCCCATGCCCGTATATATTGAGAAACCATCCAGTCTTGCATGCCCAGGTATCACCTCTTATATCAGTACACGGTGACTGCTGTGTTTGATGGAAATGATACAGCCTTCTGGCCGCACAATAAGAAGGTATATTCGGCGGCGTCAGAGTGAGCAGAGGCTTGAGGTCATGCCTAGACAGAGTGTCGATATTTACAGCCTGGTAGCTTGAAGACAACACATATACGGAAAGGGACGGCTTGATGCTAAGACTTCACAATATGACTTAGTGACAAACACGTCGAAGATACGTAGATACCTAGGTAGGATATCGCTCGTAGCTAAACCTAGATATAGGACGTCGCACATGGATGAACAGCATGGGTGACCAGCGTGACGAAATATCTACTGCTGCGCATGTGCAGCCAATCATTGAATATTCTTACTGTGGATGTACACACGAAGGACGACCAACACATAGATTCTGATAAGACTGGTCAACAAAAGATGGTATGAGCATAATACAAAGCTTTCAAATATTATAAAGTGTAATTTGTGATTGTCTATAATATGGATTGCGTCTTCAATTAGTACAGTCGTTGCCGGCTCAACTTAGCAGAGGAGCCCCAAGAAGACGGGGAGCCATGGGAGAAATATACCTACTTAAGTACAGCCTACACGCAGCCACTCTCCTCTCTGCGACTTGACGGCCGGGTTCTGGATTAAATTCAGCAACCCATCACACAGTTGAGCAGACCATTCAATCAGTCCAGGTGTAGCGTCATTCGATCGGTTCCAAGGTTTCGTTTCTCGCCCCCATACAAATAAAGTGTGGGTATTTTTTATTTTTTTTTGAACGCCGGGTCTTTGAGCGTTTACTACTGTATGAAGTCACCGTGTATGGCTTCGCACGTATACGGAGTCGAAGCGAAACCAGGCAGTCAGGATCCAGAGAAGCTGCCAGATCATGGCTGACGCGTTCTGCCGTTCTGCCTGGAGTTGGTCATGTGAACCCTAATCAACGGCAAATGGAGCTATAGTAACTCACGAGAACTTCTCCATAAGCATGCCTGATAGCCCGAGAAGCGATGACCAAAGCTACCACACATTACTCCCTACCTAGGTAAGTAGTGCCTCAACCGAGCCGTCAAAGATCTCGACATTAGCAGGCAATCCTTTCACCGATACACTCAATGTTGAGCAAGACCCCCTCGTGTACAAGAACCCCGATGGGCTCGTACATCCAGGAGGGAAAAGACATCATACGACTCTAGTCTCCCATATCGCGCATCGCTGTCCAGAACAAAGACGTTCGTGACCCTGACGAGCAGAAGGGCGCTTAATTACTTAAGTAGTCGCCGCGCGAACATAGCAGACAACCGCTGCTTTCTCGACGAGAACGAATCTGAGGCGAGGCAATTTTCCAACACCAACTAATCCGGATCCGTGTAGTGATAGCACGTCCACGGCATTCATGAGGAAGAAAGTGTGCATGGCCGTCGGTAGCTATGAAGTTGACCAGGCATTTCTGGATCGGATACATGCCCCCCACACCTGGTCCTATATATTGCGTAACATTCACCTGGACCAACTGACGCCAGCGTGCTGGCGTTCGAATAACTAATACTTTCCCAGGTGAACAAGGCCTCTCTTTCTTGGACCATACCCAAGTGGTTCATTCTCTTCAAGGCACAGTCCTCTTTTCAATCCCGAGGCCATTCCCAGTTAGCAACTGAACCTACACACTACCCACGTACCTAGGGCATCTAAATACCTACACAACGTCATCGACCTGCACTACCCGTGAGGGAGCACTGACGTTCTATGCACAAGGCTCAGGAGTCGGGACATCCCCGCTCTCACAGACGTTACTATGCAAGGTCATGACAAAGACGACAGTCGCATCGTCTTCCCACCGTCGAATGCCTTGCCAAGCTTGCATTGCGGTGGTATCAATTGATCAGCTGAGCATCGTATCCATTGGGCGAGGTGATCAGACTGCCCTGGAGCAACACTATCTAGGTAGTAAGTTCTGATGAAATTTATGAGGGCGGTCCCACAAGCGTCGATCGTGTGCATTGCTTGCTGAGTGTCGCGTTGGCCTTGTCCACAGAGAACCTCCCCACAGACGACCACTAGAGCGCGAGAAGCAGTCCGACTTCCCTCGTACTGGAGACCTAATTGTGCTGAGCAATGCGACTCTGTCCTAGGAGCCAGTGGCTTCTGGCAACGCGACTTACCCACCCAGTACATCCACCCCAGCCTCACGGGGCAACATCATGGCACATCCGGAGAAATGCTGTCCAGAGACCTGACGACTTGGCAGGTCGTGGCTGGTGGGCCATGCAGACTCAACAAAACCTCCCACGAGCCAAATCGCTGAGCCGGAGGGAGCAGCCTGTCGCCAGAGGCCATCGAGGTTCAGAGCCCAAGACAGCCGCGTGGCGCCGCGATGTGCCGCTGGCCAACCCATCCTCTGGCTCGGCGAACGACCCGCCGGTCCAGCTGCCATCCACTCCAGCTTCCAGAACTGACAAGGACTTCGTGGCAGCCGATCCACCGACGCGGACCATACTAACTGCCATTGTTCAAGGCGGGACGCGAGGCGGCCGGGACACGCGCGTATTATTTTTGGTACGGCAGCACGGCCTGGAACCATTGCCTGTAGACGGGCGCATCTAAGGGCTCTCGAACCCCGCGACAGCCTAGCTACCTACCTGCCTGGGTATGCTTCTCGCGGCGGAGGGGCCTATGTGTCCGCTCGCCTGCCGGCGGGCCATCAGGCCGCGAGAAAGGACAGGCCCCACAGACGTCGTGATGTGGTTCTACTACCTAGGTGCACATGTGTCGGTGACGCCCAGGCTCGTCACACGCCCCTACGTCTCTTTATCGAAGAACGATACCGAGCGCCTTAGAGGCTAAATAAAATTCACGGCAGGCGAGGCATCGGAATATGGGCCATGAAAAGGGGGGGGGGGGCGCGGCAGAAGCTCTCGGAAGGACAGGTCAACCCCAACCCACAGCCACCCACACAGTCCGGTCCTTTTACACTACAGGGTCTTCCCTTAATTCTTGTCGTGCAGGGACTTCTGACCTCCTCTAATGTAACCTGCTTCCCACCAACCAATTGCCCTCCTCACACGGTACCTACGTTTTTCCAATACAACGCTACAAAACAGCTACCTAAATTCTAATGAATTTTGCTGTGTCTGGTGGTATTTTTTTGTGAGTACGCACAGACTTGAAATTTACTCTAGGGATCCTTTCCTGACCTCTCAGAAGTCGCTCTGCGACGAGAATTAGGGGAAGACCCTGTACTTAGACAAACACTATACTCAGCCAGAGCCCGGCACTCAATAGTCAGGGTGGAGCCCTCACGGTAGGAACAAGAGACTCGAGCAGGAAGACCCGGCGGGGCAATCCCATCACGATCTGCGGGTCCCACCGCCCACAGATAGGCCAATGACGACGGACCTGCAGACCCTCAACGCGGCGTCGAAGAGAGTCTGGGCTTTGGACCCCGACAGAGGTCTCGAGGTCACTCACCGCCAGAGTGCTATCTCTCCCAATAGGGGTTTCGCCTGACACCACCAGCCCACTGTCTCCAGCGAGAAGTGCGGCTGCTGTCCACCACGCCTTGTCACGCCTTCGGGGCCAGGGGCCCAGAAAACAACGCAGGTTTGGGTCCCATGTGCCACTGATCCAGCGACGTGCAGATGGGGATGCATCCACGCCTGCTCCACAATGAGGTGGGTGGCTGCACTACTACCGGGAGGTGCTAGGCCGGATTGTCTGTCCTGAGTTGTAGTCCAGATGGGCACTCAAGCACTCAGTCTTTACCCAGGTACGGGAGTACTCACAGGCTGACAGGTCGGCGAGGGAGACAGACCCGATTCGGTTGAAACAACAAACAGGACCACCAAGAAGCCTTGGACCCTCGAAAGTCAAGAGGCAGGGAACACCGCTGCTGCGGGCTGGGCAGGCTGGGGACGGCCTTGCTCACGTCGTCCAAGCCCCCGGGGAGCTAATGCAGGCTCTCGAGCAATGGGCTTGGGTTGTCGTCAGTCAGTCAGTCAGTCCGTCCGCCTGTCTGCCCATCGCCGGCGACTCTGCGGCCGGACAGAGGGCCAAGACGACTTGGAGCTTATGCAGCGGGCCACCCGCAGTCGCTCGTCCGGCGCCATCATTGTTACCCAGCCAGCCAGCCTGCGGGATAATACAGTAGTCTGCTACTACATGGTATCAATGAGGACTCGAGCTTCATCAAAGAGATCAAGTGCCACTACTGCCTAGTGCCGTTGCCAGTCCACCGGATTCATCGGATTCTCATAGTGCTCGTCAAGCTTCATGCAGGAGATCGGGCACCACGGGGGCAACTCTCCTGCTTGCCCGCCGGGCAGTGTGAGTGGAGGGAGATGCGCCCGGACAGGCATGACGGGCTGTGGGCACGGCCTTCGCGATGGTGTCAGTCGACCTTGGCTGCATTGGGCGACGTGCCAGTGTGCCTCGTCCTTTGATGGCATCGCCCGAGTGGGTTTTGTTTCTGTTTCTCTCTGCCACATTCAATGTTGCCACACTCCCGCCCACACAAAAAACACCCGGCCAAGTTCACATCCAGCCAGCCAGCCGGCCCAAATTGCCGAGTAGCATCGCGTGTGGGAGAGACACAAGCGCGGCAGCGCCTGCCTGCAACGGGCAGATAGCATGGCTAATATTGCCCCTCCGAGGCGCGGGAAGAGAAAAAAGCACTGGGTGCTATCAATGCGAGCTTCGCCTTTGCGCCGCTGGCGCCGGTAGTCTGACAGGGCCTACGAGGCGGAGACGGACAATATATTAAAATGTTTCCCAAGATCCCTGACAGCCAGAAGCTTTCTCGGGCAGATAGAGACTCGATGCGACGTCAGATAGACCCGCCAGGGCCGTCACCCGTCTGGTCCTGGGCGTTGTTCGCGATGCTACGCCATGATCCAGGTCGGTGAAGAGCGCCCGCATCAAGAGTGATATTGCAGAGTCCCTGCGGCCGCGCCTGCACATGCAACCCGGGGCAACTCAGGAGAGCAGAAGTAAGACAGAAAGATAAGACAGACAGGCGGACAGGCTGGAAGGCGGCTTGCAGACACCAACCTGCCTGCATAGGGGAATGCCCAGGAATCATCCATACTCTCCTCGCTCCACCATCGTCACCAGAAGCACCGGCACGTAGCAAGTGCACAAGGGATAATGAATGAAGGGGAAGAATACTGGCGGCAGATAGATCACCAGGCCCACCCCGTCGCTTCCCACCACCATATGCAACAGCTGCAGAACAGTCGTAGTGCACCAAGATAAATTATCCGAACTTGGGACTGGCTGGCTGGGCCGCCGTTTCTTCACTCTGAGCTGTCCTGGACTTCTGGTAGCACCACAAGACCCTGCTAGGGTGTGACTCGTCAGAATGGCTGATGGTGGCGTCCCGTTACGCCTATCCTGGCCCTGTCTCTGCTGCACAAAGCACCAAAGCAGGGCGAGGGGGGCCAGGGGCCAGGGGCCAATCAGCGAGCCGCGATGCTCTACAGGAGAAGAACAAAGCGTCGAGTCCGCCCTATGCAGCACTTTGAGGGCAGCAGGACAGCATGGGCAGTGAGTGGGCAGGACAACGTGGGTGCCTCGCCCTGTAACCGCAGTGGCTTGAATTTGCTGCAGTTGATGAGCAAGGCAACCCACCCACCTCCTCCCCCCCCACACACACAAGAATCTATACTTGCAACCCATACACACTCAAGGCATCCTGGGTGGTACGGCGCCCGGGACGTGGTCTTGGTGTAAGCAAGCGTTGGTGTGTCCCACTGTGTAGCAAATTCGCCGAGCACCCGTCATTTGGCTAGAAGCAACCGGCCTCGACCGAAAGGCAGGACGGCGTGCCATTGACTGTCTGAGAGCAAAAAGATCTAATACCTGGCTCGTAGCGACGACCACGACGAGGAACAAAGAAACTTCCTCCGCTCCAAGGACACTTCCGGGGAGGCTAGAATACAGCTAGCTGCCAACAGCCCATTCTCGATCTCGGGACAGTCCGCTCCTGGAACCCATGAGTTCGACCGACCTCTCCTTGTTTGTTCAACAGCTTGACCCGCGCATTTCCCACCAAAAAGGCACGGCAAAATGTGTGATGTCCTGTGTGGTCCAAAACGTTGTATTTGTATTGAACACTGGGCAAAGCTTCTTCCGCATGTGCCCCTTGCTTCGCGAGGAACAACCCCCCCGGCAGTGCCATTGGGAGATTCCTCTCGACAGCTAGTGAAACGTATGTATATCCACCAAGCCGCGTGAGCGGCTGACAAGATCGGGATGGTCACCCCGAAGATCTCTAGACTCGTCATAATGTCCCGTTTCTCATAACATCTCTCCCCATTTTCCTTCGATTCCAAAATATTCAGACAGCCAAGCCCAGGTATTGGTGACAAGAAGCGAACGCGAAATCCATGAACTGCAAGCCGATCTATGACCGTACTGAGCACGCCAGAAATGCACTCCGTAGAACTCAAGTAATCCAAAACGGCGCGCTCCGGTGGCAGGTCCTCGCGAATTCCTCTTGACCAACTAGTCTCGACGTCGTCGACCACAGCCAAGACCACGGTGGCATTCTTGTAACAATGCCTCCACAAATCCAACCCCAACTCCATGCTCAAAAACACAAAAGGAAAAAAATGGGGACAAGGCCCCCAAGCCCGTAAAAATTAATATGGCATATACAGATCAAGCTGTAAAACGAAATCCGGCTTTTGTGTCCCTGGTCGAGACCCTCGATACTGTGTTCCTCGGGGTCAAGCTCCTTTCTTTTTTGGTAACATTTGATGAAGCCTTTGGCTTGCAAGGGCACAACCCAAAGAGAGTCCGGCGGCGGAGAAAAAGGAAATCCAGGAAGTTGATGACATAAATAAGGTCCAATGGAGATAAGATTCCAGACAGCGGCGCTGTGGAGCCTTGCCCTTTTCGCCAGTCTCGTGATGGATTTTTAAAAGCCTGGTACAGGAAAAGAAACCTGAGGGTAGAAGTGCAGGGAATGGTGGATCTGAGGCGGAGGGGGTGCGTATTGCCTGAAAATATCCCAAAATTGTGGAAATCCAAATTTGGGGGCGCAGGTCCCATGTGGTGCCTGTTGTAAAGGTTGCACTGGCTGTGTGGGCTCCGGCATTACTCCTTGGTATATGTTGAATTGTGGGCCGCAGTTCAACATGCTTGGGTCGGCTGGAGCAAAGGTGGCCAACGGCGCCTGAGTAGGGGCGGAAACATTGGGTTCGACTGAGCAGTCAGGGCGGTCCTCATTGTCCAGCCCATCAACAGAGTCATCGTCTGAAGCGGCGCCGTCTATCGAGTCGTCGTCCGACGAGTCCCCATCGGAGTACTCGTCAACAGATTCGGCAGGAGAAGGAGGATAGTCGTAGTCCATAGCATCAACAACGGCGTTCTCCTGAACGGACGGGGAAGACGGCGGTGTCGGCAGAGCTGGCTGCTCGGCGCATGTAAACCTGGAACAGGCCAAAATCCTCTGCTTCAACGCGGGTAGTGTGATCCTGTGTTCTGGGTCGCGTGTGAAAATACTCCCCAGAATGTCGCTCAGTTCGTCAGACACGGGAAGAATGGTCTTGAGGAATCCTGCGCTGCGGGTGTAGGCCCGGTACGTGGAGTCCTCAACAGATGCCTGCTTCCATGGGTTCCGTCCACAGGTGAGGTTCACCAGAATGACTCCTAGGCTCCAGACATCATTTGGGGCGCAGTAGTAGAAAGGCCTCCGGGATGAGTGGTCCAGGCATTCTATAAGAAAGAAAAAAGAAGGGAAAAGTTAGTTGCTGAACCGGGGACATCGGCTGGACCACTGGCCAGGCCCGTGATAAAAAGCTTACCTGGTGACATGTAGAAGGTTGAACCACAACCATAGTCGTCAGATCGCTCGGAAGATGTGGCCAGGCCGAAGTCGGCGAGCTTCACGGTCTCTCCCTGGTCTTTGACGAGAACATTCTCCGGCTTCAGGTCCCGATGGTAAATCCCCCGGCTGTGGCAGAATTCTACAGCATCCAGGATCTGGAGAAATATCCGCTTGGCCAAGTCATCCTTACCAACGTACTGCCCGCACTCTGTGATATTGTAGAATAGATCACCTTCAGGGCAGTACTCCAAAATGACAAAGATGCAGTCGGTGCCGTCGATAATCTTCAACATGGACACGACATTCCGATGGGCGGAAGCCTCCCAGTGCAGGCGGATTTCCCTGGTCTGGAAAGCCATCTGTCGTTGATCCAACGGTGTTCCATCGGCATTGAACTTGCTGAGTGTTTTCACGGCATAACGGACATTGGTGTAAATGTCGATGGCCGAGTACACAACACCATAGGCACCAGTGCCGAGGATCCCATCCAGGCGTAGCGAGCCTGCCAGGCAGCTTCCTAACCTGTCCTCAGGGGCGACCGGGACATATCTGGGCAGAGCTGGAGCTGGAGACTGGGGAGGAGACGGGGGAACTCGAAAAGGTCCTGTAGCGCCTGACGAAGGGATCGTGTAGTTCTGGCCAAACCCAAGTGGACTCAAAGGGGGAGAAGGGAGATGGTTGTAAGCTGGTGCTGCGACATGACACATGATAAAGCTGTGGAATGAGTCCGGGAGTCCTGGGAGTATATCCTTCTGGCTTGCGGATGGAGCAGTCCAGGCACGTCCAAGAGAGCAAAAAAGAAAACTATGTCGAGACAGGCGGCATCAAATCCAAGTGAGGCTCGAGAATCCAAAATGTAGACAGCGGCAGACTTTCTGTCCTGATCCTATATGTTGGCTTTTGTCTGGAGGTCCTGGCCGTCCCTGTGGTTTTATGTCGAAACAAACAAAGATGACGTCGAAGTCAACAGCATTCAAGAGCGGCGGTTCTCCGTATGGAATAGACTGGTCGAAAGAGATGGCTCTCAAAAATGCATAGGTGGGTGAGTATCCAAATCCTCGGTTCGTTGATGCAGGAGCGAGAGAAGTTCGAAGGTGAGGCGAGATGAAGAGTGATGTGAGGCTTGAAGGTGGTGCGAGAGAGGATATGGACTACCAGATGTATGAAGAGGGCTGACGCGATTTCTATCCGCAGGCCGTCTCGAAACGAACCTGGGCCACCCTTGTGGCACAGTACGAGTCCCAAGACCCAAGAGACAGTAGCAGGGTAGCCTGATCCAGATTTCAACAGGGGATGCTGCCGCCTTAGCTTTCCTGCTTTCTATTCTGGTGGGTCACCGGTGTCACCCAGGGGGTGTGGTCAGAGTGGACACCCCCCCCAACATGCACCCCTAGTCTCACAGGGGGGCTAGCAGGGCAGAATTAGCGTGGCTCTTTTGTGCTGGCACTCTTTGCTGACAGACAGACGTTTTGAGACGATAGACGCCCAGCGGCTCCGCTGGGATGGAGACAGCAGAGGCTGGGTTGATCAGTGGCAGTTGCCACGGTATGAGTCTTCTCTGTTCTTCAAGCAAGCAAGCAGAGTGAGTAATACCTGGTGTGTAGCTGGTGGGTGTTGTTTGTTCACACGAACGAGCCGCCCCAGCCGCTTGTTCACCAAGCAAGAGGCGATGCAATGCTTGTGCTGCTGCAGAAGTTTCCTCGTGGTTATTATGGAGATTAGTTGGAAGCAAAGCGTGCATGGGCAGCGTACACTACCAGTGGCCGTCTCCAGGTCTATGTGGCTGTGGTGCTATTGGTTTTGCTAGAGTTTAGATGAGAATTGCCCAGGCCACCTAGCATCATCTTCATTGGACATTTAGTTTCGTCCGTGGGTATTCCTACTGCCCACCCCCCCTGCCCCCTGTGTAGTCTTGCGCTTGAAGACAAGATGACGCGGTATGTGTAGGGCAAAGCTGACGTGCGAGATAGAGAGGTCTGAGACTGATGTTTCCCAGAACCAATGAGACAATCAGTGGGATGGCGATGTTTCTGTAATGTCAGACCCCGATGCACACAGACCGGAATGACCTACACTGGCATGCCAGTGGGACACACGTGAAGCTGCAGATTGTGTGGTATGTAGAGCACCAATACGGCCCTTGCGGAGCACGGACTGTAATCTGGGCTGGCATCAGCGTACGGCACAACAACATGAACAACAACATGAACAACAACAACAAAGGCGCGGCATGATAGTCGGGAGACGGACGAGCCAGGCGTTAGAGCGATTCACACACATTGTTCGCCGGGCTAGCAGGCCGCAGTCACGATATACATGCCACTGCTGGGGTGCCGCTGGCGCCGCACGTTGAGGGCGGGACTGCATGTCCTCCGTGGCAAAGCTGCCCCGTGCGCCTCTAGTCCTTCCAACGGTGCGTGCCCGTGCCAGGTGTGTGTGGTACCGTGGTAGTGTTCTTGGGGGAAGAAAAAGACACGATAGGTCGTTCAGAGGGCCGAGCCACGATTGGCTGGAATGGGGCGAATCAGAGGCCAGGTCAGTTATTGACGGCGCATTGTCATGCAGCCATGTTCGTGAGGGAAGCCTCGTGATGGCACAGGATTTCGCAGGCTTGCCAGGGATTTGCTGGGGCCGCAGCTTGCCGAGGGGCGACAAGAAGAAATGAGGCTGCCCTTGTGTCTGCTGTGTGTGGAGGCCCCCCCCCTGGCTGCCTGGTCCAACTGGGACCTCGTCCTTGCCGTCTCTTGCTCAGCACGCTGCGGTGCTTGGGTGCCTCCCCCCAGCCCCCCACACCTCCCCCCTGCAAAAGAGTTTCGAGTGAGGGTGGCTCCAGACTCTGGTGCCAAATCAATCATGCGCATCTTAATTTGACAGGCCCGGCGGGTTGTTGACTTTGGGTGGATCCAGTCCACACCACGCGGGACAGCCAACAGCCAATCCACCGCCGCCAGGACAGTACATGGAACAGTACCAGCCCCCGATCCCCAGCCTGGGCGGTTTGGCCGCCTCGTGTCGATCACGGAATGGGCACAAAAGTGTGAGTGGGACCAGTGGCGGCATGCCATTCGATCGATTTGGGCCAGGGCCAGGGCCAGGGCGAGCAGGGCCGTGAGTCAATAGAACGAAGGATTGACGAGATGGATGGCTCGGATTTGTTGGCGCCGCAGTAGAGGCCTGCAGGTCGTCTGCGTGGCCAGCGGCCCCCGACCCTACTGGATAGTAGCAAGAGTAGTAAGCTGCTGGATGTGCCAGCAGCCGGTCGGTCGCCTCTGTCAGTCAAGTCTGTGTCTGTCTGTCTGTCAGCATTCCGACCGTCACCCCTCTACCGGCTCTGCTGCAACCCCCTGTCGCCCTGCCAGTCCGCCTGGCCTGTCTCCTTCCTTCCCCGTGCTCCCACCCTGTTCAAAAGTGCTCGTCGTCACGGGCAGGAACAGGGCGGCGGCGGCGGCGGCGGCGGGGGGGGGGGGTGGTGGTGGTGGACCCAGTCAGCGTTGCATCTGCAATCTTTTGGGAGGGTCGTATGCATTGGCAGGCGTCGCAGGACCGCCTTGATGCCAACACGCTTGGCCCGGAATGTTTCCTGACGAAGGTTTGGACAAGTTTGAGTCCAAGGCTAATGGCCACAGTATGTTGAGTCAGTGCTGCGCATGTGGGAGGAGCGAGATTTCGGGACTGAGGCTGGGATGCGCCTGCGATGCTGGTTGACTGCTGCTCAGCATGACGGCAATTGGGGGGAGAGGTATCCCGCCGGGCTGAAATGTGTCGTGCATTAGCTGGCAGCAGTGGCACTAACTCGAGGGGGGCCCGCAGCGCACAGTGACATGATAGTGCACAGATGCCTTGGCTCCCCAGGCGCCCAGGCTCACTTAGTCATCAAGACCCGAAAGAGGGACACACCTTGGCTGCTTCCCTGCTTCCCTGCTTCCCTGCTTCCCTGCTTGCCCCCAGCACCTGCAACGGCAGCAGATGTGTCGCACACCTGACACCCAGCGGCAGGAACAAATATTGGCTCAGCAATCTCGGCCGCGATGCCCTCCTGGGAAAGAGCACTCTTTCCATTGGAACCTTCCAAGCCCTCGCGTGTTCCCCAGTTGGGCCGTCCCTGGGGTCCCACTCCCACGTTCTGCACCCCTCTCGAGCCTATCATCAGCTAGCGTGCGTACTGTAACAGTGTAATATCCCGATCTGCAATTAGAAACCATCGACTCAGGACAGGTCCCCTGCCATCGGGCCCAGCCAGCCAGCCCGTCTGCCATGTTTGTGATGAGCGGGCTTTTTGCAAGCCTCGATTATCATCAGTCTGCTATCACCACAGTACAACTACAGTACAATAGGGCGGCCAGGAACAGCCGAGAGCCCGCCCAGTGGGCCAGCCCAGCACCCAGCAGCCCAGCAGCCCAGCTAACAGCCGTTCTAGAACTCGACGTGCCGCCTGTTTATATTGCAGAGCACAAATGCAATCTTGCAACCCCCTGCAAGGCTCTGCGGCGAACCACTGCGACAGTGCAGACGTACGGTGGCAGGCTGGCAGGTAGCTTGATAGCTGCTGGCGCCAGCTGAACTGTACTATTCCAACCCGCGGTACTTTCAAATGTTGTGTGTCCAGTCAGTCAGTACGGAGTACGTGTCCGGCAGAGTCAATTGCCAATCTGAAACCACGACATGGGTTGTGGGCCAATGGCCGGCCGTCGAGTAGGCCCAGGGTCCCATCACGAACCCTCGAGAGGTTGGTATGCACTGCGCAGTCATAAGCGCTTCGGCACGTGTGGACAGCCTGCCAGACCCTCATTTCCCTCCCAGCGGCTGTGCAGGCCAAGGCGACGCGGCCTTGTTTGCAATGCGAGAGACTTGCTCTCGGGCGGACTCGGTCGTCCAATATCGTGACGCCTGTGCTACTTGCAAAACATGTGGCAGGCGAGTGACACCGTAAACGTCGTATGGACCATCCGAGCATAGCATCCGAGCATAGCATCACAAGCATCACAAGCATCCAGGCCCCAGGCCCCAGCCCCCGCATGCAGCCTGCCAGGCTGCCCAGGACCATCACCAGCAACAGACACCATACCGTGCTGCCGCTGTGCTATTTTCAGCGGCGGTTGCAGCCGCTCGCTGCCGGAGTATCTCTCATCGGAGCCGCTGAGGCACACGACCCTTGGTCAGACCGGCCCCCAGATATCAAAGGCCGTGTATGTACGGAGTAGACACCCATGGCATTGGCATCTCAAGACTCGAGCACACCGAAGATCACTTGGGGCTTCATCTGAATCATCGGACCGACCACGCCTGTTCAGCAACGCGAGCTATGTCCGACCGACCTGTGAGGGCCGGGTCTCGCGACTCCAGGACGGCAATGCTATGTTCGCAATATGAGCACTCTTCGGACGGACAAGGGAGTCCTGGCTCAACCCCCCCCACAGAGGACCCTTGACACGCATGTCCAACAGGACCTGCGAGAAGGCAGAGACAGCCACAGCCTAACCCGGACTGCATACCGATCAGCCTGTCAGCCAGGCAGCCCTGGGGGCATGCAGCAGACTGGGGAGAGTCTGATCTTCTTCAATTGAATTGCTTGGCCGTCGGGAAAGTCGGGGATGCACAGTTTCGCGACGCTGGACCGGTTCCATAACCCACAGATCACCAGGCGATCATCAGCCACCGGCTGGGCAAGGGTCGATGGGATGAGGCGCGTCCTCGTTGCTCTGGTGCTTCATCTGAACTTGTCGTCAAGGGCTCAAGCTCACCCGAGGGCCCACCCGTGCGTGCCGTGTCAAACTGCGACAGAGTGTCTTGCAACTCCCGCTGCTGACCCAGACCATCTGGTCGGGCCCTCTGGCGATCGTTGTCGTCGTGTCGTACGGCCACGACAACCCACTGCTTTGGAGAGCCGCCGCATGCAGTGGTGCCCGCCTTGGCGAGTCCGGGCCCAGCACCGCTGCGTCATGCCGTCCCGTTCCTAAACGCCAACCGTCCAGGCCGTCCTGTCGGAGCACATGGTGTGGCAACGGACAGCTGTGGGCTCGCGGGCTTTCTTGGCCTGCCGCAAGGCTACCTGGCCCAAGACGTCAACTAGCCACGTACAATTGCCCTCAGACCTCACTGCGCTGTGCACTCGTCCTTGGTACTGTACCGAGTACACGTTCATGTTATACTCGCCCGGGGCTCCCGCCCTTCGCCCCAACACCAAAGTAAATTGATATGTGCTACATACACCGAAAGCCTAATTCGTCGTGTCGCTGATAAAGCCGTGCGTGCTTCGGCCACCCGTCCTGCCGTCGTCTATACCGGACTGTCTCACGGCTTCGCGTCGGTCGCTCAACTGGCAACCTATCCGTGGTATCCCACATGTTCGGGAAGTGTTTCTAGAAAGGCATACCTCGGAGGTGGGTGTCGTCCGGGCGTTTCGTTCCGTCGCACTGAGGGCCGCACACTTTTGAGCTTGAAACAAACCCTGGGTGACCAGAGGATCCCCCCCAATTCATGCACGCCGCTTACGCCTTCAAGCTGGCGATCTTCAGCCTTTTCCTCGAATCATTTCAGACGAGAGCGGTGAGCGACAATGCATAAACATCAGAGGAATAAAGGACCCGCGATGTGCCCCCAGGTCTTAGCCTTGGAGTCCACAAAATATCGGCTCCCGCAGCGAGTCGGCGTCTCAGGAGCGGCGGCGGCGTCTGACAATCATGACTATCACGGCATCGGACGATGGGAGGATTCGTCCTAGGAATCCCACCCTCCGCCGCGGCGCCTCATCTGGCAAATCTGGCGAACGGATCCCAAAGGCTACCGTGCGCAATCTGTGGTCCTCAATTCAGGTCACCTGTGACCCCCCCTGGCACGAGTCCCGGCTTTCTCTTGACAAGGCCCACCCCGCCGTGGGTTGGGGCTCATCTACGTGAGGCAGAGCCTTCGGTGATGTCAGGGCCTTGCAGGTGGGGGGGCCGGCAGGGCCTACTCCTCGATGCCTGTAGGATCTGCCCTCCGGACCACACTGTCGGCAAGGTGAGGGCTGATGGGCGGGGACTGTGGTATCTCGCTTTCCGGCTTGGGCAAGGCCCGTCATGTCGGCGTCGCTAGAGGATCATCCTCCCTGCAATTTGGCGGCATGGAGGTCCTGCCCGGAGGCCATGGCCAGCAGCAGCGGACACTACAGATGATGCTGTTGTAAATTATAGCTCATCATTTGACGTCCATGTCGTCGTCACCTCATGTACATCAATCTCGATGGGCAGGGAGGGCCGCACACCAGCACAGCAGGGCACACCACCACCTGAACCCCATCGAAAATAGTGTTTTGTTTTCTTGCCGATCCGAGAAGTGACGCTATCAGAGCTTCCCTTCTAGAACTGGCCCTTGAGCAGACCACCGTTGTAGCCGACCAACCAACAGCCAACCAACCACCCTCAGCACCACGCCAGCGGAGCAACCACGCTGTCGGGGAAGCTAGGCAGCAGGGGCAGGTGCACGGCTGCATGAACGGCCTGGGTAGTGTAAAAAGGCCCACAGCCAAACAGCAACAGCAATCGACTCAGATCTCGATGGAAGTTGCTACATATCTCCATCCAAGTGCGGTCGCGATCCTACCGCGTGCCCGCCAAGAGATACCCGGGAGAAGCTGACCCCCCTGGCCCCCGGGAAGAGCGAGTGGACGGCCACGGTCAACGGTGAAGGCATTCCTCAATCCTTGGTTGGGCCCGCTCCGTGCGGAAGGCCCTCTCCGCTCAGGATATCCCGACATGCATCGTCGCGGATGACATCTTAGTTCAGCACCTAGGTAGTCATCTGCATGCAACCCGTTCCTGACTGCTCAGAAAATAGAGACACCCCGGTGGCGACCAAGAAGTGCATAACAGCAGATGGGTCATATCAAGTGACCGAAAAGGCCTTCCACCGGGCCTATCAGAACCTTCTTTGATCCTTTGCTGGCCGGATTTCTGTGAGCCGCCATGCGGCACAGACTTGATGACCGGAAGTACGGCGTACTATGGCATTCAAGTGCAATTGCAGCACGGACGAGCTGGTCCACCAACTGCAACCCTGGGGGCCAAGACATCACTGCTGTATGACGGGCCAGCCTTTCTGACGTCTCTCCGCCAGGCCGTCCAATCACAGGCCTCGCTTCCTACACCGACGACCAGCCTCGCCTGCAGTTGTCGGGCGCGCATCTGACAAGTCTCAAAGGAGAACGCCACGGCGCCTGGTGAGATCACTTGTTGAGATCGCGGGCGGCCCACGGGCGCCGCTGCTGGCATGGGCTGCATGGCTGGGTGGCTGCATCTGCGGCCTTCCGAGAAAAGTTGCCAGTGAACAGGACGAACACAACACCACCGCCACCCCATTTCAGGCCCATGGGACGACAGCAAGACAAGCCACCGGTTGCACATGCACATACGATGGCTGTCGACGCGCACAGGCGGTGCACCCGTTGGACAAGTGCCGGTCGTGCTGCATCCGCTTTCGTTCAGCTCCTCCTCCTTGGGGCGCTTGTGCCTCTCCAGACTCGCCCGCCTGCTTACACGCATACCGAGCGAGGCCTACAGCTGATGGTGTGGGCAATTTGTCGATAGGGCGCTGCAGGATGGAAATTGTGCCACCACCCCCCTCGAGGGATGGAGGGAAGCACAACTGCACTGCAGAAGAGGGACCGAGATAGATGCTGCACAAGTGGAAAACAGCAGATCTCACGTTTTTGGTGGACTGAAGGTCTCCTGTCATGTGGGACGAGGGATCCCGAGGTGGGATCTCCCGCCTCGTCTGATGAATAAGATGTGCGATGGGAAAGGAAGGCGCTCGCCTCCTCGTCGCACAGGTGAGAGCCACGATGATCTGGGCACCCGAGAAAGTTGACCTGTCGCCTTGCACTGACGTGTGCTCCCTCGCCCCCTGTTTGCCCCGCCATCTTGGCTGACAAGAGACGAGACGGCACAGAATATCACTTGGGGAAGAGCGAGGTGAGAGTTCATTATTCGAGTTTGCGTCGTCCTCTGTGTCGCCCGCTCGGTAGCGGGGATCACCAGCTGTGCCTCGATATGGACGCGTGCCCTCAACTGTCTCGTGACCTGTCGGACCTGCAGGCCCGGGGTACCCTTCTGAAGCTGACAAGATGTCTGTCTGCCCTGGTGGTACTCATCCTCACTTCTACATTCAAGGTAGGCCTGTACATGGGCCAGAAATTCTGGGGATTGTGAGTCGACAGTCGAGACGTACGTACAGCCATTCTGACAGGGTCGCGGTGTCACTGCATCTCAACGGCATCAAGCGGCGCTATCCTGCTCACTGCGTCTGAGATTCCTCTTCCCGCCAGCCATGGATATCACCACCTGGGCACAGATCGAGCACCTTCTCCCCTCAAGGGAGAAGGTTTCCCGCCCGGTCGTCGCACGACCCCAGTCAGCCTCGTTATGTTTCGGGCGGCTGCAGTGGACGAACAGCAGCACCAAGGTCTCACGGCATTTGCATGTGTGTATGTGCGTGCCCGGCACCCAGCATGCCGTGGAAGTGGCGGACGAGAATACCCGCATGCAGTAGACGCTGCGTCCTGTCCCCTTGCTTACCTTACGCAAGCCTGGGGTCGATATTGATCTGACGCTTGCTCTCGGTGCCGCCCCAGTGGCGACGCGACAATGTTTGGCCCCACCGGTGGCTCTGGATTTGTGCGGCGGGAGGATGGCCGGCGACAGTTATCCCTGTTGAATGCCAAGTGGCAAGCAATAGGATGGCAGGGACAAATTCCTAGAATAGGTTGGTACCTTGCGGCAAAGGAAGGAGGCGTGCGGGTAGCAAAATTGTCAACGGTCTCCCACGTCAAAAGGCCGAGGTAGACCTGGCGGAGGTTGTACACCGCGCTGAGTCTGTTTACCCATGCCAGATATGCATCGACATTCACCATCTGTATCTGGAGTTTGAGAGCCAGAGGCCGTCTGGGTGGTGGAGCCCCGAAGACTCCGAACTGCGGCCACCTTTAGGAATTGTGGGACTCTGATCATCCTATTGATCGAGATACCCGGTGTATAAGATCACTGGCCGCATATATCTTTATTCCCAGGTTGCCATAGCCCCCAGCGGGGAAAACCAATGCTCTAAACTAACAAGCCGCACTTGGTGTCGCAAATTGCTGACCGCATCTAATTTTGTTTGCCTGTTTCGTGTTCTTCGATCTAATGTGAAACTTTGGAAATCTAGTCCCGGCTGCCAAAAAAAAGGAACTTGGGGATGGCCAAACACCGACGACCGTGGACTCGGCAGGAAGGAGTACATAGCAGAAGGTAGTGCCAACCCGCGTCTATCTGTCACTCACAGCAGGCCAGCTCGAGGTCCCTAATTGGCTACTCAACAGTACCTGAACCGACCATGTCAAATCCGAGGGATTCATCGGCGTTGGGTCGTCGTCGCGATCTTGTCGTGGAAGAAGGGATGCTTTAGCGCCTCCGCAGGCGTGATCCTCTTGTCGGGGTTGAGAGCGAGGCAGCGGTCCAATAAATCGTGAAATAGATTGAGTTGCTTGGTCTCCAACTCATCCATGCCGCTCGATGCGGCCATGAGGCGTGTGCGGAGGTCGCGTGTGGGCTTCACCACACTCAGGATTCTGATATTGGTCTGTTGGTGATCAGAGACTCGGGTTAGCTCTCAGCTCACACTAGAATTCGCCAAGCGATACAGGATCTTGAAGGATGGAAGTGGAAGGCATGAAGGATGCAAGTCACACGCATAAGCTCCCAGGGCCGCAAGCGGGTCGCTGCCGCGAAGGATGGCTAGTCATTGTGGCGCGAAGTGATGGCAGTCGTCACCGGGACAGCCGGGGCAGCGATTCGGTCGCCCAGCGGTTGTGCAGGCCTCCGCAGGCGAGGGCATCTCTGTCGCTAGGCGACTTCGAACTGCAGGTCGCAACGCTGGCCTGCCATCTTGCGGCCCGCACTTGCGAGAGAGGAGGGTAAGGGTGGTGACCCTGCATAACCTCGGAAAGTTTGCCCAGCCTGCGAGTGGGTCGCCGGCGTACGTGGAATCGTACCGCAGCAGCGCTTAACACGACTCAGACAGGCAACAACCTCATTGTGGCATACTTTCCCAAATATACCGTGGCTCCACGACCAAGCAATCATGCATAAACATGCTTTCTGCCGTCGTAGTGCAGGTGACCAGGGTGTGGGTGTGTGCAGAAACATGATGGATGAAAAGAAGGTTATGGCTTACCTTTCCTAAGACCTTGTCCCTCTCCTGACTGACAAAGTTACCCTGCTCATCAAAATGGTGTTGCCAGATCCGGCCTCGGCGATAGAGCTTGGTACTCATTTTGCCCCTAATCTCGATGATGGCACGGAGCATCTGGTTGTTGCTGTCACCCGTAAATAGAATCTTGCCTGTGTAGAGTTCGTACAGTGTACAGCCGATGGACCACATGTCGATGGGGTAGTCATTGGGCATTCCAAGAATAATCTCAGGAGCCCGGTAGAATCTACTGACGAGGTAAGGTGTGATCTCGTCGTGCGCGGTCGCTGCGTCAGTTCGATCGATGGCCGTGCCCAAGTCGCAGATTTTAAGGATGTTGCGTTGCTCATTGACCTGTGATCTTGTGAGCGTTCTGTGTTGATGTTCAATGTGTTGATGGATTGTTAGGCTCACCAAAATGTTGTCAGGTTTCAGATCCGCGTGAATGATGCTGCATTTCCGCATATGTGCCAGCGCCAAAAAGATCTGATAGGCGTACGCCTTCGTGGCGTGGAGGTTGATGCCGACATTGTTCCCAAACTTTTTCAAAACCTCCCTCAAGTTCAGACTGAGGTTCTCGAAGGCCATGCAGAGATGGCCCTTGTGCTCGAATGAGCGCTCGAACTTAACAATGTGCTTCCTGTCCTCTGGATCGGCCGAGTTAAGCTTCTGAAGGATCGCAATCTCGGTGAAGCCACCCTTCTTCAGCGCATCGTTGTTCCTCATAATCTTGATGGCGATCAGCTTCTTGGTGGTGATGTCGACGGCCCTGGCGACGCCTGAGAACATGCCCTTCCCAAGACTTGACTGGACCTGATAGCGACCGTTGAGAATCTCGCTTGGACGTATCTTGTAATAGCCATCTTTGTCGTCATCCTCCAGTATGGCACCGCCTTTGCCTCCCTGCAAGGCTATGGGGTCTTCGGTGGGTGCCTTGGCTTTGGGCGCAGACTTCGGCGCAGCGAGCTTTTCCTCATCGAAGTCCTCTGCAAACATGTCAAAGTCATCGTCATCTTCGTTGTCAGGTTCCGTCGTCTGCATTGGTTCATCCTTGCCTGGCGTATCCCCCGACCCGGCGTGCAGACCAGCATTTCCATTGCGCATTTCATCTCGACGCTCATCCTCCCACATGTCGACGGTTGGGTCGTAGTCTGCTGCCGATGGACCATCTTCATCAGTAGTCTTGATGTCCCCATGAGTGTTGATGAGTTCCCGGTCATTTGCGACGGCAAGAGCCTCTGGTGACATGCTTTCCTGAGCGCGTCCGGCAGGAGAAGCCGCGCCTGTCTTGTCAGCGGCCTGATATAATGATTTCTTTGGGCCTGGCATACCGGAAGCAGGTGTCCTAGGCGTTTTCTGTGGCGTTGCCGCCTCTGACGGAGTCTCAACAGTGTGGTCATGTTTGTTAGCCTGTACAGCCTGGACAAGCAAGGGGGTCGAGGCGCGAGACTTTCTTAGGAGCGCTTCCCGGCGACGTCTTCGCCGCTCGATCTCGGCTTCTTCGTCGAGAGGAGTTGGTGCATCCCAGTCTTGGTCTGGTTCTGTCTTCGACTCCTTGGAAGCACCCGGAGAATCACTATTCGACGTTAGCAGCTGCGCCGCAGCTTTTGCAGAAGCGGGACGGTACGTACGTTATGTGCAGATGCGAGGTACCCTCAGCCATGCGCTCATCCGTAGCACCTTGATCAGATTTAGCAACTTCTTTGGAAACAAATTTGGCTCCAGCCTCAGGGGACCGCTTGGATGCGGTGTCATCCCGTACTTGCTTAGCAGTTTGGGCACCGTTTCTGGTTTTTTCAATCTGCTCGCCTGAACGATTCCGGCCAGGGCCATCAGCATCCCATTTGCCTCTTTGGTGTCTGTCCCTCCCATCTCCACGATTGTGCCGGTAGGGAGATGGACTCCGGGTGCGGGGTCGCTTGTCCGCCCGCCCATAATCACGGTCGCGTTTCTCGTATCGAGAAGCGCCGGAAGGGCGATCTCTTGATTCGAATTGGCGGTGGCCGGAGGGACGATCTGTGCTCTCATAGCGGCCGCGAGAAGCTGGACGGTCTAGATCCTCGTACGCATGTCGGCTCTGGGGTGGTGGGCCGTCTTCGTAATGGACTCTGAAGTGTCGCGGATCGGAACCGCCTCTCGCCCCCCTGTGGTGTGTATCGCGGTCATCGTCGCGGGATCGCTTATAGCCACGGGGTGAGCGGGGTTGTCGAGAACGAAAGTCGCCTTGGTCGGGAGAGCGGGTGTTGCTGGTTTGGCTTCTGTCCTGACGGTCAACACCGTTTCTTTTAGTCTGAGGCAGTGAAGTTGCCTTGGAAACCTCAACTCCGTTTTCCCTGATCTCGCCTTCGTCGGAGCTAGACATGTTGTCGTACGTAGTCCAACCGGACGGCAGATCCTCCAAGTTGTCGGTAAAACAATGACACTCCTCTGGTTTTGTCGCGAGACAAGCGCATGTGTCAGTCAAATTTGAGTATTCTCGTGGCAGCGAGCAGGAATAGAGGCCAACCGGATCAATCCTGTCAACTCTTCGTAGACTCAGGACAGGGCCCGGAGCGATCGCCGATGGCTAGAGCAGGAAGAGTCGCTGTGGCACCGGAGTTGGTGATAACAAGTGAAGTCGAGTCAGAAATGAAGGTTCGTGCAAGCCGGCAGCATCATGATCCGTTCAGGTTGGCCATCCTAGACTATGGCCGGGTCCAAGCCAGGCAAGGACGTCGTTTGGCTGAGTCAGTCAGAAGTCGGGCTTATCGATAGCATGTGCAGTGGACCAGTGTGACCAGGGTTCCACAGCCCACCTGGACCGCCGCTGCGCCGCTGCTTCCCGCGTGGGTAACCTAGGACTCAAAGATGCCCCTCGCCGCTTACTTTTCTATTCCTCGTCAGCACGCCTCAACGACCCAGCCTCCTGACCAACATCCCAAGGTCCACGCGCGTTCGCCCCCCGGGAATTTCGAACCCCTTTGACAACCTTTACAGCCAGACAAGCAAGATGGGTGGTGCCGACAGACAAGGTTGGTATTCTCGAATCAGTGTTGCGCAGGTTCTTGCGCAGCAGCTTTGCTGACATCCGGGAAACAGGCGGTAAGGCCAAGCCACTCAAGGCGGCCAAGAAGGCTACCAAGGAGCTCGACGACGAGGACAAGGCCTTCCTCGAGAAGAAGAAGGCTGGTACGTTTTACCTCGCACCCCCGACTCTGTCTCCTCGGTACTGACGCAGTGGATGATAAGAGGAGAAGGCGAGGAAGGAACTGGCTGCAAAGGCGGGCGGAAAAGGACCACTCAACAGTCAGTATCACTTGTCTCCTGTCACACACCCCCGTCCCCCGTCTTTCATGTCTTTGGAATGCTTCAGAAGGCAATATTTTAAATCCCCTACCATGACTGACGTGCGAAACAAGCTGGCGGGCAAGGGATTAAGAAAAGCGGCAAGAAATAAAGCGTTCACCGCGTTCAACATGGTCTCCGGGACCCAGGAACGAGAGCCACGTTCACGACGAGCACACGACAGGGAGCAAGGCTGAAATTCAGGGAGCATAGCGGGCAAGGTCTTCAAGAGGTGCAGCTGCCGTCGGATCTCCCATAGGAGGCTATTCTACATGAGAATATCCTTCTGGAAGGTGTCCACGAGAGAACTCCCGCAGTTTTGGTACCCTCGGGGCTGCTGACTGCAGGACTCTTCCTACACCTGGGCAGCGAGAGCGCCGCTTGCAGAACTGGAACTACATGACTTCTAGTACGAGAAATAATTATTCTGGTTGGAAACTGTCTCCCTCGCAGCCTGCTCGATGGAGTAATATGGATCGGACTATAAAAGCCAGGTCTATCTCGTCGCCGCTGCCTGGGGTTGGGGGCCTTTGAGTCCCAACGAGGGCAACGCGTCACGTGTAGGATTACGGTACCACCACCGCACCTTAAGAAATGATAACATATCATAGCAGCGTCCCTGTGGCTCAACTAATTGCTATCCATGTACCTAGGTAATCACACCTAGGAGGCTCCTCTATAGAACGTTAGTCTGCGGGAGGGTGTCCCACAGTAGGGTGTCTTATAAGAGAGTGTCTTATAGAAGGCTAAGAGACAAATACCCGAGCAGGGCTGTAGACTTTACACACCATACTGGTATTTCGTATTCTCGGCTCCTCATATAAATGAATACTGTTGCTGCGTCACAGCGGTCCACCAAAAAAAGTGTATCAAGATCCGCTATTGCGCGATCTTCAGGGTCCAACGTGAATGCACAGTGCCGTTACAATAGTAGCATATTCGACGTCAACAGCACTCGCCAAGCCCCTGGAACGCTAAATAGGCCCCGGGTAAAATAGACTAAATACTTTTTTATAATAAAACCTTAAATCCACATTTTATATATACTTTCCTTAATATATCTACCTTATTACTTTATATAACTTTAACTTTAAAAATAATAAAATAATAAAATAATAAAATAATAAAATAATAAAATAATAAAATAATAAAATAATAAAATAATAAAATAATAAAATAATAAAATAATAAAATAATAATAAAGTTAAATTAATTAAATATAACTTAATATATTAATATAAAAGATATCTTTTAATAATAATTTTATAATTAGTTTTTATTTAACTATATTATATTATTATAACTTTATTTAATTTTAACTTTATTTAAATTTCTTTTAAACCTTTTAATATTTTCTTTTAAAAGAGTTAAATTTAAAAAACCTTTAAACTTAAGTTTAAAATTTTTATAAATTTTAATTTTTTAAATTACATTTATAATCTCTTAACTTTTTAAAAATATATTAATTATTTTAAATATTAATAACTTTTCTTTAAAATAAAAATCTATTTTTATAAAATTATAAATTTAATTATTAATAACTATTTTTTTATATATAAATTATTAAAATTATAAACCTAAATATTATATATAATAATAAAGTATAATTACTTTATTTAAAAATTATTTTTAATTTAATAGATTATATAGTAAATTAAGTAATTACTTTTAAATAGTTTTATTTATAATATAATAAAGTTAATAAATAAATATTTATTTATAAAATAAAGTTAAAACTTTAATTAAAAATAATAACTTTATTTTTATTTTATTTTAATTAACTTATATTTATATTTAAATTATATAATAATATTATATATAATATTTAATAATATTAAAATTAAATAATTTATAATTTATAATAACTTTAATTTTAATAAATTAATTTATATTAAAGTTAATAATATTAATTTAAATTAATTAAATATAACTTAATATATTAATATAAAAGATATCTTTTAATAATAAATAATATTATAAATATAATAAATTATAAAGTTATTATAAAAATCTTATATAATAAATTTAATTAAATTAATTTTTAAAAATATATTATATTTTATCTTTTAAAATTTTAATTATTTAGTTTTAATTTAATAATAAAATTAAAAATATAAATAATTTATAATTTATAATTATAAATTTAATTATTAATAATTAATTTTATTTATTTATAAATTATTAAATTTATAAATTTAAATATTATATATATTAATAAAATATAATTATTTTATTTAAAAATTATTTTTAATTTAATAATTTATATTATAAATTAAATAATTATTTTTAAATAATTTTATTTATAATATAATAAAATTAATAAATAAATATTTATTTATAAAATAAAATTAAAATTTTAATTAAAAATAATAATTTTATTTTATTTATTTTAATTAATTTATATTTAAATTATATAATAATTTTATATATAATATTTAATAATATTAAAATTAAATAACTTATAATTTATAATAATTTTAATTTTTAATAAATTAAATATAATTTAATATATTAATATATAAAAATAATTTTTAATAATAAATAATATTATAAATATAATAAATTATAAAATTATTATAAAAATTTTATATAATAAATTTAATTAAATTAATTTTTAAAATATATTATATTTTATTTTTAAAATTTTAATTATTTTATTTAATTTAATAATAAAATTAAAAATATAAATAATTTATAATAAATATTAAATATTTTTTATTAATTTTATTTTTTAAAATTATTAAAATAAATTTATAATAATTAATTATTATAATTTAAAAATATTATAAATTATATTAATAAACTTTTATAATATTTTATATATATAATAAATTATAAATAAACTTTTAAAAGTTTTTATAATATAAAATATTTATTAATAATATTATAATATTTTTAAATATTTTTAAATATTTATTTATAAAATTATTAAATTTATAATTAATATTTTAAATTTAAATTTAATATATAATATATAAAAATATTAATAAATTTTATTAAATTATATATATTATATATATTAAAATAATATTTAAAATTATTAATTATTTTTATTATTTATTTTCTTAATTTATTTAAATTTAAATTTATTATAAATAAAAATTTCTTTTAAATATAAAATTAAAATTATAATTATAATTTTTAATTAATTTTAATTAATTATTTTATTATATTATAATTTAATTTAATTTTTAATTTAATTTAAACTTTTTAAATTTTATAAAAGTTTTTATTTATATAAATATAAACTTTAAATTAAAACTTTTAAATTTAAATTTAAAACTTTTATAAATTTTAATATATTTTAAATTAAATTTATAATTTTAAATTTTTAAAATATATTAATTATTTTAAATATTAATAATTTTTTTAAAATAAAACTTTATTTTATATAATTATAAATTTAATTATTAATAATTATTTTTATTTAATAAATTTATTAAAATTATAAATTTAAATAATAAAATATAATTATTTTATTTATAAATTATTTTTAATTTAATTAAATAATTATTTTAAATATTTTTATTTATAATATAATAAAATTAATAAATAAATATTTATTTATAAAATAAAATTAAAATATATATATATATATTAAAAATAATAATTTTAATTTATTTATTTTAATTAATTTAAAAATTTAAATTATATAATAATTTTATATATAATATTTAATAATATTAAAATTAATTTATAATTTATAATAATTTTAATTTTTAATAAATTAATTTATATTAAAATTTATAATATTAATTTAAATTAATATAATTTAATATATTAATATATTAAAATATTTTTAATAATAAATAATACTATAAATAATTATAAAATTATTATAAAATATTTATATAATAAATTTAATTAAATTAATTTTTAAAATATATTATATTTATTTTTAAAACTTTAATTACTTATTTTAATTTAATAATAAAATTAAAAATATAAATAATTTATAAATAAAAGTAATATTATTTATAAAATATTAATAAAATTATTATAAAATAAATTAATAAATATTAAATATATATAAAATTATAACTTTTAATATTAATTAAATTATTTATATATAAATTTTAATAATTAAAATAATATATATTTATATTAATTAAAGTTTATTTAATTAAATTAATTAATTTATTTAATTAAATTAAATAATTTATATATAAATTTAAATTTATTAATTTTATTTATTTATTTAAATTATTTATATTTTTAATTTTATTATTAAATTAAAATAAATAATTAAAGTTTTAAAAATAAAATATAATATATTTTTAAAAATTAATTTAATTAAATTTATTATATAATATTTTTATAATAATTTTATAATTTTTATAATATTATTTATTATTAAAAATATTATTTAATATTAATATATTAAATTATATTTAATTAATTTAAATTAATATTATTAATTTTAATATAAATTAATTTATTAAAAATTAAAATTATTATAAATTATAAATTAATTTAATATTAATAAATATTATATATAAATTATTTATATTTTTAATTTTATTATTAAATTAAAATAAATAATTAAAGTTTTAAAAATAAAATATAATATATTTTTAAAAATTAATTTAATTAAATTTATTATATAAAACTTTTATAATAATTTTATAATTTATATTTATAATATTATTTATTATTAAAAATATTTTTATATTAATAAAGTTAATATTTATTTATTTAATAATTATATTTATTTATTTAATTTTTTTTAACTATTTACTTAATATAAAAATTTATATATAAAGCTTATATAAAACTATATACTTAATTAAGATTCTTTAAATTTTTAATACTTTTAATATAAGCCCTTTCTATACTCCTTTTAATACCCCTTTTAATATACCTTCTAATATACCTTTTAACACACCTTCTAACATACCTTCTAGGCCTTCTAGGCTGTATATATTTAGGTACTAACTAAGTATTTAAATGCTAACTAAACGCTAAAAGGCTAGAAGCTAAGAAGGTAAAAGTAAAGACTATATACTTTCTAACCTTCTAGCACCCCTTCTAGCTCTCTCTAGCATTTTAAACTTCTAGCCTTTTACCGTTTAGTTAGTATTTAAATGTTTAGTTAATATTTAAATATATATAAATTAAATAATAAAGGTAAAGATAAAGGTAAAGGTAAAGGTATATTAAAAGGGGTATTAAAAGAGGTATTAAAAGGGGTATTAGAAAGTATATTAGAAGGGGCTTATATTAAAAGTATTAAAAATTAAAAAAAGAAATTATATTATAAAGTTTTTAATATTAATTTAAAAGGTATTTATAAATATAAAGGAATTACTTAAAAATTAATATTAAATAAATAAATATTAATTTATATTAATATATTAAATTATATTTAATTAATTTAAATTAATATTATTAATTTATTAAAAATTAAAATTATTATAAATTATAAATTAATTTAATATTAATAAATATTATATATAAATATTAAATTTATTATATAACTTAAATTATATATAAATATAAATTAATTAAAATAAATAAAAATAAAGTTATTATTTTTAAAAATTTTAACTTTATTTAAATAAATATTTATTAAATAAAATTATTTAAAATAATTATTTAATTTATTATATTATTAAATTAAAAATAATTAAATAAAATAATTATATTTTATTATTTAAATTTATAATTTTAATAATTTTATAAAAAATAATTATTAATAATTAAATTTATAATTATATAAAGATAAATTTTATTTTAAAAAAGTTATTAATATTTAAAATAATTAATATATTTTTAAAAGTTAAAAATTATAAATTTAATTTAAAATTAAAATTTATAAAAATTTTAAATTTAAATTTAAAAGTTTTAATTTAATATTTATATTTATATTTATAAAATATTTATATAATTTAAAAAACTTAAATTAAATTAAATTAAATTATAATAAAAAATTAATTAAATAAAAATTAATTAAAATTTTAAAATTATAAATCTTTTAATTTTATATTTAAAAATTATAATTATTTATAATATTATTTATTATTAAAAATATTTTTATATTAATATATCAAATTATATTTAATTATTTTTAAATTAATATTATTAATTTATTAATATTTAAAATTATTATAAATTATAAATTAATTTTAATATTATTAAATATTATATATAAAATTATTATATAATTTAAATAAATATAAATTAATTAAAATAAATAAAATAAATTTATTATAAATATATATATATAAATAATTAAAAGTTTTATTAATTATTTATTATTTAATTATTTAATATAATTTATTTATTTATTTTTTAAAATTAAACTTTTTTATAATTTTTAAACTTTTTTATATAAAAATAATATTATTTTAATTTAAATTAATATATTAAAATAAATATTTTATTTTATTTTCTTTTATAATATTTATTATTTTTAAACTTTTTTATTTTATTTTATAAATTAATATTTATTAAATAAATTTATTTAAAATAATTATTTAATTTATTATATTTTAAATTAAATATAATTTTAATAATTATAAATAATTAAATTTATAATTATATAAAAATAAATTTTATTTTAAATAAAATTATTAATATTTAAAATAATTAATATAAAAATTAAAAATATAAATTTAATTTAAAATATATTAAAATTTATAAATATTTTAAATTTAAATTTTATAAAAATAAAAGTTTTTATATAATTTATAAATATATATATATAGGTAATTAAAGGCTTTATTAACTATTTATTATTTAATTATTTAATATAATTTATTTATTTATATTTTTAAAATTTAAACTTTTTTATAATTCTTTTAAACCTTTCTTTTATATAAAAAGTAATATTATTTTAATTTAAATTAATATATTAAAAATAATTATTTATTTTATTCTTTTTATAATATAATTTAAAAAATTAAATTAAATTAAAAATTAAATTAAATTATAATAAAAAATTAATTAAATAAAAATTAATTATAAAATTATAATTATATTTTTAATTTTATATTTAAAATAAATATTAATTATATAAATATATATTATATAAAAATTATATATTAAAATTTATTTTATAATTAATTTAAAATAATAAAAAATAATTTAACTTTAATTTTAATTTTAACTTTTATATAATTTTAATAATAATATATATAATTATTATATTTATTTTTATTATTTAATATTAATATTAAAAATATATTTAATTTTAATTTATTTATTTAATTTAAGGTTTTAATAATTATATTTTAAAAATAAAAAATATATAAAGAAATAAAGAAATAAAGAAATAAAGAAAAAGAGAAATAAAAAAAAAATAAAGAAATAAAGAAATAAAGAAATAAAGAAATAAAGAAATAAAGAAATAAAGAAATAAAGAAATAAAGAAATAAAGAAATAAAGAAATAAAGAAATAAAGAAATAAAGAAATAAAGAATAAAAAAATAAAGAAATAAAGAAATAAAGAAATAAAGAAATAAAGAAATAAAGAAATAAAGAAATAAAGAAATAAAGAAATAAAGAAATAAAGAATAAAGAAATAAAGAAATAAAAATAAAGAAATAAAGAAATAAAAATAAAAATAAAGAAATAAAGAAATAAAGAAATAAAGAAATAAAGAAATAAAGAAATAAAAATAAAGAAATAAATAAATAAAAAAAATAAATAAATAAATAAATAAATAAATAAATAAATAAATAAATAAATAAATACTTTTATTAATAAATTTTAATAATAAATTCTAATATTTAATATTAATAGTTAAAAAATTATTAATATTAATAGTTAAAAGAAGTTAAGTTAAAGGGGGGGTATAAAAAGTACTCTATGTGGGTAAGTGTAGGTATTGTGGAAGGGCTTGAATGTGTGGATTTGGGGTTTTGTTGCAAAATAGCGTTTGGTCCAGCGTACCTGGGGCTTGCTGCTGGCAGGGTACGCACAGTGCCAACCAATACACGCGTCTGCTACCCACCTCGGCAGCATGAACCGTCCGTCATTTCGAGTTGTTGACCTCGGGAAGGCATGACGAAGTCCAATGAACCCGGCATGTGCAAGTCCCAACAATCAACAAAAAAACATCAAAAGTGAGACCACATGGCACCACTCAGGCCTGCATTTTGATATGTAAGACGGCGGAGTCCAGCCTCAGGTCCTGTTCAGAGAAGCGTACAATCTCTTCGGAACGTATACTTGCTTGCACTCACCCACCGAGATGACGGCCAACACCGGGGAAGCCAACGTGCGCCGGCGGCGGCGGGATTCCCTGGGCGCCGATGACAGCCAAACCTCCAATTCCCTCGTGAACGCCGCAAAGAGTGTGGAGGGCAAGATAGAAGACACGCTGCTCTGGGCTTGGGATGAGCTTCCTGACTGGCGCAAGGACAATGCCTTCATCCACACCGGCTACCGGCCCACCAGCAACAGCTACCGCCTCTCCTTCGGCAGCATATTCTCCATCCACAGTACGCATATCATCCCGTCGCGCCTTTCACACACACCTGATATCTGGTCTTGAGCACCGGAATCCGTCACAAGGTCACTCACAAGCAAGCAGACGAAACCGTCAACGTGTGGACTCATCTCCTGGGCGCTATAATCTTCTCGGCCCTGGGCGCCATAGCCTACTCCTTCTACGAGGCTGTCATCGCACCGCGTTATGCAACCGCGAAATGGGAGGACTGGCTGGTCTTTGGCTGCTTCTTCGCCGGCGCATTCATGTGTCTGGGCATGAGCGCGACCTACCACGCCCTCTGCAACCACTCCCCGGAGGTGGCCAAGTGGGGCAACAAGCTCGACTACACGGGCATTGTGTGTCTGATCATGGGGAGCTACATGCCCGCAATGTATTACGGCTTCTACTGCTTGCCCAGGCTGTTGGAGATCTATCTTGCTCTGGTGAGTCCTAGCCATATTTACTGCCGTGGTGGGACGATACATGTCCCCACCATGCTTCTATGGAGCACCGCCTCAACATTCCCATCCATATTGGGGTGCACTTCCTCTATGCTGACGTTCATCTCAGATATGGGCACTCGGCCTGGGTTGTCTTACGGTCTCATGGTTCGAGCACTTCCGGACGCCAGAGTGGCGGCCATACCGCGCCATGATGTTTGTGGGCTTGGGTGCCTCCGGCGTGGTCCCCGTTATCCATGGTCTGAAGATATACGGATATAAAGACCTCAACGAGCGCATGGGGCTTGCGTGGGTCTTGCTGCAGGGCTTCCTATACATCTCGGGAGCTTTCATTTACGCCATGCGATGGCCGGAGCGGAGCTGGCCCAAGACGTTTGATATTTGGGGCTCCTCCCACCAGATCTTCCATGTCCTCATCGTCCTAGCTGCTGCGGCGCATCTCTACGGGATGACAAAGGCGTTTGATTACCATCACGGACCGTTCGGGGCGAGATGTTAGAGTGTTATTCGTTGGTCAGTTAGACAGCATAGACGCACAAACTCCTTGCATCGTCTTGGGTATCTTGGTTCTATGGAAAGGTCTATAGCCTGTGTCACTGGATTTACAGAACCCCGTCACAAGCACAACCTGATGACCTTTGATTAATCATTCTCCAATCCCAAGGTCCATGATCTTGACTAGCCCAGAACCCATCGCGGCCGCCGCCCACCAGCCATATTCAACATTGGGATTCCACGCCGCCACCACAATTCTCGTCCTTGCGTCGTGGACAACCGCCCTGGTCTCGTCCAGCAGCTTCGACAGAGCCTTGCCCTCCCCCTTCGTCAGCAGGTCATCCTCATCATCGGTGTCCTCCTCAAGTGCCTTCTTCTTGCCCTTGCCCTTGGACTTCCTCCGGTTCGCCTCGTTCCTCTTCTTGTTCTGCTCCCTCACATACTCGGCGCGAGGGTTGCTGTTCATCTCGGGCAGAAAGCCCTGCAGGATCCGAGCCGCGCCGCGGACAACCTCTCCGCCCGACTGCTGCTGCTGTGGCACGACGCCGCCGAGCTTGGCTGGGGGCCGGAACTCGTGCTGCAAGATCTTGAGCTTGTAGATGGGGTCCCCGCGGTCCTTGAGAAGGATCCGCAGGGGATTGATGGCCCATAGGCTGCCGTCTGCGCAGCCGACTAGGGTGAAGGGATGCGTCCTCCCCGAGGCGAGGCACATGGGCGGGTTGGGCGTCGTCATGAGCGTGCGGCTCTGGGTATAGTAGCGTATGTGCCCCCAGCCGATGATGGTGTTGTGTGGGATCGGCGCTGGATGCATGCCGAAGAAGCCTTGCAGGTGGTCGTTCCAGTCCACGAGGTTGTGCTGGAAGTTGACGGTGCCGACCATAGGGATGTAGGTTGTCTCTGCACTTGGGAGGTTGAGATCCGTCACGGTCGGACAACCACCTACCGGCGTGGAAGAGATATGATAAGGGTATGAAGGAAAGCCGCTGGCGATGTCGAGAATGTAGCTTATGTGAACGGATTTCCGCATCAGCATGTGACGGGGACAGATAGACCAGAGACTGATTGAACCATCAGTGTGGCCCAGGCAAATGCGATTAGTGTTGACCCAGGCGAGGGACGTTGCATGGACCATGTACTCGTCCGTGAAGCCAATGGTGGCAACGGGGCTCGTGATCCATTCTGGGAAGTGTCATCAGAAAAATGAAATTAGAGCGGGCTGCTGTCCGGCCTCCTTTTTTGAGTATGGTTCACCTGGCAGCGTTTGTACTCACCGTAGATTGTCTGATCAGAATTCGGCTTGGGAACTTCGAGGACCCTTACTTGACCATCGCCACACAGGACGGCAAGTAGTCCGATGGTGGAGTCGTCAGGCGAAGGGATGGGACACCACTGTAACCGCTTCGGCCGGCCCCAGTCGAACCAGAAATGGTGTGCCAAGCGGGCGTGGCTACCGTCAGCTTTGTGGCATGGGATCGACCATATTTGGACGCTGCCCTTATTCTCCTCCCCCAACTCTCCTTCAGGTGAACGCGACAATTTGATCTCCTGGTCTGAAGGTGGAATAGTGCAGACTGCCAGATACTGCTCCTGACGTCCCGTGATAGGTGCCCAGCCTATCCCCAGCGGCAGGCCGCCAGTATCCAACAGCCACCCTCTAGCCGGCGTGGCTTCTTGTTGTAGTTCTGGATCGATCGCGGCTTGTGGCTGTCCAGTCTCCAATAGAGGTTGGCCATACCCGTAGCTTGACCGCGCTTGGGTCTGGTTGTTGAAGGGGCCCAGAAAACACACCAAGCTTTCTGGGGGCGGCCTGAACATGTCGATGTGCTCGGGTCGGATTTTGTGCGAGCGTTGGATTTGCTTGGCAGCACGACACCGCTCCTGCCACGCCCTGGCCCACTGTCTCTGCTTCACCTCATAGTCCTCTGCCAGCCAGGGACTTGACATGACGCCGCCTCTCCCAGAGTGAGTCTTGCCGGGCAGCACCTGACTCGAGAACCATTTCTTGAACATGCCTCTCGCGACAGCGAGGCGTGCCTGGTCGGGACCGTAGAGCATGGCGAGGAGCTGGTGGCTGCGGGTCCATCGCTTCAGAGGTCCGTCGTAGACCCGAGTTTTCCGCAGGTCGGTTGGGTACGGAGGCACAGCATGGACCGTTGTGCGCTTTGGGAGGTTCTTCCTCCACCTGCCCCTCCCTCTTGGAACTCTGGTGTGGCGCTTTCTGGGGGTGCCGACGACGCCGTCGTCCTCAGATTCAACGAGAACAATGCCATCCCCGTCGACTGCCCCAAGCTCATCCCCCCCTCCCAGTGGCTCCTCATCCTCGACCTCTGCGTCTTGTTCGTCGTCGTCATCCTCATCGTCGTCGCTGGCACCTTGCCCGCCTTCGACATCTTGAGTCACGTCAAAGTCGACATCATCGTCCTCGTCAGCGTCTTCGACCTCAGCGGGCCTGTCCGAGTCGTCGTCCGACTCAATGCCATAGGTTTCGGTGAAGCTGAATCGTTTTGACTTGTTGGCTTTGCGTGTGCGCATTCTGAGTCTTTCAGAGATCACTTGAGCAAGGCGAGGTGAGATTTCCACGGCGGCTGTGATGTTTTAGCTGGTTCAGGTCCACAAACCGTAGCTCAAATTCCAGAGGCCTGTGCAGTGCCGAGCTGAGAAGATTGAGGTCCCAAGTATTGCGGCTAAGGGTTGGCAGCTGCGGGTTAGCGGGCCTGGGCCTGCAGCCCTGCAAGCTTGGGGAGACAGGAGGTGCCACAGGCCCACATCAGTTAACAGCCCTACAGCGGGTGCCCCACACTAAAGTGAATGGCAGCTCGCTCTGTAGACGACCCAACTCACGAGGAGCAAAGATAGCCACCTCAATTATATCAGCGTCACCCATTTGAATATGATATAATTTGCTTAGTTTGGAAGAATTCAGGGGCTTGGTGGTCTCACCCAGCAATGACATAACCGTACAGCCAGAACTTGCTTGATTCGACAGTGAATGCTACTGGCTATGAGATGTCGACTTCGGTGATGTAGCTCGAGATAGCAAAGGAGTATACTGTTGTGGTATATCATGTTTTAAGAGATTCATTCCAGGTTTGGGGGTAGAGAGCAAGCAATTAGCGATCTACCAGAGCACAAACCTAATATGGTTAGATGTTTCTCCTCTGCCAGTAGCTTAGCTTCTAAGGCTTCAAGATAATTTATCATAAGAACGGATATTCACACAGGAAAAAACAGCTAGTACACAGGTACAAATACCCCCCAGTATACCGACCTTAATTTACACCACCCACTTGCTATACAAAATAGAAATTTACACTCATTAACTACATATATCCTTATCAGCCCTTAATTTTTAATCCTCTTTAAGTTATTATTACTTTTAATTTAATAGTTTACTACTTCTTTCCTTCTTATCACCTACCTAACTAAGTAAGGCACTTTAATAAATATTTAAATACTTAAATCTCTTCTTAAATCTCCTTCTTATCACTAGTAAAGTCCTCTATAGTTAGTCCTATAAGCCTTGATATAAGGCTTCTTAATAGTGAAGGAGAATTAATAGGTTTATATAGGGGGGGGGGTAAAAAGCACTTTATGTAGGTAGTATGTATAGTTAGGGGAGGTTGAATAGAGCCCTCTAATTAGCTGCAGCCTAGGTGGGCATTTGTATCTGTGTACTAGCCGTTTATTCCTGTGCGAATATCCGTTCTCTTTATTATAACGATCTTTCCAAGCCACATGAAGTGCAATGCAAAATGCCGTGGTCAGTTTGAGCCTTCTGAAACTAGCACTTTGTATCAATATACAAAGTAACTGGTTTCGCTTCTATTCCGCATATGTCCGAGGACATACATGGCGCCTTCATACGGTGGTAAACGCTCAAGACCTAGCGTTTAAAACGCAGGCTGTCGGACTGTATCATTCTTAACTGCGAAATTGTAGTAATATAACTTCCAAATTAACAAGATCCACCACTCTGGCGTCCAGTTGATCGCGTATCACGAAAACAAAGATGACGCCTACTCGCTTCCAGCATCACTCCAGCATCACTCACCACGGAGTGCAATGGGATTGCGTTCGTGTTTGTACTGTCAGCACTCCCGAAGATACTTGAATAAGAAGAGGTTGAGACTAAATGCAGAGATCTGCAAAGCACAGAGAGCTTTACACCCAAGACCGGAAAGATGGAATCACACGAGAAGCAGATGGAGACCTGCAGAGTGAGGAGCTGGGCTGTCGCCACCGGTAAAACCGATCAAATCCTTCATCAGAACACGATGCACTCCTACTGAACTGCACAGTACCCCCGACCTTAGTGGCATGGGTGTATCTATCAGGCCGCAGCCACCGCATTACGCTGGGAAATACACGCTGTCTACCAACTGTTCAGGAGTCTGTCTCTTAATTTACTGTCTGAATCAATTGCAATGGAAGAAACATGTGTACTCATTATGACTGCAGCACCAAGTATTTTGTGAAGTCGGTTGCGTGCATTGTATCGGACTCGAAGAATGCCGAGGGCCACAACCTGGGCATGCATAGAGTGACATCGTCTGATCAGCAATAGCACATCCGACTCCTCTCTTCTCACTCATCACATATATCCTGAGGTCGCTTCAAACTCTCGATTGACTTCTTGCTACATTGACGGAGGTAACTGCCCATCCTATTTAGGGTCCTGGCTATTGATAGTCAAGTTGTTAAATCCTTCACTACTTACCCAGATACTACTGCACTTGCACAACTACGGGCTAGCCGTCACCGACATCGCAGCGACGTTCTATCCTATGGATGCCTTCGATGTGCTACTGAGAACAACCAGCACCTCGGGGCTCGTTCTTCGAGGCGCAGTAGTTCTAGCCGCCATCGCGATCATCATATCCTTGATTCGAGCGGCCGCCTCCCCGTTGAGATCCACCCCCGGGCCCTTACTGGCACGCTTCAGTCGCATGTGGTACCTGAAGAAAGTCTGGACCGGAGAGCTGCCACGGATTAACGTCGATTTGCACCGCAGATATGGCCCGGTGGTCCGGATTGCTCCAAATGAATACTCGCTTGACGACCCTGCCGCAGTCAAAACCATCTACGGTCTGGGAACCACATTCACAAAGGGGCCATGGTACACCGCAAGCGGTCTCCCTTTCAAGAAGGACTGGAACATGTTCCAGATTCCCGAGAATGACAAGCATATCCTGATCAGGAAGAAGCTAGCGGGATTGTAGTATGTCAATTCTACTTCGGGGGTTACACAGAGCAAGTTGATCAAGTTGCAAAATGCAACAATCACTGACAACATCAATGGCGAGCAGTACAATGTCATCTTTGATGAAGATGGAAGCACAAGTTGACCAATGCATTGACTTAATCGAGACGAGATTCCGCGAGATCGCTCGGTGAGTGACGATGGGAAAGCAGCCATTACAACATGTGGAAGCTGATTGTTGGCGAATAAAGGAGCGGAACGGCCATGGACTTGCAGGAATGGATGCAGTTCTATGCCTTCGATGTTATTGGAAACATAACAGTAAGAGTACTCTATTCCGAATGACCTCACCATGTCCATCTTATGCGATTAATGTTTATGATAAACACAGGTAGCGAAGCGCTTCGGGTTTCTCGACGCTGGCCGAGATGAAATGAACCTCATCCGGTCTCTCGACTTCTTCCTCGTCTACGCAGCCCGTGTCGGTATATATCCAGAGCTGCACAAGTTTCTGTTTCTATACGGGGCCACAGGTGCTCAGGCAATGGTCAAGATTATCAAGTTCGTAAGGGAAGAAATGGAGCAATATGAATCTGACAAACCGATCGGCGATGACTTCTTCCTGGCGCGTGCATTGCGGCTGCACAAGGAAAAGCCCGACTACTTCACAGACGTTGAGATCTATAACACCGCCGCAGCGAATATTAACGCTGGAAGTGATACAACGAGCATTAGTCTCACAGCTATTATGTGGAATCTGTTGAAGCATCCTGAGTCTTTTGCCAAGGTATGAACAAGAGTTCAGACTTGCCACCCTTGACAGATGATTTAGAGCTTGAGGGTAACCGAGTCTGACGCTTATGTGGAATAGCTACGGGCCGAAATCGACACGAAGATATCGAATGGAGAGGCCAGCGAGAGTCTTACGTTCAGCGACACGCAGAAGATGCCTTATCTCCAGGCAGTCATCAAGGAGGCTTTGAGGCTGCATCCTGCGGCGGGCCTTCCGATGCAGAGAGTAGTTCCCAAGGGAGGAGCTCAGCTCGCGGGTCTATTCTTTCCAGAGGGAGTAAGTTTCTCGTTGACATGGCATGCTGAGTTGGGCCCACAATGAGTCCCTCTAGCTAACCAGACTTGCCAATATTTAGACATATGTCGGAATCAACTCTTGGGTCGCACACCGCAACTCAGAAGTCTTTGGCAGTTGCGTTGATGACTTCAGGCCGGAAAGATGGCTAACTGATGACGAGGAGACCAATCTTAAGATGGATCGATACTTTCTGACGGTGCGGCTTGTCCCTTTCCACACCTGCCTTGGCACCCGGTACAAGAACATTGACTGCAGATGATGATTGCTAACGCCACATGTTTTCCAGTTTGGGCACGGTGCCAGGACTTGTTTGGGCAAAAACATATCAATGATGGAGATATGCAAGGTTATTCCTCAGCTGGTTCGAAAGTTTGACTTCCAGCTGGCAGATCCAAACGCGGAGCTGAAAACATACAACGCATGGTTTGTGAAGCAGGCCGATCTGAAGGTCACGGTGAGCGAGAGGGAGCTGTGTTCTTCCCTAACGCATCAGCAAGTCCCACTGCACTGAATTACCTGTCCTCTCAGGACCTCGGGAGTTTGTTCTTGTCCATTGCTACCATACAACTACGTGATGCCAAGAGCGGAAGATTGGAATATGTGGTTTCGCTTCTATTCCGTATACGTCCGAGGACATATATGGAATATGTAGCAACCATAAATATGGAATGGAAAATAGTCGCTTGAAATAACTAGGTCTCGCCCTACCTCACCTCAACCGTCGAAGTCACCCAGCGCCCGGTCCACTCGGTGAAGAATTTGCGACGGGTTCCTATCGTCTAGTCAGTCCACCATGCAGCTTTTTTTTATGGTTCAATCAGTGGATGGGACGAGTTTGATATCTTGTAGTCCTTAGGCAATTGTTTGGGAACCTCGGCCGTTATCCTCCCGGGTATAGCTAACCCGATCTTGCATTTCCAGGCGGTGGGGAATGAGGTGCAATCCCTCGGTACTCGATGACAATCACGCGTGCTTCTCAGGCGCGAGTCATTTCATCGATACCGATCCTGCTCCCCGGCAGAGATCACATACCTTCCCTATTAGGAACAGATTGATGAACTGCCGCTAGCTGGGCTCGTTACCGGGACCCAGTCCGATGCCACCCAAACCGACTGCTAACTAGGGCTTACGGTAAGCGTCGCGGCACCTTTCTTTGTTGGCCCCCCTTTTTCTCACTCGAATTGGTCTTCTTGTTGACGTCGGCCCCTGTTCTCTTCGCCGATAAGCATCAACCACCAACCCAAGAGGGCAGGTAGCTATCACTGGAGCACCACCAGGTGGTATTCCTGCATGCAAGAATCGGCCAAGAAAGCTTGAACCAAAGCTTGTGCTGTGACAAAAGCTTGTTCCGCTTCGACTGGGGTCTTCCACTGTTCAAGTTAGCCTCACTGGAACGACATCACATGGTTGATTCCCACACCATCTTCAAGGACGCGCCCACGGGTGGCCGTCGACATGGGCATTGGTTTACGGGGGATTGACAAGTGCGACTGTGTGGCTCAATAATCGAACTGTCCTGACCAGTTTCACCCGAGAAGGACCTCTTGGACACCTGTGCATACAAACACCGCAGGCGACGGACAGGACTTTGCGATTTGATTTCCCATCAATGATGTCACTACATGAAGCTGTGTACCTAAGCAGGGGAGGCCCGCTGATGGAGAGTCTCTTGATGTGCTGAATTTGCTTCCGTCTGCTGAAGAATCGTTGACTACAATGACTACAACGAGTGGAGGTGGGGACAGGCGTTTAGAACCCACCTGGGCAGGGAAGAACCACAAAGTTATAGCGGCAGTCGAATACCTACTTAAGTAGGTAACTAAGTAAGTACTATATTTCTCTTAGGCGCGAGAAGTTCTTCTCTGAGGTCGAGTCCAATATCCTTCACAAATTCATTTGAAGCCTGGACTATTCTGACGCAACCTAATTGAAAGTTGACATTTGAGTTCCCTTACTTACGAGAGAGAATCTGGAAGAAGAAGGTGACGTGCTTTAAGCGCGTGTATTGTCAGACCCCAGGAACACTGCCGGGCACCAGTGCTCCACACTGCAGCTATACCCAGGTATCCTGGTAAACCCCGTGTTCCTGAGCAGTCCGAGATAAGCAAAGCACACCATACTACAATGGATAAAAGAACGAAGCCGTTAATGCTCACCTTCCTTTTCCGTATAGGACAACCATGAATAACCAACATCACGGCCAAGCGTGTGACCGGTATATTCTTGGGCACGGCCTGCGAGGTCCACATGTGCAGGCCCAGTATAAATACCTGTCCAGCCGGCCGTTCAAAGAATACCTAAGCGATACCAATCCTTTGCTTCAAGCATCTTTTGCCTCTAGGTCTTGTCTTATATACCAACAATGTTGTTCGTCGCCTGCCTTTCCGTAGCTGCCGTGGCAGTGTCCGCGGCTCCGCTGGAGAACCGAGCTGCGGCGATCGCCCTGCCGTTGAAGAAACACGTCAATGTCACATCGATCAGCAACATCGTCCAGAAAGGCCACGCCCGCATCAGCGCGATCAATGGAGAGCAGGCAGCTCCTGCCGCCCGCGCCGTGCAGGTTAGCTCCGGCACGGTCACCAACGAGGACGTTACATATGTTGCCGCGGTCACCATTGGTGGTAAATCCTATGATCTGATCGTCGACACTGGATGTAAGTCGTTCTCGGACAATCTATGGTTGAGGTGCTTTGAACTGATGCGGGACCCTCTCCAGCTTCAAACACCTGGTGTGGTGCTCAGAGCGCATGTGAGAAGTCCTCGACTGGCAAGTCTACTGGCGGCACAGTCTCTGTCACCTACGGCAGTGGTTCATTTTCCGGAACTGAGTACACGGACACGGTCAGCTTCGGCGGCCTGACCGTCTCTTCCCAGTCGATCGGTTCCGCTTCCACCTCGTCAGGATTCAGTGGCGTGGACGGAATCATCGGGTTTGGTCCTGTCGGTCTTACCTCGGGAACTGTTTCCAACGCCAACACAGTTCCGACTTTCCTTGACAACCTGAAGAGCCAGGGGTCTATTTCAACTGAAGTCCTTGGTGTTTCCTTCAAGCCCGAAAGCGGTAGTGATACAGATGATGCCAACGGCGAGCTGACCCTCGGCGGCACCGATTCGTCGAAGTACACTGGCACGCTCACCTACTTCCCCAAGCTCACGAGTGGCTCTGCTGCCGCCTACTGGGGCATCTCAATTGCCAGCTTCACCTACGGCTCTCAGACCCTCGCGTCGAGCGCGTCTGGCATCGTCGACACCGGCACCACGCTGATCTACATCCCGAGCTCGGCCTACTCCGCGTTCCTGTCGGCGACCGGTGGCAAGACTGACAGCTCGTCCGGGCTTGCTGTCTTTACCACTAAGCCGACTGCGAATTTCGGTATCAAGTTTGGTTCGACGACTTACACCCTGACGCCAGCCCAGTACCTCGTTCCCACTGCTCAGTACAGCGTCTTCGGCCTCACCTCTGGCAAGTACTACGCCTGGATCAACAACGGCGGCAGCTCAGGTGTCAACACAATTATTGGCCAGAAGTTCCTCGAGAACTACTACTCGGTTTACGATACTACCAACTCTCGCATCGGCTTTGCTACTGCTGCCTAAAATCCATGTGAGAGCTTGGCTTGAGTCGTTGGTTTGATGCAGTGAATGTAAAGCTTCTAGTCAGACCCCGTCTGATGAGCGGAAGAGGGCTCTTGTTCGTCTAGGCCTAGATTTTCATTACATTTACACTACTTTCTAGGCCAAAAGTGCCTCAGTATATACATGTGAATAGTTACGATATCTGATAGGACACGAATCACATTAGCGAGCTTCCCAACTAGTTGATGTGAAAGAAACCTTGGAACCAGTTTGCAGCGGCACTGGCTCAACCTCGAGAAAAATGGATGCTGAGCATCCCGACCTAGGTGCTGACGAGCTGTCTTTTCCGTGTGTCTTTATCAGGGCACGGAGTGGACGGGAACCTCAACTAAGCAGGTGCGTGGCCTAAAAGTCACACGAAGCAGCATAGAGTATGTTCTGGCCTGTGTCTAGTACGAACTATCCTCGCAATTGTTATCATAAACGATCATCCATATAACAGGCACAGAATCTCCACGAAAGCACCCCTAGCCAACCATTCACAAAGTAACCACGACTCGGATGTAGCTATAGCTTAGCATATTCATCGCATGTTTCTATGAGTTTGCGCTTGGTTCCGGGCTCCTGACGCAGGTCAGTGGTTAGGTCTTGTCTCAGAGATGAGTATTCAACTTACTAGTGCACTGTGTCCAGCATCATCGATCCAATGAAGCCTAGACTCAGGAAACGCCTTGAATAATTCCCACGCGGTGATAGGCGGACAAACCTGGTAATCCTTAGCAAGTTTCACAAGATCAGGTTGCTATGCCGTGGAAAATTATCCATAGGGATTGATACTGCCCCGTAATCATCTTGGTCGAATTGATCTGTTTTGGAATTCGGTCTGAGGTGGGACACCTCGACTCATCACTTACCACGTCGTAACGGCCTTGCACCAATGTAGCTTTACCAGAGAATCAGCATTTTGCCCGTAGAACAGTGTTAATGTATCCAAGAACAAAACATTCTTACTTGGTAAATGACGGATTTTGTCAACATTTGCCTTTTTCAGCAGCTGACCCTCTTCCAGAAAGGCGCCATTTGTGAAGTAATGTGCCTCGATCCGTGCGTGGGCAAGCAAGTAAGACTCATCGTCAAGCTGCTTGAGTGCATCAGCACTTGGATAGAGGGTGCTGATGGAAAGCTCCCATTTGTTCCAAGCCTTGGCCGCAGGAAGGCTGATCTTCGGGTCGTCTGAAAGCAACCGTTTCAAGTAGGACTCGACATGGTTCTTCCTCTCTTCATCTGGAAGAAAGTTGATGAACTCGTCAAATGCATCGGGCCACATGATGCTAGCGCCTTCAATTAGAGACCATTTGAGCTCGAGCTGGCGAACAGCGAAGATGCCTCTGAGGATGAGGGAGCCGACGGATCCAGGATGGGTCTGGGCATAGGCCAGGGCAAGGGTCGAGCCCCACGAGCCTCCAAATACCACGTGCCATTTCTCAATCTTGAGGTGGCGCCGGAGTCTCTCGATGTCTTCCACCAAGTGCCACGTGGTGTTCTCGCGAGTCTCGGCGTTGGGCCGGGATTTCCCACAGCCTCGCTGGTCTAATAACACAACTTGGTATTGCTCTGGGTCGAAGAAAGCTGTGTTGCTCTTTGAGATGTGACCGCCTGGTCCTCCATGGAGATATATCGCTGACCCGCAGACATGGAACCATCAGTCTCGCCATCTTTTCCAATGGGTAAGGGTCAGCGGAGATACCTGGCTTCCCGTCTTTCTTGCCGTATTGCTCATAGTATAACTCATGGATGGAGTCAACACGGAGCCAGTCGACGTGCCATGCGTCCTCATGAGCATACCCGCTGGGCTGAGCCTGTTGCGCCATGTTGCTCGGGATGCCGCGGCAGAGAGCTTGTATCAGGTGGCGGAGGAGAGTAATACGCGGCTTTGAATGCTCGGCGCTAACTGGAAGCTGAGATCATTGATGACACTCTTGCAATTGCGGCTTCACTATTTGCTTGCTTACTAAGCCATAGATCCCCCACATAAGCAAATGCAGGAATTACGCGCGATTCAGGCCGATAACAACCTGTAGCCAGATAGGTACAGTTCTCGATTTAGCAGACCGGCAAAACTGGACATCCTTACATGTGAGACTACAAGACGTTTTCTCACATGTCCTACTTACTAGTCACGGTTACTAGTCACTGTGTTCAGAGGTCTGCTTTGCCATCACTCACACCCTGTCCGACCTTCAATGTTGTCATGACAGGCAGGCACTACCTAGTTACTAGTAGTGTATTGAAGAACGTCGGCAGGAGATCCGCGCCGTGCAAGCCGAGCACGATGGCCAACGAGACATAAAAGCTCTTGCCCAGATGCACAAGCCGAATAGCGTCTTTCGCGAAAACTAACAGCTGAGGTTGGCCCAGATAATCGGGCCTGGGGATTTCTAGCTATTTCAACCCCGGCCCCCCCCCCCTCTAGTAGGTATCCATTGAATCAATGATCATGGTGAGATTGGGGTAAGATGGCGTCTAGAATAAGGATGATACTACCCTGCCACCTCTCGGGTTTGTACAGGCATGAATGGCCTGGCCAATGAAAGTCTCAAGTACGTTGCCGTGATTGCCAAGAAGCTGAATGCAATGCCTGAACAAAATCGGCAGATTCGTGCGTGGAACCAGTTTTTGAAAATCTCATTTTGCTTTTCGGCATGGTCGGATGCATCTGTTATCCTTTGCGCGTGGTAGCTTAAATGCGACGAACCGACTTCGAGACTCTCCAGCCTGGGGCGTCCGGTCCGTTCTCATGAGTACCTAGGTAGTTAGCAGAGGCCGCCCGGGGGCCAGACGTGATGTTAACAAGGTACTTGCCGTGACGCTCCCGAAGAGCTATTACTTCAGCATAGAGGACGATGGCAGAGGCAGAGTTGAATCCGCCGTTGTAATAGCATGTGTCATAATAGGATCGCCAAGGGATTGCTAAATACGAATTACCAGCAGGCTGGGCAAAGTCATGTGCATGCTGCGATCCCACCTCACCCGAGGGATGTTGGAGGCAAATGTGGACCCCTCTCAAGGACAAGAGTCGGCGCCAAGAGCTCCCTTGATCCTATGCGGGGCCAGAAGACAAACGACACACTCCGAGCCCAGAATCTAGGCCTGATGCTAATTCCAGAGCTCACAAAGTGAAGGAGTATTGTCCCGAAAGTTTCCTTGACCGACATGGTTTTGACAAAGGACATGCCCTCACGTATGATCTGAATAAGACAAATGTTTATCCGCAAACCCCATTGACCTGTCAAAACCCCTGGCTGTCAACTGACTGAATGATCGGATAGACTTCATACACTGTTGTAAATAGACAGGCGCATACGGGACCCCCATGACAAGCCCAGACCGAGCAAAGCTAAAAGAAAAAGCCCCAGAAATAACCAGGCAACAAGCAGACAGCAATTGCAGGGGAAAGCTGACGCTAAAACTGTGCGCCGCCCAGGTGGTGGGCCACACTACTCTAGCTCCCTGCGATATCAGAAGCATTTTCTTTTTTTCTTGGGTAGTACTCGGTAAAACAGACGTTGCCAATTGATTGAGGTGGAATTTCAAGTGCGAAGCTACGAACAGACTGATGCCGGGAATCTGCTGCCTGTGGCCCATTGCTGGTGTAACTTGGTCTTTGGTGAAATAATACCAGTTGACCCCACGTTTCCTAATGCCCAAGCCAACCTGGGGAACACACGGCCATTTCTTTATGGCCTGAGGGACCCTTGCCGAATCAGCATCGCCATTTGAACCAGGATAGGTGGCCAATATAGTTGGAGCCAAAGCTACTTCCGAGTCTTGCAAGGTCTGCTTGAGCCGCGAATCACGCGATTTACAGTCTGTTGGGCACATGCTCCGCGTGGTGGCGGCACTCTCGGAGACTGGAATTGTGATGCATTTCAGGTCACGGGTCAGCATGATTAAAGATGAGCCCCGTATAGTAAGCAGTGAAAATAAGTGGCTGTGCAAGGAGATATGCTGTTCCATTGCACTAGGCTGATGTGACGATCGCGACCTCGGGAACGACGAGTGGTCCCGCCGAGTGCTGGCGCCCCTGTCGGGGTGCCGACCTACACTCCCGTCTCGGGCACACCTTTACACGCGATGTGCATCTCATCGTGACCGGTTCCGCCGCAAGCATGACACGCGCCTCGATAATGGAGCCCAAGCAAGTGTGCATACTATCAGGCCAAGATAGTAACAAGACTTTTCCAAGCTTAGGAAACGGCAGGCGCCAAGGTCAGTTCCAGACACGCACACCACACCACATCACCGTCGAGTCCGCATTTTACAATTTCACAATTTCTCCTAGGCTGAGGTTTCATTTCCGAATGTTCGTCATAGTCATGCCATCAGCTTCAAGTGAACTCTATCTTTATCTTTGTTTCACTAGGTGAAAACAAACCCGTACCTTGGCCTAGCCGGGTGTAGGTTTGCCAAGCTACCTACTTAAGTACTTAGGTAGGGCGGCCACGACATGCATGGCATGGTACCTAGGTAGTTCCTTGGCAACCTGTAGACCCAGCCTGCCGGTCCTCACCCAACGTCGGCTACATCACGACTTTTCGGTATTTCTACTTTTCCTGTCGCGTGGACAGGGCGAAGGCCCACTGATACCCCTTAGGATAGCCCGGGCAGACGAAATGGGGTTGTCACAGCTAGGGTAGTCAGAGGAGCAAAGGCCGAGAAACTCAATCCTGCCGCCAGAAGCGATGATGAATTATATAAATCCCCTCAGTATCCTACTTAAGGCTAAGGAATGACACCCGTCTTCTTCTGGAAGCTTTTGCTTGTAAACCTTCGCTGACTGTTCCACCTACCGGGCCTTTTCACGCACCACAGTCCTCACAACAGCCTCCAAGTCAAAATGCTTAGACATAGCTTGGTAGTCGCCTTGTCGCTGGCCACAGCCACTCTCGGCTGTGCGACACACAATTACCACGCGCAGCTGGCAAAGCGACAAGACGGGGCCAACGGGGGCAACTCATCAACTGGCCCGGAAGCCAGCGATTGGAGCTACGATGCATCGTTCGACTGGGGAAGAGTCAGCGCAGGTGAGAACTCCTAATTGATTTGCAGCGCACCGAACGAGCCGACTTCGCGGGTGCAGACCGAGTTCGACAACGTACTTAGGTACACAGCTAGGCTTCTCCTGGCGTGACTTGCCGTTAGTCCCGGCGTTCACCAAGCCTGAAGCTTGTCTCGCATTGGCAATGAGTATCCAAAAGCGTACATTTCATCTAATTGGGTTTTGCTAGAGTACGAACTTTGCCAAGCTGGGACACAGCAGTCTCCAATTGCGCTCAGCCTCAACAATGGGCTATCTTTGAATCACATTCCTACGTTCAACTATCCCAATGAGACATCGGGGAAATTTTGGAACTGGGGTTACGGTCCTGCTTTTACTTTGGAGCACGAGGAGGGAGTCTATACTGACAACCCATCCGTGACCTACGACAACGAGACTGTGTACCTTATCGGCTGGCACATTCATACCCCGGCTGACCACTCGATAAACAACTACCGCACCCGTGCTGAGCTGCATCTCGTGCACGTCGACGCCGAGGGCCACGAGAAGGCAGTCTTTGCCATCATGCTTGATCCAGGGAACACCAATGATGCTTTCGTGGACCAGTTCATTTCGCCTCTGATTAGGTTCAACGACACCCAGGAAGTGGACACGACCCTGTCTCTGCCTGAGGCTCTTGCGAGCGTGGCGAGGTTCAATGAGTTCTGGTCATACGAGGGCAGCCTGACAAGCCCTCCTTGCCACGAAGGGAGTAAGTTGCCCCCCCAACTTTCAAGCAGAAAGGCCTTCGGGCGAATCTCTCATCATGATTGAACTTTTCAAAATGTCCCATCCCATCAGCTGACTCTGAAAATCAAAGTTCGATGGTTTGTAGCACGACAGGTGATGTTTACAAGCAACGACCAAATGCAAAGGATTTTGGCCGCAAGCACGTACAGTGCTAGGTAAGACCTTCCTTTTCCTCTGTGATGCAATCTCTCAAACATAGTCTGTTGTCTGATGCTAACCTGGGGCGCCTATAGGGAAGAGCAGATGGTGTGGCAGCATAGAATCAATGAGTAAGAGTGGAGAGAGACCGTGTGGGGGGGGGGGGGCTCGTTCACAATTTCTTGTACATTACCGCAAGGTCTGACCCTGCGTTGGACTGTATTCTTTTCATGACATACTTGTAGACGCGAGGACTTCAAACCCCTCAAATGCACATAACTGGCTTCGCTTCTATTCCACATATATCCAGTGACATACATAGCGCCTTCATACGGTGGTAAACTCTTAAGACCCAGCGTTTGAAAACAATAGTGTGTCTAAAACTATAGTTAAATACTACTTAAGTCATTATTCTCGGACCCCTGTGTACATAGGTAACTGATACAGAAACCTTTCAAAGTGCTAGTGGCTTAGAAAACATGCCGACATTGCAAGGGCAATGAAACTTTTCATGAGCGCACAAGACGAGCCCTCATCACCGTGACAAGACTAATAAAATCTAGCGCACGATGGTAGAGGTGGAGGCGTTGGCGGTACTGTTATTCTGGACCACCAGCCGGTTGGAAAGCCTGAATTGCCAGTCTTGTGCATTTTCACGGTCGCCAAAGGTCTTCAACGCTCGGCCAAGGATTCGGTATTGACCATTCAAGATCGGCGTTCCATCGCTATAATTGCTGCTGACGCTTGCCTGGAAGGTGTTCAAGCTTCGTGGGTAGTAGGCGAAAGGGTACGGATAGTACACATCTAAGTTCATATCAGCATACCGCCCGTCACGTATATATATCCAATAAAGCTAGAGAGAAAAACGTGCGGCTGTGGGCAATGTGTTCCCACTCTTATGTCTTCGCGCGATAACGAGTGACAAACAACGGCCGCAGGAAGATGTTCCTGGATTCAACAGCGCCAAACCCATGCGAACCGCTGAGATAAAGATACGTACCGTTCAGAGCGTCATAGAATTGAAGTGAGCCGAACCAGTTGTTCTTTCCAGCGACTTGAGGGTAGACCCAATCGGACTCCTTCCAGTCTACACTGACAAGCTGTTTCCAAGAAACAAAGATGTCAGTCCCGTTGTAGAAAAGCAAAAGAACGCTGGCGTCAAAATCAGTCCCAAGGGAATGGCATACTTACATCAAAACTGTGCTCACGTGTAGCCCAGAGCATGTTATAGTACAAAACCGGGGTTCCCTGGTTCAAGTCAAAGACACGGCCGTCCTCGAAAGTATCGCCGTAACCACCAGCGCCGAAATATACCGGGACGCCACGATCGAGTTCCCATGTCTTGGCATCATGTAGCGACCCATAAACACCTATGTGGAAAATGTGAGTCAGAGATAGAAGTATGACAGTAAAATAGATCGAAAAAGATATTTATACTTACCTAAATAAGTGGCTTTCAGAGCCTCACCATTGTCGCCGACGATATGAATGAATCCGCCGTAAATAGGCAATACTGAAGCATCGATATCAATGGGAGCAGTGAAGACCACATCAAAAGTGGCCTTGCCCCCAGTGGGAACCGTGATCGTTGACACAGAAAAGTTGGCACTTGCCTGGCCGAAGTCTGTCTGAAGAATAGGATCTTGTCCCACCCAATTCACGGGGTTCATTGTCATACAGGCAGGGCCGGATTCATGACTGATAGAGTAGGTGACTGGTTCAGCTCCGTTGTTTGAGATGGTAATTGTGTGTTGGCCGGTGAAGTGGTCTGTGTCATTGAGGCTGAGAGTCGCCGGAAAAATTGAAGTGTTGTATGACACAACCTTATAGGCATCAATGAGACCGGCACCGGCCTGCCCGATATGTCTGGAGGAACAATTTGTGGGTTAATCAGAAGAAACAGGAAGGGAGGCGTTGTGGGGATCGATGCGAAGTGGGAGGCACGTACGCTTGCAGAGTTGTGCTGCCATTGTGGTGGAGGACAGGGGAGCCACTCGAGGCAAGACGAGTGTGCGCTACTTGGGCCGCATTAGAGCCGAGACCGGATCGTCCCCCAACAGACTGGTAAAATAAGGCGGCCACACCGGCGATGTACGGTGTGGCCATGCTGGTTCCTGAGAGAACTGCCCAGCTGCCCTTGGATGTTGGCCACGTGGACAAAATTTGACCACCTAGCTTGTCAGAATCGTAGTTATTCATCATGTGTGTCTTCTTGATCAATCTCAACTCACCAGGTGCAGATATCTCAGGCTTCTGCCTCACGTCCAAAGTCGGTCCCCATGAACTAAAGTCGTTGATCATGTTTGTGAAGGAGTCAACTCCGATCGCAGCCGCGGGATCATATTTGAACTCAAAGGTCACGTTCCCGCCCGCAAGGATTTGGTTCTTCAACCAGACCCCATCATCATAGTTGATACTGGCGAAGCCGACAGCCTGCCCTTGTGTATAGAGGATCCGAGAGGGACGGTCGTAGAGCCTGTCCTCCCAGTTCACCAAGAATACCCAGGTGGCTTTATCGATGAGAGCAGAGTCCATGACCTGCCAGGATCCGTCTGCACAAACTCCATTCCGCCCACGAGGCTACATATGTAGTAAGTCTTGTCAGTTCCCCCGCCATTTGAACCCATTGGACACGAAAGCGTGATTAGGAAGGCTTCAGTCAACATACCAGCACGGCAACGATATCTGGTGATAGAGCTCCATCCCAAGGCACCTCTAGAGAGCAGATATCCGGAGGGTCTAGAGGAATATATGCCGAGAAGGTCCCCGTCAAGTTCCAGTTCTTGGCAGCAGAGTCCAGGTAAACTACCGTTCTTGACTCGCCACTTGTTGACCTGGCCACAACGGAATAGGCAACCTGCTGTGTCGATTGAACACTGCCGACTGCGAGGGCACCGTATCCATTGCCGAGGCTGCTGGTGAAGAATGGACCACGCTGTCCAGCGTTTCCTGCTGCAACAGAGGCGAAAACACCCTGACTCGTACTAGCACACCAGGACTAAGTTATCCACACGTCAAGCAACAGTGACCCGGATAGATCCTTACATTCTGGTGACAACCAGGGCAGAGAGGATTTCTGGGAATCCTTGACTCGAGCCAAGCGAAGCGGTAATGATATCAGCGCCGTCCTCGAAAGCCCGAATTAAAGCCATGGCGATGATGTCCTCGGTAGTACCATCCTCGCACCCAAAGACCTTGTAGGCTCTCAGGGTAGCTCCGGGTGCAACGCCAGGCAATTCACCATTGGAACTGCCAGCAATTCCGGCTACATGTGTACCTAGGCGAAATTCAGCGGTGCACCGCCTTCGCAAGGTCGACGAACACGGCAGGCCAGTAAGGACAGTACGACTTACCGTGGCCAAGGCAGTCAATTGGATCTTCATCTGGAAAGAGAACATCCGGAGAGCTTGCACTGTAGTTGTCTCCGACGAAATCGTATCCAGACTCGACCTTGAAGCCCGTGCCAAAGCCGCCACCAAGAGAGGGATGAAGATAGTCGATGCCACTATCAACTACAGCTATCACAACGCCTTTTCCATCATACCCCAGAGCATGAACATCTTTGACACGGGTTAGATTGTGAGGGCTCCATTGGCTAAAGTTCGCGACAGTAGACTCAATCTTCGGGCTGGCGTAGACAGTTGCGACGGGCCACAGGTTTACAACCCCAGGCAACGCCTTGATTTCCTCTAGATCTGTCGCAGCAGTGTCGCTGGCTAAATCAAACGACGCGCCATGAAAGATGCTGGAGGTGAAGTTGAGAGCGGCTTTGGCAGTGACATTAGTGTCCTGAGCGACGCTCTGATAGAAGCCCTCGGTATTCTATCGTGCTGCAGTGAGCGGAGGACACTAGACAATAGAAGGTCGCTCGTACCATGGAGCCGTCGCGAGCTCGAAACTTTTCAGAGCCAGCTTCTGAGAATTCGACTACATATCGTGCCCGGAGAGGCACGTTGGAGGGGTCAACGGGTTCGAGACCAGTGTCCGGATCTTGGACCTGAGCGAGCACAAAGCCGCTGAGGAGAAGAGCTGGCACCACAGTGAGTAACATCGTCGTTTATGTTGACAGAACAAGCGTTATCTCAGGCAAGGCCCATTGCTGATCGCATCGTGGGGCTTCGCTCTTATATCGCAGCTCTCATTCGCACTTGAGCACTTCAGGTGAGCTTATTAGGGCCGTGGAAATTGAAGGCTCTTAGCATAGCTGGTCCTGAAACTGGCCTTGGGCGGCCCACTTGTCAACGCAAAAGTCCAATGAGCTTGGAAGAACCATTCGTTGGCGCCGAATCAATAGCTTGTCTGCCAATAATTGCGCAAAACAGGCATTGCAAGTTACCACCTTCTGTTCCTGGTGATCCGTAGCGGTGCAATCCTTCCAAAGCCCCATCGAAACATACATGGCCAGATGCACCCGCGTGTTGATGTCTGCATCTGGCGAGAAAGGGAAATTAATCCGTGGATTCTCAGGGGCTGAATCGGATCTACTGCCTTGGTTCTTGCTTCCGAGCCTCAAGCGCGTCTGCCGAATGTTGGAAGAGCATGGTATTACCACGAAATCGACGCCAAGGAAGTTAACCATGGACTTAGACTTTGCATGTCCCGCATAGGGTAGCATTAAAGGGACCTTTAATCAACCGCGTGCCAGGAATTTGATATCGCAATCATTTACCCGTTTAATTTCACAATACACCTACCTAATTTGGAGCTGATATATGCCAGTGATAGGCGCCTATCAAGCTTTGAACCCTCTGAATTGGCTACTGCACATCCGGTCCCACACACACCCTAAATTTGGTCCACTTTCTAAAGTTTCCCACCGAAATCGCTATTCTCTTATATCTTCAGACATATGCGAAATAGAAGCGAAACCAGGTAGGTAAGTTCTTTATAAGCATCTCATATATGCCAGCTAAGCAACTAACAGCCAAGTTAACACATACCTAGGTAGCTATTATATATCATACTTATAAAAAATACCCTATTTATTGACGGCTTTATATCTATCTATAGCCTAATATAACTACTATTTTAGTCCTTTAAATACAAGGTACTAACTTATATAAGGAATACTTATTTCTCTTAATTTTTATAGTATTTTAGTAGGTATTTAAAGAATTTACCTTTATTTATAAAAGGGATTATCCTCTTTCTTTTAAATAAATTTATAATTAAAAGAAATTTATTCCTTTATTTTTATAAATTATATCCTCTAATACTTAACTAATTAGATTATAGTAAACTTAACTTATTTATTTTAAAAGTTAATTTATTATATTAAACTTATTAAGTCTATATTTAATTAAATTAAATTCTTTAACTACCTTTTAATTAAATTAATTAAATCTTATCTTTTAAATTAAAATTAATAAAATATTTTAAACTATTTATACCTATTTTTAATATTATTAACTTTAAATACTTTTTAATTATTTTATTATTATAAGATTTATTTTATTATAAGGTATACTATTTAATTTATTTTAATAAATAAATTTTAATTATATTATTTTTAATTATTTAAATTTATAATTTTAATAAATTATTATATAATTTTTAATTTCCTTAAAAACCTTTAAATTAATTTTTTATTAAAGACCCTTTAAATATCTATTAAAAATCCTCCTTTTAACTTTATTTTTAAATTTTTACTTTATAAATTCTTAATTAAATTTTTATAAAAATATTATTTAAAACCTTAAATTTCCTTAATTTTTAATAATACTTATATTACTATTTTAACTAATTAATAAAACCTTAAATCTTTTAAAATATTTATTAATAATACTTTAATACTTAAATTTTATAATTTATTTAAAATTAATTATTTTAATTAGTTTTTAATATTTAAATAAAGTTAATATATATTATATTTAATATTTAATTTATAAGAAAATATTTAAAAATATTTTTAATATTATTATAAAAGATTATTATTATTATAACTTTATAAAATATTTTTAAAACCTATAACTTTATTATAAAATATAATTCTTTAATTTATTATATTATATTTAATATAATTAAAATTATAAAAATATTTTTAATTTTAAAAATAAATAAAATTTTTATAAAAAATTATAAAAAAGTTAAAAATATATTAAATATAATAAAAATATATTTAAAAGGTGTTATTATATAAAGTTTTTAACTTATTTTTATAATATAAGTTTTTTTCCTTTATAAAAATTTAAAAATTCCTAATAACTTTATATAATAAATATAGTATTCTCTAGTTATCTAATATAAAAATTACCTATATTAAAGTATAAAACTATAACTTTCTTTATAAAAAAGGTTTAATTAAAAATAATAATAATTTATAAAATCTTTTAGTTAATAAAACTATAAAGTTAATACTTAATTTACTTAATATATAAAAGAGACCTTTTATATATATAAAGTATAAAATATTATTATAAAATTTTAAAATACCTTTAAAAGTTTTATAAACTTAGTAAATTTACTATAAAATATTTAATTTTAAAAACTTTAAAATACCTTTTAAAGGAATTTAATATTATAAAAATATTTAAATAAAATTAAATAATTAATTAAAAATTTAAAAATAAATAATATTAATCTTTTAAATAAATAATTATTATTTAAGTATTAAATTTACTTAATAATAATTATAAAAATTTATATAAAATATTATATAAAGCTTAAAAAGATTTTAAAACTATATAATTAATACTCTATTTATTAATTTAATAAATAAATTAAAAAGAAAAAACTCCTTTTATAAAAGTATTATTTATAAAAATAATAATAATAATAAAAGAAAAATATAAGGTACTCTTATTATAATTTAAAAGGGTATATTAAAGAAAATTATTATTTTTAATTTTAATAAAGTATTAAAAGTTTAAAAATAAAGAAAAAATACTTATATATATAAATTAAATTTTAATAAATTAAATTAAAATAAAAGATTAATAAATTATTCTTTATAATTATTAAATTAAAAGAAAGGCACTAATCCTTTTAATAAATTAAAGGATAAAAAGATAAAAAGATTTATTAAAAATTTTTTAAAAATTACTACCACTTATATACTATATAAATTATTTATAAACAAAATAAATATAAATAAAATAATAAATAACCTTAATAATATTAACCTATTAAGTTTTAAATAAAAGGTAAATACTATTTATACCCTTATATATTTATAATAAATATAATAACTAATATAAAATATAAAAATTATATAAAACTATACCTATAAAATTTATATTTAATAGTAAAATAAATATAATTAATCTATATAATAAAAACTATTTAAAATATTAAAATCTATAAATAAAAAGTTAAATAAAGTAAAATAAGTATAATAAATATTAAATATATTAAAAAGTAATATATTATTCTTAAATAATAACTATAAGCTTAAAGTATTAAATATATATTATATATTCTTATTAAATTTAAATATATTTAATTATAATATTATAAATTATATTATATAAACTATATTAAAAGGAAATATAGTTAAACTTTATTTTATTAAGTTTAATAAATTTATAGGTAAAGAATATAAAAAATAACCTATATTATATTAAAGTTAAAATATTTAATAATAATTCTAATAATATATAAATAAATACTTTAATTATATAAAAGATAAAATAACCTCTTTAAATAATTTATATTATTAATATTATTATTTAAGCTATATAAACCTTATTTTATTTATATAAATACTTAAAATAATAAAATAAATATTAAAATTTCTATTAAAACTTTATAAATTTTTAAATATAATATTTACCTATAAACTAAATATATAATTAAATAAAATAAAAGTTTAAATAATAAAGAATATAATATTTTAAAAGAATATATAATAATATAAGTAAACTACTTATATTTATATATAATAAATATAAATATTATATTTTATTTCTTAATAAAAACTAAATATCTATATAAGTATTTATTAAAAGAAAAATAAAATTTTAAAACCTTTAAAGACTTTAAAAATAAAGAAGAAAATAATAATAATAAATCTATTAAAGAATTCTTTTCTAATAATAATACTAAATTTACTAATAAAAGATTTAAATTCTCTTTAAATAAAAGTAGTATATATTACTTTATTACTCCTATATATATAAAAGAATCTAATAAAGTTATAAAAATTAAATCTTATTATAATAAATAAAGTTTAAAGTTTAATAATAACCTTTAATTTATTATATATATTATAAAAAATATTTTTAGAATTATTATATATTTATATAATATAACTTTATATACCTTTTAAATTTTAAGAGTCTTTATAAAATAAAAATGATAAAATACCTAATATTAATAATATAAGAACTTAGGGTTCTATAGTTTATTATAATAATAATAAATATAAAATTAAGTTAAAAGTTAAAAATAAAAGGTTTCTTAATAGGTTATATTTTTAAGATATATATATATAGAGTCTAAGATATAAAACTAATAAACCTATATTAGTATAAGATATATAAATTTTAAAAGGAAAATTTTTAATAAATTTAATAAATTTAAAAATAAAAATAATATTAAAAATCCTATAAAAGAAGAAATATTTATAAAAGAAGATAAAATTTAGAAAAAATTCCTATAAGAGAAGAGATACCTATAAAAATAAAAATAATAGTAAAAGGGTATAAAAACTATATTTTATTAAGAATATTTATATAAATATTATTATAAATAATTTTAATAATTCTTCTATTATTATAATAGTTAGTATTATAGTTAAACTTTTAATATAAAAGAAATATTAAATTCTTTTAAAAAGATTTATAATTTAAATTTATAATAAATAAAAAAATAATTTAAAAATAAAATTTTATAAAATAATTATATTACTTAAAAATAAAAATAATATTATTTAATAAATAGGTATTAAAAAGAAATATATAAATAATTTTAATATAATAAAATTTAATTAAATAGTTAATAAAGAAAAACTATTAAATATAAAGTTAGATAGGTTATTTATAGTTATAAATAATAATTTAAAATAGATTTTTAAAAATTTTTTAACTATTTATAAGTTAAAGACTTATAATATATTATTAATTATAATAATTAATAAAGGTTAATATATATTAAGTTATAATATAAAAATATCTTTTATATTTTAATATAAACTATAAAATATATATTAAATTCCTAACTTTATATATAATAAGGATAAATATAAAATAAGGTTATTTTATTATAAAAGTTATATATAGTTTTAAATAAATACTTTTATTATAATATAAATATTTAATTAATATTCTAATAAAAGTTAAATTTAAAATATATTTTTATAATAAAGGTATATTTATAAATATAAATTTATAAATAGTATTTATATATTATATAGATAATATAATAGTTTTAAATATTAATTTAAATATTATAAATAATTTAATTTTTAATATTTAAAATATAAATTTAGATTTTTAAAAGGAATTAAATAGTTTTTAGAAAATAATATTAAAATTAATAAAAATAATAAAATTATTATTATAAATTAAAATTAATATACTTTTAAAATATTTATAAAATTTAATATATTTAAAAATAATTATATTAATAATATTAAAATAAAATTAAAATTAATACTTTATACTTTTAAAAGAACCTTAAAGAGAAATATAAATTAAGCCTTTAAAGAAGAAATAGAAGCTTTTAATAATAAATAGGCTCTCTTATATATTAATTTAAAAATTAAGTTAAATATATACTTTTAATATCTAAATTAATTAAATATATATCTAACCTTAATATAAAATATTTTAAAGAATTAAATAAATTATAGGAATATTTATTAAAATTCCTTAATATATATAAAAATTTAATATTTTAAAAATACTTTATATTTAATAGATTATTATAATTTAAGTTAAGGTAATAATATAAATAATAGAAAATCTACTTTAAACTATATATTCTCTTTATCTATTAAAAATAAAAATATATTTAACCTTATTAATTAGTTCTTTTAATAATAAAAATACCTATATTAAGTACTTATAAGGCTAAATATATAACTTTAAAAAGCTATTAAAAAGGAATTTATTTATATAATTTAATAATTTATTTTAATAATTCTTTAAAATTAAAATATAATATTCCTAAAAGTAAAATATATAAAGATAATAATACTATTTTAAAATTAACTAAAAATTAAATATTTTATAAATAAACTAAATATATAAATATTATATATTACTTTAATAAATATATAATTAAAGAAAACTTAATTAAAATTATTAGAATAAATATAAAAATAACCTTATAGATTAATTAATAAAGCCTATAGTTAAGTAAGAATTTAAGTTAGTTAAAAAACATAATTTATATAAAAATAAATATAAAATATTCTATATATATATAAAAGTTTTAAAATAAAAAAGTATTTTAAAATAATAAATAAACTATAAATATCTATTATAATACACTTAATAAAGAAAATATTTTTCTAAAAATAATAAACTCTTTAAATAAAAATATTTAATTTTTACTCTTTATAAATAGATTATTTTCTCCTTTAAAACTAAATTTAACCCTATATACTAAAAGGTTTTAATTATTAAAAATTCTTATTAAAAGTAGAAATTTTTCTATATTTTATAAACTATTAAAAATATACTAAAAATATACTAAATAAGTTTAAAAGTACTCTAATTTATAAGTTTAAAGTAACTTAAAATAAAAGTTTAAAGTAACTCTCTTAACTTATAATATATAATATACTATATATTATTATAACTATTATACTTAATTTATATTTATAAACCTATAAATTTATATATATTTTATAGATTTATAGTATATATAATATAATAATCTAAATATAATAATTAAATTATATAAAAATATATCTATATATAAATAAATATAATAATATATAAATATAATTATAAAATCTTTTAATAAAATAACTATAATTATATATTAAAGGTTCTAAGTTTAATTACTAATATAATTAAACTTTTAAACTTTTAGTTTTTATTCTATTTAATAAATTAAATTAAAAATTATTAATATATATATAGTTTATATTTTACTTATAAACTAAACTTTTTTATAAAGGTTTTATTTAGTTAAAATATTTATAATTATAACTATTTATTAAGTTTTTATTCCTTTATAAAGGTTTTTCTTAATAATAAATTCTTAAAATTAAGTTAAATAATACTTATATTTTTATAAAAAGCTATTTAAATAACTTATATTATATATCTAACTTTTAAGGGACTATAAAAAATACTTTATTTATTAATAGCTTTATATTTATCTATAGTTTAATATAACTACTATTTTAGTCCTCTAAATATAAGGTACTAACTTATATAAGGAATACTTATTTCTCTTGATTTCTATGGTATTCTAGTGGGTGTTTAGAGGACTTGCCTTTGTCTATAAAAGGGACCGTCCTCTCCCTCCTAAATAGGTCTATAGTTGAGAGAAATCTATCCCTTCATTCTTACAGTGCTGCACCGTTGACTAGAATCGTCGACACAAGTCACGCAAGGGATATGATGAAGAATCAAGAGGATGAATGACAAGAAGCGCTGCTCTGACAAATACCAACTTCTTTCCACAGTAGGGCTTCATACCATGTGCGTCTTATCAGGCATTTGATCAGGTCACTCGACATTCGCCAAGCCCTGCGATTACCCGCTGGGAACTCGGGACCGTTTGCCAACATGGCAAGCTTCAATGTTCTGTCTACAGATCCCATTGATAACATGGATCAAGCACGGGTAGATAATGTAAGGCTCTGGCGTGAAGACTTAGCGTGGACGCATTGCCTTAGATCATCTGTTCCAACCAAAGCTTCTGGGGCCATCTAACTCCAGCCTCGTAACCCAAAGCCACACATATGGGGTGTACCTACACTCTCAGAAATCACCACATTCCACTTTTCGAAGTAGGTATCTGTTCTAGCAGTTCGGAAGGCATTCGGGATTAGCTCAATTTCCTCGCCCGACACGATTCCCAACAAATTTCTCAGGTAGTTCAAAGCCAAGTACCACTGGCAGCGAATCCAGCGCCCGGCAGATAAGTCTGTCGTCTGCTATAAGCAAGTGGTAGCTTTCCGATCAGAATTTGACGGGAGACCCCCTGTTCTCACTGGTCTATCTCTGACTGGTTCTTGACGGTTATCAAGCCTGCACGCTGTGCACATGCAACTTGGCTGAACTTGTCTTCGTGTTCTGCACCTGAACAATTTCACCTGGCAATCATCGATCAACTTGCACACTTACAGGTTCAATATCCCCCTGCCTGCCGACTTGCTTTGGTACCAACCAAACAGACCCCCGTCACTGGTCTTTTCGACCACTTATCATCGAGCTGCATATGGGCCGTTTGGTTTGAGAAGGCTCCGGAGATTCATCTTCAGACCATATTGCTTCTTCCCAGGTGCGATCTTACAACGTCACTTTCTTCAAAGGTTCCACCAGAAAGCCTTACCCAGAACGGCACTCTGAACTAGTCCGATCAAGTCTCAAGGGCCCGGTTTCTGAGGAGTCCGTCAACTTCTCGAAACAGCCTTGCCCTAAACAAGCGCCGATCAACATCCTCGTTCTAAAGTTCTCAAAAGCAAGGTCCAGTCCCAGTACTACCCACCCAAGCACATTGAATTAGCGAAACTGAGGGTTTCGACTTCAACGTGAAATAGCATACACACTCAAGATTTGCCGGAGGCTGCTGACACATTGGATGAGGTACGTTTATTTGTCTAAGCCGCTTTTCGAGGGTGAGCCACGACTTTTTCGAAACACCCACTTCAGCAGTGCTCCATTCCACCGCTGTCGAGCACTTTCATATTTGTGGAACTTCATGCACAGGTGCTTTCACTCCCTTCACTTATTTTCAGGTGCCCAGCCCTTCGATATGAGGAATCTTCTTCCTCGGTCGACGGTTGCCTGTTTTACCTGCCAGTAGTTCAGCAACCCCGTATCAGAGCACATGTCACCTTTCTCTTGTGCCCTTTCATCCGTCCTATGAATGGACCCTTATTCCGGGGTGCCCGTTCGTATCAATTTCCCAATCCCTGAGCCGGCCGCGTTTGTCTACTGCATTGCTCACCACCAAAAGTGGTTCTCCTTCTCCGTCCTCAGAGAACTCAAAACGCTAACGCGCAAACAGCCGAACAAGTCAAATCAACCAGGCACTGCAGAAATGGCTCCACTAGAAGCTCCTGTCCCTGGCAGCTTGCGGCCGTTTGATCCAACAGCATACACCGGCAAGGCTCAAGCCGCCACACCGCCTTCAGACCCAGCGGTCGGTGTGAAGGTGGATGACAAAGCCAATTTGGAGAATCTCGGGACTGGTACACCCATTCATGAGGATCGAATCAGCCTGAAAGGCTTTGGTTCGGCTGTCCCTACTGATCCCGCAGGGATTGCCCCATCGACGAAGAGCACCACCACAGTGGACAAGGCCGCCACGGAAAATGCTGGCACGGAGCGACTTGTCAGCCTGCGAGTGATCGAGAAGATCTTCAACGCGGAGGTGGACGACAAGAACTATACCTTCGCCCAGGTCGGTGGTTGGACATGCAAGATACCACCCCGGCAGTACAGAGAGGGCGAGCTCGTCCTCTACTTCCAGATCGACTCTTTCCTCCCGGGCGTCGATGACCGGTTCGGCACGGGCTCTGGCAGAGCCAGAAAGCTCCAGATGCTGGACGGGAAGCTCGGGCAGAGGCTCAAGACGGAGAAGTTTGGGAGTGGTGAAGACAAGGTGTTGTCGCAGGGCATGATCATGCCGGTGCAGACGTTCCCGGAGATCTGGAAGACGCTCGAGGTGGTGCGGCAATTCATCTCGAAGGATGCCATGGAGAGGAACGTTGGCTTGATCAACGCGACCTTGTTGATCATGTACCGCGACCGGAACTGGGCGGAGGTGCTGGGGGTCAAGAAGTGGGAGGACCAGCTGGCCCAGCCGGACAAACCTGAACACCGGCGCCTGGGCAACTACCCCGGAGAAGTATTCAGGAGGACCGACGTGACGCGAGTGCAAGACTGCCTAAACCTTTTCCAGAAACACAAGTACAACAGCCTGGTCTACCAGGAGAGCGTCAAGATGGATGGCTCCGCAATGGTTGTCTACTTCGTCAAGAAGTCGTGCAGACACTTCAACTCTCTCAACCCGTTGCCAGAGAAGGTGGGCCCAAACACGGTGCTGGAGGGTGCCCGGTTCGGCGTCTGTAGCAACAAGGTCGACAAGAACGAGCTGGAAGAAGATGGGCCAAATGCTCCCAGGTACTGGCAGACTGCCCTCCGGCACGACCTGCCGGCCAAGCTGTCGAAGCTCGGCGCCAACATTGCGATCCAGGGGGAGCTCTGCGGCGACGCGATCCAGGGCAACCGCGAGGGCCTCCCGGAGGGGGAGCAGGAATTCTTTGTCTACGCCATGTTTGACATCGACAAGCAGCAGTTTATCCACCCCAGAAGGGTGGAGCTCATGGCGAAGGAGTTGGGACTCAAGCATGTGCCGGTGGTGGGCTACGTCAAGCTCACCGAAATCGCGAGCAACCACCAGGACTTCCAGAAGCGAGCAGCGCAGAGGAAGGGCGAGGGCCTGGTGTTCAAGTGCGTTCGCGACGGGCGACGGTTCAAGGTCATCTCCAACACTTACCTGCTGGAGCACGGTCTCTGAGGACGAGTGCGGACAGCGCAACTGCACTGGACTTGGGGGTTGATCTTTGCTTTTCACAGATCGGCCGGTTGCAGGCTTGGGGACTTTTTAGACTGGGGCGCATGATGGACAGCGACCGACTGGATTTTGGAGCCGAAAAGGCAGTAGACTTTTGCGAATGAATTTTTTATCACGCCCGATCCTACAGGTGCCTAAAATGGGCTGCCAAGCAACACGGCCGCCATGTGTGTGGCGCAGCTTGGATCATCGGTTAACCACCCTCTGCCTTGGGAGTCGATGGATGGGGCTGAGTGCAGCGGGCCAGGCACTGCCAAAAGGCTGAACCAGATGTGAGCATCCCACAGACATGTAGTCTACTAATAAGCCCTCATTTAAGAGTGCGGAATGCCGTTGCGTCACCCATCGTGCATTTTTATAAGTCACTAGTAGTTTCGTGATTTCAAATGTTTGACGCACCAACGTAATTATTAACTGATTCATTGACTTCCAGACAGGACAGGCTCTCTTTGAAATAACAAACGCATCAACCGGTCTAATAACCGGTCTTTCTGAGCCCGCCAGGGTCGTCGCACACTCACCCAGACTGCCACCATCTATTAACTATCACGTAACCACAAGTGCACTCGGTCCAGTCGCTGAGACCCACCACCCACCACCCACTTACAATGTCCCTCGAACCCATTGAAGCCAAGATCAGAGAAACTTCGGAGCGCAACTCGGAGCTGCTCAACATTCTCCACCAGACCGAGAGCGCGGCCCCGGATCTCGACGCACAGAACCACCAGGTCGCCGACCTCGAGAAGCAGGTCGCCCAGCAGGCCGAGAGGCTGAAGCAGATCGGCTACAGGCGCAAGCAGGAGCTGAGAGAACATGAGCACTACCGCGACAGCGTCCTGCGGCGCTTCGCCTTCAAGATGTCGGGCAAGGCCGACAAGTTCGAGGCCAGGGCCGCCAAGGAGGAGCGCGAGTACTTTGACGTCCTGCAGGAGGAGCACCAGGCCGGCGTCATGAAGAAGAACCTGGACGAGATGCTCGCCGACGCCAGGACGGTGCGCGGCGAGCTCGAGGTCAGGGCCGCCACCCACGCCGAGGCCCAGAGGGAGCTGGACAGCCTGTACGAGTCCATCTTCACGGGGCCGTCGCCCGGCTTCCCCGAGGAGGACCAGCGGGAGCGCGAGACGAGCAACGCCCTGCGTGCCTACAAGGAGGCCCGGTCGCGGGCAGAGGCAGACGGTCAGGTGGTCAGCATCCTCACACAGGCCCAGAACCGGCTCAACGGCGCCCTGATGGCGATGGAGGATGCCCTGCACGCGTCCCGGCTGGACATGTACGGCGGCGGCACCTTCGCCGACATGATGGAGCGCAACGCACTCAACCAGGCCGAGAACCTCGTCCGGCAGGCCACCGCCCTGGTAACGCAGGCCCAGCGCGCTTCGCCCATGGTCCGCCCCCTGCCCCCGGTCAGGATCGCACAGGGGAACCTGCTCGGCGACGTCTTCTTCGACAACATCTTCTCGGACATGGCCTTCCACGAGAAGATCCAGCAGTCAAACCTCGAGGTTCGCAACTGCGCGCAGTCCCTCAACATCGACCTCATGTCGGCCACACAACGACACATGGAAACACTGCGCGAAGCAGACCAGAAGAACGAGGTGGTCAGGCAGGCCAGGGCGCGGTTACAGAAGGCACGGGAGAATGTGTTTCAAAGGGTCAGTGGCAGGGTGGCGTCTTCATCGCCATCGCCCCCGCCAGTGCCGCCCCCTGATGGACCACCGCCTAGTTACACAGAACGTGCTGATGCTGTGGATAACTGGTGGGAGAGATGAGAATGCGCCAAAAAAAATTAGTTGATCAATTTCAATCTACCTAGGTAGTCTCCCTGTCCTCTGCTGTCGTGATATTCATTAAATGCCTCGAGCGTGTCGCACTTGCGGCCCAAATTAGAGCAGCGGTCAGGTGAGGTGAGCATCTCCCCACGGACTCGCCTGGCTTTCTTTGTGTCACAAAGGAGAACTGCAGCCATTCCGAAGCTTGCCATTTGTTTGCATCAGCCAATGGCTCCTCAAAACTGGCAATTCTCCATCCGTGAGCCGCGGTCCCATTCGTTTTCTCTCTCCATCCTTCAAGAGCATTCAACAGGCCCCATGTGCGTCCTTTCAATTCGGACGCTCTAGGCCTCTTCTGAATGCCACGATGTCCACAAACCCAGGACCTTTGATTGCGCAACCGCGCGCGTGAACGTGCCGAGGTCAGATATAGCTCTGCCTCAACTCTGCTGTCATCTCCTCAGTAGTGGCAGGGTTCCGAGATTCGTAACTGTGCACTATTATCTCAAACAAAGTCTTCTTCAAGACCATATCCGCATGGAATCATGAATCACCTGGGGCAGATGAATATCCATGCGATGTATCCCCGTTGGGCCACCCGCTGCGAGCTGACGGCCCCGCTTTCATGACCTTCTAAGTTCGCGCACAACTCGTTGTAGCGATACTTTCTCACTAGCCTAGGCGCGTGCAGGATTGAAATCCGCATCCGGATCATTGTCTTTGCTGCTTTTCGCTCCCCGAGCCTTGGAGCCGCGGGTATTTGGAGTTGATGGTGTGCTGGACTTGCCGCCAGTAGCATTGTTGTTGGCCTTTGGCAGTCCATGGCTACGAGTCTTCACGTTCAATACCATTCTTGGTTGGGAAGTTGTGGCACTGTGATCCAGCTCGTCCTCTTCTTCTTCGTACTTAACAGAGTTCGGTGTAGATTGTGCTTCCTTCGCTCTTCTGGCTGCGGGGACTGAGGCGTTGCATTCACCCCCTGTCTTGGCTTCGTTCGACTGAGTAGAGATCGCTCGTGACGGAGTGGAAATAGTTGGCTTCCGGATCAGTTCTTCTGCATTGCACACGACGCCCATCTTGATCAAGCATGTCTTCATGTCATACTTTGCGCCGCTGTTGTTGCCTCGCTTGTACATCCCAGGACACGTGATGAAATCTACGGACAGATCATGTGGAGGACTCTTGCCGCTGCGCTTGGGGGAATGATCGACCATGATCTCATCAGAAAATGCGAATCCATGCTTGAGCCTCTGTTTTTGCCCAGATATGTCCAAAACATGCTTGCACCAGCGGAAGCCGTAGACAGGTTTCAGGATTCGGAGCTGGATCTCCAACTCTCGGGCCTCCTTGAAAATCACCATTGCATCGTCCTTCATGGTGCCAGTGATGTCGCAACCGCAGAGCTTTGACAGAGTCGAGATCACGGTTTGAACGTCTGAGTCGAAGTACTTGGGTAGAAAGTTGTCGCCGTTTATGCGGTGGATGAGGCTGCTCGAACTTGATCGAAAGTGTTGGAAGTCAATGTACAGGTCGTGTTTGTACCCTACTTCTTGAACTTCATCTGTTTCCATTGAGTCAGCTCGATGGTACGAGAACGATGGATTGCAGAGAACTTACTACCCGCTAAGCGAATGGTCTTTTCTAGAGACTGGCCCAACTCGCCAGTCCAGATTTCTGATCCCGGAGAGAAGATCCTCGTGTGCAGGTAGTCCCACACATATGCTTCGAAGACGAGGTTGCAGAGAAACGGTGATGCCAAGAAGTCTTGTAGTCCGGGCGACCAGTTGGGCCAGAGAGTCTTCAGGTCCTGATCCGTAGCAGCGAGGACTGGCCTCGCGCAGCCATCGACGAACTGACGAATCCTAGCCTCCAAAGAAGCGAAATCCTCTTTGATCTTTTCATCTGGCTCTTTGTAGTTGTATCGCTGGCTCTGATTGCGAGATGCTATTAGCTTTTGCTGGAGTTTTTCGACCGTCTGGCTCAGGTCATTACAACGACGCTCTAACGCAGCCTTCTCTGACCGCACCAACTTAAGCGTAGCTTTAGTCCTCTCCTCTCTTGCCAGAGCACCATGCATCCGGTGGCCGTTTGCATCATTGACAAGGTGTAATGCTTCTGCTTCCTTCCCAGCCTGCTCACGGGCTGTGTTGGCCTCGTCCAGCTTCTGTTCCGTTGATCTCAATTTCTCCGATTTCTTTACAAGCTCATTCCGATATTCGTCCTGATTCGACAGTGCAGTCTTGAGTGCAGCGCTTGTCTCGCCGACAGCATTCTCGAGCCCTGCACTTTGGGCTTTGCTGTCATCGAGATTCTTCTCTAAAGCAGCGATGCGCTCGGCTTTGATGTTCAACTCGTCATCCTTTTCTTGGCATGACTGACGCAATGCGTGAAGGTCATTGTCAGTGTCGTTCACCTGAGCCTTCAACTGCTGAATTTCCTCGCGTTCCGCCTTGATGGTCAGCTGTTGCTTTCGCACCTCTTCACGCTGTAGCTTCTCCAATTCATTGGCGTGCTCCAAATCGGAAATGATTGATTGAAGGCGTCCATCTTGTTCTTTGAGCTGTTCCTTTGTGGACGCAAGATCTGCCTTTGTGCCGTAATGTGCTTCCCTAGATTTCTCCAACGAGCGCTTGAGATCGCGAATGTTATCAGATGACTCCTGCTTCAAGTCTTCCAGCTCTTGCTGGATGTCGAAGTGCTTTCGCTGGGCATCCTTCAACTCTTGCTTGAGAGTACAAACGTCCTCCTTCAGCTGATGATAATTGCTGGTGCGGGAGGCTTTGCGATGGTTAACCCTCTCTCTCTTTCTCTTACGCTTCGCCTTTGGGGGCATGTTTTCATCCTTACACATCGGAGGCTCGCTGACCCTCTCCGTCTTGGGGCGCTTGCTCGGGCCTTCGACATGAGTATCTTGATCATTCCGATCGTGCTTGCGCGAGCTGTCGGTATCGCTCAGCCTGTCGCCCGTGAGGTCGATAAAATTTTCTCGGGGCATCATGCTGGTTGAAAGTGATCTTCGGTGTCTCTTGGAAGGACGGCACTGCTGGTCTGGCGGGTCCGGCGTCATCTTGAGTGTCAGTGATTGCTTTCAATCTCGTGGGGAAAGGCACAGCAGTTACGGATCCTCAAGTGTCGGCTTTGATGGGACAAGAAACGCAAGTCGAGGAAAGGAGATGGAGAGGAGACACAGCATGGGCCAAGCTGGTTTATGGGTGTAGGATGTAGGTCTTGTAGACAGCACATCAACTAAGAAGAGCGGACCCCAAACGGTTAACCACGGAAGGATCAGAGTTGTAAGGGTGAACTTTGTGCCAAGTTGGGAGGTGGGTATCGAGACTGTAATACCGGTAACTCAGGTACATTGAGGAAACTTTGGGCAACAATTTCTCACGCGCGGAACCTCGGCGGGAGAGCTTGATGGAAATATTTTGAGTGAAACTTTGGTCGAAGCAAAGCAGCGCAAGGCGCCAGACTAAAAGTAGCTACCTAGATACGAGGATCGTGTTGGAAATCTACGAAATAGCCCAGTCATAAAATGACCAAGGAGATGGCAAACCCATGTGCATGTATTTTGAATGGCTTGGTCTCAACGCTATGTACCAGACGGCAAGGTCACAATCCCAACGTTTGACTGTCTTGCCATGCACTTAGGTACCTACCTAGGTAGGTATGTGCAGCTAAGAAAGCAAGTGCGCCACCCGAGAAAACTGTCCGCCAGATTCAAAAAGCCCCCAAAGATGAAAACGCATGCTCCCTCCAAGTCAGGTATCTGCAGTCTCCAAAACCTCAACAGATACGTTCTTGCCAGCCTGTTTGTATCCACCATGGTAGATGTAGAAAGCCGTAGCTCCAGAACTGCACTTCATCTCGACTGTGTACTCAAGCTTCCTGTAGTTCTCGTCCTGTTCGAGAAGCTCTAAGGCATTCCAATCAATCTGAATGTCCCAAGTGAGTTTGAAAACCTCACCAACCGAGTTGTCCTTGCGTGTAGGAGGATTTTCTGCCAGAGACATGAAAATGCTGGTCTCGATCGTCTCTGGCGGCTGAGACAGGAGTTTCGTGAACAGGAATGAAGGATTCTTCTTTGAAAAGATGTCCTGGCCCTGTAGGTCGGGAGCCAGAATGTTAGAGAGTAAACAATCGATTAGAAATACTTTTGCATCTTACCTTGATAACATGCCACTTCATCACCCCGGGCACCACATGCTTCCGCAAGACAGGGTTGAACCGCTTGTGCTCTGGGTTGTGTTTACCCTCATCGTACAGCTCCTCACACTTCACCCCGTAACTGGCCCTCGCAATTCTTGATCCGACACTCACACTGAAGGGTGAGTCGATCTTCAAATTCGTGAGACCATGGATTACGGCGCCGCGCGAGATCGCCGACCAGCTTGACTGTGTTAGCACGAGTCCATTGCAAGGACAGCGAACAATGCTTACGGCGCGGAGCCTCTCCCTGGCAAAACTTCTACGTCTCGAAAGTGACGCCTGAGATGCTGACGAATATAATTGCAACTTCCGAAGCCTCCCACGAGCATCACGTACTTGAGAACATGGTCAATAAGGCGTTCAAAAATACGCATGAGGTTGTTCGAAAAGTCGCACTCACCTGGGGGGGACGGTCCGGGTGCTTTTTGATTGCAGCTTCAATCTGGCGGTGAACCAGGGACTGGATTTCCTCCACACTGGATTTGAAAACCTCTTCAATCTCTGCTGATGTGATTGTGAACTGGGGATAGCCACTGTTTGGGTCCGGCTGACCGTCAATGAGGCGGTACGGCTGGCGGATGGTCCAAGTCTTGGCTTGACCGTTGAATTGGCTGCGGATTTCACTCTCCCAATTGCGTTTCATGATCTCCTGGATCTCTGCCTCAGATACCAAGTCCGTAGCGTCTTCACGTATTGCTCGTAGCTTTCTGATCAGAAGCTCCTTGAATCGCTCGTCCACGAAGATGGCGCCACAAAGCCGACCTAATCATTGGTCAGGACTTTTCGCAAATGACCAGAGCTAAATGCTCCAAGGTCAAAGATGTCGTACAGGGAATAAACAGCCATAAAATCATCACTGACCTTGACCCTTAACGACCTCTGCAACATCCATAGGATCCATGCTCTTGATCCTGTAAGTTATGATGTCGACTGTGCCGCCTCCACAGTCAACGACAACAAAGACATCGCCCTCCTATGATTTGGTCAACGGAAAATTCCAATACTCAAGCCAATATACAGACCTTGATGGTGTGTCGCCCTCGCATGCCTGATAGCGTTGCAAGAGCAGCAGCCTCAGGCTCAAAGACAAGTTCATGTTTGGTTTGACCAGCTGGGCGCTTCTTGAGAATGCCTGCCAGCTTGACGGCCTTTTCCATTCGGTTGCGAGCATAGGTTGGCCAGATGGCTGGAACTGTGATGTAAACGTGGAAGCATGAGGTGTCAACAATCTCCTCTCCCTCTGCCTCTTTGAGCTTCTCATTGCAGCGGTCCCACACATGTTTCAGGTAAGCACCAATGGCCTCTTCAGGGGAGATCCCCAAGTCTGATAGCACTCGTCGTGCGTTCTGAATCTGGATGGAGTTGCGGACTCCGACATCTAGGTCGGACGGATTCACGAGGAGCAGCTTGAACCATCTCAATGCGTCCGGAAGATCCTTGGCTTCGATGCCCCAGATGTCCTTTGGTTTGCCTAACTTGATGACTGTGGGGATCTTCACATGGTCGTCGTTAGAGTCATCCCAGCTCATAACAATTTCAATTCTGTTCGCATCTCCCGAGTAGGCGTAACTGACGCCCGTAAACCTGCTGACCGTGAGCATCCACCATGTGGCCTGTAAGTTGATTCGACTTACGTAGTTCCGAGGTCGATGCCGAAAACGAGTTTGCCTTTGACTCTCGGCTTTGTTGGAGGCTTCGCTGGGGCTGCCGTCTTCTTCTTGGAGGCGGTCGAGGCCCTGGAGGCAGCAGAGGCCCTGGCGGACGCGGAGGCCCTGGCGGAGGCCGCAGTGTTCGCTCGCTTAGTTGACGGACTTGCGCCGGAGGAAGTGCCTGATCGCTTGCGACCCCTCGTGGGTGTTCCGTTTGACCCGACCGTTCCAATGGTACCTGGAGTGTACAGGTCATCACGCTCAAACTCTTCCTCTCCTCCTCCACCTGGAGGTGACGGCGATGGCGTCTTCACGCGCGTCATTCTGGAGATACCTTCTCAAACTCAGTCTGTGGTCAAATGGTGTAAGGATGAATAAAGTGCGTGTTTGTGTGTTGAACAAAACGAACCTTTCAGAATTGACGAAGTGCAAGCAGCTTTCTTGAGGTGTTGAGTAACGTGGCCGAGCTGCTTCTTGTAATTGATCGATGGGAAAGTCGAAAGGAGGTAGTCTCAAGTGGGACTGCTGACTTTTCCAATTAGATGAGAAGGGATGAAAGTCGGACGACGACGAAAGCACTCAAGTGCTCATAAGCCAAATGCGTGTGACCAGCCTCTCCTACCTAGGTAGGCCCCTAGAGAAAGTCTAAGCTCCTCAGGAAGCGATCAATGTAGAAAAGCAAGAGCGGTTTGGTGTGAAGTAGGCTGTAAATGCGAGTAGTAGGAGATTTGGTAAATTTGGATGGGCTTTAGATAGGAGCGGACAGGGATACAGTGCTTGACCAGCAGACGGGCATTGGCTTCAAGGTGGTAGAGAAGCTGCCAATATTTGAAGCCTCTAGCTGCGGGGTTGGGAAGTTGCGATGAGAAGGAAGGTTTCTTGCAAGTCAGCAGTTGGTGTCAGCGTTATGGACGATCATCTGAGTACTTTAAGTTGTTCTATGCATAGCTCATTTATAGACTCATGTCAAATGTCTCATTGATTTCTTGTATGATCCAGTAGTCTCTGTTGCGTTCAGTAGCATCACCATAATTGACTCAGTCAACGCGTTGCGTTTCTACTAGCTACGTAGGCAGCTCTGCCACATCAAGTGAATAAATTTCTGCACTATGACACCTTGACTGTAATATGCCACTGGTGAGAGACACGGAAGGACCTAGGCCCGCATAATTAGATGCAATAGTCTAGAATTTGCGGCTCCAAATCAGGTTCCCAATTAGAGGTAGACTCAACTGTGCCCAAAGAAGCTTGTATTGAACGTGCTGAAAACCCACCTGGGCAGTAAGGCTTCGTAAAATGAAACCTTAGCGCCTTGGATCACCATGGCTAGAGTCGTTTAGAAACAAAGCTTAAGCATACACTGCTGAATGAGCCATTGATTGAAGGACCAAAACTGAATTTGAGACCATCATTTGGTCCTACACTCTTTCTTTTATATTTCTGGCCTGTTTTCAAGAGCAGGCCGGATGCGGTCAGGTTTGGGGGACTTCTTTGAACCACGAGGTCCATCATTCGCATAAAGACGGATTGCTCTGCACGTAATTGAATTTACGACCAATGGAATTTTGATACTGTTTTCGAATGATCCACTCGCAACCTCAACAATTGGCCCAGGATCACCCCCCACGGATGCCCGGCGAGGGGACCGAACAGCTCATCATGCCGGACCAATGGTCCCCGGTCGACCGCTGTTGCGCCAAGCGCAGCAATGACGAATGCGCAGGAATGTTCGCAAAGAAACAGAGGACATCCACAAGTCTTTGCGAAGAACAGACTGAATGGGAAGATGTCTTAATAAAAAGCCGCGAAGGGTCTCGTCCAAGACCACCGCCACTCGACCCCCCAGACCGGGCTACCAACTCCGGCTCGCAAGGAAATACGGCAAATCCTCCAGGCATTATGATATTTGATGATGATGAGGATGACGACGAAGTAACCTGGCGCGCCGAGTGGGCCCAGCGAAATACAACCACACCTGTGCCACCCGCCGAGACGAACAAAACCGGAGTTCAAGGGCAGCATGATCATCCTCAGCAATCAGCACAGGTTGATAATACAAATGCACCAATAAAACTCCCTAGGCAAGGGACACAACACATACCCGCCCCGCCGCAAAGTAGCCCATCTGCTACAAAGCAGGGCGGTGCGACAACGGCAGAAGCACTGCAAAATTTCTCAACGGAAAATGAGATTCTGGACCTGTTTGCCATCCTTGAACAGATGGTCGTCCTCTGGGTTGGGGAATGTCTGCCGGATGTATTGCCACCCGATTTCATAACGACCAAACCTGAAATATACTGGGAGCTCTGTGGCTGGACCAAGCCTATGTCGGCGCTTGGGCGGAATTTGCTCCAAAACCGATCATGGGCCAAGCATGTATACGAATCATGGGTCTGGCGGTTTTTTTATCAAGAGATCTTCCACATCGATTCGCTTGTTTGGGCGGGCTTTGACGTCCCCATCACTGTGGGGGGACTCGGCGGAGTCGGAAGGGCGACCAACAGGCAGTTCGGTAAGCCAACACACGCCACCTGGCGCGCCGCTCATAACACATGATATATAGAACGAGCTGACTCTGATTTACTACAGAGTTCCTGAAAGAAGGAGAACAGAAGATCACTCGTGATGAGTATCAAAAACGCATACGGTCAAGAGCGGCTACGATGAGACGAGTACAGGAAGAAGGTGCGGTCACCGATTCCGTACAACGCGCAGTATCAGGATGGCTCGTCGAAGAGATGCTTGCCGCCTTCTACCCATACTTCGCAGATGAGTACCATCCTGTCGATCACCCTCAAAACGCCGAGGTGCTCATTAGGGACACGTTGTTATTGGTCTTGAAGGCTCAAGAACTCGACGAGAAATTGAGGAGCGCCAGACATGTGTACGAAATTGTTGGTGGCAAAGAGCACTACCCGGTCCAAATCAGCGGGGTTCCCTCGCCGACAATGCAGAGCTATCCTGTTAGTCGGAGTGTCGCCCGTGTCCTGGGCGATGACGACGACATCGCGCTGATAGTTGTGCCGGGTCTAGTCAAGAATATTGTCCTGCAGTCCGCGGGCGCGAGCCCTCAGTTGAGCAAAGTTGTGCGTCGGTATGCCAAAGCCTTTACGCAGATGGACTTGTTCGACGCAATTGGAAGAGCCTCTTGATACAGAGACCCATGTTTCGAGCTCCGAGAGGACAGATTACTGCCTTGTAAACTTTAGCTGTACAACCTAGCCTATTTATCTGCAGTACAAGATCCAATTGCGAGCAGTTTCTGTGTGCAAAGTTTGACTTGTCCCTTTCACCTGACACTGGTCTGGTCAAGTTAGGTATCCTACCATGCAAGCAACCCTGGGGCACACAAACAGGATCATCCCATCGCATAACACCATGGCCATTGGGCTGGGGCGGATGGTAGCTTGGTCGTCTCAATCAGCCATGCGGCAGCACTTGGGCTTTGGTGTCGAAGACGGTGCCATGCGCTGTTGGCCTCATGTACGAAGTCAGTAGCCCGCCAAGCCAGGCCAACAGACTCGGCTTTGTATACGTCCTCCGCAGCACCAGCGACGCAAGGAACCAGCCGCCTTCTTTCTTCCTCCATGTCTCGTAGTAGTAGCCTCCACCACGGACCTCGATGGGCAGCAAGCCCTGGCGCAAGATGATGTGATCCTCCATCGGCCAGATGGCTCTGACTTCGTCCGACTGGATATGCTCCAGCTCTCCTCTTCCGAACATGTGAATTGTCTGGGCATTGCCCAAAAGCTTGTGGAAAAAGGATACGCATTCTTCCGACGACGTAAAGGCAAGAGGCGTGCTGCCAAAATGGCTGAGGGAGCCGTCGGGGTCGAAGAAGCGCAGCTCCGCGTCGGGAAGGGCGATCGACCTCAGCTTGTCCCACTGTTTCGTATCGATGTATCGGCCGTAGAGAGCCTTGCGGCGTGAGATTGCTTCAGTTGCTTCCCACGAGACGGGCATGGTGGTCGTCAAGGTCGAGGCACTTGTTGTCTACTCAAATGGTTGCCGTAAGAGATCCAAAAGAGGAAAATGATGAAAGGTTGAAGGACGGTGCCATAGAAGGGAAAAAAAAAACATTTTTAGTACTTATAATATTTGATATGTATTGGTCTGTGAAGTCAGCCACATCCTGAGCATGACCAAATGCTGACGGCGCTTCGCAAACGACGGGGCTACCCCCGGGTAGGTCTTTGGTCAGCCCCTTTGAGCCCATCATGGCGGCTGGACGTAATCAAATGCGGCCATATTGGCTGGGACAGATGTAAAGAGAATTTCATTCAATTGTGTAAAGAGTCCCGATAAAGTGATGAGATGCCGGAGTATTCCCCGGAATTGGAGCTCTCTCTGAGCACTCGCCTTGTATCCGTCTGTGATGGGCCACTGCTGGCGTCTGGCGGGCATAAAATCCAGATGTGAGGCAAAAACCTCGAGTGTAAGTGTGCTGCGCTCATTACATTTTGCTAGACTGTGTCGCCTGTAGCTCGATCACTTGCTGATCGCGAATGTGTGCGGGGGTACCTAGGTAGACACGTACTTTTCCTAGCCAACGAGGTTGAGAAACTGTCGAAGAAAACGCAGTGCGATACATATAACTATTGTTATCGGCATCGTGTTCTTTCCAAGCGCTGGGTCTTGAGTGCTTACCACCGTATGAAGGCGCCATGTATGTCCTCGGACGTATACGGAATAGAAGCGAAACCACACATAGGACCCCTATACTTAGATTTTGTAGACGAGCTGTGGCCTAGCAGACGACGCAAATAAAGAAACGTCTCATGAACTCCTCACAGCCACCTCGCGATCGTATCTCAAAACGCTCTGACACAAAACCTCTGCGCCCAAGGCACAGTCCTCGGCACTCGTCCACTCCTCGGGGTGGTGAGAAATGCCATTCCTGCTCGGCACGAAGATCATAGAAGTCGGACACCTCTGACTTGTGTAGACACTGTCGTGCCCGGCCCCGCTCGTCATGTCCCGGAAGAGGCCATCGTCGCGCAGGACCGACTTCGCAGCCGCCCTCACCGCAGCTATGCAGTCCTGGTGGAACAGCACAGCGGGGCTGTTGAAGTCTGTCCTCCAGGTGACGGAGAGCGGCAGCCCTTCCTCCCTGCCCTGCGCGGGGTCCCCGCCTTCGCCGTCGACAGCACCCCGCTGGGCGAGGGTCGCGAAGTCGCGCTTCAGCTCCGACTCGACGGCCTCGACGGCTGCGTCGGCGGCGGCTCGTATGTCGAGACTAAAGCGGACGTTGCCCGGGACCGTGTTGACGCTGCCGGGGGACAGGGTCAGGATGCCCGTCGAGGCGAGCGCCGAGTGTTTTGCCGCGATGCGGTTGGAGTGGGTTATCAGCCTCGACGCGAGGAGCAGGGCGTCGGCGCGGGCGGAGAAGGGAGTAGTGCCTGTGTGGGATGCTTTGGTGGTGGGTGAGCCGTCATGGTCCACTTGAGTAGAATCGGGGCAATCAGCCCTGGAGCTCACCTCGTCCCTCGACGTCGATGGTGAACCATTTGTACGCCTGCACCCCTTGCACCACCCCAATCTTTTGTTTCTGGGCTTCCAAGATCGGGCCCTGCTCGATATGGAGCTCAAAATGGGCGGTCATTGGTGTTGAGCGGTAGCTCGCAGGCATGTCGCCCAGATACCCAATCCGCTCCAGTTCCGACCGCATCGTCGCGGTGCCGCCGCCGACCTCCTGGAGGTTGTGTGCCCGCTCAAGGGGGATCTCTTCGGCCCACACGCCCGAGGAGCTCATCGACATGGGGAACCTCGCTCCCTCCTCGCTGCAATGGTGTCAGCGATTTGAAGCCGGGAGACCTCGAGCCACGTTTGAGCATGCCCAGGTGGCTTACTTGGTCCAGTTGACTACACCAATCGGATACTCTGTCTCGACGTCGTGATCACGGAGCAAGTTCAGCATCTGCAGAGAGCACACTCAGCTTCGAATGTTCCACCCAGTCATACGGAAACGTACTTCAATGCCTGCATGGATGCCCAAGATTCCATCATACCGGCCAGCAGCAGGTTGGGTGTCGAGATGCGAGCCCGCAAATATGGGCGCAACGTCCTTCCTCCGCCCCGGCCTGACGGCAAAGATGTTCCCCATTGCATCAACAGTGACGGAACAACCGAGGGACGCCGCTGTTTCCACAAACCAGTCGCGAGCTAGTTTGTCCGCGTCTGACAGCGCAAGACGCGCCATGCCCGTCTCAGTCGGCTCACTGGGTGTGGATAGGAACATGTCAGCCTTGAGTCTCTTTCGATGCATGTGGGCAGCCACCAATGTCATGAGAGCTCGACCCGTCCTTCCAGCTTGATCTAAACAGGTCTGCAACAGGTGGAAATTCTTGCCTTCCCCATCTGAGGCCGGTGCCAAACTTGCAGGTGTGGTGAAGGGTGTCCATCAACCTCCGCCCATCGACCTTGACAGCAGCCAGGTCAGATTCTTTCATGTCGGCCGTCCTGATCCAACTCGGCTTTGAAACGCTGAAGGTCCTCTTCGACAGAACGTAACATGTCGTCGCCGGTGCTGCCCTGAAGATGGGTCGACCATGCATACTGCGCCAACACACGCCCCTGATTCCTGCCGCAGGATGTCGACCGAGCATGGTGTTATGACTTGGACCTGAACAAGGCCACTTCAGCTTCCGGCGATGACGGCCAAAAGGACGAGTCTTCCTTTGGGTTCACTGCTGATTGCAGAAGTTACTTAGACAGCCCGTCGTCGCTCGGAAGCGGGGTTGTCGCCCAGGTGCCGCCCCTGACGGCGCTCGGCGCTCGCAGCGGCACACTGCCGAGATAAGGACCGGACATTGGGAGCACTCTTGTTTGCCGGGCCGTGCTGTCTCTCGTCTTCCAACGTTCCGGTTCATCACTTCGAGCCCTCATCACAGATGACTACGGTTGCCTAAGGATATCGACAGGATGCAGGGAAACCCTTCCCTTGCAGATCGTATCGAAAACTCCCAGCATATTATCTAGGTACAGCATCGCCGGCCCCTGTCGGTTGACTTTGTAGATGATTAACTGCGTCTTCACTGAGCTCATGCCATGTGCCTACATATGTGTGGTCTTGAAGCTGCATTACAAATCCTTGACTGGCGCGTCACCCTTCTTTTTGCCTGTTCCATTAGTGCGCCCCTTCTCCCTGCCTGCTTCGAACTATGGTACTTCGGGGCTATCCATGATCTTGGCGGCTTTGTCTGCCTGGAGCTTCTTGATGGCCACACCGATTCCCTCGTTCGAGTGGTCCTTCTCATCTGCCTGGTGTCTATCGTGCTTGACCTGTATGAAGTCATCTACGTGCAGGCGTGGCTGCACCCTATCGTGCCTGCCACAGGTTGCCTAAGTAAAAAGAGAAGAAAGGAAGGTTGCCCCTCAGGCCTCAGGGCAAGAGGTAATGGTGTAGCAGTCTTGTCTTACCGATGAGGGCACCTGCAGGGACTCCTGCGGGTCCCACCTGCCACCCTTGGCTCTACTGTAAGCTGATGGGTAGTCGGAAATTCGAGCTGACAGCAGGCAGGAAAACAATTCCTTCGAACAAGCACACGCCGAAGCCCATCATCCTGAGTCGATTCCAAAAGGCCGCATTTGACACTCAACATCTGTACCAAACACTTATTACAGCAAGTCCTTTTCAAAACCTCAAAATGTATCTCATCAGTCTCGCTGCTCTCGTGCTGCTGATGTTGGCCTCCATTGCTCACGAGCTGGCCCCCTACCAATGGAGGCACCAATGCCCACAGCTCGGTCCTCTTTTCCCTGGTCCTCGTAACCTCAACGAGAACAACAAAGTTTCCGGGCTCGATGAATACCTCAAATCAAAGGAATTCTTCAACACCTCCGTGGCTCGCTTATCTGGAGCGGTAAAAATTGACACTGTCAGTCAGGACTAGTGGTCTGAGTTGCCTGGCAATGATCCTGTCTGGACGCAAATGGGGAAGTTTCGCGACTACCTAAGGGAAACTTTTCCATCAACCCATCGTTACCTGGATCTTGAGAATATCAACGAGCATGGTCTTTTATACACATGGAAGGGAAACAATCCATCGCTCAAGCCAACTCTGCTCCTGGCTCACCAGGACGTTGTACCGGTGCCTGACGACACGATCCTCGAATGGACGCATCACCCTTTCAGCGGCGATTTCGACGAAACGTACGTCTGGGGTAGAGGTGCGTTCGACTGCAAGACCACACTCATCGCGATCATGTCAACTGTTGAGGAATTGCTCAAGGTTGGCTGGAAGCCCCAAAGAACACTGATACTCGCGTTTGGCTTCGATGAGGAGATATCCGGATTCCAAGGAGCCATGAAAATAGCTCAACGTCTCGAGGAGCAATATGGGAGGGACGGGATAGCCTTGCTCATCGATGAAGGCCCTGGTATACAGCATCACGTGGGAACTGGCACAACCTGTGCCACTCCGGCGTTATCCGAGAAAGGCAGCTTCAACGCCAACATTTCTGTTCACATGACTTCCGGTCACAGCTCATCCTCAGATGGTCACAATTCCATCACCGTGATGTCTGCTCTGATCGGCAAAATCCATGCTACTCAATTGCCTGCCGAACTTCAAACGGATGATATTTTCCTGCAATCTGTTTTCTGCGCAGGGCAGCACGTTCCTAGTTTGCCACCGTCTGTTATCGGCCACATCCAACGAATCGACCAGAATGAGTCAGTCATAAACGACATTCTCCAGAATAAGTCAGCCATGAAAGAAATTCCCCAGAACATCAGGATTCTGCAGCCATTTTTGAAACCACTTGTTGGAAACAAACGGACTGTGGCAAAAGTCGAAGGTGGGGTCAAAGTGAACATGGTTCCAGAACGGACGACATTGTCAATCAATCATCGCCTGCTACTAGGGACCTCTGTTAAGGAAGCCAAGAGTGCTCTCGAGAAGATCGTCAAGAAACACATTGAAAATATCAATGAAGTCGAGGGAGGAACCAATCTCACCTTTCGCGGCTGGTCTGAGGAAGAGACTGTGAATTCGATCAAGTTGACTGCGTTTCCTGGAGAACTAGAGGCCTCGCCAACCACGCCTTTCGCCGTTGATGGCCAGACTCCATACGGTGTCCTCCAGGCAACAATCCGAAGTTTGTACGATGACCAGAACTTGACATTTGTGGCTCCAATACCACTGCCCGCAAACACCGACTCTCGCCACTACTGGAACCTCACGCAACACATCTTTCGTTTCAGCCCAGGGCATGACATGACGGATCCAACAGATAACTACATTGGAAGCGGAATACACAACACCAACGAGCGTGTCAATGTTCTCGGACATGTCAACGGCGTGAGATGGTTCTCATTGTTCATACAGAACATGGACAACGCAGACTTGATATAAAATCATTACTCGCACAGACGACTTCCACAAGTTGGTTGGGTCAGAAAGACGATCAAACCTGAAATTCCACGACTGATAATTAGCCGGTAGAAAGTTTGAATTGAATTCCTGGTATTACTTCCAAGGTTGTGATGATATGTGATTGTTTGTAGACTTCCTCGCCAGTTTTACTGTGTTGCAATTGGACCTCGAGGCATCACAAGCTCCGAGAATATGCGAACAGACACAGAAATCTGCTAGAGACCGTGAATTAGTGATGAAGGAAATTCGGGGACCAGTACGCGACAAAATCTGTAGTGACTCTTAAGTAGTGATAGATTGTCCTCGATGAGACCTAACGAGAATGCCGACATGCAAGCAAGACAGCACAGACCAGGTATCTTCACTGCTCTTACAATTCTCCATGCCTCAAGCCGGAACCCCCATATCTTGTGCTTTCGCTTCGACCAATCTCTTGTGGCTTTCTGAACTACCATTATATGCTTCGGCAAGGTACAATGGTTCCTGCGCATGGCCTTCAGCAGTGTATTCGCTGTGGACGGAGACTTCATTTCGCACACCAATAGTGCCCAGCTCGTTTGACTCTGTCGGTGCCGACCAGTTCGTCCTTTTCGAGACTCGACTCGAGGTACCGGTACCCTGGCCGGAGGACTTGGCGCCCTTGCTGCCGCCGCCGTAGAAGCTGCTCGAGATTGATTGCCATCCTCTTGACACCATCCTTGCAAGAGGTCTCAGTGCAAGCACGGAGCTAGCAAATATCGATAGCCCGTGCTCTGTAAAGGCCCATAACATGGTCAAATACCATATGGTGAGGTCGTCGTTGCTTCGTGGGTGGAATGTTTCGTAATGAATCTGAAGCTTCATGATCGCCGCCACGGCAGCACTGGTGATGTAGCTTGCATTAGTGATTGATCCCAATTGGGAGTGAATTTTTGGCAGCAGGTTTGGCAATTTGATATGGAATGGACAGAGGAAGGAACTTTAGCAGTTAGACAAATATCCAACCAGACTTACAGGAGTCCGACACTGAACAGTCCGACCACGCTCACTTTGAGAGCCTTTGATATTTGCACATTCCATAGAATGTAAATAGGCAATAGAACATGGAAGACGTCGTAAATGACATAGGACGAATCCTGTGCGTAGAAGGTATTTGCGCACACTGTCATGCTGATTGCATATGGGCTGAGCCTCATACAGCCGAGCGAGATCACCAAAGTTGTGGCCAGATTCCATAGAACGCATGTGACAATGTCTATGATGATGATTGTTCGAACCGCCGGACGGCTGTCCAGACGAAATAGTACCAATGCGACGCTTATCTTGACCACTCCGGATATCACGAAGCAGACGACGTTTTTCACAAAGTCGTACTAGAATAGAAGTCGGCTTAGGAACCATTCATTTGGGGCAAAATTCCAGGACGAACTACTCACCCTCGTAGTTGCAGGATCATTGAGCCACGGCTTATCCTCGGATGAGTCCACCTGACTTTCCATAGATAGTATGCAGAGGGCCGCAAGTACTATCATCAGTACCTAGAAAACGTCGTGCTTCATTAGCTGTGTCCATCATAGGAAAATACCCCAAGGTGGCAAGGAGGCCGGGCGTTGCTGCCTACGCCAGGAAATTAAGAAACTCACGTATGAAATGACGAGGGAAACATCATCCCACCCGAACGCTCCTTTTGTGAGCCTGGTTCTAACAAACACACGGAGTCCGACGGTGGTTGTGCAAAGTGCACTAAAGAATATCAAAACGCCGAGGAACTGGTCGTGCAAGTAGAAGCCCATGCTGAGTTTGATGCGCGCCTGATAGCGCCGGGCTCTGAGGGTGGGGAGTAAACGATGCTACACAAGAATCGCCGTTGGCTCTCGGGTGCACACCTGGGCAAATTGGATACATACAAGGGCTGACAAGACCATGGGGAAGCAGAGTTCGAAAGCGATCGGGAAACTCAGTCATCAGAGCCCCGGCAGGGCCATTTGCTATATATCAGCCGGCGATCCAATTATGACTGCACTTACATCACTTTCCTCACACCCTCAGCGCCGCCTTTGTCAGGGCCAAGGGCTGGAGCTAGAGCCTTTCCTCAGGAGAAGAGAGGACTTTTTGGACGGAACGGCGCGGACCACGGTTAAGGGAGGACAACAGTAGTCGACACTCACCTCGGACTCTGGTCGTTACAGTGGTTTCCATTAATACTAGAGTGGAGCACTGAACATTGAGAATGCGTCTCAGTGGTTTATTTTGGTTGCGGGATGGTGTGGTCGTGTCAGCTTACTGCGTCTTGATCGGTTGTTCTAATTGCCCATCAGGGGGAAACTCCGGCCGCTTGGTATGTCACAGCATGCAAGCGTTGTTTGGCAGTCGTACGCCAACCCTTCTGGGCAAATCACATCCACACGATCCCAAGGTGTGTGCAAGCTGTGCGGAGAAAAGGAACGTGGGCCTGCTGGGAAGCTTACACCGACCCACAATTGGATGGAATACTCTAGTCTGGTCTCATCTACCGGTTATGTCCAGTGACCTAGCGGATCTGCTGGAGCATGTGTATTTGGACGTATGCAGGTTTGAGGGGAACTGATTTAGCAGGTTCGAGTTCTCGATTTGACGGAAATGTCCGGTAAAAGTCGCATGGCTGATTTGCTAGATGTTGAGATATCGGTCATTTTTCTGTAGAGACAAGTGACAAGGAACAGGTCTCATATGACGGGGGATATGCGACAGATATCTCGCCACGAAATTACATGGGTGGTCTTCTGGACATCCACCGAATGCTCCAGTGTGGCCGGATCAATCAAACCGGACCTCAGGAGTAAAGACGGTGTGAAGTGGCGGGAGCGTGACACGAAGCCCAGAGGAAAATGGATGCACACACAACCTCTGGCTGTGAGTTTGACAATACACTTAGGTATACGGACCTAGCCAAAGTTTTCAACTGTTTCAAAAAAAAAATCCAGAGCTTCTTTCTCGAATGCAGTCCCACCGGCTACTTCAGCAAATGTAATCTTCAAGTTCTACACAAGCGTTGAAAGCGCAATGCGCAGGCTCATTGTAAGCGAGATTCCTGCCCGAGCATGAACACTTAGGTACCTAGGTATGCACATCAGAACCAACTTAGCCACTTATGATGGGCTTCTAGTCACTCATCGGACTTCTCATACCAGCCAGGAAGGGGAGATACGACGCCTTGTCGGTCCCCTTGGGCGCCCACCGCTCAGGTATAAACTAATGTGCCCCCAGCCAATCGCAGGTCTCTTTGAATGTTGTGTACAAGCACTAGGAAGTTTGTATTCCCTGAGATGTGGACTTGCTTGATCAGCAGACCTGCCGCTAGGTCCTCACGGGACCCGGCAACAAGAACTGTTGGCTTCAGCTGAAGTGTCTCGGCGACGATGATCCAAAAATGTGACGATTTACTTTTTCTCGTACCCCTACTGCCGTGCCGGCCCCGGTCATTCATAGCTTGTGGAGCTGCTTACGCAGCTTTGTCTGTACTCCCACACTTTTGCAGAGACAGAGAACGGAGCATTTGGCAACGTGCTCGATGTTGTATCACCATGCAAGGGCTCGAGTTAGCAGGACATCTTCCAACTTTGCCACTGGTTTATGGAACGGTCCACCAATCTGTCAGCCAGTAGAAACAGTCTGAAGTCATTCTGAAGGGCTTCAGGGGTTGGGGCTGCAGAGAGGTCCTTGTCATGTACCGCCTTGACCAACCAGGATACGATGTCGCTCGGAAAATTCTCATTGTTCCACGACCTTTGATGGCCCGCAGATCAGTAATAGTCCAGAACACCAATGTGACGTTGGTCCACGCAGGAGATGGTTACATTCTGTTTAGCACGGATCTCGCCCGCGTGAAAGGCCGAAAATTCAAAGTAGATGTGTGGAATTGGAAGGCAGGTGAGAATGTTCATCAACCATGGTACAGGCCCAAGACCCCCAAGGCCTTGATATGCTTATGAATTGGCATGATGGCTGGATGCTCGCTACCAGTCAATCACGAGATTACCTACCTAGGTAGGTACCAAAATCCCCAAATTCACCGATGAAGCCGAAACTGTAGAACATGGCCCACTTCGTGATGATGATAGATCACCTGCTGCATTATTGCATTCGTCCCCCCAGGATATCCGCCTTGGCTTTGACACATTCTAATTGACATTTGAACTCGCAAGGACTGCATATCGTTAGCCAATAATGGTACGTCCTGCTTTCAATGCCACATCATTTTGATAGCAAAACCTCGGTCCCAGGCTCTTCGTCGACTTTGGTGTCGTGTCAAATTGCGCACATTGTCTAGTGAAAACTCCACCTGCATCATCTTCTCGCTGGGCATGCCAGATTCACTTCAGTCGTAGTGTTCCGGGACCCTATATCTCAGTGACAGCCGAAGCACGAAAGATAACTAGCGATTTCACGCGGCCCTGTAATCGGTCATCTTACGTCACACTGCACCCCATAAGTGTCCTGTAGCTGAAACTTTGCACCATGCTTCGACTGCATCTTTTGAATCGGCTGCTCGTGAGTTTGTGTGCCTACCTAGGTATCGGTACCGGACGTCTTCTGAATCTGTGGAACAGTGACCTGTAAACGCCGGTGCTAATAAAATAACTCGGGTTGAAAACCTACCTGGATGAAGGTCGACTTCACAATTCCTTGTCTTCAAACCCCGAGAACACTATCGCCACTGATAGAGACATTATCGGCAAAAATTCCAGGTAATAAAAAATAGACCTTTCGAGTTTGAAAGTCTGAATAGAGACGTGTAGCAAGACTCTGAGTAATGCCGCTCCAATGAGGGCATACCGAATTGGCAGTAGCCACGTCGTGGAGTAAGCTTTGTTCCATATTTCAAAAGCGGTCCATTATAATGATCCGAGTGATTCACGTCAGTACTGACTACTCCGCTCTGATGGAACAGCATCAAGCTAAGGAAGATAGAACAGAGCCGACGGTCAAAGAAGTCGCGTGTCAATCGTTTTATGCAGTCAGATCGTTACACCTCTTGATGCGGTGGAGTCATGGACTCGCAAAAATTGACAAAATGACAGCTCCGATTTGCATAAGCCGTACTTCAACATGAAGAGTAGCTATTCAGAGCCCTTGGGGTGGACAATTACGTGAAAGATTCGTAGCATCAGAGAGCAAACCCTTCTTGAAAAGGGCGTCCTACGTGCCAGGACCACGGTCGAGGTTGGACTCCGGTATTCGCTTTGTGTGACGGTACGGGCTTATTTACCGCTGGATTTCTAAGATGGGGGACTTGGAAATAGGGTCTTTTGGCCGAGCGGTCTGTTACGCAGCAGTCAATGGGTAAAGCCGTCTCACTCTGGGCTTTGGGCTCATCTTCAATTTATGGTAGAAACGACTTGGACAGGAGCAGTGATTTTCATTCGTTCAGCCATGATATACAAACAAGTTTACCTTTAAAACACACTCTCCTCTCGTCAATATTCTTCCGCAGGAAGGCTGTAGAATTCTATTAGGTCTCAACTCGGTATTATTGCTACCCTCTAGGCGGTATAGCGTCAAACACTTTAGCTTAATGTTAGTAGTACTGGGGCTATAACAATGTTCCCTGTGAGTATATCCTGTGTTATAATCGTTGCTATTCCGTTCAATTTTGACTTCTATGACCAGCCGTGGACACTTGTTTACAAGCCTATCTTATGCGTATGGTGCCACAGCCGAAGATCTAGCATCATGCCGTGTGCAGATGTTTGCATGGCCAGATCTGGTATGTTCTGCCTACTTTGGAACAATCTTTAACGGCAGTTAACCAATCATTCAGGGTAACTTGAAATGGTTGGACGGTCATTCATCCAGTCACAAAGCTACAAAATGATGTTGTGTGTTCCTGGGAATATGCAGGTCTTGTTACTGTAACACAAACCTGGAAAGACTTTTGATGCTATTGGGTTGGAAAGGACAGTTAGTCTGTCCAAAAATTTCATGAGAAAGGACCGGGTGGATGCTTGCTTATCCATGGTGTTTGCGCTTGCAGCGTTGCCCTCCCGTCCAAACCGTTTTAATGAGCTGCCTGGCACGTTCAACAGGTTGAGTTGGAATCCCTAGCTCGGTCTGTCATATACCAAGAATCCATGCCTTGAGGTGTGGATGCATCCATTTTCCTCTTGGCTCACTGTTTGATACCTCCGTGAAACCATCTGCCCCAATCGGAACATATGGTATCCTCCTTATCAGAGAATGTGTACACATGAGATAAATGGGAACCCGCATGATGAAAGATTGCTGTGAAAACGATCTGAGACAATGTTTCATGATTTCTTTGACGAGGAAACGCATTGTGACGTACATTGAGAATTCTGTTTGCTGTATGTAAGTCGTCTTCACCCGACCTTCAGATAATTTTTACATGGTGGGAAATTACACTAGCCTCCGAACAAGGAGAAAACCGGTCCATAACTCCATCAAAGCTACCATAATTCTTCGAGAACTCTCCCCTGCCAAGGGATTCTCTCAGCACCTTAACTCTGCGAAGCATTTATCAAATCGTGATTCAGGGACACCGCACCGAATCCAATTGCCGAACAGTGTTGCAAAGATGTCAGCAAGCGAGGACAAACCGGTGATAGTCGGCATATATGGTGTTTCCGGATGCGGGAAAACAACACTTGTTGAACGTCTGAAGACGACTCTCGGCGAGAAAGACTTTTCGTTCTTCGATGGCTCTCAAATTCTCAGCTCCCTGGTACGCGGAGGGCTAGCCGCCTTCAAGCAGAAGCTTGACTCCGAAAAGGCTGTCTACCGTGAAATTGCCATTCAACACATCGCAGCAAAATGCCAGTCAGACCAGACAGTGGGTATTGTCGCTGGACACCTCACTCTCTGGACCGGAAATGGCGCCCTGGCGATACACACGCAGGCCGATCTCGACACATACACTCACATTTTGTACCTTGACACACCCCCTGAAACCATTTTCGAGTATCGCCTGAATGACAACAAGCGGGACCGCCCGGACATGAGTGTGGAAGACTTGCGCCGGTGGCAGTGGAACGAGAAGTCGAGAGCAAAGACTTTGTGTCGCCAGCATGGCATCATGTTTATCAACCTGCGGCTTCCTTTGGAGCCTGGTATGTCCCGTGCCTTAAATCTGATGCGAGACATTCGAGATCACTCTGAGCAGGAAAACCTGCGACGAGCACTCGCCAGGCTCGACGATATCGTGGCCCCTTTGTCGAACAAGATCGAGACTATCCTAGTCTTGGACGCAGACAGGACTTTAGCGCCCCTGGATACTGGAGCAAGGTTCTGGGGCGAGCATCTGAAGATGGGCGAAGATGGAAGCAACAGACTGAAGCAGTTTTTTGGCCATTCAGTTTGGGGCTATTCGTACAAGGCTTTCCGGCAAGCTGCATGGCTTTATGAAGAAATCCCGGAACCTGAATTTGAGCGACTTTGCCAAGTCATTGCTGAGGAAGTCAACTTGCACCCTGAACTAGCAGATCTTCTTCACTCTGGGGGGAAATTGAGGCATATCAGAGCCGTGGTCGTGACTTGTGGGATCAAGCGCATCTGGGAAGTGGTTTTGCAACGTGTACAGTCTTCGGCCCACGTCGACATCATCGGGGGTGGGCGGATTTCAGACAGCTTCGTTGTCACACCAGAGGTCAAGGCAGCAGTTGTCGAGCGCCTCCGCAAGCACTATGGAGTGCAAGTCTATGCCTTTGGCGACAGCGAGGTGGACATACCGATGTTGAGGGCAGCCGATCGCGCTTACGTTGTGACAGGAGACGTCGAGACCAGGAGCAAGAGCATGGATCAAGCCTTGCTGAATGCTATCAGCAGTGGTCTCTGCCCGAGACAGATACTCTTGCCCCCCGGCTCACGCCCCAGACTGGCCGAAGGCGTGGTTCCGATTGTCGAAATGAACGCCGCCTTCTTCCACGACATACTTGCCCGACGATCGAATGATCCACAGCTCGGCCGCGTCCACGCAACTGGCTCAGCGGCAGCGAAAATTCTCATGACGCCAATGAGAGACGCGGGCGTCGCTGGCCCAGGCTTGCGAGAGGCACATCGAAATGCAGGTTGGTGGATCGCAACACAACATGTATCAGAGATGATCGGATGCGAGGAGATCAAGATTCCTCACGTACAGAATCACCAGACTGAGGGGTACCGACTCCGCGGTGAAGACAAGACGACCATTGTTGCCTTGATGCGAGGGGGCGAGCCGATGGCCTTGGGCGTGAGCGAGGCCTTCCCAGCCGCCGTGTTCGTCCATGCGAAAACCCGGGACGATCTGACGGAGCAGTACATCAGAGGTCAGAGCACTATCCTTCTTGTGGATTCTGTTGTGAACAGTGGAAAGACCATTGTTGGTTTCATCGAGCACATTCGGAGCATCGAGAAGAGCGTGCGCATTGTGGTCGTTGCCGGCGTCATCCAGGCCAAGTTCTTTACCAACCCCGTGGCCCAGGCCGATCGGAATGTCGGCTTGGTCGCGATGCGCCTCTCCGAGAATGAGTTCAAAGGAAAGGGGCAGACAGACACTGGAAACCGATTGTTCAACACCACACAGTTGGACTAGACGCGCGAGCTGCTCCGGAGTGCCGCGACTCGGGAAGAAGTCTATGTATTTAGCACAGATAGTGTATGGTCGGAAGCCTCAGCCCTCGAGCTGTCTCTTGGAACAAAAGTGCGCCCGTCGACATGGTGGTTGCTCAATGACCGGCGTCTGGGTCTTCTGTTGCGTAGCTCGGTTACTATCTCACGTCATCGGCCCAAAGGGAAAGTTTCCGTGATATTTGCGTCACAAATTAAGCCTTCACATGCCTAGAAACCGAGAGGTGAGTGCGAGACAAGTCCACCTGCCCACTATTACTGAGGTGGGCACCTGGGCACCTGGGCAGCTGCGGCGCAGGAGGATGATAGGATCTTGGAGTGGCGGCTGACGTTGCGAGGGTTAGGGAGCAGCAGAGGTACTGCAGTGTACCTAAAGGAGGTACTGCAAGCGCATGCGCAATCAGCCACCCGCATGCAAGCAAGCCTCGCCTCCACTACACGTACGACAAGATATGGACTTCCAAGTTACACTGACAATATGTCCATGGCTCACAGTGAGTCTCTTACTGCGAGGCCCCCCACCGAGGCCCCTATGAAGCCCTCAGCACTACCGACGGAAAGCTCCATTTAGATGGCGCTTGCCGGGGCCTCCGAGAACGGCGGCGGCTGTGACCACCAAACCGAGGCGCTTATCGCGACTACGAGTCAAGATGGACGTCACACACATAGGTATCACTTGCTCTCCCTTGTCCTCGCCCGCTTGTCCACACGAGCAAACACCCCAAAGCTGCCATCGTCTGCATATATATATGTGTGTGTGTGTTCGAGTGTGTGGGTGTGTACGTGTGTGTATAAACTCACCGAATACGCCCCCAGAACACTGCTTTTTCCAAACTTGGCCACCCTTGAGCTTGCTTGAAATTCAAGGCTTCATTCACTCAAGCTGAAACTCGCCTTACCCCTTGTCGAGAGCCGCCCGTCTCCTGGCGCCGAGCTTGAATATATCATCCTATATACATACACGCTTGAGTCCGAAATCTCCTGCACGCGCAAACATGGGATCGACGGCCGCGAGAACCCCCGTCCGCCTTGCAATCCTTGAGGCAGACACCCCCGTGCCCAATGCAAACGCCAAGTACCACGGCTACAGGGGCGTCTTCACTGACCTCTTCCGACGTGCCGTCGCCCCGGAGCCGCTCGAGGTTCACTTGGACATCACCGGCTACGACGTCGTCAACGAGCCGGACAACTACCCTGACCTGGAGTCTCTCGACGCCGTCCTGATCAGCGGGTCCAAGCACTCCGCATACCTGGACGACGAGTGGATCGTCAAGCTGGTGGCCTTCACGCGCAAGGCCCTGGCCACCAACGGGAGGGTCAAGGTGGTGGGCGTCTGCTTTGGCCACCAGATCGTCGGGCGGGCCCTCGGCGTCAAGGTCGACCGCAACGACAAGGGCTGGGAGGTCAGTGTGACCGAGGTCAGATTGAGTGAGACGGGGAGGGCCGTGTTTGGGTCCGACACCCTGGTAAGGCGCCAACAGCGAACAGCGTGCCACCCGGCTCAACGTGGTCCTATCAATCTCCATACACTAATCCAGTATCGCAGAAAATACACCAGATGCACCGTGACATCGTCTTCTCAAATCCCGAGGGTGCGCAGAACCTGGGCGAGAACGACATCTGTGCCAACCAGGGCTTCCTCCTCCCGGGCAAGGCCATCACGGTGCAAGGGCACCCAGAGTTTACGGGCGAGATCATAAGCGAGATCCTTGAGCTGCGCCACGACACAAAGGTCTTTACTGACGACGTGTACTCGTCGGGCGTGGACAGGGCAAATATCGATCACGACGGTGTCATGATAGCACAAGCCTTCTTGCGGTTCATACAGGGCCAAGAAGCCGTCAAGGCCTAGAGGTCGAAAATTAATAGTAATCATTGTAACGTATCTCAACCATGTTACACACTAAGCAAACATGACGTCCTCAAAGGCACGACACGTTTAATTGGTCTGCGTGCTGCGCCGTTTCCCGAGCATGTTATGCTCTGGCCCCTCATCAATCTTGACCTTGCCATCTTGACTTCCTACCTCGTCACTGTTCAGCTCAACATCCCACCAGTTTCTAGACACAGATGCCTGAGACGTTCCCCCTGGACTGAACCTGCTGGCTCGCTGCTCCCGCTCCATCTCCTCCTCCCTCCTCAGCCTCGCCCTCGATCCCTCGTGGAACATCTCCTCCCTCGTCCTGCCAATCTCATTCCTCGAGTCAAAGCTAAAGCCATTAATGAAGCTGCCCATGTTCTCGAAGAAGCCGCCCTGCATATATCTCCACGGCTTCTCGCGCGCGCAAAACACAATCGAATCTGCCAATCCCTGTACGCACAGCGAGACAAGGCTAGCCACTGAGACCCAATAAGGCCCCTGAAAATGATCTTTGTCGAACCCAATCACATCGCTGATGAGAGGGAATATCCAGATACATGCATATACTGTCGGGTATACGAATAAGAGGCGTAGCTGGCGGCGTATCCTGTCCCTGTCGCGCGAGACTCCGTCAGATGCAAGCATTTCACAGTCGAGTGAGGCTGTAACAGTGTTCCGCCTCGGTGCGGTCTCGTTTTGCTGACTGGGTCCTTGCTGCAGGATCGTAAAGATGTGCATCTGAGCGCCTCTCAAGATTCTGCTTCTGCCGATGTTGAGGTTTTCGTCTTTGGACAGCTCTTCGTCTTCTTCCATAGCTATGGATATTGGGCGACGATAGCATTCGGGCAATTTGGGGCATAAAGGGACGAACGACCGCGATGCAAGACTCGAGACCTTTCCACTCGGTGACGGCGGGGGTCTTGTTGGGTGTAGCCCGTGCTCTATGCCTCCGTTTCCTATCACCCGTTCCTGGTCAACTGTCCTTGGGGACACCAAGCCCGAAGCAGGAGTGGGCTCTCTGACTCCAGCCTCCCAGTCCAAACCCTCCCATGGCCAGGCCTTTGGTCGTGCTGAGCTCACACTAAGCCGTTCCAGCCTTGATCGCAGTGAATTTCGAAACCCGGTGCTCTCGTCATCCTGGAAAAGTCGACTTTCTTCGTACAAGCTCCCATTGGTAGGAACTCTGAAGGAAATTCGCCTGGATTCATGTTGTGAAGGGATCAAACCATGGCAGATGAGAGGCGGTGTGTCCGGGGTTTGCCTCTCTCGACGGCTCATGGGAATTGGCACATGTTGTCTGCTGAAACGTCTCATCTTTGTGCGTATGTATGCGTAAGAAGCACCGTACATGAAGATGATCAAGATCACGTTGATGTATCGTGGAATCCAGGAAAGAGACATGCGGCCCCACCATGGATTTCTAGGCAAGTAGCAGTACTGACCCGTATCCACGTAGGCTGGGAACCTTGTGAGAAATGCCAACGAAGCCATCAGCATGGGGAAAATAGCGTAAAAGGCAAAGGCGAGATATCTATAAGGATAAATGCTACTTTCGCCCGTCACTCTGTTCGATCGAAAGATGTAGACGGCCCAATGAAGCGCGATCAGAAACACGGCGGCGTCGGACGCCTCGATGCCTAAGGCGAAGAAGAAGCCGCTGACTTGGCAAAATGTTGTTGCAGAGTCCGTTGACAGTGAGTTCGCAATGGTGATGCAGGAGTAGATAACGAGCCACAGGGACCTGACGAGGTCACTGGATATCAACAGAATGATCAGGCTGAAGCCCAAGTCAGCCTTCGCCCAGGTCACAAGTAGAGCACGCTCAATATGCAAGGTCAGATAAGTAACGGACCCAAACCATGCTGACTTACTCATGACGAAAACTTCGGCGCATTCGGACAAGCCAGTACATCGACAGAGATCCGGCAAGGAGACTGCCAGACGACAAGACGAGTGAGATTATCTTCAGACTCCTAGCCTCGGGCCAGTCGACTCCAGACTCGGGTGTCGATATAGTCTCCGGTCTGGCAGACCTCGTGTGTGCTGCCAGGGTCGCCAACCACCTCTGCATGGTTGCAGATTCTCATCCTACGCTGCCCGTAAACGTAACGAGCCCATGAGATGGGTGTCGTGTTAGAGGATGAAGTGGTCTCCGCTTGTTGTATGCACCTCCGTGCTCTTGATTTGAAGTTGCAAGAAGCCGGCAATCAGAATACGGCAACGCGCCCCGTGCTGTGTTGTGATAATCCGGGGTGCTCCTGCTCGTCCATCTCCGTCGAATTAATTGACACCACTCCGAAGATGAGGAAGCAACGAGCTGCGCAACACCCGGCTTTTTCTAAACTGTTTCTAGCAACCGCACGACTCAAGCAACGAATGTCCAGGCTCAGTCATACGCGATAGGGAAAAAGCAAAGACGAGGCAGTATGATCATCTTGCTGCAAAAGCAGAAGTTGGCGTCAGGCGAGGACGCCGCCTCTACAGTCGATTTAATGATTCACACCTTCTTCATATGTAACGCATCACAGGGGTAATTAGCGCTTGGGTCTAATGACATTTCAGGCTGCCCTAATGAAACAGCGAGGTAGGCCCAGACTGTGGCTTCATCCGCGAGGGCCTCATTAGTCAAAGAGCCTTGTTGCTTCTGGCAAGAGTTGGGGGTTACTTCGCCACCCTTGCCCTGATCTGCATGCGCTGGGCGTCGCGGAGGGGAGCTGAGAGAAAGAAGCAAATCGCCTCCGCAAAAGTCCCGAGGTAAATGGCCACTGGGTCTATTTCTGATCTATCCAAAGCAGAACAGCTATGTGGTAGTAGTATTATGTGCTGATCAGATCGTGGGATTTATCAATGGTGTGAGAACTTAAAAATGTCTGACGAAGCCATCAAAAATCATGAGCATCATTTTTTGTAAGCTGCGCCCGGAGCATAGCCTCAGCTGAAATCATGATTGGTACCTTGTACAATTCTTGAAGTCCTCTAATCGTCTATAGTACGAAAAAATGACGCCGTGAACGCCGGTCCCAATGCAGCCCAAACCGAGACGAGCCAGAAGGTGGCAAGTCTGTTGCCCCTGAAAAGCCAAACTGCGTGACAGACGTGCTCATCCCAAGAGATTGATATATTGCTCCGGCCAGTTCCCCCACAATAATGGCCGCTGGCCGAGCCTACCGCTCACAGGCGTGAGCATGCTCAGCTTTCTTCTATCCTTGACAACGTCCGAGATGTAGACAAATCCCAGCACCGACGCCGTCCGTATGCTTTCCGGAGAGTCACCGACCGAAGCGTTCATAACCGCCAGGGTCCAGTGGGACAGGGCTGGCGTAGGTTCGATCTTCTCAAGTCCTCGCCCTTCACTGCCATGCTCGTTCGCTGCTCGTTTCTGTCAGTACTGATTACACCAGAACAGAAGAGGGGGGGTGGGGCAAGACGCACGCTCGGGAATACGGTAGATAGCCACGGAATCAAAATCAACTTGCTGAGAAAAGGGACTCAAGGTCCTCTTGCTGTCCCCAAAGAAGTATTCCTTAATAGCAGCCTCTTGCATAAGCTTCATCCATCCCTCATCCCTCTCGACGACACCGTGAGACTGATCAAGCAATACCGACGCGATGGGCTCGCCCAGCGTCGTCTTCTCCCTAGCAAAGCGCTTCTGTAGCTCCGTATGTATCTTGGGTGAGCCCAGGACAACGACGATGTTGACAGAGAACTCGTCGATCACGTGGGTCAAGGCGTCCAAGGTCCCTGGTTCGATCTGGCCAGAGAATTCGATGCCTGGCGTGTCAATGATCATCCCAGAACTCTTTACGTCCCCATCGCCGCTCATGCGGGCGGTCGCGGCCCCAGCAAGCTTCGACACAAGCTCCTTGTACAGCTGGATATCGTCCGTCGCGTCCTGGCGACCATAATACTGTGCAATGGGCAGCTTCACGGGCACGCCAGACGGTCCACTGGTTGGGGTCCCACCCCACCCATTCGTCCCCTCACCATCCAAATCCATGATCGTGGCGTAGACGGCAGCGGTTAGTGTCCCTGGCAGACTCAGCATACCCTCATGCGGGTCCATGTTGGCCACCACCGGCTGCGCGCCAGACTTGACGGCGAGCGCCGCCAGCGTGCGCGCCAAGCTCGTCTTGCCGACACTGGGGGCGCCGGCGATCAGGACGCGCGGGCCTGTGGCGCTCCTCGCCCTGGCTTCTTTCCTCAGGCCGTCGAGCAGGAAGTGCAGGTTCAGGTACGAGACCTCGGGCGTCTCGTCGGGGCCGGCGTACTCGGCCAAATACTCGTCGAATTCGCCCGAGGGTTCGATGTCGAGCTCGCAGCCGCGCCAGGTCAGAATCTTTGACTTTATGCCGCGGAACTTGTAGGTAACGTTGAGGGCGAGCTCGGTGCCGTCGCGCTCGGCGGTGCCGGAGACGAGCCGCACGGCCACGGTGTTGTTATGGGGGATCTGGAAGCGCCATTCCCAGAAGGGCCGGAGGTTTATCTTGCGGGCGGAAGTGGTGGCTGCCTGTGTAGGTTTTGAGGAAGCAGTTAGCTAGCTGGCCAGCCTGTTTTCCGCAGGGCAGTCTGAGCTCCGCCCTGCCCTGCCAATTGGTGTTCTGGGGATGACAGTTCAGGCTGGCTTACCTTGATGGGCAGCTGCCCTAATCCAGGAATTGACATGGCGGAATGCTCATCCCCAAATATTCGACTGGTGATAAGGATAGGGCCGAGGATGGCAGCAGCTCAGCCTTGTCGGGTTCGACTCAAGGCGGGACGCGATTGTGGAGCTGCTGCTTGCGGCCCGCAGATATCGAGAGCTACCATGTACTCCGTACAGCAAAAGATCTGCCCCAAGCAAAATAGCCTAGCCTGGGCAAGTACCCAGGTACCACCTACCTTCCTACCTGCACAGCAGCTTTTGGGAAGTCGTTAGCTTCTGGGTGGGTAACAGCAGATTGCCACGGGCCAAGCCGAAGGCACTCCACACACCCACCCACTGAGAGATACCCCCACACCTGATGAGGCGCATCGCCCGGCTAGTGCAGCTCCCCTGAGCTGGGGGACGAGGCAACCAGACAGCGGCCCAATCCTGAGCCGGGATGCAGTCGAGAGGGTCCGTCGCTGGTGACGGAAGACTTGCAGGAAGACGTCATGTCCTTTTGACTTTTGATGGCCGCTACGGTTAAGGTATTCTACAAACCAGTCCAGATTTGCCTTTGATGGCTGTGCCGCAAACAAATAGGCGCAGCATGTGCCTGCAACATGGCAGAGCGTCTTGATAGTCTCGCACGCGTGCCCAGTTCGGGTTTACTCGGTGCCACGGTGGTCTAGAGGGTAGGTTTCAAATTTAGTTGCCTCCGCGTTGCGAACATTACTGGGAAGAAACATCAGGGTCCAGAATGCATGCGCTCCTGGAACCCACATCACTGCCACATGGCACACCACAGACACACACAGACACACACACATGTATATACCAGAGGGTTAACATGAGAAGCCAAGTTTATTGCAAGACCAAGAGGCCGCTGGGGCCCCTTTCCGAACGCCTGTTGTAAGTCAAGTAGGTACCGGTAAAGCTACTTGCGCGACAAGACCTTGTATGGGGTATTATGATGAATCGTCATGGACAACCAAGGTGGATCGAACAAGTTTCTTGCCGTATCCAGTCATGCCTGAACCCGTTGATGCTGCCCAGAACTCTTTTTCTCTTGCCCGAATATCATCAACACAAATGTCTACCGTGTAATGCCCGGAACGCCTATCCACACCCTCATCAAGATGACCGTCTCTGTTTCCGACTGGTCACCGGCTTTTCTGGGTCCCTTGACAACTCTTCGAAAATGTTGATCAAGCTTCGGACGCCCAGCAGAATATTTTCGTCGGGACCCTGCCCCGGGACGAAGGCAGCGTGTGCAAAGTCAATGAGCTTCAATCTCCAGATGTGCTGCTCGTCGGCATCCTCGTCGCTCTCAGACATCTCGCCGTACTGTTCTTGTGTGGGGAAGACCATCTCGCCCTCGTCGTCTAGGCCGATGCCACTATCGATTCGGTTCGTTGTCCGACCAGGCAGACAGTCTTCTTCCGTCTTGGCCTTCACAGAGGCGACGGTGCTCCGGCTCTGCTCATCTATCTCTGCCTTGAGCGCGGGGCCGTCGCCCTCGAAGATGAACAAAAGACTGGAAGAGTACATGCGGGTCTCTTCGTTCTCGAGGACCTCACGAACGTGCTTCAAGTCTCGCAGGAAAGCCTCTGCGACGGCTCTGGCATACTCGTCGTCGATCCCAGCCCTGCGGTTGTACAGAAAACTTCGGAACGCGTCAACAACATTGTCACAGTTGACATCTTTTCGGCCGTAGTCCTTGTCGTAGATGCGATAGTCCTCCTGGTCAAGATCCTCGGGATTGTCTGAGCCTTTGAAGATGCGCATGCCGGCGATTCGGAAGCCAAGCTCGCGGTGGGTCGTCTCGGCGCTGATCTTGTCAAACCTCCGCTTCTTCTCCAGTGGTGCGTCGTCAGCCCAAAGGCGTTTGCCCAGTTTGACGTCCACAATGTTGGGGCGCCTGAAACCATAAGCCGCATTGTCCAGCACAACCGCCTTGTCTGTCGGGATCTTCCTGCTGGCATTCGGTATCCAAGTCACATTTTCCACTGGTGCCGAGTCTTTTGCCCGGACCGGCGTCGGCGCTGGGGCGGCCATCTCGGCAAGTTCTGCCGTCTTCTCTGAGATCAGCTCGAGGACCTGCTCTTTCATCTCGGGAATGACATCTCCATCTACTACTGGCAGCTGCTCGGTGATGGAGTTGATATCGGTGGCGGCGTTCAAGGAGAGGCTGCCGACGAACTCGGGCACGATTTCCAGCATGCGCGAATGGTTCTGAGGCAAAGATTGATAGAAGTCGATTTCGGCCTGTGTGCATGGCTTTATGAACAGCTCGCCCTCGGTGTCGCAGAGCGTTCCATCACTTTGGGGACAAGAAGCTGTCAGCGGACGAAAGGGTTCGGGGGCCGGGGGGGACACGGGTCCTGAGCCCGTACAGGCTTGCGCAAACTTACTGTCCAGCGACCGCATAGTTGTACTCGACGAGTTCCGAGGGGTGAGGTATCTGCTTTTGCGAAAGTGGCATTCTGATGTGTGTCGTCCGTTGCATGTTGAGAGGCGCCCGTCTCAGGCAGGGAAACGGGTGGGAAAGAAAAAGTTGGCGACTATCAGTGCCTGAGTGTGGCGCATGTATTTGGGCGAGACGAGACGGGAAGCGGCGTTGGGGGGTAAGGGGTTTGAAAGGGGCCGCCAAAATTAATTAAGCTGTGGCGAGGGTCAATTTGCGAAGGCCGGGAGCCCAAACGGCACGTAGTTGTAGACAATGGCAACGGCAACGGCAACGGCAACGTGGTGTCCAGGTCGGATTCGGAGTCAGGTTGACGGAATGAGAAAATGGGCCGGGTCGAGGCGGAGCGTGCAGAAGAAGAGAGGATAAAAGAGAGAGGTAGTGCAAGGTATTGAAGAGAAGAGACACACAAGAGTCAAGGATGGAAAGAAAGGGGACGGATGAAGGAGTGAAAAGAGGGAAGACGAAGACGAGGATCGCAACCTTGGAGGGCTTAGATTGTGACGGAGCAACAAGTACGAGTACGTAGGTACAGCCTTCGCAGGCAAGCGTGTCCGAGGGGCGGTCATGGATCTGTGTCCGCAGGTGGTAGATTGTGACCGATGACTGGCCTTGATCAGCGACTTTTGGCCATGGACCCCGGGATGGGCTTTGCGGCCGTGCCCAAGGCGGAAGCAAAGGCGCACACGCCCAGACGGCCTTGGGTGCCAGGGTGCCTTCTACCGGTTCTTCCACTAGTAGTAGACTGCTGTGCCACCCGTGCAGCAGCCCATGCCCATGTACCTACTGTACGGCTGTACGGCTGTACGACTACCGAGTACCTGAGTAGGTACCTGGCTGCCTGGGTGCCTCCCAGTGTGCACGCCCAGCCGAAGCGAAATGGCGCTAGGAGCCAACGTGCCAAGCTGGCAGGGGTGCAGATCTTCTGACAGCTGCAGGTGAGTTTGGGGCAAACCGTAGCAACCCCAAGACTGTTCATTGTTGGAGACAGCGTGCCAGCGTGCCAGCGTGCAGGGCGTGCCAGTGCCTGTGCCTGCCTGGCGGGCCCTGTCCGTGGTACGGATACAGCAGATTGCTTGCCCCCAGTTCAGTCCATCTGTCACCTTCTGTCACCTTTCTCGTGCAGCAGGCAACCCACTCACTCCGCATTCTGCAATCCAATAATAAATGGTGGCTGCTTGCTGCTTGCTGCTTGCTGCTGTGCCCAGACCCCAGGCCAGGTACTTAACTACATGTTCAGAAGATCAATATCAGCAGCGCGAGAGAGTCATTCACAGTCCCACGTCGCGCCCACGTCCCGCCCACGTCCTGCCCACGCACTACCCACGCCGCTGTCACCGCCTGACGCCAGCAGCTGGGACGTGCGTGTCATCCAGGCGCAGGAATGCCACGATGTGGACCCGGACGGATCTCCTTGCAGAAGAACAGGAGCACAAGAAGAAAAAAATAACCCCCAAGCCGCAGGGCCTAACGGCGCTTACGTGTGGCGTGCCAGGCCTGCCTCGGTGGAAACACAGGGGTCTTGTCCATCCTTGTTGGAGGGGCAGAGGGGGTTGAGGGGATAGAGGTCGAGGGGCGAGGGCCTCCCAGGCAGGCCAGGCCCCTCGGAGACCTCAGCCTGTGCTCAGCCACTCCCGAACCCTTCTTGCTACATGTAGTAGTAGCAAGAGCATGAAGGGGGATGGCAGCGTGGCAGGGTGTGGCAGGTCTGGCAGAGTGGCACAATCTCACGCCGTCTGTCCGTCCAGGCCGTCCAATCTTTTCGACTTCTGAGCCACCCCTCCTGCCCTCCTGATGAGCGACCGCACCGGAGCCCTCGCAGCCCTCGCAGCCCTCGCAGCCCTCGCAGCCCTCGCAAGCCCTCGCACTCAAGCCTCTTCCTGCCCCAAGCAGCGTCCTGCATATACGCAGTGAAACCCCCTTTACACAACACCCCGACACGAGACAAACACGCGCCGCCGGCCATTGCGAATCAGAGCAGTCCAGGTGTCCAACACCTGCCCAAGGGCTGATCATGGCCCTCTGCCAACTGGCACGCCTGAACAGAGACACCTCGCCCATCAGACGGCACTGCCGGCCTCTTGACCAACCACGCTAGGCGTGCAGGCAAGACCGTGCGTCCCACCGAGCTCTCTCTTCTCTCGACTGCCTTCGTGCCGGTTGCCGTGCCCATTTTCGCCGCTTCCTTTAGGTCCTGTGCCATGCAAAATAGGTTCATTCCTATTTTGGTACTGTCCAGTCTTGGGCCCTGCCGCAGCCCCACGACGTAGCATTTGCAGACCGCTCGCGGGTCGTAGATGACCCAGGGAGTGCCCTGGCCCTTGCTCTCCCTGTCTCCCTTGGTCGCTGGGTCGGCCTTGTCGATGCCTCTCTTTGCTGCAGGCAGATCGGTTCCACCAATCCTTCACTCGCATAATCTTTGCCCGAGTGCGCCACTCTGCACGTTGGCTGCTAAAAGAACTACCGTATAGTGTCGCTCGCATGCAGATAAAGTGTTCAGCCCTGATCTTGCATGAGCACAAATGGCTCAGTCTCACGGCAGATTCACCGTATGACAGAATCGCCAGCCACTCTCTCTTCCCAACACTTGCATGAGCCACCATGCAGTCAGAGTAAATAGATAGACTCGGCCTCGCCAGAAAATTCTCGTTTGCCTCTTAGGCTGATTTGGGGCTTTGTCCTTGCCTTTTCTCACTCATCAGGCGTGACAGAAGTTGAAGTGAATGTTCTAGACTCTACCTGCTTCTGTTAGAATGGGTATTCAAGTAGAAGAGCACGTCCCAGGCTTCATCTCATCTCTGAAGTTTGTTGGACAAGACTAAACTGCATACTCACTGATGAAATCCCTTGGAGACGAGACGGTGTCGTTGTGAAGAATTCTCTGTACTGTGTAGACAGTCTCGAGCAGGATCTTTCCCCGACTTTGACCCGGATGGTTTGTATTGATTGTACGAGGGGATTGTTCTTAAAGTAGCAGGTTCCTTCCATTACGTATCGGTTCAGAAGCAGTAGGGCGATCTGATCTTCTGTCTTGTGATCTCTAGATGTTTCCATGAGATATGTCATTGGACTAAGATTATTTCAATTTGTGGCCCGAAGCCTTGTAATTGTGCTGCCTTATTCGTCCTTGAGCATCATAGAAGCTCAGTGCACCCATGATTGCAAATTGCTAGCCTAGAAAGCTCAGTGTAGATTGAAGATTGTGGACAGTTTGCTAGATGGATAAGCGCATGATGGGTATATTAATTCATGTCCAAACAAGTTGGGAATGCTAAATCAGAGAGTTGTCCACTCCATCTGAACTTCTGAAGGCATTGTTTGTAGCTCTTGAATGGCAGCGCTCCTTCCACGGCCGTCATTCACCTGACTGCTGTTTTTTTACATCAATCTCTCTGCTTTTCATTTAAAATCTCTTTTTCCGTCGACCTTCCTTTCGCTACCCACGCTGCCAGTGCCAACAACAAACGGGCTGGCTTCTTGGTGGCCTCGCCCTCTCTCCCATCCTGCAGCAACTTTACTTCCTACCCTTCCCACCTCCCAGAATCAATCCATCATGAGCGCAAAAGGCAAGAGCAAGAGCAAGGGCAAGAGTCGTCCCTCAGGCTTCGAGGATGGCTTCGCGGATCCCCCTGTCACTCCGATGGAGTATGCCGCCGAAAGGCAGATCTACGACCCGTATGTCCCCCCTCCTTTTGTTGAGCAGATTGTAGCTAATTTGAACCAGGGCCCGACCTTTTCCTGAGTAAGCACTGTTTGGTCTTTCGAGTTTCCCAAACTTTTCAACTGATGTTTCAAAACCTGAACAGCCGAATCGAGGAGTGTATACAGCGGTACATGTCGCGTCGCCGCCTCACCAACGATCGCAGGGCTCTGTTCACCAAGTACCTGGCCCTAGGTGGCGTGGAAATAGACCAGCGCCAGTTCACTGGCACCGCGAAGCACGCCAAGGATATGAGGGAGGACGACGACTACGATGCCGACAACTTCCGCGAGATGACGGCCAACGAGGGTCTGTCCCGCGACTGCGACGAGGTTGGAAGGTACTATAATCCGTACTTTCCTCAGCACTGGGACGTGGATTTCGCTGGAATTGTGGCTGGGTTCCTGTAAGCTAGACCTTGCTTTCGCCAGGGACACCACACTACCACATATGCTAACATACACGGTCATGCAACAGTAGCGACCCTCTCTCGGTTCGCGACTACAAGCTCGCAGCCGATACCGTCCTCAACTTCTTGCGATACATCCAGCACCACGATGTCTGCCCCGAGTACGCGGACAACCTCAACCAGGCCCAGAGGATTGCTGAACTCTCTTTTACGGAGATCCCCTGCACCGTCGAGGTCAGCGCTGCCATGCCAGGCGACTTCAACACTGCTTGCCAGGTCCTCTTCTGCTGCGATAGAAACGCCGGCAGCGACCTTCCAGACTCTACTGACTCCGAGAGCGTGTCCGACGAGATGGGCGTTTGGGACCATGATCCAAGCTGCTGGGATGCGAGCATACTTGCCCCCCAGGATTTTGACGCTGAGCGCATCTTCAAAGCCACCATCTCTATCCTGGAGCCCGGCCTGATCGACCGCGTCCTCCAGCATACCTATGATCCGATTCGTGTGGTCAAGACGTACGAGGACGCCTTCGCCGTCAAGGAGATTATTCCCCCCGACGAGGAAATCACCAACATCTACAGTGGGATCAAGAGCAAGCTTGGAAAGACCAGCACCGTCGAGCCCGTCGGCCGCGCCGTCCTGATCCCTTCGATCATCGAGGACGGCTGGGACAACCATCCGACCGTGGCTGACGGACGTCGCGACGAGGGCAAGCCCATATCTCTTTACTTCGAGAATCAGATACTGGTCTACCTGAAGGAGGGCATGAAACTGCGCCTGACGATCTGCCAGCTGAACATCGGCGGTGGAGGCAACGGCGGCGGCGATGACGGCATTCATTTCGTGAGAGCGTGCTCCGACGTCCTGCCCAGCTTCCATACCTTCCTGCCGCAGTCGCTCATGTTGAAATACAAGAAGCCCCGGCTCAGCGACCGACCGCCACCGTCGGTGGACGATCCCGATGCAGAGGATCGCATCTTCCTCGAAGAGGCCGAGGCAGACGCCAAGGATGCCGAGAAGGCCGAGCGGCAGGCGGACTCCCAGCTGGACCGCGAGATGAAGGAGCAAGAGCAGGCCGAGGCGCTGTTAAAGGTCATGGAGAGGGTGAAGGTGGAGGAGTAATTCCAACACACCAGCACGCACCCTTTGAATCCGGAAGTCGTTGGGAAGTTTAGAGCTAGGACCGTCAGTTCAGATCGCACTAGCAATGCCTTTTTTCTTCAACAAGCGAAAACGTATGAAATGCTATCGTGTCTAGCGGGTGTGTGTTTCTGCTAGGGATCCCGAGGGTGTGACCGGGGCGTAGACTGCCACGATCTCCTAGACTTGGGCCACCTCGTAATATCAAAAAAAAAAAAAAAAAAAAAAGGCCAAGGTACAGACGATTACATCAGGAAGTAAGAGTTCTGCTCCGCCAGCCCTCATGCCGAACAATTGCGTCCCAACCAGCACCCAGAATCCTTATGCCGACCTCCCCGGGAACGCCATTCCAATGCAAATACAAATTCATGCATGTCTCATAAAACGAGTGAGTCGTGAAGCCTGAACAGGCTGGCACTGAGTGCAAAATCGGGCCGGGTGCCCTTGTCTTCCGTGAGCAAAGAGACGAAGCCCTAACCGGCTTGATCTGGTCCTTCTTTTGTCCGCCGCTCTTTCCAGCAACTCCTTGAGCCCCCACCTGGCCGTCGCTCGCACCGAATAAAAAGCCACTGTCACGCCCCATGCTGTCGCCATGAAACGCCCAAGACCAATCATTTCACTTGTCGGCCGCTCTATTACCGAGTCTGGTCCTGGATCTTGTGGTCGCCCATGACGACCTGGGCATAGCTTGGCGGAGGCTGGTCGTCGCTCGAGCCCTCGCCTCCGTTGGCTTGGCCTTGCTGCGGTGGCGGCGCGGAGGACGAGCCGGCGTGGCTGTTGCCGCCGCCCTGGGATGTGCCGTAGCTCATGTTTCCCTGGCGGGCGGGCTTGGGCTGCTGGCCCTGGGCGCGGGGCCGCTGGGACCGGCGGGCGTCATCGTCCTGCGAGACGACGATGTAGGTGACGCGGCCGTGCTCGGAGTCGCCGACGCGCTCGTAGTCGCCGTAGTCGGGCTCGGGGAACTTGGCGATGATGTACCAGGCGTGGAGGAGGCCCGGGAGGAAGCCGAGGACACACAGAAGGATGTTGATGACCGAGTCGGCGCTGCAGATTCCACACTTGACCCAGACTGCGGATGGGTTGGTTAGTCATGGCTTCATTCGCGGTGAGAACATGCGGCTCGCAGGAGCATCTTGAGTCAGGCGAGTAGCATGAGCGAGCGAGTGCCGCCTGGTGGGGGCCGCAGAGGGGGTGCTCACCAGGCAAAGGCGGGAACAGGATGGCGAGGAAGCCGAGGAAGATGTCAGAGGAGCACATTGTGGTGCGCAGTCAGGGACGAACTGCTGGCTGGAAGATGAAATGTTACGGATAGCACGATCTCGTTGTTGGTGTGCAGTGGTTGCTGCGTTATTCGGAGCCGAGTGGAGGAGGGTTTGTAGGAGAGAGGTTGGGTGGGAGGCTGCAGGCAGGATGCGGCTCGAGAGTCCAGTCACTGAGGCACAGGCAGCAGTCCCGTGGACATCCTCCCGCGGAATGGACGTAGTTGGGGGCCGACGGGGCGTTGCCGTTGGACAGAACCAGGCTGGAATACCTCCCTGGGGGCAAGCTAGTCCAGGCTGAAGGAGGGACTGAGGTCATGTTTCCTCGCGGGTGGCAGTGTTGAGCCGGGGGTACGTAAGTGGGGCGGCATACAGCACCTAGGTACCCACAGCTTGGCCACACTAGGCCTGAAGTCTCATGCCTGCTCTCTCCTGCATTGTTCGAGAACAACGGCCTTCTGTGGTGGGTTTTCTTGATGGTCTGACGGTGTATGCACAGCATTGTGGTCGTGGTCATGGACAAGGGTGTTTGGCTAGCAAATTCCAGGCACAGACTTGGCACATACGTCTGCAACCTTGAAGGGCACATCTACACCCTGTTGAGTGTCGAGCGGGTTGAAGGTTTTGGAGCTTATCAACGCTGCGGAGTGGGAATGCCCACTATCTCGGAAAAATGAAGCAGAGCCCCCCCCCAGTTAAATACCCCCTATTCCTTAATTAAACTAAAACTTTATTAATAGGGTAGAAACTCTAATATTCTTACTAGAATACCCCTATTAACCTTATTAATATTAGTAATAAGTTATCTTTATTATTTAATTAAATAAAAATAATATTATATTAATTTTATATAGTTAATTTAAACTTAATTTATAAAGGTATATATAATCTACTTACTTTAATATAAAATAATATTAATTTAATTAATTTTATAAATAATATTATTAAATTAATTTATTAAGTTTAAACTATTTAATATTTATTATATAAAACTTATTTAAAGAGTTAAATTATATAATTTATTAATAAAAATATTATATTATTTAAATAATTATATACTTAAAAGTTAACTATTAAGGTAATTAAAGCTTAATAAACTACTTAAAAGTATTTATAAATACTTAAAAACTATTTAAAATAAAATTATTATAATAAATTAAATAGTTTAAAGGGTATAAAAAATACTATTTAAGTTAATAATAAAGAAAATATATCTAATAATAGGAAAAGAAGGGTTTAAAAGTATTAATAATAAAACCTTTTACTATTAGAGTAGAATTTTAATAAATAATAATAATAATAATATTAAATACTTTAAAAGTTACTTAATTAACTCTTTAATATAAATATATTTAAATAAATTAATTTTAACTTTATTTATTAAAATTTATAACTTAAAAATTATTAATATTTTTATTATATAACCTAAAAATAAAATATTATATTAAAAAAGAATTAAAGTTAAGGAATTTAAGGCTTTTTATTAAATTATATTAACTTATTTAAAAACTTAATTAAAAGAAAGTATAAAACTATTTAAATATAATTATTAAGTTAAAAGATATTTTTATTAAAGTTAATTAGTTTATAAATTAAAAGTTTTTAATTTTATAATTAAAAACTATAAGGAAAGATATTAATAGGAAGATTAAAATATTTAATTATAATAATATTATAAATATACTTTTAAATTTTAAAGACTTTTTTAATTTTATATAACTATAAAGTTATATTATTAATATAAAAGTTATAAATATTTATATTATAAAGTAATTATTTAATTAAATAATTATTAATTAAGGTTTTTAATTATTATTAATTATTTAATAAATAACTATTTTAAAAGATAGTTTATTAATAATTAAATAAATAGTAAATATAAATATATTTAATAAAGATTTAAATTTTAAGACTTTTAACTTATATTAATAACTATTAAATAAAGAGTTAAAATAAAAATAGAAGTAAACCCTATATAAAAAAGTATAAATAATTAATAAAGATATAGCTATATTTTTAAGTAATTATTATAAAGTTAATTATTATTATTAAAATAAGAAGAATTTCTATAATAATAATATTTTATTAAATAAAATAATATATATATTAGTTTATTTAATAAAAATTAAAGGATTAATTTAATATAATTATAATAAATAATATTATAATTAAATACTTATTAAAAGTCCTTTTAATTATTAAATAACTTAAATAAAACTTAATAAAAGAGTTTAATAGTAATAGGATTAACTTTATTTCTTTTAAAAAAGTAATAAAAGTAGAAATAAAAGAAGTAATATTAATATAGTTATTAACCTATTATTTAATATTAACTTATTTAAAGTTAAATATAATTAAATAATTTTAATAAAGTTATTATTATTACTATTATTATTAACTTTTTTATAGGTTTAATAAAGTTTTATTATTATTAATAGTAATAATAATAGTATTTAAAAACTTATAATAAAGGTAAAGGTTATTAGTTATTTTTATTATTACTATTATAAATAAAAGGAGATAAGATAATCTTATATTAAAAGTTTATTATAAAAGTATTTTAAAAATATTTTAAAATTTATTAAAAAGGTTTAATTTAAATAATTTATAAAAGTTATAAAGTATAAAGGGTTTAATTTTTATAGGCTTTATAAAAGAAAGATATTTAATTTAATAAATATAATTTAAAGGTTATTTTATTAATTAAAATATTAATTAAATTATATTTAAAAGGAAAAAACTTTATTAATTTTTTAATAATAATAATAATAAAAGAACTTATTATTATAATAGAAACTATTAAATAGTTATTTAATAAATTATTAAATAAATATTAAAAATATATATTTTATAAAATTTATAAAAGTTATTTAACTAATTAATTAGTTTTATTTAATATTAGGTTTTATAATTAGGTTAGTTATTTAATAAAAGGTTAAAAGTTTATTAGAGTAGTTTTTTATTTAATAGGGTAGAGTTATATAATAAGTTTTAAAGGACTTTTAAATAAAGGAAGTAGTAATTAGGTATATAAAAGATATAATTAATAATAGAAAGTAGTTAGAAAGAAAAGTTATTTATTTTAAGTAAATAAAGTAAATTAAATATTTAACACTAAATATTTAATTAATTAAATAAATTTATTTATAATTAATTTATTTATTTTAATTTTTAACTATTAATTTAACTATTTAATTTATAAATAATACTCTTTTATTTATATAACTTTATTTAATTAAAACTTTATTAATTTTAATTTTTATAATTTTTAATTAGAATTATTATATTTATTTTATTTTATATTTTTTAGTATTTATATATAATAGAAATATTTTTAAATAGCCTTAATTTTAAATCTAACCTTTTAAATATAAAAGAATAGAAATTAAATAAAATCTTTATTTAAATTATAATTTAATAATTTATATTAATATTAATAATATAAATAGTATTTTAAATTATTAAAATATATTTTAATAAAATTAAAATTAAAGGAGTATAAAGGTAGATATTTATACTTTATACTTTTATATTTATTACTTTAATTATTTCTATTTTATAATATTAAAAATATTATTTATTATAAAGATTAATTTTAAATTTAAATATAGATTTATTTTTAATAAAATATTTTCTTTTAATTATTAAAAGAAAAACTTTTATTATATAACTTTTATATATTATAATAATAAATAAGTTATTTAATATAATTATAAAGAGAATATAAAGGTAAGCTTTTATTTAAAAGACTTTTAATTTATAAAGTATATTTAATAAATATCTAACCTATTTTTTATATTATTTTACTTATTAAAATTAAACTTATTAATAAAAATAAATATTTTTATTATATAATTTAATTAATATATTTATTAAAGGTAATAATTATAAAGCTTTTATTATATTAATAAATTAATATATATATTTATTTATTATTTTATATATAAGTTTTAAAGATATTACTTATTATTTTATAATAATATTAATTTATAATTATTTAATAAAAAGTATTATATTTTATTAAAGTATAAATTTAATTTATTAAATAGAAAATTTTTAATTTTTAATTTATATAACCTATATATTAATTATACTTTATAATATTATTATAAAAGTAAGCTAATAAATCTTTATAATTTATTACTTTAATTTAATTATATTTAATAATAATAATAATAATATATTTAAAGTAATTATATAAATAATAGTAACTCTTTAATAATAAATTTAAATTATTATATAACTATATTAAAACTTAATTTATAGTTATTTATTAAATAATAATAAATTAAAATATAAATAAAACTTTAACTATTAAAATTTAAAATATAATAAATAATAACTAGTTATTATTAGAACCTTTTTTTTATTAATTAAGAAATATTAATAGATTAATAGGGGTATTCTAATAAGAATATTAGAGTTTCTACCCTATTAGTGAAGTTTTAGTTTAATCGAGGAATAGGGGGTATTTAACTGAGGGGGGGCTTTGCTTCATTTTTCCGAGACAGCAACAGTACTCCACCAACCAGTCCTCGACCAAGTAAATGCACATCTACTGTCTCTCCCCACCTGCAGTTCCTGGTAGTCCACAGTTACTTGTCTTTGGTCCCCGGAGAACAGACCATTTAAATGTTTAGTGGGCTCTGGTGTCAAATGTAAAAGCATCATACCGACTAGAATGACGTCCGATGGTAGGCGCGCCCCAAAAAATTCTGGTGCCAGATCAAGATTCAGAGCGACGTCAACAATGAATACCTGACAGTTGAATAGACGCTATGGGGCCTATTTGAGCATCATCTCCAATACTCTAAATGGTAACCTCCCATACTGTAGATTATCCGAATAGGCATCACACTCAAGTAATACCAATGGTTCTCACGATATTACAATTTGCAAAGCTATCTATGACTTGACTGCCGTCTACCTAGTTGCCTATATCCTAGAGATCCTAGAGCAGCCTCTCATGCGGGCTGTCCAGGTTAAAGCTATCACTATACACAAGCTAGTCTAACGCCATTCCACACTATGTCAAAGTGACCTCGCTAAGTGACTCAGACTTTAAGATCGCCCAAAATGGAACATTATAAAAGACGCCGTACCCTGACAATATATGCACGAGTTCTCAATCCATGCTCTGGTTTCCTTGACACACCCCCGGCATCCACCATCCCTTTCCAATCCTCCTATAGGATATCCTCCTACTTCCGATCGTCCTATAGGATATCCTCCCCTCCTATTTCCGATCCTCCCATAGGACTTCCTCCCATAGGACATCCTCCCATAGGATATCCTCCTATAGGATAACTTCACACAACACAGCTTCCCTTTGGAGTCAAGTTCTGAGGTATAATTTCCTAGCAGACAACCTCCTAAGAGATAACCTCCTAAGGGATAACGTCCTAGGGGACGGTTTTCAACCTTGCCCGTGGTGGGGGCCATCACGTTTGTGAATCAGAGGTTTGCGGATAAGCTAGCTGCTAGCGCAGATCTATCAGTTACATCCCTGCAAGGCTCTCTACGGTCGCAAGGTAGCTAAGCCACCAAAACCTCAAACCCAGGTCGCGCCTGTCCAAATCCGCCTTCCAGGTAGCAAGCACCTTTCCTCGCCGTCTCCGTCGTGCGCCACGCCACCATGGATGAGTTACAGGCCCTCGAGTCCCTGGAGCAGCTGTCGCTTGTCTCCAAGATTTCTTCAGAGCTGCATAACCATCTAGGCATTCCCGACAACGACGCCCGCAAGACCCTCGCCGAGTTCGTCATCGCGAAACGACTGGACTGCGAAAGCCTCGATGACTTCAAGAAGATGCTGCCCAGCATGGGCGCATCGTCCCTACCAGACAGTCTCATTGAGAGCGTTGACCGTCTTGTTTGCACAATGCACCCCAAGATGAAGGGCAAGGCCCAACAGGAAGACAACAGGCCGCCGACCCGCACGATTCAGGACAAGGAGCAGATATTCAAGGGCCTGAGCCTGCCGGACAAGGAACCAGTTGGCAGAGGAATAGACGAGATCGACGATACCATGGCTCTCCTCGAAGGTCTGGAGGAGAAGACGGCAGGCAGGAAGCGCGGCCGAAGCCCGGAACACGACGGATCACGCAGGCAAAGGAAAGATCGTTACCGAGAACGAGACAGCGACCCATACGAGGATGATTACGGAAGGGAACGAAGGAAGCACAGGAGGCGAGGGCGCTACGACGACGACGACGCCGAGTACGAACAAAACGACGACCAGACTCGACGACCTCCACCGCAGGAGCTCGACGATACCCCACAGCTTTACAAAGTCTACGATGGGCATGTCACAGGCGTCAAGGACTTTGGCGCTTTTGTTAATATCCATGGGATAAGAGGAAAGGCTGACGGTCTTGTACACGTATCAGCACTTGTCGAAGGCCAGCGGGTCAATCACCCCTCCGATCTCGTTTCGAAGGGCCAGAACGTGAAGGTCAAGGTCACCAAACTCGAGGGAAACCGTATTGGACTCTCCATGAAGGATGTGGACCAGGAAACCGGCGATGACCTCGCGCCACAGGCAAGAATACAGTCCGGGGCTAATTCGATGGCTCTGGGTAGCGCGGGTTCCATGCCGAGCAGCCTCCCATCCAGCGGCGCTGGCACACAGAAGCGGCACAAGAAGCGCATGACGTCGCCTGAAAGATGGGAAATACGCCAGCTGATCGCATCGGGAGTGGTAAAGGCTTCCGATTTTCCTGAGCTGAATGAGGACTACAATGCAACACTTACCGGCAATGGTCAGATGGAGCTTGAGGAAGATGTGGACATCGAAATTCGGGACGAGGAGCCTCCCTTCCTGGTTGGACAGACGAAACAGAGTCTCGAGCTGACTCCAATCCGAATCGTCAAGGCACCGGACGGATCACTCAACCGTGCGGCAATGTCCGGCACGAATCTTGGAAGAGAAAGGAAAGAATTGCGCCAGCAAGAAGCGGCGGCGGCGGAGGAGCACTCAAAGGTGGACCTTGCAAGTCAGTGGCATGATCCAATGGCAGATCCAGACAAGCGGAAATTTGCCAGCGATATGAGGCAGGCCAACGTGCGACAGAAAACGGATGCAGCTCCGGATTGGCGAAAAGCGATTGCACCAAAGGATGCATCCATGGGCAAGCGATCAAATTTGAGCATCAAGCAGCAACGAGAATCTCTACCCGTCTTCAGCTTCAGGAGCCAGCTCATACAGGCGATCAAGGACAATCAAATCATGATCGTGGTCGGGGAAACTGGTTCTGGGAAGACCACACAACTGCCTCAGTACCTGGCAGAGGCTGGATTCATCGAGCATGGCATGGTAGGTTGCACGCAACCTCGTCGAGTCGCGGCTATGAGCGTGGCAAAGCGCGTAGCAGAAGAAGTCGGATGTGAGGTTGGCGCCGAGGTCGGGTACGCCATCCGGTTCGAAGACAAGACCAGCAAAGACACTGTTATCAAGTACATGACGGACGGCCATCTTCAGCGAGAGATCGTTATGGACCCTGACCTACACAAATACTCAGTCATCATGATAGACGAGGCTCACGAAAGAACGATTGCGACAGATGTGCTCTTCGGCCTGCTTAAGAAGACAGTCAAACGGCGGCCCGATCTCAAAATCATTGTCACCTCCGCCACACTGGATGCGGACAAGTTCTCGTCGTATTTTAACGAGGCACCGATCTTCACCATCCCTGGAAGAACGTTCCCTGTGGAAGTTCTCTACTCAAAAGAGCCAGAGAGCGATTATCTGGACGCCGCATTGGTTACGGTCATGGAGATTCACCTTGGAGAACCGGCCGGAGACATCCTCGTTTTCCTTACGGGCCAAGAAGAAATCGACACAGCCTGCGAAGTCCTATTCGAGCGGATGAAAGCCCTTGGCCCCAATGTGCCTGAACTCATTATTCTGCCTGTCTACTCGGCACTGCCAAGTGAGATGCAAAGCAGGATCTTCGATCCCGCGCCCCCGGGAAGCAGGAAAGTTGTTCTGGCCACCAATATTGCTGAGACGTCCATTACCATTGACGGCATCTATTATGTCGTTGACCCAGGCTTCGTCAAGCAGAACGCCTACGATCCGAAGCTAGGAATGGACTCCCTGGTCGTTGTGCCGATTTCTCGCGCCAGTGCTCAACAGCGTGCAGGACGCGCAGGCAGGACTGGTCCAGGAAAATGCTTCAGGCTCTACACTCAGCAAGCATTCGAGACGGAGATGCTCCCTACGACGGTACCTGAAATCCAAAGGCAGAACCTCGCACATACAATCTTGATGCTGAAAGCCTCAAACATCAACAATCTAGTGAACTTTGGTTTCATGGATCCGCCACCCATGAATACTATGCTTACGGCTATGGAAGAATTGTACGCGTTATCCGCCCTGGACGACGAAGGACTACTCACCCGACTCGGTCGAAAGATGGCAGACTTTCCCGTCGAGCCCTCACTGGCCAAGGCCCTTGTATACAGCGTTGACCTGGGTTGTTCCGACGAAATGCTCACCATTGTCTCCATGCTCAACATCCAAACCGTGTTCTACCGGCCCAAAGAGAAGCAATCCCAAGCGGACCAGAAGAAAGCCAAATTCCACGACCCGCACGGCGACCACCTGACGCTGCTCAACGTGTACAACTCTTGGAAGCACAGTGGGTTCTCCAACCCTTGGTGTTTCGAGAACTTCATCCAGGCGCGGAGCGTGCGGCGTGCCAAGGACGTGCGGGACCAGCTCACCAAGATGATGCAGCGGTACCGGCACCCCATCACGTCGTGCGGCCGCGACACGGAAAAGGTGCGGCGGGCGCTGTGCTCTGGCTTCTTCCGCAACTCGGCCCGCAAGGACCCGCAGGAGGGCTACAAGACGCTGATCGAGGGCACCAACGTCTACCTGCACCCGAGCTCCGCGCTGTTCGGCAAGAACGCCGAGTGGGTCATCTACCACTCGCTGGTGATGACGACCAAGGAGTACATGCACATCACGACGGCCATCGAGCCCAAGTGGCTGGTCGAGGCGGCCCCGACCTTCTTCAAGGTCGCCCCTACCGACCAGCTCAGCAAGAGGAAGAAGGCCGAGAGGATCCAGCCGCTGTACAACAAGTACCAGGGAGAAGACGACTGGCGGCTAAGTGCTCAGAGGAGGGGTGGGCGGTCAGGCGGCGGTGGTGGCACATGGGGTTAGGTTAGTATATGCGGTGAAGAGTTGCATATAATAGATATACTCTAAAAATTAACACATAGTTTATTTCACACTATAAACCCTGCTAATGATAAGTCTATTCTACTAGAAGTAATAGATGTATTAGAAGTAAGATAGTATCTTAGGAAGGTTATATTATAGGAAGACACCTTATAGGTAGGTAGGAGGTAACCCTATAGGAGGGTAGGAGGTTACTCTATAGGAGGGTAGGAGGTTACCCTATAGGAGGTTAGCCTGTGGGAGGTTGCCCTGTGGGAGGTTGCCCTATAGGAGGTTGCCCTATGGGAAGTTATGGGAGGTTGCCCTATGGGAGGGTAGGAGGTTACCATATGGGAGGTTGCCCTATGGGGGTTACCCTAAGAGGGGGGGCCGCGGTAGGAGGTTGCCCTATGTGAGGGTTTTGTCCTACTGGATAGGTATCACTCTGGCCCTTTGATCCCTTGTAGCCTGTCCGATAGAAGTCTAGGGGTTGGTCCTACAGAAGGTCGTCTTGTAGGAAGGTATCCCGCTAGAGGATGTTGTATTCCTGGAGCCTATGCTACTGGAGGGAATCCTACGGCAGACGAGCAGCTGACAGCAGTATTTACATGTGTCTTTCATGAAATCGCTCCCATATAGTTCCCAGGATATATTTTAAGCTCGGCTTTGCAGGCACCTCGTATGGCCATCTCACCGGGAATGTCACGTAGAATGTCACCTGCGACAATCATTCTGGGACAATAATCCTACAGCTCGTATGTGTATGCTGCACAAGTCGCCTGCTAAATTTGAGGTGGATTCCTTTCCTAACTACTATTTATATTAGATATGCCATTAGATGTCTTCAGACGTAACCACCTAGGTTAAAAAAAACCACTTCGTAATGGGGCTCCGCCGCGGTCACCTCAGCCCGAGCAATTTCAAAATGTCATGACGATGGAAGAAACTCCGATTCCGCTTGCCATAGATGTCTAAAGAGAGCGTCAGCAACGTGTAGCAAATGCTGGACCGGGGGGCGTGTACGTACACATCGGGATGCTGGAAGCGCAGATGACCACCTGAATTGCGCCAAGGGCGTTGAAGAGAGGTGTCGCCTTCGTACCATTGGTGATGAGCCACTCATAGGCCTTGAAGGTAAGAGCAAAGCTGAACATATTCTTGAATATGATCATACATGTGAGACCTTCGATGGCGAGATCACGATACGCATCCACGATGTACAGACTGCTCGCGACAGCACCAATGACCATACCACAGACCTCAAAGGCGAAGAACATGAGCGGCACGGCGAAGCCATACTTGCCAGCCAGCAGCCCGTCGGAGGCGGCGCCCCAGCCGAAGACGCCGATGCACCCAAAGACGAACTGGGGGATGACCAGGACGATGCGGAACTCGGGCTCGTAGACGCCGCCGTTACGCCTGGTCATGACCTTTGCGGACCAGTCGGAGAGCCCGCCGGCGATGAGGAAGCCGGCAATAGCACCGATGAAGGCGGCCGTGTAGGCGTAGCCCGTCTTGACCTCGTCCCACCACAGCGGGTAGCCCAGGAAGAAGGCGCCGAGGATGACGCCGATGAAGACGGTCCAGCCGATCAGGGAGCCGCCGATCAGGGTGGCCCACAGGAAGGCGGGCTGCAGGAAGAGCGGGAAGGGCCGCAGGGCGAGCTTCCAGAGAGCCTCGTCGGTCTTGCGGCCGTTGAAGAGCGCGAGGGACCGCAGGTAGCTGACCTTGGGCGGGATGGGCGCCGCGTTGCCGCCGGCCGCGGGTCCTGGGCCGTCTCCGTTCATGTACTTCTCGGAATCCTGGCTGTTGTTTTCGCGGGCGGATAGCGGGTAGTCATCGCTGCTGGCGACGCCGGCAGGGTTCTCCTGGGCGAGCATGTCGGTGTTGAGGTCGGTGTCCCGCCTGTAGGCGGTCTCGGGGCAGAAGAAGACGATGGCGGGCAGGCACAAGGCGCAGAAGATGGCGGTCAGGTAGAAGGTCCACCACCAGTTCAGCTCGTGGGTGATCTTGCCGACGACGATGGGGGTGAAGAAGGCGCCGCCAAAGACGGCCAGGTTGGTCAGGGCCATCCTGCTGCCGCGCTGGTGGACAAAGTACAAGTCGCCGACGGCAGCGTTGACCAGGGCCTCGTAGGGGGCGCAGCCGACGCCCTGGATGATGCGGGACCAGAGGAAGCTGTTGTAGTCCTTCCGGTAGCCGACATAGCCGCCCCAGGCGCTGGAGGCGACGAGGACGACCATGCCGAAGATGAAGGTGTGCCTCTTGCCCCAGACGCGGCTTGAGGGCACGAACAAGGCGCTCGCGAAGCCGGTGCCGAGCAGGAAGTAGCCGGTCAGGACGGCGACGTCGGTGAAGTCATGGGTCATGTACAGCGACACGGTGACGGTGTTGGCGGCGAGGATGGGCCCGAGGGCGGTGGCGAAGATGGCGGAGAAGGAGAGGATGAAGGTGATGAGGTCGCGCTTCCACAGGGGCCAGTTGAGGGGGTCGTTGGGGTCGTCGGAGGGCTGGGGCACGAGGATGATGGGCACGGGGCCGCTGTTGTCGGTCTTGAGGCCGGGGGCGCCTTGTGTGGAGGCATAGCGCGGCGGCTGGTCGGGATCGTCAAAATAGCGGGTGGTCCCTGAGAAGAACAGTCAGTCAGAGCCCAGGTAAGTGAGAGAGGTCGGGATGCAAGCGCACCTGGGACATGGTCCATGACCCTGTCCTCGAGAATTCCGAGGCCCATGATGGATGACTGGTAGATGTGTGATGTCCTAGAGATCTCTGCAATATCCAACAACTATTCAAAGCATGTTGATTGCTGGGGGGGGACAACCAGCGAACCTCGACAGCTCAAGCTGACAGGGAGGATGGGATCAAAAAAGAGTCGTGGGCGAGGGCGGGAAGGTATAGGCGTCCGCCCCGGGTTTTTTTGGCTGGTGCTGGATGTCTTGGCGCGGCGGCCGTCGCAAGATCGGAGTTCAAAGGTTGTTACTAGTGGCCGACTGGCTGGAGCTAGTGTAGAGTTGCAGCAGCACGGTGTGATGGGCGGGGTTGGCGGGAGAGGCGAGCTCTGTCGACGACCTCTCATCAGGAGTCAGAACTCTAATGGCAAGCATCCAGTGCCCCCCGTGCTGCACCATTCCGTCATGTCCAGCGGCAGTGCTAGTGCAGTGCAACACACGATGCCTGGATGCCTCGCAGCGCTCGTAGGCAGGAAGGCCTCTCAACCTCTCTCACGGGCTGACAGGCCATGTCAGGCATCCCGGCACCTAGCCTGGCACCCTGCACCCCTGATCGACCAGGCCTCGTGGTCTGCCCATTACAAGTGGAGCAGGCGTCCGATGTGACAAGCACTGGGCCGTCACAATCAACAACGGCTGCAGGCGTCTGTTTCTCCGCCTTTGTTGGCTGCTATGCAGTATATGCCGGCAGTGGCGTGGAAGATCTCTTGATGATCAGAGGGGAGTCCCTGGCATAGCTGGCATAGCTGGCATAGCTGCTGCCGTGTCCATTCGGCAGATACCCTCTGGTTTCTACACTAGATGTGGCAGACGTGCAGACGTGACGAGACAAAAGTAACGAGACAAGAGTGACGAGCAGTCGTCGAGGGTGGGCCCATTTTACCCTAGCTCCAGGGAACCTTGGGAGCACAGCTGAGTCTCTTCAGCGGGGCGGCGGGGCCCATGGCCCGGTGGGGGCCCCATTAAGGTTGAGCTGGAAATTGTCAATTTGGTTGGCTGGTTGGCTGGTTGGCTGCTTCGGCTGCTACACAGTATCTAGAGTCTACTTCACATGCCTCACATGCACTTCTTGCAAGTTGTTGACCTCAGCCGAGCAATCCGACTTGGTTTGCTCGACCGTGCCACAGAAGATGGAAAGCTTCCCACGATGCTTCAGCGCAGCAGCAAGCTCGGCACTGCACCTCGAGAAGCTTCCCCCGGGCAGGTTGCAAATCTTCATGATTCAGAGGCCCAACTTGAGCCCGGCAGCCGGCCGTCTGAAGTCATTAGTCTCTCCGGCCGCTCCGTCTCTATTCTCAGATTCTTCAGTGCTCTAATGAGTTGACGGCACAGCAACTTGGGTTGGTGGCGCTGGCCTGGACGCGGCAGCCAGACAAACTCGGCCCTGTAGTTAATCGCTAACACCACGCGTTGCATGAACCGGCGCCACTTCGTGATCCTCCCCGCCTGCTCCTGGCTTGCTTTCCCAGCCGGGTTAGCTTTGCATGGGTATCGGCGCGTTGTTCCTCTGCAGACGACTCCGTACGTCTGCACACCTTCCCCACCCGCCCTTGAACACTTTCCACGGGACTTCCAACAACTTTTGCTCCACTCACCGTTCTTTCTTCAGCCCCGAGCTTCTCTTCTGGCAGCATTACTCTTCGTTCCTTACGAGTACTTCACCCAGAGTATCGCCAGTTGTCTAACGTCAAGGTATTGCCTTCTCACCCACACAGACACGAGAATACCTCCGTACACAGCCACTGCCACCCAAGATGCTCTTCCCCACAGTCTCCCTCTCGGCGGCCATCTTCGCTGGCCTGACCGTCGCACAATTCCAGGGCCTGCCCACTTGTGCTGTAAGTCTGACCACTCTAACTCGAGTCCCTTCGCGACTGACATCCAATCCCACAACAGCAAGGTTGCGCCTCCGAGTTCTTTTCCGGCGGCTCTTACGCCGGATGCGGCACTGACCCCAAGTGCATCTGCGCGAACCAGGACTTCATCGGAAACGTCGCCTGCTGTCTGGTCGACGCCTGCAGCGAGGCCGACCAGGAATCCGCCCTCACCTTTGCCAAGCAGATCTGCAGTGCAAACGGCGTCGACGTCCCCGACCAGGTCAGCTGCTCCACCGCCTCGGCCGCAGGTGCCTCCGCCACCGGCACGCCCACCGGCTCCTCCAACAGCGGCTCCGCCACTGCCACCGGGGACTCGGCCAGCGCCACCGGGAGCTCCGCCAGTGCTACCAGCTCGGGCACCGCCGCCGCCCAGGCCTGGGCCCCCCGCCAGACTGCCGCCCTGGGACTCGAGCTGTTGGGCGGCCTGGCAGCCGCTGGGCTGGCGTTGCTGTAGGATGATATGGCAACCAAGAGTTGTGAAATAACAATACCAAGGCTGTCTTGCGGTTGGGTACGCCGTCGACGAGGCCTATAATTTGCCCTATGGGGCTACGGAGGGTGTCTGTGTGCTCCTTTCCTTTACTCGGTCTGCGTATATATCGGGAATGAATCTGGGGGCGCAACATCTTTTGACTACGGCCACAGCCGTTGGCAGTTTCTATTTTTTGTACATCTTGATCGGATACTCCTGATAATATCAACTTCTCCTGAGCACACCTCTTTACTCAACCATGTCGGTATCGGATACATCTTCAACGTTGTGGCTGCCACGCACAATGATCGCCTCTTCTAGTATTTGTCCAGGGATGTCCATGTCGTTGTCGCAAGCTCCAGACCAGCTCATGTTGGTACAGGTCCACACTGCCGTAAATCCTTCTTCACTGACTTCCAAGGTTGTAAGTCAGCGCCTGACGGTTCAGCCTTACCCAGGCTCCAGTCAGCTGATCAACTGCAGACATGTCAGCTGGAAGGATGTAAGCAGAGCAGCGTAGATCCCCCCTCCCCCCCCGGATAAGCAGTGCACTGCCGATCGCCTATGGGTGGAGAGTGAAAACCCAGAGTGCGAGACCATTGAACCACCGCTGTCTTTTCCCCAGACACTTCACACTTTGGCATCGCGACCTGCCTTTTCGAGCACTGGCAATCAGACTCAGACAGGAGGCCACACTGTCGATAGTGCGCGCTGTCGACTGACGACATAACCCTACCATACCGTTAAGCGCGTCAGTTGGGGATATCATTCAAGACGCTCTCGGGCTAGCCTAATACGCAAGCCCAAACAGGCCCTCGACAAGATGTTGCGCTTCCTGCTCATCCTCGTCTACATACTCGGCTTCCTCACCGCAGCAGTCATGACCATCCGACATGCCCACGACAGCGATACAGGGTCCACAAACTGGGACCAGCCCTGGGTCCCGGGCATAGCCCGCCGCGACGCCTGCGCCATGCCTTTCTTCCCGGTCTTCTTCCTCCTGCCGGCCATCCTCTGGCCCCTCATCCTGGCGGGCGGCATCCTGCTCGCGGCCGGCGCCGGCTTGTGCATGATGCTCAGCTCCGCGACCTCGTGCTGCGGCATACCGCTCCCCCGCGGTGACAAGAAACAGGCCGGCGGCGACGGCGAGCTGCCTGGGGACTTGGAGATGGGGGCGGGTAGTGGGTCTGCTGAGGGTGGGGATGGGCGTGCCGCAGAAGGTAGCGACAAGGAGTCGGAACACCCGCCCTCGTATGCGTCTCTTGGGCCCCGGGAGGATGGCGATGGAGAGGCAGATGGTCTTCTTGGCCAGGGTGCTAAGTGAGGCGCAGCCTTGTGGTCGTTGCGACATGGAGTTATATTTCTGGACCTGTCAGACAGGATGGATTCGTGACCGCTTCCAGCCATCTGAGAGATGGATCTACCTGATGGCACTTAGAGCACACCGGATGGACCCAGCTTACGGAGAATACTAGGGTCGGGAGCGAGCATCTTCGATATATATATAGGAAAATGCATAGCTGCCTTGATAGACCAATTCAAGTTACATTAGGTCAAGAATGTCCATTGAAAATCGACTAGACATTCTAACCGCTACATGATTCTTGCTTGGGTCAAACGCAGCACCAGCAATCTGGGCCGCCACTCAAGCTCGATATATATCTGCTTGGAAAATCTCGTTCCGGATAAGTGTTGTTTTAACATGCTTCAGTGTAAACAGTCGTTCCGAGACAATACAGGTGAATAGTAATTTGTTTATATACCTAGGTACTATAGAATGCAGGCTTGAACAACCCTGGAAGATGAGGAACATTTCGTCAGATAAACACCGGATACGTACCGACTGCTTTGGTGGTTTGACAGCGGAAATCACGGGGCTATCTAATCATATGTCGATGGGATGTTGAGCATGACCAACTTCTAAAGTTGAACTCCATTGATTTTGTGGTGTATGTTTCTGGAGAAACACCGCTGTGACTAGACTCGAGAAATTCCTCAGAGAGGGGGACTACAGTAACTTGATGAATCCCATGGGTCCATCCGCTCCAAACTGACCTTTGGGCTCAAATATGGCTGGCTCGGTCGACACTTGGCCAGGTCTGGGCCAAACAGGTCGTTTGGAATCATTTTATTTCTATCATTTGATACCATTTGTATGTATCAATTCGCCTTTTTGTTTTCTTCGTATTTTCCTAGAGAGAGTCGAACTTCCTCGAGGCGAGTCTGGGGCGGACGGCGTGCTGTAGACTGTGCCAGCTGGCGACAGCTGTGCCCCAGCTGCACCGGCCAGGATCACCTGCCCAAGCTTCAAGATGCCTACGACGACAGCGGTCCGCTCAGACCAGCCTGCACTGATAACACCCCCTTTCGTCAACTTCACCATGGATCAGTCACAGACTTTGCCGATACGCGGGCATGTTCGGAACAAGTCTTCAACGAGCAGGTGTAAGTCTATCGGCATGAGCCTTCATTCAAGCCCGAAACAGACGCCGTTCTAGTGACGCCGATCTGCGCCATGAAGCTGCATGCACACCACGCACCTAGTCCCAAGGCGTAGGACACTGGCTGATCTGATGTCTAGCAACGAGGCCTCGGTCCTCAACCAAGGGCCCACTCGATGCCGATGAGTGAGTCTTCTCACAGCCTGGTTGCTTGTATCATTCATAACTGAAGCCTGGAGCACAGCGACCCCCTAGCTTCGCCCCTGTCTCCTCAGCAGGCAAAGCATCTGGTTCCATCCCGCCCACTATCTCAGCGCGGCAGCCCACGGGTTTCTATCGACAGGCCTCGTGCATCCCCTCGCTCCCCAGGGCCCCGTCGGGCTGCCAGTCCAGCCATTCTACCACCCAAGGACTTCTCCTATCTGCTGCGGCCTGAGGTCTACCACCCCTTGACGCCTGTCACAGTCCCGCCTCCCTTCCGCAATTCAAGCAAGCAACCACCTCCAGATTCACCAATCGACGAGCTACTTTCAAGGGGCCACTTCCGTGCCGCGGCTATCGCAGCCGTCCAGGCGCTGACTGGCACCGGAGGCCAACCCGCGCCGGCACCCACGGACTATGCCAGGATCTTCGAGCTGCTCTACGTGCGGCTGTCATGCCTGACGCTCATAGATTCTACCCAGATTGCGGCCCAAGAGGTCCGGGCCCTCGAAGATGTCAACAGTGCCATTTACATGGATGAGATATCTGGCACCCACCTCGTGCCTTGGGACCTACGTGTCTTGATCGTCCGCTTGCAAGCCATGGGCTTCGGCGACCCTAGAAGGGCCATCATGAGCTACTACGATCTTGCGAGGGAGGCCCGGTCCGAGATAGCGACGGCATTAGCCAATCACAATAATTCGGCCAGTGAGGTCTGGAAAGACCGCCTGGTGGATTTGGGCATGAAGGTGGCTGGCGCAATGATCGAGATGGACGACCTCGCAGGTGCAGCACATCACCTCGCAGGTCTAAAGAGTCGCCCAGATGGAAAGCTAAACATCGCGAAGGCCCTCCTGTGGCTGCATCTCGGCAACACTGACGCTGCCAGACAGTGCATAAAGGACGGCGAGTCCGGCGAGAGGATCATATCCGCCCTGTGCGGCATGGCTGATGGCGAATACGAGACTGCCCTCTCGACATGGAAAGAACTCCGAGATGAGATGGGCGATGATGAGATGATTGCTGTCAATTTGGCTGTGTGCCTGCTCTATACAGGTAAAATGGAGGAGGTATAGTTGGTTTCTCAATCTCTTGCACGCATCGAGGCTAACGCATGGAAGGGACGCGAGATATTGGAGAGCCTGGTTGACCGCGGTTTCTCCTCGCATACCCTGTTGTTCAACCTGGCGACAATATTCGAACTCTGCACTGATAGGTCACGGAGCTTGAAGACCAAGCTCGTGGAACGAGTGGCTGCGTTGGAGCCTTCAACCTCAGGGTGGGAGAAGGCAAACGGTGACTTCAAACTCTGAAAACGCATTGCCATCACGAATCAAGTCTTGATGAGACAACCGCACTGGATGCAGGACCTGCCCAAATATATTGCTGTGGATGGTGGCACAGCTGGCCGCATTCGATGACCGCCAATGACAAATCAATCCCAATCGCTGGAAACACCAGCCCCATGCGCCGAAGGAAACCACACCTAGCCGTCCTCTGACCACCAACACGCTCAGATAATGCAACAGTCGCAAGGTAGGGGGCACGGGACGCAGAAACAAAAGCGTCCCGGGCAACACCGGCTGCGGTCGCCACCTCGCATCCGAGGAGTTGTATCAGCGATGGTGTGCGGTCGCTGAGGGTCTGTGTGCCAAGGTCAGCTCTGAGCACCGCTTGAAAATGACATGGTCCTGAGAGAGCAAATCTTACCCATCGGCGGGGATACTCTTGGCTGTGTCACTTCTATCCTCGGGGGCGGCGCGGGGAGACTCTGTTCGTCCACCACATTGCATTGAGGTTGGTTCTCCACTGGCGACATTGTGCTGCTCGGGTTGTGGAGGATGGTCCGTGGGAAGATAGCTGCAGTCTTTCCTTTGGCTACAGGCGGATGGTTTGTAGCGCAAGCACTTCGTCCCTGGGCAATGCTGCTTCGGTTGTGATGACAAGCTGAAAATGAACAGGCCAGATACCGTAACTTGCTGGAAAGAGAACTGGGCTTGGTCGCCTTTTTCAAATGCGTGCCGTGGGCTCACTGGAGCTCAATCAACCGCAGCGTCACCCCCACCTTTCAGGCCGAGTCAGGCTTTAGTGACCATGGCCCCCCCAACCGGCCCCTATCATTCGTGGCTGAGAGGCGTGCCCGTTTCATGCTGTGCATTGCTCGATTTGCTGGCGAGCCTGCTAGCGCCCTCGTGCTAACAATTAAACCTGCTGTGCAGCCAAGCGCCAGCCGGGATGCTGTCTTGCTCCGCATTACCGCAGGGCGTTTCAATCCCCGAACACGCAGACACGCGCGTCCCGAGGCACTGCCAGCGGTCGGGCCATTAAAATCCCTGCGTCATACGTGACATCACCCCCACCGAGGCGAAGTCAACCAGCTCTTCGCCGTTGATCTCTCTCGGCGCTTGCAATGCACCAGAACAAGCTTACTAGGCGTTGCGTTGGCTCGGACTCTTCGGTGTTTCTAGTTGTCTGCGGCATGGTCCGAGATTAGTAGACACTATCCCATCGTATTGGCAAAAGCATGCGGTCGGCAACACAACGCAGATCGTCTTCAGTGGTTGTCAGATCTCACATTGTATTGGCGAGATCCCCAGATTCATGGCAGCAGGAGAAAGACTCAGATAAGAGATATCACAATTCTACCTATTACCTCAGCTCTAGTCTTGTGTGAAGCAAACGCAGGGCCCACTGATGCCTAATTAGGCAACTTTCATGCACTCCCGGTTGCAGAAGCCCACGTGCTGGTCGTCAACGTCCAAATAGCCACAACGAGCCGCTCTTCAACTCATATGTGGGAATATTCTGATCTGGCCTCCACCTGTACCTGCTCACCAAGCTTCAACAGATCATTGTGGACTCGAGAATCTACATTGCACTCGATCTAGGCTCCGTGATTCTCGCTGACTGATGCCTTCCAAAATCGAACGTTTAATATGTGGTGTATGTCGCTACGTTGGCAATTAACTGCAGCATGATCTTCGTGCCACAAACTCCAACTTATGCCAATGCCTGAATGTGCATATATGCGCCCTTAACCATCTACACTGACAACAATTGTGGTCAGGCTCGTCGACGCTCCAAAGTATCTTGTCGCCAGGACCGGGGTGACCACGTCCAACACCTCCCAGCAGTCAACGTCCATCTTTGGGTACAGACACTGCCGCAGGCTGTCTGTGCTTCTGAGCATGATAAGTGCGCCCGGCTTCATGGCCTTGGCGACCGCGATCAGCAGATCCCTCTTGTCCCTTTCCGTCTCACCGATGAGCGCAGCAAAGTGGACGAGGTCACAGTCGCCCAGATCCGAAAGCGCCATCACCTCTGTGCCCGTGCGGTCAACCGAGGCGTCGTTCCCAGCTTCGGACGATGACGGGCTCGAAGCCGCCACCGCGACCTCAGCACGCACAAAAGTCATGTTCCCCGAGAACTCGTGCCCCAGCGAGAGGGCCACCCGCTGGCCGTGGTCGATCGCCTCCTCGCTGCGGTCGATGTTGACAATCTCCACCTCCCGGCCTAGCCTCTCCCGGAAACACAGGGCTGAGAACGGGGTGGGCCCGGACCCCAGGAAGGCGATCTTGCGCACCGGCGGCAGACCCTTTTCGCCGAGCGCGGTGTCGAGAGTGTTTGTCTCCATGCGTGCGAGCTGGCGGTACTGGTCCAGGTAGGGGAAGCTCTCGTACAGCCGCCGGCAGTCGGGGACCGAGGGCGACCCTGAGATGACCTTGCGCGCAAAGTCGAGCTCGAGGAGGTACTCGGCGTCACCCCACACCTGCCGCAGTTCTGGGATGATGGCTTGTATGCGTGGGTCCGAGAGGATCTGTCCACAATGGTTAGCGGGTTCGAGATCAGAGCGTGAGCCAAGTCGGAGGGGGGGAGGTTGAGCAATCACCTGTTCTTCCTGAGTGGTGGTGGTTTTTGAGATGGTCACGAGATCAAACAGCTGGTTGAAGAGTCTTCCGTTGATCGGATCTGGCTGTAGGGTCTCGAGCTCTCGCAGTTTACCGAACAATGTCAGTATGCCAAGGGTGATGCGCTCGGCTGTGTCTTCGTGGTATGGCAGTTTCGTGGCCACGCGTTCCACGGTGTTGCTGTGGCTCCCATTTTGTCTCGTGTCGACGGTCATGGTTGCAGATGGACTGTGCTGTACAGCGTACAAAGATGGCGGAGGAAGGAGGATACAAGCAGGCAGCCAAAATCTGTGAGTTTTAAATAGTCTCGAGGTACCCCCGCGGGGGCAGTTACGACTAGGGTGAATGAAGTGAGTTGGATTCAGCAGCGTGTGCAGGCCACATGTGATTCATCGCCTCGCTGCAGGTCAGAGTGATAAACAGAGAGAAGCAACAAAAACATTCCGTATGACCAAGCCACCTGGGTGGGTGATCAACAACGCCTGGGCCAAGTCGTGCGCAGTTACTAGCAGACGCGTGCCCGCGGTGTCCGCCGAAAACCTGGTGAAGCTTTGCCCATGTTGTGTTCACCTGGGCACCCAGGTCCACCCAGCAGAGACGCCCTAGACTGTCGAGGGCGGGCAGATTCATTGGTGAAACCTTCTTTGCTGCCCCGAAAAACAACACTATACGGGTGTAGTCGCATCTCGTCAACGGCCATATCCTTGCAGACCGCGGGCCATCAGGGTCCCCTCCACCCTTGTCCATCCATGCAGAACAACTCACACCACCATTATTATTGACCTACACAGGTAGCCCGTGTGACTTTGGATGGCGGGAGCTAGCTGCCTTGCCAAGCACGCTCGAACATCCCATTGCCCTCTCACCCGCGCCCCCTTCTTCCAGAATGTGGCTGCTCGGCCTTCTATATGACCCAGAGAAAGCCCTCCCGGCAGAGAGCCAGCGTGCTCCAGTCCCGAACTTCCGGCTTCCACCTGGACTGGATCATGGAGAGCTCGGGCCGAACTTTACGGCACGCCGAGTCCGCGGGACTTTTGTCACCTTCTCACCTCGGCCGCCGCCCGAGGTCCAGATATGCTGGTCCCTGCAAACATCCCACGCCGATCCTCTCAAGTGACTTCCGCCTCACTCACGTGGCTCTCACTGATGGTCTTATCACAACGTGGGACTCACATCCTCCAGTCATTTGTAACGTGTTCTGGCCAATATCCCTCACTACCTGCCTAGGTAGGTACCTGTTAAAAATCCTAGCAAAGCCTATTGAGAGCCTGAGAATCCCCATTGCAGCTTCATCATTAATGCGTTTGATTGTAGATCTACATGGGGCTGATAGCTCGGGCGAGTCCCCTTGCTCCCGACCCCCACGCTCTTTAATAATGTCATAAGAAATATGTGATAATAACCTATAGTCGGCAGATTGGTGCAAGCTTAAAGACACTATCTCCTGTATTCCTGATGCGCAATATGGAACCCAGTGGTACTTTGTTCCGTAGAATGCATGTGACCATAACAACTTATATTTGACTCAGTCAGCACACATGTACAGGGCACGCTGGACCTGGTTCAACTCGCCAGACTTAGACACTGGGTAGAAAGTAGAACTCAATGGTTACACAGGTAGAGGTCATAGTTTCTTCAAAGTGCTTTCGTTTCTAATACCCATATATATAAAACATACGTGGCGCCTTCATACAGTGGTAAACGCTCAAGACCCATCGTTTATAAAAAAACACAATGATCAAACTTTACACAACCAGTTGTACGTCCGTCCCCGGTGATCTACCTCGATTTGCACGGTAAAGTCTTATCTGGAAGGGCTTTTAAGGCAGTGCAGCCTAGTCTTCACAATCCTCCTTCCCATCACCTAGAAACACAAGTCAAATTACCAAAAGTCCCAAGGATCAAAGCAGCATGAGCTTTTATTGTGTGAGCTTTTATTGTGTGAAAGCTCTCAAGCACTCGACTTCATTGAAATTAATCTACTTGTTGCTTGAACCATAAACAGGTTGATCAAGACCAGAGTTTCCCATCATATGGTTTGGAATTCAAGCAATATATTTCTGCCCTACAAAGAGGCTGGAGTGCAGAAGAATTGCGGTCTTTCACCCCCTTCCCTTGCCTTCAGTGTATTTCCAGATAAACGCCCGACAGTGCCGTACCGTCACCTCGAACGAGAAAGTGGCTATGAACAATATGAGAATGTTTCAAGTTTAGCATACAATACAGAATTGATTGATTTGCAAATATAATATGCATAGATTGGTTACCGAAAATCAATGCTCCCGTTGCACCACCACTGTGCTAATTTTGGAAGTACGCCACTTAGGAGTTCTCAGCTGTGAGGTGGGATGCTTAGACTTGCTGCATAAGTTACCAGAGGGTTGTATTCTGAGAATACTTTTCAGTTCCTGTGCATGTATGTGCTGTCGTGTTCAGGTTTCACGTGTCACAGCGTCTTCAACATCGCATTCAGTTCGCATTCTGTTTCCAGCACAGGAAAAAGCAAAGACCCAGAGCCCCGGCTCATGCGAGCACGGAAGCTAAACATTCCTCTGGCCACATGTCTCCTAATATCACCTACTTCTTTCCGCCAGCAGATCCCTTGGCTGATCGTATATAGGACCACAAGACAGCGGGCTGAGACAAGATTGACAAGCACTGCCTTACGTGGGCACTACCGCATCCCTCGGTAACCAATTGAAACGAGGGCGTCCATCACCACCCAAAGGTGTTGCGAGCCCCGAAGGTGGCCCGTCTGCCACGGACCACGAAATACACGCTCCGTCCAATGAACAGCTGGTTACATGCATCACGATTCCCCAGTTTTGGAACACCTGTGCCGGCCTCCCCCAGCGGTGCCACCCTCCAACCCGGGGCAGAGCACAAAAGTCCCTAAGCCTTCAAGCCGAGTGGGGGAGAGGTTTGGGGCAGCACACCACCCCTCGGTCTCACAAGAAGGATGGAGGAAGCCCGGCGATCGCACACGGGTTGCATGCCCGCTCTTTTACGCTCTGGGATCTGGTTCGTGCATTTTCGATTGTGCAACCCTGAAGCCTGCAGCTCCCTTTTCAGCTTGGTCATCTTCGGTAGTGCTCTGATGCCGCCATGTGTCCCACGCGCCCCTCTGAGGCTTACGCTACGTCAGTTGCCCTTGGGTCTTACACAGAGGTGTGTATAAAAAGACTTGTGGTATCCGACAACTGTGCGCTAGCATTCTTACATTGTCATTTTGGCCACCTTTCTTTCCCAAAGATCACATTCCATGGCTAAGCGAATAGCTCTCGTGAGTACAGTCCCGCTGCCACGTGAAACCGGTCGAGTGCATTATGAGCCCTCTTGGTGGCACCGCTGGACTGGTGTCCAGGGCAGGTAATGGGAAGAATCCACCGTCAGAAACCTCGGCAATCATACTCGAGGGTTGGGCAGAAGGATTTAGGTGAGATGCGGTCCCCTTCCATCAATCCCAAATATCAGATGCAGCAGTGGGACGTCACTTGCCCAGCCCTGGAGGCTGTCATCTGCTATCAGAGGGTTGCTCGTTGCTAATAAAGCTTTCACGTCTAGTACGTAGCGCCATCATTGCGTGTCTTAGGTCTAGTAGCCTTAGTACTGACAAAAGTCATGTATATAGTGATTGGCGCATTGGTTGTCATGATGGGTATCACAATCGCCAACATGCGCAAAGGCGTTATTCTTCACAAACTAATTCTCCTTGAAGTGCGTGCCTGAGACCACACCTCCGATGGTCCCATAATAGTCACAGCTAACTGACTCAGATGTTATGCACTCAGCTTCTTCTCGGCGGATGGCAGGGCTACAACCTATTCTGGACGAACCCGACTTACGGATGGTGGCTCTCTATTGCTGCTACCTTTCTCCATATTTCCAACGGGTTACACAATCTCATCGCATGGATGAAAATCAAACCTTTCATGACCAAGCGGAGCAGCCGTATTTTTATTTCCACAATCATCCTTGTGCAGCCTTACTGGATAGTGGAAATATATGCCACCTTTGCCTTCTTCAACGACCTTCCTAACCGCAACCTTTTCTCAAAAACGAGGCCCATCGAGACCATCTTCCGCGACCCTTGGTGGGTCGCCGCGTGCATCAAGCTGATCTGGACGCTCAAGCGGCACTACGAGATGACCTTCACCCAGGTCGTCGTAATTTCTCCGAGGTTCGCCGTCATGCTAGCCGCCATGGCACTGAGCATTATTTTCTGCCTCCTCGATATTGTCTCCGTCACAGGCGCGCTGGGGGACGCCCTGCCCACGGGGGTGAACCCGTTCTGGAAGCTGGCGTTGGTTTTCAAGTGTCTCACAGACACTCTCGTGCTGGACGACTTCAAGACAGCACTGGACAAGCTGTGGACATTGAGGAGGGAGAGTCTTGGGTCTGGCACGCCACTGGTACCGAGGCAAGATGCCACAACCGTTAAGGCCCGGCCTGATGGGGCAGGCCATGTTCCGGCGCACAGGGGGCCAGGGCCCTCGAATTTTGATCATTTTGAGCTACAACCTCCAAGTAGCGTTCGCGGAATTGTTTAGCATAGTTCAATTTGGTCTGCGCAGTATATAGATTTCAAAATACAGGCTGCATAGTCTCAACCTTGGAAGTCAACTGCGTATCAAGAACCGGTCCGCCGGTCCCGAGACGGAGTTCTGTCGTCTGCCCTAACCCTGTCTGCCCTCGGTTTCAAGTATAGAAGAGGCGTTTTCCCCGCAAAATTGGCGATCATTATTGCCGAGACCTTTGCGATGGAATCGCTTCACGAGAGGCACACTAGACTGAATAGTCTACTTGGTTAGTCAGGTCCTACCCGTTCGGCGTTCGGCTTGTACATTTGATACCGAGACCTCCTACTTCAGATCTCCAAGTCATGGCTCAGGCTATGGTATTTAAATTACTGATGACTTGCTTCGCCTGAACCCAATCAACCACAAGACGTCAAAAGATTCATCCTATCAGCTAGTACATACGTCTCGAAATGGCTAGAAAGGGGTTTGAAAACATCATTATCGTAGGCGCTGGGCCGTCAGGGCTCTTGCTCGCCCTACTGCTTTCAAAGCATGGCATACCAGTTACCGTGGTCGAGATGTCGCACGAGCTGGACCAACAGCCTCGAGCAGCACATTATGGCCCAGCCGCGACCCCGGACTTGAGGCGAGCTGGAGTTTTGGACAAGGTCAAGTCCGAGGGTATGACCCTGGACACTATGTGTTGGCGTCGCGCCGAGGACCATGGCTATATCGCCGGATTCAACGCCGAGGTCATCTCTAACGTGGACGGCAACGACTGTCGCACCGTTTGTCTTCCATTACAGGACTTGGACAAGCTTATGCTGGATCTTTTTGTGGACAAGTATAATGGCAACATCCTGTGGAAACACAAAGTCGTCGACGTCGGTCAAGATGAGAACAAAGCGTGGATTGACGTCGAGGCTCCGGACGGGAAGAAGCGGCTGGAGGCAGACTACGTTGTCGGCTGCGACGGTGCGAACAGCGCCGTCAGAAGGGCATTATTTGGCAGTGACTACCCTGGCTTTACTTGGGATGCTCAAATTATCGCAACTAATGTAAGTCTCGGTTCTATACTTGCACCCCGCTTCTCTCATTCTGCTGCTCGCTGTCAGTGAACTATTATACTGATCATTGGTATCAAAGACTTATTATGATTTCGAGGGCAAGTTTGGGTTTGACGATGCCAACTTCATTATACACCCTGAGCACTTCTTTGTGAGTTTTTATGTTCCCAGCCCTGTGGCGAATGCAGAATCCTGATGAAACCCACGACGTGAAGATGGCAGCAAAGATTACGCGCGACGGCCTGTACCGTGTCACCTATGGCGAAACGCCCGGCCTGTCTACTGAAGAATATAAAGAAAGGCAACCGTGGAAGTTTGAGACAATGCTCCCTGGAAATCCGAAGCCGGATGAGTACAAGATGATCAACTTCGCGCCGTACAAAATGCATCAACGATGCGCAACCAAATTCCGAGTTGGCCGCATTCTCCTGGCCGCCGACGCCGCACATCTCTGTAACCCGTGGGGCGGACTTGGGATTACGGGCGGATTTGTGGATTGTGGAGGCCTCTTCGACTGTCTCGCTGGCATATGGGATGGCAAAGCCGACGACTCTATCCTAGACTTGTACAGCGAGAAGAGGATCGAGAAGTGGAAGACTATCATCGATCCAATTTCGCAGGAGAACTTCCGTCGCGTGTCCGACAAAGACCCAGCGACCAGGTACGAGAGGGATGAATTTATGCACTTGTTGACCAAGGGGCAGACGGACAAGGCTTTCTTGAAAGAATTGCTCATGGGAACCTTTGATGTAAGATATGATTTTACTCAGCATTATCATAATGCTGCGAAGGCGGCATAGATGATCTGCTGGGAATACAATTATCACGAAGAGCCGTTGGCAAAGGGAACTGTGGTCTGTAATTACAATGTCACTTTTCAAGATCATACTAAGAGAACAAATGATGAGAGTTTGCTCCGAATTCGTAATACGTCCCCGAACAATGTTCGGCGCGAGTATTTATGGTTCGAGATATGCTCGACTAAGTAGAAAATGACAGGCCTTGAAGAACCGACAGTCAGGAAATACCTAGGTAGGCACTTTTCCCGTGGTCATCGCGACCAAGTTCTACACCAGTAGACATACTAGAATGGGTGCTGTCCAAAAAACGCAACATCGCCGTCTCAAGCTTGGCTCCAGCACAGCTTGAACATATCCCAGCTTCCATACTTGATCCTGCCGAATCTTCATGATAACTCGATCTCTCTAGCAGTCTCAGAGCACACCAGCAAAGGGCTTTGCTGACCCAAACACATCACGAAAGGTTGAATACTTGCACGACCAGTTCGTCGTGTGTCGAGGATCTAACAAATGACTGGACGTAGGGAGTCAGTTACATGTCCAATCATAAGCTTGGGGGTTTTATGGGCTTCAAATGAGTTACTGACATTCCTGACAACACCGAGGGCCAGATTTAGCACTAATGACTGCTGGTTCGATGCCATTCTCGCATCTGACCGCCAAACTTGTGAGTTGACCGTATCGTCGATGGTCGGGAGAGAAGGCATGCTGGAACTAGGAACAACGATTGTTCGAAAGAGGGTGCAACGCTGGGCGGCTGTGGGCATGCTGTTCCTCAGCAGCTTCATGTACGACAGGAAGTCCAGGGAACTGTCGAGATCCAACACGGAATCCAGCATGCTGGTGCTGTTGCATAGTAGGAGGAGGAGCGGTGGGAAAGCGCATCGGCATGGCAGGGGCGACGGGAATCCTCTGGTCCGACGGCTTCCAGTGCTCCGGGTCGCAAGGGTCGCAGTGGAAGAAGCACCTAACCTCGGGGTGCTCGCGGACGAGCGCCATCTTGGCCGCCTCAGCCTGGCACCTGAAGCTGCCGAAGCGGTACTCGACGACGGCGTCGGTGTTATCGCCATTGAGGCCATCGCTGTGGGTAATGATGCAGTCGATCTGGAACTGGAGCTTTGTGCAGAAGTACTCGGTAAGGGTGGTCGGGTTGACAAAGCTGGGGTCGCCGCCGATGAGCAGCACGCGCGTGGTCGACCGGGCATGCTCCTGCTGGGCCGTCTTGATGCGGTTCCACATGACGCGCACGCCGAAGCCTTCGACTGTGAAGCCTCTCTCCTCGCAGGCTCTGTAGAAAGCCTTGGCCGCGGTGAGCTCGAAGAAGATGACCTTGGCGGCGCAGCCGTAGTGCTTGCGGTCCGGCTCAGGTGCGTTGATGTGAGTGGCGTAGATGCGGCCAGTGGGGCCCATGGCATGAATAGCAGTGATGAGACGATGTGTTGTGAGGGCCGGCGGCAAGTTGACCAGGAAAAGTGAGCAGTTGAGCTCGTCGGGGATATTGGCAGATCGGTTGCGTGGCAAGTTCGGATCTCCGTGATACTCTGGACTGAAACCGAGAGCGACCTTGGATGGCGCATTGGACTCGTCAGCATGGACTGAGTTCTTTGCGACATCGAAAGGAATGTTGCGGGCCTTGTCGCTTACCAGAATGGGTTTGGGATATTTGAGTTCGGCGAGGCCAGGGTGCATGGCGAGAGGTTGCTCTGCGAGTGACAGCTCTGCTATACCATGGATGCTGTTCATGGGCCAATAGTACTTTTCGGATGCCGCCTTTTCGGATGGACCAGCTCCACCAGAGAATACGCCAGAATAGTTGGGCTGCATGGGCTGGCGTATGGGCAAGACGAAATTCTGGACAGGATCATGACCTTGGAAAGTCTGCATGGACCCATGTTGGTCCTTAAAGGCATCAGGGATGGCCACAGCTTTCTGGCCAGGCTCTTTGGCAATCTTCATGAGATGTCGATGAGCATCGTCGTATTGAGAAAACCGCGTAGGTGTGTCAAAATTTCCAACCCTCGCTCGCCAACCAAGATCCATCAGATGATTCCGGGGCGAGCTGTCTGTCATGTTTCTCGGCGGAACAAAAGTCCAGTTGGACGGGGTATTCACCACTTGACCTGGTTTATTGTGTTGGACTGGCGTGGCCGGAACGGGAGCGAGATTCTCCTTGTTGGCTCTGACATGAGCCGGAATGCCCGATTCATTGGGGGTTTGATAAGACATGATGACTGGACTCTTGTAGGAGGGAGAAGAAGAGGTGAGAAGTACCAAAGGAGATGCGAGGGTGTCAACAGAAGAATGTGTTGTAAGATCAAAATGGTGTGACAGGCCCGTGGGAAAAAACAGCATGATATATAGTTTTGATAAGGCTTCCTTCCCCCAGGCTGTGCAAACAAGGGTTCCTGCCTCAGACACCTCAGGAATCACCTCATAATGGAATGTAGCTAACTTTAGAAAGGTTCTAGGTTCTTGTTGATACAAAATGGCGTAGTCATCGTCAAAGGCACCTGTCGAGCACGGCAAAAGTCTCAGGCTCGCTGACTCACTCTGCTCCGAATCTCTTGGATTTGTATTTCTACCGGGTACGCCTATCGACAACATTCCAAAAGGCCTTCATTATAAACAGAAGTTTTCCACTCAAATCCTCTTAGATGTGCCTACACATGTATCTAGGTAGATATGGCATTTGTCCAATCGTCAGCAAATGCGCCTGATAGCTCGTGTCAGGTGGTAGCAGCATCAAACGAAAATCCAGTAGTGTTGGAAAAGACTGGCGAGATTGGAGCAGACCATGGAAACCAGTTCTTGAAGCGTAGCCAAAAGCGAGAATGAATCCAGCGCGGATTGTCGTCTTCCATCATACAATAGCGCTTTTACCCATGGGTTGAAAGTGCCGCTTGACTTGGATTCTGTAAATCCATCTCAAATCAGAGCAATGCTGGACCGTAGGTTTATAAGCCGAAAGCTTGTCTCTGTTACAGGCTCTGAGAGCCCGGGCTACCATCAACGTGCGTATGAACGAGGAAGGTAAACAAGGGCAAGCATGTATCTGTGGGCCTCGTTGGATTGATTGCACGCGAGCTGAGTCTTCGTTCCCATGGCTAATAGCCCGCACACGATATTTCAATACATATTCACGTTTATTCTATTCATACTCGATCCCACATTCTACTGAGATAGACAGTTTGAGGCTCTGAATGAAACCTGGCCACGTCTTTTGTGTGAATGTGATCTCAGAACTTCATCCGCATTCAACGTCCGCGATAAGTTTTGAGCATTGCAAAATTGACGGACGGACGAAATGTACGGAAAAGATAGTCTTGCATAGAAAACGCAATCGCAGGCTTCCTGTGGGAATTGCCAGTGCATTTTCAGGCTGCATAATTGACAAAGAGGTGTTGATGTTGGGACATTGATACCTTACTCGACTGAAAAGTTGACAAAAGCGGAGGCAAAAGAGGATAGGGTATTGCGGAGACGCAATCGAGGATGGCCATGACAACCCTGGCAGTCTTCCGGGCATAATGAAACAACTTTCGAGTAAGAACGAGTTCAGCCCTCGAGGACTGAAGGGTGCCCCCACAAACACTCACAAAGTCGACTCTTTGTCCTTTTCCTTTGCAGCAGACATCCCTGGCTCGCGACTTTATTGTACATTGTTCCGTGCCCGAAAACAGCAGAGGCTTACACTCGAACAAAGATAGAGGGATTCGAACATGAAACTGCAATCAGTTCGGCTCGATCTCAACTGTGGACGTAGGACCTCCTGAATTATTACCAGATATGCGTTTCCAGCAATAAATATACTTCTTTCACAACTGCACGCTACGAATCAGACAGGCCTCGGCTTTGGAGGAGCCCCAGAGGCTGCAGTAAAATCATCATCGCTTAATCCGAGACCAGCGGGTTTTGTGTTTTTCGAAAGGCTCGAACGGAATGGACGCGATCAGGGTCAAAAAGCAGTCTCCGGCCAAAAGGCGGGCGGACGGAGTCATTCGTCGTCCAGGCCAAACAGCAAAAAAGCGGCAAGCGACAACTCCGCCCCGAATGACTCGATCTATGCTTAAGAAGCTCAACGAGAATGGAGGGTCACCTGTAGAACTCAACCCAGGGCTGGATATGGGTGTCAAGCGACGGGGTCCAAGAACAACACGGCCTCCGAAGCGACCTGCGCAGGACCAAGATATTACAGACAGTGTCAAGCAGATCGTTACAAAAAAGAGAAAGGCAGCAAAAGCACAAACCAGAGAGTACAAAACTGGAGGAATTGAGCCTGCAAAACCAGAACCTGCAGAGCAAGAGCCCAAGGAACTGGAACACACAGTGCCCAAGCTTGCCGAGCCACAAGTCACGGAGTCACAGCCTGTGGGGCTACAAACCACAAGATCACAACCCGCAGAGCCGCAGCTCGTAACGGCACAGGCCTCAGTACCAGTGACGGCAGCACCAGAAAATACAACATCGCAGCCGGGAGATTTGCACACAAGGATCTCAAAAGCCGATGTTGCTGCGGCGTCTCGACTCGCCCAGGCAGCACTTGCGGCAGGACTTACGAGAACAACTCCGGAGCCTGCGACCCCTGTGGTTGAAGAACGCCCAAGGCTTGTGCGCTTTTCGAAAAAAGACCTCAGGGATATTCTAAGTGAGGTCGTGGTGGATGACAGAACCCGTCAGAGAATGGAGCCTCACTGGCTCGCGAGGACGGAATTCCTCACATGGTGGGAGCGGCCCGCGGCCGACACGGACCACATCAAGGAGCAAGTCCGCAGGCTGGCAATACGGTGGAGCAAGGACCTCCAGGCTCGAAGTCCTGATGATTCGTCTATACCTACACCCATCCTGGAATCATGGCGAGCTGACCTCGTCATCATGGGTGGCCCTGAACAGGACGTAGGCGGCAATGGGGCTGAGAACGAAGGTGCGAAAGTGACACAGGATCAAAATTCAGACGATTATGGACCGGTAAGACGAGAGCAGAGCAAGAATGAAGTCGGGATGGAAGGAGATGGAAGGACTGAGGTCAAGAAGCAGGGGGGTGACGGAGTAGATCAAGTTGAGGGAGCCGACGACAACCCCAGGGCTGCAGAAGCACTCGCCGAAGAACTGATGATGGCAATGCGAGAAATGGTTGAATGGAAGAACTATTTTGACAAGGAAATGGCAGCTCAGCCGGAGTTCAGGAGGAGGCGTGCCTGGACTACGGTCGTATCGGAGTCTCAGCAGGAAGCGACGGCACTCGAAGAAGCAGCACGGGACCTGGGCATGCGCATACACCAGTTTGGATTGTCCACAGATTTGGCCGAGAAATCCGCGCAACCTTTGCTGAGTGACCTGCGGAGTTTCAGGCATAAGCTCAAAATGGACCGCGCGGCATTTTGGGATGAGTTCGATGAAGAAGGAGCAGAGGCTTTGTTAGAAAAGGCGCGAAGCGGTGGGAACGCTGAGGCACAGATACGAGATGACACTCAGCAAAGCGAAATGCAGACGGCCAAGGCAGTCATAGAGGCAAGGCTCCCGTCAGAGCCTGTGGTCGAGGGCACATCTCTGACCGAGAGGGACTCCGAGGGCGAGACCGCGAGTGAGCCGGAGAAGGCTGCCATCCAGGCGGCGGATATTCAAACACCCACCAAAGACGACACCAGTATGACAGATATTGAAGACCGCAACGACGTCGTAGCTGGCGATGAACGTATTTCAGGATCTGAAACAGGACAGGCTGAACCCCTTTCCGAAGTAGCGAATAGTGACAGCGAACCGGCGTCAATGCCTGTCGGACCAGAGCACAAGCCAGAAGGAAAGCCCAGTGAGGGATCCCTCGACCCCGATCAGCATGATGAATCTGCTTCGATAATGACAGAGCCATTGGTGGAGAGCAACAGTAAAGTCGCAGAGCTCCACCAATGGCGCGACGCTGAACGATTTGCACGTAAAAGCCCCATGGGCCTGCCGAGGGTAGCAGAAGAAAAGGAGTTCGATGCATCGCCTGTAGCCAAGCCTCAAGAGCAGGGTAAAGAAAGGGAAAGACCAGAAGCGGCACAGATGGATCCTCATAGAGAACCTACTTCTTGTGTGCCGGAGAGGAGCGGCGGTCAGAGCCCATCTCGACAACGTCCAGGTCGAGAACAACAAGCGTCCAAGGTAACCAGGCTTTCTGCCGCGGTCACTGCGGAGGGACAACCAAACCCTTTCCGCGAGGCCAGGATATGCATCGCTGCTCATTTGTACAAATCCGCAACAATCGAGGAAGGCAGTAGCGAAGGAGATCGCACAAACAATCAAGCCTCGACATCCCCTGACACAACCGGGATGTTTACGCCGGAGACGAACTCTGCGGCATCTAGAACCCGTTCAGCGAGCCCAGAGATAGTCACCTGCAAATCACAAAACGAGGAGGATGACAAGTCTTCCATTGCCTCCAATATCTCCAGTTTGCCTGGCGATCCAGGCTCTCCTGGGCCCGGCCAGTCAGAGACTGCTGAGGGAGTCGGGGAGGGAGTCGGGGAGGGAGACGTCGGGGGCACGCCTCCAGATACCCAGGACGACGTCGCCTTGGCAGAAGACACAAGCTTGCCGCAAGACGTTAATTCTTCCGTGGCGGTCGTATCCATAGGGAACACCGAGGAAGTCAGTGGCACCATAGAAGAGGCGGTGGAGGACATCTCGCCCAGCACTCATATAAAGAGGTTGCTAGAGGAAGTAAGCATGCCACGGGATATGGGCGCTTCGATCACCAGCGAACTGTCACGGCAATTGGAGGAAAGTGACGGCAAGCCAGAAGGGACAGCAGACCGTGACCCTACTCCGAAGTCACCGCAAGGTACAGGCCACACGGCGTCCGGCATCCCGTCAGGCAGCGACGTGGGGTTGAAAATCCAAGTCGAACAAGCCGTCGAGGACGGTGCTGCCCCTGGTGCTGCCCCTGATGCAACCCCTCTTCCACAAACAAGCAGCATTGGAGGTGACATTGACTCCCCCCCAGCCCGGAGCGTCCAGGAGAGCACGCTTGTTGTTCCAACTGTGCGGTACATTAAGCCGCAGTGGGAGGATACGGGTAGCCTGTTCAGTCCTGAGGAGCCCACGTACAGCTATAGTGCGAACGAGGCGGAGGAAGACGACGGCGACGAGGCCAACTCTATCGATGATAAAGAAACCGATGACGTTGATCCATGAATCGGACATGACGACGTTGCGGATCGCGGGTATGGGTCCGGGCGACTTGGAGTTTGGACTTGGAAGACGGTCGAAGTCTTAAGAGAACCTGGAGCTCGCCAGGTGGATTAGATTGCTGCGAACATTGAGCTTTTGATTTACCTGTATATGAGTCCCGAGGTTTAACCTATCGAAACGCCGAGCCATGCTTGCTGTTCCCAAGATGCCGCCGCCATCCGTGGTCTCTGGGCGGACCGACCGTACATAAAGCGTCCAGTGTATTAGTTCGTAGCGCGTGGATCATGCCGTGCCACCCGACCCCCAGCGTCATCATAAGCCCATATCGTCATCACTCTCCTCATACCCGGCACCGTCGGCGCCTTCCTCGTCCTCCTCCCGGCGCGTGGCCTCGGCACTGGCGCCGAGCTTCCTGACGCCGTCGACGACGCCGAGCACGAACCCCCTGTTCTCGGCCAGCTCCATGGCGCCCACGCCGCGGAGGTTCATGACGCCGCCGCCGAACTGCTCGAGCTGGGTGGTGCTGCCCCGGAGCTTGGCCGAGCGCACCTCGACCAGGTCGCGCAGCAGGCCCCTGATCTCGCCGGCGGGGGCGGACATGTCGTCGGGCGCGTGGGCCAGCAGCATCTCGGCCGTCTCGAGCCAGTGGTAGGGCAGGTACCCGGCGGGGGACTCGGCGGTGGAGCTCGGCAGGAAGGGCGGCGAGAGGAGGGCTGCGCCCTCGCCCTCGCCGTCGTCGCCGCCACCGCCGCCCAGGGCCGAGGTGTTGAGGCGGTGGGCGACGCCGCGGCTGTCAGCCCGTACTGGTGGCGGGGGTGGTTTGCTGAAGGCTGTGGGATCTTCTCTCGTTTCCTGGCGGATGATCTCGGCGAGTGACAAGGGGTGGAGCCATGCTGGTGGCACGATGTTGGCGCGACGTTGCTTCTTGAGGAGGAGGGCGAGCCAGAGGGGGAGTTGGGCACGATGCGGTGGTCGGAGGGGAGGAGTTGTGCCCTGGGCAAAAGACAGTCAGCGTGATGCTTGTATGTGAGCTGTGAGCGTGGGCAGGACGAACACTGAGAAGCTCTATACTGTCCAGGCGCCCTCTCGGGACGACCGTCACCATTTCCATCTCGCAGAGGAACGAGACCTCTGCGGGCGTCAGGCCCGGCGGGTGTGGGTGGGCCATTCTGTGCTTTTGGAGGCTGCTGTCATGCCATGGAGGAAGGCCTGGGCTATGGGCATGGACGGTCTGAGAATTGGTGACTTTGCGCCGGCATACCGCGCCGTATCATGCACAGTACGTGGGGTCGATGCTGACCCGCAGCGGTCGTCATATTCCGACCAGACGCGCCTCGACGCGACCCTCTTCCCGGGGTTGTCTGCCTGCCCAGGGAGTACCCCAACCCCGATATGTTGCGCCTGCCACAGCAATTCGACATGAGCTCGAGACGGACCCCGTCAGCAACACGCTGTGCTGCTTCATGATATTATGAACCCGGGGAGATCCAAAAAAAGAAAGGCACATCTACAGTGGTTGATTATCTGATTAATTTTATTTCGACTGGACGGTGATGAGAGGGACTGCATAGCACGCTAATTGTGGACGATCACACTCGGGCGAGGCATTCGATCGATCAATCAATCACTCACTTCACACATTTACGGAGGTACGCAATCACTCACTCACTCATTGATTGCATCACTCAGCACACTCTCACAGGATCTCCTCGGGCAGCACAACCACCCAGTTCTTGTCAGCAGTCACCTCGAGCCCGAGGTCCGCCTGCTGGCCCGCAAAGTCCTCGATCATCTCGCTGATGCCCTCCCAGGCAGACGACGACCGGTTCACCCACAGGTGGATCCCGCCCTTGGACACGTCCACGCCGTGGAACTGCATGGGCCCGTCGCTGTTTGGCGTGTCGCCGCCCGCCAGCACCGGCATGCGCCAGTTGTCGATGAAGGTCAGGATCGCCGCAAACTTGCCCGCCATCCACGTCGCCGGCGTCGACAGGTACGCCGTGTAGACGAGGTCCAGGTTGGCCGAGGGGTCGTACTCGCCCTCCTCGATCTGCCTCCTCGCCGTCACGAGGTCGCCGCTCGTCGTGTTGCGCAGGAAGCACGTCACCCCGATCACGTTCTCCGCCGGCACGTTGTACCCGTACTTTGGGTCCGACGCCACCATGCGCACCAGCTCCTCCGACGCCGCCGAGATCACGTACACGGCGATGCCGTTGGCCATGAGCCGGTTGTACAGCTCCGCCTGCCCCCGGAAGATGCGCGGCGGGCTGACCTCCACCGCCACCGCCTCGCCGCTGTCCTCGTCGTAGTACGTCGTCGATACCGTCCCGTTGTGCGCGAGCAGGTCGTCCACGTGGCCCTTGAGCTCCCGCAGCGTCAGCCCCGCGAACACCTGCGCCGACCACGGGTAGCAGAGCAGCTCGTCCATGTCGCACAGCCGCAGGTAGTAGCTGTACATCGACTCCGTGTGCGTCGCGTTGTCCCGGAACGGGATCAGCTTCAGCGACGGGTCGAGCGACTCCCGCGTCAGGACCCCCTTGTTGTCCAGCCACGGGATGAGCGACTCCTCCAGGTCGAACCTGTACGAGGTGTTGTCCATGTCAAAGACGGCGTAGTCTGGGACCCTGTCAGCAACCTGCGTTACACGACCGAACCATAAGGCACGTCCTGTACTCACTGCTCGAGTTCGCATTCTTAGCGATCATGGCGTCCAGCGACGCCGCCGCCTCGGCCGGCCAGTGCGTCAGGGACGGACCCGCCAGCGTCGCATTGCCGTTCCTGCGCGCCGGGCCGGCGTTGACCGAAAGAGCCCACATGGCTCCGGTGAGCGTGCCGGCTATTCTTGTCGAGGGCCTCATCTTGCTTGTTTGCTAGCCCACTGCAGGGAAGACAAGTGCGTTCGTTGTGTGAGGGTCTTGTCGAAGTCGCAGCACGTCTTTCAGTCGGTCAGGGGGCCTGCGGAGCGGAGGAGGAGGCTTGCGCTGCAGCAGCATTTTCCCCATGACACTGACGGTCAACCTCTCTAGTTATACCTGCGTCTTTATCGGCCACAATCTAGGTTAGCGGCCGGAGCTGCAAGGGCAACGCGAGATTGCGGCCCGGGGTATCGGTGTTGATGGTCGTGGGGACTGGGAGCCGTGGGGACCCGCTCGGCAGTCGGTCATTGGACACCTGCGGGCCGTTTAATTACCTAGAAGCCGGGGAGAGTCATTCATTCGCTTTGCTTTGTTATCTCATTCTCTCAACTTTCAACATCTTCTTCTTCATTATACACATGACTGGTGCGTGCCCGGTACGGCACACGGCGGCCTCTCTCAGAATCAAGGAATCGCTCAGCCACTCCACCAAAGCATGAGTATTTGACCCCTAAGTGTGTTTGTTTTGTCCCACCCACCAGGATCCCGGGCGACGACACCAAGGCCCCGGTGCCGAAATCCCGACAAGCGATAGATAGACATGCAAGGCATGACTCGAGTCACTTACACGAGGCTTGACAAATGATATCACACTTTATCTCAATGAGCCGTGGTATCACAGAAGCGAGTCTCGAAAAACCAGTTTTGAACAGCATGTGCCGTATAGGGCCAATCTCGGGATGAAAACCATGCACGTGTCAACAACACAGAGGCTTCACATGCCGTTGTGCGGAATTCATACATAGTACTTCAACTGAGCTGAAATCACTCAACCGCTTCTCCTTCAACCGCACTGAGTTGCGCCGAGGAGTCCAAAACCGCTGCCTCCACAACGACAACGACCGGCGTGACTATTCAGATTCAATATTGTTAAATCTGTTGGGTCAAGGGCCATAATCCACGCTCGCTGTATCAACGCCACAAATGTTGCACTTTGCTTTCTTGTTCTGCGCTCCGTGCCGTGCCACAAAAAGAGTGTCGAATATGCAAAACAAGAACGGTCTTGTGCCATAGTCTCCACTGTACTAGAAGTAGCTGCGCATGGCATCCTGATACCCGGTGCCACCCTTCAGGTCACGATCAAAATTGACCTGGACATCCAGGATCTGTCTGACGTGCACCATCGACAGCGGCTCACCCTTATTGACCGCGAGTGCCTGCGCCCTAATGACGGTGTTCTTGATCTGTCTGCCGTTGAGGTCATGTCGGGCAAGTGTGTTGTACTCTTCCTCCGTGAAAGGTGTGCTGTCCACCTTTTGTTGCACCCGGGCCTTCTCCACAAACATCTTGAAAATGGCCTTCTTGGCCCTCGAGTCGAGTGGATCGTACCGCAGGGCAATGTGAATGCGCGACTGGAATGCGTCATCGAAAGTCTCCACCCGGTTCGTGGTGAGGAACAGGATGCCCTGGAAGTACTCCAGTTGTCGCAGGAAGATGCTGACGAGGGCGTTGCGGTGAATATCGTGCATATTGCGCTTCTCCAAGAAAACGTCCGCCTCGTCTAACAACAGGATTGCACCCCAGGCATGGCATATGTCAAGAATTCTCTGCAGCTCGCCCTCGAGGATACGTGAGTCCGTGCCAAGCTCACCAGCAGATACCATATATAATGGGCACTTCAAGAGCTCACTGATCCCCTCGGCGGTGAGGGTTTTGCCTGTGCCGGGTGGGCCATGAAGCACGGCTTCACATTGAGTCAGCGATTAGTGCAATCAAAAAAAAAAAAAAAAAAAAAAGAAGGAAACAGTAAGAAGGAGAGCCGGCTTACAAACAAGGCCTTTGCCTTTGCCCTGGATCACGTCGTCTATGGATTCCGCTGCATGATACTTGTGGGATTCGACGAGAGCCTGGTCGAGAGTTAGCTGATATCGCACGTATGAGGTGCACCGTGGCGTTTCTGCGGACCTTGACCGTCTCCTTGGTTGTCTTCTCCAAAACCAAAGACTCATATGCATCTTCGTTCCACCGGATCTCCTGGACTCCAGAAACTGTGAATTCCAGCCAGAGCTTCTCTCCAAAAGAAAAGCCGAGGACGACAGGGCTTGCAATTAGGTACTCCTCATCAGTCCATTCCGGTCTCTTCTTGGAGCCCTGCAGTATGCCTTCATCACTGCTGCTCTCAAGAGCAGCATCGTCCTGGGTTTCAACCTTGGACAGCTTCTCCTTATTCATGTCCTCGGCTTCGTCCTTGGTCATATGGACAAAGGAAACTCGTCCCTTGTTGTCCCTAAGAAGTTTTGTGACGAATTTGACTTTCTCTTCACCGTCCTCGAGGTGGTCCTTGTCCTGGGCTTCATCCTCCTCCGAGTCTGACCCAACAGGGCAGCAGGCGTCCTCATCAGACTGTTCATCCTCACTAAGGACGTCCTGTTCCTTGGGACGGACAAGTGAGATTGGATAATTCGGGTTGATCCTCCTGTGTATTGCTGGATCAATCATCACGCGACCGTTGACGTTCACCTTGATGATGGACTTCTTCTTCTTATAGTACGCCATGCCATGGTGAGACTTGTAGTGGACCCCACTGAGAGACACAAACTTCTTCCCTCGCTCGACGAGATCCTCTGTTATCTGTTTCTCGTTCTTGTGGTATTTGAGTGGGTAGCAACTGAGACTCGTGATCTTCTTGGCGCCACGGAACTCTCCGATTTCTTCCATCATGCGACCATACCCAAATTGCTTTCCATCGTACTCGAAATACTAGGGAAAAGTCAGCATTGAATCTTATATGTGCCAAAAGAACCCTGGGGGTGGGGAGGTTGCCCTGACCTTGCCGTCAACGTAGTAGAATTCACCCTTGGTGATGTGATAATGCTTCTCGGCAGTATCAACCTTGAAGACCCGAGGTTCATCGTGTGACCCGTAGGTTGTGGTATACGCAAGGGTACCTGGCTTCCACAAGGCCCAAAGAAGATCAAAGGTAATCAGTCCGTGCTCCAACATTGGGTAAAGACTCTTCTTGATGTGCTCGTAGTCCTTGTCAATGTATTCCACAAGAACCTTGAGATTGCGCCACTTGTTCACGGCCCACTTAGAGTCCTTCGTCTGGTCTTGCTTCTTCCTCGCTTGCTTCTTGATATTCTTCCGGAGACTCCTGGCGTATTCCCTCAGGTCCTCAAGGTAGAGGAACAACACGTTCGGATCAAGCTTGGGCGTCTCATCCACGAGACTGACACCCTTGATGTTGCCTATGACATCTTGAAGGCATTCGCGTAGAGCCTTGCTCTTAACGTCCACGACTGTGGCCTTGTATTTACCTTCCCAGTCAAAAGTGCGACGAACATGGAAACAGAATCCATCGTATTTCTTGTCGGAGGATGACTCTGCAGTATCCTGGAGCTTGAAGTTGTGGATGGAGTTATCCCACACCTGATCAACCCTCTTGAAATCGAACTTCTTGGTTTTCTTCTTCTGCGGGGCGTCCGCACCAGCAGGCAGCTTACTGCCTGTAGCGACGGGTCGGCGGCCGGGAATGACAGCACCTCGTCTCAGTGGATCATGTAAACCATCAAACCCCCCAAACTCCCCTTCCAATGTCTGACGGGCTTCGCTTCTGGCCGCGGCGAAGGGGTCAGCTCCCTGCAGACCTAATGTGGCTGATCGAGGCAAAGCACCACCAGAATTTGGCAGTAGACCCGATGTGATCGCCGGTCCGAGTGCATAGCCTAGGCCACCATGGCTGGGAAGCGGCGGAGGAGGAGCGGCTGCTTGAGCAAGCTGCTGAAGCTGAATGGCCCGCCGGACTTCCCGTTGGACCTGGAGCGCGAGCTGCTGCTTGAAGGCCTGATCCTTGGTTTTCTTTTGGGAATCTACCAGCGGCTCAGAGTCGTCCAGGTCGTCGCTGGAGGATAGCTGAGAAGAATCGGAGTCGGAGTCGGAGTCGGAGCTGGAAGCCACCGGAGGCTTGAGCTTGCTCTTGACCGGGCTCTTGTGTTTCTTTGAGCCTCCCATGGTCTTGAGATTTGGGGCCTCCTCTCGCTTCTTATTTGTGCGCCTGCGGCGTATAACAACGCCTTCATCTGCGGAATCACTATCTGAATCCATTCCCGTTGCATCATCATCATCATCATCATCGGAGGTAGAGGAAAGGTCGGAAGAGTCATTGATTGCGGCTCGCTTCTTCTTCTTCTTCTTGTTCTTCTTCTTGTCCTTCTTTGCCTTGCTCCCCTTGGACTGCTTCGTGCCAGATTTTCCCTTCGACTCAGATGGCTTGGAGACGTCCTTGGGCTTAGAAGGGGCGTCAGGACTGGGAGCGGCGTCGGTGGAGGTTGGCTTGCCGTCCTGGCCGAGGCGCGGGTTGGGAGGCTCGCCTTCCCTAATGATGCTGTCTTCTGGCTGTGTGATCGGGTCCATTTCGGGGGATGGCTGGGAGAATTTTCGCGGAAAACCGGTGGCTTGATTTCAGCACTCCAGGGAAGTGACAAGCAAACCACATGCGGGAGCAAGTGGGTACGTAATTATGGAGTAGTAGGCAGTAGGGAGGGGTATGGTGGTAAGTCTGCCGGGGGGCAAAGCTGGTGGATGTTGGGGAAGTATTTGGTAAAAGTGCAGAAAGATGAGGTGATAAAAACCTTGAAAGGCGCCAGAGGCCTGTCGATGGGCGGGTTGAAGTCGTAGACCAGACAGCCAGGCATGAGTGGGAGTGGGGCAGGTGCCTTGGGCGCAAGCTGAGGTACGAGCCTGCGTCGCCAGAGAAGAGGCAGGCGTGCACCTCTCTCCAAGTGAGGGTTCTGGCGTTGCTCACACAGCAGGACCAGACAGTCACAGATCAGGCGCAGACGGGGAACCTGCAGGTGAGGGTGCAACAACTTGAGGGTGCAAAGGAAGAAAGAAAGAAAAAAAGAGAAGAGGGTGCGAAAGAGGGTGAGGCTCGCAGAGTCCACAGGTTGAGAGGCAGAGAAGTCGGTCGGCGGACTTTGTGTTCCTGTTGCCTCGATGCGAGCTACTGCAGGGTGAAGACGTGCATGGGATGGATGGATGGGATGGCAGAAGAAGCGGCTGCAGGCGGACGGCCAATCAATGAGGCGAGGCGACAAGCCTGGATCGACTTGCATGCAGCCGACGACGACGCTGCTGGCGCTGCTGGCAAGGGGCCTGTAGGAGGAAGATTTATGATAGATACAGCAAGTACTAAACACGGATACGGTCACATGAGGCTGTCTGTTTGCTCGTCGGCCAGATGAACGGAGCGAGACGACAGCTGCCTTGGGAATAATTCGTTGGTCGGGCTCCGGTGACGAGATGTGACGGCGACATCCGGTCTCGCTGCAGTGACGCCATGTAACTACAGTACAAGAGGGGAAGACCTGAAAGTAGCAGCAGGCTAAGATACCACCGCTGAAGCCTGGACGCGGCGCAAGAGCTGCCTACAACATGGTACGTACTTACTTAAAGACCTAGGTAAGTAAACAGGAGACATCTACGTGTAGGTACCTACCTGCTGGGGCACCTAGGTACCCAGCAACCTGGACCTTGACAGCTGAGATCTGGGGAGCTGAACCCTGGACTTCGGGACCGGGGCCCCTCTTGCCGGGTGGATCTACCCTGTGGGTGTGGACCCAATTGGCCCCATCTGACATGCCCAGGGTGGGGCAGCCGGGTGAATGCTTGGCGGCCCGAGAGCGGTCTCCCGCTCAGCTCAGCAAACCAGCACCAACAACCCGCCATCGACCCAAGTGCAAATATACTCCGTACGTCACGTTCCCATATCGAGCACTTCTTCATCAGGTACTGTGCTAATAATGTCGAGACATCGCAGCTGAGATGTTCAGCTTTGCATCCCAGGATGCATGTATTTCCCAGGGAAATAACCGATGTGAGGTCGTCCAGGCAGACGGGCGGATCCTCTCGCAGGTGCGGCTTGCAGAGTCCAAAGTACGACGCTACGATGCGTCAATGGTTTTATTTTTGGACGAACAAGAGCCCGTAGCATCCGCTGTCACAATGCCTGGTGTGCCATTGTGCCAAACAGCCCACAGGGCCCTGTGCAGGCCCAGAGCGGGTTTGCGAGCCACCCGCCACCCTGCGAGACCGTCGACACGGCGCCGTTCATCCCAGAGCATCATCGCCATTGGACCGCTTCATCCGATGTACGACATGCCGTGAGAAGGGCCACCAGGCAGACTGAACCCTGCCACATGAGCCGTTGCCCCAGGCAGAGACACGGCCTGGAGGCATGAACAGGCGACGGCCAGGCCGCCTATGCCGCCGACAACTGTTGCCGGACGGATGAGCCTCTCTTGAGAACCACCCCCACCCTGTGGACAGACAGGATCCACCGAGCCTCAAACTCTAAATCGGCAGGCATTGCCCATGCATGCACGCAGCTTCGCTCCCACACTGTCGTTGCTATCGTGCACGATGCCTGTGGTAACAGTGACTGACGGATGCCATCAACAACACGTCAGCGACGCCCACCGATCGAGCCATCCCGTGACATTCTTGGCCCATTCAGTGTTGAGCCCCGGGCGTGACTACTGTCTCAACTGTGGTGCGCATCGCCACTGTTCTTGACCGCACTGATTCGGCGCTGGGGGCGAGGAACTGAGACATTGCGGGTTGATTCACGAATGAAATGACCCTGGCCTGCCTCACCATGCCTCTGAGTATACAAATATCAAACCATGCCATGCAATCTCATTATTCTGTACCTGTCCAGACCCAAGCCGGAGTCATGCCTTCATCGCCAATCCCGCCCATCGCCGTCGCCTGTTCCAGATGCCTAGTCTGCCAGTGCAGAAACCATGTCTTGCCTCCCCATTGCTCCGCGCTCTAAAGCTCCGCCGTCTCTCCGGACACCCAGGACCATCAGCCCGCGTAGGAGTGACCAGCAAAGCTCCTCCGCTTTGTCTTTTTCCTGGGAGACCGTCTCACGTTGCGCGGCGTGCCGGCATGCGAGTCCTCTGCGCTTGAATCCCTGACTTCCTCCTTCGGCTTGATGGGCGTGTCGGCCGACAGCTTCAGCGCTGCATTCGTCGCGGTGTCAGGTGTTCCATCAGCCACCTCTGGCTGGTCCTCCGGCTTGTTGTCGCTGGCAGTGTTCACATCCTCGCCACTGTTCTCTTCAACCGCCTGTGTGGGCTCCTCGACGGACGGCAGCATAGGGTATTCCACGTCCTGCTCAACACTGGTGATCACAGTGGTCTCCTGGACGCCCTCCATCGGCTCCCCAGAAGCATTTTCTCCAGCAGGCCTCTTTACGACCTCCTCCACCTCCACGACCGTCTGGCCCTCGCCGAGGGGCGACCGTGACGCATCCGTCAAGAGCTGGTCTCTGATCTTCGCAGGCGACGAGTCCGGCTCTTCATCCAGGCCCGTACCCGCGGTCGGTGGGCTAGCCGGGGGTTGTAGTCTTGGGGTAGTGCCCATCGCCAGCTTCCTCAGCTCCTTGATCTGCTCCTGCTGCCTCTTGACGAGATCCTCGAGCTCAGAAACCTTCTTGGACGTAGCCTTGGCCTTTTGCCTGTGAGGCCGGTACGTCTGGACCCGCAGAGCGTACCGCTCCTTTCTGCCCATCGGCTTGCCTGCTGACTCCAGTGACTTCTGCAGTTCCACGACGCCCCGATGCCTCCTTGTCTTTTTGTACAGGTCCCGCCTGTTGGCCCGGCGCTGTTTGCTCTTTGTCCTTGAATCATCCTTTGACTCTTGCTTTTCTGGCACTGTCTGTTTCTCAGTGGCCGTTGGGCTGACTGCTGATGTGGTCACGCCCGTAGGTGCTTCTGTTGCAACGGCCTCTGGTGCGGCAGCCGCCGCCTTGGACCTTGTCGTCCGTGCCATGGTCGGGTCCTTGTGGTGCAGATGAGAAGCCTAGGCCGCGGGTTGGTGCTACGCCTGGTTCTCTCTTGACTGTCTCATTCAAGTCCTTTTTCAAGGAGAATTCTGATAGGTTCCTTCACAGGTGATTTTAGTGAGTGATGTGTTGTTGAAACTTCATTTGCTTGTTTGCATCTGAAAATTTCAAATTTTTGACGGGCACGGTCCAGCGTTGAAGTGGGGCTTGCATCTAAACCCTGGACTCTCTCTGCCTCTGCACTTGCAGCGCTTTCACCCCAAATCGGAATGCGACACAGCTGATTTCGGGGGTTACATAACCAGCCTCGGCCTGTGAGGTCTTCTTAGTCAAGAGCTGACGACCGACGGACCAAAGATCCGTCGACGTCTCTTGATGAGGCTCACTCCACTTAGAGAGGAGGTAAAGGTTTCAACCTGGCACTGGGTGCTCGTCAGTGGGGCACGCTCTGTCACATGCTGGACAAAAAATCAAATAGCAGAATATGCCTCTCCCAAAAGATGAATGAAGCCTTGTTGATCTTAATGCCTCTACTGTACCGGTGGACCTATGTAGATATTGTGCGAGGTTGTCTGGCCTGGCTATCGGCCATCTCCACAGCAGTGGTGCTCGTTTAAAGCTGTTTCCGGATGGTAAGCCTGGGAAGTAGTTGTGTATGCAGGGGTGTTCTCCCGATTAATTTCGCCCTACTATATGCAGGAGACGGTAAATTGTAGATATTCTTCTGACGGCGGTGTTCCTCGAATTTCCAGTTGCACGCACCTGCGCTATGAAACGGTTCGAACATTCTAATCTTCGCTTTCTTGGTCTGGGACTCCCTAAAGTCCTTGTTCATCCCCTCCTGAATCATGACGATCCACTTGTGCCTTCCGCTGTATGACTTGGTTCACCAGCTATTGCTCCTTCGGCTCCGTTTGTCGACGAGTCTAGTCAACGGCTACAACAGAAGCGATTTTTGCTAGTCTTGTCTATGCGGCTGCCACTGGGCTTGTTAGCCCATGTGTCACAGACCATTGTGGTCTCGAACCGCTGTTGTGAGATTTGTATTTTACTTGCCCAGTTACAAATTTAAAAATGTTAGGTCTTTAAGCACTTGATGCCGCATGAAAGTATCATGAGTACCTTCAGATGTATACCGATACAGGCCGAGGACGAAACTTCTTGAGACTTGGTCACTTCCTTCCAAGTTGTGCTCACCACCCTGCTATAGGACTCGTCTAGATTATAACGTCTGGAGAGTCATGCATTACTACATTTCACAGACATTGTTGAGTATATCACTGCAAGGAATAATCTTCCCAAACTGAGAACTAATGGAGAAGTAAAGGCCATCATTGAGCCAGTTGGTCATCCAAGGTGAGCGCTATTCACTTATATGGTATGTGCTTGCTTTGGGACCCACAACTCTGGCCCTTTCCACGACTCACCTGTAAGTACAAAGCCATTTGTGCATTGCATGACAGATACAAGTAAAGGAGTCATGTAAGTGCGTAGCTTCTATAGTCTCAATTAACCAACTGCCGTCACGAGCAAAGTGTTACCTGATGTTGATGTGGAATGATGGGATCTCACAACTCCGAGATTCAACCCTCCCTTCTCCGTATTGATTCCTTTCTGTGCCCGTTCACGGGACCAGTGACGCCTATGATCGAAACATCAAAGGGGTGTATCGAAGCTACAGTCTGTCTAATAGAATACACCCAAAATGTTCATTTTAAGAAAAGGTTGTAATCGCCGAGAAGCCCCTAACTTGTCCCAAGAGCTGCACCACACCCCGCAAACCAGGAGCGTCGGGCCGAGGGTGGAGAGGGCCGTGGCAGCACCAAAAGCAACAACTTCGGATTGAAAGGGGTCGGATCAACGAGATCCCCCTTGCAGGGCCGGCCTGCTGGAGATGGGCCACTGGCAGGGCATGTATATATCACACCAACCCTCTTCCCGCCCGTTATGATAGAAGCTGAGAGCATATCCAGGAAAATGACATGATCACTTCAACATGGCAGCATCAGCATCAGCGCAGAAGGTGATGAGGAGTGCGCCCTCACGGGCACGGGGCACGATGAAGCGCCTCTTCGCCCTCGACGAGGCACCGCCCCTAGACCAGCTCGCCTTCATGTGCTCGCAGACGGCGACACGCGATCATTACCCTCTCGCAGCCACGGTAGAAAGGAACGTGCCCATCTACAACCTCCCTCCCTCTTACTCATCCCTACCGTCCGCGGAGCGCAGCGCCCTGCAAGACGAGTGGTACCGTATCCTGCACAGCGGACCGGGCGTGTTCGTGACCAAGGGCCTGTTCCGCGACCGCAGCCTGCTGGAGCGGTCCAACAAGGCCTTCTACTCCATCATCGAGCGGGAGCGCGCAGGCGGCGTGTCGCAGGGCGATCACTTTGCCGCCGCGGGGAAGAATGACCGCATCTGGAACTCGTTCAGCAAGCACGCCCTCGCCGACCCGGCCTCGTTTGCAGACTACTACGGGAACCCGTTCCTGGGCCTCATCTCGTCCGCATGGCTGGGCGGCGGGCACAGGATCACGGCGCAGGTGAACAATATCCGGCCGGGGTCCAAGGCCCAGGTCTGCCACCGGGACTACCACCTCGGCTTCCAGACGGCCGACGGCGCGGCACAGATACCCAGGGCGATGCACGTCGCGAGCCAGTTCCTCACGCTCCAGGGCGCCGTGGCGCACGTCGACGTCCCGCCGGAGAGCGGGCCCACGCGGCTGCTGCCCTTCTCGCAGACGTTCGAGCAAGGGTACATGGCCTACCGCCGGCAGGAGTTCGTCGACTACTTTGACGCGCACTATGTCGCCCTGCCCATGGAGCAGGGCGACGGCATCTTCTTCAACCCGGCGCTCTTCCACGCCGCGGGCGAGAACGTCAGCGCCGGCGTTAACCGCATGGCCAACCTGCTGCAGATCAGCAGCCCCTTTGGGAAGCCGATGGAGTCGGTCGACGCCTTGCCGCTGCTGGACGCGTGCTGGGACGAGATCGTCGCGAGGCACAGGAGGCAGGGGAGGAGTGATGCAGTGGATGCGCTGTTGTGTGCGATATTTGAGGGCTATGCGTTCCCCACCAACCTGGACAACAACCCTCCCCGGCCGGGAGGCCTGGCGCCCGTGTCTGAGCTTGATGTTGCCATCAGGGGTTTGGAGGAGGGATGGAGCAGAGAGAAGCTCGTAAGCGAGTTCAAGACTCATCGGGACATGTCACGGCCATGATGAGAGGCCGTGGAAGGAACATGAGTGTGCGCAAAAACTAAAAGATAAGAGAGCCTAAATTAAAAAGAAATGTCCAATCTATGAGCTCCTGTCCGATCTACCTAAGCTTTTGTCGACCCAGACCTGCCTTTCCTATATCCAACGCCAACCTGTCTGTATCCCCAGTCTGGTACGAAATTAGTCGAACACATCCGTGGCGTATCTCTCATTCCTCACAGCGTCGAAGCGCGCCGTCGCATCCTCAACACTCAGGTCCTTGCCATGGTTCACCCTGGCGCCCTCGACGTACATCTTGATCGCCACTTCTCTCACCGCATCGCCCACGCCGCGGGAACCGCAGACGTAGACCTTGGCCCCCTGATCCCATAGCGCCTGCACCTCCCTGCGGTCCTGCCACAGACGGTCTTGCACGTGGGCGCAGCCCTCGCTGGCCTCGGGCTTCCGGCTGTACGCGCGCCGCACATCCACCGCGCCGGCCGCCTGCCATTTGTCCAGCTCCTCGCGGTAGAGGTCGTCATGCTCCGGGCCCCGGCAGCCAAAGAAGAGGATCGCAGGCGCCAGCTTCCTGCCGGCGCCGAGCATGGCCGCCCGCTCCTGGATGAACCCGCGGAAAGGCGCGAGGCCCGAGCCCGCCGCGATGCACAGCACTGGCGTCCTCTCGCTGTCCACCGGCAGGTGGAAGCTCGCGTGCGACGGCCTGATCGCGACATGCAGCTTGTCGCCCGCCTCGAGGCTCGCGAGGTAGCTAGTGGCGACGCCCACGTGGCGCTGGCCATTCCCGGCAAGGGCTGGTGCATCGAGCACGGCGTAGGTCAGGGTCAGGTTGTTGGGGTTCCACAGCGGTGACGAGGATATGGAGTACTGGCGCACCCTCATTGGGGGAAGTAGTGAGAGGAAAGTGGCGAAAGGAAGCTCGACTGATGGGAACTTCTCCAGAAGATCCAGCACCGAGAGGCGTTTAGCACTGACTTCGGACAGGTAGTTGTCACCGCCCAAGTTGCTGAGCGCGGCCTTGGTCTCGTCGTCCTTTGCAGCCTCGGTCAGGGCTGCAACGCTGCGTTTTGTGGCTGGCTGGGCGAGCTCGACATAGGCACCGAGAACATCAGATGCCGGCACGGAGGAGCCGGTGGGCAGGGTGGTTTGGCTTTGGCTGCTGATGGTGATGTGGGCGTCCCACGGCAGTTGGAAGCGGCGGAGGGCTCGGTGCACAATGTCCTTGGGGTTGATGGGAAGAATCGCCAAGTAGTCTCCTGCAGAGTAGGACATGTCACTCGGCAGTTGGATTTCAATGTGCTTCTTCGTAGGAGCCTCAGGGGATGTGAGATTGCGGGTTTCGACAACGACAGCCTCCTTGACGTCTTGGCGAAGGGTCGAGGACCGAGGCGTCGAGATTTCGACCGAGAGTCCACCTTGCAGGGCCTCTCCATCCTTCTCGGCCCCATCGATCCCATACTTCACCTTCATAGCTGGCCAGAAGACCTCGTCCTCCCAGGACTCAAACTTGGTGAACATGTCACCATCGGCGGCGTCAGCCAGCCCCAGCGGCGCTATTCTCGATCCACCAAACTTCTCAATTGTCGCATCACACATTTTTGGGATCTTGTGGAATGTCGAAGACCAGTCATGGTGTCCACAGCCAAACACCGCATACGAAACGTTCTCCAGCTCCTTGCCCTTGAGACCTTGAATCCAGTTGCAGAATAAAGCTGCGTTGTCTGGTGGTTCACCCTCATAGGAAGCGGTGATGATGGCGACAGGCCTATCGGTGGGAAGATTCTCGTTAGCGGCGTCAAGAGAATCAACCACTGCGGCACTAAAGCCGTGGCTTAGCGCGTCCGAGGCAAGTCGCTGAGCAAAGGCCTCGCATGTGCCGCTGTTTGATCCGTAGTAGATAGCCATCGGCTTCCCCTTTGCCCCTGACTCCACCGAGAGGCTGGCTACTGAATTCTCGAGAGGGGTCGAGGGAGCAGTGGTACCGTTGAGACGGTGCTCCAGTTGGGTGGGGGTGAGGCCGTGCCGGAGTGAAGCCCGCATCAGGAAGTCCTTGGGCTTGATAGTCAGGGTCTGCTTGATGCTGAGGTGGTAGTTGGGGTCGTCCGGCATGAAGTTGAAATTTTGCAACAACATAGCCATAACCAAAACAGCCTCCTGCCAGGCGAACGGCCTTCCGATGCAAGCTCTCATGCCGTTCCCGAAGGGCTTCCAAGAATTGGGGAATTCCCTGTTCAGTTTGTTGAAGTTATCTTCCAGCATCCTGTCCGGGATGAAGTCGTGGGCAGTCTCGCCGAAGACAGCGGGATCGACCTGAGACTTGGCAACAAGAAGCGCGATGGACTCGTGGGCGCCGACTGCATACTTGCCGCCAAGGACTGTATCTTGAAGCGGCTTCACCGAGATGGTGGGGATGGTGGCAGTGAGCCTGAGGGTTTCCCTCAAAACGGCCTGGATGTATTGCAGCTTCTTCACGTGGTCGACCATGATGGGTCCGGTCCCGACAACCTCGTCCACTTCCTGCTGGGCCTTCTTGTAAGTCTCGGGGTTCTTCAGGAGGTTGTAGAATGCAAATGAGAGCATTCCTGATGTGGTCTCATGGCCAGCAATGAGGAAGGTGATCAGATTGTCGGTGATGGACTGGTCGGTCATCTTCTGCCCAGTCTTTGGGTCCACCCCGTTCAACATAGCGTTGAGGAGATCCTTCCGGTCGGTGGGATTCTCTTTTCTCGCCTTGAGCACGTCGTCGGCTGTTTTCCTGAGGATCTCAATATCGCGCTCGTACTTGCGGTCGACCTCGCGATAGAAAATAGATGTGAAAGGTGGGCGTCTCGTCTTGTTGCCGGACTCGACCAGAAAATCTCCCATAGCCTCAATGAATGGGTGCATCTCGTCATGATAGAACGAGTTGAATCTATGACCAGTCTCAGCCAGAAATTCTCATCTCAGTTGTGACCCAGGTGGGGAGATTTACCTGTAGTCCATGGAGCAAAGGGCGAGGGTGTCGAGGGTCAGCCTCGTAAACTCGTCTGTGACCATGATGGGCTGGCTCGGGCCATGGCGAGCCCACTTCATCGCCAGCTGGTTCGCAATATCGTGCATCTCAGGGAACATGGCCTGGATGCTCATGGGTCCGAACGCAGGCATCAAGACTCGGTGAGCAATGCCCCAGTTGGGCTCGTCGGCATGGGCGGTGAAAAGGCCGTCGTGGACGCCAGCTCTGACCTCCTGAAGAACCTTGGCGACATCCTTCTTGAAGCGCTTCTCGTCGCAGACCTCGTTGACCAGGGCTTGTGAGGAAACAACGACCACACTTCTTCCGGGGAGACTTAGTCGATAGATTTCCTGTGCCAACATGTGAGCATGAGATGACAGGCAGGGCATTGGGCGTCTAGGGACAGGCTTATTACTTACACCGTATTTGTCTGCCATGTTGATCATGGACCCGAGGGGAAACTCTGGGTTGATGTCGTTGATGTTGCCCAGGAGTGGCAGCCCAGGGGGCTGTGGGATGGGCACTGTGTTGTCCGCCATGTTGTCGAGTCTGCCGGCGTGTGAGGTGGACAATTGAGTTCAGGTTGGGGCCTGAGAGGGGGCGACACCAGAGGCCCGTCCAAGGCGATGGGCGTAGTATTATTATATATGGTGTCAGGTCTCGGCGAGGAGAAGAGCATTGTGGATGAACGGCGACCAAGCTGGAGCACGGTTCCAGATACACAGACACAATAGCACGGTATGGTATGGTCAACAGGGCCGGCGTCATTGGCTGTGGACGGCAAGCGGCGGTTCTCCAGCTCCACCAGCTCCTCGGCAAGCCCCTGCAGTGCAGCATGGGCATAGCATCATGCAATTCTGACGCTAATGACAATGTCGAGATAAAGTCACCCTGCAGGACATGACATAGCACCCAAGCTACGCGTGTGTACTATGTAGTGCTTTGTGCCATTCACATCATACACAGCGTGCACGGCCTTGGATCATGGGAGGCAAAGGCAGAGGCAAAGGACCGGAGACGGACTTGGGGCAAACCGGCCATCCAAGTCCGTCGGGGCCAACACGGTGGACGCTGAAAAGGCCGAGGGAGAACATGTGCATATTATTGATGAATTCTGTCGCAGCCACGCGGCCGTATGATGTTGCATTACGGTACCAAAAGATTGAACCGAATGGCGAGCGAATAAAGGGCTGAAGGGTGCAAATTTGATGCAAGGGAGAAACCTAGCAAAGCTGGGCCGGCTGGGGGTAGGGTTACACCCACCAGCAGGGGGTAACCTGCCGAGGTCGTCGGGACGGCCGGGTCCCACCTTGCCTGACCCTCTGACGTGCAGCAGAGACGCAACCTACAGGTGCCTAGGTACCTCGATACTTGCTAACTTATCCCTCGGGCCAAACCTTGCCCAAGTCACCAGGTACTGTGTGATTACTCTATCCGTACACGATCTGGATCTGGATCGGATCAGCTCGCTCTTCCGGGGCGGAGTCCTCCCAGCCAAGTCCACGGCATCGGCAGGGCGAAGGATACGGAGTACACCTCGTCAATCAATTTCTCCGAAGACCCATGGATTCGGCACGGCTGCAACGAACCCACCGCTCCCGTGGGCCTCGGCTGAAGAGCAAGAGATACGAAGCGAAGCCCCGAAAACCACACCACGCCATGCCATGCCATGCCATGTCCTCTTCTCTTGGACCAGGCAGTCGACAATCCTCGATGATTCTAGGTGGGGCAATCTGCTTGGTTTCCAAGGCTCCCTTCTGGATCGAATCTAAGCAAAGCATCTTGTCCCGCTAGGCCCCGCTGACTGACTCTTGCAAACCCTGCCTGCCAAAGAGCCAAACTCGATCCCTACTTGGGTATCGTAGCCAATGCCAAACCGGCGACGAAGCGGGGCAGCACAGGTTTTGAGTTTGCTGTGTACCATCCAAGTAAGCACTGCTACTCTGGCAGTTCATGTTCCTCCCAGAATAGATCATGTGCCAAGCGGCCCACGCCAACCCGTACGAAAGCGAACCTTCACGGCACATGGCACAGTCACTGGGTGCTGGGGTTTGATCACCACCAACTGCTTGGGCGCCTCTTGGCGTGCTCGTGCCGATCTCGAGAGTCTACCTTACACCCCCACGCACCTCCTACCTGACCTAAGCGACCTCCTAGCTTTGCTTTGGCAAGTAAAAAGGCTTTCGGCAGTCCAAAGTTGTTGCCCTGCAACGACACCGCCCCAGACGGTTTCAAAAATCCACAACCCTCAACAAGTACACCTCCTACCGGCAGCTAGGTCGTCATCGTCCCAAAGCCATTTCAGCCTCGGCCCATTGGGGATGGCACTGAGCCCAGTACTGTGCAATCAAACCGCAGCTCATCGGACGAACTACCCCGGAACCTCGATCGCTGTTCATTTGTGGTAATAATGGCTGCTCCGTTATGTCATTGGGCTGGACTTGAGACGAGGTGACTGCCAACCATTCATCCACCAGTCCTTGCTGAGGCTGAGGCTCCCCGGACCAATTCCTCCCTTCCCGCCTTCACATGGCAGCCCACGAGCCTCGGGGCCGTCCCGTCCTGCAGTCGCATCCTTCCCACCCTACTGGTAGAGATGCCCAATCGGGTTCGGATTGCTGCATGTGCATGGGGTGAAACATTCCTTGATCAATGACAGGACGGTAGTTCGATCGTTTGTCCTTCCGCTGCCAGGCCTATTACGGCAATTTGAGCGCAGAAAACGTGGCTGCATGACGTCGACCCAATCACTGCTCCGCCGTCCATATAGACTTGGATGTCAACATATACGATCATGACATCGAGCCTAGTCCTGGTAGCGGTCTAGCTTTGTCCGCTCCCGAGTGCTGCGAGACCATGTGTCTTGACGCATTCTCCCCGGAGCCGATGGATAAATACTACTAGTAGTGAGAGGGAGCCGCAAGACACCCGCTGTCCGCTCTTATAACCTCATTTTGATGTTGCCTGTCGCGAGTGTCCGTCGTCCCCAGCTGCCAGCTCGAGACTCGCGGTAGAATGGCGCCAGCCACAGAAGTCGCTGTTGCGGTTCCTCACCGCAAGCGACAGAGCGACTGTCCTGTATTATTCCCAACCGACTGTGGAGATGGATTCTGCTGTGGTCCCTCGAGTACTTGTGTCGAGTCGCGTGGAAGCACAATGTGTGCCTTCGCTGGGGGCCCCGTCAACTTCCCTGCCGCGCCTGGAGCAGCAACGCCATCACCAAGTGAGACAATCCCAATTGAAGTGCCTCAGGGTCGTATAGCAATGCGGAAGCAAATCTAACCATGAGCCTTGCTCCCAGCCCCATCTACAAGCGCGAGAACCTCTTCCAGCACGAAACTTCCGACCAGTACCACTCAGCCATCGACAGAACAAGTCTCCACCACAACGCCACCCCCCCAAAGCATGGGCACGGGGTCGGTCGCCGGGATAGCCGTCGGTTCTTCAATCGGAGGAATCATGCTCATCCTGTTCATCATATCCGCCCTGATGTGGTATCATCGGAGGAAGCAGCCACGCTCGGAGCGAGACGAGGGATTCAACCCGGCCACAGACAGCGTGCGCGCAATGATAGACAGTCCTCGAAACACAAGTTCTCAGGTGGTATCAATGTATGACCCGGCTGCCTGGCGCGAAAACTATTCGGCAGCGTCACCGCGGGAGTTAGACGGCCGCCCGTCGATGCAGTTTCCCAAGCATGTCGCCAGCGATGCCGAGCTGCGAGGGGCTGCGTCTTCGATTGTGTCTCCCGTAGGTACCGTTTCCTCACATGGAAGGATTTCGCACTCTTCTTCGGGATCATCCAGAATGTCTAGAGATGGCTTGGCTGTGCATGGGGGTGGGGCTCCTCCCTATGCTCGGAGGACTTCGACAAGGGGAACTCCAATTGCCGAGCTGGAATAATTGCTAAATTGATATCTAATCCTTCATACCCTCCTCATTAATTTAAATGTCATTTGTGACATTGCCATCTAATTTGCTAGCCTTTGTGTGCACATTTACACATTTACGTCCAACCTTGGAAGCAAATATATACCTTGTGCAGGCTGTCTACTTAGTTTGTTAACATCAATGGTTGTGTGAACCACACTTGCCTTGGTTTTATTCTGAGCTTCAGGTGTGGGAGAATTGGCAATCTTCTCGCCAAACAATCATAAAATCTGGTGTTCTACACAGGCTTCGTGATCAAATCCAGGTGCAACATAGTAGCATCAGCTCTACCTTTATTGTGGTTGACTGCAGTGGCCACTACCTAGATAGTCGGTGTTCCTCTGAAAACTACTGTGTTTTATCAGTCTCGTATCTAAAGCTTGCCATTTGAAGAGTATTGCGCACCTCATTCTTCCAGAAGATCACTTGTCACTTCTAGGAAAGCCACAATGAAGTAAAGGTCTATTTGGTATTTTTTTAGCTGTTCAAGTACTCAAACAGATATATTAAAGCACATGGTGCTTGTGCTTTGAGTCAATACCAAGCTTAGTCTTGAACTGAGACCCAGAGAGCCTCCGCGATCTCAAAGATACTAATTAGGTTCCAAGATACTGAATAGGTTGATAGCAGCACAACAATACTACAACACCGGAACAACACAGCACTGCTAAAGTCTTCCTCAAGTACTATACACTGCGTATAACAATACCCAACCGTGCAAATAATAGAAAGCCCATCAGTCTCTGAGAGTTGCAGGCAGCACAAAAAGAATATTTAGACCCTGCTCGGTTCTCGCGTCTCTGACTTCCACCCAACTTTCTGAAGAGGCTTTTGCAGATCAGTAATTCCGACGGTTATTCTTTCCGTGACAACCTGATATTTTGATTGCATCAGAGTCACTCTCACCCCCTATCCCAAGATGTCTGACCAAAACCCGCCTATTCGACAGACTGCCCTCACCTTCGGAGTCGAATACGAGTAAGTGATTGCCATGTGTTCATATAAACAAGCCCGTTGTATTTCATACTGTGTATGCAAGCTCTTCGTGATACTGAGAAGTGAATAGATTTATGACGGCGAATCGCCTAGCTAACACACCCAATCCGCACCCCAACGAGACTCGTTATGCTTTCCCACCAGCCCCACCACCTATGTCCCCCAACTTCTCTGGAATTTCGGCGGCAGACCAGGCGCAGAGTTATATCGTCGCCCTGCTAAAGGACGGAAACATCCCCGCCCTCAGTGAAATTCGTTTTGACCAAGGAGGTCTCGAGTATTTGCGCGGCAAGGCGCAAGAGCAAGGAGTCTTAGTAGACCCTGGCCGTATTGCAGCGCACAGTAAGTGCTGGCTTTCCCATATGATATGAATTACAAACAATCTACGATCAAAGCTGATGATGGGCTTCTTCAAGAGTTCTGGATGGTCTCCGAGGACGTGGGCATCACACCGATCGATCGCCAGGACATTCCCGGGTACGAGTTTGTGGGCATGGAAGTGGCATCCCGAGTCCTGAAGGAGACTCAGTTCCAAGAAGTGGAAAGGGTTTATTCCCTGATCAAGAGTAGGCTGCGGACGCAGGTCAACAGTTCTTGCGGGCTTCACGTCCACGTTGGCATCAACCACCTCTCGCTTGAGTCGACCAAGAAGCTAGTCACGCTTCTCATGATCTTGGAGGAGCAAAGCCTGTTCAAGGACATCTGTGCGCCGCACCGCGAATATAGCGGCTGGTGCGACCCTGTCTCGGAAAAGAGCCGGGCTGTGATGCGCGGTAGCAACCAAGCAAGGGACATCATCAACCCCCGCCTCGCCCTACATGTCCCGCAGGTCCCCTTTGGCGTGTCTGCCAACTTGCGCCTAGGCCTGGACCGCATCTGGAATTGTGAGACCATCGACGCGATTGCGAACGAGACAAAAGTCCACGGAGGCTACCACGCCTCCAAAAAAGACCCATGGTGCGAGCGGGGAGGGTTTGCCATCAGAAACGATACATGGGGCCTCGATATTGACGGCGAGATGGTTCTCGGAGATGTCACCATCGAATTCCGGTATAAGGAATCCACGGGGAGTGCCGTACAAGACAAACACTGGCTGAAGCTGTGCCTGTGTTTCGTCCGGGCGGCAGAGTGGTCGGTTGAGCAATTTCGACGCGCAATGCGGGACATACATGAGGCGAGAGATTTGGAGGGCAATTTGGCCAGTCTGGGTGTGGAAGAGAGCGAAAGACAGTGGTGGTCAAGGATAGCCCGACATCATCGGGAGCACCCATACCCGGTGAGGATGACACAATTCCTGGCAGCAGAGTAGTTTGGCCGGCTTTATTCGCGGTCGCATTCGAAGTCATTTTATTCCTTTCTCTTAGGAGACATAGCCCTGGAGAAACATGGTCATACTGAGATTGAGATTGTCACCCACAAAGATCGGATACTCACTCATTAATCCACTGTGACCCTTCTGAAAATGTTCTCTTATTTTTCAAGACACTGCTCCGAGCATTCATCTGCCACTATCAACTCCACAAGCTGTTATCACTTTTGAAAAAAAAAAAGCTATTCCAACTCTATACGGGTGAACAAATATGCACATGAAGTGCTTGGGTCCTTTTGAAGTAATAGACTAGGACTTGAAACCACAGCATAGATAGTTGCATGCTAGGTATCATATGGGCTGGCTATATTAGCACATTGAGCGTGCAATTAGATTGTAACAATGCCATTTAAGTTCTTTCAGCTTACCTCAAACCGTGGCATAGGAGCTCTTATACAGCCATATATAGAGTATCACTATAGACTTAGGAAGTCTTAAGGTCTGGTATTCTCCTTAGCCATATGCCCTATCTCTTCTAAGGTTCAGATGGTAGCCCCATCCCGTCCCAAGGTTCAGGTGGTAGCCCCGTCCCGTCCAAGGTTCAGATGGTGGTGACTTCCCTCACTGTCTCCGCTGTAAAAAATTGCACTACTCTCCACTAGTCTGAACAAAGACACTCAGTGATACTCTCATGCTTTTTCAACCAACTTTCTAAGTATTAGGTGCAGGAATTATAAGCAAGACTCCATGAGATATGCTAGGACAATGCTGTGAAAACAATTACTTAAAATACAGATATCTACCCAGGTACCTACTATATATCCTGTATTATTATGGTCTATCTAGGAATATCTTTTATGAGATGTCCTGATTTGTGAGATTTCTTTCATGGCATTCTTGGCAACTATCACCCCATTCCCTAGACAGCCGCTTTGCCCCCCCCCCCCACTCTATGCGGGACCCGGGGAGGCAGGAAGATTATCTTTTCTCAGCTTCGTGCCGGAACGGAGTAGCATAATAAGATGTTATCATGTGGAGACTCCGGAGCCCGCCGCAGCAGAGGGCGCAGTAGGTTACATCCAGCATTTGAATATCAATACGCATCAGTACCGGTATTGTTATCTTGCCGCACTTGGCGAATCGCCGGGGGATCGTGAAATCCCCGCTTTCTATCAGGCCCGGTGATCGGCCTGTTGGCTCCCCTAGCTTTCCGATAGTCTGGGCCGCTTCCCGGGCACGCTACCGGGTAGCCGCTACCGTCGCACCAACTATTGGTTAGAGCACCATTTCCCCCTTCCTTAATACCAGTAGATCAATCGGCCTTTGTCTCTGCTCAGTGCGCGTCATCAGATTTGCAGTTTTATTCCTCCTTACCTAGGTACCATTAGACATCTTGTGTTTACGATCCTACTCGCTAAGATGACTATCAATCAGGCAATCACGTCCGCAACCAATTCTTCCAGCTCTTCAGCTAAGACTGGAAAGAAAGAAACATGGGAAGAAATTGGAGCACGTAAGAGGGCAGCTCTCCTAGCTTCTATACCGGAAGAGTGGCGTGTCCCAGATCATCTTTTGCCTCCTGATTCTCAGGACGACGTGACAGGATGGCCGCAAACTTCCGGCTGGTTCACTGCTGAAGAGCTTGCCATCACCGAGCTCTCAGCTTCCGAACTCATACCGAAACTCGCGTCTGGCGCGCTCAAGTCTGTGGTTGTAACTCGGGCATTCTGCAAGAGGGCAGCAGCAGCTCACAAACTTGTACGCCGAATTCTGGCCCCCCTGTGAAGTCAATGCTAACCCTGTCAAAGACGAATTGTTTGTCTGAAACATGTTTTGCTCGCGCTCTCGAAACAGCAGAGGCCCGTGACGAGCATCTGGCTCGCACAGGAAAGCCACTGGGACCTCTACATGGGCTGCCCGTTTCATTGAAGGACAATTTCAATCTCAAAGGGCTCGATGCTACCGTCGGCTTCGCTAGCCACGTGGATGCCCCGGCTGAGTACGACTCAACGCTCGCCACCATACTCGAAGATGCAGGCGCTGTGTTCTACGTCAAAACGAATGTTCCAACAGCGATGATGATCGCTGAATCTGTCAACAACGTTTTCGGTCGAACGGTCAACCCTAGAAACAGGCAGGTGACCTCAGGCGGCAGCAGCGGCGGGGAGTCTGCCCTAATTGCATTCAAGGGCAGCTGCCTAGGCGTCGGAACAGACAGTAAGCAGCTTCTGGATACAATTCTTACCCCTTCAAGAACAAGTATACCCCATTCTCATCAATACAAGGATTTCGGTGCTATAATGTGTGAAGACGAGCTATAGCCACCTTGTGGCCCACTCCTGGCCCCATTATTGGTATTGAGCCACTCGTTACATTTTTTGATCGCTGACTCCCAATGCTGTAGTTGGTGGGAGCCTTCGGATTCCCGCTGCCTGTACGGGGATATTCACTCTAAAGCCCAGCTTTGGGCGCTTCCCTACACTCAAATGCCGTAGTGGCATGCCGGGGCAGGAGGCTGTTCAGAGCGTGAATGGGCCTCTGGCAAGGACCCTCGACGACATTGCCCTCGAAGCCAAGACGGTCGTTGACGCGGAACCATGGCTTCACGATCCTCGCATGGTTCCTATCCCGTGGAGGGAGATCAAGCTGCCCGAGAAGTTGAAGATCGCCGTGATGTGGAACGACGGAATCGTCACGCCAACGCCTCCTGTCTCACGAGCTCTGCGAGCCACGGTGGAGAAGCTGCAAGCCTCTGGGCATGAAATCGTAGCCTGGGACCCGAAAGATCAGGCGCAGGGAGTGCGGCTCTTGGACCGCATGTTCCTCGCAGACGGCGCGGTTTCGATTCGCAAAGAGCTCGAGCGAACTGGGGAACCTATCCGGCCCGAAATGCGGGCGTATTCAGAGGCCAACGAGCTTGGCACTTATGATATGTGGCAACTCCACCTTGAGAGGACAGAGTTTCAAAAGCGCTACCTGGACAGGTGGAAAGACGCAGGAATCGACGCGATTCTTTGTCCCACGACGCCATACAGCTCAGTGCGGAACGGAGGATTCAAATACGGTGCGTGAAAATCACCATTTGCAGCATTTAACCTGTGACCTCACCTACTGACATAACTCCAGTTGGGTATACCGGCGTTTTCAACGTCCTAGACTATTCTTCTGTCTCCTTCCCGACCGGGATATTTGGAGAAAAGGAAGTTGACGCGCCATCGAATGACCACAAGCCCCTGAGCGATATTTGCAAAACGACGCATGCTGAATGTGAGTCGGAAAGAACCATGTCAAACCTGGCGATTGAATATTGACACTGTTGCAGATGATGCAGAACTTGTCCATGGACTACCAGTAAGTCTGCAATTGGTTGCTGGGAGATTACAGGAAGAGAAGGTTATAGCAATGGTCCAGCGGATATTGGAGACTCTGTCGTAACTAGCATTTTGTCGTAGCCAGCTAGGTGTTGTGCATTTTCAGGTTATAAAAATGCTAGTAGGCATGACCTCAACCGAGGACTTTTCATTTTCATCAGTATGAATTGTCGGAATCAATTGATTCCATGAGATCCTCGGTTTCAGCTGTGTTGCCCAAATAAACACACCGGCTATACTGTATGAGCAATTGTTCTTGGTAAATGACACGAATGTGAAGATCGGACAACCGTAACTTAGAAGTATACAGCAGTACTCTTTTACTTGACCTGTATTTCTTCAAACGCTGGGTCTTGAGTGTTTACCACTGTATGAAGGCGCCACATACATTTTATATGTATGGGGATTAAAAACGAAACCACCCTTTTACTTGACAAAATAATCTTACTCCGCGAACTTTGGTCCGGTGTCCTCCTCGGCCTGTTCGCTCTCCGCATCATGCCCAAAACCTTCTACCCTCCTTTTCAGATCGTCCTTGTGATGGAACCACGACAAACCACCACACCAGACCGCAAGTGCAATGGACGTAGCGATCATTGCCCACATACCGCGCTGCGCGGTGAGTCAGAACTAGGCTTTGTTTTAACACATCGGTTGATTGGAAGACTCACATTGAACCATGGAGCCATTGACGCGCCGTAGAATATGATGGACCACCATGCGTTTATCGCATTACTCCCTAAATTCATGCCAGCCAAGACCACACCCCGGAACACTGGCTCCTCGAACCTCATCGCGTCGTTGCACCAGGCGAAAAATGTTGCCTGACATGCGTAGACTGCACCAGCCCAGTAGTAGGCGCCGAAGACTACTGCCGTGGACTTGGAGCTCGTCGGATCTCTGCCGGCCTGGAGTATCATTGCAGATGTCACGATGCCTGTGATGCCGATAAAATAGCCAACGAGATACCTCTTTCCACTCAGGAAGTCGGTGAGCGTGGCCCAGAACAGCGTTGAGATGATCCCAATAGCCGGCACGCCCGTTGGATAGTTGTTCAGCTGGGCCACCGTGTACTTGTTCTTTGGGTGGCTCTTCATGTAGAGTGCTAGAAGTGAGTTGCTGCTAAAGGATTCCGTCTCGCCGGCAATGATCCATAGGATAACGAAACCCCACCAGTACCAGGATGTCAGGACCTTCCTTAAGAATTGCCACGTCATGGGGCTGCGATCGTGGACCTCGGGCACGCGGGCTTGGGCCAGAGCCTTTTCGTTCTCGGTGAGATAGGAGGCTTTCGTGGTGGAGGGAGTATCTGGAAAGAGTAAGAAGCCGTACAAGGCGACTGGCAGGGTCATGATTCCGTCAACTGTGGATGGTTAGTGGTCAGTCTCTGGCGATGAGATTTGTTGCTCCTTCAGCTTTTCATACTAATAAATAGCCATCTCCAGCCGCTAAGACCCCGGATGCCATCCATGCTCTCATGAATGCCCGTCTGAATGAAGCCTCCGATACTTGGCACACATGTCAGCGCCGAGACACGACCAAGAGTCTGTCAGCCCGACTTACAGGGTTCCTGCAAGGCCTGATGCGGTAAAAATGCCGCTCCGCTTCCCAAGCTCGCGCTCAGTGTACCAAGCGCCAAGAATGTAATGAGTGCCGACGAACGTGCTGGCCTCAAAGATCCCCTGAAAGAATCGAATAGCCATGATGGAGCGAGGATCGTGGACGGAAGCAGTGACCATTGTCAAGCCAGCCCATACCAGCATCATACTGGGAAAGAAGAGGCGGGGGCGGACATAGTGGAGCGACAAGTTTGAGGGGATCTGGCCGAGGACATATCCCACAGTGAAGCAGGTGTTGATCTGATTCAACTGATTGCCAACGAAGCCTATCTCTTCTTTCATGCCTGAGACGTACGCATTGGCGAGGTTGCTGGCGCGTGTTAGTCACCTTCCAAGGTTGAGAGAACATTTGGATAGGAAGGGCGGAATGAGGAGAGGTGTGCCCACGAGCGATCGAGCTATGGCAGCCAAGTGTCAGTCAGGCATGCTAGCAGAGGAACTGCAGGGGCGATGCATCGAGGGCTCACGTAATTCATGAAGTAGCTTAGACAGCAGAAGGTGAGGATGAAAAAGTCGATCTTCTGGACCAGCAGCCGCTCCCCCGGCTGGTACTCCACCTTGAAGTACTCGCGAACGGCACGCGCCATTATGCAAATCCACACGGCTTGTATGTTAGTTCTAAAATTTGATCAGGAAGCTGTGTCTTGATGCGTCCGGAGCCGACATGGGGGCACCTGGGTGCTTGTGTGCCGCGCACTATATATCCATGCAGGTGCTGCGGTGGAGTCGGGCCTCTCGGTTTCGCTGAGTCGGCAGTGGGCACTGGGTTTGTTACGGCTGCCCTGCAGAAAAAAAGGGCGTGCGGCAAAGGCCCGGCCTCTAGCGCCAAGAACCCTGAACCCACCGGCTTGGCTCTTGGCTCCAATGTTGCATTTCACACGGCCCGGCACCACGATACCAGTTGGGCAGGGGTGGATGATAAGTGAGATAGTCTTGCATGCTTCTGATACAGAAAGATCGCTATCTGATATCTCCAAGGTCAGCCGTGCCGGACAGATGCCAGCTAGCCTTGAAATGGACAAGACTGTGGCTGCAAGGAAAGATGACCGCAGGTTGCAAGTGATTGCAATCCCGAGTATAATAAACCCTTGACGATGCCCCTTGGCCCGTGGCATTTGAGAAGCTCATGGCTACTTAAGTGCGTTTACATTAATGCAAAGCAGTGCTGTTCATCATACCTAGGTCCAGGGCTCTCTTTTGTGGGCCCGGTGACGACTCTTGAAGGCTAAGAGACACACATTCCCCTGCCAGCCCAGCCACATATTGTAGACAGACTGTCCCGTTTCACAACATCTTCCAATGGCATGCCTTTATGCTGCTTCAAACAGAATGAGCACATTCAAGCCTTGAGGGCATGTTCACGTTGGCAGCTTAACAATCATCATGCGCCTGTTTTCATAGTTTGAAGTCGAAGTGGATAAACTAACATACAACGCTAGAATTCATAATACATATCTCATACAAGAATGGACGTCGCATAATGATACAAATACACCACGGTTGACATCTAAGCCGAGTTGTACACAGCGACATACTCCGCCTGGTACACACCACCTGATGCAGTGCTCTCCAGGGGTGTTGCGTCGGCACCGTAATCCTTGTTCGGGAAAGAGCCGCCGATGGCGAGGTTCATGAGAACAAAGTGTCCTCGGTGAGCGATTTGAGCCCTGAGAGTACCACGTTAGTATTTGAAAGCCTCAGATTGTGGGTGCTGGTGGACCGGAACGGGCTGACTGACCAGACGTCCTCGGGGAGTTCTGATTGCTTGATCTCCTTGTACTGCTCATCGTCGACAAACCAGCGCATCGCCTCTTGGCCAGTTGTCGTGCGGTCTACCTCAAAGGTGTATGTGTGGAAGTTGCCTTGCGGCAGGGATTTGGGCGTGATTGATCCCGAGAGACCAGTAGTCTCGTTGCACACACCACCAGGGTTGGTGCCGCAGTGAAGAGTTCCGAATGTGGTCGGCTTGCAGTTGACGTTCTCCAAGATGTCAAACTCTCCAATAGACGGCCAGTTTCTGTACAAAGGATTGTCAGGGGCTGCGAATCGGAAAAGGTCCCAGATCGGATTTGAACTCACTGAAAGTTGCCACGGAAGTCTGCTCCCAGTGTCCAGAACGCTGGCCAATAACCAGCACAGGCTTCTCCCATGTCGGGCAGACTCAGGCTTGCTTGTATCCGCATCTTGCCGCCAGCAGCAGCCAGGAAATCCGTCCGCTGAGTCTCAATTCGAGCCGAGGTCCAGCTTGTGCCGGTCTTGACTGCCGTGATCTGAAGTGTACCGTTCCCGCTAACTTTCAGGTTTGCCGGATCAGATGTGTAGGTTTGAATCTCGCCGGTGCCCCAGTTAGCAGCACCTCCAGGGTAGGATGTTCCGGTGGAGACGATCCAATTGGCTGGGTTTGGAAGAGAGTTTGCCTCTCCGACAAAGTCATCACTCCACGTGACTTTAAAGCCCTCGATGTTAGGGACCGCAGCATTTGCGACTTGGAATGCAAAAGCCAGAACGAGTATCTTTGAGTAAGGCATGATGTCGATGATGTTGATGATAGAAAACGAGTCTCTCAATAATGATTGAAGGCAAGGGAAGGAGTGTTCTTGTGTGTAAAGACAGAAGAGTTATGATGGTGATGATGATGGTGATAGATATTCATGATATTCCTGAAGACATGAGATCATACTTATATTACTTCCCATTGCACGAATTTGAAGAGTATCTCGGTGGCTTGAAGACTTGCACACCGTCAAGATCGCATGTTGTCCCTTGCCCAGGTATCCACCTTTCATTACCCATTCTTGGAATTTGGCATATAGTGGTACGCACCAGGAATGTCACTGCAGCGTATAAACAAGCCAAGTATATCTTGTTTGATGTTTAAAGGTGTTCCGCCTAGAGGGTGCCTAGATTCAACCCCGGACACGTCGGGGATCTGCCTAGATAGCCGGAGTTGCTATTATTCCTCTCTGAACCGTTAGATATTCTACAAGCGAGGTGGCTGTGGTAGCCAAAAGTCGTGCACTCGACATCACGGCCAAGCTTTCTGTAGATATCTTGGGATGATCAGATGTATCGGATGAAACCAGGGCCCTGAGGACACCGGCTCCTTGAGCAAATCGGGCAAGCAGTCCGGGTCCCGTCGCGCGGTGGGCGCCTGTGTCTAAGGCATTGCCAGCCGAGTTGGATCTGGCATTGGTTGTTAAACAGAGACGTTTGGCCCCGAAATACCAAACTACCTAGGTACCCTGAACATCCAAAGCTTGGCCTGTTTGATGTGCCCGATCCCTGGCAGCCAGATTGGCGAACCTTTGGCGGCCCGCTATTGGCTGTAGAAGTTAAATATGGAGGAGCGCCGTAGATCGTCAAGGTTGCCCCTTGAGCGCCCTGATTGATTCACTAAGCATAGTGAACCCCATAATAGCGGCCGTTGCCTGTCAGATGATGCCAAGGGTGGGACAGAATGGGGCCAGGGTAGGGGCCAAGCGCGACAATAGTTTATTCGAAGGGTACAGATTACCTGAACCCCACACTACAAGGTATGTAGAGGATAGCTTGTCTGCAATGCTTTCTCGCTCCTGCAAAATTACTTACTCGTGTCTTGACGAGCGCGCGCGTATGGGCATGGGAGCTGTTGGTTGCGTTCGTGTGGTCTTCAGGTTTCCTCCTACTAGCACTATGACTAAACTTGGCGAAACACACAAGGCCCACTCATTTCAAACAACGCTACCAAAAAACCTTATAAATGCATTTTTAGATCATTGCACACTTACCTGCCATGTCCCCCACGAGTCGTAGAACTCGCCCTTGCCCTAAATGGTGTCACAGCTGATGCAGCATTCTTCCACCACTTTAAGGATTCCAGCGACCTATCTACAGCTTCCTTTCATCCAACACCATTTGACTTATATATAGCTCCTATCGCCCACTTCTCAATCAATCTGTCACTTTACTGGAAGCCCTGGAGCCGCGGTGAGCAGAATACCTAGGTATCCGGGATAGGCTGCGAGTCAGGACTTGCGTGAATTACGCTGGCGCAAACATAGTAACCAATATGCCCAGGTGGTGTCTTGCTGAGGTCTGAATTCATTGGTACACTATGCTGAGCTCGTCTTGGAGTAAATCAGAGCCCGCCTGCCAATTCCGCACGCCGCCTTTGCCCCGACTTAGGTACACTATCCCACACTAACAGACTATTATGAGAATCGCCCTCTTCCATTGCTCACGAATATTAGAAAGTCGAAGTCAAGACTCCTTGTTCCACTTCTTGCCATTCCACAGGTTCCCAGTCGTCCAAAGCCAGTAGTCCCTCCCCTTCAATAACCATACCAGGAAACTGGGTAGTTGAGCTCCCATCGCTGCGCCCACACCCTTCGTTGTACCAATAGGAACCAGCTGTGTTTCTCTGGTATCCTCCTCGAAAACACGTCCGCCTCCGGCCGACGGGTCTTCCTGGTGATCCCCTTCAAAGAGCAGGTCATGTTTCAAGCTCGCACAGAGAACAGGGACTGCCGAAAGGATGTTGTGTACGGCTGGACGCGCGTAGGAGCTTGCGTCCCCGATGGAATAGATCCTGGAACCAGGGCCGGCGCAGTCCACCCGCAGAGTCGATGGATTGGTATTGACACGGCCATCGGTTGTCAGCAGAGATCTGTCGGAAATGAAGCCGGTATTGGGTGTCGTGCCGGTTGCAGGTATGTACAGATCGGCGTCGATGGTTCTCCCGTCCTCCAGGACGACGGTGGTCTCAGATGTCAGCAGCTCGAGATCACTGCCGGCGCCGGTGGGCGTGACAGTCCTGACGCGGGCATTCTTGATGACTGACACGCCAACATCGGCCAAGAGCTTCTCCGCTTTGTCGGCAATACTCTGACCTAAATTTGGCAGGATCTTTGAACTACTCGTGATGATAGTTATGTTGGCGCGAGCGCTGTTTCGTCTTGAGCGAATGGAACTGGGTCGTCCGTTCAGGAACTGGCCAAGTTCTCCAGCTGTCTCAACGCTGGTTGGGCCACCTCCGGAGATGACGATGTTTCGAGCTGCAGGAAGTGCCTTTCGGAGTGAGCTCCAGCTTTCACGTAGGAATGCCTCGTCCTGGATGAATCCAAACAATGGGGATGACGTCGAAGCACCAGTAGCGATGACAAGAGCATGAAAAGCCAATTCCTGCGAAGTGTCGGAACCTTTCTTGATGGTAACAATGCGCTGCTCATGATCAAGATGCGTGGCCGTGCCTTTGATGAATTGGAAGTGGATGTCATCTTCATAATGCTGAAATTGGGTCTGTATGTCCACGAAGAGCTTGTCCTGGGGGAACATATCGTCCGAGAGCATCGCGCGCGGGCAAGAAGGCCGGCAGAAGGCTTGAGACGAAGTGCTGATCAGAATAACCCGAAAGATCTGTTTGTTTGGGGCCTTCGCGATGATATGTTTGATAGTGTAATGCGCAACAGACAAGCCACCATAAGATCCGCCCAAAATAATGATGTTCTTTGGAGACTGGGCCATGATTCCAGCTAGCTGTGCTGTCTATGAAAATGTGAAGACGTGGTTGGAAGGCAAAGCAACCTGTGGTAGCCAAACCTTGGAACCTGTCGAACGAGACAATGCTCCTGAACAAGAGTTTCAGTGAGTTTCGGGAGCTAGAGGCAGATAAATAGTTTTTGGAACCGCTATGCGGCTTCCTCATGGTGGACGAACGGCCGAATTTCGTCCTGAATCCTTTACAACGCGATCTGCTGGTGAGCGCTAGTCCTCAAGCGGCTGGGCTAGTCCAAAGGGGATCGAACCACGGTGTCCGGGCGGACGAAGTGTCGGCGCCCGGGACTTGTCGAACGATACATTTGAAGGAAACAGAGAGCTGCCTCTTGATGAGAGACGGCAACTCCAAAGTGACATCATCGGAGTGGCCTCTCTTGTCCACATGCATGCAGACGTAAGAATTCTGGCTTGTTCGTCATGGTCAAGGCCTTGCGAGCCAATCAGTCACGGGCGACAACTCTAGACGAGCCAATCAACTTACACCAAGCCAGCGGGGAATTTCCTTTTCCTCTCCACCACAGGAATAAGGAAGCATGCGGCGCTTTCTTCTCCTAGCAATTGTCATTCAAGGTCTTCGCTTACCCTGTATATTAGGCACGCGACATTTATGCTTCAATCACCTACCTACTAGGTACCTAGGTAGGTAATAATTCGGGCTGGCTGCCCGTCAAAGGAACCCGCCAAAGATCTTCATGACGGACTATACGGCAACATCCAACCGCTCTTGATCAAGACTTCAGGCTGAGTCTCTGCCAAGGATAAGCCCGGAAGTTCGGCGCTCGACTCGAACGGAATATGCCATGCGAGCACTGCAGTCCGAGGGGGACGGCCCAGAGTCAGGCTCGTTTACATTGGCATCCTCGGAGTTCGCACTGCTTCTTAGCTAGTTGTGGGTTTCGTTGTTGATCCGACTGCTGACGACCCCATAATTCGGAACTCAGGTGGCCAACCAGGCCCTCGATGGTTGTATTGGTGCCTGTGAATGATGCATAAGCGGCGACTAGCTTAGCGCATGCGACCCTGATCTGACATGTTCATGCAGGGTCACAAACAGGACAGTATCCGTCGACAATTCAGATGCTTATAAAGTCAAGATACATGCCTAGGTATGTAGGCTATGCCGAGCTGTCTCAATCTTCCAAAGAAATTTTGTCTTCCACCCCCTCAAGAGGCAGACCTGACCAACATGGCTACTGAAGCGTACAGCCTACTGAGCAGGTCACCCTTGGTTGTGGCCAGCATCGTCCTCATCGCCGCAGTGCCGATTGTGTCTTGGCTGCTGCAATGCAATCAACGGCCGAAAACCTTCCCGCCCGGACCGCCAACCATTCCAATCTTCGGAAATCTCCATCAAATGCCCACGAAATCGATATATGTCAAGTTTGCTGTAAGCGATAAAGCCTCTGTGTACTGTCACCGGAGAGTGTCGAGACTGGATTGAAGTTCGCTAATGACCCTTCTCTTAGGAATGGTCAAAGCAATACGGAGATATAATTGGGCTCAAGGCCGGTCCACAGAACATGGTGATTATAAGTAGTCCTCAGCTTATACGTGAGACTTTTGTCAACCGCGGCGTCATCTATTCGGGCAGGCCGGTGCTCTACGTTAGCCGCGAATTGCTATTTCCCAACCAGACCAACCACATGTTCATGCTGCAGAATGACGACACGCTGCGACGCAACAGAACTGCCCTTAAGCGCCTCATGGGCCAGGCCGGACTCAAAGAGGCCTTCTCGTTTCAAGAAACCTTGACGACCGAGCTGATTTCGAATCTCTCCAGTGGCAAGGAATCTCCGGAGAGGTGCGTCCGTTTATACATGTTCAGAATTGCCATGACTGCAACCATGGGCCCAGTCGCCGACGAGGGGACCGCCACACTCATGCTTGACGAGTGGACACACATACAACATAGACTTATCAAGGTCCTCGAGGCAACAATGTCATCGCTCTTCGACATGCTACCATTCCTCAAATACGTGCCATTTATTCCCGGCAAACAGAATGCGAGGGATATCGGGGCTTACTTGCTCAATCTGAGTACGGAATTACTTGGACGCTTGAAATTCCATCTGGCACAGGCAAAAGAGTCTGGTTCTGATGATGTCAAATACTGGGGTCTGATTGGCAACATTCTCCGGGACCAGGAGGGAGAGAAAGATGATGTGGAGAAGAGAAAATTCCACTTCACGGACTCGCAGCTCAAAACGATGGGCCAATTCGTCCAGGATGCAGCCACAGACACAACGCTTTCGACTGCAATGACTTGCATCATGGCACTGACAGCAAACCAAAGCCTGTTCCGCAAGGTTCAGGAGGAGGTTGACACAGTCTGCGGAAAGGACGGCGAGCTGTTCTACTATGACATTGACAGGCTACCTTATGTCAAGGCATGTGTGCTTGAGGTATGCACAATCTGAGCTGGTCTATCCTGGATCTCACATTCCGTACCTAAGTATGGCCAAGCTGACTCTCCGACAGACACTTCGATGGCGGCCTGCAGCACCTATCTTGTTGCCGCACCGTCTCGAACAGGATGACCACGTACGGGGTTATCACATACCAAGAGATACGATGATCATGGCGAACGCCTGGGCTGCTAACCATGACCCTGCACACTTTGATGAGCCCGATGTCTTCAACCCTGATCGTTTCTTGGGATTTGAAACCTACCCAGGCGTTTACCCCTTCGGAATTGGGCGTCGCTCCTGTCCTGGTGACCGGTTCGCATTAAACACGTTGATCATAATGCTTTCCAAGCTGGCAGCATCCTTTGACTTTACCTTTGATGGTCCAGCTCCAGACATGAGCCTTGAGAACGGTTACGATGCTGGCGTTATAATGTACCCTAAAACGTTCCCTGTAAAGTTCATTGAGAGGAGAGTCTGAAGTATTGTGGTGTCCTGAAGTCTGTGTGTGGTGGGTCGGGACTGCAGCATGCCCCGGTGGTGGGTGGAATGTGAGCAAACATTGATGAGACCAAACATGAGAGGATGCATGGGGATGACATCAGATGGACAGACAGAGACAAACTTGCTATTGAGACCATTGTGTACATTGATTGATGTGCCCTCGAGCCATTGTTTCTCTCCAGTGCCATTGACAGACAGGAATTAAATTGAGTAGCAATAGCTCCATGGCTGCCGCCCGGTCAGCTGGCTCTCTGGCAGTTCACCTACCGGGAGGTACTACTTAAGCTCCACCTCCTCGATTTGATTCCTGCAAGCCCCAAACTTTCACCCTACAACGAGTCTGGACAGGGAAGGCGCTCAGCTACCTGCCCACTCCAGCAGCACAGTTGTCCGCAAGCGCAAGACCGTTTGCGCGTGACCGTTTGCGCGTGACCGTTTGCGCGGCAGCTGCCAACCTCCCAAGTTGGAACATCATCCATCATCTCCAGTCTTGTGCTGCACTGCGCTTGGCGGTGCCCGATCCGCAACCCACAGTCGCGATAGCTTCTACGAGGCGGTGGTCACCTCCAGGTAAGCACTCAACGCTCACGGGGCTATTAATCACAGACTCAGCCAAACAACCCTCAGGCAGCCGCCACAATGGAAGCCTCTCGCGAGAAGCCGATCCATCAGCAGCCGAAGCTCTGCGAGCATATCCTCAGCCATGCTTCCAAGTCGGCCGTTCCCCTCCGCATTGGCGCATCCTCGATTCCTCAGGCTGGCAGTGGGCTGTTCGCTGTCAATCACATTCCTGCTGGGTCCGAGATTTTTCGCTCTAGCCCGCTCGTCGTCGTGGCCGAGTCTGCCCACCAAAACGTTTGTGACTTCTGCTTTCTGAATCGTGGATCATCGGTCAATCGCGATGGCCAATTCTACGGCAGCATTGAAAATGAGGAACGGCCGGCACTCACTCGCTGCGGGGCCTGCAAGGTCTCGTATTACTGCTCAAAGGTGAGTGCACACAGCTTCTCAACTACGTACCCACTTAGGTACCTAGGTAGGTGGGTAATTGGCCACTTGCTGACCATGCCTTTTCGTCTTCTTTTCATCTTCAGACATGCCAGACCAAGGCGTGGAAGAGCTACCACAAACGGGAATGCAAATTCCTGCGAGACAATCCGCGCATGGCATCCTTGGATCAAGCGTTGTGTCGACTGCTCGTCTGGATCAAACATAGGACCCTCTCCGAAGATGACATGCGTGCTATCGTGGCATTGGAGACCAAGTTCGACGCCCAGCTCGAACAAACGCGCCAGGCGGCCGGTGACGAGGGACCTGGCATCGACAAGTCTCTTCACGTCGCTCAGAACCTACACGCTGTTGTCAAGCCGGGCATCAGCCTGAGTCTGTGCCGCCAACTCTACTGCATGGTAAGCTCGGCCTCCCAGTGCATGCAGAACAACACAGCTAACTTAGCCACCCTAATAGCTCGCTATCAATTGCCTCGCCATACGCCCTCCCGAGTTACAGATCGCTTACGGGACCTGTCTCGACCTCGTGGTGTCACTCATCAATCATTGCTGTGATGAAAACGCACACATCTTCTTCGAGGGACGAGAGCTGAGGTGTCGTGCCGTGAAGAACATAGCAGCTGGGACAGAGATCACCGTGTGCTACCAAGATAGCCGGCAAGATGTCCTCCATAGGCGCAGCCTTTTGAAAGACATCTTCTTCTTCACCTGTGACTGTAAGTCCGTGGTCCTGGGAAAGAAAGGCCTTTTGCGATGCCTCAAAACTGACCTCGATCAAGGCAGCAAATGCAAGTCCGAAACGGCGCAGCATATCGCCGCTGCAGTCAAGCGCCCAAACTACCTCGAAATTCTCAGGGAGGCGCAGGATGATCTGAACAAAGTCGTGCACAAATATACCTTGGCATCTGAGCGCTCGGCCAGGAACATCAAAACCATCATGGATTATCAGACCGAGCTCCTTGACATCGAGGAAAAGGTCTTCCAGGGTAGCAACTGGCCTGACCACATCGAACCGATGCCATCAGCCCTTCGCGATTTGGGTGGCATGTACTTGGAGCTCAAGTACGTCGTGGGCCTGGAGTTTGTTCTCAAAGGCACCTTCTACTCACGCACCCAAGACGACCCCCGCTGGGTGCTCGACCTGATGAAGCTCGTCAAATACATCCTCTACCTCTCACAAGAGAGAGATGACGTGCTCAACTGGACTGGTGCTGCACCACCTCAGGTACTAGGGGGCCGGCCCACCCTCTTTGATACTGCTAGGGGATATCTCGTCCACGTGTGCCTGAGTGGCAAGTTTACCTTTGGCCTTGACACGAAGTACGTCCAGGCCCTGTACCACTGGGCGGGCAACCTGATCGAGCGGCCTGGAGATCCGGGCATCGACACGAAGGCCTTCCAAGAGCGTTTCAAGAGTTCGCAGGACAAGCTTCTCACCTGGGCAAAGATGAAGACGGGCCGTGGCCTGGAGCTGCCCTCTCTCCAGGTCATGGTCGGATTTCGAAAGGACGTTGCTGAGGCAGCGGAAGGTGACAAGTGAAATGGGGTTGCTCCTTTGGCATGCTTCCTTTCAGATCATTCGATGTGAGAGGAGAACAAGGCGCATGTCAGGATGCGCCAAAGAACAGCCTTGGGCGATTCTTGATGGCGTGGAGATGAACGGGGCTGCTTGGGTCTGCGAAGAGTTCAGCGTTGTAGAATTTGTAGACTAGATCGCTTGCACGAAATCTGATAGATGCAATCAAAAACGGTCATGGAAGGAAATTGGTCATATCTAGTGCACCGACGCCAGAATAAGACTGCAGAGGCCTGATTCCATCCACCACCGAAGCATATATCGCTAGGGCATTATGTCCTTCGGGGGAGCTAGTAAGCTACCTACCTAGGTACTTAAGTACGTAGACACCAGGTGTAATAAAGGGGTGTTGCATTGCTACGGTTGGCGGTGAGTCGCGGCAGAATGCATGGGTAGACGCGTCGAACACTACCAATCCAACCTCCGGTCAGTCTCATTTCATTGCTTGTTCATTTCTTTTGTGAGAGGCCAGTTCACTAAGGACAAGAGAGAGGCCTCAGATTGGTGCGAAAAGGGATATTGTGATCTAGCCTTCTTCACTGCGGCGCGACAAAACGGCCACTGGCGACCATGGCCAGGATCGAAGACCTCCCAGTGGAGCTGGTTGAATTCATTACGGACTACCTCGGCCGAACTAGCGACCTTGCAGCTTTGGCGCGGACGAGCCACAAGTTCAATGATGCAGTGGATCCGATCCTGTACAAGTTCGCCAAGGCGAATGTATCGAATCTTGTACCACGGCACCCTTTATGGTGGGCCGCGCAACATGGCCAGACCGGGACAGTCAGGAAGGCCCTGGCGTCTGGGATCGACGTCAACATGGCTTTCCTGAGATCCCATGCGATGGAACACGACCGGCACATGTGGAGGGATAGTGAAGAGATGGTGGATATGCCCCCGTTGGAGTCTGACCATGAATGGCAGCCACAGGAGGACGACACGGACCACGACGATACGAGGAGCTTGACTTCTACAGACGACCAGCCCGACAGGTATTCTGACCTGCGAGGCCGCAACGGTCCAAACATGTATGGCGACGAAGACAGCTGGGATGATTATGATGTATTGGCTGCAATGGATCCGTTCCACGCAGAGAGCGCAACCAACTCCATGGCTGAAGATGATTCCTTGTCCGGAGATCAAGCTGCTGCCGCGCTCGACTTTTTTGGCCCTTTCGATCCGGCCTTCGATGGTGGTGTTGATTCTGACGAGGAGAATCTTTTTGACGAGGATGACGAGGATGGTCTGGATGAAGATCCTGGTGAGGATTCGGAGGATTCCAGCCACTCAAGGGAAAGAAGACACATCGTGACGCAGACTTTCAGGGCACTACACCTCGCAGCCCGAGCAGGCAATGACGATGTCGTGGGAATACTACTTGACCACGGCGCTAGCATCGACGCTTGTTCACACCAACTGGGCCGACGCACGCATTTTCTCTCCTTGGGTTCTGACATTTATTATGGGGCGTCGATATCTGACGCAGGTTACTCGCCACTCCATCTAGCAATCTGTCATTTTCGGTCTTCCACGGCCAGATTGCTGCTGTCCCGCGGCGCTTCCTCCAAGTTGAGCGAGCCGGACCGCAAGGATGCTATGACAGCTCTCCACGCCGCTGCTGCTACTGGCCAGGTCGACCTGTGCAAGCATCTATTAGATGGAGGCTTTGTCGAACTAGATGCCCCTGACCAGACCGGTTTGACACCGTTCTACTACGCGTACCGGAGCGGCCAGTGGAACTCGACAGTGGCCTTACTTCTTGAGAGAGGCGCAAACATCAACTGCTCCGTCCGCCGGTGTCCTCGTGTTACCCGAGCCTCCGTCGAAGACGGCAAGTTTGGTACTGTACTTTACGAGGCTTGCACCTTTGGCCGCTATTACGCAGCCAAGAAGCTCATTTATCTCGGGGCCGACGTCAACAGAGGGCTCGTTGACCGTGATACTCAGTGCCGCTCGCCTCTTCACGCTGTCTGTGACCTGACCGAGGCGTCCAGCGAAGCCTATCGGCACCACGCGCTGCGTACTCTAGCCCCAGCTAGGAACGATGAGCTGGAGCGTTTGGAGCTGATTAAGCTCATGCTAAAGTCGGGAGCCGAGCTCGAGGCTACGACACGGCCAGAGCGCGAGTCGGCGCTTCACATTGCGGCAAATCATCGTGATGTCGCTGTGCTTCGACTTCTTCTCGCCGAGGGAGCCCATGTGGAATCACAAAGGTGAGTTGCTTTGTCGACATTTAACTTATGGCCGAACATGTCTTGATCAAATCCTCCGATATCCTGAGACGGCTGCTACCCCGTTTGCTGTCTTCAGTCCCCTTCCCCTTTAACTAAGCTCCTGCCCACCGTTCTGTTGTATTTCAAGCTCACTTTGGGAAGCGGCAACTGATCCGTGAGGCTTTAGTTCTGACGGGCGAACGGCCCTTATTCATGCATGTGATCTAAGAGGTCCACGGGGTTATTATACCTCACATCTTCATCTTCGCCGCGAATCGCAAATAAATGCCGTCAACATGCTGGTAGACCATGGTGCAAATCTCAATGCCAAAGACAAGGCCGGCGACACGGCCCTCCATCGCGTCTGCTCAGTTGCCAACGATCCACAATCTAAGGATCACGACAAGATAGTCCGCAGACTTCTACAAAGGGGAGCTGAAGGTAATGCTCAAAACCGCTCTGGCATTACTCCTTTTGAGGCCGCGTTCCGTGGTGGAGTCATGGGAGTCTGCGACATACTTGCGCGGCATGGGCATTACCCTCGCAAGCAGGAGGACTTCGAAAGGATGATTCTTGATCTCATCCAACTCAGACCATATGACTTGTCCGCTCTTGACTTTCTGATTGATCTTGATGTCCAAGGCTTTCTGTTTAGCAAGTCGGAATATCTGATGAAGATGATAGATGGACGACATGTCAAAATGGCAAGCAGGTACCTGGAAAGGTGCCCTCGGTTCCCACCTCTGAGCCCGAAACAGAAGCTCACCGTCCTGCGAGAGGGACTCGCTCTTGACAATAAAGAGCTCGTCAAACAGATTCTGGGGACGAAAGTCTCAATTAATGTCCCAGATAAGAACGGCCACACGCCACTCTACGTTGCGGTGCAGCGCTATCGTTCGTCGGACCACGACCTCATCAAGGCACTCCTTGAGGCTGGCTCGGACATGCATTTCAAGCCACCGTCAAGCACCATCATGACGCCTCTGGAGAAGGCTATCACGGAAGGGAAAGAGATTCTTGTTCAAATCATGCTTGATCACCAGCCAATTCGAGACAACCCAAAGGCGCCGAAAGGGGTCTACCTTCACGCAGCAGCCCGCCGGGCTCCATCCAAGCGGATGATCAGCACCCTCGTCCGGTCCGGCGCCAGTGTGACCGAGCTAGACGGCAACAACGACACCCCGCTCTCGGTGTTCCTCAAGTCTATCGCCGACCTGCCGCAGTGGACAGCGTTCAAGCGGCGCGCGGGAAACCGAATCTTCAGGACAATCTGGTACCTGTGGAGCAAGGAGTTGGATATCAATTTCAGGAACAATAGCGGCAAGGCCATCACCAGCTACCTGCTCGCGTTGCGGATGTATGACGGCGATAGTCCGGCTCGGAAACGAATCGCGCAGGAGTTGGAGCTTGGTCTTTACCTGGTTCCGGCTGAGGGCGTAGATGGTGAGAAGGGTCTCAAGACTCTTCGCTTTCGACACTCGGTCATGGGACTGGGAGATTCCCGTGGTGGGTCAAAGCGGGCCGTTTGCTCATACTGAGGCTTTCAAGCCTACCTAGGTATACGGTCTCCCACGAAGGTACCCGTAGATGTCGGCGGGGGGAGGTTCTGATTTGTGCGTTTCTTCCCATGTAGAATGTCGCTTATGAAGGTCTTGGGAGCCAGGCTTATCAGAACCTGGCTTTGCGGTAGCTGTATAGCGTATAATGTCCTTGCTAGGCTTCTATTTTTGTAATAAAATAATAACGGGTCCTGGGCGCCACATACTTTTTATATGCAAAGGGATTAGAAACGAAACCACTTCAGACAATACCGTCACAAGGTACCTTCAGCGTCAGTCCTGCACGCCAAAAGCTGTGCGGCCAGCGCGGCGGACAGTCCTCATAGCGACGGAAGGTGCCCGAGTTGTGCTGCAGAGGTGCTTCAGAGGTGCTGCTGTCAAGTGGCAAGGTGCCAGCCAGCCTGACGGGAAGGTACGGCGCGCTTCAAATGTTGCCTGGGGTCAGGTAAAAATGACCTCTTCGAGCCAACTTGGAAAACGTCAGTTACCGATTTTCAAAGCTCGATTTTCCACTCTCGTCACATCTGCTCCCACGATGTTCCCCAACATCATCGTCCAAGCTCTCAAGCTCGTCACAGTCGTGGAGGGCTGGATTCCGCTCCCTGTAGGTGGTCGCCTTCCCTGGTTTTGGGCCCCGTGATGCCATCAGGAATACCGTAATTGCTGACTGCTGCCCTGACTACTGCCCAGACCCCCCCTTTTGGCGAATCTGCACTTTCAAGCGGCTTAATACAGCTCCAGACCTACAACATCCATGCAGCGGTGTCGCACCACTTAAGCACACTCACAGCCCACATGGAGGCGGAGATACGCATGCTTCGCGACCTTGAGGCCATGGCAAACCAGCACCAGAACGACTACGCGGATTTCTTCGAGCTCATAGAGTCCCACCGCCCTCTGGATGACTTCGAAAGCGCGGCTCGTAATTTCTACCAAGTGTTGGCGGAAAGTGGACGGTCCGCTGGAGCGAGCGCCGAGGCCAAGGAGCAGTTCTTGGCGGGGATCTTGAACAAGAGTGGTGCGAAGGAGGGGAACGATACGGTGGAATTGATGGACCCGAACAACGGTATGGGCCTCTTCGTGTTGTGAGAGAGCTGGATTGCGGTGATTGGGACACGGAGGTCGTCGTCATGGTCTGCGTTATTGTAATGTCCCGAGTCGCATGACGGGCATTTATTTCTCTTCGGCTATTGGGGTCAGAACGAGCAAATTGTGAGGTTTGGTTTTTACACCAATGTCAACTCTTGCGCTTGCCGCTGAATGTAAAACTTCCGCAAATTTTCTCTAGATTTTACAAGGTGATCGTAACCTAAGTAGTGCGCTACCCCGTCTACAGGTGACAGTGGAGTCCAACCTCAAGTGCTTCCATCCTGCCATGTGCCCAACAGTGATTTATGGTACCAGTTGACTGCATGGTCCCCTTGAACCCACCGAACTGCCCTTGAATCAGAACGCTGGGGGAAGGTGATATCTCAAGATAAAAACTGGCTCACATTTATGCCATATCGCTCGCACAGGACGTTGAGTGATAGCTAATCAAAATGGAGGACGTGGTGGGTAGCCCAGTGCCATTCATAAGCTTTAGACTTGTCGGGACCCTCGGATACCTAGGTACATCAATACCGCAACTGGGCACCGTGACACAACGGCTCCGAGCGAGCAAGCCCCGAGTGAGTGCATGTGTACGTCTCCGAATGTTTTCCAGGGGCTCCCTCTCGCGCTTCGCGCCCAACGGCGAGACCGTAGCCGTGCGGGACCTGCGGATCTGCCCGCGATCCACCAATGTCAGAGGGAGTGGAGGGAAGGTTGGGAGGGAACAGCGATTGTGGTGCCTAGTGTAGAAGAAAAAGCTTGCTCTGGTGGAAGTGTGGAAACCGCTCGCGATCCTGACGTTAACATCGACCAAGAGTGCCGGGCGCCCATCCCTGTCTGGCCACTCGTGGGCCCGGGAATGAATCATTCTGACCATGACATCGTGGTATCGACAGCGACCCACCTCGAGCACAAACACAATATCTTTCCGCACCTGTTCCGCGATGGAGCCTACTCCCTATATGTGGGCCCTCCCTCTGTGCCTTCGGAGGCTCGGTTTGAGTGTTAGATGGCGAGAGGCGTGCACACACGGGGTTTCCTAGCGACTAGGTGCAAGGACATGCATGTCGGTGTACATGAGCATGGCTGGCTGCCACAACATAAAAACGCGCCAAGCCTCTCCTCACTTGAATATGCTTCCAAGACATCCCTGAAGTCTTCTAGAATATATTTTTAAGCTGATTGAATCTTCTCTGACCACGGTGTTGTCCTTGCTTATATTCAACGTCTTTGCGGTGTTCTCCTTTTGAAATGTCGGATATTTGGTGGACAACAGAGAAGGGCCTCTTGCCCAACTTTGTCAACCGAGAGAGAACAAACCAGACCGAGCCTTTCTTCGTCGTCACCAACCCAGAGACTGTTGTCCTAGAGTTGAGCTATGCCGACGTCGACAATGCGGCCAACAGGGCCGCCTGGTTTCTATCCAAGAATATGGCACAAGATGAAGAGAAGTTCTTCTACATGGGTCGGATGGACTTGAGATACTACATTTGGGTTCTTGGAGCGATGAAAGCTGGAAAATGCGTGAGTTTTAAATGCGTCCACATGATATTGAAGACCTTGGATCTACTAACCTGAGAAATCTACCAGGCTGTACTGCCCTCGCCCAGCAACACGGTCAATGCAAACCAGATGTTGTTTAAGGATGTTGGCGCAAAGACAATGTTCTTTAGCAGAGAAAGTTTCGACATGTTGGAGGACCTGTACGCTGCGACCAAAGACGACATGCGATGGATCGAAGCGCCAATGTATGAAGACCTCCTTAGCAAAGACAGAGTCGAGGATTTTCCCTTCACATATACCTTCGAGGAGGTCAAGAACAAACCATTCATGGGCCTCCACACATCCGGCACGACTGGCCACCCTAAGCCCATCTACTGGACACATTCCACGGTTCCCATCTTTGCCTCCCAGATTGACCGCAGTATCCGACCGGCCGGCTCGACCGACGAGCTTGTGTTTGAGCAGATTTGGTCTAGAACACGGCTCTTCATGTCTTTCCCATTTTACCACGTATGTGACAACGATAAGCATACCAGATACCGCTGATGACTGAAACAAGATCTTAGGCTGGCGGCATGATCGCGTTCCTTGCAAGTATAGTGGTTGGGGCGAGGACAGTGATCGTCCCCGCCCCGGGGACCCGCCTCACTTCCGAGAACGTGGCCGGCATGCTGCAGGTCACCAACCCCGACACCGGTATTTTCGCACCATCGATCCTCGAGAACATGCTGAAATACCCGTCGGGTATGGACGCACTCGCCAAGATGAAGCACGTCGCCTACGGTGGAGGTCCCATGAACCCAACGTCGGGCAGCAAGGTCGCCGAGGCCGTGCCGCACTTGATAAACTTCATTGGCTCGACGGAAGCCTCTCTCTATCACACAGACGCCTCCACTGATAACAAGTACTGGAACGCCTTCAAGTTCATCGAGATGGGCCAGCGGATGGAGGAGGTCGAGCCCGGCTTGTACGAGCTGGTGTACCCCCGGACGGAGCTGATCGAGAAGACACACCTGATCTTCCACAGCTATCCGGACCTGCAGGAGTACCGGACCAAGGACCTTTTCTCGCCGGTGGATGACAACTCAGGCTGGTGGGTTTACCGAGGACGCGCCGACAACTGGATCGCCATGAGCAACGGCCTGAAATTTGACCCCAAGAGCATGGAAGACAAGATTGGGGCACACCCCGACATCACGGCTGTGATGCTCGCTGGAGAGCGGCGCTTCAGGCTATGCCTGCTCATCGAGCTGGATGAGAGCTGCTACCCGGCCCAGCCCTTTGAGTCTCCCGAGGACGGGTCGAGGTGGACGCAGAAAACCCTGGCCAGGCTGTGGCCGGCTATCGACGCGGCCAACCATGAGGCGCCCAAGTTCGGCCGTGTGCCCAAAGAGCTCGTGCTTTTCACCAAGAAGGACAAGCCGTTCTCTCGATCGCCGAAGGGCAGTGTCCAGAGGCGACTCACAGTCTCTTTCTACCAACAGGAGATCGACGACCTATACACCCAGTCCGAGCAGGGCCTCCTGACGAGCGGCCTGCCACCTCTCAAGTCAACAGCCGCTGATGACCTGATTCCATTCCTCACAGAACTTTACGCGCAGACGCTGGAGCACGAGAACCTCAGACCAGACGACGATGCCTTCTCCTTCGGCATGGATTCATTCGCAGTCGCCTCCCTATCCTCCCGGCTGAAGGCTGCCCTGAGAGCCTTCGGCACATCCGAACAGAAGCTCGGCCGGATTGGTCTCCGCCTGATGTACACCGCACCCACACCCCGGAAAATGGCGCAGAGCCTGTCAAACCTGCTTTCTGAGACGAATGGCATCAGCGGCGGCGAAGATGGCGCGAGCGAGGCGGTGGAGATGGTGGAAAAGTACGAGGCCGAGGTGAAGAAGCTCGTCGAGAGGAGGGTGCAGCAGAACGGATTGAACGGGCACTCCAATGGTTATGCCCCCGGACACGTCGTCGCCGTCACCGGTACGACTGGCTCCCTGGGTAGCTACCTCCTGGCCACGCTCCTTGCCCGGCCGGACGTCAGCAAGGTGATCTGCCTCAACCGCGCCGCCGACGCCGAGGCGCGACAGGCCAAGGCGCTGAGCTCCAGGGGCCTGCCTGCCCTGCAGCCAGCCATCGACTCGGGGCGCGTGGTGTTCATGAAGATGGACGTCGCCGCGCCGAGGCTCGGTCTCACCGGCGACGAGTACGACCTCCTGCTGCGAGAGACGACCTCCATCATCCACAACGCCTTCCCCGTGAACTTCCTGCTGGCCGTGGCCCAGTTCGAGCCGCAGTTTTTGGGCACGCTGAGCCTGCTCGAGGTCGCCCTCGCAGGGCGGAGGCACCCGTCGTTCCTGTTCGTGTCGAGCATCGGCGCCTCCGTGCGCAGGACGAACCCGCGCAACCCGGTCCCGGAGATCATCTTTGACCGCGACGAGGCCAAGGACCTCGCCCTCGAGGGCTACGGCTCGGCCAAGTTCGTCTGCGAGCGCATGACGCACCAGTTCACCCTCTCGTGCGCCGAGGCCGGCCTGTCCTCGGCCGCCGCCGTGCTCCGCGTCGGTCAGGTGTCGGGCCCACTGGCCGGCGGCGGCGCGTGGAACATCTGGGAGTGGCTCCCCTCCATCGTGGCCAGCTCCAAGTTCCTCGGTGCAGCGCCTGCCACCATCGGCCAGAAGGTCGACTGGATCCCCGTCGACGAGCTGGCCAAGATCACGAGCGACCTCGTCGACTCCGTCGAGGGGCACAGGCAAAGAAGCTTCACCCCTGTGTACAACGTGGTCAACCCCAATGTCACCACCTGGGAGAAGGAGCTGCTTCCCGCGGTGGAGGCCCTCACGTCTGAGGTCGTGCCTCTCGAGGAGTGGCTGGACCGCCTCGACAAGACCAAGGACACGAGCGCTCACATCCTTGACAAGAACCCAGGAGCGAAACTGGCGGACTTCTACAAGGGCTTCCTTTCGACTGAGGCTGCCATGAACTTTGCAACGGATCAACTTATCCGAGACAGCCCCACCGCCGCTAATCTGGGGCCTATCACTCAGAAAAATATGGCTGGATGGATCAAGACATGGGGTCTGTAGACTGTAGCGATATTTGTTTAATTGACTTGACTTGAAGCGGTTAGCCTTAACCGACTCATCATATCGGAGTTCGAGTGGTCGCCTGTCTTTTGTTGCCTTTTTGAGATTACCTTTTGTATGTGATTGTGGTAGATTTGTTGTCCGAGTGAGAGGGAGTGGGAACGGGGCCAGGCAATGACAGCAAAGGATTGAAGAAGAAAGGGTTTGGGGGCAAGTAAGGCGATCATCAGTCTGAGCGTCATGACATGTCCCAACTGCTGCAACAACACATTCCATTCGCCAGCTATCGGAAACCAGAACCCCTCAAATGCACCAATTTCATCCTCCACGAAGCGGTTATCAACTTTCGGTTTCCCCTCTTTCACCAAGTTCGGTATCCTGCCATCGCTCCACCATACACATTTGATATAATCAAAAGTATTGAAGGCCAGCCAACAACAGGCTGGGCGGAACCAACGCGACTTGTGTACCTTACTAGGGATGTCTTGAGTTCTTTGTGACCAATGTTGCAAGCGGTCAGACAGCGCCAAGAGCTGTGTGTATATTTCTGTGTTATTGTTATGTCGGGGGGGGGGGGGGCATGGGGCTGAAGGAAAAGGAGAAAATTGAAGATGAGATAGCCGGCAACATCCCAATCTTTCTTTGAAAACTCCTTCGCGCTATGCAAGAAGGGAATATCTGTATGTGCAGAGGCGGCGGTTCATAAGATGAAAACAGGGCGGCGATATACATCAATGATATCAGGTCATCTCATGATAGCGGCGTAACGATGCTAGCGTAAAAGGGGCATTAGATATTTGGTTGATTGGGGCTGCAAGACCGAGTCGGCTTTCGCCTTGTGCCCACGAAACCGTACCATGTGGTTCTGTACGAAAGACGTCGATACCAGGAGTTGATCATCCGTCGACAGGAGTCAGTGGGCTTTGGATGGGTGACATCGAAATCGTTCGTCCGGATCGGGCGGCCAAGGAGGCGCCATGATGTTATTGACAGCATTGACAGCGGGAACCGCGACAAGCAGTGCATGCGGGCATAGAAAGGCTAGGCCTCGCCATGTGCAACAACCTATGGTGTCCGCGGTCTCTTCCAATAGTATTGCTGCAATACAAATGTCAGTATAACATACACGATCTGACAAGGGCGGGCTCATTAAAGTTGGACCTGGGACACGGTTTTTGCAAGAGCCATGGCTCAGAGGGATGTTCGTACCACATGATGCTTCCGACAATTTCGCAGCGTCGGCTTCCTCAACCCATCGACGACTGCCGCGCGCCTATGTTCGTCGTCATCCTCCTCGGGAATGTAATAGTACTGACTCTCCAGCGGCTTGCCGTCGGCATCCTTGCCTTCACGCTCAATAGTACCTATACAAGTGGCGGTCTCGACGATAAACTTCAAGTGATGGCGCAGAAGGTCCTTCTTCTCCTCGGCAGGGAGGTTGGCCATGATGGTTGACAAGGGCGTAGACGAGAGGCGGGAGAAGGCTAGCTGATTGACAACATGGTTGGTGATAGTTGCAACATCCAGGTGGCTCACATCAGGCTGAACTTCCTTCTCCTTCTCGACCCGCACAGAAGTCTCATGCCTGAGGCTATCCGGCGTAGGAGTGTGCGAAGCCTTGTTGCCGATGCTCGCCTCACGCGATGTCGATGCGGACTTGCTGCCAGTAAGGGCGTGGTTGGAGGCATCTGCAGAGGCCCGCACCTTGGAAGCCCCGTTCACTCGGGGGGACGCAAATGCCCCGGATTCCAGTCGACGGCGTTTGGGCGAGTCAACGTGGAACGAAGTCATAGCCATACGGCTGTTGAGGTTGGCACCGAAGGGGCCGAACGAGTGGACGATGGGGTCGTTTTCCTCGTTGGCGTAGTTCTCGTCCTCTCCGTCCGAGCCGGCGTCACTCAGGTCGCTCGAGAAACTGTTGTTGATATCGGTCATGAAGCTCTGGTCAACAGTCAGTCCGGCCTTGGCGCCAGCCCCCTGCTCCTCAGCATCCTCATCCTCATATATCTCGACGCTCTTTTCCCTCTCGCTGATGCTTGGCAAGTCGGACAGGATGCTGCTGTGCTGAGAGTTGCTGGGGACATCATCAGACATGACCTGCTGTAAGGACGCGTGTGCGGGAGTGGGCGATTCCGGAGAAGTAATACGCGTCCTCCTGTGCAGGGGACTGGACTGCAGCAAGCCGAGGCCACCAGCACTTCCGAGGCGCGGACTGCCACCTCCGAGCTGAGACGCGGCGTTCCGAAGCGAACGCGGCGGGGAGTCCTCCCAACCCAAATCTGCCAAGCCATCCCTCGCATCCCTCTTAGGCCAATGTATCAGAACGCGTGCATCTTGGACGTTGAGCATGATCTCGACACCCTCGGTCTCGAAGGAGAGCACCTCGCCCTTGTGCATGTCATAGGTCCTGCCCTGGCAGTGCAACTTGAGGCCGTTCCAGCCGTTGCACTCGATCTCGATCTTGTTGGGCTGCAGCGGGACGGTGGCGGGGACATATCTGGCCTTTACATGGACGCGGCTGATGAGACGGTTGGCGGATAGCTGGTAGTCGGACGAGTTGCTGGACCTGCCCATGCGGAGGGTGTCGCCGTTCTCATTGAGCTCGACCGAGGGGACGGCGGACAGAGGAGCACGTTCGGAGACAATGCTGGGGGCGCGTTGGGGCTGTGGGTGGGCATGGACGCGTGGGGGGGACGAGGAGAGGATGCCGGTGCTGGACGTGGGCACAGGGGTGGGATACTTTAGGTAGTCATTGTTGGTGACAGCAGACGCGGTCTTGTGGGCCGAGACGGGGCGGCTCTGGCGTCTTGCAGGCACATTGGGAAGTGCTGGCAGCCCGGGCGACGACGACAGCAGCTCGAGGGGCGGCAGGAGCTGGGGCTGGGAGGCGGGCCTCTTTGACGTGGAGGTGGTGGTGGTGGTGGTGGACGCGTCGCGATGCCCAGAGGCAGAGGCAGAGGCAGAGGCAGGACGGTCGTCTGCCTTTGTGCGGGGCGACGAGTCCATGATGTGGATTGCAATCAGGCGTGCATAGCAATTGGCAGGCACAAAGGAGGAATATGTGTGCGCGTGGTGGAATCAATGAATGGACGTTTCCCTGCAGGCAAACTCGACCCAGACCCGAGGAGATGGAAAGGGAGAAAGCACTTGAGGGATACAGAGGAGAGAGGGAAAGGGCTGGGCTGGGGGTCCTTTTTTTGCAGAGCCCAAATCGCGGTCCCAAGTCAAGTCGCGTACAGTACGGAGTCGAGGACGGCACCGCGTTCCAGGGTCCGTCAGACCGTCCGCCCGTCCCCACCAGCGCCCGTGTCAGAGCTCAGAGCTGGGCTTGGGGCCCAGAAACGGCAACTCCCTGGTTGTTAGTCTGGTCCGCCAGAGGAAAAGAAGCAGAGGGAAAGCTGGGGTGAGAGGCGAGGTGAGGTGAGGCGAGGCCAAGTTGCAGAGCTGGTATCAGTCTTGTGTCTCTGGATATCAGGATATCAGACAGCAGCAGACAGACAAAATGAGAAATGTTTCACGGCCTGCGAGGCTGGTCGGTTTTGAGGAGCGAGGGCCTGGGTGCCTGGGTACCTGGGTACCTGGCCAAGTACTACTTGCCTTGGAACGTTCAACTTTTGTTGCTTGACGCGCTGCGCATGGCCGGCTTACAACCGCGTTTTGGGGCGGGCGGCAGACGAGCTAAGGCCTGGGTGAGCAATGAGCTAGCTGGCCTGGCTGGCCGCAAGTGACGGGGTCCCACGTCTTATTAGTGGCCCCGAGTCACCGCACCAGCGCACCTGCATGCGGTACACCGAACACCGCAGCTCCCTAAAATGTCACCACCATCCATTCCTGGGTACTGGCTGCACTTCTTGCACTGTATCTTCCACTCGTCAGTGTTTCACATCCCACGCGCAGCCAGACCGGCAGCCAGACAGACACGACCGTGCCGTGAAGGAAGAGCAGTAATCGGCTGCTGAGCTAGATACCTAGGTACCTAGGTAGATCGGTACTGTGAGGTAGACGACCGTCACAGCCTGGGAGGATGCATGCACTCTTCCAATATTGCCATATAAGACTCCCTACCTCCCGTGCTTGATGCCAATACCCAGGCCTGCTCGGGCCCTGCTCAGCCAGCTTCCAATTGCGGCCGTGGCTGCCCTCCCCTTCCGCGCCAACCCCTGTCCGTCGCGTTCTCTACCTTCCTCCGTTTCCCCCCTTCCCCTGCTCTACGTCACTCCCACTCTGCCGCTCCGTTCCCGTCACTGCCTGCCCTCTCGATTCGAAATAATCGTGGCAGAACACCTGTCAGAGACGCCCAAAGGACTGTGCACCCATCCGCAGTCCAACAAGGACATCGCGTCGAAAGCCTGGCACGCCCGTACTTGTGACGTTGCATCGGCCGACTCCGGGCATCCTCCGGAGCCGAACCCCTGTCAGACGCGTCTCGGCTCCGGACCCGGCTGCCGCCGACCTCACCCGAACTCGGAGCCTATCAGCTGCGGCTGCCGGCTTTGCATCCCAACGTTGCGAACCAGGCTCTGTTGTCAACTGCAGAGATGCCTCCTCTCACATTTTCAAAGCCTCATTCTGCTGTCGGCTCAAACACGTTCACGTTGAGACCCGGGCTGCACCTGCGTGCCTCGGCAATAGCGCCGTCTCGACTACGACCACAGAAGACAGTCGTGTCATGTGTCACAATGCTCAAAAACCGGACGTAGGGCGAGGACGAAAAAATACCAGCATTAGTTTTCCAGCGTCTTAATTCGTGGCTGTCCAATGACGAGGTCGGCAGCCCAAGCTGGCCACTCGTTCTTTCTACCATGCCCGTGAGATTTCGGGACCTTCAATGAGCCCGCATGCATTACCTGCCCACCTCACATCAATATCATGTAGAGATGCCATGCCCTGAAGGAATTGTGTCGGGACCACCTCAGTTCTTAATCGACTTGGAAGGCAACGCGACTTCCAATAGGCGCAAGAACGTTGGCAGTCCTGCTTTCACTCGATTAGCAAGTGCGTCGTCAATGATATGCTAGGCGCAGTCTCCTGCTCAGTGCCAGCTGTTCTCGTACACCCACTCGCACCCTGCTTACTGTTCGTGTTTCCACACGATCTCTCCTCCCTCTCGAGCTGCCCAACCAAAAGAATCTAGTACAACCGGGTTCTACCTCCCAGGAACCAAATCCTGCACGACAACACCATCATACACACAAAGTACTCCTCTTTCAGCTCCAAATCTCGGCAGTGTGCTGTCGAGGAACCCACCAAGATGTCGTTGGATCATCAGAAACTCGGTGAACTGGTCCAGCTGCTCGAGGACTACTCGGAGCTTCAAGAAAAGAGGCAAAAGGTCCAAGAACAAGCCGAGAAAATTGCCCAGGCTCGAGCTCGGGGCAAACGAGCTCCCAGTGTGCCCAACAACTTCTCGGAAAACCTCGATGCAGACCGCGAGATGACCCCAGGCCAAGAGCAAAAGAGCTACGATTCCTCCGTCGACAGCGACGAGGATATGGACTATACAGTCCCTCCTCCTTCCATCGCCGAGAGCCCAAACTCGAATCCACCGGCCCCAAGCGAGGAAGCCCTCCGGCGATTCGCCACGACGGTCGCCTACTCGTCATATAGCAACTTCTGCGGCACCTCGGATGAGACCTTGGTGCGTCACTTGTTTGAAGATGGCCTACAGAACGATTCAGCTGTCATTTTTGATCCAAAGAAGATGATCGAGATCAACAAGACAGATCACAACATTGCCTACCTCTGGAACGAGCTGGCTGAAGCCGCTGCTTCCCCTTTTGTCGCCAGCATGACCGAGGCCCGCCGCCGAATCGACCCTGGACTCACGACAGACGATCAAATCCGCCGGTTCGGGCCTGCTGAGATCCTAAATGACAGCTTACCGATCTACTGGATCGTCACCCTCAGCCAGCGGGGCGTGATCGATTGGGAAGGAGGCTGCTCCTTGGCCCGCGCCTACCGCCGTGTCTTTGAGAAATTCGGCGTCGATGACGTCCATTGCTTGGTGTTCGAGTACGAGACAGATCTTTCAGGCGAGGATAGCCGGAAGGCATTTGCTCTGGAGTAGACTCCTGCTTGCTTGTTACTTGATTCTTGTTGGCGTGGCAGGCTTGAAGACCCCGGTCCAGAAAAGGAACCCGGGACTGGTTCGTTGGAGATGCCCTAGATGCTCGAAAGGTGAAAGAAAGTTGCGTTTGGTATTTGATTGAATAGGATATGGCCATTTGGTCGACCAAGAAGTTAGACACCATGAAACTGCAGTTTGAAGGTGCAGGTTCCAAGGCTGGATCGGTCGTTGTATCAGGCCATGGCAGAGAGTTATTTCGCGGAGGGGAGAAAAGTTTAAAGTCGATAAGTTTGGGAAGACATCAGATGTCTTCCGAACGCCGCGGTATCAGCGTGGGTGGCCTTGTCTTCGGTTATGGTCCAAATTCGGTCTTTTCACGTGCTAACCCCGTTGCACACAACGGAGATCTGCACTCGTTGATCATCGCTTTAAGAAGAAAGATGGCTACTGAATGAAATTCAATGATTCCGCCTCTTGTTAACAAGTCTTCAAGCGAGTCTTGGTGAGACCCGTGCCGTCGCCAAAAGACAGCCTTGAAGTCAGCAGAAGCGAATATCCGAGTGTGATCGAATGAGGGTAGTTCCGGCTGGGGATGGTGTGAGGATTCTCAGAGGGGTCGCCCCGGACGTCCAAGGCAGTCGATTCAGCAAACAAATTTGAGAGCTACAGTCCGATCCTCACCTTTCTGAAGGTAGACTGCAGATATCACATGTTCTCTTACATGTTGATCTTGAGCTACCTATATATAGGTATCTACTCCAGGTATGCCAACGTATTCTGGCCAGACCACCCTCAACCCGAGGCCTACGTAGCCCAAATGCAACACTTGAAAGAATGAGACGCTGCGGCTGCCGCGCCGATCAGCTCACTGGCGTCACGTCAATGTCAAGCTGCCGCCGACGAGGGCTGCAGTGCAGGAGCTACCCCGCAGCGTACGATCCCGATTGACCAATGGCCCAGCTGCAACAGGGACAAAAGCTTCCCACTTGTGCTGCACCAAGGGACCATTGGGGAGGGATGTCCGCCTGTGGCACCAGTCCATTGCCGGGGAGAAGGGTGCTAGTACTGCGATATGAGGTCGTGATCGACCCACGGGCGATAAGTTTCCTGGCCCCTCCTCGCCTTATTTGACGGATTCCCTCGCTTTCTCATCTCTAATCAGACTCTCGATCCTCTAATCGACCTATTTTAACCCATCACCAGTTGTGTACTTATTTCTGCACAGGCCCTTAACCACCAACCCGAGTCTCACCAAGCAAGATCCACTTACACCCAAACAAGCACATCGTCACCAAGAACCCTCCTCGGCTCGCCGCGGCAACAACCCCCCCACCACCACAACCAGACACATCCTCAGAGACCTCTCCAAAATGGCCGCCAGTCAGCAGCAACAAGCAAGGATCAACACAGATACCTCCTCCTTCGGCGGAGCGGACGCAGACCTCGCCGCGCGCCTGACGGGCCCGACCTCGCCCACCACCGAGCGTGCCGCAGAGGAGGCCCGCCGCCGCACCTCGACCTCGGAGTGGAAACCCCCGATCCAGCGCACTGCCAGCTTCGACCACGAGGAGTACAAGCGCCAGATGATGTCCTCCAGCGGCACCTTGGAAAAGGACCATGCCTAGGCCTAGGATCGACGGTCTGGGGATGAGATAACCAAGGGAGGGGTGTTGGTTTCCCCCGAGGGCAGTGCTTTGGGGCTCGTCGGTCTGCATTTGTTTTCCTGTATTTTTGGGACCTCAGAATGATTCAATGAGCGGGTGCGGGACTGTTGCGTCTTGAGCAGTGGGTTTGCCTGTGAGTCGGAGTCGTGGCTTGTACGGCCAGGTTAGGTGCATGAAGAATGGCATCAAGTGACACAAAATGGCACATATCATAGAAGAATGTTAGCATTAGGAAACAAAACTATGCCATCAAGGATGTGGCGCTAATATTGAAAGGAGAGTGTTTACGCTGTGGGAGTATCTGCCGAGTCGTGTCTGCCATCCTGAACGCCGACCAAAATCCATGGACTCGAAATATTCAGAGTGGGGAGTCCGCAATCATAATGTACCTTGTACAGTGCCATCCCTTCCATCACGTCTGCCACTTGTCCTACAATATCTTTACAAGCAATTCTCCACCATCGAAAGATCCAAATCGTGATCCCTACCATACTACTGAAGGCGCCATCCAAACGAGTTCTTAGAGTCCTGTTGGTCCCATTCCATCAATACCACCGGTTGTGAAGTATTCTGAGATGACACCGAGCGCGTAACTGATACCGGCAACCCAGACACCACCCACAATTAGCCTCTTGCCGAGGCCTGTCTTCTTGGTCCTCTTATCGTTGATTCTTGCTTTTGGTCCACTGAAAACGGGCTCCTCGCGGTGGACATCGATGTTGTACTTGATCCTCGGAGGAGGTGGCGGCAGTTTGCTAGCTGCAGTCTCTGGTATGTTCTCGTAATTCACATAGCCTGTAGGTGAAGCAAAATTGGCACTGGCAGGAGAGAACCGCGGCATCCCCGTCATGTCGATTGGGTTGATGCGTGTCTCGACCGCTGCAGACTCATCTGTCGCTGAGACCGATTGTTCAGGCGCCGGAGTTTGCACGGCCGGTATGCCCTTGCTGACCTCTGAACGTACTTTGCGGAAAACAAGTACATCGCCTGACCCGGAGATGATCTCGTAGCCTTCAGCCTGCAAAGGCCCAAAGTGGGGGAAGAATCTCGTAGGGTGGGATAGGCGGAGTAGGGCATCAGCTGGTGTCAAGGCAGACGCAGTGTCGGGAACGAACGAGGACGTCTCAGCGATTTCGATCTTCTGCATAGTTGGATCATAGGCTAGGATCTTGTACAAGGTAGGCTCGTTTGTCGTTTCACGATGGATGGTGTCTGAGATTGTTGGTTCCATTCCCTTGTTGGCCGGGGTTGGGGAGGGCGCTGTTCCGCTGGTAGAATTGGCAACCATGGTCTTTACCTCCCGAGCAGAGTTGATGTCGCCGTGCTCACTTGCAATACCTGGGGTAGTCTTTCGTTGCTGTCCATCAGACTGCCTGTCGAGTGCGGGCTGGATCTTAGCTGGTGATGGCCGTCCAAAAGCACCCTCGAGTCCGCCGTCCATGTTCTGACTTTCGAACAAAAACTCGTAATCTCGCTGAGCCGTCTCACTCGGGGCCGTCGACAGCGTCTCCGTCCAGGACTTTTCAAATTCTTCAGGGAAGTCTCGGACATAATTGCCAGTGAGCTGGCGCGACGACTCGGCCTTCGCCGCTCTGGCCTTTGCAGACTTGACGGCCAGACTTGCCTCATGGTCTGTCACATCCGAGGCTGCCTGGTCTTCCTTCATCTGTGATTCCAGCATCTGTCTGCGATGGGTTTCTTCGGAATTGTTTTCAAGCTGCTGGCTCTCGCAAGTCCTTCTCGGCACCTCAGTGCCCGAATCGTCGGCTGTGTCTGCTGCTGAAGGCTGCCCATCAGGCTCGTTCCGTTGCACTGGTCTCTCGTAACCTTCAAGCTCTTCAGGCATGTATCTTTTCAAAAGGCCCTCGGCTACTCGCTCGTCCATACCAGGTAAAGGCTTCCCATCTGATTCGTTCCAGTAGTCTGGGTTATACTTGGCAAGTTCCCTGGGATTGTATCTCATTGTGAGATCTTCGGCGACTCGCTCATCTGGCTCGTTATGATACACATGCTTGTGATTTTCCAGCTCTTCAAGCTGTTGCCTCAAGGTCTTCAATTCCGCAACTGGCTCTGCTGCAGACGATGAAGAGCCCCTCTTCGGCTCGGCATTCCCCACGACCGTGTACTTTCGCAGCTTTGCTGTCCCATACTTTTCCCGCAGCTTCTCGATAGTGGATGTGTCAAAATCGCCGGGCCCCAGATGCTCGACCTTTTGCTGACGATTCACCGACGTCCAAGATGGTCCGGTCATAGAGATTTGGGGGCCAAGAGGTTTCTCGTGAGGCTCTTCGGCCCCTGGTGGTATGTGATTATCCAAGCCATCCTCCGCTGGCAAGACTTCTGTTCGCTTGGCAGCAGAGTCGACAGAGAAAGCTGGTCTGAGCTTGCCGAGGTCGTTGTACCCAGCGCCTTGATCTAATGCGTTTTCTGAGACGAAATCTTGGCTGTATCCGTGCAGATCCGAGTATGGGGCCTTGTCACTCTCGAAACGAGCCACAATTTCGTCGACCACTGCTTCATTGTACTTTTCAAGGTCTTGGTACGGGGGGTTCAAGTCCTGGAACTGGATGGGCTCCTTGTTTTCCACTGACTCGTATTTGTCCACGGCGGCGTACGGTTGCTGCGGTGCCTCGGACGAGACCTGTCCTTTGTCCAACACAGGCTTGTACTTATGTAAGTCGTCGAATTCGGGTTTCAAACTTTGGACACCATCGCCAACTGGTTTTCTAGAATGACCAGACGATCCTCCTGGGTTTTCTGCGTTGGGATCGGCCTCGACCTGGCTTGGTTTGTATAGGTCATTCAGGGGTATCTCATTGTAAAATCCAAGTCCGAAGTGTCTGGTTGAATATTGAATTCCGCGGTCTTTGAAGGTCTTGACGGGTATGTCCACCCCGACATCAGGACTACTCGGAACGGGATGCTTCGCAACCTTCCGGTTGGTGACTGGGTCAATGAAGAAGTCGTCTTGCTCCTCAGCTAAACCAGAGAAAGGGCGAATTTGCTTGTTCTTCTTGCCACCTCGCTTCCGCTTCGTCTTGAGCCCACGCGCTGGATCCTCTTCATCTTTGCCGAATATAAGATGCTCAATGGCTCCTCGCTCCACATCTTCAATGTTCTGGCCTGGGCGCACTCCATCCTTGTTATCGGATGTGTGTTGCTTGCTGGACACAGCATCCTCGGGTGCGGCGCATGGGCGTGGATCATGGGAAAGCCAATAGCTAGCCATCACGCGCTTGACGGCTCGCTGGGCGTCATTCGCCACCTGGTAATCGTCCGAATTGTGCTGGCGTCGGCCGAGATATTTCTGCTTGAAGATCTGTTCTTGCCGCCGCCTTATTTTGTCCTGAATTTCCGAGTCTAATTGGGTGAACCACGAGCCGAAGCGAAAGCCGCGGGTTTGCTGGTACTGCGGCAGGGCGATGGCGCCGGAGGCACCAAGCACGCGATGCACAGTTGCAGCTGCACTTGCGGTGGCATGGGTGGTCCGCAGACACCTGGCTCGAGGGCCGAATTGGGATGCGGTGGTTAACATGGCGTGGAGTTTATGGCAAGGGTCATATTATGTGAAGTGCGTCCAGGCAGGAGATACTGGAAGAAGTCAGACCGAAGATGCCGTCAAGTCTCAGACGACGGCTGTACAAGAAGAAAAGTGCAGGCATGGGGTGCCCGACAGCATGCCTTGATGCCGGGATCAGGTATCACATAGAAGTTGGACTTCACATAGAAGTTGGACTGACCGGTGTGATTTCCGGAGGGGGACGGCAGGACCGTTGGTTGTTCACGCAGCCTTTGTGACGTTGATATGCAGAGCGATACCTGAAGTGTAATGTGCAGGCTGCTGGCAAGGACATCAAGGGTCAAAGATCAAACAGCGAATCTCGAATCTCGAATCTCGAATCTCGAATCTCGAATGGTACGGCGGGAGCAAGGCAAGGAGAGGCAGCAAGTGTGGCCAAGGCGTTGGCCAGGATGGCCGGCTGCTTGGGAGGACGACCCGACCGACTGCGTGTTGTGCTCGTACCGCAGTTGCCGTGGGAGCAGTCAGCCAGCCTCAGGGGCATGGGCAAACAGCTCAGTCAGCGGGACGTGTGTCTTGAGGCATCTGTCCGGGTCTAGGGGGCCGGCTAGGCAAGTGCAGTGTGACAATATGTGCCTAGGCAGATGAGCCGACGATGGCAGTTGAGTGATGCGGGAGAGGAGGAGGGAAAGGCAAGAGAGGGCTGTGGTCGTGCAAGCTGGATGAGGGGTCACGTTGGAGCTGGTCGTGCACATACAAGGCTCCCTCCCGTCCTTATCTCGGGGTTAAAGAACGGGCCTACTGCCACACCTTAATGAGAGACCCGTGTACTGTCCATGTGTTCCTTCTTGGCCAGCATCTTCCCCAGGCCCAGGGCCGAGCCCACCTTGCAACGTCGGCCCCGGGGACTGGAGAACAACCTGGCCCAGGTCGACTGGACCAAGGCCTATATTTCTGGCTGCCAGAAAGTTCCGTGCTGCGACACAACGTGCTTGCATGCATGTGTCGGCGTGCTGTCGACATGCCATGTACGGCGGGGCGCTTCCTTGTCATGCGGGGTACTGTGGGGCATTGCCGACGGGAGCCCGGGGCCAAGACGCCCTTCCGGAGCTCCAGCCCCACCGTCACTAATTGCTGATTGTGAATACTAATAACAAGTGGACGGCACGGACATATTTAAGTAGGCAGGACTACTACTACTAGCATATACTAGCTTCATTATAGTGTCCTATTATAGTCTATAGCTTCTCTAAGCAATATTAATAGTATAAGAAGAGATTATATAAAAAGAAATAAATAGTATATAAGTATAAATACTCTTTAATATACTAACTTTAATTTATAAAATTAATATCTATTTATTTAATAATTATATTTACTTACTTAATTTCTACTAATTATTTACTTAATATTAATTTTTTTTAAGTAACTCCTTTATATTTATAAATACCTTTTAAGTTAGTATTAAAAGACCTTATAGTATAATTTCTTTTTTTAATTTTAATACTTTAAATATAAGCTCTTTTTATATACCTTTTAATATACCTTTTAACACCCCTTTTAATATACCTTCTAATACCCCTTTTAACACACCTTTTAATATACCTTCTAGTCTATATATATTTAGGTATTAACTAAGTATTTAAATACTAATTAAATGTTAAAAAGTTAGAAGTTTAAAGGGTTAGAAGGTTAAAAGGAGAGTTAAAAGGTTAGAAAGTATATAATCTTTACTTTTACTTTCTTAACTTTTAGCTTTTTAGTGTTTAATTAGTATTTAAATACTTAGTTAATATCTAAATATATATAGGTTAAAAGGTTTAAAAGGTATATTAAAAGGTATATTAAAAGGTGTATTAAAAGATATATTAAAAGGTATATAGAAAGAGTTTATATTAAAAGTATTAAAAATTTAAAAATTTTAATTAAATATATAATTTTATATAAACTTTATATATAAATTCTTATATTAAATAAGTAATTAAAAATTAAGTAAGTAAATATAATTATTAAATAAATAGATATTAGCTTTAATTTATATTACTTACTTATTATATAAAATTAAAATTTATATTTATTAACTATACTTTTAATTTTTATTATTACTTTTAATTTAATACTTTTAATTTAATAATTTATTACTTCTTTTATATTATTATTATTTAAAGCACTTTAACTTATATTTAAATACTTAAATCTCCTTTTAAATCCCTTTCTTATTATTAATAAAGTTTTTTATAATAAAGTTAACTTATAATAACTAATTTATAATTCTATAAATCTTTATATAAAGTTTTTTAATAGTTAGTAATAAAGTATTATTTAGTAAGTAAAGGAGAATTAATAAGCCTAACCTTAAAGTAAGAGTGTAAAAAGCACTTTATTTAAGTGGTATATATAGTTAAAAAAGGTTAAATAAAGCCCTTTAATTAATTATAACTTAAAAGGAAATATTATATCTATATACTATCTATTTCTTTCTATATAAATATTCATTCCCTATAAGAATACTATTAAATATAACTAATAAAAATAAAACTCTATTAGTTCCTTAGGTGATTTAAGAAGTCTCTTATATACCTTGTTATAGAGGCAGCTAATAGTGTTGATATGAAGGTGAAGGTGGGATTGATTGTTATGTACATGGATGACTAGAATATACACCACAACGGTGGAGGTGAAAGTCACTGTGGAAAAATACAATTCGCCAAGCGGACCAGCCTTGGTAAGTCAGCTACTCGGACGAGCTGAAAACCCTGGCACGCCCATGTGTTCGGAGATGTAGAAGGGTTGTGGCTGAGAGACGGTTCTTTGAACGTTGATGCACAAGCATTGCTGTGGTCTCTACTAGTGAGATCTTCATGCCTCATGCTTGGATACCTAGGTATTACTATTCTAAAATCACTGCAGATTCACTGGTACCCGTGGCTATGTTCTATTGCTGCAATTAAAATCTACAGTCTATCTAGTTATATTATTATTGAGAACGGAAATTCACGCACCTAGAATCGGAAGGTACACACCTATCTACTAACTAAGAAGTACTCTATATAGATTTCTTCCACGAAAGGGCCGGCTAGGGTAAAGGGGGTAAGCTCTAAAGTATAAAGTATAATGGAGGGCTGTAAGTAGGGCTAATAGGTACGACCTAAGTTCCTAGAGGATTAACCCACCCTATTTATAGCCTTTAAAATCGTAAAGAATACTTATTTATTAAAGTTATAAGGACTTTAAGGTTTTATACTCTAATTGGCTGAATAGTAGGGAGGGTGTGCGCCTTCTGACTCTGGGTGCGCGAATTTCCGTTCTCTTATTATTGTGCCCTGACACCTGTTTGGGTGAGTATGTCTCCCACCTCCTTTGCGCTCTTCAAGTCTTGAGCTTGTGCTTAACTTTAACCTTGACGTCGGTCCCGGTGTTGATTCTGCTAGTTAGGAATATGGAGTAGCCAGTTATTTTTTTCTCGGCTGAGATGTCTTTGGTTGTTGTCTACAGGTGTCGTATAAGTCAGCGCACCGGTCTGCGCACATCCCCACCAACGCACACACATTTCCCACTAAAAAGGTTGATTTTTACTAGACTTTATTTAATTCTATAAAAATACTATATAAATAAATTTAATATTATTAAAAATTAGATTTTTTATTTATAGTAAATAAAAATCTAAATTATTAATAAATATTACTATAAGTTAGAAATAAATTATTAAAGTTTAATATTTTCTTTCTTAATTAAATAACTAATAATTAATATAGAAATTAGTTAAGATATTAAAATTTAATTTTAAATTTAATTTAATTAAATAATAATATAAGTTTTATTATAAAAATATATATTATTATAATATTTATATATATTTTAAAAGTTTCTATTTATAGAAATTTATTAGAATTAATTATTAAAGATTTAAGAAAAGTAGAGTAAAAGAGTAGGGAATTTACTCTACTTTTCTAAAATCTTTAATAATTAATTCTATTAATTTTATAAATAGAAACTCTTTAATTTTAATTTTAATAATTTTAATAGATTTTTATATATAATAAATTATAAATATTATTAAAAACTATATTTTATAATAACTTAAAGTTTTAAAAATATTTCTTATATTTAGTAAGGAAACTTTAAAAATAAAATTTCTAACTTTAAATAATTCTTTTAAAAATACTTACCTATTCTTTTATTATAAAAGTTATTATATATATAAATAAAAATAAAGATTTAAATAAAGTAACTTACTTATTTCTAATATTTAAATAGATTTATTTATTAATAAAAATGAAAATTATATATATTTTAATTTATTATAATAAATAATATTATTTATATAATAAAAACTATATTATTATATAGATATTAACTATACTTATAATATATATTTAATTTAGAATTTTAAAAGTTATATAGAATTAATAATAATATATTATATAGTTAAGAAATAATGTGTGTTGGTGGGGATGTGTGCAGACCGGTGCGCTGACTTAATTCCATGTCGAACTTGCAGAAGACACGTGCGAGAATCATATAGGGTTCATTGTAAGCTGAAATAGAATTGAGACATCAATATTTCCAGACTTGTGCAGTTTGCAGATAAATGCAGCTGCATGTGTACCAACTTATCTTCACTAACTTTGAGACACGGAAGGAATGGATAGGAGAGGCGCATCGGTTAAGTGTGAATAATCAAGGGCCGAACTCGGTTGAAAGACAAACATAACCAGCACTACTCATCACTTACTACTCTGGGTAGTCTTGAGAGGTTCTGAGAACTTGATTCTTGCCCTATTTTAAGAGAAAATAAACTGAGCAAACGTTTGAAGTCACCTCCGGTTGCTCCATGGACAGAGGGGCTGACGAACTCATATGATTAAAGGTGTGCTACAAATCGTGCTGCCTACCCTGGGGTACCAATGAAACCCCCCGCTGTGACACTCAGGCAAATAGCCGATTGAGTATCCAGTTGACACTCTGGCTCTTGCTCGATGACTGTGCAGACGACAGTAACGCTAGCATGGAGTCATTGTTCCAGGACCTGGTACAGAATCATACTCAGAGGAACGCGTGATGGCTCCTGTTCAACGATAGGATTCCGGCCTTGCTTAGGTGCTACAGTCCTTTCTATTCTTTGAATATTTCCAGGAGCAGCCTAGACTGTGAGTTACTATAGCGTTGTAGTATTCTGGATGTTCTGTGCTCTCATATTAGAGAAACTGACGGAAACCGTCTCAAATTAGTCTTCTAAGGATGCTGGATCGAAAGATACAACTTCCAGGGTCTACACGGCGCAAATTATTACCCACAGTCCCCCGTGGTCTGAACAGGTTAGGCCAGATTGTGGGGGCGTCGTTGTTCCTCAGCACGCCGACACAAGAGCGGGAGCTAATAAACAGTTCGTCTGACAATGAGTCCAAGAATACAAGGACGTGCTTGGTAGCAGCAATGGCGAAATGGTGGGGCCGGGCACCCCACTAAAAGAATGCATGATTTCAGAGGGTTAGCTTAAAAGGGAAAAGTAAATAAAACTAACCTTAAAAGATTAAAACTTATAATTATATTAATTGTGGGAATAGTAGGCTGCAGTGGATTAGCCACTGCAAGGCTAGTGGGCCCGTGCGCACGCACGGACCAAGATTAGTCAGCAGGTCTGGCCAACCCAACTGGGCGCTTCGCCGCCCAGCCAGGCAGACCTCTAACTATCACCAATACACACCACTTCACCCAACCACTTACGCGTAAGCAAGCCGACCGACATTAATATTATTATAAAAATAAAAATTAGATTAAATTAAATTAAATTATAAAGTAATATAATAAATAAGAAAAATTAAAGTTTAAAATAATTATTAATAAATTAAAATAATTATTATTTATATTTTATTAAAATCTTTAATATTTATTATTTTTTATATTTTATTAAATATATAATAATTACTTTATTATTTTTTATTATTCTTTTAAAAATTTAAATTTTAAAATTAAAAAGTATTAATAAATTATAGGAATGATTTTATGTAAATTATATACTTACCTTACCTAGTGAAGTAAAATGGGGAGTGAAAGATTCCGAAATTAACTAAAACCATCACTGTAAGTTGGCAGTCTATCCGTCCCGGCTCCGTGGTGGTTGGCGCGCAAGCAGGGGACTGCCCTGCGGGTCCGAGGTACACTCAATAAGGTACAGTTAAACCGCGCTAGTGATGCTGCCCGGCATGACGCATTTCGGATCCATCCCACCAACCGTGGGGTAGCTTTGGAGATACTGAGCATTTCTTCTGCTGATGATTTATAACCCATCTACCACCATCCCGCCGATGATCGCCAGTCTCCTGCGAGTACAACCGACTCGTCAGGCCCAGATTGTCCCATCCCACCTTCCTCGACACTTTGGCCTCCTCCTTGTCCTCAGTTTCGCCCTTCCGAGACGTCGACGAGAAGCTGTAGTGGCGCGTTCCGATCATCAACGTCACTCCCTGTCCTGTCCTGATCTCGGCCATGTCCTTCAAGGGTGCAAAGGGTCGCGCCGCGAGTGGCAGGGGCTTTGGAAGCCCGGCGCCCTCTGGCTTCGGTGGATTCTCCTCATATTCGACCAACAGCGGCAGCCTCTCGTACCTCTCCGAAGACCCTGATTTGTCCTCGCTGTCAGATCCGAATATCGTCGTCTCGTTCAAGAACCTCTTAAAAAAGGACAACACCACAAAGTCAAAAGCACTCGCAGACCTCATCCAATACACGCAGGCGCACCCTAATGAGACAGATGGGGGCGTGGAGGAGGCTATACTGGAGGCCTGGGTCCGGCTCTACCCTCGCATATCAATCGACAACGACCGCCGGGTCCGCGAGCTGTCCCACACACTCCAAGTCGAGCTGCTGAAGTCCGCCCGAAAACGGATGGAGAGGAACCTGCCCAAGATTGCAGGGCCTTGGCTGGCTGGTACATACGACAAGGACAAGGCTGTCGCAAGATGTGCGACTGAAGGCATCTCGGCCTTCTTGAACACAGAAGACAAATTGACCCTTTTCTGGAACAAGTGTCAAGCACAGATCCTCCAATATGCGACCGATGCAATCACCGAGACCCCCGACACGTTGAGCGACGAGCGTTCTACCAAGCCAGAAGACGCAGAAGCGAAATACTACCGTGTGATCGCTGCAAGCTTTTCTCTGGTCCATGGCCTCCTCGAGAGGCTCTCAGGCTCGGGCATGGAGAAGCATCGCACAGAGTACGAGACGTTCTTCACATCTGGCCCGGGCGATAATGCATGGGCCTTTGCAGTTGCCGACGATACCCACGTTAGGAAGACGGTCTACCAGTTGCTGCAGCTCTGCGCCGAGACCCATTGGGATCTGATTGAATCAGACATGTCGCGTATTGGCAAGATCTTGACATCAGACGCCCTGAAAAAGTCACAGCTGGGCTCTGCAGCCGAATTGCTCACGACCTTGACCATTGTGACACGCAAAGACAAGGAGCTTTGGGGCACAAAAAAGTCGCCCCTTGCTAGGTTAAGGGCCTTCATTGAGAAGGGATCCCAAGGTGGTCCCCCAAGATTCTGGCGGGCCTTGGACGAGCTGTTGGCGGCGCTTCCATCAGATTCTCTGCCACCTGCGGATCTTTCAACCTTCTTGAAGTCCTTCAGGATTGGTCTCAGTAGAAGAGAAGAGGCGAGATCCAACGCTCCGTATGCTTGGATGGCTTATCTCAACGCTGTCTCTCGCTTTCTCCCTCGAATCGACTCAGCCGCGCGCGTCGATATCATTAAGGATCATGTTTTCCCATTGACTGATCATTACTTGTTCGCGGCCGATCGCGAGGAGGGTTGGTCAGTGAACGGCGAGATTGCAATTGTCTCTCAAGCCTACAGAGTTGCAGCACTCTCCAGGGATCCTTCGATTCTACAGCTCCTTGACACTGAGTGGGACAGGTTGGCTCAGGTACTCGTGGCTCGGATTTCGAATTCCCTGCCTGAAGTCTCGAAAGAGTTCGACGCATCCCAGAAGAAACTTGCAGAGGATGGTGCCCGGTGGTTCTCCGTCGTTAGTACCATCCAAAGAGATGTCAAAGCAGTGCCAAAACAGAGTGCGAGCGATGAAATACCTGACCACACCGAAGCCTCATCCTGCACCGTCATTCAGAACGCCACAGATCTTCTAAGGCGACGGAACTACAAGCCATTTGGCGCAGCTGCAATCCTACAGTCAGCCATCAAGTTGACGCCACACCTCTTTAACATAAGCGACGCATCCTACCTGCAGTCCTTGATCCCAACTGACTCTGACGAAGACATGCAGAAGATGTTGTGTTCACCGTCAGCCTCATCTATTATCTCTTGTCTCCTTCCTTTGGGTCAGCAGAACCCCGACCTATACAGGTCGTTATGGAGCGCCACTATCAGCTGCATTCTTAAGATGAGCGATCGGGAAAGGGCTGATAGTTACATCACACTCCTGATTTCACATGTTTTGGCAAAGCCTCTGGCACAGGACAACCTCGCACTACAAGACTATGTCAAGACTCGGGTCTTGGCCAGCGTGCGCAACGAGTGCCATTCGTGGGCGCTTTTCAAGTCAGCTCTGCAGTATGATGCCCTATCACAGGCGAGTTCACAGGACATATGTTCGCAGCTTGTCGATGCACTCAGCTCCGAGAATGAATCTAGTATCCTGGCCTTGGAGATGATACTGAAGAGCAAGCCTGCATCCCTTTCAGAGGACGACGCTCTACATCTCAACCTTGTCACGAAGCTCCTCTCCATGATGGAGGTGGCAGACTCGACAGTCTCGTCAAGAGCCACTCAGCTACGATCAATGTTGGAAGGACACGTTGATGCCCAGCCGTCCATCCTGAGCATAATCCAGGACAATTTGGAACGCCCGGGGTCAGGATCCTTGGCTATTGACACTCTTGTACAACAGGCCAGGTCTGTGTCGCTGTCTGATGGGGTGGATGTGGAGCAACTATTCCCGAACACGAATGTCTGGATGCAGGAGCTTCTGCAGCTGCTGCAATTCGAGCTCAGTCCTTCACTGGCACTGACGAGCAACATTCTCGGGGCCTACTTCCTTCCTCAAGGCACCAGCAAGTCCAGGCCGCGAGTTCAGCGTGACCAAAGAGGGCTTTCCGTTCCAGCTCGGATGGCCATGTATACAGTGGCGCTTATTGAGAGCGGTTCTGAACTCGGGACTCTTGCCCAGAAATTCCAGGCGGAACTGTTATATCTGCTATACCTCGTTGCAGAAGTGGCATCTGATCAGATTACCCTCATGGAAGAGAATGTCTTGTTGGGCTCCCTCAGAGAGCCATCCCTCCTGAAAGAAATCGAAGATCTGGTCTCTACAACGAGGAGATTGGTCAACAACATCTTTACTGAGTCTCCTCAATGGCGGCCCGGAGGCACCGAAAAAGGCCTGCGTGATGAGCTGATTGACATAATGATTCAACAGTCAAAAGAGCTCACGCCCATTGCTCTTTATAGTGCTCGGGCATTGAGCGAGATATTCGCAGCTTTCTCAGACGCCCACGGCCAGGAGGCGGTTGTCGAGGACTGGCTGGCTGCAATCGACGTTATGAAGGCGACTCACACGACGGTCTTCCCCGCCGTTGCCCTCTTGACGGGCTACGGCGAGGCGCTTGCAAACTCCAAGATTGTCTCAAATCTTCTCAACCGGCTTGTCAGTGATATTGCTGGTGCCTCAACTCAGTCGGACAAGACGGTCCTGACCTTAGTTCTGCTGAACGCTTGTATGCCAATCTATGAGCTTGGCCAGCTTCCGGTGGCGAACAATCGTCTTGTCTTCGCGGTGAAGCAAATCACTTCCTGGACGGGGCAGCCAGTTGTGGATCTAAGTGTGGGCATCGTCACAGAGAGCTGCAGAGCGTTGCAGCGATTACTGCCATGTATTCGCGAAGTCTACGGTCCCTATTGGGAGCAGTCGATCGAGTTCTGCCTCGCTCTGTGGAAGCGTGCTGGCAGAGGCAGCATCGAGAAGCACTTGCCGTACATTCACGCGTCCGTCAAGCTTATGTCTGGCCTTTCCGCTATTGAAGATCCCAATGATGATCTTGTCGACGCTCTCAACGCCCACGCGGAGTCACGAAACCACGCTCTTTTGGAATTGTTGAAGCTTCCCCGACCCGAGATAACTTCGCAACCAGGAGCAATGGTAGATGCCCTGCTCTGTCGTGAAGCGGGGAAGATTCCGTTGGAGCATCTCAAAGATCTGTCGGAGGTCTACGGCTTGGTGGCATCCGACTCACGAGACATACAGTCAGCTGGCTTCAACCTGCTCCACCGAGCGCTTCCAGCCGCCCAGGAAGAACTCTCGCTAGACGTTCTAATCGAAAAGAAGCAGGCCAAGCTCCCTGATGAGCTCATGTCTCTCCTTCTCGATGCACCGACGCTCGAGGCCTACCCGGAGGAGGTTCTGGTTCAGTTCCCCACAGCCATCAGGTCCTATCTTCTATCATGGAAGCTCATCTTCGACGCTTACCAAGGCTCTGCGCACAAGTTGCGGGAGGATTACACGGAGCAGCTCAAGACCTTGGGAGCCATCAATCCACTCATGGAATTCACCGTTGACGTGTTGGGGCACTCAGCTGCTCACGCCATCAACCTCGACAAGATTGGCTTCTCATCCCTTGACATTCAAGATTATGACATCAATGTTGGCGACTCTCTGCCGGAGGAGAAGAACATGCAGTGGCTTCTAATCCACCTGTTCTACCTGTCGCTCAAGTACGTGCCGGGCCTGTTCAGGACGTGGTTCATCGACTGCAAATCCAGGCAAACCAAGAACGCCATCGAGCCATGGACAGAGAGATGGTTCTCGCCCATCCTGATCCGCGACGTCATGGAGGAAGTGGAGACTTGGTCCAAGTCGCAGGTGGCCGACCCGGACGAGCACGAGTTCGTGATCAAGGTGAACCAGAAGGCGCGTGAGATCACAGCAGCGTACCCGATCGACGACGGCGACGAGGAGCAGTCGGCATCGCTGCTCCTGCAGATCAGCGCCAACTTCCCCATCGGCAACGTCAATGTGGTGGGGCTCAACCGTGTGGCTTGCAACGAGCGCACGTGGCAGTCGTGGGTGCGCACCACACAGGGCATCATCATCATCTCCAACGGCAGCATCGTGGAGGGCCTCGGCGCGTTCCGCCGCAACGTGGTCGGCGCTCTCAAGGGCAACGTCGAGTGCGCCATCTGCTACAGCTACATCTCGGTCGACAAGCGCATGCCCGACAAGCGGTGCGCCACCTGCAAGAACTTGTTCCACCGCGACTGCCTGTACAAGTGGCTCGAGTCGGCCAACCAGAACACATGCCCTCTGTGTCGGACGAGGATGGATTTTGTGGACAAGAAGAAGCCACGGAGGAATGTGTGAGGAATTTCTGTTGGTGAATATGCACGCATCACCTCGAAACCGCATAAGATCATGTTGGAGGGTTATACCACTCTAGAATACTTTTGACTTCTTCAATCAGATACAGTACAACCAAATCAGACGTGATCGACCGTGTACCAAAAGCAGGGGGTTTTCACCGCTATATATACTACATCAGGGAGGGTTGCGGTTTAGTCAAAGGAGTGTTGGATATGCGCCATGTCCTCGCGCTTGCTTGGCTCGGGCAAGCAAAGGAAGAGCCCTCAGCATCAATGCCAGGCTCCCATACCATCGTGTTGTTGGCAACATGATCCGCTCACAGGTTAAGATTTGCGAGCTTGTGGTGTAGAACCTCACCAATGAAATGTCCGATGGACTGCGTTATGTTCCCACCTGGGCCGCCGGCCGTCTGTTTCTCTTTCTCAGACACAAGGTGGCCAAGGTAGGCAATCCCGGCGGCGATGGCGAACCCGATGCCATTCACCAGAGCAGCGAGCGCGGCCAAGGCCCCACCGACGACGGCGTTGATCACCAGGACTATTGCGCTGAGGGCGAGGAAGAAGGGACTGATGGATTTGCCCAGGGCGTCTGTGCGGTCGGGGATGCTCAGCTTGGTCGAACCGGCAACTCGGGTGAGGGATTGATGGTACTTACGCAGCCCGACCTTGAGAAGTGACCTGTGGGCCGTGCCGCCGACATGCTTGACGAGATTTTTGGTTTTGTCGATGATACACGTCACATTGCAGGGCAGCCCGTTCTCGTCGACCAGCTTCGTTTCGTTTGTCAATGAACCCAAGAGGCCCCGGGCGTCGTGTAGGGTGTCTGTGATGTTATGGAGATGTATGCCGATCAGACCGGCGACCTTGTCGGCGGCATCTCCCACGATGGGGCCTGGGTGCTGATCCAGGATGTTGTCTATAAACATTTGTTACTGTCAGCCCGTGATGCCTGTACCCTTCTTCGTGGAGTCAATTGTTGGCCACTGGACCAAGGGGATTACCAACTTACCAATCGCACTGGTCTCGTGCTGGATAGTATGGAGGAGATCGGGTAGGATGGTGGTCAAGTTTGGAAACAGGCGGCTGCCCTCGATCTGCACCTGTGGGATTTCGGCGGCGATTGGGCCGCCGGAAACGCCAGCAACAAGCGTCAAAGCTGTAATAAAAATTAATCTCATGGTTGGTTTGCTCTTCAAAGTGCTTGCGCAGAAGTAAGGCACAACAGATTCGGGTCGCAGGAGAACGTCAAGGGCAATGCAGGCACGGGGACACGCGGACAGCCTGTTTATCCGCGGCTTATATGTGTAGTTGCCTGTTTCCCGAGTTCAAAGTCCCATATGTAAACAACAGGAACGAGATTCGGTAGTTCTCGGCTAGGGGCACACCGTCTCACTGCCATGGTGCCATCCAGAAGGCCGGTGGATCAACCGTGCAGAGCGACGACCGAGTCGTCATGGCTCAGAGATGGCATTGGCTCATATGCGCACCCATGAGATACTGAGGCTCCTGGGGCAAGGTCTGCTGGAGAGATATCAGTCGACAGCATGTACACCTGTGAGAAGACGGATTTCTGGGGCTTCGAGGAGCTCCGTTACGCATGACAATGTCCTATGCCAAAATTCGACATGAAGAGTACTATGTAGTATCGAGGTAGTTGACTTCAGGACCGACGATAGAGGGCCGCATTGACGCTGCGCCATTGGACGTCGACGATGTCACTTGAGAGGTTCAATGATGTGTCCATGTCCGACCTCGTCGCTCGAGCGTAGATGCCTGGGCGACTTTCACAAGCTTCATCCGGAGCTTCCTGTCCGTCTTCAGCAGACGGGGTGAGGACCTGTGAGAGCACAATTCACAATTAATGGTCCTCGTGGATGTGTCAGCATGTCAGGTTGGGGATAGCCTCACTCTCGGTCCTGGGAATGGAAAGACTGACAGGCCAGGCGGCCGAGGTGGCGTGCCGAAGCTACAGCACACATGCACATAGCTATAGCTCGGTATCTGGGGCGTTTGGTGAGCGTTGCAGTCCAGTTTTACCCGCCAATCGGCCGGGCCCCCGGAAAGCTGTCGGTAAGCGAGCAGCCACTCAGCCAGTCTAGAGCTGTCAAGGGTCCGCCAAGAGGGCAGGCGGGCAGGAGGGGAACCGGGGCAGACAGGGGTAGAATTGGTAGAGAAGATGCCCCACAAAACAACGCATCCGGGGAAACGTCCTGCTTCATTTCGTGCAGTCCCTTGAACCATACCAATCATACCAATCATACCACCCACTCCCAGTGGCACCCACCACCCACCATCTACCTACCTGTCTACATACACAGTCACAGTAAACTTGCAATGCAGTCAATACGTCACCCTCAGCTTCTTCCCCCGCGTCAACGCGAAAGTCTGGCAGGCTGACTTTCGATGCCGATGCCCTTCAACTTTCTTTCTCCCATCACGCTTGGCATCACTCGACGCCTCTGCCACTCAGCACTCCTGCAAACCCATGCAAGGGACAACCTTAGACCCTGCCAAGAATCTCTGCAGTCTGCAGTCTGCAGACTGGCACTCACCGAGAGCACGGTGGAAGTGAGACAGCCGACGTGCCTGTCTGACCCGCGCCCCAACATCCACCCACGTCGTCCTCGAAACATTTGCGCGATATTGCTTGCACCTTCAGCCCTCGGCCCTCACAGTACGGAAACAATAAGCCAACCACAGGCCATACCTCACGCAGGCCACAACCAGCCACGCAGATCATCGTCGTTCTTCAAGATGGGAACCAAGTCACTTAACAGGAGGCCCAGCCTGGTTGACCGCCTCCGCCAACTCCGCACCGCTACCCTGTCCCCCTCAAAGGCCACCTTTTTAACAGAGAAGCGACCATCCTATGTCCCCATCCACACAGATGCTGAGCAAACCACTGCTCACTACCGTGACGAAGAGCCCCACAAGCCAATGTCCAATCCTTGGTCTCGGTCTCGGTCTTATTATCCCGGAAAAAGCCTGGACTTGGAGGAACTGGACGCCAAACTTGAGCAGTATGCCCAGAGGTCCCTGGAATCGGCGGACGCCGACTTTGGCCTGTATGGAGTGAATGACCAGGCCTCGACGGCCGAGGCCTCTGATGACGGACCGGAGCGTGACCCAAGCTCGTGCTTAGAGCCGGTTGCCAGCTTGCAACCGCCATCCCAGGGGGTCGGCAGCGTCGAGTCTTGCCTTGTCTCGCCCACGAGCGCGGCACAAGAGTCACAGCCATCAGACTATGAGCTGTTCATGCGGGAAGCCTTGGAGGCCGAGCGGCAACGGATAGAGGACAATGGCCAGGCCCCACGGCCCGCCCGTGAGCCACCACTGAATCCCTTCTACTCCAACAACTGGGATCACCAATCGCGCCCGTCACCAAAACTCGGGGGGATCCAGGAGGCAGGCGACGATAATGCGAGGGAGGGTGGGGATGCCCACGCAGTACCAGGGCACGTTGATTCGGAGCGGCGGGCGCTGTCCTCGGAAACATCGAGCGAAGGGGGAGACGCGAACCTTGCACCACCAAAGGGCACCCTCTCGCGGGCCAACACTGACCTGCCCGGCATGGGGAGACGTGTCACGTTCAGCAACACATCTGTGCCCCGGGAACGCGTGGAGAGGAGAGCCTCAGCACCGAGCTGTGCGACCCGGGTCAGGTCGCCGTCCAGGCCAGTGCGCAAGCAAAAGAGCATCAAGCAGCTCATTGCAGATTACATACGGCCTCCCAGGAGCTAGTATCTTAGAGAGTGTGGAACATGATGTATTGGAGAATGATGATGGAGAAAAGGTATTTCTGAGGATGGCTACGATAGTCCTTCTTAAAGTGGGGATGAAAATAATACTTTGAAGCGTGTGAAGAAGCCCTGGTTCCGTCGAGGTCACTTTGTGTCACTCAAGCAAAGTCTGCCCATATACTCGATTTCAAATGTGACCCAGGGTGAAGTAAAAAGTGGTATCATTCTGGCCAGACTGAAATTCTAATAAGCCCCATCGCTCCCTCGAAAAAACCCCATCAAACATCCAAAGAACACCGCCCTCACTCCACGGGCGACAAAGCTGCAAAAGCACTTGTCACGTTGCGCCTGAACTCCCTCGTCCCATCAGCTCCATGCCGAAAAGTCCAATGCTAGATTCCATCCCATGCAGTCACACCCTACCCTCCTGGACGGAGCCGCCCACAAGGTCCACACAGCCAGAACTACCCAGTCCGGCTTCACCAGAAAGAGTCCTAGTCCCTCCTGCGCTCCTGATCCCAAATGACGAGCCCCGTAGTGACGGCCATGACCGCCCAGCGCTCCCCGAGAGCCCCCGACAGCCCCGTCCCCAGGAACGAGAACTTAAACAGCTTAGTCATGCTCATGACGGCGTCTGTGCACACGGCCACGACCTCGTGCCCGTCGCCGGCGGGGGGCCCGCTCCCCGAGACGGCCAGGCCGCCCGGGGGCAGCTCGTTGCTGATGCGCACGAGCTTCCAGCCCTGGGAGCGGCCGCCCAGCCCGCCGATGGCGAGGCTGTTGCTCCTGCGCCACTCGAAGGACTCCATGCGGTAGGTGGTCGCGGGGCCGGCGGCGGGGCCGGGCCAGGGGACCTCGACGGTGAAGGCGAACTTGGCGCTCATGAAGGTCGGGGTCTGGACGTGGACGGGGCCGGAGGCGGGGCGGCCGGGCAGGGGCGGCAGGCTGACGCGCATGTGGCGGCCGGTCATGTCGTAGGCGACGGTGGCGAGGGGCGCGTGGTCGTCGCTGGGGCCGTTGTGCAGGACCAGGCTGGAGCCGGAGGCGGCGGCGGTCCAGCCGGCGGTGACGGAGTAGAGCGGGGAGACCTGGTGCTCGGCGAGGAAGTAGGAGCGCGGCCCGCCCGGGAAGGCGTCGCGGTAGAGGTTGAAGGCGGGCGGGAACTGCCTGGCGGTGGCCTGCTGGGAGACGGGGAGGATCTGCTGGAAGGTCTGGGCCGGCGTGTGTGGGGTGACGGTTGGTGATGCCGGGCCGCCCGGCGTGACGGGCCCGTTGGTGTTGATCTTGTTGTTTGAGGGCCTTGGTGGTAATGTCGGCGGCTGGGCTCCGTTCTGTCCGGGGCGGTGGGTGATGGACGGGCGGCCGGTGGCCTCCTCGTAAGAAGGGGGTGGCTCCTCGTCGAGGATGTCGTGATTGTTCATGGTGGTGGTTGTGGTTGTGGTTATCGAGTGGTCTGCGACGACGGTTCGAAAGTGAAAGTGGACGAGGAAGACGATGCCGCTCCTTGGTGGCCGACGGGCAGTAAAATAAGTCGGGCAGCCGGCAGTCAAGTCAAGTGCGTCGAGCTGCCCGCGCGCCGAGGCTGGCTTCCAAGCTTCGTAAACGTCTCGGCGCAGGAGTGGCTGTGTTTGTGTGAGGTGGTGGGTGGATGTTTCCGTCCCCTGGATCCGGCCCTCTTAGCTCCCGCTGGCAGCTTGTTGCTTGGTCTAGTTTCCCCCCGCGCTGGAAAACAGTCAGTCAGTCCGTCAGCTCAGGTGAGGTGGAACATGGAAATAATATTCTGGGGTTCGGTGTCAGCAGCAAAGTCGCATGTTGGGGGTCAAAGCCGAGAGACCCTGCTCCGGGTTGCGTATGACGTAACCGCAGCCCTCGGCCCTTGTCTGTAGGGCTGATCAAGACCCACTGCAGTTCACCTTTGCTTTGTACGACTACCGACACCTCGGGCCATTGAACATACCGGCATGGTCGGATTGTCTGGTAAATATCCCAGCACTCGATAGAGCTGGACACTCACCTTAATGCAAGCTTTATATATATATATATACTGATCAGCATCTCGATGCCTTCCTCTTTCATATGCACCACACTGCGTGCACCTCGCTCCTTATTGCCGTGCTTGGTGAGGCCGTCGTGCAGATGGCCCAGCCCAGCCCATGCTGCCGAACGAGCTCGTGCTGCTCAGCATGGCGGACTGGTCGTCTGCCGCCAAGGCGAGCAGCGTGGCGAACTAGATCCATGTGGCAAAGAAACCCTACCTGCACCTCCTGAAACTCGACCACCGCTCTTCATTAAGTAACCTTTCCTTAATGGGGCTTTTTTTCAAGGGCACAGCTTTCAACTAACACTAACCTCAGCCTAACTATGTGTGCTGTCCTCAGAACTCAGTATGCATTAGTAGGGAAGGGACGGCCCATGTTGCTTTGACCCCAGATTAAAAAGCTTCTGTCCGGAAGGATACCCTTACATGGAAAAGAAAAGGATAGCATACAATTTGGAGTTCCTGCTCCTATAAATTTGTGTGCCGAGGCAAGCATCCCTTACCTAGGTAGCTTGCATGTTTTAACTTGTCATGACTTGTTTGCGAATCATGACGGTCAACGGTGTTGTAGAATGTCACGTTGGTGGGTTTTTTAATGAATGAGTTCTCATGCAGGCTCACACTTCTTTTGATGGAAGCATGCAAATACATCTGCAGGCAAGTTCACCTGAGCCATCATTAAAATGTGAGATCTTGGATCTAGATGCTGCCCCACTTCAAAGGAGAGTTTGCTACCTTCCAAGGTTATCAGCTTAACAAGTGATTCCATATGGTTTGTATACTTAGGTTGACCTATGGCACTTAGGATGAATGTACTTGCAGTGTGGCTGCAATAACTCACATCCATGGACCGCAGCTGCCTGTGGGTGTACCACAAAGCTATTAATATTTGGTTTATGAAGTTGTCACTCTTCTAATTGTAGTGTAGAGGTCAATTTCATAGCAAGCCCTACCAGGCTGATTATGATGGGAAAATAGTACCTAGGTACCCTGGTTATTAGATATGACTGCCGACCACCCTGGGCATCAATGACCATGTGAAGAGTTCACAAGATGGCATAATACGAAATTACAAGACACCAAATGGATATAACATAACCCCACAGGCTGAAAACTTGAAGAAGTTATAGATTTGTGCTCTGCTAGTGTTCATTTTATCTAGCCAGGGACCTAGTTCCTCCCAATAGGAAGACATGGCTTTCAAGGTGCGATATTCTGGTTTGCTAGTATTGGTCAATAGGCATTAGATATATTCTTCTAAGCCGAGGGAGCTTGAGATGGCAGATGTACATTGTGCACTTCAGTTGCATACAGCCATTTCACTCCCATGTGATTGTTACTACCCTAGCGTACCTCTAGGTACAAGTGTAGGTACCTTAGAACATTGGATCCACAATTTGAACTGCTAAAGCGAAACCATGCTCTACCCCTTTCTGTACTGATTCGCCCGTATATATGTCTGACAGTTTTCAGCTCATGCATTCTGTTGGCTCAGAACTACGGCGATAGACTGTAGCAGATGCATAAGCGATCAGTTGAAAGCCTTCGATCTGGATTTCCCAGATTCCTTGCACCAGGTTTTATTGCTAGTCTGTGACACTGGCCCTTTTCATTGCTAAATTTGTAGGTATTCTGCGGGCGCTTCCTGAGATATTGGGAACTGTGAATGACAACCGACGAATCGCTGACCAAAAGTTCTGGATAAAACGGCGGCTGACCTATCCGAGGATACTTACCAGCCATCCTCGTACAAGGACAAGCAGCTGTGGGGGGTGGGGGGGCCTTTTTAATAAACCTCAACAGCTTATGATAAAGTAGAAAGCGTTTAAGTCAAAGTCACCCAACATTGAACCCCCTCGAACCTGCTCCTCATGCTCGATTAACTACTGAAGCTGAGAACCACACTCAGTTAAGCTGTCCATTCGAACAGGGGACTTCACTCCTCCGCCGTTCACCTCCTGAACCAAGCAGTGGCTAAGGTTTTCAGATCTGTAGACTGTGGGTCAAATCGAACATCGAGCCGATTGAGCATGATTGTGCGCGACCGTCATGCTTGCGCCACAGGGTTCGTCCAGAACGACACCATGATCTCGACGATCAGGAAAGCCTGTTCAACTGTGGGCTGATTTCTCCTGCGGACATTGCTGCGCAGATGTCTGGGGCTACAAGATGATACTCTGGTTGGCTACCGACCCGCGCGTGGGAACCCAGGGTTTGGTCTGTTGGCCGTGCTGTGTGGAGCAGTGGCAGTGTCCGATCTGACACAGATCTTGGGCCATCTAGATTTGTGACGAGATAGTCGACACTCGACTCACCTCATTGACAGTCTCGGGAGGCATGCCGAGATTCTAAGGTAAGCTGGGCGGCTTGCATGAATAACTTGAGTTTTGAGCACAAGAATCTGCCCCCAGCACCGCCTTCTGGGTCGAAAGCGAGATGGTTCCCTTCCCTCGTAGAACCGCAAAATGCAGTGGACTCAGTCTGGAACAAAACCTCCACAACGGCCCATGCACTATAAAGTTTTCGGCGGGTCGCGCCGCCTTGTTTGAGAACAGTTTGCAGGTCAATGAAACTCAAAGTAGCACCTCGAGCACACAGATTGCACTTGAGCATTCTCACGACGTCGCGTCACATATTTCTGGTTGGTAAGACGGGGCGCAAGCTCACAAGCACGGGTACAGTGGGATTCTGGTGGATCACGAAGCTGGTGAGCCCCAAGCTCCCGGTCGAGGTACTTACTATGTCAGTGTTGCGCATTGGTCGGTCGTCATACACGACTCGATATGCGCGCAGCACATTGTCTCGGCCGGTCTCATATCATTGTCGGACGGCAAAGACACACGCATCGTCTGTGACGGGATCCTGGGCAATTGTTTGCGAACCCAGCGGCTCCCCATGCGTGAGCTTCTCTGAGATCTGAAGTCTGAGCTTGTTTCGTTGTCCAAGACGTTCGTTTCTGACTCTCGAATAATACCTTGCTGGAGGACTTGGTCATGACGGCCCGTGGTGAGGAGGTGATGGAGGGCCCACTTCCCGCGATGTCAAAGGAGTTGCAGACCTTCTTGGAGGCCGTATCGGCAGGGTGTAGAAGAAACCGGGCATTTTTCAACAGATCATGCTGTCGATATGGCGAGCGTGCGGAAATTTGATCCTGGGGCAGAGCAAGCAGTGATGCCACAGCGCCTGGGCATATCACGGCTCCGAGCTGAAGTCCGACCGAAGTTACGGCGGAGGAGGGAAGGAGCCGGTCTCGACACAATGACTATGGTGCAAGGTGTGTGCGGGCGCGCGGGCTTGGTGTTTAGGCGCGAGGCTGGGACCACTGCGGCGACAGAGAAGAGGCTCCATGCAAGGGGAAACTTTCGCGGCATCGTGAAACCTTTTCTGGGTCTACGCCATTGACAGCGATCAAGGCCCACTCGGCACAGGTTCAGGCGCAGGGCCAGAACCAGGGCCAGGGTGCAAGTACAGGAGAAGGGTGGGCGTTGTGGACACTCCCAGATTCTGTGAGTGTGGCGACAGGTGTCACGGCGGCGTGACGATGCGGCTCTCTCATGCTATGCAGGGCCCGACATCAGTCGAACGGGCCTGACTGTTGTGATAGTTCAGAGTCCAGACATTGAGATCCAGAGATAGCGTAGCAAACAAAGAGGGCCCCCACGCAGGGTGGGTAGGTGGGCGTTGCAGGGGTGGCGGTTAGGAATCAAGGCTGGCGAGAGCTTGGATGGAGTGGTGCGAGGTTCGGCCAGGAATAGCGTGGTGGGCAGGGCCGAGAGCCTCCAAGGCATGGGTGGAGCTCGGGATGCAGGCCAAGGAGGCATCGAACGTCGAACCATCGGCGCTGGGCCAGAGCGTGATGGGCTGGGCTGGCTGGCTGGCTGGACGGGCGGCCCAGAGCGGACTTGCTGCCAGTGCAGCCAGTGCTGCGGTATTATCAGCGAGCAATGAATGTGCATCTCTCATGGCATCTCATGATTTGGCCAGGGTGGTCGCCGAGGTGCTGGGCGTGGAAAAGTGGCTGCAGCGGGAGTGAGGTGTCAAGTTGTCAAGAGTCGGAGGCTGCAGGAGGGACCCGCCAGGACCGAGGGCTGGTGGCGTGATTTCTGAGCTCCCGTTGTCCCAGCACATGGGACCATGCCATCCGTCATCTCCCGCCCCAGGGGCCCTGAGCACTCAATGTCGGCAGGGATCCGAGCTTATCAGCAACCCGCAGTCAGTTATTCAGTCAGCCAGTCAGTCAATGTCTGTCGCAACCTCAGCTGAGCTCAGCACAACTTACAACGGAGACAAGAGCGAGAGTTTTTTCAAACACGCACTGCATACGCTGCACGTTTGCACCGTCATCAGAGGATACACTTCCGGTGTGGAGTGACCATGACGAAACAAATGCCTATTTTTTCTCCCTGTTCGTTTCCATTCTTATCTCTCTTGTCTCGAAGCGCCTGCATCTCGTGTCATGGCGACCGCACGGCAAATAGTAAGCAGCTTGCCGTATGTATGTATGAATGTGTGTATGTATGTGTGTACGTAGGTAGCCAGGCATCATAGTGCCGTCCGTGTATGTATGTATGTACCTAGGTGTGTATAGATGTGTGGCTGCAGGCTGCATGGCTGCGTGGCTGTGGTGCAGATATGCAGCAGGTCAGTATTGAGGCCGTCCCGGCTTTTCATCTTTGCAACTCCACCTAGGCACATTGTGTTCACACTTTCCCAGTTGTGAGACCTCGTCCAATGTACCTTTGTACCCTCGTAAACGGCGGAAGCAACAGTGGGCGATCCCGCCAACCTCCTGCCCCAGTTTTCCTGGGATGGGCTGGGTGGCCGCTCCCGAAGACCAGCAGATGTCAGGCAGTCAGGATGTACTCCGTACTGCTGCTATGCCTGCCGTACCGGCCCGTGCAGACACGACAGTACGTACACGTACATTCCCGTCTCCAACAATCTGGACTCGTCCTGCCCTGCTTCCGGCCCTGCTGCCCTGACACTCAACCACCCGCAGCCAGTGACTTTGTGACATGTCGCTTCCACTTTTCATCAGTCCATCACCGCAAAGTTTTTCCAGGGAACCGCCAATGGGTCCCCGATCCGTCTCTCGGACGCTGGCGATGGCCACAGCGTACGACACGACACACCCAACCAGGCCCAGCCCTTGACAGCCAGCCGCCTTGTGCTGTCTGTTGCGAGCAAAAGATATAAGACCATCTTGAGCCTCATACGACATCCAGCACTCAGACCTCCCTCATCAGTCTACTACTCATCCAAGCCTTCTTCTTATAGAAAGACAACAACCAATCCCCAGTCCTCTGGACGACACCACCACCACCACAACCACCACCCTTCCCTCCTCCGCCAAAGGGAACAAGATAACCTCCCTCACCTTACCCTCACCTCAACACCTCACATAATAAACCCTCCCAATGTCGGCAACACCGGGCAAATTCACCGTCGGTGACTACCTCGCCGAGCGGTTGGCCCAGATCGGCATCCGGCACCACTTTGTCGTGCCTGGCGACTACAACCTCATCCTCCTCGACAAGCTCCAGGCCCACCCGGACCTCAAGGAGATCGGATGTGCCAATGAGCTCAACTGCAGCATGGCTGCTGAGGGCTATGCCCGTGCCAACGGTGTCTCCGCCTGCGTCGTCACCTACTCTGTCGGTGCCATCTCCGCCCTGAACGGAACCGGCAGTGCCTACGCCGAGAACCTGCCTCTGATCCTCATCTCCGGCTCCCCAAACACCAACGATGCCGGCCAGTTCCACCTGCTGCACCACACCCTCGGCAAGCTCGACTACAACTACCAGCTTGAGATGGCCGAGAAGGTCACATGTTGCGCCGTTGCTGTCAACCGTGCCGAGGAGGCCCCCAGGCTGATCGACAGAGCCATCCGCGCCGCCATCCTCGCCAGGAAGCCTTGCTACATCGAGATCCCCACCAACCTGTCCGGCGCCACCTGTGTCCGCCCCGGCCCCATCTCCGCCGTCACCGAGCCCGTAATCTCCGACCAGGGCGCCCTCGCCGCCGCCGCCGACTGCGCCGCCGAGTACCTGAGGGGCAAGCTCAAGCCTCTTATCCTCGTCGGCCCCAAGCTGTCTCGCTGTGGCGCCGAGAAGGCCCTCATCAAGCTGGCCGAGGCCATGGGCTGTGCCGTCGCCCTCCAGCCCGCAGCCAAGGGCATGTTCCCCGAGGATCACCCTCAGTTTGTCGGTGTCTTCTGGGGCCAGGTCTCCACCCTCGCCGCCGATGCCATCCTCAACTGGGCCGACGCCATCATCTGCGCCGGCTGCGTCTTCAACGACTACTCCACCGTCGGCTGGACCGCCATGCCCAACATCCCCCTCATGAAGTGCGACATGGACCACGTCACCTTCCCCGGCAGCCACTTCAGCCGCGTCCGCCTCAGCGAGTTCCTCGACCACCTCTCCACCGAGGTCCAGTTCAACGACTCCACCATGGTCGAGTACAAGCGTCTCCGCCCCGACCCCTACGTCGTCCACGAGGCCGCCGACGAGGAGGAGCTCACCCGCAAGGAGATCCAGCGCCAGCTGCAGCCCCTCGTCACCCCCAACACCACCCTCTTCATCGAGACCGGTGACTCGTGGTTCAACGGCACACAGCTGCACCTCCCCAGGGGCGCAGGCTACGAGATCGAGATGCAGTGGGGACACATCGGCTGGTCTGTGCCCGCCTCCTTTGGCTACGCCATTCGCCACCCCGACCGCCGCACCATCTGCGTCTGCGGTGACGGTTCCTTCCAGGTGACCGCCCAGGAGGTCTCCCAGATGGTGCGCTTCAACCTGCCAATCACCATCCTGCTCATCAACAACCGCGGCTACACCATCGAGGTCGAGATCCACGACGGCAGCTACAACAAGATCAAGAACTGGAACTACGCCCTGCTGATGCAGGCCTTCAACTCCACCGACGGCAACGGCATCTCCTTCGTCGCCAACACCGCCGGCGAGCTCAAGGAGGCCATCGCCGCCGCCAACAACCACAAGGCTGGCCCCGCTCTGATCGAGTGCACTATCCACCAGGACGACTGCAGTAAGGAACTGATCACATGGGGCCACTACGTCGCTGCAGCTAACGCCCGACCGCCGAAGGCCTCGACCCTGGACGACTACTAGGAGAGTCAAAGTCCAACACCGGCGGCGGCTCGCGGCGAGCGGCGGGAGACGGCCTGAACGGCCTCACCAAGCAAGACATCGTAGAGAAGGTCTACGACGGTAAGGGGAGGCTTGGTGGGTATGGCTTTTGCAGCCTTGTCACAGGTATGAGACGAGAGCCCGAGGCTCACTGAGCATTGTATATATTGGGCCATTGGCATTGGTTTTCTGTTCTTTTTTTTTTCTTTCATCATCATCGTCATCGGAGTCATTTTACGGATGGGTTTATTCCTTTTTCTGGTAATGAGGAGAGGAGAATGGGACATTGCATTTGATCAGACTCGGTTTACTTCAAGTTTCGGCTCAGGGTTGCGGTGTCCCGTCATAAATCATAGAAAAAGGCATAGATACCTCATAGACGATTTCAAAAAACAACTCATCTTCAATACTTGAACTTCTTCGAACATGCCGCGCTGAACATGAAAAGTCCATCCTGCTGAGCAATGGCAATTCGTCTCAAATTGGCCACGTCTTCATTTCGATTTTATTTTTTTTTTAATTTTTTTTTTGGGAAGGCATACAGTACCCACTCACACGTACCATGTCGTCCCCAGTCATCCCCAGCGCCGCCCTTGAGTCGCGTGTCGGTAGTCACCCTCGTTAGCCCACCAGATTGGACTCATCAGGGTCCTGAAGAAAGTGACCTATCTGTTTGCGTGGGGCTCGCGGCGCTCGTAGGGCTGACTCTAGGCCAGGCTTCGGGCCATTTGGTCCCGAATAGGAAAAATGGCGCCACGGAGAAATCCAATCCCCATCAATGGCGAGGTCGCACGACAGCATGGCTCACGACGGGACGCTCAACAATCCTGTGTGTCTCTCGACAGCAACATGCGGTCAGGGGTCTATCATTTCTGGGGCCTCTCGAGTCTATCCACAGTCGGGCTCATCACCTGCGCTGCCTGTCTTCGCGCCCTGCTGCCCACCGTACACACCGCCGTCCAAGATGACAGCCTCGTTGTCGTCGAGGTCGTCCTGGACCCTCCTCCATCGCGTCGCGGCCCTGTCCTTGCGGCCCTCAAGTGCGACCCCTTTGCCCTTTGCATCGTAGACCGGCTTGATCATCCCGCCCAGAAGGGGGTTCCTGCTGAAAGTGCCCCCGGCCCCGGGCCGCCTGTTCGCACTGGTTTCTTCTAGGATGCCATCGGCAGCAGCGCCGGAGCCCAGTGGCCCGTCCCCATCCTCGTCGTCGGGCGTGACCGGCCTCTCCTTGGCCACAAACTTCTTGACCACCTTGCCGCCCACCAAGTCAATGCTGACGACCTGCTGCCTCTTCTCGTAGTCGGGCCGCGCGTTCCACTCCATCTCGCGCAGGACCTTCTGCTGCCTCTTGAGCTCGCGCGCCCGGTCCTCAGGCGACGCCCACAGGCTGCCGCCGAACCCTGCCATGGCGCCCGAGACGTCGAAATCGGCCGCCTCGTCCCTGACGGTCGTCCGCCGGGCGTTCTGGGCCTGGAACCCGAGGAGCCTGTCGCGGTGCTCTAGCGCCCGCGCCTCGGCCTCGTTCACGCTGCCGGTCTCGTCGGCCCCCGTCCGCGGCTTGGTGAACGGCCTCGGGGTGGCGGACACGTCGGCCCGCTTGTGCGCCTGGCGGTCTGCCGCCTGCTTCTCGCGGCCCCGCTCGGCGCGCAGCTCCTGGATCATGGACTGGACCTCGCTCGAGGACAGGAGCGGTGTGCCGCAGGACGTACAGGGACCCAGGCCTTCCTTGAGGCAGATCACCTTGCCACAGCTCAGGCAGTTGGGCGCGGCGCTCTGCAGCGGGTGCCGGGTCGCCACGCAGTTGCAGCGGCGGGCCGAGACGTCGCGGCCGGAGGTGGATAATGACGGGTTCGTGGTCACCTCGAGCGAGCGGATGGCTGCGTCCAGGTCGGCGAGGGCTGTCGAGGCGCCGTGCATGGGCGTGCCGCCGGCAATCGATACCTTGGTGACTGGGCCGCCATTTCCCTTGGACGCCGGGCCGGGCGTCGAGCTGCGGGAGGTCGGGGTTGACTTTGGCTTCTGCTTGGGTGCCAGGCGGTCCGAGACGAGGGAACCGCCCGCGGACGGAGGCTGTTTGCTGAATTTCTTGGGCGGTGGTGTGGCAGACTTTGGCGGAGGGGCCACAAAGGGTGAGTTGCTGTTAGATGGTGTCGACGGGCCGGACCTGCTTGCTATGTAGTCATCCTCGACCGTCTTCTTGCTGTAGACGGTTCCTGAGGCCGGGGTCGCATCTGTGATCTGGCGTGCCGCTGGCGTTCCAAGGGGCGCTTTCTTCTTCTTGGGCGCCCTTTGCTTTTTGGGGACAGCGTCCAAGTCTGAGGAGGCCTGATTCCGCGAGTCTGGAGCGGGAGAAGGGGCAGGGCCCGGGGCAGGGGCAGGCTTTGGATCCTGTCGCCGTGAATTGAAGGACGAGATGAACTCGATGGCCTGCGGCGAATCGCCAAGCAAGTTCTTGAAGTGGTCTGCCGCCTCTGCCTTGGACAGCGTGGCTCCGTAGTCGAGAATTTGTTTGCAGTCCGAGTCCGGGAGACCCAAGAGCATGGATAGCTGGTTCAGCGACATATTGCGCTCTTGGAATTCCTGTCTTGACAAAGTTGTAAGACAAGACGAGCGCTGAAGCTCCAGGGGTGACGTCCTCAACTCACATGAGTAACGACAAGCATGCAGGCAGTCACAGTAAGCAGCACTTCGGCCTGCCCATTTCGGCTCGCCGCCCTGACCCTGACCCTAACCCCAAAGCGTCTAGACTAGAGGTCACTTGTGCTGAGTTGGAAGATATGAGATCCAGTCTCTTCTTTTACACCTCTAATATTAGCACAATTTGAACCATTTCTCTTCCTTGTAGTGAGAAGACACACCTGGGCGTGGAGTAGATATCTTCTTAGGCTTCAAGTGTACATTTAGACCCATAACATTGATAAGATGAACTACAGTAACGTGAGAGCACGATTTTACTACTGGGACCTGTGTGCATCAATTGATCTTTTGAACGTTGTGACAGGTCGTTTGAAGCCCACTGGTCGGGGTAGAAGGCAGGCTTGTCAAATCAATTGATGCAGCTCTAACAAGTTTGGATCATAAACTGGGCAAGAAATGAGCATAATGTCTTCATCTTGAGGAATAAAATGTTGGATCTCAAACAGGGACATGCAGAGCTTGGTAAGACGGATGCGTATTTCAAATGCGGGAACAAGCGAGTCCCCTCAAACTTCATGGACTTTGACCAGCGGGAATCCGTCGGGATTGGGTGTTTATTTCTCTCTAACGCCGAACCTTTTTAGTGCTTGGGTGCTTGCGGGATACGGCCCTGCGAGCCATGATGTCTACTAGCTGAGATGGCCTGCCTGGGAACTCGGTCAGGTGCTTGGTGGAAGCCGTCTGGCCTGCTGACGCGAATTGCACCTCGTACACATGGTCGAATCACAGATTAGGATTCAACGAAAGTTGGTCACTTTCTGTTGGCGTGGTAAGCAGGATGAATTTCAAATGTCTCGCTGCACATGGTGTCCTTGGATGATATGAGGACATTATTTCCACAAGTATGCCGGGGTTCCCGCTGCATTTGTTCTCATTTCTGGTCTTGAAATACCTAGATAATAATCAAATTCCACCGGCACAGTTCAAAATGACAACTAGCACCATGGTCACCATTGGCTCAGCCGAACAGAGTGCTAGGACCGACGACTTGAATGCAACCAGGGAGAAAGTGTCCGATCAGGCTAACAGCGCCGAACATGCTCAATCTGCGGACACTGTCCCGGACAAAAAGCCGCTATGGCGGCGTATACTCATTACAATAGCTTTACTAGCGGGAGTCTTTCTCGTTGCTCTGGACGTCAACATACTTGGTATGTCCATGCCAAATTGTTTATCCAGAGGCCATTTTTCCGTACAAATAGAAACTGACATGATCCTGCCACAGCTACGGCGACTCCGAAAATCACGACCGAGTTCCACAGTCTTGAGGACGCAGCCTGGTACACCACATCGTATAACCTGGCAAAACTGGCCACCCAGCCAGCATTCGGGCGACTTTATACATCTTTCTCACTCAAATGGACATTCTGCTGGAGCATTATGGTATTCATAATTGGTTCCATAATCTGTGCTGTTGCGCCCAACTCAGCCGTCCTCATATTCGGAAGAGCTTTTCAAGGGTGTTCAACGGCTGGGGTCTTTACAGGCGGCCTGGTCATAGCTGGCTATGTCGTCTCTAAGCAGAAAGTGCCCCTGTTCATCTCCTTCATATCTACCATGTACATGGTTGCCTCTATAGTGGGCCCTGTTCTAGGGGGCGTTTTCACCGAAAGCAGCTTGACCTGGAGGTTCTGCTTCTGGATCAATCTTCGTGAGCTTTCCCGTCTTCCCTCAACCCGCGGTTTTATCCTGCCTATGATTGTAGCACAAGTGCTTTCAGATTATTATCAATGCGTCGTGCTAACATTGCCGGTCCTCAAGCCATCAGTGTCGTCTGTCTCGCCTTCACGTATGTTGGCTTCCAGGAGCCAGCTAGGGAGCATACAAACGTCACATTAAAGGAGAAGCTCCTTTCCCTGGACCCTATCGGCACATGCCTAATACTTGCCTCCATGACCTGTCTCGTCCTCGCTTTCCAATGGGGCGGGGCTGTTCTTCCGTGGAGCGACTCGAGAGTTTGGGGCACTTTGCTTGGTTTCGGGTTGCTGTTGATTCTGTTCTTGTTTCTGCAAGTGAGGCAGAAAGAAAGGTACTTATGAAAGTCCCTGCCACAAAATCCGGGCTTATTGGGTTGCCTGTCCCATGGCTGATTCTGAAGTCCACAGGGCGCTCGTTCCCATCCGAATCTTGATCCACCGGACGGTAGGCTTCGGGTGTGTCGCCGGTGGGGCTGTCATCATGGCAATTAACTGTCTGACCGTTTATCTTCCATTCTACTTCCAAGCAACAAAGGGTGTATCACCGGCCACTTCGGGTCTGTATATTCTTGCTTTGGGCATACCGAATTCCTTGGCGACGGTGGCTTGTGGTCTCCTGATGACCACCACGAGATACTACATCCCCTACATATTAGCTGGATCTGCAGTGCTTGCGGTCGGCTCAGGTCTCTTATCGACTCTCGATGCCAGCAGCAATGTGGGGCATATCGTAGGCTGTAAGTAAAATCGGGATTTCCAACTTCACCCTTCCGCAAGCTCCACAGGTCTTGCACATCCACGCGACCCGTTCAGTGTTCTTCATTCTTCGAGCCAAGACCGGTAGCTAATAGTCTGAACAGATCAATTCATAGCAAGCATCGGCTTCGGCTTCAGCGTACAGGTTCCATTGACAGCGATGCAAAACGTCTTGAACGAAGCCGACCTCCCCACCGGCAACTCTCTGTTCATGTTCGCCCAGTCACTGGGAACTGTGATTGCACTACCAATTGCCCAGTCTATTTTCTTGGAAACACTACATAACAAGCTTGACGCGCGTTTATCCGATGCTCAGGCATCCCAGATCATAGACCTCGGGGCATCGAGTGTCGATGCTGGCCACATGGACGCCGATCTGGTGCCATTAGTTGCTGAAGCCTACGGCTATGCAGTTCAGACTGCAATATACGTCTCAGTGGCAGCGGCTACCTTAGCTTTCGTGACGGCAGGAGCTATGGAGTGGAAGAAGCTGGATTTCAAGAAGAGCACTGATGGGGATACAGAGGCTGGGACTTCGGCGAGAATCGAAGCAAGCTCAACAGATATTCAAGGATCTGAGAAAGCATGAAAACACAATGGCGAGGTCCCGCCTAGCAGATGTTCAGGAAACTCAACGGCAGCAGCCTCTGCGCTTCTTCTTCCATGAACAAGGTCGCAGTTATGGAGTGTCGGAAATGTGAACTTCTCAAAACTATACCAGACGAAAGATAGAGAAACGAAATGTGCATTGAAATATGTACGGTTATCTGGGAATGCAGACTTGCATACTGTCGTCCTTCCCAACTTTCGCCATCATGAGTCCGGAGGTCTCCTTGTTTCGTCTAGACCCAGGGACAATTCTTGGGGGGAGGAGGAACATTTTACACAGGAGACATTTGACAGCTTCACTGTATGATTGAATGCATGAAAAGAGCATGTTCAACCAGGAAAGCCCTCGGAATACAGCGTTCTGGAAGAAGCATGGAAAACGGCGTAACGGTCAGGTGGAAGTGGGCAGTGGAGTGCACATGTGAGTTTATGCATGTTCGTTATGCTACCGCATTATCCAGATTATGCATTTAGCGTGGTACCAGAAAAAAGTTGGTGGGGCACGAAAACCGACGCTCGATCGCGCCCAAGTCACCGACCCGCCGCCTACAACATCTCAAGTCGAACAATGGGCCGTCCCAAGCGCAGCGTGCTGGCAGCAGCCACCGAGTCCACCACTCCTCCCGACGAGCTGACCGAGCACCAGTTCGTCGCGCGCGTTGGCAAGCCCGAGGGCAACAACACGTACACGTGCATCCTGCCCAACACCAAGACCGCCCTCGTCGAGCTCGCGCAGCGGTTCCGCAACACGATATGGATCAAGAGAGGGGGCTTTGTCGTGGTCGATCTGACGCCGAGTGAGGAGCGCAAGACGAATAACAAAGTCGAGGGGGAGATCATCAACGTGGTCCGGGACGAGAAGGAGTGGCGCAAGATGCCATACTGGTATGAGACGCCCTGTGCACCCTTTTTCCTGCGCTGCAGTCCCACGAGGCAGCCCAGAACCCAATTGCCTCCCAATCACACAAAGACTGGCCAGTTCTGACGAACGTGTTAATCACCAGGCCTCGAGAATTCCCAAAGAACACTTACCCTGACGACGAGGATGACTCGAGAGGCCTGCCACCAACAGACTCCGAATCCGAAGGGGAGGAGTGACCCCAGCATTGGTCTCGTGCGGGACCTGCTGAACACGTTGTTTCCGAAGAGGTAGTCTCACCACCTTGGACGCTTGAACTCAGTCTTCCCGTTTTGGTAGCCGGTCTAGGGCTTCCGAATAGACCGAGTCGGCGCTCCAGGGTTGCCGGCGGACTGGTTGCGCGCATTTGGGCCCGCCGTATCGTCGGACGTGCCAAACCACACCGCCATGACTGTTATCGCCATGACACCCACCACGGCGGCTGAACTGGCTGGTGTGCTGGGGAATACATTCCAGGCCCACTCCTGAAGGCCCCACAAGACGTACTGCAACACAGGATGCACCCCACCGCGCCACAGGAGGTAGGGGGTAGACCAGGCTAGGTAGGAGTAGAACTGGTAATGGAGAGAACGAGCGAAGAGTAGGCCGACAACATTGGCAGTCAGGATAGTAGTCAGAATGTACTGGGGCGTAAATCCCTGAAATAATGGCTGCCAGGTCCTCCGGACAAATGTGGCATGAAGGACGTCCCCCAGCGATTTCCCGGTTGGCGGGAGCCACCGAGTGAATATGAATGTCAAGAGGACGGAAGCGTGCAAGACGAGTAAGGAAGTCGAGAACCCGCGGCTGAGAAAGGTCTCCTCGCCGACAAAGCGCCAGTTCACGGTCCACTTGAATAGGAATTGGCGAGAGAATTCGAAGGCACGTCCAAAGTACGAGGCCGGGTACTTGAGGAACGGCGCCGCAAGCTGGACCTGCAAGCCCGCCATTGAACCGCCCAAAGCAATGGTTCCAATCACGCCCTTGGCGAAGAAGATGAGAATACCGACCACCGGAAGCACCAGAAGCAGGGTCATCTTGACTCCAAGGCCGAAACTGTAGACGAGACCGCCGGCGACCCACTGTCTGTGCTGGAAGAGGAGGATCGACAGCCACATAAAAAAAACTGCAAAACAGTCATTGAAGCATCGGAGCATAAAAACGCTGTGCAGGCGTTTGGACAGGATCAACAGTGGGAAGACGTAGGGGGGAGCCTATTGGCACAGGTCAGCCGGCCACAGTTTAGTCCCAGTAGGTCGGCATCGCGGCCTACCTTCGCCTTCCAGTAGCAGGACATGACGACCGCCAGATTAACCAAGTACAACCCGGCAAACAGTTGCTGGGCTAGGGGGATATCCTTCCCATGGTTGGTGAGGTAGTACAGCCCAGTGTATATCCAGACGTGAGCAGCTGGGTAGACCAAAGGACCAGTGCCGCCCTCGATCTTCGTGTAGTCCCTCTCTCCATCGAGAAACAACTGTACCTGCTCCATGTAGGCAGTCCAGTCAATTTCGGTGTCTTGGCACAAGCGAGGTCAGTATTGTGAACATGTCTTCTTATGCCGTCGGCTCACTTACAGGCCACCTTGGCTATCACCAGCACACACAAGGCTGCATCCAGAAGAATCAGTACAGGGGGAACTAGCCTTGACAGCCAGTGCCTCCCCGTAGCAACATCCTGTGCAAATCGGAGGAGTTGCAGGTACAGTGGGGCCTGGTTGGTGGCCATGGTGTCGGGGGACGTGAGGGAATGATGGTCGTTCTTGAGAGGGTGGGAATGTTTAGCACGGGACGGACGGGTGGTCTGAATTGCAGGCGACGACGTGTTTAGAGCTACCCCTGTCACTCAAACCCCAGGGCTGGGCCAGAGCTGGAACCCTGCCCACGGTGGCCGAAGCTCATGTCCTCAATTTAGCGATATTTATTTATCAGGTGAGTGCATGCTTCTCCCAACTCCCCTGCCTTATTCCTGTTGTTGCAGCCAACGCTTTTCAGTTCATGGCCTTTAAATCTATGCTTTCCTGAATTTCAAAAGATATTTCAAATTGAGATATTTTTAACCAGAATATGGCTGATGTTTCTTAGAATTCTCATCAATTGTTTAGTTTATATCCGCTGGGGTTCTCATTTATTCACCCTATTCCAACCGAGACCCATCACTCAGCAGTACTATGTAGTACGTCTACTGAGACACATAGTTGTACGCTGCAGCCAATGATATTATTTATAATTTTGAAAATAAACGTCTAATTCGTCAACCACGACATTCATTACCCCTCGCACCAACTCACGGCTTACAGCTTGCTCCTCCCCTGGATCTCACCAACCAACTCGACCACCCTCTCGGCTGTCCCATAAGATCCCTGATAACCCCAGCCTGCATGGCCGTAATTGTGGACGACCCACGTCCCATCTATCTTCTCCTTCTCAATCCTCACTCCTCCCTCCCGGTATGGCCTCAGCCCTACCCCATGACGGATGATGTCCAAACCTTTCACCCCCTTCCCACCAGCTATTTGCGGATACAGGTCCACCACCCGCTGCATAATCCTCGCAGCAATGTTCGGGTCCGGATTTGGATCCCAGTTCCCCTTCTGGTACGTGCCGCCCAGTATCGTGCCGCCGCCAGCAGCCCGCGTCATGGTGTAGACCAGCTCGTCCGGCGAGTCCTCGGTGCTGGACGTGGCGACCATGAACGGGCTCACGTTCCTCACCACCACGATCTGGCCCCTGGCCGGCGTCACCTTGGTGTCCATCACGCCCCCGAGCTTGCACGCCATCAGGCCGGTGCAGTTCACGATGATGTCTGCCTTGCCGGAGGGCCCCAGCGACGAGGCCTCGGAGATGTGGTTCAGAGACGCCCGCTTGAGGACCACGCCGTGCCGGCGGCACTGGCCCACCAACCAGGGCAGGTAGATGGCCGTGTTGATGCACACGGACCCGAACTCGTGGCCGTAGGCCATGCCTGAGGGCAGCTCCTCTGGCTTCATGCTGCGGTAGTCCGGGAAGAAGTTGGCGTACCAGGGCTTCTCGTCAAAGAGGGCATCCCCGAGGCCATTCTTGGCGGAGACGTCGGGCTGGTGGCAGTCATAAGTCACATGTCCCTCTTTGTCCCTTTCCTTGGTTCAACTCACCTCTAGGTCTCGGGCGCTTCGCATGACGGCCGCCTCTTGACGCGTATGTCAGCATGGACCAATGGCACCCCGTTCCTAGCCATGTATGCACTCACTCTGGAAATGTATGCCGGCTTCTGGAACCTCCGCCGCGAGCCTCTTGATTTCGGGCCATGTCCTCCTCTCCCAACGGCTGTTTTCATTTGTCGACATACTGCGGATGATGAGAACAAGCCCTGTGTTTCTCGGCGCTCGCCATTCATTGATGGGCCCTGGACTCACGGCAAGTAGTTGGCTCCAGCCCACGGAGAAGTATATTGGATGTCGTAATCCCCGGGCATGTGCTTGGCGACAACGGTCACATTGTTCCCTTTGTCTTTGGCCAGCAGCAGAGCCGAAGTGAGGCCCACCACCCCGGCGCTGGCTCACGACTGCGTTAGTTACTTCCAGCTTGGACATGGGCTTCTCAAATCTGCCTACCCGACAACGACGATTTCAGGCATAGTTTTCCTCTAAATACAACTCGTTGAATCAGAAGTAACTATTACCACGGTCAACGATGGCGGTGATGGCCAGTCGCGTCACTGACGGGGTCCAACGTTGATAATAGGCCCAGGGAAAGCTCCGGCACCGCGGCCCGCTCGCGGGTGCGGAGCTCTGCGATGGCCGGACGGCGCAAAATCGGCGCCTCATCCTCAAACCGGCAACAGATCTCTAGGCACGTCAACACCGGCCCGTCTGTTTTTTTCTGGTCCCGCGGGAAACATATCTCTTGGGTCCCGCTTGCAATCCATGGAACCACGTGAGATCAGCCCACCACAATCTTGTGGTCTGAGGCTCCGCGTCCGAAGACGCAGACCGAGAAACAAATATCACGCCCTTGGTGCCGGCTTCATTCACACGTCTCTCAAATGCTGGTTCCAACACATCTCCTTGACGGGCCTACAACTGCACATGGATGAAAACCAAAGACGTTCTCAACAAGGAGATGAGAATTGCCCAGGTGGGTATAAGTCAACTTTCCTGGACCATTGTGGCGTCAGCCTCTGTCACGCATGTGGCACTTGACACTCAAAGCTCGTCCAGCTCGTGCAAGCCTGCCCGTCCTAGTCCAGTAAGCGCACATCGGGCTGAACTCGATCATCTATAGCTGCACCTGTGCTCATCCCGATTGATTGCACTGCGCCCACCACCCTCAGCCCTTCCATGCAAGAGGGTACCCAAGCAGCGTAACCTCGTTTTCGTAAACCATGGCAAAAAGCAAAACAAACACCACTGTTACACCCTCCCCCTCCACACGTGCGAATATCCCAACTCGCGCAGCCCAACATCCCTCTGGCCGCGGCGCTCGGGGGGAGGGAACATCAGCTGAACTGTACATCGAACCACCGAGGCCGAGCGGCGCCGCAGTCCGGCCAGACCTCATTGGCCGCCCTAAAGCCAAATCTATATCGACCTGCCATCTTGCATCTCCCGTGCATTGGCGGCCAGGGCGGCGCGGGGCATGCCACGACGCAGCGTAGCAGCAATGGCTGCCCGCCCTGCCCGCCAGGCCCGCCACCTCGGCCGATGGGTGCTTGCCACATGGGCAGATGGGCAGCCGGCGAGGGAAGAGGGGTCGGACAAGATAACCTACGTAGTCTGTCCCACCGCATGCACATGGCCCTACCTGCAATGTTATACTTAGAAATACATCACATACCGTCGCCGCGCGGGCGCTAGACGGACTTCCCCCACTGAGAAAAAGGCGAACGGCTAGTGTCATTGCGCTGAGAAAAGGGAGAAATCCTCCAGGGCTGACAGAGCCCGCTTCACATACCGCCTCTATCTGCAAAGCTACGAGTTTTCTGGTCCTGGCTCGATACCGCGGCGATGGGATCTACGGCAAATGCTCTGCGGGTGCTGGTGGCAGGAGGGGGGATTGGCGGGCTTACGGCTGCTGTTGCCCTCCGCCGACAAGGGCATGATGTGGATAAGTTAAAACCGCTACCAGTGTTTTGTTTGCTCTCGAGTTCGGCTGTGGTTCACCCCAGCGTCTCTGACCGTGTATGCACAGGTGTTTGAAAAGTCCCGGCTACACCGGGGCCAGGTAGGGGCCGCTGTCTACATCGCGCCGAACTGCACGGTTGCACTGTCGCATATAGATGTACACAGTCAGGATTATAAAGGGACCGAATACCGAGGGGTGAGTCCTTTGAATCCAGTATCGTGACTGATGATTCAATAGGGGCTGGTCCTGACGTGTATCCGAACAGTTCAAATTTGTGAACAGCGACTGTGAAGTGGAGCAGAATTGGACCTACACCGATGAGCAACGAGCAAATTGGCCAGCCGTACGTACATATTTCCCGGCGGGGTTTCCCTCGGGCGGCGGGCGACTAATATGGATGCGTCCATCAAGGGCTGGTGGCTGGTCAACCGGCCAGACCTCCACGAGGCCTTGAAGGCGAAAGCAACCTCGACCGAGGGGCCAGGAGCCCCGGTGAGGATCCACACGGGCACAGGCGTCGAGGGCGTGGACTGCGAAGCAGGCACCATCCTGCTCTCCGATGGCACCCGCGTGGGCGGCGACCTGATCGTCTGCGCAGACGGAATCCACAGCAAAACACGAGCGTCCGTCGCGGGCGGCGAGGTCCCCATGATCGTCAGCGGGCACGCCTGCTATAGATGGCTAACACCGGTCTCTGTGCTCGAGAACGACCCCATCACAAGGACCTTTGTGGACAACCCAGGTCATTTTGTGCAGATCTCCGGTTCGGATCGGAGGATTGTGCTTTATCCTTGTTCAGAAGGGCGGCTGGTCAACTGTGTCGCCTTTGCGCCGAGGGACGAGGTTGGCGAGATCAAGAAGGGTGAGTGAAATACTGCCTCAAGCCTGCTGTTCTGGACCAGGGTTGACAACCAGTGGCTGGCCGCAGACGTGACCGGGTATGACCAGCGCGCGAACAAGAAGCAACTCATAGACCACTTCAAGTCTTGGTCCGAGCCAGTGCTGCGCCTCCTGGACACGGCTCCGGACGACGGGGTGATGCTATGGGATCTGCTTGACATGGAATTGTTGCCCAACCTCATCAAGGGCAAGGCAAACCTGATCGGTGACGCAGCGCACCCTTTCCTGCCCCGTGAGTCTTTCCTCATATTGACTCTCTGTGTTTGAATACATGGAAGCTGAAGTAAGTATTCCGGGTCCGAACAGACATGGGCCAAGGTGCAGCCCAGGCTGTTGAGGACGCTTGCGCCCTCGGGGCGATATTGCCCCTTGGGACCACGCCCGAGAAGATTCCCTCGCGACTGGGGCTGTGGCAGCAGTGCAGGAGGGACAGGGCGGCCAGGATTGTGATGCACACGAGGCGCAGGTCGCGAAAGGCGGACGGGAGCCAGGGGCCACCTCAGACCAGTGAGTATTCACCCGCAAGACCCTACACACGTGTGCCGTGCGTCTGGACACGTGTACTGAGACTTCAACCCGTTTCTCAGTGGACGAGTTCAACGCTGCCATGTCTTATTGCATCCATCACGATGCTTGGACGCACGCCGAGGAGCAACTGAAGGAATGGAGCGAGGCCAAGGCCCTGGCAACTGCCGCATCGTAATCGCGTAAAAGCTGGTAATGGCGAGTTTCAAAAGACTTGGTTAGAGGGCTGTGTATTGGGGAGGAGTATCAGAATATGTTCTGCTTGAAGTTGCATCTCAAATTGTTTCGACGATGTCCAAGCTTTGCTTTATGTTCCGTGGTTCTCACAAAAGTCGACGACAAGCAACCTGAACAAGGGTATAACCCTCACAGTTCTGTACCCCGCCACCTGCGAGACCGGGACTTGGCTCACCCCGCGATGACAGCTTTGAATTGGAGAAACAGCAGCAGCTCGCGTCACAAGCACGTAATAATGCAGCATGGTTGATTTACGCGCCAGAACAAGCGGAAGAGAAACCCAACAAATCACTATACTGAGATGTGTGGCATGAGGCTTCTAAAATACTTCAATTGGTATCTGCGGGATATAGGAGTGGCAGCCTCCCTCATGATACATCACATTCCCTTCAGTTCGAACCTCTCGAACCGTCGTCACAAATGACTGCTGTTGCTGCCATTGCCCCTATAGTAGAACCGATTTTCTTGCTCAGGGACCGCGCCATGTAGCCGGGTATGAGAGAGGACGGAGACAGAGAAACCCTTACTCGGCCTTGGCCTCCTCCGCGGCCTCGCCCTCCTCGGCGGGCTTCCACTTCTCGATAACCTTGAGCAGGGCGGGCGGGTTGGCGCTGACGTACTCGTCGACCTTCTCGCCGTCCTTGAAGATGTGGAAGGTGGGCATGGCGCGCACGCTGTACTCCTGCGCGAGGTCGGGCAGTGCGTCGACGTCGACCTTGGCGAAGTGGATCGCCGGCATGGACTGGGACCACCTGTTGTTGTGGTTGGGCCAGAGGTCAGCGTGACACCTAGGAGACGAGATGAGGAGGGACTGTATGCTTACTTGGCGATCTGGGGGGCGATCAGCTTGCAAGGGCCGCACCACGTCGCGAACCAGTCGACAACGACGACGGGGTTCGAGGCGATGGTCTCCTTGAAGGCAGAGGCACTGGGGGAAGAAGAAGACTCTGTCAGTATCGTAGGACCGACCCGACCCGGCAGTTGACGTTGGGACCTGCAGCTGCAGCTGCACCTGCGGCAACTGAACTGGGCGTCAGAGTGCCCTGCGGCGCGAGCCTCGCAGCAGAGGCGGCCGGCTGCTTGCTTTTGCCTGCTCGGGTGCTCTGGTGCCCTGGTGCCCTGGTGCCTTGGTGCCTTGGTGCCCGGGGATGGGCCACGGCGGGGCCAGGGCCAGGATAAACTCACGACTCAATGTTGTGGACAGTCATCTTGGGCAGTGTGGAGTGGAATGATCTCGCGAGTGTGATGCGTGCAGAAGTGGACAGTGGTGTGCTGGAGACAGAAGTGCGTGTCGCTATGTTGAGGAGCGGTCGTAGGAATTGCTTCGCAGGCATTTGTATCGCGGGTCGGGAGGGACGGGGTGGGGGAGTGGTGGAGGGAGTTTTGCCGGTTGCACCCTTTTTGTATTTACGGCGCGGGTGACGGGTGAAACGCCTCTTGGGGATTTTGCTATGGTAATCTGGTAGCGTACTCAGTACGCCTTTCCCCTTCGCCGCGCTATCAGAAAATCTGCGGTTTCTGGAAAAGTCTCAATGATGTAAGCCGCTTGATTTGTCAAGGCCCGCTGTCTTGTCCCCAGAGCTCCCAACCAGGGCCCAGGATCGCGTCATCCTGGGCCCTGCCCACCGACTGCCGACTGCCGCCGCACCACAGCCAGCCTTGATCAGTCATCAGACAGCGGGAGGGAGTTGGGAGGATATCCCAGTGATCCGTGGCGGCATTGAACAGAACTAGGACCAGTTGACTGTCTGTTGTGCGCTCTCCATATGTAAATGAGTACATAGGTGCCTAGGTACATCTTACCATGAGCGGCTCGGTAATGGTTGTGCTCGTACAGTACAGTAGAGTCAAAGGTACCTGGGTACTTGCAATCCGCCACGCATCACCACCTACAAACGTGCTTCTCCCAGGATCCCTATGCCTCTCTCAAAATGGCCACAAAGGGCCACTAAATTGGCTCCCGCCTGTCAGTGTGACAGATAAGGACAACGCAGGTCCCTTGGCCCCAGTCGGAAAGGACAAAGTCGCACATGGTGACATCAATGATGTGTCTAGCCCGGCAGCTGGTTCATGTCACACCTCGCTCTCCTTTTTACGAACTGCACAATGCTGTGTCCTTGTCTCTCCTGGCTGGGCTGCCCCACCGTCCGTCCACACATGCCGATCATACCGCATTTAATCCATCAAAAAGAGACCGCAGGTAGGTTCAAATAATAATAGGGTATTTGATGGGATATGAACGCCCACGTCAGCCGACGTTACCGTAGTAATCTATGTACATGCCAATTGTAAAAAGCTCAACGCGCTCTCAGAGGCTTTGTTCCCGAAACGCCCCGTCTTGCCCATCCTTGCTTTTCCGTCCCCACTGGAACAAAACCAAAACGCGTCAAGGGTATCCTGTGAGAAAATGTGTCATGTCGAAGTAGTAGAATGTAGAATGGAAACCGCCGTGCCTCCTATGACACCGCCCTTGGCTACAAGACAATGGTGATTTGAGATTTGGCCGTGAGATCAGAGCAACCAGAGCAGAGAGACAACGCGAGAGATCTTGATCAGATATGAGCTAGAACCTGTTGATGGAGTGACCGATATGCGAGACGCCAACATTTTTATCTTGCCTTTTCAACTGTTTTTTGTGTGGTTTGGTCGATTTTGGTGACTAGGATAGGAAATTTGAAGGAGCGAATGAAGGTCGGTGCTGACAGTTGTAAGGAAATGTCGTCGAGACTGTGGTTCTTGAAGATTGTAAGGAAATTGCAACGAGTGTGGCAGGCATCTTCGCATATCAGAGTCAAGCTCCATGGTTGAGGTTTTCACCGTCTCTGTCTCTCAGACGTATGGTCTCTACTGCAAAATTAGTTGGCCGAGGCTCTCCTCCTCGCGTCATCAGAGTGCCGCGGTGAGATCTGGAGCAACTTCGCATTGCCCTTCTGTCGAGTAATGCTCGTTGCTCGCTTCAGACCGTTCTCGTCCTCATTGTTGATCTCTATGTCATCGTCACTCAGGTCGCTGGCATCATCTGCATCAGAAAATGTGTTGAGCAACCCCTCACGGCTCCTGACAAAGTCGCCAGCAACCACTTTGGGTTGTTGCCCCCCGACAGTGCCCCAGCGAGGATCATCGATGTCGTCAGAAGATGGTCGTGCGTTCGTAGCATGGGAGTCCGAGCTCCGGTGGTTTGCGAACCGATCAAGGTACTCGTCATCTTCGACGTAGGTCGCCGATTCATCCAGTATCTCCTGGGTCGGAAGGTCTGGGTCGTGGTGTGACGAGCCATCGGAGCTCATGGATGATGTTCTGTGGTGCTCGAAGCGGGGCGGCGAGATTGGCGTTGGGATCGAACGACGGGGTGTCATTCTCTTCCCGAACCACGCACCCTCGGAGTCCACTGAGTTCAACGACATGGCTTGTGGTTCGGGAGAAGGGCCGACCGATGTCGGAACACTGGGCGGGACACTTCCCACGACACCTTCTTCCGGTGACATGGGGGTATCTCGCCGCTTCGGTAACGTCTCCTCCAGACGTGGGTTTGCTTCGAGTTCGGGGGAGTCCTGTTCGATAATTGCAGGTGGTAGAGGGTCGGCGTCGGGTGAGTGAGGTGGTGACAGGGGCAACTCGGGCAAATCCTCGCGGAAGCGAGACATTGTCCTCTTTGGCACATTGCTGCTGAGCTTGCGCGTCAATGCGTCCGAGATGGGAGGGGCTGGCACATGGTTCGCCGACATCGAGTCCCGGGATGTGTTGGAAAACGAGGACGGGCCAGAGTTGCGCTTCGACCTGCTTCCCCATCTGAACAGATTGGTCCATGACCGCCGAGGTCTCGCTGGACCAGAGCTGCCTTCAGAAACCTTCCTGAGCGAGTCTGATACATCGGTCTTGGCAGGTTCCGATGGGTGGGGAGACTTGGACCTAGATATCCTCTTCATCAGAGCGATTTTCTTCCTCGGGCTCTCGGTCCGTTCTGGTCGGGGACCCTCCAGCTGCTCCGAATCGTTGACCACGGAGACCCGATCCAGCGGCACGCTGTCAGTCCTGTGGAAGTGATCAAGGGGCCTGTTGCCGGAGCTGCTGCCATCGCTGTCATAATCATCCTCCATGTCCGCAGCAGGCCGCTTGCCCAGCGCCTTGGCTGTGGGACTCGGCGACCTTCTCTTCTTTGAGGATGTCACGACAGCTGACTCTGGACCGATACCTAGACCGACCGACTCTCGGCCAAGCACGCCCCTCTCCATGTTAGGGGGTGATTGCCTGCCTTCCGCCTTGGCTGCGCGTTCCTTCTCTGCCCTTCTGGCCAGCCTCCGTTCCATCCTCTCTTGTTCACGTTCTCTCTTCTTTGCCCTCCTGCGCTCATCACGCTCCATTAACTCCCTCAGGTCGCTCGCGGTGAGGTCGTCGGCGAGGTCGTCGATCCGCTTGTGTGCCTTCAAAGTGGCCTCAGGGATTGGCTCCTTCTCTGATAATTTGTTCTTCACTGACAGGTGGCGACCAGATGCGGTCGGCGGTGTGCCATACCTTGGGTATACGGCATACTTCAAGGTTGGGCGGGGCGCCAGGGCCTCCAGGGCCGACACCTTGAACGAGACCTGCTCTGAATCAGAGGACAGGCTGGAGTGGATGCTCCCAGGCATGGGTAATGATATGTCCGAGGTCGGGTGTTCCTTTTCCCAGGAGCGTCGGAAACCAAGACCGAGCCCGGTCTTGACCCGCCTGCTGTCCCGCTTCATGGGGCGGCCTGACTGCCAGGGCTCGGCGGCCGGTCGCATCGGCTCGAAGCTGGCCAATGCCTTGATCTCCTGCTCGCGAGCATGGTCTGCCTTCCTCCGCTTGCTGGACTTCTTGTGCGGCAGGTGCTCGCCATTTCGTTTGTTGTGTAGGGTGGGCATCCTTGGAAAGTTGGCAGAGTTGAAGACAGAGGGGTCGGAGGGATCGAGGACTCCCGTCTCTTTTGAACGAGAGTGGACGCGGGGGCCCACTGGACCCTGGGAGGAGACCCCTGCCCCTGTTTTCCGACTGGGTCTCTGCCGGTGGACCACCAGGTCATCGTCCCTCCCTTCCTCGAAGCTGTAGGTGCGTTCTCGACGGTGTAGTTTGTTTGGTTGTCTCTTGATTGGTATCGGGGCAGTGGGCAGGGGGTCCGAGGCGCCGGGGTTGATAGGCTCGGTTTTCCTCCTGCTGCGGGCACGGGCCTGGTCCTCTGGCGTGCCCCTTGACGCACCTTCGCCCTCAGACTGGTTCCCACTACGGGGCCTCTTTCTGCGGCTCCGCCGACGGAACGGCCAGAGGGCCATTGCTCCCCTGGCTCGGGCCTACGCCCGCTCTGGTGAGATGTGATTGATGGGATGTGGGTGGAGGTGGTTGCGGGCTAGAACGAAACAAAGCGCTGTGCTGGGTGGTGGGCTGTATGCTGCAATGTGCTGGAGGACAGAAGCGAAGTCATTCTGGTCGGAGAATATGCTGGCAACGGCAGATCTGGGTCATCGGCAGGGTGGGCCCGGCAGAGGTGTGCTGGGTTGGACCAGTTTCGCAAGAATTGGGGTTGCTAAGATTGCCGTGGGTAGGTATCAAGACCCAAGGGTTGAGCCCAAGGGGTTTGCTGCAGTACTCGGGCGCAAAGGTGAGTCTGGGCGTGTCAGACAGGAGCGAGGGCTGTTTTGTTTGCGTGGGAGTGTGTGTACGAGGTGTGGTGAGTGGTGGAGGGAAAGGAGGGAAATAGAAAGTTGGAAAGAGGATGGATGGATTATGCGTGAGAAAGGTGCGGCGCAAGGCGAGCTGCGCCGCACTGAACCCTCGTAGCAGCAGGACGGGGATTTGGGGACTTGGGACTTGGGACTTGGGACTGGGAGGTTGTGTGACCCCGATGGCGCGGCGAGGTGGCGACGGGCCCAGGGAGGCTCGACCTGGGCTGGCCTGGGGGTGATACGCAGGATACGGCCTGTGAACCTTGAATATGCAGGTACCACGGCGGCACGTCTCCTTGCTCCCTCGTGATTGACTGTGCAAATTGGGACGGCCTGGCGCGGTGCGACTGGTCAATGCTGCATGCGCCTTCGCCCTCGTCGTACGGTACCTTGTAGTGAATGGAGCACTCAAAGTTGTTATGCCCTTGACCACCGACCCGAGGACCCCTTTTTTGCTTGTCGGCAGGGGGGACGGGGACGGGGACTGGGACTGAGACTGGGACTGTGACTGACGATGTGTGCCTGCGTGCCGGGCCAGGCACGGAGCACACCAGATATGTATGTATGTATGTACCTGGAAAAGCTTACTGCAGGTTGCATGCGTCGCTGATGAATTGGGTGTCGCAGATGGCAGATCACAAAGAAAAGAGAAAAGGGCAGTCAGGGCCCCCCGGGTAGGTACGGAGTCCTCGGTACCCCTAACCAGAGACAAATGCTGGGAAAAGGTTGGAATGGGGTGGGTGGCTCAAAGGGGTCTGTCTCTGTCTGGTCTTGCCTGATGAAAGCCGTGGGAGCAGGGAGGGGCGGCTGGTGACGGGCAAGGACCTGCCTGGCAGGGGAGGGAATGCGATTCGAAATCAAGTACCGGGCGCGGGCATCAATGCCCCCCGAGGTTATTATTACCCTCAATGGGCCCTCATCACTCTGCAGGCATACGAGACGGGAAGCAGGTTGGCAGGCACAAGCAGTTGGCATTTCTCCGTACAACCTTGGAAGGGAGGAGGGGGAGATGGGCAGAGAAGCCATGTGCTTTGGCTGCTGGCCAGTCACCGTTAAAAAGCAGGTCTTGCCACACCTGGGCACCACATCCGCACCACACCAAGACCACACCATGCCATGCCCTGCCCTGCCCTGCCCTGCCCTGCCATGCCGCACCAAGGGGGGGGGGGTGCCTGATGACCAGGTCTGGCTGGCCTTCATGTCAGTCCCTCCAACTGGCCGAGCGTGCCAAAGCAAGCACAGCATGAAGCAGTAAAACAGTGAATAGCCCGGCAGCAGTAAAACACCGAAAGATAAGTTGCTGAGAAACAAAAACGTGGAAGCCCAACCAGCCCTATCAATCTACCTGCTTACCTATATACCTGTCTACTGTGTAAGTACCTAGGTATACCTAAGCGAGCAAGCAGCAGCCCAAGGTGGGGATACGTTGTGGGCTCGACTTCAACGTCTGCCCCCGGTTGAGGATTCTGGCCCGCTTGACTGGCTCGAGCTCCAGCGCTGGTGGGCGGGCTAGTCTACTGGGCCCACTCGAAGCTTTAAACCCGGCCAGTGCACGGCTGGAAGTACCCAGGTACCATGGTAGGTAGCCAATTCATGGATTATAGTGTAGCTCAGTGGGGGACAGACTCGATACAAACCCCGTCAGTGCGCGTGCTATGCCTTCTCCATGTACCTCAGTACCCCTGAAACCTCCAAGCTCGTCTATTTAGTGCATAGTACCTGGCCTGCGACATGTTGTAGTGTAGATGATGGCATGTTTCCTTGGCCCGTGTTCAAGGTTTCCGGGCCGCGGGGACACCTGGGAAGGGACTTGGTTGGAAAGGGAATGGCTCCCGATCTGGGCGCTGAGGGCGGCGATGGCATGTGGGGCCAAGCCGACAAGAGAAGCAAGCAAGACAAGAAGCCGCCCAACACGAGGAACGTGCGGCTGGCCAGCTGCTGTCGAGAATTGCCATCACATCATTGCAGGAGCCCAGGCCTGGGGCGCCAGGGGGCTCTCACCCCATCAGCCTCCATTACAGGAGGTTGGCCCGGGCCAGACCACCCAGCCCACCCTGACCAGGCCACCGCACCGCCGGCCAACTCTATCCTCAGGGGAGCAGGTCTGTTTTCTGACCTGCCAGGCTGCCACCCTGCCCGTGGCAACCTTGATAAATTAATCACCCAGGCACCTAGGGGAGCGGGCAAACAGGCGCGCAGCTGAGTGCTGAGCCGCTTCCGCTCCCGCGCAAACCACCGTCAAGGTTTCTGCCGCCATGACGCCCGCCCCTCGCTCGATCCAGAGGGTCCGTCCTTGACTCCTTGGCCAGCCAACTTCCTGCCCTTCCAAAGCCACCCTGGGCAGGGTTGTCCTTCCGGGGGCAACAACTCCTCGCAAGAGAGGCAGCGACGTGCGAGGCGCGAGGCGGCGAGGCGGCGAGGTCAGACGTCAGAGCCCTCGGACTCATCAAACCTACTAGGCCTGCCATGATACATTCTTGGTTGCCAAATGCAAGAAATCCTCTGCACAATACGTAAATGCTGCTCGAGGAACGGCCAGTTCGAGATACATCTCCGTTCAGAGACACGTCGCATCAACCCGCCCCGCCAATCTTTTCCCCAACAGAGGAACGACTGGGGCCGTTAGCCCACTATGTCATACCTGCCAGGCGAGAGCTAAGAGCAAGATCGCCGTAACGGTGGACGGGGTCGAGCTAGGCTCAAACTGTCCTAATCCCGGCCGATCAGATCCTCCTCCTCCAGCAACCTGGGCAGTCAGGCAGCCTGGCAAGCGTGGCAGCCAACAGTAGGCAGCCAGCGCTTGCCAGCGCCCCTCCAACGAAAGCATCAACGGCGCATCTCGGGTGCAAACACTGCGAGGCCACGCTGCTGACGAGTCCGGTGTCGATAGGCTGTGGCGCTCTCGCTGCTCCAGCCCGGGGGAGGGTGACGCCTGCGTGGGGACGGACTGACCACCATTTGGCATCAACACCAACAGCCGATGGTTGCGCGCGACAAGCCGACCTGCAGCACGCTTCGGTGGAGCATCCACGTATCTTTCAACTGCATTGCATTGCATGCTCTTGCCACGACTTGGTTGCAGCTATCGTTTTACCCGGGGCACTCGAGCGAGGATTGCTGAGACCAGGACTCCTTGGGCTTTCACTCCCTACTGTGACCCTCCGCTCGATAGCACGACACTTGGTCGGTTGCTGCTCCGAACCAATGTCAGACGGTAGCGCACGCCCAACGCCCCGGCTCGTCTGCTCGTCTGGATACCAATGACCCTACGCTACGACTAGCACCAAGCGCTGTTCAATTAGGCCTGCCGTGGTCTAGCTTTCCCGCCAAGGGCTGGCCGTTGGACTCCGGTCGCCATGCTGCCATTGGGATCTTAGTTATTAGCCCCAGGCCGAGCGTCGTGTGGGGAGGAAAACCTCGTGATACCACACCTGAGGTTTTAGCAGCAGCCCGATTCATGCACTTGCTCAAGTCGCTGCTAAGCTTTCCCTCGTCAATTGGGCTGCAGCAACCAAAGGAGGGCTCGTGACCCGAGACTTTTTGTCAAGAGCTCTGCGGGGAGACGGGAGACGCCAGATGAACCGTTGCTCGCCAGCAGATCGGCCGCAATTTGATCAGAGTTCCTGCAGAGATGCTGACCATGATTCGCGTGGCGATCGCGACTTCACAGTCAGCCAATCCAGTCCCTTGTCTTGTCCATCGAGTCTGGCCTCACTTCCAGACGCTACCTACATCGCAAGGGCCGGCAGGCCGGCAGGCTGGGAGGGGGGGGCCGGATCGATTCAAACATCGTCATTCGAGGTCGGTGACGAGCTGGGCGGGCTGGTTGTTTCAAGCCAATATCAGTCCAATCAAGCCCATCTCGGCACACCCCTTCCCAATAGTCATTCTTCACATTGGGGAGGGGACGTCGCTCGAATTCTATTCTTGCATCCAATCTCAAGGGTCCCAAGCGGGCATTTCTTCCCTCCGAGTTTCACTTCTCCAAATGAACCCCTGTAGCGTCGGCAGAGGCTATTTTCTGCAAGCTCTCGAGACCACCCGACCTGCCTGGCAGCCTGGGCAGCTGGATGCACGGCGCCGCCCTGTTCTGCCTGTGAGCACTACGGAGTGCATGGCCTTGTCGGTTCGGCCGCCTGTGGCTGACGGGAATATGTATCTGGCTCGCGTGGTAGCTCGATAGCATGGAGTTAAGATCACCCGCGATGGACAGATCGTCTTGCCCTTTTGGATCTTGGTCGGCGGATCTTGCAGAACGCCACTGGCTGCAATTGTGGCTTACCCCATATCGCCAACGACGCCTGCAGCATTTACTCAACTACCCAGACTACCTCAGCACCATTGCAGGCGAGGCTTTCTACAAAGTTTGGCTGCCAGGAACTGCGAAGGCAGACAGACTATCGCTCAGCAGGAAAAGTTCCGGGATGTGGGCGGTCTTGAGGCCCTGCCGACCTATCAGCCCACCCAACCTGGATCATTGGCGGGCCAGCATGCTCGGAGCGGTCTGGTTTTAGGCCTGCTATTTTCACCCGACATTGGTAAGACCATCTCTGAAGCTCTGAAGGGGAGCAGATGGTCCAAGGGCGGCATTCCGTTGGCACTGCTCTGGTCTGTCAGTCGTCAGTTTGCGTACCATAGCAACCTATACCTAGAGGGCAGATGCAACCGATGCTCAATGGTGCAATTGTGATTGCCCGCGGGACTCGAATGCCGAAACGTGCTCGCGATGCCTGTGGGCCCCACTGTTCCCGCGATCGGCAGAAGCCAGAAAGCTCCGAACCTTGGAAGTGGGACGGGCAGGCCGGGCTAGAACACGCCGGGGCCTATTGCGCCCAGAATTTGAGGTCGCAACAAGGCAGAGCACGCGCCGACTCGGGAACTCACGGCGGGCTCTCTCAGCACGGCCGGACGTACTGCCCATGAAAACTACCCTCGGGCAACAAATTTGGAGCAAAGGACCACTGGACCTCCACGTTGAAACGAGCGGGGCGGAACTTTGCTGGGCCACCAACTCGTCCCGTGCGCTCTGTCGCCCTTCACAATTCATTCTGCCGTGATCCGGATCTACTCTTAAGCGCAGCTGTGTTGCAAGGCAACGAGTACGTACGCGGCAGATATGTTGTACATTGTCCGGGATGCTTGCAGTGGACCCGCGGGAGGAGATGTTAGACTTCGTATATCTGTAGATCTCGGACCTTTTACCTCTTACAACTCGGCATCTCCATAGGTAATAAAAGTTTCAACTTTGAGCCCCGCCCGTAACCTCCGCCCAGAACCTCCGCCCAGAACCTCCGCCCGCGCGTTTGTCAACCGAAACAGAAAAATGTTTTTCCCTCCCGCCGCTGGGCTGGAGGCGCTTGATTTCAAAGCAAGGGGGGTCTGGCTGGTGGGCTCCGGAATTCCCGCGGCAAGACGCCGCAGCGGAAGGTCGAGATATCTATGGCGGGCCATCGCGACATTTTGGCCGTATGCCTCGGCCAAGTCCGAGTCATCGCCCCGGCTGTGTCCGGCGCCCCGGCCATCGCGGCCTGAGGACTTGGCAAAGTGCATGAATTTAATGCGCCGGAGAGGACCATCACCAGACAGTCCGGTTTTCCAGGAGATCCGAGGGCATGGCTACGCCATCTCTGTCATGGTTGACGACAACGCGAAGGTGTCGCCCCACAACCGTTGCCATGAATGGAAATGAAGAAAGAATAATTTTTTTTTTTAAAAAAAAAAAACCCCAAAAAAAAACACCGGGAAACCCCGAAACAAACCTCCCAAAGCACAGAACCTGGGGGGGTTCGGACTGCCGACGCTCACGGGGCGTAGATACGTGTCTACCATCGCTGCCAGGGGGATACTCGGTTTAAGGCGCGTGGTCAGGATTGGAGGTGGTTCTGCCACGGGCTCCCCGTCGTGATGCCCATACTGCAAGAGTCGAGAGTTCGAGAAAAACGAATCCGCAAGGCCTTACTCTCCTTGGGGACTTTCCTGAACTTGACACGCTGGTACCGACGTACCTGTGCCACCACGCGTTCTAAATGGCGACAATATTCGGGCTGAAAAGGAGTCGGTCCACCTCTGTAACCGATCTGTCGGCTGCCGCTGAGGTAGGTCTACCCCATATGCCTTGTGGGAGATGACCCGAGGTTTGCGACCAGATATTAGCTGAGAAGCACACTGGATGGCCCAGGAATTTGTGTGCAATATGCTGTAGCAGCATCGAAGTCAGTATCGCTGTGAACTGTGGCACTGTTTGCCTCCATACGAAATTTGTGGCCATACACTGATAGTGCTCCAGCACCAGCCCGTGTGTCTAGGCAAGAAAGGAAACGGCCAGACAGCGACGACAATTGGCCAAGGACGTCAGGTCTTGCGTGAGCATGCGCGGCGAGACCCCACGTGCTGGTGTACGCATCTTGCGTGCCCTGTGTTTCTACCTTCACGACTTCGTCGTGAGGACTGTGGGACTCAAAATGCGTAGTGATACGCTTGCTTATTACGGCCAAGTGTCTAGACGCAGCATTAGTGATTTGTAGCATTCCAAGCAGGGTTCACGACTAGCTGCAGGAAGAATGGCACCCCGCTTTGCAGGAGAAAGGCTGACGGCGTGCTTGAGCAATTTCATAGAAATGTCGATCCATTTGAATCCGAGGCCATGAACAAACAAGGCGGTTGCAAGTGTGAACTAGATTCGCAGGCATCACGTGTAACGAGGACAGTCACTGGAGTGAACTAGACCGGGAAGACGACCCGGTACGGCCTGGAAATAGAGGACGGGGAACAGAAAGCCAGGCTTTTTTTGAATTGCCGCGCTCACCTGAGCAACGTGGAGAGGATGCCGGAAAGACCTGTCCTCATTGTCGGTGCAGGAATTGTGGGACTGAGTCTTGCCAATGGCCTTAGAAAGGTGAGAAAAGATTGGAAGGGAGGATATGCAACTTTCGAGACTCGTCGACTTATGCCACGTCTAGAAGAACATTCCCTTTCAGGTCTTCGAACGTGATGACAACATTGCCACTAGGGACCAAGGTTGGGCCATCACTATCCACTGGGCTCTAGGATTTCTGAGATCTCTCTTGTCAGAGAAGGCCTTCAATGGTATCGAAGACACCCAAGTCGACCCCGAAGTTGGTCGCAACGACACGGGAAACTTTTTATTCATCGACCTCGCTTCACTCGAGACCAAGTTCCGCATCCCACCCAATGACCGGCGCCGAGTGAACCGAGACAAGATCAGGAAGTTGCTGCTGAAAGAAGTCAGTGAAGAGGTTCACTGGAACAAACGCTTCGTCGGCATTGAGGAAATTGAGGGCGGCGGGGTCGTTGCGGTCTTCGAAGATGGCTCAAGAGTGGAAGGCTCCGTCATTGTTGGCGCTGAGGGATCCAACTCGCGGACGCGACAGCTCGTCGCTCCGGAGACATACAGAAACACCCAGCTTCCTGTGCGGCTCACCGGAACGGCTGTCGACTTCAAGCCAGAGCAGGTCAAGCCGCTGCGGGACTTGGACCCCCTCTTATTCCAGGGATGTCATCCCAGCAGCTCGACGTTTCTCGTAAGCAGCTTCTGGATACAATCTCCACCCCCTTCAAGGACAAACGTGCCCCATTCTTAGCCTATATAACAAAGACTTCAGCCCTAGGGGCCATGGGTTGGAGAGATAGGATATGATTAAGTAGTGGCCTGCTCTTTTCCGCACTGGCATGAAGTTATTCCTCTACTTCTCTGATGGCTGACTCTGACTGGTGCAGTGGGTTAGCATGATCGATACACCGGAAAGTAATGGTACTCAAGGGACGGACGATGAGCGGTATCGTGTTCAGATCCTCATGTCCTGGCCTTACAAGTCACCGGAGGATGAGGTGAAGCACACGCAGGCCGAACGTCTTAAGGAGATGAAGCGGCGGGCGGAAGTATTTCACGAGAACCTGCGAGGCACCATACAGTCTATGCCCGAGGACACCAACTGTGTCGAGATCGTGCTACAGGACTGGCCGTGCCTGGACTGGGATAATCATGGTGGCAGGGTCACGTTAGCTGGGGACGCAGCTCATGCAATGACGATGTTCGTACCACTATTCTCATGCCCTGGATCCCCATTGTCTATGTTTTGGAATGCCCAGAACCCCTTACAATACGATCGGCAGCATGTGACTGACACGTACCGGTAATAGGTATAGGGGAGAGGCGGCCAACCACGGCATACTCGATGCTCTCAGGCTCTGTGAAGCTCTCGAAGCCGTGTATACGGGCGCCCAAGGCATGGAAGACGCCATCCTCGAGTTCGAGAAAGAGCTCCGGGGCAGGGCGATTCCTGCGGTGCTTCTCAGCCGTCAGGCATGCTTGGACGCACACGATCTGGCGGGCCTGAACGAGCATTCGGCGGTGCTGAAGAGGAGAGCGATCAATTAGATAAGCTCTCAGAGCCCAGGGTGGTAAATAGATGCACTGTGTCTCTTTATGGAAATCGTGGGTACGATATATTTTAATTGTGTAGACTTGGTTTGCACCACTTAGATCAAGGCACAATAGTCCGTGTGTACATAAATCCGAGCCTGGGTACGGTAAGGTTGCACATGTGCAGTGAGATGGACAGGGAGCCCCACTGCGGGACCATTGCATTCAGCCCCACACGTGGTTGCTGTACCAACGCCCGGGCACTAGCTCCCACCATCTTGGCCCATGAGCCGCCATGTTTTCTTGGGTCGCAAATTGGTCCGTTCAACGATTGAACCTCGTCGTCAACTCCCACCAACTCCCGCCAACTCCAACTTGTGTGCAGCACCTTACTCCCCGCCTCTGAAGACTGCATCGGACCGCCAATATCCGACATTTTGCCCTTAAAAGCAGGCCAAGATGGCCTACAACCCCAGGATGAGCATCATCCCTCCGGGGCAGCAGCACTCGCGCAACCAGCGCAAGGAACCAGAACCCGACGCGTTCATGCTGCTCAAAGACAGCGAGATCGTCGGCTGCATCACTGACATTGGCATCCCATTCACCGTCGCCGACCTTGCGAAGCCGAACCCTCTCCAAGTACAGATGATCTTCGAATGGTTCGCCGAGCTCATCCTCAATGCAACCCGCGAGACCGTCGACCCTGCCATGCGCGCCGCCGCCGAAGACATTGTTGGCGACAAGAGCGATGTGCTGTTCCCTGCCGACACGAGGAACCTCATGGGATTCTACGTGTCATTACGCCGACTGCTGCTGGAGTGTGGCATCCGCGATTTCAGCTTCACAGACCTGTACAAGCCCACGCAGCCCCGGCTGGTCAAGATTTTCAGCTACCTCATCAACTTTGTGCGCTTCCGCGAGAGCCAGACCTCTGTGATCGATGCGCACTTCAACAAGGCGGAACAGACGAAGACGCGGATCGAGAGTCTTTACGGCGAGAACCAAGACATGGAGGCCCGACTGGAGGAAATGCAGCAGACCCGATCGCAGATGCAAGGCATGTACGCGGAGAAGCAGCGACGTAACGAGGACTTGAAGAAGCGCCTGCTGGAACTCCGACGCGGGCAAGAGAGGGTCGCAGCCCGGCTAGAGGAGGCCAAGGAGAGGAAGAGCGAGTTGTCGACGCAGCTCGAGCAGAAGACGGCCGAGAAACTAGCTGTCAAGCACGAGAGCGCCAAGCTGAGGCCCTACGTCCTACAGAGCGCATCTGCGTTGCAAGCGAGCCTGACGGAGCTGTCAAACACCCTTGGCAACGACAAGGCACATATCGATTCACTCGACCGGCGGGCACGGGCACTGCAAACCTCTACGGATTCTTTCTCCGTGGTATCTACCGACGTGGCGTCATGCATCAAGCTCCTGGACGAGATCGGCGTGGAGCTTCAGAAGGAGGAGGACGAGACCGCACGCAAGAACAAGCAGAAGGATGCCCTTCTTGAACGGCGGACAGACGTCCAGGATGTCGAGCGAGCCGAGACACTACTGCAGAGGCAGCTGTCCAAGTGGCTTGAGAGGACGGAGAAGCTTAGGGAGCAAGCCAACCAAAAAGCCCAAGAGGCCAAGAGGAAAATGGAGGAGCTGGAGAAGGTCCACAGGCAACTGAAGCAGGAGCGGACGGAGAAGGGCAATGAGATGGAGAAGCGCCGGGTACGGATTGAGCAGACGGAGAAGAAGGTAAGTTGCATACTCAAATGTGTGCCTTGTCTCGACTCGCTAACGCGCTGTGTACAGATGCAAGACCTTAAGGAGGCCATCGAAAACGAGGTCCACAATGCTCATGATGAGTACCTCAAGATGGAGGCACACATCAAGCTGTATATCACGGAGATGGAGCAGGCCATCCCGTTCAACGAGTGAAACGACTGTCTCTTTGTGTATTTATTTGCAATGAGTTTGGGAGGGCTGATACCAGGTCGGGGCGTTCGGTTGGAGTACTGCTTCTGGATACCTAGCGATTAAGACCACTGAGGACTGCAAGAATTCCAAGCCTCGGCATGATTATGATCATGTCGCAATACATTCAGCCAAGCCCCATGGTAATCATGTATGCTCCTGCACATCCTGAGCCCAGTCCCCTTTGCGGTACCGAAACCACCTGCCAAGGACCCTCTCGATGGTTACAGTACGGCCGGTCCAGTCAGCATTATCCAGATGGGCGCCGGCCCTTCTAGTACTGGCGCTCAGGACTGGGACCTCCTCGGACAATGACGTTTGCTCTGTCTCAGTTCCCAGGTGGCTATCATCGGCATCTTCGTCTCGTGCCTCCCCGCCATCTTCCGAGCTTTGCATCACAAACTGCGGTGGATCGACTACAACAGCCCGGAGGCCAGCCCTCCACGCAGTCTCTACTAGGTTTGCAGCCGTGCTGCTTATACCCTGGGCGCTCCACTCACTCGTGTCGCGGTGCATGGCGAGGAAGCCATAGACCAGCAGGAGAGGCGGCATCCTTGCTCGGCCCAGGTTTGTGGCCGGCGGAGGAGGAGGGACCTTGGAGTCCTTGGTGTCAAAGACGGAGAGGCAGGCCCGCAGGTGGGAGACAGTGGGCACGAAGATCATTCGTATATGGCGGACAATGGCAACTTGGTAGAGAGGGGACGAAAGTAGGGACGAAAGAGGTGATGCTTGGCCATCGTCACCCGCTGCTGGCAGGCTCTTCTGTGCGTCGCTCAGGAGGGATTCTAGAAATTCTGCTTGCGTCGAGCACACGATCAGTGTGGTTGGGTACTCATGGCGTCGGATGATGTATGTGAGCAGCTCTGAGGGAAGTGCCGGCGACAGGATGAGCGGCGTCAGCGGCATCTTGAAGAGGACAGCTCCTCATGGTGATGTGATATGGTTCAGTGACTGAGACGTCCAGCCCGCTGACCGTGTTGATGAAGCTCCCGCTCTCCCCAGAATACAAAGTCGGCGTGGGTACTATGTACCTAAGTACCTAGGTAGGTACCTACCCGGGTAGGCGGACTAGGTAGCTACCTGCTTAATGTGGCAGGGTGCCAGGTGCCTCACGCCTGCCCGGTGCTGCCCCACCACGCCTGCAGGGATCCTCCAGCACGTCACTACCGCCTGTCAGCACCACCTACACACCACGCCCAACAGATGGACGAGGTAGCTACCTAAACCACGGACTATCCCTCCCACCACGACCAAGACGCCCGTCTTGTGCCTGTTCAGGATGGAGCCAATATCCCGGATCTCGTCGCTCCTCGAGAGAGGTGAGTCCTCAATACAGGCCGCCAGTTGATCGGCAAGACTGACAGTATCGTGCACCTAGCCCAGGAGCTTACCCTCGACGCTGCCTCCGCCGCCCGAAGCTCGCGAAGTGCGCCAAGGTCCCTGGACAAGAACCAGGTCAAGAAACTCCTCGATAGCCGAAATGAACGCGAGGTGCTCGAGGGCCTGCGCAAGGTCATCTCCATGATGTACCGCGCACAAAAGACCCTGCCCTTCTTCTCGTCCGTGGTCAAGAACGTCGCGTCGCCGAACCTTGAGATCAAGAAGCTTGTCTACATCTACCTCATCCACCATGCCGAGCAGGAACCCGACCTCGCGCTGCTGTCGATCAACACCATACAGAAGTCTCTGTCAGACAGCAACCCTCAGGTCCGTGCGCTGGCGCTGAAGACCATGTCGGGAATACGAGTGCCGGTTATCAGCCAGATCGTCTCTCTGGCCATCAAGAAAGGCGCCGGCGACATGAGCCCCTACGTGAGGAGAGCAGCAGCAATGGCCATACCGAAGTGCTTCCGCCTAGACCCAAATCAGTCACCGCAGCTGATTGAGTACCTCACGACGCTCCTGGGGGATAAGCAATACTTCGTTGCCGGTGCAGCTGTCACGGCGTTTATGGAGATCTGCCCTGAGAGGACGGATGTTATACATAAACACTACCGCAGCCTGGTCCGGAAGATTGTCGACATGGACGAGTGGAGCCAGCTCTCAACATTGAGGATGCTGACTGTGTATGCTCGAAAGTGTTTCCCAAGGAGGACCAAGACTGTCAAAGCTGGAGAGAAAGCAGCCGACTTGCGAGGCTTCTACAACGAGGCAGGCAACAGCGGAGACGCAGGCGAACAAGTGGTAATCCTGGACCCGGATCTCGAGCTGCTTCTCAACTCAATAAAGCCACTGCTCCAGAGCAGGAACTCAGGCGTCGTTGTTGCTACAGCCCGCTGTTATGTTTCAATAGGGACACCCGAGTATATCAAGTCAGCCGTTGGACCGCTGGTCGCTTTGCTCAGGGGCCCCTCCGACATTCAACAAATTGCTCTTTACAACATCGTGTCTGTCTGTTTACTAAGGCCTACAGACTTCGTCAAATATGCCTCACACTTCCTCGTCAGGGCAACTGATAGCAGCTCAGTATGGGAACTCAAGCTAGAGGTGTTGACCCTCGTCTTCCCACACTCCCCGCCACACGTCAAATCGCTCATCCTCAACGAACTGGAACACTTCTCGAGAGGCTCAGACAAGCTATTGGTGCGTGAAGCTGTCCGAGCCATCGGGCGATGCGCGCAGAGCGACCCGAAGACGAGTTCAAGGTGTTTGAGGTTGTTGTTGAGTCAGATATCCAGCCTCGACGGGAATCTGGCGGCAGAGAGCTTGACTGTCATCCGACACCTAATCCAGCAGGATTCTACCGCCCACACTTCCACAGTGGTGAGGCTGGCAAAGAACCTCGATTCCGCCACTGATCCACAAGCTCGAGCTACCATCATCTGGCTTGTCAGTGAGTTCGCCGGCCTCAATGGCGAAGACAACATCGCAGCAGATGTCTGCAGGATTCTACTCAAAGGCTTCGCAGAGGAATCAGAGATCGCCAAGCGGCAGATCCTATTACTAACCGCCAAGGTCTATTTGCACCATGTGAACCGTGTCATAGAAGCCAGGAAGAGCCAGGAGTCCGAAGAAGGGGAAGCAGCTGAACCAACGTCACTGAACGAGATGGAAGATCACCCTGTGGCCCGATTGTGGGACTATGTTCTATTACTGGTGCGCTACGACACCTCGTATGACCTTCGGGACAGGGCAAGATTGTTCAAGGCGCTGCTTGGTGTTCCTCAGCTAGCAACCCTCATGCTTCTTGCACCAAAGCCAGCGCCACAAGCCCCCAGCCCATCAGAAACGAGAAAGGGCTTCACACTCGGCTCCGCAGCTTTGGTTTTAGGCGGTGGAGGGGGGATCCACGGCCTCAAAGGGTACGAGGCTCTGCCGGACTGGGTGGAGGACGGTAGGGAGCCGGATCCAAAGTTGAGATCCGAAGGAGAGCCAGCTAGCAGCAGTGGTGGCTTTGCGGTCTGGGAGAAGCGCTCCGCACCTGCAGCAGATAGTCTCGATAGCTCTACCGCCAGGTCTGGCGTGGGCAAGGCTACCAACGGGGACGAAGGGTCCGGTCTCGGTACCAAGTCTCTCGCTGACTGGCTTGCCGAAGATGAAGGCCAAGAGGAGTCAGGCGAGAGCGAGGAGGAAGAGTCGTCTGAGGAGGAAGACGAGGAAGAAGACGAGGAAGAAGAGGATGGCGAAGAAGAGTCCGGCGAGAGCGAGGAGGAGAGTTCCGAAGAGGATGCGCGGTTGGTTCGAGGATCATGATCGGAGAAGGCCTAACAACATACCCTAAGGACAACAGAGATACCTGGACTCCACCATCAACCCAGCGCAATATATCTAGTTCAAAGAGGCAGGGTGACATGGAACAAGGTGAATCGTATGTGGCACATAGCCCGAAAAAGATTTCTCACGGTGTAGAATGGAAATATCGAAGACAGGCTCGTGAACAATGGTCCTGCCTAGATTCGCTCGACTCATTGCCTCACGTTGAGCATTCAGACCCCGTCACGCTCAAAATTTCTATCACCTGTTTTCCAAACTTGTATACAGGGTTGATCATACTTCACCCTATGTTGCACATGAAATTCTTGCTTAGATATACTGAAGTCGCTCGTTTTGATACACTGCGATGATCTGCAACTCATTAGTTACTTGTGCGCTAAGCAAAGCCAGTATATCTTTGCACTACCAATTGCTGAGTTCAAACTACCCGTGGGCCCTGATAAATGTAGTCGACGCATATGGATACAGGGTACGATTCACGACTGTTCTCCGTTACAATGCCGAGAACATTTGAACCCGTGAGATCTGATCCTCAATTTAATTGGAGTGAAATCCTCAGCTGCAGCCACCTAGCGCCATCGAATCAAGCACCTATACGTGCCAATAGTTCGTACATCACTGCAGTGGAACTATTCCGGATCCAATCATGTAAAGTGTATCTGCATGATTCCTTATCCCGTCCCCACGCAGAGCCTCAGTCTGGCCCGTATTGGGGAGCACTGGGGTGCCCATCCTTGCTTACTGTCTTGTGCCATATTCTTTGCCTATTCTATCAGTGTCCTCGTTCCACCTCGGTCGTCCCCACTAGTGCAACTTTGTCTCGCCATGAGCAGCTTCTCCCAAGGCTTACCACGTCAACCCCTCCCTATTCGGCACATTTCAGCGTCTCATTACCTTCCGTTGTTGGGCCGGTTCTGGGCTGGCCTATCGCGCGGCTGTGGTATATTTCAGCCGAGATAATGTGGCTGATCGATACCACCACCCTGAGACTCGAGGAGATCGTCGATCTGCAGGACTGCAAATATGCTATTCTGTCACACACCTGGGAAAAAGATGAGGTAGACTTCCAGGACATGATGGCCGAAGTCCGGCCGGCACAACTCCTGAAGAAGGCTGGCTTTTTGAAAATCAAAAAGACATGCGAAGTGGCGAAGGAGAAGGGGTACGGGTTTGCGTGGGTTGATACCTGCTGTATCGACAAGACCAGCAGTGCTGCGCTTTCGGAAGCAATCAACTCCATGTTCCACTGGTATAAAGAATCATCATTGTGTCTTGCTTATCTGTCCGACCTCGAGGCCAACAACTTCGAGCACTCTGAGAGCAAGACATCGGAGTTCATGAAAGATTGCGTTTGGTTTACTCGCGGCTGGACGCTGCAAGAATTAATCGGCCCTGAGGAGCTCGATTTCTACGACCAGGAGTGGAAGTTCAGAGGCAGCAAGAAGACTCTTAGGCGTGAGCTGTCCACGATCACGGGAATCGACATCGGTGTTCTCGAAGACTCAGAATTGTTGCCGACGATTCCCGTGGGCCGGAGAATGTCGTGGGCAGCGTATAGGAAGACAACGCGGGTAGAAGACATTGCTTATTGCCTCTTCGGGATATTTGGCGTCAATATGCCAATGATTTACGGCGAAGGCAAGAACGCTTTCCTGAGACTCCAAGAAGAGATCGCCAAGAGCAACAACGACCTGACACTATTCGCTTGGACATCACAGAATGAGTCGGGAGTCGACAGGCGACCAACCCATCCAAGTCAACAGGGAAAAGACCTGCGCGGTATTCTCGCTCAGTCACCCTCGGAATTTGTGGATTGTGGCCGGCTAAGAATACTTCGAGACGGAGTCGCACCCGTTAAGGAGTTCGCGATGACGAACAACGGTCTGAGGGTAGAGACTGTTCTTGGATCGTCCCCTGAAAAGGAGTACGTCTTCGCCCTCGACTGTGTCAACGACAAGAATCGCAGGCTAGGGATCTATCTCATGAAGACAGAATTTGGGTTCGTCCGAGATCGCGCAAATGAATTATTCTCAACAACAGATAGGGGTTTCTGGAACGGGAAGCCGATCACGAGGTACATTGCAAGGACACTGAGCAATAGCCTTGCCCTCCGCCTGAGGGCTCAACTGCTACAGTCGCTGAACTTCCGCTTCCATCTGCAGCCCAGGGCAAGCTACAGTGTGGAGAGAATAAGGCCTCGGCCCTCTAATTTATGGGACAGTAACGGAAAACTGTTCCTCACAGGGAACCGCCGCGACTTCACCGCGTGCGTCGAGTTCAGTCTCAAACCGCTGTGGTGGAGATTCGTGATTGTTTGTGGCCTCATCGACATCAGGAGCGAAAACCCGGCCGTTTCTGACCTTTGGCACCAAGGTGATCACTTCTCGTCCGCCATGCCCTGGATGACCATATTCACAGATCAAGACCCAAGTGCAAGGCCCCAATTGGAGATAATCGACAAACTGAAGAAAGGCAACGATGAGCTGAGAAAGTTGAGGAGCACAGTTCTGTCATGGTATGTCGACGAAAATAATCGGTTGCCCTTGCGCAGTATGGCCGAGAAGATAAAGACGGTTTTTATCGAAGATGACGGCAGGGAGATATCGTATCACCTAGAGATGATCAGGGAAGCAAATTTCCACAGCAAGGGCACACCGGTTTTCAACATCAGAGTCTCCATTTCCGAGGTGACCAGGGTCCGCGATTCCTCTACCATGGGCGAGGTCGGGTCAGAAGAAGACGAGGCGAGTTATGCTCGCGCTGGGCCCAGCCCTAGAGCGCCGCAGCCCCCGTCAGCCGACCGCGAGCCGCCCCCAAGGCCGTCTGCACGGCGACCTAATCCGTTCTCACCGCAACCAGGACCCGCACAGCGGCATTATACTGACCCCGGTCCATTTCCCTTTCAGCCATATGCGAGCCCGTACCCTCATGGGATGCCAGAAAATCCGTACGGCTCGGGTCCTTCGGCAGGGCAATGGGCAAGCCCATCCGGATACTGTCCATCCGGGCCGGGATATAATCACGGCGGAGGAAACCCGGCGGGGTACAGATAACTTTCATCAACCTGTTCTTTCCTAAGCCGGGCGTTAGGGTATCTCCAAGGGCTGTTTGCTTAGACGTCACTGGGGCTTCATGGCATAAGGGCTTATAGTTTGCACCAAATAAGTGTAGTGAGTTGTAACACTGGAAATGCTTTGGGGGACAGGGGGATATCTGTGCCAGATTCATAGGTCTGGAAGCCTGTGGCCTGATCCAGGTTGTCGGCGAGCGCGGTTGACTGGACTTGAATTCAGTAACAGGAATGCGTTCTCTAGTCCCTTAGCCTTCTATAAGACTAGTAGGGAGAATTCTCCCTTCCTAAATACTCCTAGCATACACAAAAGCTCTAATACCTAACAAGGTATTAGGCAGCCTTAGACATAATCATACAAAGGATGTGTAAGGGCTCTTTCAAACAACTACTGGCCGGTCAAAAATAGACCAGCGATTTCAACCGCAGTCTTACTACTGGGGAAGCAGCTATTAACTAACTAGGTAGGTAGCGTTGTGCGATCCCGGCGGTGTAAATGCAATGGTATTTCGTGCTCAAGTGGGCCTGTCAGCGCACTGTCGTCGTTGGTTCAGCTCGCAGCTCCAGGGCGCAGACACACGATATGTCGTACTAGATCCAGCTCAAAGCATGGTGACTTCGAAACATGCCATTGTACAAGAGCCTCCTAGATATGGCAACTTTCTGAAACCCATCAGGGTATCTTGGGCGACTTCAAAGATGAGAGCATAAATGAATCCGTCCTCATATCCACCCCTCTTTCTATGGTCTTAATTAAGGGTACGGTTGAGGCTGCTCTCTCATAAGGAAAGGCGGGCGTTCTCATTTATGGCCTGCCACGCAGCGTGGAGCAAGATCCTGTGTTCGAGGAGGAGGTATGCCGGGGCCGCTTTCCCGTTTGAATGACACGGTTGTCACGTTGATATGATCCAATCAGCAGGTAGCCAAGTCCTACTCGACAACCTCTCTTGAGCGCTCCACTGACGCTATGGTTGGGCGCATCAAGGAAAAAGCCACGTCGAGTTCTGCTTGGTCCGATGACGAAACTGGAGGTTGTTGCAAGACCTGTAGACGCCTGACAGCTCCAACAAGTCCAACGCTGCCGTGGCCAAACATCTGCAGGCAAGATTGTAACTCTAGTCCCTCCACTCGCAAGACCGAAACAAAACGTCTTCACGCCTGCTAGAAGAACGCACCAGGTTACACGATATCAATAACACCAAAGAACAACAGACCCGTCCGCCATGGGTGCTTCCGAAGGAAGCAGAAAGCCCCATGATGAGCTGCCCGACTCCAAAGTGTTGGATGAGGTCGGCGATGTTCTCATTAAGGACGAGGACGGGAAGGAACTCCCTTTGAAATCACTCTACATGGACAAGCCCGGAGATGAACGCCAGCTTCTTATCTTCGTCCGCCATTTCCACTGTAAGCAGATTCTGGATTGAGTTTGCCCCTACACATGTCCAGAACAAACATCCCACGTTCTTAGCCTACATTTTAAAAGACTTCAGGGGCTCCGGATTTCAAGGCATACCATGGCCACATTATGACCTACTCTTCGCTGTATCAGCATGTAGCTAATACCTTGTTCCTTTAATGGCTGACCCCGAATGCTGTAGGCGGTGTAGGTGCATGCTCACTGGCCCAAGCTACCGGACAATTTCAGAACTGACCTGGGCCCAACAGAGCTGCCAGCAGTACGTGGAGGCGCTCATGAAAGACCTGACGCCTGAGAAGCTGTCCAAAGCCAAAATCAGCCTCACGATCATCGGCAGCGGGGAGGCCATCTGCATCCCAGACTACGCCAAAGCCACTGGGTCCGCGTTCCCCATCTACACGGACCCGAGCGTGCAGACCTATAAGAAATTGGGAATGATCTCGTCCCTCCGGCCGGGGACCACGACGCCATCCTACCTCAAGAAGAGTACGCTGGACAATTTTGTGAGTTCAACGTGGGCATTAGCCACCTCCGGGCACATTCTTTCTGGCGGGCCTAAGGCGCAGAATGGGGGAGAGTGGCTGTTCCAGGGAGGGGAGCTGAAGTGGTTTCATAGGATGAGAAACTCGTCCGACCATACTGAGACGGAGGAGTTGAAGAAGGTACTAGGGTTGACTTGAGTACATGAATAGCTACCCCTTACATTTAGCTGCCCACTGGATCTAGAAAGGAAATGAAGCCAGAGTGTAACGGTACGAAAGTAAAGAAGTTGTGTCGTTAGGACGGTGCTCTCTGTGCGGCACGAGGCTCAAGTGCTGAGGCCACCTGTCCACAGACGTACTGTATTCTCTCTGCAATGTTATTGGTACTGTATTTCTTTTTTAAACGCTGGGTATTGAGCGTTTACCACTGTATGAAGGCGCCACATACATTTTATATGCATGGGGATTAACAACGAAACCACCTAGGACGGCGCTCATTGCCGGTGCTGAGGACTCACCGGCCACTGCCCATGTTTACGGAGGATGACCTCGGGACGGCGTTTCACTGCTTGCACGCCTGTTGCGGGTCCATATGTGCCGGGAGGAAATATTCCTCCCAGGATACCTGGGAAGAGTGAAATCTGGGACCTCACTTGGTGCTGTGGCTGTCACCCTTGCTGGCTACATCTATCGCTCGGAACTCGCCAGCAGGACAGTGTCAGTGGCTCCCACGGCTGAGAAATTTGGTAGAAACTAGTTGATGATCGCAGTCTACGTGTGACTCTGAGGCAGCAAAGCAGCTTGTCTCACAGAGGCTGAGCGAATGTGATGAGACGACGTGGCTCTGGGGCAAAATAAAGAGTGATACGAGTCACCTCTGATCCGGCCCACACCTCACTGTTGCTCAATGCCCTCATCAATGTGTAAACCCCTTGAGACCCCACCCCCAACACCTCAGCTCCAACACCAAGGCCAACTCGTTTCCTTTTGAAATCGATCAATTTCACACAACTATCACGCCTTGTGCTAGAATTCCAGCCACTGCTGTTGTAATGATGGCTGCTTGCGAGCAGGGTGAGGAGCCCTGGTTCGTAGAGCCTCTGGCCTAATAATTGACTGCCATCTTGCCCTTCTGCTAGAGTTCTGTACTTATGGCAGTTATGGTCGTGGTTACGATTGCTTCCTCTACATACTACTGACCTGCAGCCCTGCTAACTACACCCTTACCGACCTTTCTTACACTACGTCACAATGCCGCCGTGTAAGACTGCTAAGGAAGCTATCTGTAGAGGTACAGAAAGGAGTTTAATTAGAGATAGAAGGGGATTAATAATAATTCTATTATCCTTAAGCTTATAGCTAAGGCAAACATAGATTGTTAAACATAATTTATTTATCACAAGATATCTAGGTATCAAGTTTTAACGGCGGCATGTTCGACACTACCTAGGTATGTGGGCATATTGTAACTTCCGGGCATGGAATAATAAATCGGAATAAAGATCGTATTATATCCTCCCTGCCCGGCTGCCGTCGATCGGCATCGTGGATCGCTGCATCTCGGTTTAGCCAGCCGCCTGCTCGGCTCATAGCGCCGCTTGAGTGGGCAGCCGTGGGCATCGCGTGGGCTGGGAATGACGTACCCCCAAGGGCAGATGCGTGGGACTCCGATTCCACATTTCAACACTACTGCCCACCATCGTCACATGTGCATGTAGCGCCAATACGCCCGATCCCATGCTGCTTGTTGCTTAGCGCAATGGCAGGCAGGCCGGCCAGCTTGCAACAAATATGCACTCCTACTCACCGCCATGCCATGTCTTCTCCCCCTACATGTCTCGGCCTGCGAAACATTTCGTCCGGATTTGGAGTTCCTGCTGAACCGTGGGGATTGGACTTAAGAAGCTTTGTTTCGTTGCTTCATTTTCCTTGGCTGGGATTTTCGAAGAATCGGGGATCAATTCGAGTCTGCCGTTTGGAAGCAATATAGAAAGACACCAAACTCCCCTCCGATTCATCTCCCAGCTGCCAGCGGGTCACCAACGCCGTCATGCCGTCTATCGGGCTGTCCAAGACCCAAGAGGTCGTCCTCTTCAGCTCGACAGCCATTGCCCTGTATGGCTATGACCAGGGCATGATGTCTCTGATCAACACCAACGAGGACTACTTGCGGACCATGGGAATTGGCGCAGAGGACCCCATGGTGGGCATCCTGGTCGCTGTCTACTACCTGGGCTGCTCCCTCGGCGCGGTGCTCTTCTCCTGGCTGTCTGACAACTACGGCCGCAAGAAGGCCATCTTCGCCTGCCTGGCGACCGCGAGCCTGGGTAATCTGATCATGTTCGTCACCGGCCTGGGAGGATGGATGCAGAATGCCCTGCACATGTTCTGGGTCGGGCGTGTGGTGATGGGCTTGGGTGTCGGGGGGATCGACGCCGTCATTCCCGTCTTCAGCTCTGAGCTGAGCAGCGACGGTGCGAGGGGGAAGGCACTGGCCCAGGAGTTTCAAATGAACATCTTTGGGCTCAACATGGCCTTCGCCATCAACATCGCAGTAACCAATGCGCTGGGCAAGTCAAGCCAATGGGCTTGGCGGACTCCGATCGTGGTTATGCAGGCGTACCCAGTGCTTCTGTTCCTGGTCATCGGCAGGCTCCCGGAGAGCCCGAGATGGTTCATTTTCCATGGGAGGGAAAACGACGCAAAGGACGCTCTGGTCGATATCTACGGTGATGAGGAGGGCGAGGAGAAATCGAAGGAGTTGTTCGAGGCGCACGAGAAGGAGAAGGATGATGAAAAGGCGACATATATCAACATGCTGACTCCTGGAAAGCCTCTGTTTCACCCGACTGTCATCGTACTCATGGGTCAAGTGAACCAGGCCCTGACAGGATACGGTGCTGTCTCGGTGTACGGCCCTCAAATCTTTGAGGTAGGTCAGTCCTGTTGTGGTGGAATCTTGACTTCGGCTAACCACACGCACACAGCTCCTTGGATTCGGCGTCAAGATGGCGGAGTACATAACCCAAGCGAACTGTAAGCACGATTTTTCTCATCCACTGTTCCCTATGTATCGGGATGTGTTTGAACTCCACGGTGTACACCACTCTCAGAACAGCAGGCAGTAGACGACTGACACGAAATAGACATCAGTTATTTTGTACTGATGACCTTGGCCTGGATCTTGATCGACGCAGTCGGCCGCCGCAAGCTCCTCCTCGGCGGCAGCATGGCACTGACGACCTGCTTCGCCTTGCTCACGCTCTTCGGCGCGCTGGCCATGAACTCTCCCGCGGACGGCCTGGGCGCCCCCGCGATTCTCGGTACTGTCACCCTCTTCGTCGCCACGGGGGCCTTTGGGATCGGTTGGCTGGCGACGGTTTGGCTCATCCCGACTGAGATATACGCGACAACAGCAAGGGCCCAGGCTTCTGCGATATCCGTGATAGTGTGGGGGCTCGCCAACTTCGCCGTGACCCTTTTGAGTCCTATACTGTTCAACAACCTGAAATACTGGATATTTTTGATCTTTTCGGCGACGAATGCATTTGCTGGCATTTGGACTTATATCTACCTCCCCGAAAGCGGCGGACGAAGTTTCGAGGACAACCAGCAGTTCTTCATCGACGCAAAGGATCAAGGTACCTGGAGGGTATCCAAGGTTTCGGGTGGGGTGTATAAGAAGCTGGCGTACGGCGGTACGGTGGGCGAGAACGAGCCACTGCTTCAGAGACTGCAGGACCAGGTTCAGGAACTGTGAACACCAGGTTAAGTGTGGTTTTCGGTGGTCTATTCTTGATCTAAGATTTGTGTTGCGTATCTTCTTGTGGTAGAGCGAGAGCATAGCGGTGCGCATATATACTTCATGTTTCTGGTTTTGACAGATGGCCTTCCTTTGGTTCTTGTTCAGCGGCCAGCCCACCCTGCTCTGCCTGGCTTTCCTCCCCAGCACTCTCTGGAACCCCGTTCTTGGCTTGTGCTGACTTCGAGTTCCTGGCCATCTGCGGGAAGAAGATGCCTGGCGGGAAGCAGCTGAGCAGCCAGACGCATATCAACATCATGAAGGAGTCGAGAACCGCAAAGGAGGGCTCGTCTTGCATGATCTCATTGCCCCACCCGCCAGCCATCTCGGCAACTCTGGGAGAGATGTTTAGTACATCAGGCTGCAAGCCGTTCCAAACATGGGCTGGATAGGGGCGGCTTACCGGTAAATACACCGAACCTGAACGCAAAGGTACGCTCCAAGCACAGCGTAGCAGAAGGTCCGAACCTTTTTGTCGTTCCAAAGCGCAAGCGCGGCAGGAGTCACGTCGGCGCTGTGCACCCACTTCTTGGCCCTGAAATAGTAGTCGGCGCACATGCTTCCGAAAGCCACCAGCACCACGACCTGGAGCGCAATGCCCGCGATGATGGCCTGGTTCCCGGCGTTGACCAGCTTCCGGTTCTGACTACCCCCGCTGGCAGCCAGCGCACCACCGATGGCCTGGACCAGGAGGCAGCTCACGTCGGCGGGCACGAAGATGAATGGGAGCCACTTTGGCCTGACACGAGAGAGGGATGGGTTCAGCGCGGTGGTGAGGTGTTTGAGCGTCAGGTATATCGAGATGCAGGTCAAGGTGGGAGCCAGAACGATGGCACATATCTCGGTCTGAAAGGCTTGCTGGTTCCATGGGTTGTCTGCGAGTGGCACTCGAGCAGCGTAGCCTATTCCAGTCTCGTGTCAGTAAGGTCTCTCTCCCCTGACTGTCCCACCGAGAAAGGACACAGGCATTAAAGAGCAGCCTAAAGTGGTTGCATCGTTGCCTGCTCCTGACGACGACTGGGAGTTGATTTCCGAGGTTCGAGGGACGGTTCTTGACAGTCGTGGCCACATCATCGACTATATACGCATGTAAAAGAGGCACGCACCAGCTACTTCGAGTGCACACCCGGCTACTATAAAGCCTGTGAATGCATACGTCTTCTTCCAGATGCCAATCACCAGTTGGATAACCAAGGCCAAGGCGAAAGCAGCGGCGCAGAAAATATTGAGAGGCTTGTTCGGGTAGTAACCAAGTGTTGTGTATTCCACCGGGCACAACGGGCTGACTTCTGTACACCTGGGCGCCATATCGAACAAGAGACACCCTCTGTGTAGCGGGCGGCGCTGATAGGTGTCGTACTGGGCAGCGCGTTGGCGGCTTGGATCGAAGGTTCGTACACCACCAGGGAAAAGGAAGACAGCCGGAAGAATCGAAATCGCGCTTCGAACAAGCAGAAACACAAGACAAAAAGATAACATTTGCAAATAGGGCGATACGCCCTATTTAGGTATAAGCAAGGCCCAGACCGTTGAAGGAGAAAAACGGGGACTCGAATGCGGCGACCTCAAGGGTGTGTCGCGTAAGCCACAACACACCCACGCTAGACAGCATCCTGCCAACCAGACAACCAGACGGCACGATAGACTTACTGACCGGGCCCGAAGGATCATTACTCATTGAGAGTGCCTGTCAGCCGGTGCGTGGCCAAGGGAGAAACGTAGCATCGCGCCAGCAGCCGGCGACCTGGGCAGCTGCTGGGCTGCTTTGGTGCCATGCTGTGCTCCCATTGCCTGTCAAGTCAGATTCCGGATTGGGCCGACATGGAGAGCAGCAGGCCGTGGTGATAGTCCTGGCATGGCCTCCCGGACCAGAACACACGTGGATCACCGTGTTGTTCCACTTGTCGAGAACAAACTAGCCAACAACGTGCTGTTGAAGGCCGTTACAGGCGTGCGAACAGACAGTCTGGCCGGCAGAAATTATTCCAGGCGCAGCCGAATCGGGTAACCAGCGCGGGTGGGATGCCGAGGGATGCCCAAGAAACGGGCGCTACAAAGGTGGGTTGGCACTCCCGGAGCAGCTGTGCTCCGGCCTGGCTTTGTGCAAGCCGTGCCGGGAATTGTGCAAGTTGCACCCGCTGGACCTATGCTCGGTCATTGCCTACCAGCAACATGAAAATACATTGTCTTAATTTTTCCTAGTTTAGTCGCTACGTAATCTGCAAGCAGCGGACTCTCAGAGTACTATGTAGTATGCACTGGGTATTGACAGCATGTCGGTACTTTTACAAGACTACAGACTGACTCGCCGGACACAGCACAATTTCTTCTCACCAGTTCATAGTTCACAGCTGGCTTGCTTGTTAGTCGCCAATCAACAAACCCCAGACTTTCTTTACTGGCAGAACCGCGACACAATCATGGAAAATGGTCTTTTATTTTGGAGCACGCGCTCGTCTTACGACTCCTTCCCGCCGAGCCATCTATAGACAACACTAAAGTCCCGGCCCTTGCAAGCCTCGTCCTTCTCGGCCGCCTCATAAAGCTCCCTCGCCGGCCCGGCCAGCTCGAGCCTCGCCCCGGCCTCGTCCGCCGCGACCATGGCGAGCCTCAGGTCCTTGCGCATCAGCGAGATGCCGAACCCGCCGGCGTAGTCCCTGCCCGCGGGGGCCTTGTCCACGACGCCCTTGACGGGGTTGTTGACCTCGCTGGGCCAGCACCGGCCCGTGCTGACGTTGATCACGCCCGCCAGCACCTTCGGGTCAAGCCCCCAGCGCATGCCCAGGTTCATCGCCTCGGCCGTCGCGATGTTGTTGATGGCCAGCAGGTAGTTGTTGGCCAGCTTGGCCGACAGGCCCGTCCCCTGCTTGCCGCAGTGGAGCACGTTCTTGCCCATCCGCCGCAGGACCGGCTCTACCCTGGGCACGACTTCCGCCGGCGCCCCGAGCATGAACGTCAGCGTGCCTCCGGCTGCCCCGACGATCCCTCCCGACATCGGCGCGTCGACAAAGTGTGCTTTCCCGCCGGGGAATGCCTCTGCGACCTTCCGGGCTACCTCTTGTGACGATGACGGGTCAATGGTGGAGCAGTCTATGAAGAGGCGCGGGCTAGGCCGTGGGCTTGGGTTCGCCTCCAGGATGGAGGCATACACGGCCTTGACGTGACTGGGCTCGGGCAGTGCTGTGATGGTGACATCCTGTGACAACCGCTTCATTAGCTCTCCTGCTGGCCACTGCGGGTCGGGTTTGAGTTGCTCAAGGAAGGGGTTGTGTGTGCCTATGTCAGAGGATTGGCTTTGTATGTATGAATAATCACGGGAGGGCCAGCAAGCTGACCCCAACTTAGATCATATATGGGATCATTGGTCTCATCATTTAGGACGGCGGCAGGGAAGTGCGTCAGAGGCGACACAGAGATCAGACTTACAGCTTCCATGGAGGCATCTGCTGCGCTGTCGGCCAGCGCAACAGATGCTCCCCCGGCCTGCGAGGCTGCCATTTCCCCGGCAAGCCTCTGGGCGGCCTCACGGTTGATGTCGAATATCTTCAGACGGTCACCTGGGGGAAGTTTGGCTTGGAGGTTCTTAGCCATTTGGAATCCCTGGTAGTGGTAAGCTCAAGTCAATCACGGTTCGCGGTGTGCGGCCGGGTCGAGCGGGACGTACTCACCATCTGGCCCAAGCCGATGAAGGCATAGTTGTCCAGCCTGCGAGGCGACGAAGAGAAGTGTCGCCTCTGCAGGCGGAGCTGCTTCCATGTTGTAGACACAGGGCGCATGGTGACTGTGTGTTAGCTGGCAGAATTGGAGAGGCGGCGCTCAATAAGCAGGAGTGCCCGAGACACGGCTTGCTCTTCTCTCTGAGAGCTTGACGTTTGCCGGCATCCTGGGCAGAGGGGCACAGTAGTGGTGGACAAGATCGTCCCTGCCCACGAAAGCCGCCCATTGCCGAGCTTCTCCAACCTCGGCGGATTGGGGCACGAGAGGGAACCCCCTCAACCCCTTTACCGGCCATGGTAAGCCGCCTCACCTCGGCCGGCCACTTACCTCGGAATCGACCACGGTGGATTGATTGTTTATGGTGGTAACGATGACCCTGTGGTCTCCAAGAACTCATGACTTTGAGCGCTGAGCGGTCATTGAGAGACCTGCGACATCCTCAACACAAACTGGTTGCGGAAGCAGCTTGCTTGTCCAGTGTTTGAAGGGGGGGGAAAGCAGAGTAAAATATTATTTGGTGCGAGTGCAACCAAAAATACAGGTTAGCCTCATTTGGAGCGGTCACCGGCGGCAGATTGACCTAGATTGACCTGACCCCGATACGGACGGACCCAGCTCCTCACAATTGGACGCGGCATCGTTTGAAGTAACTACGGCGGCAGCCACCTCCCATAGAACCAACTACCTAGGTACCCACGTACCCAACATACTGTGTACGCACACGAGACCGATTGATAAAATGGTTTGATTCCAGGCCAAAGTGTACACAAGTTACAAAAATCCGTTTTCTCTCAGCTCCTCTGGCTAGATAATCGTTGAAACGAACGAGATCCGCAGCGAGGGCGAGGCGCAACCGAAATGCTGTATGAAGCAGGTCCCGTTAAAACAATGATACTTCACCGGACCTTGAGAGAATATACCTGCAGGCGAAGAAATGTCCGACCACCCAAACTCCGCAGTCCAAGCCGAAAAGCAAAGAAATCTCGTCCTTTCAGGGGCCTGTTCTTTGTCCAAACACCGCGCCGTTTCCTACATCATACACGGCCCCGCCCGTTCTTGAATAATGCTCAATCTCACAGGAAGTTCATTGCGTAGGGGATCAGAGCTCTGTTCACATTGTTAGCAGGTGGCCCTGTGAGCTTGGTCAGGCCTCCCCGGGCTGTGTGCACTTACCCAGCTGCCAGCGTAAAGGTGATGCCCATCAATGCGCGCCTCTTCACCTTGTTCTTGCGCAGCTCGACCTCGGTCTTGGCCTTCTTTGCCCTCGGGCGAAGGTCGACATTCGTTTCCCCGGCTGCGCCATCCTCCTCCATGTCTGCCTCGTAGTCCTCCGCCTTCCTCTTGCCCTTGGCAGTTTTGGAGGAAGTCTCGGCGATGTCTGCTTCGGCGCTGGCCACCATTGCCTTCGCCTCCTCGATCATCCGAGCCGCGTCGTCCGCGCTCGGAGGGGCTCCAGCGGTGAAGGGCATCTTGAGGTCGACCTTGGTGCGCTCGACTTCGGTGCCGTTTTCCTCGACCTTGACGTCTTGTTCAATGGTCACCTTCACCTTGGGCTCCTCCTGGACGGTCTCGAGTGTCCCCGTTAGTCCCTTGTCGACGTGCTCGACCTTGAGCTCCTCAACCTTGAGCGCCTCGCTAGGGGCGAGCACTGGGATGTCACCATTAGTGAGAGAAGTCTTCCTGCTGGTGCTTGGTGTCTCGCTGGACTCAGGCTGCGCAGATGTTGTTCTGGTGGACCGCTTGCGCGGGCTCGCAGCGACGTTGCGGCGGCTGGAGGGCCCCTTGGTCGGGCTGGCGGATCGGCGGCTGCGCGTGCTGCGCATCGAGGTCGGCGTCGGTGGCACGAGAGTGGTGGCGGACGCGGTAGGGATGTACTTCGGGGGGGCGTTAATCCGCTTCGGTGGGCTGTTCTCGGACGCGTTCGATACCACAATGTCGGCGGGGTCCAACAGGGCACGGATCCAAGGCCCGATTCCGTACTCGTCAGCGAGGCTGAGGGCAGACTCTGGAGGAATCCACACGTTGCCGGCAGTCTCTTCGGGACTAGTAGTCGACAGAGACTTGATGTACCGGCGCTCGGCCTCTTCCTCCTCAGCCAGAGCATACGGGAAGCTGGCCTTGAACATTCCGGTGGCGGACACAAAACCGTCGTTGCTTCGGCGCATCAAGAAGTAGCTGTTTGGGCTCGACTTGAAGATGCCGGAAACGATGCCTTTGGGCAGGGGGGCGCGCAGGTGCGCGTAGTCGAAGACACCGAGGTTGGAGGGGTCGACTTGGGCGCCGGGTAGCGCGGCGACCATCTTGGCCGTCAGCTGGGTCTGGCCGAGGCGGCGCCTTGAGACAAGGTCAGTGTCTGCAGGGGACTGGTCAGCTTCTCTTGCGGTCTAGCCGTCGGCGTCAAGCACGCGAGGTCTCGTACAGTTTGGCACGTCCGCGGTCATGAAGGGGTTGCGCTTCTGCGGCAACTGCCTCGCGATGGTCGGCGCCATGATGGATGCGCTTTATGTGCAAACTTGATAGACAGGATGAGGTATCGCAGGCCGCCAGGGAGAGTGACGACCAGGCCGGTGGACAAGGTCAGGTCGGCGATGGGAGGGAATCGACGACTCTGCCAGCTTGGGTGTTGAGTTTGGACGGAAGGGCGATGCGACACTAGCGAGCTCGCAGCAGATTATTGTCGACACCTGGCTGCACAAATCGAGTCAGCGCGTGCACTTGATGCAGCCTATGTGGCACGGCCAAGGAGCTCGGACCCCCCTCACTGACCTGCTTCTGCGCGATTGATAATAAACGCAGCCTGAGGCCAATTCGCAATTCGGTGGGCAAAGACGAAGGCCGCCCTCACTCAAGATTGTGCGCCGAAGGCCGTTTACGCGCTACTTTTTGGGTGGAGCGGGAACGAAAAGAAGGGACGGGGCACGGGGGCAACGAAAGGGGGTCTTCGCACGAGAGGCGGGGCGGTCAGTCGGTCGTTGGTCCGGTCTGGTCTGTTCTGTTCTGTGCAAGGTTGATGAAATCTAATGACTGTGCTGTAGACAGTGTATGATTTATTGAAGGAAAGCTCCAACAAATAAGTTATCGTCAAGCAGAGGATGTGTGCGATCGACGGGTAAATAATCGTTGTTGCTGGTAATAAGCAGTCTGGATGGTTCGGATCGAAAGCGACGGCGTGGGGGGGGTGGATGTGATGAAGAAGCTGGAGTATCCGAGCAACTAACCAGTGGTACTGTGTAATAAGATGAGGTGCATGAGCTGGGGGGGGTCAAGACGGGGTCTGGTGCTTGTGACTCTCGGGTGCTGGGGCCTGGGGCAGTGACAGAGTGGGTGAGGAGACGTTGTGGGAGAGCACAAGGAGGAAAGGGGCTCGAGTGGGTCGGGGCACTGTTAAGGTCGCGATGCCCTTCCACAGCCAGCTTCACGTGGTGTTCTCACAGCTGCCTAACATGGGGCCTACGGCCTGGATCTCAATGTAACGCTTCCTTTCTGGAAGCCCAATTTTGCCGAGTGGGACCCGGACCCCAAAGCGGGAGCTGTCGGCCGGATACTGACAGGCAGCTCTGGAACTGCCCAGGTGGTTTGCTAGTGATAGTCGCGACCGCCTCGTGGGCACAAAGCATCTAACCAATCAGTCGATGTGCCCCCCCCCCCCCCGAGTCTGTTGGATAAGGACTCGCGGGAGTATGCGCAGGTGCCGGGTGGCAGCACAATCGACTTGCTAGACAGGCTGACAGGTTGACAGGGGCACAAGCTCACTCAAGCTCAAGCTTCGAACCATGCGATCACCCTCCCATATATGATGGTCAAGCCATCCCGGGCCGGTAGCTCTAACTTACACCATAACTACCACAGTATAGTGTAGTATGGCGGTTCAAGCTCATATCCTTGCCCCCCGCTCCCGCCATAGGTGGTCTACGCTACACTAACCACATCAGCCATGCCATGCCATGCCTTGCCATGCCCTGCCATGTCCTGCCCTTCCAGGAACAGCCTGACAGGTGTTCACGAGCCCAACAACCGTCCTTGGTGCACTAGTATGTGCATGAACTATTGACATCAGAATCTCGGGTACTCGTAATCTGATCTGGTCTGATTCCAAGCAACACCTTGGGGCAGCGGCCGCAGTCGGGCGCATCAGCGCGAGCGAGGAGCGGCAACTTTCACCGCCATGATGCGCAACTAGGTCCATGTGCCTCTGCTCAAGTGGCACTACTACTATGACATGGCCGCAGGAGGAGGAGCCCAGTTGGGCCTATTCTTGGCTGATGGATCAGAGCTTGTCACCGTCGGCAGGGAGCGGGCACGGAGCAGCCAGACCGTACTTGTGTGTGAGGAAGCTTGAGCCTGCGTGGTGGCTGTGGCCAGGTTGGCCTGCTTGGTTGGTCGAGTGTGTTCTCAGTACTGTGTTCCAGAACACATGCAGCAGCGAGGCCAGGTCCGGTCGCTCCAGTCATGCATCTCCCCTGGCCACACAAGACCGACCCCACCATGGGCCCGGGTGCTGGCCCGCTCTTTGTGCCCCTCATCAGGCTGGCTGGCCGCTGGCAATAAATACATGTGTGTTGAACTGTCCGCCTCATTGTCACTAACGGTTGATGGTCCTCACCGTATTCGACACACCTACCCTGACCGTCCCCCCTTCCAACAAGCTCTTCGTGACCTCACGATCCCGATTCGAGATCCCAACACTCCCACTCCTTGGACACCACCCAGCCGCCAACATGGCCTCCCACCATGACGAAGACACGATGCCCGAGGAGACCCAGGGCTACAAGCTGTCCCAGCCCAAGCAGAGCTTAGCTGAATATCAACAGATGGGTATGTCGATCAGCACGGCCCAAACCTCCAGCCCACAAAGGAGACACGGTCCATGAACACCACAAGAGCTTCTGCAAACAAGTCCGTCTCCAATGGCTGCATCTCATACTCTGGTGACGAGAAGAAGCAAGTGCTTTGTAGTATGCTATTTGGGGGGCCCGGCCTGGTTCTCAGCATCCCACCCGCCAACTCAACCCACAACTTGAGGCTCCACCAACCCATGACGAAGCCATCTTCGTCTTGGCCCCCCCCTCCATCCCGCTCAATGGCGATGGTTTCCCCCAGAACTCGCATTGGGATCATCTTGGGATTTCCCCCTCTCCCCATGGGCACCGTCTCGTGGTCCCTAGCGAGAACACATCTCCCCTTTACCTGCAGAGCCCCCAAGCCCCGCCTCCTTTCCTCGCCAGGGTATGAGAACGCAGTAACCAGGGCTCGCGCCTCCTCATGACCCCTCAACACCAAATGCGGGATGTCAAGCACTACTTGGCCGTTGTCCAGGACAAAGAGCACTCGTCCCCTCCGAGTTGACCCCGCAATGATCACTAACAACTGCCTTTCCGCGCCCACACAGACTCAAATGACGAGTCCCTCCAACGCTACAAGGAGTCTCTCGGCCTCACCGGCGGCAACGACCTCTCCGACCCCAACGACCCGCGAGTCTGCATCATCCAGTCCCTGACCATGGACTCGCCCGGCCGCTCCCCAGTCACCATCGACCTCTCCACCGCCGGCAGCGAGAACACCCTCAAGGACAAGCCCTTCAAGATCAAGGAGGGCGCAAAGTTCACCATGTCCGCCACCTTCCGCGTCCAGCATGAGATCCTGAGCGGCCTGCACTACGTCCAGATCGTCAAGCGCAAGGGCGTCAGGGTGTCCAAGGACAGCGAGATGATTGTGAGTCACCCCCCGCGGAACGCGACCGCACTGGTACTGACCGGGCATAGGGCTCTTATGCTCCCAACACGGACAAGCAGCCTTTGTACACCAAGAAATGTAGGTCATCGACGCCACGAGTTTCCTTTTTATCGTCCGAGACCCAGGGCTGACAGGTCACAGTCAACGAGGAAGAGGCGCCCTCCGGCATGCTGGCCCGTGGCCACTACAACGCCGTCTCCTCCTTTGTCGATGACGACAAGAAGGAGCACCTGAAATTCGAGTGGTCCTTCGACATCTCCAAGGATTGGGAGTAGGCGGCGCAGAGGAGGATTGTTTAGCTTAGTCTGCTCTCGTGCGACCGACCGCGACCCGCGACCCCCGGCCTGGCTCCCTCTTGCCACAGGGGCGAGAAGCCATCTATCTGGGCGGGGGACTACGAACGTTGAATCAGCCCAGAGTGGACTTGTGCCAGTGAATGAGCGTTGAAGAAAAGAGAGCTTTGGATCTGGGAAAGACGGGCTGGCTTGACGTGGAGTGACGACGCCCATCCATCCGGTCCACTTTCTGATCAACCACTCGCCTTGTTTTATTTATGTCTTTTTTCCTGCTTACTCAGAAGCACTCGACCAAACTCAGACACTATTGCACGAACCACGTGCAAGGGGGAGAACAAGAAAAGCGCAGAGAATCCGGGTTCCAGAATTGATCGTTATTTATGACACCCGGCCCTCCGTAGTCTATGTTTCTTGACCTTTATTTAATGCATGAGTCCTTGATCATAAAAGCCCCGTTCTCTGAAACACGCGAGTATTCCCAGGGCTGGTTGCAGCAGCTATCCAGTAATATAACTTTCCCCACTGGCTTTTTCCTGCTTCCCCCTTTACAAGAAGTAGTCAGGCAGGGCGTTCCCGTCTGGGCCCTTGTCGGCCGCCTGCTGCTGCATGTCCTTGTGCAGATCGTTCTCGGGCGCCGCGGCAAACACATTAAAGAACCGCTCGCCCGTGTCGCTGACCTCGAGGACGCTCGCCATGTTGCCACACCGGTAGCAGTAGTTGGGGGCGCTCCACACCGTGCTCAGCCGGTCGTCGTACAGCACCTGGAAGCCCTCCTGGCACAGCTGGTGCGCCCGCAGGATGTGGCTCATGTTGTTGACGGAGAGGAACTTCTTGACCACCTGCGCGCCAAAGGTGTAGCCGGCGCCGCGGGGCGAGAGGGAGAACTCGTCACGTTCGGGATCTGGGTCGGACCAGACCAGGTCGGCCATGGGGCCCTCGTGGGGGATCTCGCGGAAGCGATCGATGATTTTGATTTGGTCGATGGAGTGGATGGAGGGAGACAGCCCTGGGGGATCCGATCACATGTCAGCAATGATCTCTGGCAGGCGGGACACGGGGGGTTGATTTCTTGTGGACGGCGACTGACCTCCGTGTACACAAAAGATCTGGTCGTTTATCACAACGCTGAGCGTCAAAAAGTCAAACATGTCTGTAAAGTAATGCCAGACATTGGCATTGCCATATTTCCTCGAGCACTCCGTGTAGAACCCATAGGACTGCGTCACGCCGCGCGACTCGTGGTTGCCTCGTATCAAATGCACTCGGTTGGGGTATCTTAATTTCAAACAGACAAGAAGGGAAATAGTTTCGACGCTGAACATGCCGCGGTCAACATAGTCGCCTGTTTACGAAAGCCAGGACTTTGTCAGCAGGGTGCACAGGCGGGCAGTTTGGGGAGCCAGGGGGGGGGGGAAGGCAAGAGACGGCCAGGCCAGTGCTGCAGGCGTTGCCCCCGTGTCTCGCACGGCCGGGCCCAGGGGCATGCGCACCTAGGAACAGGTAGTTGGTATCGGGGCACCAGCCTCCTATCTTGAATATCTCGATGAGGTCGAAGAACTGCCCGTGTATGTCGCCGACGACGGTGACGGGGGCGCGCACGTGGACGACGTTGCTCTCGCGCATGAGCAGCTCCTTGGTCTTGGCGCATATTGCCTCGATGACTGACTCGGCGAGGAGCTCCTTCTTGTAGAGGCGCGATATGCATTCGTCCAAGTCGACTGACGCCGGCAGGCCGGGCATGGTGGTGGTCGGCTATGTGCAGCCGGCCAGGATGTTGAGGGCTGCGCGGGCGGGGATGTGGCCGTGGCGTGCGGAGGTGGGAAGAGGCGATATAGACAGAGGGCGCGTGGGGCGCGTGGAGGGGGGCTTCGTTCTGCAGAGGAAGGAACGAGGGGGTGAGCAAGATGTTCAGCAGGCTAGTTCAGCAGGCTACCTCGGGGTTGTTCTGCTGCCGTTGCTGGGACGTGAAGTTGGGTGTGGTGGACTTCTCCCGGCAAAGAAGGTCGACGCGATGGTTGAAGCGGTTGACCGAAGAACCAACATGATCGTGAGAGGGAAACGGCGGGCGGACGGGAATCGAATCGAAGCTCTCACACTGGACAGATGGAGCGCCGTCTCGATCAAAAGGCCTGGGCAGTGGACAAAGGCATTGGGAGGCGAGTCTGGCGGGTTTGAGGGGCTCAGTTGAAGCAGTTGAGCCGCGGGCTGGAACTGTCAAGGTCAAGAGATCCTTCCAGATATCCCACCAACAACAGCTCTGGCAGACGAAGCTCGAGGGGTCGGTCGGTCGGTCTAACACTGCCACCGCGGCCGTCACAAACCCTGGGACTTGGCTCCGTAATCAGAAAGTAGCCGGCCGGCCTGGGCTCGTCATTGGCCGGCCCCCATCCAAGGGAACCTTAGGTAGGGAGCCCTGGGGAGCCCTGTGCCTCAGGCCACAAGTCGGGCCCCAGGTTGCTTTAAAACCAGCCCTCGCCCTCTCGCTCCTGGCCATGGTCCCACGCCCTTTCGTCGTCATTTGTTCATTTCACACTCTCTCTGCAGGCAGCACCTGCTGTCGCCGTTCTCCCCTGGTGTGTGGCCGTCCCGGGTCTCGCTGGTTGACGAGTGCCCCGCCCTTGATGACCGTGCCGGACGAGGCTCTGTGGTCTCAGAGCCGCCGGTCTGATTTCATTTCAATCAAGTCGGCTCTGTCACAGCCGAAAAGCAGAGGCGGTATCGGGCCTTCCACTCCACGGCGGACTGGTTTTCCTTTGTTCTGCTACCGGGCAGTTGTGGGTTCAGGTGGTCGTTGCCGGCGGCCTTGGGGTCGAGATTGAGGCAGCTCCGCCGCCCTTCTTCCAAGGCCCGCTCGCTCGTCATCACTCCATCCCTTTGGCCAGTCTGGCTGTTTGTTCGGGACCGATCCGCGTCTCAAGTTCAAGTTCTCAGAGCCACCACCTTCGCCTGACGTCCGGCTTGGTCTGTCGTTGGACGTGGGCGACTTTTTCTATTCCCGAGCGCTGTGTCCGTCCTGCTCTGCACACACTTGACCTGGCAGGCTCATGAGGGGGCATCCAGAGACGATGGCCGGGTCATTGCAGTGTTCTTGGGTGGGAAGTCTACGAGTGCCTCCGTGTTGGCCTCACCGGGCCACATGGCACGTCTGCGCCTTTCACATCTTGGAGTCTGCTACAGCCTGCCTGCCCATGTCAGAAGCAGAGAACTCCCCGTACTGCATTGCACGCATTGCATTGTTCCCAGTTGCCTTGCTCCAATGTCATCGAGTCTGGTCTGTCAGTTTGGCATTCAGTCTTCTGCGGTGGCTTCGGTTTTCCGAGCCAGTCGTTGACCTTTTCCTTTTTCCTTTTCACATATGGTCTTTTCCTACTTCTTGAAACGCCAATATAGACACTAGAGCATCTATGCGAGAGCTAGAGGCCGACAAAAAGTATTGACTGGGCACATGTCATACGGAATTGGCATCTAGGCAGAGCGCATCCAACAAGGCACAGAGACAATAGTGACCGGTACTCCGTATCTGCTGCATGACTGACTGGACTGCTCACTCACTCACTCACAGCGGGGAATGTGTCGGGCCGACGTGTCGGCGGGAGCAGCGCAGAACAAACCAAACCAAACCAATAGAGCAGCATCAGACGCGGGAGGCAACGAGGCAGGCACACGGTAGAGACAGGCAGGCAGGCAGGCAGGCAGGCAGGCAGGCAGGTAGGTAGGTCAGGGGGCGCGGGGCTGGGCTGAAGCGAGCAAGCGACTGACTGACTGACTGACTGACTGACTGGCTTGACTTTGGCTGAGCTGAACGGGTGAGTGAGCGGGTGAGTGAGTGCCATGCCAGCGTTGGATGGAACCTTGCCTTTCCGAGCCGGTCAGTCAGCTCGACCCGTCCTTTCCCCAACCCAAACCCAAACCCAGACCCAGACCCAGACCCAACCACCGCCACTCACGGGACACCACTCGAGTGAGCTGCAAATATTCCATGCGATACCTCTTTGCCCCCCGTCGCGACTAGTTTGTCTGTTCTCTGATCTGTAATCCTTCCTCATTCTGCCATCTATCTACCCTGGAGTGCCAGCTCCGGGTGGGCTCAACGGGAGAGAGAGAGAGAGAGACAGAGCAGGCAAGCGGATCGTACCAGAGCAGACCCAGGTCTGCGCACGGTCGGCGCCTGGTCACTGTTTGATCCTCGGCTGGCGGCGCATGCCTTTCTTTGCCGCGAACCCTCAACATCGCCAACATCGCACCGTACCGCACCGCACCGAATTGCACGGCACCGAATCACACGGCACCGCACCGTTCCGCAGTCCTCCCCCGTCCCCCGGCTCTCCTCCCGACCGGGACTGTCTTCTGGCGTCTTTTCCTTGTGCTGCCCACCACTCCCGGGGGTTCCAGTGCGACGGTGGCGTCGCCTGCCCAGCGTCTTACCCAGCGGTCCGTCGCTTGTCAGCTTGAGCAAAACCTCTCCACAGCTGATTGCGGCTTCTGCTGCTCCCCATCCTGCGCTCCAACAGGGTCCACTTCGATGCTTGACGCCCTCCCCGTCCACTCTCATTGATCCCTCTCCTCGCGCATTGGGTGCGGTCCACTGCTCTCGCATGCTGGGTACTATAACCGGTCCCGACGCCATTTCAGTCGTCTCTCCCGTCTCAGCCCCGCGGCGCTCCTCTCCTCACGTTTCCTCACCCATGTCGGCGCAACATGGGCGATCGTCCGCCAGGTTTTGATACCCCAAAGGCAGAAGGGGGCTGCTTCAATTGCGGCAGCCAACTTCATTTTGCCTATGCATGTCCTGAGCCGACACGCAAGGAGCCACAGTAGGTTGAAATCTCCTTCGTCCGGCCCCAGCGCCACACGGGCCGCCGTTGCTGCCATCAACAGCCGCCCGCCCCTGTCTCCCGCACGGCTAACGGTCGATGCAGTGGCGCAGAGGTCTTCCGCCAGCGACAAGCGGCCAAGAGCATGCACAGTCACGGTGGACAAGGCTCCCCGAACAACCGGTCTAAGGGGCTGGTCATCACTCGATATGGCCCACCTCCATCTCAATATCCTCCTCCTCCCGCCCCGCAGAACCCATGGGGGCCTCCTGGCGGCCCTTATCCTCCCCCAGCGCAACCACCCAGCGCATACACACAGCAGCCGCCTGCACCTTACCCTCCGCCAACCCACGGCGCGCCGGCTTACCCACCTCCGTATCAAAACGTGAATCCGCCACCCGGCGTCTACGGGCCTCCGGTTCCTCCTCCTCCCCCGGCTCCCGCCCCGGGCTATGGACAATACGGGCAACCTTCCTACCCTCCACCTGCCCCTCCACAGTCATATGCTCCTCCGGGACCGTACGGGCCACCCTCTTACGCGCCTCCCTACCAGCCGCCAAATCCAGCGTATAATGGTGCGCCGCCTCCCAGCTTCCCCGGACCACCACCTCCACCAGCACCGCCTCCGGCTACCTATCCGCCACCCTACAGTAATTCTGCTCCCCCAGGTCCACCACCGCCGGGTCTCCTGCCAGGGATTTCTCCAAGTCTTCCCCCGCCTCCTCCCTCAATTTCATACCCGCCGACCCCCTACTCATCGGGCTACGAGCCTCAAGCACCGTACCCAGCCCCATACCCTCCGCCGCCAAGTCAGAGTTGGCAGCAGGGCTCTTCAGGTCAGAACCATTCGCGCCATCGAGACCACCGAGATCGTCGCAACGACCGTGACAAAGGCGGCAGGAACAAGCAGTCCGGCCGGGGTAACGACAGACACCACCGCGGCCGTGATCGTCGACACCAAGGGCCTGGCACGCGCTCCTCGTCCCATTCTCGCCAGCGAACGCCCAGACCTGAAAGCGAAAAGAAGGATGACAGCGTGAGATCGACCCCCAGGGTTGAAGAGGTGAAGCCCGACGGAAAGGACTCGGAGGTTGATGATGAGTTCTCCTGGGACCTGGAAAAGGCGTTCGTTGAGCTGGACACAAAGCCAGGCGACCCTGTTGGAAAGCCCCTCGCAGCAGACTGGAGCGACGAGCCAACAATACCTCCAGCGTATAACGCCAAATGCGTCAAGTCGGCATTTTGTGACCCACAAAATCCAGAATCCTTCACGCTATCAGTACGGGAGTCGAAGCAGTGGACTCAAGTCAGACGGGATCCCGTATTTCGGTATCGGCGTGATATGGTCGTCATCCGCTTTCCTGGGTCAAGCCACGAGTATTTCACGTATCATTTCTCTCGGAAGCTCGACTCTGGGTCTTTGGATGGCAGAGAGGTTGTTGCGCTGGGCCCTAGCGACTCGAGCTTAAATGATGTCGTCAGGCCTGCTGAAAGTCCTTCCAAAGACGCGCAACCCATCCCCAGCTCGAGTAGTGGCAAGCGAGGCCACGAGCATCCGGATGGAAACGCGAGGGACGTCAAGCGTCTCAAGGTCCAACCGGAGAGGATTGTGCACAGTCTACCACCACGACCGATGTCGCCGCGCCCCCAATCACACTCACCAGCACATGGGTCGAACATTAACGTCAGGGTCGAACCTTGGTCCCCACGGCCGGACGAGGCGGGACGGCCTGATTCCAGAGGCCGGTACTCCCGGTCGCCGAGTGGGTATCCAAAAGGAAACTCCAACAGCAAAGGCCATTTCACCCCGCGTGATTCAGCGCAGCGCTACGACTCGGGATACCAGAGCGCGCACTCCGGCGACAGGAGTAAGCCCTACCGAGAGAGGAGCCACAGCAGGCGTCTCTCCCCGCCGCCATCGCGCCGAGGTCGCGACGAGCGTGGCCCGAGCAGTGACCGAAGCCGCGACGAACCGACCCCGCGTAAATGGTCTCCGTCATATGCCAAGGCACGAGGGCGGTCACGTTCGCCCACGCCGATTGCAGCCACAAGCGATACCGAGTCCGCGGATCTGTCGGATCTAGAGTATGAGCTTCTGGGTATGGAACGACCCGAGAAGAAAAAGAAGAAGGCTGTGCCGAGCAAATCGACAGGGAAGAGAAGGCAGGTCAAGATGAACGACGCCTTTGGGTAAGTCTTAAATCCCCGTCTCCGTCCCGACAAACATTAAGGATGGTCTGGTTCAGCTTACTAACTGCACCATCATAGTCGTCGTTGGTGACACCAAGAGCCATAACTAAAGCAGGCACATCTCTCGTCTTGATTTTTTGGGGGGCTTTCCTGGCTCGCCATCCATCACCAGGCATTGCAACTTTGCCTTATATGCGTGCATAACATGTGAATTTTCACAATAGCGGCGGCGTTGGACGGCTGCGGTTAATACTCTGCATTTAGGAACGCAGGTGCACGGAAGGGTACAAGCAAACGGGACGGTCACAAAGCATGTACAAGCATACGCATTACTTGCAGATAGCGAGGAGTGGCGCATTCGACATTCTGAACCGCTTCACTTTGAGACATCATCTACTCAGCGTTTTCTTTTACTTTATCAAATGGTTCCGTTCCCAAAGAGGCTTCGCTTCCCGACTTCCCGACTTCCCAGCTTCCCATCTCTTCTGGTCCTGATACTGATAATCACGAAGAATCCCTCACAACCTTGTCCACAGCTTTGGCGAAGTACTCGACATTCCTCGTGTTCAAGCCCGCCATGCTGATCCGGCCGTTCTTGGTCATGTAGACGTGGAAGTCCTGGCGCAGCTTCAGGACCTGGGCCTCGGTCAGGCCGGTGAAGCTGAACATGCCGATCTGGTCGGTGATGTGGTTCCAGGTGCCCGGGGTGCCGAGCTCCTCGAGCTTGGAGCGCAGGGTCTTGCGCATGCTGATGATCCTCCCGCTCATGGTGCGCAGGTTCTCCTTCCACTCAGCAAAGAGGGCGTCGTCGTTGAGGACGGTGGAGGCGACGCGGGCGCCGTAGATGGGCGGGTTGCTGATCTCGGAGCGCTGCAGGATGGCCAGCTGGGAGGCGACGCGGGTGACGGTCTCGGAGGCGGAGGGGCCCGTGGGCGCGGTGACGAAGTGGAAACAGCCGGCGCGCTCGCCGTAGAGGCCAAAGTTCTTGGCGAAGGACTGGGCGACCAGGAGCTCGAAGCCCTGCTCGACAAAGTACCGGATGGCGCCGGCGTCGCGGTCCAGGTCGCCCGAGGCGAAGCCCTGGTAGGCGGTGTCGAAGAAGGGGAAGTGGTTCTTGGCGCGAATCACGTCGGCGATCTCGCGCCATTGCTGCTCGGTGGGGTCGACGCCGGTGGGGTTGTGGGCGCAGGCGTGCAGCAGGATGATGCTCCGGTCGGGAGCGTCGGAGATGGCCTTCTTCATGCCCTCGAAGTCGAGGCCCTTGGTCTTCTTGTCAAAGTAGGGGTATGTGGCGATGGGAAGGCCCACGTTGGTGAAGATCTGGTTGTGGTTGGCCCATGTCGGGTTGGAGAGGTAGACTGTCCGGTTGCCCTTGTAGAATCTGGCGAGGAACAGGGCGCCGAGATGGCAGGCGCCGGTGCCAGAGATGGTCTGGACGGAGGTGACACGCTTCTCGGAAATGGCAGCTGACGAAGGCCCGAGGACGAGGTCGCGGGCTTTGGAGGTGAAGGAGGCCAGACCTGCGATGGGCAGGTACTCGTGGTTTAGGTCGGGGTCGTTGCGAATGATCTCATCGGCCTAGGTGCAGCACAGAAACGGCGTGTTAGCAGAGTGGCGTGATGGTCACGTTGTGATGGGAATCTGGGGTGATCTGGATCCTGGATCCGGGGTAGCGGGGGAAGATCGAGGGGACCCCAGGATTGCGATCGAGCCGCGAGGTTGCAGATGCAACACGGTCGTGCATGAACTGCTTGGGGTTTGACAGGTGACAGGTAGAGAGGCCATCGACTCGTGCTCGCTCACTCACCTTCTTGACAACTGGCAAAATCCAGGGCTTTGCGTTATCGTCACGGTAGGCGCCGATTCCCTGGTATCGTGAGGCGTCTGGTCAGCTAGACAGCTCCGAGGCCGATGAAGAAGACATCATATCATGAGCTTGAAGGGAGAGGGAGTGGTGACGCACCAAATCGACCTTGTCCGGGCTGGTGTCTGCCCTGTAGGCAGCCATCAGACCAAACAGAGGGTCCTCGGGCGCCTGAGGGACGGCATCAGCTGGGAAGCTGGTGGTGAGTGCTGGGGAAGACATCTGGTTGGCGATGCTGCGTATCCTGTCGGTGGGGTTGGTCGGTGAGTTGTGGGCGTTGTAAGTCTGGGCCTTTGATCTGTCGCTGCTGGAGTTGTTGGGCGTGGAAGGCATCCTATAGAGAGAAGGGGTGGTTGTTATTGAGCTGGACCTGGGAAGAACCAGACCGTGCGACCTGAGGGAGGGTAATACTACCGGGCAGTCAGGTACGGAGTACAGCACTTACTTGATCGACAGGGTACCTGGGTAGGTACGGATAGCACGCGCAGGCTGGCAGGGTGCTGCAGGTATTCGCGGAGGGGCGAGCTGGGGAGGCAGCAAGCAGCAGCAGCAGTGGTAAGGACTCCCGAGCTTGGGAGGGGTCAGAGGGGCCCGTCCGGGGTAACAGGGGCCGGGGTAATGGGGTGGGCGGGCCCTGATGGCCTGTTCTTATTATCCAAAACTGTGGTAATAAATACCCTCGAGCGGGCGATCCAGTCAGGGAACCCGTATTACCCAAGGGCTCACGCTGAAGATGTATGCCAGGTATTGATCAAAGCAGCAGCTGTGGATGCCACCGCCGAAGCTCCCGCAGGCGCGCCAATGCCGTTTCGAAGCGTGGAGGCTACCGTTCTGCTGTGTTTCGAAGCTGGTCCCCGATCTTGCCGAGCAAAGTCCAGTGGCCGAGGCGGCGGGCGCAAGAGGGCGGTGATGTAAGAATATGTGAGAGGCCAGAGACCCGCGTCACTTGGCACCAGAGGGGATCCACGGCAGCCAGAGGGGATCCCTGGTATATCATACGAGTGCCCGTAACACCGACAGTGCACAGGAGTCAGGAGTCGACACAGACAAGATAAATGCCGCACCAGGCCCGGTGTCAGAAGAGCCAACAAGGTGAGTGAGAGAGTGAGAGAGAGCGTCCTTGTGTTCGTGTGTTGTGAGGACGACGCTGTAAACCATGGGCTTTTATCATCTGTACCAACCCAAGCACCCAAGCAAGCAAGCAAATAAATGCATGTGATTCTGCCGCACCAGGACCCCCCCCCTAAAAGGTGGTCTGGCCTGGGCTGCCAGGCTAACAAACTGCCTGGCTTGCGAGGTCTCATCCGCTGGGTGCTGGGTGCTCGGCCCACCGGGCAGGTCCCATCGGCTGCCGGCCGAGCTCCCGAGGTACCTAGGTAAACTGGCCCTCCCAGCACGTCATCTGCATCACCGGGTAAGCTCCTCAGGTCAATTCTGTCGACTTGGATTCCCGCAACATCCGTGAGTGCTGCATCACCACATCACCACCGCTATGCTATGCTATATTATCAGGTCCCACAACACCAGAACCGTGCAGAGGGCGCTGGCCGCGTAGAAGGTTACCCGCGCCTGGCTGAACTTCTTCTGCGACGCCTTCTTGAGCTGCTTGTTGCCGCCCCCGACGTTCTCCTCCGTCCTCTCCGCGTCCGTCACCAGCTGGTCGATGTGCGCCGACTGCACCGTCAGGTTGTCCGCCAGCATCTGCTGCAGCTCTGCGATCTCCACGATCGACTTCTCCACCGTCTTGACCTTGTCCAGGGCGCTGTTGTAGTGCTTGAGCATGTCCTGGTTGTCCCGCTCAAACATCTGCTTCTGTTCGTCCGTGAGGTCGAGGTCCTCGTCCTGTCTCCTCCTTGATTCCTCATCATCGACTGGCAGGCCGGTGGTGGATGACCTTGGCCCAGGAGCTGCGCCTGCGTCTGAGTCGTCGAACCCAAACTCCTTGGCCAGCGCGGGCGGCAGCTGCGAGCTTCTGGCCTTGGCCAGTATGCTCCTGTTCTTCTCCATCTCCCTCGCGAGCCTCGTCTCCATCATGCTGCCCTGTAGCTTGGTCGTTGAGCCCAGCCTCTCCCTGAGGTAGCCAATGATCGTCTCCTTGTGCACGAACAGCTGCATCTCCAGCTTGATGGCGGCTGCGTGCTCCGGGCTCTTTGCGCCGTCCCCTTCCCCGCCCAGCGCACCACCGGCGGCCCATCCTGTCAGCGCCCGTAAGCCGCGCCCATATCTGCGATTGATGTCCTTCATGGCTGCGTCGTGCCGTTTGGCCTCCTCATCCTCCAGGATGCGGATTCGTAGGTTGAGCCGCTGTAGTGACTCCTTAGCCATCTTGTCGACTGCATTGCGGTCCGCATCGGTCAGGTAGACCGGCTTGTCCTGCGTGCCTTTTCGAAGCTGTGTTCTGCGCGGGGCGGCTGTGGACAGGTATGCTTGTCGGATGTGGGACAGTTCGCTGTGCAGGTTGACAATGTCGCGGTTGATTGACGATGCCTCCTTGAGGTAACTGTCGATTCGGTCGAGGCCTGGCAGGGCGCCCCGTGTTGGAGACGCGGACCGCGCCTTGAGCAGCTCATTGAATGTGACGGTTACCTCCATGTTGTGGGTGCACTGTTCGTTGTACAGGCGGAAGAACAACCAGAGGGGTGGAAACCAGTGGCGAGGCGAAATGTACTGCCCGTCTGCAGTAATAAAGCTGCGATGGGGACAGCAAGCTTCCCGCAGAGCCCCCTGCCAATGACGGGTGCCAGTCTGCCAAGCAGCTCGATGTTAGTGCAGGTAGAGCGTGGCTTGAGAGGTCCAGCCACACCTGCGGCGACGGTCTTGCCGCATCGGCTCCGACATGCAACTAAGCCTTTAGTTCAACTACTCGCGTAAATCAGCATCATTACGAGTCGCACGAATCCATCTGATCATCAACCAACCCCACTGTCAGCCCTCCCAGATTCCAGGACCGTTGGACCTGTGGACTTGGCCATTAGCTTCCCTGCATGTGACAATGGCATGGCTCAGTGTGACCATGGCCCAGTCTCTCACAGCTGGCATCTCTGCTACCGTGGCCTCGTGGCTCTGGGCCATCCAACAGGCTTCCGGCCGAGGATACTCACCCTCAACACCATTCCAAGGTCTCGTTGTGCCTATTAACCACGTCAAACACAGGTGCATGGTCTCGGAAACTATGTAGCCCTCGATGACTACTCCGAATATGCGAGTGACAAAAGACGGGCCCGTTGTTGTAGATCACTTGCTTCGAAGTCAAAGGGCTAAGGCAGTCAGCCCAGAGCCATCAATCAAGGTGTGCCTCATTGGCTGTTTCTGCACCTCCTTCCTCTTCTGTGCTCTGGCAGCCGGTGTGCCACCTGGATAAGCCGTGACGAGACGGCCAGAACGGCCCAAGGGAAAGTGCCGAAGCGGTTGTCCGGCAACGCCGTCCACGATTCGCCTGTCGGCTACGGTGCCGATACCGGACACCCTTGGCGGCCATCAGACCGCTCGCCGTCGAGCGGGTCCTCCACAGCCGAGTCGCAGAATCGGTCCCACAGGGCACCAGGCACAAGATCGTGGGCCGTGGCTGCTGTTGGGCGCCAGGAACCACTCCAGCGAGACCAGCTGGCCGGGATGCTTGGCCGCCCTGGGGCAGTCTGGCCATCATCACAGGCCGGCGCGGACACGACGTGTCTCTTGCCACCGCACCTGGTGGTTTGCCAGATGTTTGTGCCTCGCAAGCCGCAAGTGGGGGCACTCGCCTGCCAGTTCTGCCCTCGGATTCCCTCCAGACAAGAGGCGCCGATCAGTCCTGTCATGGCGCCTGGCAGGGTGCCTGTCAGGGTGAGGTCGGACGGACTTCGACCGTGATGGAGAAGCTAACGGCAATAAGGCCCTGTGTAGTGGGCCCTGACATCGACTCCTGTCCTGCTTGCATTATTACGCATTCGACGGTGCCTTCGACTCCAGTCGCCCGGATTTCCTGTCTCTCAGTCCTTCTTCCCTTATGGCTCTGGCCGGCCCTGTTCATCGCCGATAAAAATCCCCACGAGAGTCTGGACTCTGCTGGGACTTTTGCGGCCTAGAACCCGATCTGTCGAACAAGTGATTCGATCTCTTACATAGACTCTCTTGCTGCCCCATGAGTAGCCAGAATCGGTTTCTGCTTCCCTTCCCTCTCTGCCGAGACCAGAAAGGCCCTGCTCTGTCCTCAAGCCATGGCAAATGCTGGACTTGCTGAGCCGGGGAGGACCCCCTCCCTCGTTCCACCCAACCTACCAGCAGCTGCCGTTGATTCCCAAGCGACTGCCGGTCAGGATCCATCCGTCGGGCACACAAGCAATCAGCCCGCCGTTGATCTGTCCGGGGAAAGACCCGCAGACTCCCAAAAGGGGTTTACAGGCGCGGTGCCGAGCCATGCCGACATTGAGGACCCCGAGCCGGACCCGGAAGCCCTTACCCGAACGACTAGTGGCCCGGTCTATTGTAGGTGAAGCCCTGGGCCTGCTTACTGTTGGTTATACTCGATACGCGTGATATGGCCTACAAGGCATATATGCTCACCCAAGACGTGTGGTTCTCATCATGTCCTGCCAGACTTCAAAGTTGCCCTTACTGACCTACACTACTGTCTAGCCGTCTTCTCAAGTCGCATGAAAAAATGGATCATTGGCGTTGTGACCTTGACGTCTTTCATTTCGCCCATGACAGCTGTATGAAGCTTCATCCCGCACGGCTTTGCAGACGATACCTAACAATCCTCTTAGAATATCTACTTCCCGGCCCTAAACCCCATCGCCGAGGAGCTGCACGTCTCTGTGAGCTTGATCAATCTCACATTGACGACATACATGATTTTTCAGGTCAGTCTTCACCACCGCGTCGGGGATGGGTTGCGGAAATCAAGTCCTTCGTTCCTTGGCTTATCTGTGTGGTCAAGACCACTTCTCAGTACTGACTTGCAGCCAGGGTATCGCACCAACCATGTTTGGTGACTTTGGGGATATGGCCGGCCGGCGCCCGGCTTTTATTGTTGCTGTGCTTATCTACATTGTCGGTAAGTTTGAACACTGCCATCATCCCATGGTCGTCGGAGTCGTTCTGATCAGTTCCGACCTAGCCAACCTCGGCCTTGCCCTGCAGAATAATTACGCTGCCCTCTTGATCCTCCGAATGGTCCAAAGTGGTGGCAGCAGCGGCACGTTAGCTTTAGGGTATGCTGTCGTTGCTGATATAGCTACCAGCTCTGAGAGGGGCAAGTATATGGGTGTTGTTGGTGCAGGCATCAACGTTGGACCATCATTATCGTATGTGAAATCTACAATCAACCCGATTCCTCTGCAATTATTGCTCCGATTTGCGCTCCAGCGGCAGAAAAAAGCGTCTTACACTTTGAGCAATATATGTTTCCTGGGTCCCTTTTGCTAATCAGGCTCTTCGACTTCGAAAAGACCAGTGATCGGCGGCTTGCTCTCTCAGTATCTCGGATGGCGTGCCATCTTTTGGTTCTGTTTCATATTTGCCTGCTTCGTCTTCGTGCTCTACACGCTGATGGTTCCGGAGACATGCCGCACCATTGTGGGCAATGGCTCTGTGACGCCAACCGGTTTCAACATGACGGCAATCGCCTGGCTGTCTCAGAAACGACGCCAGAGGAAACAACAGAAGGCAGGCGGCGGCACACAGAGTGTTGTCGTCCATCTCAATGAGGACGGCACCGTGCGACAAAAGCCAAAGCTCCGATTCCCCAATCCTCTACGAGCTCTAGCAGTTGTTTTCGACAAGGGTGTTGGCCTCATCATTTTCTACAACTCTTTGCTCTACCTCATGTTCATCACCTCCGTGGCAACGCTATCCACGCAGTTCAAAGAAAAGTATGGTTATGATGACCTGGAGATAGGCTTGTGTTACCTGCCCTATGGAGCAGGTTGTTTCGCCGCAGCTATTGGCCAGGGCTACATGCTGGACTGGTACTACCGCCGAATCGCCAAGAAGATCGGCTTCAGTATCGACAAGAAGCGCGGTGATGACCTGTCTAACTTTCCCATCGAGAAGGCCAGGATCATGCCTGCCTACTTCTTCATAGGCGTCGGCCTCGTGGCCGTCATCATCTACGGCTGGGTCCTCGAGCTCCGGCCATCCGTCGCCGCGCCGTTGTGCCTCCATTTCGTGATAGGGCTGTGCATCACCGGATCGTTCGGAATCCTGAACACGCTCATCGTGGACCTGAGCCCGGAGGCGCCGGCCACCGCGGTCGCGGCTAACAACTTTGTCCGCTGCGAGATGGGCGCCGCCGCGACGGCCGTCATCGACCTCATGATCTCGGGCATGGGCACGGGCTGGTGCTTCACCTTCTTCGCGCTGCTGGGCGTCGTCTGCCTTCCGATACTGTGGGCGGAGGGGAAGTACGGGATACAGTGGAGGCAGGAGAAGAGGCTGAGGAGAGAGAAGAAGCTTATTGAGAAGCGGGACAGGAAAGAACGCAAGGAGATGGAGAAGGCGGCTGCGGCCGTGCAGAGGGAAACGCAACAGGATTCATGATAATGATGCGGACAGGTTTCTACAAATGGTGCAACATAGAATTTGCATTCTGGCCCACTGGTTGTATATCAACTCTGGTTTTCGGGTCAGCTTGCATAGATTGATACCCAGATATGTATATATATGTACAAGTGTGTTTAAATAGTTCACACACAAGCTGGACTTGTAGTAATCCTGTTTTTGGTGTCACGTTATTAACTGGAGCACATGAACAGTGAGCCCATTGGTTTGTTAGTTCTGACAGGAAACCCTCAGGTTTCGTACTCAGCCGCGGCTCTAGTCGTTGACCCCTGCTCTCTACACGCTTCCCGACACGTGAAGAGCAAGCTACTTGGCTTACTCGGGACAAACAGGCTTATTCATCTAATACCAAGAGCAGAATTTGCCGGATTTTAAAGAACTAGTATACTTGAGGTCGACGCAGTCTAGGAAAGGGTAACTCTAGCCGCGTTCATTCAATTTTTGGACCAGTCTATGACTGAGGTCCTTCCTCAGCCTGGCCAGTCTCAGCTAATTAGTTGGTGTCCGAGTCACTCCTGCCGACCAATTTAGACTTCTACACAATGACCAAAGCATCACTCCATCACTCCTACCATTTGATCTGTTCTCCACATGCAGGCAAACTCGGCCCAATCTATCAGTGTGTCTATCAGCTTCATGATAATTTCGTGATAGAAAGACATATCTACTTAAGTAGCTAGATACTCTAGAATGTACATATCTATGATTGCGCGTTCAAACTCAAGCCTTTGAATTGACTTAATACTCAATTCCTCGAATTCTTGGCGATCTCTTCAACAGCATCTATGCTCAGAATCTGAAAATAATTTTCCGCTGCTGAAATGTCAGCATGAGTAATTAGTCGGCTTGTAATGAATCCGAGTACCTGTGCACCAAAAAAAGTCAGAATTCAGTCTCATACAACACTACTTGCACATTCACCCATAACATACTTTTCCCCAATAAATATTCCTAGTGCAATTCACCAGTCACCTTTCACGGCAATCTTTGTCCTCTAGTTGTTTCAGTTTACTTCCTAGCCTTGAAACAATCAACTCACTATCCCACTTACATGTTTTGATTAGGGCAAGCAGTCTTTTAGAAACACTCTTATTAGGCTTACATGTAGTGCCATTCCTGTACCCTAGGGCATACTAGTAAACCTAGTGTACAGTATCCCCCTGTCTACTTAGTAAACAACAGAAATTGGAAGAAATGGCAGCTTCATGAAAAATGTAGAATATAAAAAAGGAGCTCGCTCCTATACTGGCCTGGGAATTTTCTCATCTCCCTATCTCTCAAACACCACCTCTAGCCGGGCTTCAGCACACCTGGCTATCACAAAACAAACAGACATTAGCACCTCAACTTTCTCACGCTAGTACTTGCACAATCATAATTCTCAATATATCTGAACAACACAGAACTCTAAGATGGACACGACACGCTCCAAGTCTTTCCGCCTATTGGCACAACAGATCTACGGCCCTGCCTCGGGAAAATCTACTAACGCACGCGACCTTATCGAGGAACTGCTGTATGCCAAACGCCACAGGCCCCGGGGTTGTTCAACATCCGGTGTCATCTCCCCGTCCAAGCAGCCTCTCCCTCAAGACGAGGCGAGCTCCGATGGCGCTCCAACCTCGCGGGACGATGAGACCTCGGTTGACGACAACTTTCATGAAGCGATGAGATCAGAGATGACTACCAAGAGTGTTTCAATTGAGGCACCCACCACAGATGGGTCTTCTGCAACTGAATACTCCACCCCTCTCACGTCTTCTACAACTCAAGAACTCCCTCAGCCTAGCGCTTCCACCGACCGGCTACTAGCAATGCTTCCTCCGCCTTGTGCAAGTACCGTCGATCCCAAAGGTCCTCCACACCCCCCACCTGAAATCCCAATGGAGCCTTGCATGGTCGGCGGGGTGTCACGCATCGAACAGCTCGAGTACTTGATCAGGTGGAAGATCATGATCTTCCGTCAGCGACTGGGGGTTCCCTACATCTTCCGGAGCACGCAGCTGTGGGACATCGACTGCTGGGAGCAGGACCGTCGCCGCAACTTCTTCGAAAAGAACGGAGAGGAAGCATACCTTGCCCGCTATATCAACAGCGACTACGTCGGACGCGTGGAGTTTCACTATATCGCCCCTGAGGAAGTGTACTGATAATCCAGACGACAAAGGCGGCGATGAAATTTTGGATAAGCGGTATCGTCATTCTAGACTGACAATCATCCATCGGGTCAAGACCATCGAAGAGACTCAGGTCGGCCAGGTGTTTTGCTTTTTGATTTCTTTTTCCCCCAGAAAAGGGGAGGACGCCGAGTCTTTTTGGGGGGTAGAAACAAGGGTACTAGCGCAAGGCTCGGGCTTTTAGATCGTAATAAGCGGACTTCGCAGGAGGGATCTGACGGCGCCGTGAATGGCCACCCCACACGAAACGTCACTCGCCGTCAGGCTCGGGAGCAAAACAGATTTAAGTCTGTCCTAGAATCGGGGCCGTCTCTTACTACTATCGAATTGCCAGCCGACCGCGATCTTAATCGAAGCAAGACAGACACAGTCTATACTTAATGGTCCACCTGGGCAGTTTGGAAGGAAGGGCATTCTGGGCAACTAAGCCGGCATTAGGTGACAAACTAGATAGAACTCCAAAATAAAAGCGGAATCAACTGAATCCACTAATTACTGAATTTTTTGTAGTAATTACTTGTGATTATAGGGATCACACCAGTTGTGCAAAAGGTTATCAGGCCGTCATCTTACCTCCACGTTCCCAGTAGTGCTTGTAAAAAGCAACTAAGACTTGTAAAAATGTGATCTACCAATAGACAGAATTATGATAAATCGGTGATTTGTACTAATGGACATGACTCCCCGTCTGTACATGATGCGTTTGCCAAGCCATGTCGTGTGATTCTGTGGCATCCATGGATGGCTATCGACAGGTCATCTTCCAACCCTTGAAGCAACAAAGAAGTCGGAGAGGCTTTTGTCTGACACAAATATTATTATTGATGCCGGCAGATGAATTACAAATGACCTTTTGGCTTGTTTCATCGGATTTGGGAATGTCTGACTACGTAAGAAGTGATAAAGGCTTCTCCGGGAGGTTGTCTTGCATGTTGTAGGCCAGAACACGTTGCGACGCCGTATGTAAGCTTGATTCCGGCAACTTCTATAAAATGTGCAACAACTACTAAATTCTTTAAGGGCCTACAATAATCTGCCCGAATAGCTCTACCAGAACAATTCTGTGGTGCGAGAAAAACAATACTTGCTTGACCGCATCAATACTTGATCCGAATCCTCACAAATTGTTAGCACATTTCTACACGAACGGCTTTGCATTCAATCAAAAAAGAAATATATTTCGACATGCTTCTGGACACACACAAAAAGGAGGCCATCGTCAACGTCAGACTTGCCATGTCCCAGATGTTGTGGGCAAACGAAGGGCTACTGGCACAGAGGCTCATCGACAAACTAGAAAGACCCGTTTGCGATGTGGGCGCTTGGGAATTCTATCCGTCATGGTTCAAACGAGTTGATCGCTATCTAATCAGCACATCGAATGTCCCTGCAAGATTCTATTTGAGGTCGGCTGTCCATCTCTTGTGGGAGGCATGTCTTGAATTCGAAGCGGCCGGGATGCCACAGGCGGCACTTGCGTGTCTGGAATTCGGTGTCATGATTGTAAAGGAGGAGCTTTTGTTGTCTTGAGACATCAACAATTAACCCCTTGAGAACAATCTTATGAGGAGTATTCAGGGAAGACGAATGCTGCTGTGGACCCTGTATCTGTGAAGGGCATGAAGCATTCAGCGGGCCGGATGCGAACAGAATCATCACAACCTCTGACTAGCCCCCTCATCTATGCATATGATTACACGCTTAGACTTGACCATGATTGGTAGCAGGGTACCTAGGTAGCTTGGAGAGTACAATGCATTCTTCAACTCCATCAATGATGTTTGCAATAGAAGAGATCAAAAAGCTTAGAAAACAATGTACTACGGCTACCACACGCTTTTATCAAAAAGGAGTGTATTGCATCCTCAGACACGGAAAATGAAAATCCCGGTTTTCTTCAGACGAGAACCTATCAGGAAATTGTAAAATTTGGGGAGAGTGTCTGAGCCCAGTCTCTCATCTGGCACGAGTCTAAAGCTCTTCTAATGCGCCTCTGATTTGTCGAGAATGCAGGATCCAAGAGAATGAAGTAATCCCAGTCTTTCTCACAATGCTGGACTTGCTATCGAAAAGCCTGGGCCAAAAGTCGAGATCTTTGCTATATGCCAAGTCGCCAAGTGGCGCTTGACAGCATGATGATTGTTCCTTTCGCTGCGGAAAGTTACCGGCTCAACGCGTCCCTCTACCATTCTCCGCCAAACGTCCGAAAGGCTAGGACGTCGGGGCGTTCCTAAAGGACCTGGAAAACCGTGGGCCGGTGCACCACTTGTCATGAGCTAACTACTGTCTAGCTCATAGGCGGGCTGTTGGCATTCACGCCGATTGTGTGCTGCAAGAACGGCCTTGATTCTTTCAATGTTGAGAGCGAATCATCAATCATGGTAGCCCAATACTGTTATGCAAATAAGCTCAAGTTCTTTTATCATCAAACGAGCTAAAAAGAGAGCACATGGGTCAATGTCAATTGCAAGTGTAGTAGACACACAGGCCAGGAGTGGGTTGGGCGACTTCTGCGTCTTGCATGGGCCGATTCATACATGTATGTCAATGATGTGCTGCCCCTAGGTTGCGAATCCGAGTTGAACATGGTCATGCTTTGCCGATTTCTGTAAGATAATCATTGCCATCTGCCTTGAGGTTGTAGATCATTTCTCCTTTGAAGACTCTATGTGAACATGTACGATGCTGGACTGGTCTAGGCCCCGAGCTCTACAGGTACTACCAAAATTCTGCCGAGTGCTCAATTAAGACCTGTCCGTGGTGTTGTCGGCCTCCGGGTTCAAGGCACTGACCGATGCAGATCAAGGGATCGAGACGTTGGGGAGTGAATGCTTGGCTTGATCCCAGCCGCAGCTTATCAGATCCGAACGGGCTCTCTGGGAGTACCTCCAATCCAGAGAGAGCAAGTATCCAGAAACTCCTGTTCCCTTGCATCCTTCTGCCCACAAAATGAATACGTAAACTTGCGCGGCTGTGTAGCAATGATTCGTAGTGACCAACCTTGGAATCCATGCTTGCTGGACAGGAGCCTTATTACTATATAGTAACATCTTTATACTCCACGAAAACACGGCTCGCCGGAAGTCCGTCTGCAACTTTTGCAGGCTAAAGGCATGGCAATATTTTTCCAAGAGCTCCTTCTCAACACCGAGTGGCCAGCTTTGTGTGAACTTATAGAAATCACACTGTAGTCGTGAACAGACCCCTGAGTCCCCACAATCGACTTTCTTTCTCTTAATTTGATTGTATTCCAACGCTGTCGCCGTTATTAATACAGGAGACCTAGCTCTATCCAGGGAGATACTTAGTGTGCCGATAGCTGGCATGGCACGCGAGCGGCTTCCCCATGATGCGGAAGTACTGCACGCTTCTTCACACTAGTAGTCCACCGGCGTATATAAATCATGGCCGCCTGCAACGGACAAGCGGCGAAAAGGAGCCAGGCTCTTGAATTCTTTTCACCCTGAGCTCTTCACCCGAGGATGAAATGATGGTGCCTGATATCAAAGTCCTCTCCTGCTTCTGGGCACTGATCGTCAGTTTATGATATTCCCGCATCCTGAGATCTCTCAGGACCTCAATCTATGCTGCGCAAGGTGCTGACATAAATTAGGTTGGTGTCAGAAGCTATGCCGAACCAGAGCATTGCCTCGGAGAGTGCTTCGCTCACGATCCAGGGCTGATCCGGCGGTCCTCAGACGGGGTCTACTTCCGCTTCAACACGGACACGTACATCAATATCATGAAGTCCAACTCGTTATCTGGCCCGTGGAAAACCGTCGGCAACGTGCTGCCACAAGGCACTATTGTAGACCTGCCAAATGTCACGGCGCTTTGGGTGGGTGGATATCCTGCGGATGTTGCACCTTGACGTTGCTTTACAGTCTCATTGTTTAGTGTTGTTTGTGGCAGCTGGGTCTGCATTACTGACAGAGGACTCAAGGCCCCGATGATTATCGAGAGAGATGGAACATATATACTGTGTAAGTGATGACTCAAATGGTCTCATGTCATGACTGACAGTGCCATATAGACTACAGCGTCTCAACCCTTGGGAGCCAGGACTCGGTCATTGCATATGCAACTAGCACGACTATGGAGGATGGCACTTCGGAGGATCATGGGTCGACGGGCGTGGAGTCGACCTCGGGCAACTCATATAACGCCATTGATCCTACAATGGTCCTGGTCGATGGGACTTATCATCTCTCCTTTGGGTCTTACTGGGGTGACATCCACCTAGTCACGTTCAACTCGGACGCGACGGCTGCCAATGGAGATGCAACCCAGATCATCTACGAACCAGATGGGAACCACGAAGTCGAAGCTAGCTTCCCCTTCAAGTACGGGGATTACTTCTATATGTTCTGGAGTCAGGGGCAGGCCAACGACTATGATATCGTACGACCCGCCGAGGGTGAAGAGTACCGGATTCGCGCGTGCCGAAGCAGTGATATCGGGGGACCATACACCGACGAGGACGGAGACAGCTGCCTGGAGGGCGGCGGCAACGATGTTCTTGCCTCACACGATGATGTCTACGGCCCTGGTGGGCAGGGTGTCTACAATGACGCTGAGTATGGGCCGATCCTGTACTACAGATTTGGTAAGTTGGCACGCCCCCCGGACGTGGGATCCGAGATGGCTCATATCAGTTGCGTAGTCAACACATCGATCGGGTATGCACTCAGAGATTATCAATGGGGATGGAATGTAATTGACTGGGTCGACGGCTGGCCGACAATATGAGGCCGGGGGATGTGGGCTTGAAGAGGGAGGGGAGAGCCGTAGGACCATATTTTATATGCAACATGGATCAAGTCTGTTACTGCGGTGTACTTGCCAGAGGATGGTTGTGAAAGCACTGACAGTGGTGGCAGAGCTACCTAGGTACCCAGGTAGGTAAGTACCCAGGTACCTACTCAAGTACCCAGGCAGGTAGCATTGCGGCTGGTAACAAGCCGACGACCCCTGCCGGCGGGAGCTCTGACTGACGTGGAATCGGCCCCACTACCGGGACGGGCAGGGCGGGAGTTCAAGCTTCCTGGCTTAGGCCCGAGGTGGCATTGAAATAAAAAGTGCGGCGTCCAAAGGGGGCCGACCACACCCGCCCCTCGGTCATTAAACGGTTGACAGTTGACAGCCCGCTGCCTCTCGTCCCGCTGCGACTGCCCTGCACCCCAATTGGCAATGACGGGCCATGTAGCTGCTGCTCGGCCCTTGTTGCGGCCCGGGTCGACCACCTTCCTCCTCAAGCAGCTCACTGGCCCATCAGCACCAGCCTCGACCGCCTCGCTGTCGATATCCGCCTCGATATCCGCCTCCACCACCCGAGCCCTGACCGCCAGCCGCAGCCCTCGACGGCAGCTGCTCTCCCTGCACACACCATGTAGGCCGCAAAGCCGACTGCGCCTCTACTCCACGAGCCAGACACCGCCGCCAGGAGGCTCGTCCCCTGCCACACAGACAGGCGCCTCGAGACCAGGCCCCGAGCTCCCCTCGCAGGCCGACTCCCGCCGCTCCGCCGCCTCCCAGCAGTTCTCCCACGTCATGGACAACCTGCAGTCCCGCGTGCTGGTCGCCTCGCAGACCCTCAGCGACCTGACGGGCTACAGCGCCATCGAGGCCATCAAGGCCTCCAACGCCGCCCTCGAGGCCGACCTGGCCCGCGCCCAGGCCGACCTGAAGCGCGCGCGCCAGCACTACAAGGCCGTCAACGCCCGCCGCGCCTCCACCCAGCGCGAGGTCACCACCCTGCTGGCCCGCAAGGACACCTGGGCCCCGCCCGACCTCGAGCGCTTCACCACCATGTACCGCCAGGACCACGAGCTCGAGGCCGAGGTCGCCGAGGCCTCCACCGCCCTCACCGACGCAGAGGCCGACGAGGCCCGCCTCAGCCAGGCCCTCAACAGCGGCATCCTGCGCCGCTACCACGAGGAGCAGATCTGGAGCGACCGCATCCGCCGCCAGTCCACCTGGGGCACCTGGGGGCTCATGGGCGTCAACATCCTGCTGTTTATCGTCCTGCAGTTCGTCGCCGAGCCCTGGAAGCGGAAGAGGCTCATGAAGGGCATCGCCGCCGAGGAGAAGGCCGCCCTCGACGCCGTCCGCCGGGAGCTCGAGGAGGTCAGGGGCGCCCTGACCAGGAGGGAGGAGGCCGACGCCGCCGCAACAGCTGCTGCTGCTGCCGCCGCCGTCGTCGAGGGCGTCGGCGTCGAGGCTGCGCCCCTGGCATCGCTGCCAGATGCCGACACCCCGACCGTGCCGAGCCCGCCGGTGCTATCGTGGAAGGAGTTCCTGTCGGACCCCAGCCTGTGGCGGCCCGCGCTCGAGGACCTGTATAGCGACAGGATGATAGACTTGCGCATGAGGGATGTCTCCCTCATTGCTCTAGAGGGTGCCGTGACGGGCGCCGTGGCCGTGGCCGGCGTCGCCGCGCTGTTGGCCCGCCAGCGCTGAAGTCTGCACCCAACAGTTGGGAAAAAGAGCAAGGACAAGGTCTGTAAAATCATTGTATAGAGACACGGGTGACTCGCCGTCCACTGTTGTCTCGTGTAGATATGTACACGGGCTGGCGCATTCGAGCACTGGGGTTGATGCAAGGACTGGTCTTGTGTGTACGCCTGGTCTCGTCTCTCTACATTCAAAGCCATGCATCGGGACACTGTTCGATACCAATAGAAGGCAGGCTGGGCGACCAAGTGTAAAAGGCGCCTCCAAGCTGGCCAGTGTTGTTCACGAGGCGCTGGGTGCAATGATACCCAGTCTGTTTGGGGCATCTCCTCTTTGTTTCCATGCTCTCTCTATTAAAGTAGGCTGTCTAGCCGTCGCCCGCTCAAGGAACTCATCGTCAAATACGTGGCCATCATTTCTACAGTATCTAACATCCAGTCCCATGCGCTGCCGATGCGTCGTATGCTCCAGCGTCGAGGGGCGTGGCCTTTGAGCACTTGCGTGCGCATGAGAACACCCTGCGCTTGGCCTCGCCCAAGTATTATTAGCCCTCAATATATAAAACCAGCCTTTCGTGGCCCGCACATTCTGGCAAGCGCGGCTACATGCCAACCAAGGGCCCCGCCAAAGTCAATTGCAACCATGATCGTTCGCACACGGGTACCAATTACATTGGTCATTATGCTTCCTCGTCTACTCAAAATCGGCGGTGTAGGAGAAGCCACGGAACTCTTCTTGCATGGCTTGTGACAACACTGATAATCCGTTTAGTACAGTGACAGATACGACAGTGCACAAGGCGAAGGGAAAGGGACAGGAAAAGGGGCGTACCTGATTGGACTGGGGTGAGAACCGGAGTAACACTCGTGAACTCGGAGTCGAAGTTGCTAGTATCAGTTGCGCTCTTGATTTGAGGCAGGAAAGGAGGCGCGACGCGCTTGTGGTAGATGTCGTCCCAGTTAATGTTCCGGAAGAAAGGCTGGCTCATGACCTCCTGCGCATCGGTGGGCCCGCTTCCCAGTCGCTGGTCAGGCTCACGGATGAGCAGCTTCTGTAGGATCGACACCGAGTCCCTAGGCATGTGAATAGGGTAGAGAGGCTCATCTGCCAAGATGGCGTCGTAGATTTCGTCCTCGTCTTCACCACGGAAAGGAGATTGTTGCAGGAGCATCTGGTAGATAAGAACACCAAAGGCCCACCAGTCCACGGCGCGTCCGTACTTCTTGTCCAAAAGAATCTACAAAGGTCAGTACGGCTTCAATAACGAGATCCGCAGCGATACAAACCTCGGGTGCCATGAACTCGGGCGTGCCACAGAACGTGCTCGTCGTGGAGCCGAACCACATGTCTTCTTTGCAGAGACCGTAGTCGGCAATCTTGATGTGACCGTCAAGAGTGAGGAGAATGTTGTCAAGCTTCAGGTCTCGATAAACAACACCGTTTTCGTGGAAATATTTGAGAGCCAAGCAGACCTCAGCAGCATAGAACCTGATAAATGGTCAGCATGTTTCACGACAATCTGGGAGGGGTTTTCTTACTGAGCACGCTTGGTTCCAAACTGCCCGCGCTGGATATGGAGCATCAGATCACCACCGCTGATGTACTCCATCACGAAGTAAACTCTTGTCTCTGTCTGGAAACAGGCGTGGAGGTTGGTCAAGAACGGATGTCGTTCGCGGTTAGCAATCAAGAAGACCCGCTTTTCGGATCGAATGCTTTCGACTTCGTCATTTTCGATGATAAATTCCTTCTTGAGCACCTTGATAGCGTAAAGCTTCCTTGATCTCTTTGTCTCCGCAAGCATGACCTTTCCGAAGTTACCTTTTCCAAGAACCGCAAGGAAGTTGAAATGATCCAACCCAATACGCATACCGGTACCAGGGTCGGTAGCCGACGGGAGGGGCTTCTTGAGCGGGCCCGAGGAGGCTGTGGAGGTCGGCGAGGGCGCAATGGGTTCCGGCTGGGGCTTGGGCGCAGCGATTGGCTGCTGATAAGGCTGCTGCGGTTGGGCTTGGACGGGTGGTCGCTGCTGCTGCACGGGAGGCTGCTGAGCGTACTGGTTGACATTGGCGTAATCGGCTGGGTTGTATCTGCGACCCTGCGTGGGACTGCCATGCTGCTGAGAAGCATACGGATCCTCCTGCCCTGACTGGGGCTGCCCGTAACTATCCTGACGAGCCATGTAGTCCTGCTGCCCGCCTTGCTGCGGCCGCGGGGACTGGGTCCCAACTGCTCCGCTCATAGCCATTGTTGCCGCAGCGGCGGCATCCGTTGAGCTCGACATACGGCTGTTTCCAGGCCGGTCCGGTGAGGGCTGGCCATAAGTTCTCCTGGCAGCCTCTGCAGCCTCAGGAGAAACTGCGTTGAACGAGCCCCCACTCGTGCGGTCATAAAGTGTCGAAGCTTGCGAGGCCCCAGGGCTGGTTGTGCCGGAACGCAGTGTCCTCTCGCTCATCGATGGCCTCTGAGATTGGCGTTGCTTCTGGGACCTCATGCCCTCAAGAATCTGGTTTGCAGTGGTCATGGACATGCCACAGAAGTCCGGTACCAAATGCACACATTGCGCGTGAGCAGTGAGAGCGCATTCTACAGCAAGACCGTGTTAGCGTACGGAACCAGAACAGAGGATGGGAACAACACGTGCCTGAACATTTCCTGCAGTTCTTCCTTCCAAAAGGCAGTAGGTAGCCACAGTGGCAGCACCAGTTGGCAGTAAGATTCGAGAAGCCCTGGAATCTGTGGGGAATCCTGTGGTTGATCTTCTCTTCCTCGGGGTCGGTCTCTGCGTTCGATTTGCTGATGCACTTGGTTACAACATTAGTGTAACATTTCGTGTGGCAAGTGTACTTGCAGTCCTCGCACTGCATGCCCGCCGAGTACTTGAGGAAGTCGGCGCAGAAGGCGCAACGCATGATGTTGTAGAACTGCCGCGACACAAACTTGTGTCCGTACATCTCGTGAACCTCCTCCTTGCGCTGACGGACGGCACCCTTTCGACCAAGACCGACATCGAACTTGTGTGTGTTGCTGGTCTGCTTGATGAAGTTGAAGTTCAACAGGATCTGGCCGGTGGGCTCCAGGTTGAACCACCCATCGATGGGCTGGTTCACCGCTTGTGCCGGAGCTTGCGGTGGCGGGTAGGTGGCCTGCGCACTTTGATATCCAGGTGAGGTCGGAGGAGGGCCGAATTGAGGCTGCGGTTGCTGTGGATTCATTGGGAATTGCGACGGAGGCTTGGAGTTAGCCATCCTATCGGCCGACACCCATCCTGAGTTGTTGATCTCCGCCTCAATCCTCTTTCTACGCAGCTCTTCCGCGATGTCGGAAATCCTGACCCAGAGCAAGCCGATGGGGAGGGCGTGCTCCCCAGGCTTGTCGTACACCGTCAATTCGATCTCGTTTGCCTTGTCCACGTCGATGTTGTGGTACTCGGCCTCCCATCGGTCATTTCGGGTAGCCCTCGTTCGTGCCACGACCGCGTCCTCTACCTTGACGGCGACAAAGGTATCAGGGGTTCGAGCGAAGCGTCCGGTTGGGGCGTGGTCTACATCCTTCACGGCAACGACCCTGATGGTGAGCTGACCGGACAATGGTTTCCGCAAGTTTGGCATATTGATACTGTCATCTGGAGGCGGCGCATGTTAGCGAAAAGCAAGGGAGAGATCTGGGAGTACCGAGCCACGAACCGTCCGAGTTTTCAGCGCTGTCGGTGTCGATGTGCAGCTCTTCATACCGCTTCAGAGCCTGCTTGAGGAGGGTTATCTTTTGCTTGCTCTCGACTTTCCTGGCTGCGGCATCGGCTCGGCTCTTCTTGTCGCCTTCCATCTGGTACAACTGCACCATCTTCTCGACGCCCTTCAGGTACTGCTCCTCGACATTCAGTTTGAACTGGATCTGAGATAGCATGAGCTGGATGCGGGGCCCAAGGTAGGGCGTGTCATATTTGATCAGGTCTAGGACCAACACGCGGCATTAGCATCAGGAGCTCAGCTGACAGGAGACGGGGACAGGCCTGTGCCCAGAGAAGAGGAACGTACCAAGCTTGGTGAAGTTGGGGCGAGGTTTGGGGCCCGAAGACCCGGGGCCGGGTGGTGCAAATGGATGACGGGGAGGCATCAAGTCGCTGTGGCCGCCGATCTGACTGAACTGGGTCTCGCCGCCAGAAGTTGCATGACCGGATGCATCCTTGGGCGGAGGGGTGGGAGGGGCATCCGAGTCGGCGCGCGTGCCATGGGGTCGTGAGCTGGAGCTTCCGGGGCCCAAGTCCATGCCCTGCATGCCCCGGCGCAGCTGAAGCTCCTTAAGCTTCTCCTCGAAGAACTCGAGATTCCTCTTGCCCTCGCGCATCTGGGTGTCGAGCTTTGAGCGGACAGTGTCGTTGTTTGTCTGCTGTCGCATGAGGTTTGCGGCCTGGATCAGCGACTTCTCACGCTCGATCTTCTTGTAGACCTCCATTATCTTGTCTTCGTCGGCCATGGCGGCGGTGTTGTGCTGCGCGAGCAGGCGCGCAGTGCAGAGAAGAGCAAGATCGGGAGTGGAAAGGGATGTGGTGGCCTAGCAGAGGACGGAGAGCGGAGAGCAGAGAGCGGAGAGCGAGGTGGCCCGTCGCCGGCTGGGAGAGCTGGGTGGGTTGGTGAGATGGTGGTCTTTATCGGGCGGGTGGAGGGATCAAGAGGTTGACGGGCAGATTGATCGTGTCGCCCCACGCGACACGAGGGAGAGAGGGAGGTTGTTGTCGTGGTCCACGGGGAGGTCTCGCGGGTTGGTGAAGATTTGGCTAGTACGGAGTACAGCCAGACTGGTCGTGCCCGACTGGGAGCGAGTGCGGGCGCAGATGCAGTTGCAGTCCCCACGCAACCGCCCAGGACTCCACCCCCTACCCTGGGCTGGTCTGTCCTGCCTCTCTGGCCGGCTCTATCAGGCCGTGTGTGTCCTGTCCCACAGCCACCGGCTCTGCTCTGCCACTGCCGCCGCACGGGTTCGGTTGGGTTCCAAGGCTCGCCCGACCGCTAGCAGTAGTGTAGCATCAGCTCACGTGAAGGGGCGATCTTGTTCAGACTCGGCGAGGGATGTGGAGCCGACAATCTGGGATCTGGGTGGGGAGGGGGGTGTGATCCAGTGCGAGATGGGGTGGCAGAGTGGTGAGAGTGTGTGCTGTGTATGTTTGCGGTGCGTGGGAAATGTTGAAAGGGCAATGTCGTCAGTGCTTCTGGCACGCACGGGGAGACAGATAGATAGAGAGATAGAGACGGTGGGTGAATGGGCGAATGGACCGCCGCCGTGTTGGAGGTTCAATGGCGGGGTTTTTGTTTCGCATCTCAGCCTGCCTCAGCACCCAGCAGCTCAATCGATCAACGGTACGGTCACCCAAGCACCTAGGCACGCAGGTGATATTGGATGGGGTATGGGGTAGGGGTTGGAGAGACTACTACTACTACGCAGTCCTGACCTGACAGGACAAGTTGACAGGCAGGACGGCCAATCCTGCAAGCTACTGCGAGAAAGCTCCTCCTCTCGGGGAGGGGCTACGGCAAGCAGGGGAGGAAACAGGGAGGAGACAGGCCACGAGTGACAGGTGAGCAGAGGGGCACAGGTACTCCGTACCACCACCGCAGCCGTAGGACACACAGCATCCGGCTTGTTGCTTATTACTGCCCAGCCCAGGTGGGCGCTGCTGGGGGGCTGGGTGGGGGGAGGGGCGAAGGGGCGGGATCTCCCCTGCACAGCAACATCAACCAATATCTGGATGTGATGGCCACCATTTTGCCCGACCACACCCGGTTGACGCGTTCCTGGGGGCAGCCACGGCGGCGAGATTCCCCTCGGTTCCATTCAGAGCGCCTGTGTGCCCTGTGTGCGCGACACATTGACGCCGCCGTGGCAGCTGTGGCAGTTGTGGCAAGACAACAAGGGCCGAGTTTCTTTGACCCAACCCGTGCCAGAAATGCCAGAAATGCCACACAAGACAGCCCAGCCTTGATTGATACCTCAATGCCGTGATACCCAATGACGGGACGGAGGAGATGCGTCTTGCATCGCCCTCGTCGTCGTCATCCAGACACTGCCAACACACCAGGCACACCTTGTGTCCCTCCTCGGCGGCCAAGACGAGAGAAGTCAACCACTCATGCACGCCCGCATGAATTGCGCAGTACGGGAGCTTCCTTCCCGTCGCTTGCTTTTCCCCGGGGCCAGGGGCGCCTATCGCCTGGTCAACCTCGGACGTTGTCTGGCCAGTCAGCCTGTCAAACTGTCCGTCTTCAGCCGCCTGGTCGGTTCATTAGTCTAGGACTTTTTGCCCTGCCCTCCCGTGCCCTGCCGTGCAACGGGGCAGATCCCATCCAGGACTTTGCTTGCCCTAACCCTTGACTGGCTGACTGGCCCGTCTCTTCTCGTGTCTACAGGTCCGAGTGTTCGTCATCGCCTTGTCCCAGCCAGCAACCGTTCACCAGCCCACCCAAACTGCCGGGAATTGGTCCGATTCTAGATCTGCCAATCCCACACTAAAGTGTCATTCATCGGCTGCTTTACCCAATGTTCTAGACCTGGCTATTTGGGGTTCACAAACAATGCGGTCATGGCACTACCCCTCTGCCATGGTCGTAACAAAGTTCTCTGAGTCCATTGACAGTGGCCTGGATGACTAGAGGTCACGTCGAGGCCGGATACTCCGGATATTCCGGCCATTCTGGGTTCCTTGGAGCCGTTGGACCGCATCCGCACTCGGCTCCAATGACATGTGATTCCACAGTAGTGCGGCCACTGCCGATCTACAACCACCTGGGCAGCCATGCGCTACAGCTCATGTGTGAGTTCGAGAGACTGTGGGCATATAGACCGACTATTGTTGCCAGTCCATCACTAATATCCTGTCAACTGGTCCCATCAAAAGACCTCGGGACCTTTTCGGCCTCAGCCTTACCATCCAACACCCAACAACTGCATGTACGGCCACCCGGGCACCGAAGATACAGCTGACACCCCACTGGCAGGATGTACTCCGGTGAAGAGGCCCTGGTCCAAGCTGACGAAATAAAGTTTGCTGTCGCGGACCCAGATGCCGATGATACCGATGTCCAAAGGCGCCAGCTCAGGTTCTCGGTCGACAGTGCTCACCACTTTCGTGTCGATGTATAATCGGATGACATAACCCTGAGCAGGATCACAGATCGGTCAGAAGATTCTTCGTGTCATTGGGTGCGAGCCAAGCCATGCAGTTAAATTGCAAAGCTGAAGGTATTCGTGTGACCAAAGCTGTCGAAGGTGTGCAGGCTGCGCGACGGTGCTATTCTGGGCAGTACGGAAGTTGCGCATGATGAATCTCCATGTCACGTTGGAGCCCTCCGTCGACGTAAGGTTGGAAACAACCACATAAAACATTGAGGAGGTCTTTCTCAAGATCGGCGATTCTCAAACGGCCAGTGACGGTTAACTCGGCGACTTGTAGTGGTGGGTGGTCGCCTTGAGAAGACAGCCCACAATATAGCTTTGGCGAAGCGACCCATGCGGCAAGAGTGTCCGTCATTGCTCCGAAGAGCGAGATTCTGAGATTCTCTAGAGTTTGTGTATCTTGTACCACTTGCAAGGCTCAGGGCTGTGACTTCGGTCGCAGTCTGGCAGCCAGGGCTACTTAGAAAGTGAAAAAACCAGAGGCAGCAAGAAAACAATTGTTAGCCCTAGTGAACGAAGGTCTAGTATGAGTAGGTAATACCTTGTACTTGAACTGCGGCATGTGAGCTTTATGAGCAGTCTTGCCCCCACGCCAACCACGTCTTCCTGCAAGTGAAGTCTGCCAAGCATTCCAGGACTTCTGGATGCCTTCAAGATGCATCGCCTTTTTCAAGCTGCAAGTTAATAAGAAATGTCATTCTATGCAGACCCAAGTTTACGTAACCAGTCTGGTAGTCTATGTTACTACTTAAGTTCTCGCGCCCGGGCGGTATCTCATACGTGAAAAGGAACTGTTACAAGATTCTACATAGCGGATCGCAAAACCTCCGTTCTGTGGCATGTGTACTTATTTCATTGGGATTTGATAGAGCTTCAGGTGGGAAGCATGTCGTTTTGCCCGTAATTGGACCTGAGCGCCGTCCCGCGAATGGCACTCAAATTAGACTTTCATCTGAAGCACCACATGTTGTCAAGAGAAAGCTTACCAGTGAATACACAATGATGCGCGAGGTCGTCCTAGGTTTCAGACAGTGCTCCTGGGCACTTGGCATTTGCAGATTACTTCTCCGAATAGGGGTTCGGATTCCCATTCTACCGGTGCAACTGCTCAGCAACACAGCAGAACATCCATCTCACGTGGATCTACCCATGGTTGATAATAACTCTGATGCGAAGGGGTTCGTCTCATCAAAAGCTATTTACAAGGATTTCGTCGTTCGATGTAAGCTTTCCCACGGATATCTATATCCGGACTATGCCAGTGTTGCCCATAAGATCTGCCTGGAATCCTATTTTCCGCATGGCCCGTTCCTGTGCTCTTCTGGTCCACAGTACCTTAAGACAGGACTCACTCGTTCAGAGTTCGCGCAGACGCTTCTTGTTGGACGCTCGCTTCATTTGTTCTTTGATTGTATTCACTCTTTGTGTGTGGTCGCTCTTTATTAACGAAATGGGAATATTCACCTTAATCACGATACTTCTTGGCGCGACTGCTGCCGCACATGGGGTGATTAGGAATCCGCCATCCCGAGTTCTAGGACCATCTATGACTCGACTTTGTGGACAAACCGCGTTCGATATCGCCAGAGGGGATGTTACCGCCTCACTTGAGACCGTTGCCCCAAATATCACGGCTGGATGTCAGTGCCAATGCCGCATACATAGAAAACATTGATGCTAATATATCTTGGAAGGCCCTCTCACACTTTGCCGTGGGCACCAGTTCGACGACAATCTGGACAAGCTCTCCGTCTTCCGACCCGGTCAGATTGTCCCGATGAAGATTGAACTGAATATCCTGCACGGAGGACCGGCCAATGTATCAATTGTGAAGACTGCAACGAATAGCATGATTGGACCCCCTCTTATTCTATTTGAAGATTACGGGAACAGGGACCTGCCTGCGCTACCACCGAACAATACAGACTTTGCCGTAACGATGCCCACCAACTTGGCAGACACGGATTGCCGGGTGGCAGGAGACTGTGCTCTGCAATGGTTCTGGTCCACAATTGACAACCAGACCTATGTGGGCTGTTCGGATTTCATTCTGTTCGGACATTAGACTTGGCTTCGGGGCTTCTCTTGGTACAACGCGCAAGAGCGATGTTGAGAGAGGCCGCCGCAAGATAACCTCCCAACTTCGTGTTGCTCAATATCTGCAATACTCTGCGCGATGCTAGAGATTCTGATCACGATTGATGAGAGAATACGAAAGCCGGTGGCGGATATGATAGCTGCTGTTGGAGCTTCAGTGAAACTTCTATGTGCAATACGCGGGACAGCCAGAGCACAGCAGGACGCCGGCTGAGCCCTGAGGACGAGAATACCGAAAAACTGAAAGGGTTTTAATTCCGCCTGATACGAGAGAAATTGAAATCCTCATGACTTGCAAGACGCTGTTGGAGATGGACATTTTGGCAGTAGTGAGTGTCCGTATGTGACTTGAAGTGTCAAAAACATAGTTTCAAATGTTAGTTAGCTGAAACCTCAAGAAACAAGCATACCTAAGTACATATTCGCCGGCATAGAAGCATGTAGTAGTACAGAAATTGGTCGTTTGTGGGTTTGGTATTTGGTATTTGAGCTGCAAGTAAGGGAAATCATTTTGGAATGACAATAGTCTGTTCTTCAAGCACAGACAACCAGCAGGGAGGTACGCTTGGAGAGATTCTGGTGCCCCATACAGCAGACCTTTTAGATGTTGAGTTTGCATCCGCTACAGCTAACAACTTGTCAACCTATTCTTCCAGGCCAAGTATCATGGGTATCTATACTCATAGTTCTTTTGTTTTTGTCAATGGATTTCCACCTGCCCTTTGAGGTTAGACTCGGATGTGGCATTGAGACGAAGACTACCATAAAACCACATGTGCAATCTAAGCGCCTCGCTCCTATCTAGGTAGACGGCTGACAGCACTGAAGTGCTCCGGCTCCTTGGAACCAACAAAGTCTCTTGCAACTCCATGTCAGAAATTAGACTGTGTTTCGTGCAACGTGAGGAGTGCTTCACTTCCCCAACATTTGAACATAGACAAATGCGCAAATGGACGATCTCAAGCATCTCATCACCCCCGCCTTGCTCAACCTCCTCGTTGAGGCGCGTATCCCCTTCGCGCCGACTGGGCCCCTTGATTTCTCGCATGTCGGGCGGGAGACATTCCTGGAGTACAACTTTGGCCCAAAGGTCGAAGCTACTGCATGGCCTGCCCTCATCGCCCTCAGCAAAGCCGGCCTGGACAACCTCAGCCCTGAATACTTGATGACCAACTTTCTGCCGTCCCCGACGGGCACTGACTTCCCCCGACAGTGTCTGGGGCTGCAGCTTCTCCTGGACCAGGTTCCGCGAGCGCTCTGCAGCGGCGTCGACGGGAGGTGGAGGTCGTGCTACTTTGACGTGGTGAGCCAGCGATTCGCGAGGTCGTGGCTGGCCTTGCCCGCCGACCAGAGGCCGGACTCGATGCACCGCTGGTGCAACGAGCTGGGCGTGTCGTTCGACTACTGGACGTGTGTCCGGTTCTGGCTCGGCGCCCCGTTCGTCCACTCCGAATCAATGGAGAACCAAGAGATTGCCCTGGACTTCACGGACACGACCCGCAAAGCCGTTGAGGATAAGACTGGGTTGAGGGATCCGTGGAGAGCGAGGCGTGATGAGGTCCTCTCGGACCTTGACGGCTTCCCACGTTGCCTTGTCGCTGGACCGCCACAGGGCGAAACTGTGACCTTGGAAACGTGGTCTTGGTGGTGGACGATGCTTATGGATATCCGTAAGCATTTTCTAGATACAAGATTGACCACTCTTTCAAGGACAAACATACTTGACCTGCAGCCTCAAAAAAGAAGACTTTACGGGCTGCAGATCTTTACACAGGCTGTGGCCACCTTGTGGCATGCTTTCCATATTCCTACGAAGCCACTTCTTGGATTCTTTGATGGCTAACTCCTAATTCTATAGATAAACCAATAATCGACCGGTTTGGCAGATATCCGTACATGAATGCAGTTCGTGGACGTGAGAGTACGAAGGAGGAGCTGGACTGGGTCCAGAGGACAGATCTCTTTCGTCAAGACTCACCAGACGTTGCGAGGCAACTTGCGGAGGATTACGGGGCCGGGGTATGGCAGCCACTCGGGGCCGGGAGGTGATATGCTTGGAGGAAAATCAAAAGATGGCACATTGCTGGCTGCTAGTTACTTGTCATCTAAATTCTACATGAACTCCTGCCAAAATGCGTCCTGACTCTTCAAGCTGATTGGCCGGAAGCCGCTTCATGCCGTGTATTCCTTCTGCAGCAGCTTTGCAATGGTGTTCAGCCTAGAAGTGGTGTTAGTATTGGTCGACTTGTGTTTTGGTCTCACCGAGTGAAGACTTACTGGATGTTGCTTGTTCCCTCGTAAATAGCACCAATCTTGCTGTCTCGCCAGTACTTCTCAGCAAGCCCCTCTCTCACGAAGCCCATGCCTCCCATCCACTCAACCGCGAGCCCACTGACCCTACCGGCCACCTGGGAGGCGAACAGCTTGGCCATGGCCGCATCCCTGACAAACTCCTCGCCAGCCTCCTTCTTCCGGGCGGCATTGTACACTAGCGCCCGCGCAGCAGCAATCTCGGTGTACGACTGCGCAATCTGGTGCTGCATGCCTTGGAACTCGCCAACCAGCTGGCCGAACTGCTTCCTGTCATTCCATACATACCGGGCAGCATTCTCCCATGCGCCCAGCGCGAGCCCGGTCATCTGTGCCGCAATACCTATCCGGCCCTCGTTCAGGAGGGCAATGGCATACTTGTAGCCCTCGCCCACCTTTCCGAGGAGGTTCTCCTTGGGGACCTCGACATCATCAAAGTTGATGACGCATGTGCTGCTGGCCTTGATGCCGAGCTTCTTCTCCTTCTTGGCGATGGAGAAACCCTTCATCTCCCTCTCGACGATGAACGCAGTGATGCCCTTGTACCCCTTGCTGGGGTCCAAGTTGGCGAAGACAATAAAGAAGTTCGCCTCCATAGAGTTGGTGATCCACATCTTGGAGCCCGAGATCTTGTATCCGTTCGGGGTCTCGGTGGCCTTGGTGGCCAGCGCGAAAGCATCAGACCCGGAAACAGGCTCCGACAGACAAAAGGACCCGACCGTGTTGGTGGCAAGCTTGGGCAGGAACCGCTTCTGGAGGTCCTTGCTTCCCCACTTGAGGATGGCGGTGTTGACCAGCGTGTTGTGGACGTCGACGAGCACACTGACGGAGGGATCCACACGCGCCAGCTCCTCAATGGCGAGGATACCGGCAGTGAAATTCATCCCGGCGCCACCGTACTCCTCTGGAATCTCAATGCCCATCACACCTTGCTCAAAGAGCTGCTCGACTATGGCGGGGTCCATCTTCTCGGCCTCATCCATGTCTCGGACCTTGGGCAGGATCACGTCGTTGGCGAACTTGGATACTGACTCCTGCATTGCGGTTTCGACCTCGGACAAGTGTGTTATGGGCGTGGGAGGAATCTCCATCATGTCGGACAGCAGGCGCGGGGTGTTGGACAAAGAACGGGCACTGCAACGCGATGCTTGTGAGCACACACACCTGCAGTCAGGGTCGTACACCAGGTACTCACCTCTGTGCATTGGCAAGCCTTTGGACAGGACGTGCTACTCTGGGGGTTGCGCGCAGACCGCCCAGTCCCCTCTGGCTTACCCGGACCGCCGGGCGCAGTGCTCTCGCAAGAGAGGAAGACATGGTGTGCAGAGGTGATGATGCTATATGACTAGGTGGCAGAACAGAGAGAGAGCAAAGCCAGGGAATCCTAATTGTCACCAAGATCACGAGGAAGAGAGGTGTATAAGATGTCTCAAAGGTCAGGGGCGGGTTTGAGGGAAAACAAGCCGAGTAGGCGACTTGCGAGCAGCTATGGAGTAAACGGGCTCAAGCCGAGGATAACCATCAGGTCGCATCCCGCATTCCAATGCCCACTCCAGAACACCCCTGCTCCCCTCCCCCAACGCACCTGCACCCGGCCGCAGGGGTGCTCGGCCTGGTGCGTCATGGAGAAAAATTGGGGTCCGGGGTAGAGGCCCAGGGCCATGGCGAATAGCTCTCTCTCAGAGGCGGGTGGCATGTGAAGGGAAGTGACTAAGCGATGCCCAGAACGCTTGGACCACACCGGCTGTCCCAAGATTTTGGGCTCATCGGGACCTCTAATGCTGAACAGACGCGAGTGGGCCTCGATTCGTGACAACGGCGAACCCCAGGCCACGCACCTTCACCACCAGCAGTCATGGCGATGCCAATGCTGAGGCATCTGTTGATGTCATCGATGAGGAAGGCGATTCTCCCCACAGCTCGCCCCGTGGCAAAATCTGCCTTCCTCAAACCGTCGACACCCGTGCGATCCTTTTCAGCAACACCGGCACAGAACGCGACGCTCAACCAGGTTCTCAGGGTGCGTACTTCCCCAGAGCCCGTGGCTCTGCTACTTGGCCGATCTACGTGCTGAATAAACTCATCCAGGGCTGCCGCAAACCCCGCCGAGCCCGTCACGCCGTCTCCCCTGCCCTGGCCAGCGGCCACGATCCCCAGCGCAAGGGCGTGTGCATCAAGGTCGGCATCACGCGGCCCAAGAAGCCCAACTCGGGAGAGCGAAAGACGGCGCGTGTGCGCCTGACGTCTGGCAAGACTGTGACGGCCTACATTCCGGGAGAGGGCCACAACATCCAGCAGCACAGTGTGGTCCTGGTCAGGGGCGGCAGGGCGCAGGATTGCCCCGGTGTGCGGTACAAGTTGGTGAGGGGTGCGCTTGACCTGGGTGGTGTCACGAACAGGACGAACGCCCGGAGCAAGTACGGCACCAAGAAGCCTAAGAAGGCCAGTGTCAGCTAAGGCTGGATGAAAGGGGTGTTGGTGGGAACAATTGGCCACCGCTGGCAAACGGTGGAGTATATATCCGAGCTGTAGAACTGCATAGATCTCTCTATCTGGGAAATCTCTGGGGGCATGGCCTTCATGCCAAGTAAGCTATGGAATTCTGGAGGTTCGTGTCATGAAACCAAGGCTGCATAACTGAGAGATTCATTCGAACGCCAGTGACCAATGCATTTGCTTCTTGGAGTCACGAAGCACTAGAGTTCCACGTCCAGTAGTACGCTAGAATGTGTACATGATATACAAATAGGAGCCTTTTGTGTGGTGGCGGCAGGCCCGGGTTCGGGACGCGCGGTCATGATCTTTTCGAGTGCTTCATATTTCTGGTGGAGCTTCTTTTGCGCTCCGAATCTACCTGTCTCGCACGGAGGCATCGATATTCGTGGTTATAATGGACGTCGAAACTATGGACGTCATAATTATAGACGTAATCCCCTTTGCGATAAATCAATCGCGTTACCCAGATCCAGCCTGCCAAGCCCTGACTAGACGCCTCCAAGATCCTTTGATTCCCCCAGTGCTATGGTCGCATCCTACCTTTTGAGGGGGAAAAACCTGAAAACCAGAAGATGTGGAATTTCATAAAATGGCTAGTTGCCTGGTGTTTTCTTCTTCTTCTCAATCTGTTTGGCTCTCCCATCCTTCTGGCTTGTCTAAGCCGTTGATGTCGAAGTACCTCGATGTGCCTGCAGGACGAGATCAGCAAAATCACAAACACATGGACCGGGGATAAACGCACATGAGTAACCCTTCCAGTCGAAGTTGTCTTTAGGGTTGCAGTGACACTTCAGATCTTGTCGGTGTTTCTCGCCAGTCGGGCAGTGCGTGAATGGGACGTGATAGTACGCGATGTCGTTGAAGAAGTGGATCTGGTCTTTCGGCAGCATGAGCCCGGCGGCGATGGAATGAACAGGCGCATCGCCCCAGCGCTCGTAGAAAAAGCCCCCGTCCTGATCCAGAGACTCGAAGAAGTCGATGTACGCCTTTGAGCGTAGCCAGTTCAGGTCGCCGACCTCGAAGTTGGACCACTGGTCATTGTTAGTGAGACGCTCCAAATACAAGTTTCGAGGGGACGTACAAAATGGCAGTGGTTGTAGTTTTCGCCGTTGTCGTCGCTGAGGAAGCCCATAGAGTTATCCTTTGCAATGTGCTCTGGGTGGTTCTTGATGAATTTCTTGACGCTGTCCCAGAGAGTCGGGATAGTCTCGACATATTCGTACAGGCTGAGAACGAAGCTGTACTTCTTGCCGTTCTCCGCCATAAATCGGAAGGGGTCGTAGTGGATGTCGCAGAAGATCTCGACACTGGGCTCGACGCGCCAGTAGTAATCGTAATTCATCATGAGTGGCTGGCGGAAGAAGAAGCCGGACTCGAACCGACACATGTGACGATAGCTTATGGAGTCTCCGTAGATGATCTTGCGTTCCTTCATGTCCTCGCGGACCTGCTTAGCCCTCTCCTGGTCGATATGAGGAGGGAAGGACCAGTGTTCCTCGGCGATCTCGCCATAGTGCGTTTTCCCCGAGACCAGAGACGAGGTCACCTTCTTAAAGGTTGAATCAAATGGCTTGTCATTGAGAAACACCCAGTCATAGTTGTAGCGACGGTTAAACCGGTCCTCGATCTGTCGAATAGAGCGTGCAATTTCCCAAACGTCCGAGTTACGAGCCAGAGTCACAAACGTCGCGTTCATGCGCGGGCCAGGCGCAGTGCTGACCAGGTCCTCCCATTGCGGCGACCCGGGCTGGGTGACCAGTGGGCTTGTTCCCAGGTCTTGTTTCTTGTCGCCGGCCTGGGGCGCCTGGGTCTTTTCGCCATCTGGTTTGCTGGCATCTGTGTTGCCATGGGAGAAGCCGGGGGTCGTGATGGAGGTGATGGAGCCCCGATATGAGGTCTGAGCAATATAGAGAAGTATAATTATCTGGGCGCTGTGTTAGTACGGACTGATGCTGCCGGGCGCCTTGTACGTCGGCGCACGTGGACAACCGAGCGTATAGATGAGATGGCGAGTTGGCTCCGCGAAAACGTACAAAGAAGGTGGGCAGAGCGTATCGCAAAATCCGCACGCCGCCAGCCATCTTGAAGATTGTGAGAGAGTGTCGGAAGGGAAATGAGAGTCGATGGTCGGTAGGTTCAAGGAAGACTGGTCGTCTGCTGGTCGAGTATCGTGGCTCGATCGGCACTTAGTGGTCGCAGGTCGGGCTCAGGCGTAGCATTCTCCGCCTGCACTGCGCGCCAACTCGGCACTCTCAGGTGAGACGAGGATAATGATTCCGCTGGTGCAAGATTGGAACTCGACAGCGGGACGATATGACCTCCGTAGAACAGTCAATCGGATAGGAGAAGCGAAAATAAGCGGTTGCGAAGAAGTGCGAATGGACGGAGGCCAGTTAAGACGTCGGTCGTGCGCTCTGGTGCAGCACCACCTCCTGTCTGAGTCTAGTTGCCGCGTCGGTTTGTCCTACCCCTGCACCGAACGCTAATTTAGTACCTAGGTAGCCAGGGACCATCCGCACCCCTAACAAGAAGGCCGCGTCCGTGTGCCGCCCATCCGTTAGAGGGGTATTGTCCGCATGTCGTGCACCAAGACCCAAGCCACCCAGGCCTGATGAGCGGGATTCATCAATGCCCCCCCTATTCCGCTGCCCTCCTGTTTCGTTTGGTACAAACTTGGTATCTGGTTTAACTGTTGCAAGTGCCTGCCCGCAGAGGTCGTACATCGCATGGCCCTCTTTCGCTATTCAGGCTCCAGGGCTAAGGGCGGAATTCGTTTTGCAGTGGCAAATTGACCAAGCACGTGTCTCTGATAGAGAGGACCCGGAATGGCCGGCAAGGACGAGACTGGGGCGACCCTGAGATGCGCTGAGACATCCCCCAAGATCGCCCAGTCTGGCAGTCTGGCAGGCCTGCAGGCCTGGGCTCTCTGGGCCCATTGTCAGTTACCATGTGCTAGCCATGGCCCTCACTGCTGATACACAGTATTCATTTGTCAATCTGTCAGCTCGCATTTTGGAGTGCGACAATCTGTTCATTTGCTTTCCGCCCACTTGTTGATTCGCTTTTAACCAACCCCGCTGCCCCGCTGGATTCTGCTCTGACACCTGTCCCGACATGCCTCAGCCTCATGCCCAAGCTCCTTATTATCAGGGATTTGGACACTGCTGAGTGTTAATTGTAAGCAATGCTGCCACCCCTGTAGGCTCTTGTTGGTTACCTACGCCCGAGCCTGTCTTGCCAGTGCCGGACGACAGCATTAAACAACAGCTATCCACCCAAGTTAGCTACCTACCTAGGTACCTACCTAGGTACCTAGGTAGTGAATTAGGCACTCCGTAGTCTTAAGATGGCCCGGCTAGCCTTGAGACTCTCTCGTATTACTACCGGATCCAGCCATTATCTGTAGACGACCCGTCAATGAAACAAAGCTTGCTTTTCGTATCACGGCAGGCCCCTATTCCTCTTACGGCAGTTGCCCTAGCTCCCCACGTCAAGTGTCACTGTGTTACTCAGCACTTCTTGACCTGGATAATTACCACGAGAGCGCCCTCGGTGTTGTAACGCCAAAAGTTATGGTGATTGGCGGCACCTTGTACCCAAAATCCCGGGACTTGTTTGTTGGGCGTTCGGTTGTACAACGACAAATGAGCCCAGAGACTGTGCAAGATGCTTGAAATTCGCCCTGTTCCTGCAACACGATATTACGGTGCATTGTCTGTCGTCTTGAGGGTGAGTTTGTGTAGCAAGACCGGATGGTAGACTCGCATGTTCGGTCGGCTGGTCCGCAGTCAGTCGTCTGTCCTTTACGTACTGGGCGACCTCGGGTGCCGGAAGCCTCAGCGCCGATTCGGTGGTCCGTGCTGCGGGACTAGTCGTGGAGCTCTCCTCGCCAATGTTGTGTGCATCGTGACAGGCGTCATCTTTCCCAGCACTGCCCAACCATCCTTACTGCGCCGACCGTGTCGCTTGTTTTGACCCAAGGGCTGCCTGTCTTCCCTTACCCACCTTCTGCTTCCTAACTGCTCGCACATTCTTATTCTTGGCGACGACTCTCCTCTGCGTCTGAGCCTCATTGGACCGGTCAGGTCAAGATCCTGTCTCGCTGCTATCCTGCCCACTTGCGTCTCGAGATGATCGTGATAAAGCAGACCATTGGAGACACGCCGTACCCTTACTTCCTCTAGGTGTGAGTACTTGTCCAGCTCTGCTCTACCCCCGAAGCGCTTGCGCAAGTCCTCGCCCGCGACTGCGTCAGCTGCATCAGTCCCTCCTCGCAGACGTCCGACCCCTCCCTTGCCCTCCTCCCACCATAGACCCACTTTGGCCATACCAGCATGTGCGAAAGCTACCTGTCTATGGTAAGCTTGGAACTGCTGCTTTCCAGCCCACCCTGCACATTGCACCTTGCACCTTGCAACAGCTCCGACATCCACCAGAAAGCTGCTCTTACCCCACTGCCCCAAAGCAGACCACCCCGCGCTCTTCACCAGCCATCCCATCAATCGCTCCTCTACTGCTGTCTTGATTCGCATGCCTGGGACATGTGGCTCTTAGCCCTCGTGCCTGCATCTCAACCCACTCGCTCTGACTGACAAGGTTTTAGCCCTGTATCCGCTCCTCGACCCCTCTGATCCTCGAGACTACGAACGCCTGCAAAATGTCATTCTTTGGCTTTGATACCAAGGGCCACAACCAAGCCGCACCTGGCTTCTCTCAGGCGCATGATCCTTTCGCCGGACTCTCCGGTCACCACGAAGGTGATGGAGATGCAGTCGATTTTGAAGACACCTATGATGGCCTCGGCGACCAGCTTGACGAAACCGGCGATGACTTCAACGATGATACCTTCGGAGGCGACGCCGGCGCAGGTGGTGGGCCCGTTGGCAAGGATTTCGACTTCTTTGGCCGGACTGCCCAGGTAGCCAACGCCATCGAGGAGGAACACATGCTCTACACCCGCAACAATGCGACCGCCGCCGCAGCCCCACCCGCTCCGACAAACAATCAGTATGCGTCGTCTTACAACTATGCTCAGCCTGCCTACAGGCCTGTGCGCACGGGATACGAGAAATATGATGGGCCGGACTCTAGCATGGATCTCCAGGTCGACCCGACCCTCTGGGGTGTCGCTCCCGCCGAGCAGCAGGCTCCTGCAGCGCCCGCTCATCCCTCCCCAGCCCCCGCGCCAGCCTCGGGCCGTAAGGTCATGAGCCTGGAGGAGGTGGAGGCTGCAATGCGGGCCGAAGCTCAGGCGAGAAAGCAAGCTCAAGTTGGTGCGGGCGCAGCTCAAGGCAACTTCCAGCAGGCCGCTTCACAGCCGCAGCAACATGCGCCGCAAGTCCACGGGGGCTTTGATCAAGCCAACTTTTACGGTGGATCCAACCATGGTGGACAACCGCATATTCCAACCGAAACTCAGCGTCCCAACGATACGGCGCAGTTTCACGCGCATGGTCAGCCCGTGCAGATCCTCCAGCGACCTCGCTCAAAGCCTCAGCAACCGCAGCCTACCGTGCCACCCTCTTCGAGTCCCATGGTCCAGCAGCGTCAGCAAGTACCCCAGCCCACACAGATCCTGCAAAATCCAAACCGCCTGTCTGGTGACGCCGCTCGGGTTGGAGTGCCATCGTACCCGTCTCATCCTACCCACCAGTCACAAGGCTCCATTGGTCGCCAGCCACCGATAATCACCCACCCCTCGCAACTGGCCCAGCTTTCGGAAGACGAGAAGGCCGCTTATCTCGAGCGGGAGGCGCGCCGAGCCAAGCGCAACCACAAGATCTACCTCTTGTCCCGCGATAACGGCATCATGACCCCGCACGACAAGAACTTTATCACCCGTATACAGCTGCAACAGCTCGTTGCAGCTACAGGCAACCCGTCCGACAATGGTACCGATGAGGCCCTCGCCGAAGATTTCTACTACCAGGTTCACAACCAGATTCGGGGTGGCCAGCGACAGAACCCCAGCCAGCCTCTGAGCAACTTCGCGCAGACGTATCTATACCAGACGGGCAACCGTCAAGGAGGTCACAGGCGTCACCGCGGTGGACCGGAAAATCATATGCAGCGCATGGAACAGCAGGTTCAGCGGGCTGTAGAGGCGGCCAAGAACAAGCCCAAGAACTCACAGCTTGTCATCGAGGGCAGTCTAGGCAAGATTTCTTTCAGCAATGCCAAGACACCGAAGCCATTGCTCAACATCAAGCGCACAGAGAGTGGCGGTGATGTGCATCGTCAGGGCACACCACACAAGACTCACCCTGGTTCAATTCTTAACAGGAAAAACCTGCTCGCAGACATTGAGAAGGTCTACAACACTTTGATGAAGCTGGAGGACCACGGGCGCAAGATGCCGCCTCCGGCAGCGAGCGAGAACGATTCAGAGCTCGTCCAGCAGTTCGCCGAATGGGAGCAGACCACGAAGCAGCTCAATCAGCAGCTTTGGCGAGAGCTCAAGATCCATGAACCCATGCCCGCAGGAGCATTCGTCCACCCTTTCATCGCAATGCTCGAAACTGCCAAGGGCAAGAAAGCCATCCCACGAGTTTTTCGCCACGTGAACTTCGAACAGCGCACGACTATCCTTACATTGATCGTTGTGAATCTCGACAAGCTCGACGTTGTCCGAAGAGGCTCGGTTACCGACGGTCACATCAACCTCGACGCTAAGTTGCGTGAGGACATCGAGCTCTTCAGCATGGCAGTACATAACACGCTCTTCATGTTCATGGGCGAGCTCGAGTTGAACATCATCACCGGCATTCTAGGCCTGCTTTGTTCCGAGGTTAATGTGGATCTCGTTGCCAGAACCCGGGTTGGTGCTGGTTTTATGACTATGATTCTAAGCCGTGCCGAGATTATGATCCAGCAACAAGGAGGCAGAGACGGCATCCGCGCTCAAGACGGCGGCGCATGGTATGTAGCTTCTTACAACTATTCGGAAGCAGTGTGCTAATCGTTCTATGCAGGGAGCGCAACTACGCGAACCTATTCAACATTTTGGAGCCCACTCTGCCATACATGTTCCCGGGCACACCGGTGTCTGGCGAGGACGCCTATGTCTGGCAGCTTCTCGCAGCCCTTGGCATCGGCGCCAATGCTGATCAGCAGCAGCGGCTGGTTGTAGGAGTCAAGGACCGCGTGCTCGGGACCGTCGAGGTGGCCAAGACCCTGCCTCAAGATCTGGCAGTGCAGCGCCTGAACAATGTGAACTTGTTCATGCAAGCCATCGGCCTCGATGTGTCATTGCTGGGTTAATTCCCACGATTTACGGTGGTCGATGTTGACCGCCCCCCCCTTCGGGGCAGAGCGCACACTTGGGCCCATCTTGCTTTAGACAGGTGGGATTGAAATTTTGGAGAGCGGAACTTGGCGACATTAACCATTGGCGACGACGGGCTGCGAAGCCAGTTCACGACGGAAAAGTGGACGACCGTCACGGAGGATTGCGGTTTCAGGTGCCGTCGAATCAGTGAGGAACGGATATTTGAACAACAGGCACGAGCGGCTTGTACAATGTCCGTAATACCAGCGTGAGAGAAAGATGAGGTGAGGTTTGATATCGGACGGTATTACGCCTGTTCGATAGATTGAGCGGATCACTGTGGATCAGCAAATCATAGTATCCATCGAAAGCAAATACAACAACGCATATACGCATTCAGTGCCTTGCAGCGTGCCAGAGCCCCTTTCATCCTTTCCTTGTTGGGTATCGATGACCTTTGCGCCTAACCAACGCCATTGTATGCACTCAGAAAGCCTGGCTGCTATCTCGCGTGAATCATCATGACCCCGTCCCTAAAAAATCAAAACAACGCCACCCATAATCAGCACTCGTGTAATCATCAATCATTCTTCTTGGTCCTCGAAGGTCCTGCTCTCGCGGTGTTGGTGTTGGTTGCTCTCTTACCCCTGGTTGTGGTCTTCGCGGTGGTGGTCGTCGCAACGGCTTTGCCTTTTCCCTTCGCCTTGGATGCCGGCCCGGCAGCTGGTTCGTCGTCGGATATTTCGATCTTGACGTTCTTCGACCTCTCGATGCCGCTCGTCGTCTCCAGCATGCTGTCCTCGTCCCACGTGGTCCGTAGCTGCGCCACCTTGTCGACCAGGTCCGGCAGGCCGGGCTGGCTGAGCGGGTCGGGGTCGGCCTCGGGCGCCTTGCCCTTGCTGGCGTCCTGGTCCGCGGCGGGGGGTTCGGGCTGGTGCAGGAACAGGGCCTCCTCGGCGACGGCCCACGAGTCGCTGGCCTCCTCGTGCACGTAGCGCATCTTCTTCCAGGCCTCGAGCTGCACCTTCTTGAGCCGGTCCGCCATCGTCTCCTGCACGATCTCCTCGCTGCCGTCCGTGTTCTGCTTCACCGTCATGTGGATGGCGCGCGCGACGTCCTTGGTGGCGGCGGCCCCTGCGCCGCCTGCGCCGCCGCGTGTGGCTGCGAGGCGCTCCTGCTCGGTCGTGGCGTCGATGTGGTGGAGCTGTGGGCGAAGGTGGATGAGAGACGTTGCGGGTGTCAGGTGAAGGTTTGCTGTGTGGGAGCGGACAGTGGTCAGCAATTGCACGGCAGAAGGAGGTGGTCCTGACAGTGGGGTTGAAGCATTTTTCACATACGGCCAGAGAACACCCCAACCATGTACTTGGACTCCTGGCTCGTGTCTGGCATCTGCCCGCCCAGGGTCTGGGTGCGCAAGACGTAGTCCTTCCTCAGCGCCTCTGCCCAGTCAGTGGTGGGGTCGAACACCTCGTCCTGCTGCCTCCCGGGCCTCGCGCGGGGCGGAGGTGCACCGACGCCGAAGCCGCCGGCGAGACCGTGGGTGCCGCCCTTTTTGGCCTCGGTGCTCTTCTGCAGGTGGGTTCCCCAGTTGAGGCCCTTGGACCTGTCGTAGAAGGAGTTGTAGTCGATGGGGTAGTCCACCTCGACCATGCCCGTGTTGGTCTTCATACGGATCTCGAGCGGGGCGCGGGCCATTTTCTTGCCGTCGGACTTGTTGGGGTGTTCGAGGATCATGACCCTGCGGTGGGCGGGTAGCGAGGGCTTGAGGAAGACGTTGTACGACGCAACAATTGGGTCGTCATCGTCGCTTGCTGGGCTCTTGGCCCTTTTGGGAGGCATGCGGTCCATCGCGGAGTCAGACAGCGCCGGGTCGATCATGCTTGAGTCGACGTCCATTCTGGATGTCGAGGAATCTTGATCCCGGATCAATGCAGTCACCTCGAAGGCCAGTGGGCGAACCTGAGATATTCGAGTAGGCTGGGAAGATGTCGGCCGGGTGAGTCAAGGTTGTCGCTGACGGTCCGAGAGAGCACCCACCCAGGTCAGGGACGACAGACAGGTCGCAGGCTCCAAATTTTCGTTTGCCGGTTCGGCACCGATTGGAGGGCAAGGCGAAGGCTAAAGTCGATTTGACGTCAAATTTGCGCTTAGGAACAGAGGTTCTAGAAGCCCTGCTGAAATTGATGTCATGCCTGATATTTTAGTCTGGGAGATCTTTACGAGGTCTCACAATTGTGAGCGTGGGTTGGTAAAGGTTCTTTTAGCGGCGATGGCGAGCCAGACCAGAGAAGCTCGTGATGTTCTTGAATGGCAGCTTGGAATAATCCAAACACCAAGAATATTCCCTCAATATAGTGGCACTGGATTATGAGTAATAAATGGTTTAAAATCCCCTGCTAACGTTCAGGAAGACCTGTGGAATTATGAATCGATTGCATCGAATTACGCCCAGTATGCAACTTGCACCGTATTTGGCAATGCGTCTTCCGAGAACAAGTTGCCTCTCACCAGGGGCCACCGTGAGTCGGCAACTCGCCGCCCCTTCTCTCCAAATATCTGTCGCACAACCTGCTTAACCGGTGTGGAAGAAAGTAAAAGTGAGACTGTTTCGCTTGTATCCAAAGACATGTCAGGTACATATCCCTCCGCGACACCACACCAATCCTACATTTTATAATGAGGATGTGGACAAGCCAGAAAGTCATAGAAAATAGACGATGTGGGGCTTTTGTCTCTTCCCCACGATAGCCTGCAAGACCCCGCGCTGGTGCGGAGAACGACCTTCTGCCCCCTGACAAAGACAGGCCCATCCCGAGTCCCGGCCAGGAGGGGGCCATCTTATCTACGGCTTATTATTATGCTTGCCTGTGCCAAAGCACCCGCAACTGACAGCCGGGGACCCGTGCAGTAGCCTGATTTTTGAGTTCTGACGCCCAGGTGGGTGCCCGGGTGCCTGGCATGCTTAGGTGCGCAGCGAACATGCGGGCAGGTGGCCGGCTTAGCAGCCTACTAGGTAGGCAGCAACTTTGAAGGCACTGCCGTAAATCCACAAACCAACCACCTCGGAGCTCCCTCCAACTCTCAGCCACCGTGTGTCACAATGCTGAAGCGTCACGCCCATTCTTCAGTTGGTGTAGCGGTCATCGTTCTTACATCACGGAACAGCGGCGGAAATGAATGCGGCGGCAGAGGCTCGTGGGAAAGCAGCAGCTAGATCGTATTGGCTTCTTGGGAAAGCCACCTCATTATCTACATTAGGTCATAAATACAGTGGAAATCGGGTATCTTCTCGCTGTTGGTGATGCCTCGCCTGGTCACTTTTCATATGTCTGATACGAGAAACGACCCGTCGGTGACAGCGGGCTGGGGCTCCCTTCCAACTCGTGCCTGTCCTCGATCCCGGTTGGCAGCTCCTGTGGCTCCTGCTGCTGGTCCTGCTCCTTTTTAGCCGGCTGGTAGAACTCCTGGTGCTGATATGGGATCTTCTCCGACTGGAACTGGTAAGCAGGTTGCTTCTGATGCGACGGTGCGACCGGCAACGGCGATATGTGGTATTCCGAACTGCTGGGCGAAGCCACGACAGGCGCCTTGGTTGGCATCTCGTGGCTGTGATACTGGGTCGGCAGTTCCTGCGTCGTACCTGCGATCCGGGCCGGCCATCTGAACTCGGGCCTCAGACTCCCCACGCCCGCCGCCTGGGACGCTGACTCCAGCTGCTGGCGCTTCTCGGATCTCAGCTGCTCGTGTCTCCGGCGGCGGCGGCACCAGATCAGAGACGCTACTATTGCGATGGCTATGATGCCACATGGCACTGAAATCCCCACCGCGATGGCCACGACTCTGGAACGGCTCATTGACGAGCTCGGGGCTGACGTTGAGGTCGGGGTTACAGGGGCGGAGCCCACAGGTGTCGCCGATGCCGCAGTTGGCGACGCCGTCGATGCTGGCGACGCAGATGCTGTCCCGCTCGCCGTTGAAGCTACAACTCGGGGGTCAGCTTGAACAGACACCACATTCAACCGGCCCGGTGGCTGTCCAGAGTCACATACCGGCCGTAGTCGCTGTCGCCAGGTCACCCGGGACCCCGATGGCGCAGTACGCATCGAAGACGTCAATTGCACTTGAGGCCTGGTCCGAGACGATTGACGAGTCGCACCGATCTGAAATGGCATTCGTGATCATGCCGCTCATGAGTGAGCTTGAGTCGGTGCAGAAACATGTGTAGCTCGTCACGGCGCCCTTGTCACCACACCCGCTGTACTGCGCTCGTACGATGGTCGAGAGGACCTCCTCGGCACATGTCGAGAGCTCGTCGTATCCGGAGACAGTGTCAATGAAGATGGACGTGACCTTGGCCGATGCAGCGCCCTGGGCCCGGGCCACGAGCGGAGCGGCCATGGCCAGGACAAGGCGCAAGATCAACATGGTCGACGAACAAGACAGCAGTGGTCATGCGCTACCGACGAGATGGTCGAGGGGGAAATGCCCCGAGTGTCTGGCGCCCTGGGGTAATGGGACCTCGTGGAAGGATCAAAAAGCTCCCGGCGAGTCCCACACTGCTCCGTTTTTATTGCTCAGAACTGGACGTTCCCCCTTGGACTTGCGCCTCTCGGACACATTCTTTGGGGGCGGCGGGGCTCCTGGCTGTTGTGCTGGATGGCATGCAGGTCGACAGGACCTGAGCAGCAAAAGAGTCTGGAGTAGAACGAGAGCCCCTTCTTTACCCGCAGCTGCTTGGGTGTGCGGGCGCGGGCCAGGATTCTTTTGATTGCGTCGCATCGTGGGGCCCACAAGGGCAATACGGACAGGTGCCCCAGGGGCCTAGCCCAAGTCCTCCCTTTGCGGACAAGTGCGTCGCCGTTCCTGGCGCCATGCCGATGAAGTTGAAATGGGCTCTTCTGCGGCCATGTGGCGCAGGCGACTCAGCGAGCCGGCGAGGTGCGCAGCAAATTGCAATGGATGGGAGGGAAGGAATCCTAAAATTGGCATTGGGAAAAATTGACCAGGTCGTAAAGGCGGCAAAAAGGGGGGGCCGGACAGGCGTGCAAGTGGACGACGCACCCGCAGCACGATCTCGAGTTGAGACCAACCGCAGCTCACCCTGATCCTGCTGGACGCGTGGTTGCCGGGGGCCAATGGGGCCTTGCGATGCTGTGATGTTGGCCCGCAGCTTGACATGGCAGGATCTTGGGTTGCATATTGTGTGCCGTCAGGTCGTACGGCTGCCGCACCTTCAGAGGCTGTGCCTGTTCGGTCGAGCAGAAGGGCAGGCAGGGCAGGCAGGGTCTGTACCTACATAGCCGATTAGCAGGGTTGGATGCAGGGGCCTTGATCACAACATTCAGACAGATCCTTGGGGGCTTGCACTTGAACATATTCCGCGGGATCGTGGCACCGTGGGGGCCTTCTACAACACATCATTGAAGCAAATGTCTATAATCCATGTATCTATCTATATACTCACCACGTATGTATGTACGCACTGTGGATAACTACCGCAGGTGCACAATTCCCGGATATTCACCTCCAAAAGATGCCCGCCGACGCCATATGAAGCCGAAAGATCATGAACCACCATAAACTCCTGATACCCAGCTCCGACACCCATCAGAGGCAATCACTTATTGCCTTTTATGCTCTTGTCTAAAATATAGCACTCGTGGACTATGTCACCGGTCGAAAAACCTCTTGCCCTGAAAATGCACGTATGCGAATGCTTTGGAACAGGTGATCCCTTCACGAGCGAACCAACCTCGCTTCCACCCTTCTCCCTACAGTGACGCTCCAATTATCGATAACTTGCCAGTAAGACACCAGCTTCAGCGTGGCGCTCAAGAGCATGAACCACCCCATAACAAACCCAACCGGCCTGCCGAACAGCTCGAACAGCCGCGGCATGACCCAGAAACCGAGACTGTGGAGGACCGGCCCGTGGACCAGGTAGAATGAGAAGCTGACCTTTCCCAGGTACTGCGCCACCGAGCCCTCGAGCAGGTTGCGCAGGGTCGGGCTGCGGAGCACGCAAGGGATAAGCAGCAGCGCCCCGATGGCCTGGTAGTACATCCACTTGGACATCGGGTGGTAGTAGCGAGGCGCCAGCCAGGAAAGCAGCTTGAACCCGGGCGTGTACTCGGCGGCGGCGTCCGGGTACGAGAGGAGCCATAGCGAGACGAAGATGACAAGCCAGCGAAGGGCCCTCGCCTTGAGCGGCGACATCGGCTGCGCCCTGGCACCGCCTTTCCCACCGCCCAGGGCCAACAGGAGGGCTCGGTCGTCCGGTCCTACCTCGCTCGGGTCCGAGGTGCTGAGCACGTCGATCTCGGAGAGAATCATGCCGCCAACAAACGTGCCGATATCCCACCGTCCCAGAGTCAAGGCGTAGAGGGAGAGACCCACTGCCGTGCCCAGCCTCCACTTCGCCTTGAGTGCCGCCGTGCCCAGCAGGAAGGTGTAGAGCACCATCGAGCCGCGGAGTTCCATCGGTATGGTGTATGTGTGCGGGTCGTATCGCGGGTGGTAATGGTTAAAGTTGAAGGGATTTGCCCATTCCGAGTACACCACCGTAAAGTTGGCGAGGGCCTTGAAGATGTGAGGGTGGATAATCGGATGCTCCTCCCACATGCCGCCCAGCTGCATCCACGTAAAGTTCTGCGTAGTGTTGGTGGTGTTGAGCCCGAAATCGAAGCTGGAGTTGAGGTAGGGCACCTCGAGCTGAGAGCCGTCCGCGTGGTACCCCAGGTAGCTGTACAGTCCACGCAGGGTGCCCTTGTCCCTCCAGCTGTTGTCCTCGGTCTCGTTGACGTTGAAGCTTTCAGTGTCGTTGAAGCGCATGGTATCGTTGAACCCCAGGGTGCCGTTGAGCATTCTCTTGGGCTTCTTGACCTCGATCTGATTCTCGGGGCTGTAAATGGCGGCAGCGCCGTACAATGTCGACGTGGAGTTTAGACACAGCGTATCATTCCAGTGAATCGTATGGTTCAGGTAGTCCGGGGTCTGCAGGCCCAATGCACCAGCCACCCCCTCGGTGCCCATTACCGCGATCGTGTCGTTGGTCATGCATGTCTGATTGAAGAAGGCGTGCGTCACGGTGCCATTGATCCAGATCGAGTCGCTGCCCTTGTAGATGGCGTCCTCGGATTTGAAGGCTCCCATCTGCACGAGCAGTGCCACGATGAACATGCTAATGGACGGCGGGATGTAGAGGCGGAATATGCGCCGGAACACTGCAGACCCGAGCCTCTTGCGCGTGTCGTCGAGGCGTCCTTGGTACATGGACCTCAGCATGTGCCTGCAAAGAACATAGCCGGATATGGCAAAGAAGATGGCCACCATGGGCCTGCCCCTATGCAGGAGGCACACGATGGGCAGCGACGCCCACTCCGTGAAGGGCTCCGGGGAGTATGGCGGCCTCGCGCCGTAGCCCAGCATGATCAGTGGCGTCCATGGCCACAGGAAGTGGTAGTTGAAGACCAGGAAGCAGGCGACACCCCGCAGGCCGTCGAGGGCCTTGATCTTGTCCCTCTGCTTGCCGGGGTCCAACGGCTTCGCCTCGCCGTGCTTGTGCCCGCTCGAGTCCTCGGCCCCGTCGCTGGTCTGGGGCAACAGCTGCTGCCCTCCCCCTCGCTTCTGCGGGGCAGATGCGCCCCAGAGGCTGCTCAACATTGTCTGAATGGCGTTTCCAGGTGGGCGCTGCGAGAGACAGGCGGCTCGGCTGTGGAGAGGATACCTAGTATCTTTCACATTGTGCAACGGACGGACAAGACGACGTCACAACTGCCACGAGAGCTTAATTCATCTTTTGTGCTGTGCTGGCCTAATTCCCCTGAAACGGATCGCCCAGAGAACGAACCCACTTATTATCTCAGGGGAAGAGCCTGTAACACAGGCGGCTGGCCGACCTGCCGACTTGTCGGCGTCAGAATAGGCCTAAGCACCCTAACCCCGGACTCCAGGAACCCCCGGGCTCCCGGCCTATTTCTGAAGAGCGACCCAAATTAATGTTCTATAAAAAGTACCTAGGTACCTAGGCAGGCATGTAGGCGATACGTCGGGCTGTAGATACGAGAGGACCTTTCAGACACCACATAAGTTGTTGATACGACCCTTCTTATAGAACCTCTGCAACTAGCACGACAGGCTTAGCAGCATTTCATCTCACAGGCTCATGAGAACCTGGGAAGCTACAATCCCCGGGAGGCTACCATTCAGACCAATTCACATTGACTTCGATATCCAAGATCCACGACATACGTGCTGCGGCTGTGAAGCGAACAAGCGGGCAAGGCTCATTCATCTTGATTCTGGACTCTTTGGTTGCTTTATTAACCTGTTGTTTTCACTTAAAGCTTTGCTTTTGTGAACATTGTGAGGTAGTAGTTACGCCAAAAACAGAGGAGCCTGTGTTGTCGGCAGAGATCTTAGCCGCTGCTTGGGTGGAGGAAGCTTGATGCGCCGCCGCCTCTGCCGGGGAAATAGATTACCGGCATCACTGTAAAAAGTAACCAAGTAAACACGGAACAAGTTCATCATTTCAAGCTGCATGTTTTGCGATTCAAATTCAACCCATAAATTCCGTTGACAAGAGCTCGGAGAGCCAGCCAACAGCCATGGCTTCACCAATAAACCGTCTGCCAGATGGGCAGCCAGAGTGTGTCCAGCCAAGAAAGTTTTATATTTTTGGCTACAATATATCGCATTCCCTTTCCCCAACCATCCATAACGCAGGCTTTCAACATACGGGCTTCGCCGGACACTACACGATCCATGAGACTCCGGAGGTAGACTCGAGCGTTGCGGCACTCCTCACCGACCCTGATTTTGGCGGCGCTTCCGTCACCTTCCCACACAAGCTGCAAGTTGCGCACCTTCTCGAGTCTGTGTCCGACGCTGCTCAGAAGATAGGCGCCATCAACACCATTAGCAAAAAAGACGGGAAGCTGTGCGGAGACAATACAGACTGGTCCGGTATCAAGGCATGCATCGAGAGCGCGGACATATCCGGGCTCTCAGACTCGCCTGCAATTGTGGTTGGTGCTGGGGGTGCAGCGAGGGCGGCGTGTTACGCGCTGATCCAGCTGGGTATCCCCAAGATCGTGGTGGTCAATCGCACCAGGGCCAACGCAGAGTCCATGGCATCGAGGTTGGCGGGGGCAACCTTCGAAATACACGAGACGCTCCAGGGAGCCGTGGAGGCATTGAAAGTCACACCACCCAGGGTCGTCATAGGATGTATCCCTGCGGACGACCTCACCGAGGATAAAATCCCTGCAGAGTTGTTTGGGGCCATAGATACCGGGGTCCTGGTTGAGATGGCTTACAGACCACCTGTCACGGGCATGGAAAAGGCAGCTGCGAGGCAACCGGGCTGGCGAGTCTTTAAGGGAGTCGACGTTTTGAGAGAACAGGGCTATGCGCAATTTTCAATCTGGACCGGCAAAGCTGCGCCTAAGGAAGTCATGTCAAAGGCGATGGATGAAGAGCTGAAGCGAAGAGCTCTGGCCAAGGGACAATAAGGGAATGAATGTTTTTTGAGCATGACCTAACTAGTAGAGGTTGGAGCGCTTCAAGTTGTTGAGCGCATCCTGGCAATGTTGAGTATTATAAATATCCAAGTAAGGGGACGATGTTACCTAGGTATTTACATATGTAGCTATTCTAGAACGACCATAGATATACACCCAAAGAATTCCACCCCACACCTTCGAAACGTAGTCATTTGATTATGTGCCGGTATCTGCAAACGGCCAATTGAAAAGTTCTCAGCACAGGCTCTGGGAGGCTGATGATCGTGGCCAAAGAGAATTACGACGTTTGGCCGCGTCTCAGGTGCATCCTTTTGAATTCGCGCAGCATATCGGCGCGCATCAGCTTCTCCGGTGCCTTGCGGCCAGTAAAAAGCTCAAATTGAGAAATCCCCTGTTCGGGAAGCACATGCAAGCCGTGGACTCTAATCCACTCAGGCCTTCCTAGTTCGCGCACTTGCTTCAACAGAGTCGTCTCGAGGCGGTCATATGCTAGCTGCAAGGACGTCAGAACAAATAATCAATAGGAAGTTGTAAATGGGGGGGGGGGGGAAGGGTTCGGAACTCACCTCAACGACTACTCCCCCGGTCTTGCTTCCCAACCATGAAGAAGGGATCTCGATTTGTGGAGAGGGTATGCATGATACTATTATGGTAGGTAACGCCGTAAGGGCTTGCCAGTCCTCTTCCAGGTTCTCAACCACCCGGACGTTCGCCGGGCCAAAATAATCATCTTCTTGTCGTTCCTCAGGCGCATCCATAGCTACTAGCTCCGGTCTTGGGATGGAGTATCGCTTCCCATTATACCTGGCAGCCAGAGCCTTGGAATTTGCCAGGGTGCGACTCCATATCCATATGTTTTGAACTCCAAGACGTATCAGGCTGTACACACTCGCGTGGGCCATGCCGCCCGCGCCTAGCACGAGGGCAGATGTCCGATGCTTGACGGCATTGACGGGAGACAGGTTCCGGCGGACCGTGGTGTGGACTCCAATCCAGTCTGTATTCTCGCCGTAAAGAGCCAGCACTGGTCCTGTCGAAGTCCGGTCTAGCAGAGCGTTATCGCCAACACTCCGCAGCGGTATGACTGTGTTCACAGCACCGATCGCCTGGGCGTCGGGGCTTAGAATGTCAATCAATGGTATGATCTCTTGTTTGAAGGGAGACGTAATGCTCGCACCGCCGAAAGTCGGACTCTTGATAAAGAGAGCCAGGTCCTGAAGGGACGACGAATCGAAAGCCTGATATGTGTGCGGCATGGATGAATATTGAAAAGCGGCACCTTGCATTACTGGAGAGAGACTTGAAAAAACCCCTTGACCAAATATCCCAAAGCGCTTAGGTTCTAGTGTGAAGGAAGAATACAGGATCTTTTGCGCTTCCTGAACAGTGAAAAGCCCCTCATCTGACATTTGTTGGGTTGACGACCTGATGCGTAGGGTGCTGACGACAGGTGATAATATTGGATTAAGAACTCGAGATTGGCGGCCAATATGGCCAGTATTGTATGCGATGACAGGAATTCGCCTGCCTCTGGACTCTGTGACGGTCTTGAGGAACCTTTGTGCCTCGAGGTTGTCAGCCTCAGACAGGGCTGGTTGGCTGATGCGCACAAGATCACACCCGAGATCTTGAGCTCGAACAACAAATGACATGCGGTGCTGGCTCCTCCAGCCGGAGTTATCGATTTTGTTGTCAAAATAATCGCCGATGATTTTCGTATGCCCCTTGGCTGAGACTATGTCCTCGACGAGCGCATTGCCGAGACCAAGGTCCACAGTCAAGTATTCAGGCAGGAAACGTAAGGCGAAATGCGTGGCCTGCCTGTACAGCTCCACTGCATTCTCATAAGAAATACCGCATGATACCTGGGGAAAGCCCGAGGGGTGGGTGATGTGAAAGATCAAAGGTAACCTGGAGGCATTCCGAATCGTCCAGAAAGATTTGGTGATGTAGCTAGCCGCAGCGTGGTCAAAAGCCAAAGACTTTCCAAAAAAGGTCGACAAGTCAACCCTTAGCTCGACTGCGTCAACGAGACAATCTTCTTGGCGCAGAACTGGGGCCATCTGAGGCACCTGCTCCAGCGGCAACTGGAGGGCGTAAGTGTACAGCTTCCTTTCGAGGCTTGCGAAAGCAGTAGGCGTGCGAGCCTGGGCCGTCCGGGCGGCTGCGTGGCCCTGAATGCTATAGGCCAAGTGCAGAAAGTCTTTCTGAACTTCCTTCAAGGCTAATGTTGGCCTTTGTACAGCAAGACTATGCTCACGCCCATCCTGACGCTGGCCCGGCTGAGGGCTGGCAAGGTTGAAGAACTCGAAGCTGGATATAGATCGAAAAGTGGGATTTCCGGCCTCGATTATGGCAGAGACAGCCTCCGAGGAACATTTTAGATGGTGGGATATGCTTTCCGGATCCCTGAGAATGTAGATGACGGGATGGTCTTTGGCAAAGCGTCGGAGAAGAGTCTGGCCTGATTCATCAACACAGATTGGGCCGCAAATTATGACTGCTTGTGATGGATTTTGAGCAAGGACGCCTTCCAGCAACTTGAATTCTTTCGAGCGGCAATCGATGTGGCCGTGCTTGGATATATATGCACGTCTTGAAAGGCCGAATGCCTCTTGAAAGATGGTGTCGGTTTCGATGAGGCGGAAGCCTAGCGAGGCCGCAGCCAGAAGCCCCAAGGTCGTTCGCCCCGTCCCTCTGAGAGAGATGAGGACTATCGAGGCTTCAGGCGCGAACCTGCGTCCTGGCATGGCTGTTCACCGGGGTTGGAGTTGAGAGACCGATTAGGACTGCAACTTTCTTGGTCATATCTGTTGGACAATAGTTCCCATTTCCCGGCTTTAGACTGAGTCAACAAGCAGGTTTAGCGTTACTCGAGCCTCCTTCCGCGAGTTCTATTTGCGCGACAAGCCCCTAATCTCCTCGTTGGAACCGTTGGTGTCCGACTCGGGGCAGTTCATGCGTGGCCAGCGCTGTGACCTCCGGCTAAGACCTTTGCCGGCCGCTTCGCGGTCAGTGACGTGACCACTGGGCATCCTCGTCGATGCCATTACCTAGGTATTGACTCAGTTTGGGGAAGTACGTTCTACCATAATGGTCCAAAGTACTCTCTATGAGCTTGCAACGAATGGCACGTAGAATTACTGTCCATCTGCTCGAGCTCCGGAGGTCTGGCCTATGCCTTTGGGAGTGCCGACAATTTTGCTCACCCTGGTAGTGGAGCCGAGGCTATTTACCCAGCATGTCATCAAGCGAGACACGTTCGAGAAAAAGGGACGCGGAGACAATCCAGGTGGCAAGACAACCGGAAGCGAAGCGGACCAAACGTGTCAGAGTCTTTTGGGCTTGCACAGAGGTAAGCAAGCGCTCCCAAGTGCTCTAATCGCCACCGCGAAGGTGGAGTTGGATCAATGGCTCCAAATTTTCTGACGTCCAGTCTCGTAGTGTCGCAGAAAAAAAGAGCGATGCGATGGCATACAACCAATTTGTGGATCATGCAAATCTCAGGATCGCGACTGCTCCTACGTACGACGTCCCAAGAAACGCGGGCTCACGACAGGCTACGTCAGGGGCCTCGAGATATTGCTCGGGCTAATATTCCACTCTGTGGAGGGATGCGAGCCCTTCATTGCTGCCATATTGAAAGGCGAGTCCTCTATCGCTTCGCCCGGTGGCCAGGAACACCAGTCGGCCTCGACTGTCAACGTGCTGGTAGATACCTGGCGGACCAGCTCGTCATGGAAGGAACTGGAGAGAATCCTTTCGACAGTCGAATCTGGAGAAGATGAAGAGTTCACCGCGCGTGATCTACATGACAGACTTGATGAAGCTCTGAAAGAGTCGTTGTCTATTAAGGAAGGGACCGGCACAAGCACGCTACTTTCTGAAAAGCCATCAACCGATAGCCGGACTGTCCTGCCTGAGGGTGGCGGTACTCCAGAGGTCAATGATTCCCCTACACGAGAAGCAGGCGGCGGCATGCAGGCGACAGAATCCGCCACCGTTGAAACACTACCAAGTGATACTCCAAGGTTTTCCAATCTATTGCAAGATTGGCCTGAGCTTCTGGATACCTATTTCGCGAGTACAAACTCTTGGATACCTATTATCTTAAAGAATGACGCCTTTCGGGCAGCATATACTCTCGCTGCTGCCGAGCCGCACAGCGGTCAGAATGATCAACTTCCATTGGGCGACCAGGCTTGTCTTCTTTCAATGCTCGCCTACGCCAGATATACAGAGTGTGTTGCTCTTGGGAAGAACGGCTTTAGCAAAGATCTACAAGACAAGTTCGCAAATGTTTTCGCATGGGCTTCACAACTGATATCACATTACGAGAGTCAAAGTGATATCGGCCATATTCAAGCCATGCTCATCTTTACCATGCTCTACTACGCCCAGGGCAACTTGAAAATGGCGTGGTCCCTTGTTGGGAAAGCCGTTTACCATGTCGTGGAGCTAGGTCTTTTAAAATCGGGTATCGCACAGTCATCCCCTTTGGAACCCCGAAGCAAACGGGTTGTATTGAGTTGCTTTGTCCTAGAGACTCTGCTATCGGCTCGGCTGCACCGACGGCCATATATGCGGACCTGCGACATTCAATCAGTGGGATTACTTGATGCTGATGGCATTGAAGAATGGGAACCATGGAGGCCGGCAAGTTTATTGCCATCATCAACAAGTTGCGACCTACCACGGCTTTCACAGCAACCTGCAAGGGTGCTAACCACTTTCAACCTCCTGTTGCAAGCGTCAACCATAATGAACGACAACCTCCAAGGTCACATTGGTGACGCCGACAAGGGAATCCAACAAAGACATCTTGATATACTTGGTCTCTTGCAATCACAAGATCATCTTAACAACCTTATTGCCCAACCAGAAGCACAGGAGATGTCACCACAAGCTGCTAACCTCATGTTGGCTACTGTGGCCTGCCTTCCAAATCTGATCCCCACAGGTGCTCATATAGGACATACCAACCCCTCGTGTCCTAGCAGCCCCCAAGCCAACCGGATTCTTGCAAGTGTCGCCGAAAGAGCCAAGCAACAAAGAACCTTCTTACTGCCACCTTTTTCCGATTTATACCTCAATATCATCGAGAACAGGAGCAAGAACCCCGTGTTTTCTCACGAAACACATTATTCTATGACATGGATATGGGAACTCAGGGCGAAATACAATGGAACTTGGGGTGCTACCGACTTCTACTGTCACCATTCGCCGGAAGCAACGAGCCACCATTTTGGGGAGCCCTTGACCACCCCCAACGCCGGCTCTGCGGTAATTGGACAAGGCTCGAGTGATGAAGTTGGCTCGAGAAACCAATTCTCAACTATGATTCCAACGAGCACAGACAAAGGTGACACTGGTATATCTGCTGCCGGAGATCCAAGCGCTTCTCTCAGGCTCCAGCCGGAAGGGTAAATAATCCACATAACGACGCAAGTAATTCGCGGGCTGACGTCAACTGGTACTGTGCTTGATACAGATTTACTCGATCCGGTCAAGCTGGTGCGAACCGTACACCATACATGGGTCATTCTAGGTCGCCCCTCCTAGACTCCAGCCCGCAAGATTTGTTCAGCAGCCTTCTATCTCTGGAAAATGACGACAGGTGCGCTTCCATCTCCCCGTTGTCATTTTAAACGTCTTTCTACCGGTGCTTGACAACACGAGCCATCCTCGGTTCCCATACCTTTCTGACCGGGACAACCACTAGGCCGGTTCTATCACAAGAGTTTGTAGAAAATTTAGGGGTATTGGGGGACATCGGCATTGATTCCGTAGAGTTTCATAATCTCTTCACGGGTTAGGCCCTGTGGACCACAAGTAGCGAGTTGCGCTATTTACGCATTCATTAATGCCAGCAAATAGACTCTCACGGCTACCAGAGATGCGTTGTACTTTTGAGACTCATAATCGGCGACTTGAGTAGCGCAGACAATACCTAGGTAAGTCGAGACCACCCTGAGCCATGCGAAATGGACTTCATGAAATCAAGATATCACCCAGGAAAACCTGGCTACAACTTTCAGGAGACACGGACTTGTTCATTATTAATGGCGTCAATGCCACACTGCCGATTAATCCCGGGTACATATGTAGATATAGTACACTTTTACGAGTTGATAGGTGATGGTATCATCAGAGCACGACGTGTGCAAGTACCTGGAAAAGTTCTTATCAACCTCACGAGCTGCATGACATCATGCCATATGAGTGACTGAGTGATTGTCTTGGGTCTGCCTTGGGTAATGTCTTATCCGAGAGGTTGCAAGCATCCTGCTAGCTCTAGAAAAGTTACACAGGACGGATCTTTTAAAGTTCCACTACAACTTGAAGTCGGATGAAATTAAAATCTTTAAGTGAAACCTCGCCACATCGTCCATCGGCTGCCAAACCCAATGGCTAACGTTAACTATCAACCTTCCATCCTGTCTGTGTCGTTGGGCCGTGCTTGGCATCATGATCTCCACCATAAACTGAACCAGGCGGCTGCAGATGGCTTCAAGGGTGTGGAGATCTTCTACGAAGACCTCGAATATGAGGCGAAACGGAAGTTCGGGACATCTAGCCCAAGCTCAGAACAGTTGATTGAAGCTGCAGCCGGAGTCTATCAGACCTGTCAATCAGCTGGGCTTGAGGTCATCGATCTCCAGCCGTTCCTATTCTACGACGGTCTGCTAGATCGAGCTGAGCATGATCGACTGATCGGCAAGTTGAGTGTTTGGTTTCAAATTGCCAAAGCACTCCGAACAAACACGATCCAGATCCCAGCCAACTTCTTGCCTGCTGAAAAGCTCACCGGCGACTTCAACGTCATTGCGTCTGACCTCAGAAAGCTAGCCGATCTGGGCCTCAAAGAAGAGCCCCAGGTGAGATTTGCGTACGAGAATCTCTGCTGGAGCACTCATGTCGACACGTGGGAGAAAGCCTGGCAAATCTGCAAGATGGTCGACCGCCCCAACTTTGGCCTTTGTCTCGACACGTTCAATATCGCTGGCAGGGTCTGGGCCGACCCGACGTCGCCAGACGGGAAGACCCCTAATGCAGACGCGGACCTGAAAGCGTCTATTCAAGCAATGGTGCGGGAGGTAGACTTGACCAAGGTCTTCTTCATCCAGGTAGTGGATGCGGAGAGGTTGGCGTCGCCGCTCGTCGACGGTCACCCTTTCCATGTGGACGGCCAGCCGGCGCGGATGAGTTGGTCACGCAATGCCCGAACTTTCATATACGAGGATGATCGTGGGGCATATCTCCCCGTGGAAGATGTTGCTAGAGCCCTTATTGACGACATGGGATACAAGGGATACATCTCTATGGAGCTTTTCTCCCGCACCATGTCTGAGGAAGGCAGTGAGGTCCCCAAACAGCATTCGCAGAGAGGGATCCGAGCATGGGAAAAGCTGAAGGATCGATTGCAGCTAGATGTCAAGTGAAATCGAGAAGGAGCCTCATTTGCGCATCTCAAATAGTCAATCTTGCTAATCACATTAATGTGAACATTTCTAAATATTTCAAAAACCCGTTCTTTGCGGCACATGCAGTAGATGATCTTCTCGCCTCAAGATACCCTTAATCACCCCAGCGACGAGGCACTGGCACTGGAGTACTTCCGATCACCCCATCCAATCCCTAAATCTCTATCTCTCCCCCTTCTACCCAGGCACGTGCCTGTCTGTAAAGAAGATCATGCTTGTCACCAGATGGTGTCCCGGCGTGGCGTCGGTGACCGGGCATATCCCTAAGAACAGAGACCCCCATGGTGGCTTCTTGACAGTATGCCAGCATCTTGTATCCGTCAGGGTACGACCTGAGTCTCTCTTCGTCGAGAATAGGCACCCTAGCAGGGTTTACGGGGATCAATTTGTCCTTCTCGTACCAGTGCCTTACGAGGCGCGCCGCCCATCGCTCATCCCTCTTCTCAAAGAAGAATATGAATCGGCAATCCGCTTCTGCGTCTACCTCGCACCCATCGATGATGAACCTCTGCGTTATTGTCGCCTTCATCTTGGTGACTGCACGCTTTGCGTCTGGGGAGATATCTGTCGTGGTCCCATGACACCGATGCATGATGAATGCGCCTTTGTTTATTCCGGCCTTTGATCCCTCGATGAAGTCGGTGTATTTGACCCTCCCGGACCAGGTCGTGTAGACGTATGCATCCTCGTGGAATATTGACGCGAAGTTTTCCCATTCGCATGCGTCTCTGTCATGAAATAAATGTCAGCCTGATGTCGTATCACCAACTCACACGTTCCTGGGCGGAGAGTATCTCCACATGTGCACACACCTGTAACATGGCCAGCCTTCTGCAAGCTCTCGCAACTTGAATCGCTCCAGCACCAGATTTTCTGGACCATTGTTGCGCACAATTTCACTTCCAGGCAGCCAGCCATCCGGGAGACTGTGCAAGTCAGGCATGTTGCTGGGGCGGTACTGGACTCTGATGAAAGCCTCGAGTGCGTTCGAATGTTATGGGAAAAACAAGATGTAAAACGTTTTGTGGCAGTCAAAGCTGATGAATGCTACATTGACTATCAAAAGGAAAACCAATTTTGGGCCGGGACCTGCGCGTTCGCCATGTAACTAACATTGTACGGCTGCTGGCGACCGCTCATGAGTCCCGCGGTAGGACCTCGGGATGAGGGGCCGGCAGAGGTCTTTCCCGAACCACCACCCACCAAACCACTTGCTCTCAGAAGTTTATTCCGGGGCTTTCTTCAGCAGCGCGGAGCAACACCTTCCACGCCCCTTCGTTGTCTAGCTCGGCGGCCCGTTCTTCACCCGCCCAGAGTTTCCATTGTTTCTCAATCTGGTACCCAATGACGTGCGTTCCTTCTACCGTCGGCCATCCCTGCAGCATTAGAAGTCAGCCATCAAAGAACCAGACAATTAGCTTTATATCAACGCAGAAAGGGTAGGCTACGAGGTGGCAATAACATATCTCGAACCCTACAGCCCTTGAAATCTTTGTTATGTGGGCTAAGAACAGGGCATGTCTGTTCTCCGAGGGGTGAATCCAAAAGCTGCTTACCTTCTTCTCCGCCAGCTGGATCATCCGGGTTCGCCTCGGCTTAAAACACATGTCTAGAACAACACCTTTGGGAGAACGGCCCAGGAAGTGGTCCAAGACTGCCGCCACCGTCTTTTCCGCTTCTGTAGAGGGTGGGAAGTCGGGGACAGTGCCCACCACGTAGTACGGAGTTTCGAGACTTGAAGCCTGCTCCAGAGATTTGACATGTACGATCCTTGGACGTGGTTCGATGTGTGTTGTGTCCCGGACCAAGTCCTCCACCTCCTTTTCGTCGCGGTTCAAGACATAGATGGTCGTGGAGAAGAGCTGCGTGCTCAAGGCGTATACGGCGGCGCGGCTTGCACCACCAGCCCCGACAAGCAGCGCTGGCTGGTCGCTTTTCCCTGGCTTGGGGCGTTCGTTGTCGTCGCCCTTCTCGAGGAGACACCCTTTGATCCCCAACCAATCGGTATTTGTGCCCACCAGCTTGTGATCTGACGGGTCGTAGTACACATTGTTGCATGCCCCGATCGTGGTGGCTAGCTCGTCCAGGCGATCGAGACGAGCCATGACGGTACTTTTGTATGGCATGGTCACCACAAGCCCGGCAGTTTCTCCTGACCTTGCAAGCTCCATCAAACTGTCCAAGTCAGAGCACTCGGTGCTGTGGAATGTCCATGGTAGGCCGAGAGACTCGGCGATATGGTTGTGCATTGGGGGTGCGATGGAGTGCTTGACTCCAATGCCGACGAGATGGAGCTTTTTCTTTCCGTCCATGCCCGCCATGTTTGTGGAGCGTCTGGCGATCGAACGTAGGCAGAGCGGAATGTGAAGAGAGCAATAGACCGGAAGTCGCTCGATGTAGAGATATTGTACGATAATAACGCCTATTTCATGTGTGCAAGGACATCTCGGCCTATTAATTTGGAGTTTCCGTACCGAACGTCTTGTCCGGATGAGCTCTGGGCAAGGCGGATAAGAACTTATGCTGGTCGCATGTTGCCGCGCTGGTGCAGGGGATCAACTCAATTACGGCTCCGAGCGGGGTTATGGCTCATGTGCTGTGACACACCACTTGCACTTCTGGAAAAGTCGGAAGTCGTGCTGGATTGGTGCAGCAAGTAATTTCGTGACTTCGGGGTTCTTCAATTTTCTAGTTAGGATCACTGGAGAACACCTCGCGTTTAATAAGCGCAATCCTGTCCTTTCCCTACAACTCGTACTAATCAATTAACCAGCAACTTCTTTCACCCCCACAAAGCAAAGTTTCCAAGCTTCCCTTCACGTAAAATTATGAAGCAGTCCATATTCTCAAACTATAGTGGTATGACGGTACAGGCTTATAACTACTAGATTTCCAAGGTGGGGGACTTAGAAATTATAGTCTTTTAGCCGGGGTGTCTATGATGTAGTAGTTTATAATCTATCTTGATTTCTAAATTAAGAGTTATAAGTTTAAACCCCTATAGTTGAATAAAAAATCACAATATGGCTGAAGCCCCGTCTCAGCATACTTCTCTATCACAGACACTTGGTCTTCCATAGACGGAGCACAGCCAGCTGTCCAATGAGCCTACCATCCCGAAGCGTCTGCGCAATTGCAGCCGCCGCTGTGGCCTTCGGGCCCAGACGCTCGAGATTGCAATCGTTATCAACGTATTATTCAGCTTTGCATCTGGGTCCGTCTCAGAGGCTAACTGCAAGGTTGGATTGATGTAGAACGGTCCGAGGGCATTGTAAAAATCAGAGGTCGCCGCTGGCAGGTGCCATCGTCGAGTAGGCGGGGGACCTCGTTGACCATCCCACGTATAAAGCTGCGCTTTCCAATGGCCGGTTACGCTAACATTATGTGTGTAGTGATTACTTCAGTTGCCTCTGCAGTTATCCAACTCTGCGCCTCTACAAAAGAGGGAAGCTGCGGGTGCCACCTGGGCAGCCCTGGAGACTGAAGCGCGGCATCGCAGATTTTGGCTTGTGACTTGGCCAGGGAAGACTTTATCTCACCCTCCGTGAAGTTGATGAAGTTGAAAACACCTCTCTCAGGTTCATTGGGAAGCTACTTGAGCGCATGTGTTAGTCATCTAAGGTGTCCCACATAGGTTTCGAAAAATGCCTTTTGGCCGTTGGTACCTAGGTAGGCTTCTTCTCACTGGCACCCACCACGCTCGCGCTGCCCAGGGGAGTCAAGACGCGCAGGCGAAGTATTTCAACCCTGCTCTTTCTCCAAAAAGTACCTACAGCTGCCATGATTCCAGAGGCAAATACATGTGCTTTACGAAGAACTCGAGGACGTGTGCAGTTCGTCTCGAGTAGATCGTGGTTAGTACAAGCCTTCTATTTAGGGTAGATGGCGGCAACCTCGAACTTGGGGAGGCCCTTGGTGGTTTTGTATTCTTAAACCTGCTAGGTAAAATATTGCGGTCCTGCTACCTAGGTAGACAAGACCACCCAGCGTCTTCAATCAAGATGACGTGGACGTGATCCATACAATACCAGGACTGCTTTGCTCTCATTTCAGCTGCTACTCGGGACTCAACTTGAAGTTTGTATTTTTAGGTCTCGAATCTAGGCTGCGTGGGCCGAGGCCATGACACCATCATTGTTATTCAGATGTCAACCACAACGCCATTTGGGCATCACTCGCATTTACAAGCGCACTGCAGTCTGACTCCCCACGCTTCTCTGTTAATATTGGCTTGCCCCCTCTACATCTGCGCTACTAGAAGCTTTGTTCTGCCTCCTAAAGCGATTCGAACAGCAACCTTGGAAGGGCGTGGCGACTAGGACAAGCAGTTGAGTCCTCGGAATTCGCTTCGTGAAGGCACTGAGACATCATTGGGAATGATTCTCATGCTTATGAGGAGCGCCCTATCTCACCCAACTGCTGTTTCTGATGGCAAGCAACGCTGAAGTTGATTCAATGTCGAGTCTCGACAGGTGCCAACCTGAACCGGAAAAGAACAATAATGAGCGCATAACAAGTAATACATATAGTATGTACACAAACCTACTTGTCCATATTGCCTTTTGGGGCCGGCCAGAGTGCATCACTGCAACTCAAATGATAAAAGCTAACTTAACTCTTCACAGGAGCAGTGTCAATCTAATCGTAGGAATCCACATGTGCTGGTATGAAGCGACCGATCATCATTTTTGCCAACAAGAAATACTGCGCAATCCGTATCGACACCCTATGAGATATACTTTGAGAGCCTGTTTAGAAGCGATTAGTCATACCAGCTTGGGACGTCGTGGTGGTAAGGGGCGTGGTGGACACTAACTCGACCAAATTTCCGTCTGGATCTCTCACATACACACTTCGAATAGGTCCGTTTGCACCGGTCCTGCTGACCACTTGTTCACCCTCAAGAACCTCCACACCCTCTTTTTGGAATTTTTCGACCAGATCCTCAAGACTAGAATCGGCCTCTATGAGGAAGCACAGGTCTGCGGTTCCTGGCAGAGCTGTCTGGGCCTTTGGTTCAAATTCCTTCCCTTTTTGATGCAGGTTGATCTTCTGCGTGCCAAATTTCAGAGCATGCCGCTGGGCCGATGGATCAGACGACGTCGCGAAAGTTTCAGGCTTCATCGCGAGGAACTTGCTATACCACTGGATTGTTCTTGGTATGCTCGTACACGTAAGAACCAGGTGGTCAAGCGACCTTACAACAGCTAATGGTCTTGACATGATTATCCAAGCTTCCTAAGGTTGCCTTGGAGATTGATGCTGACTCAGAACTAAGGCGGCAGTAGAGAGCTATGTTAACAATGTGCTCTAGGTGCTCTAGTTGAGGGAGCTGGAAAATCGTGATGTCAGCTGCCCAGGTGTCGTTTGGTCCGGGCCGTGTGGAGTCAATTCCCCAGAATCTTGACTCCAACGCGCCTCCTACCGAGATCGGAGAATAAACTAAGGCCTAGCACGCGCTATCATACAAAGACTGAGTGAGACCTGACTGTATTTGGTACCGTGGAGGTCAATGTCTTGATCCCTGGCTTTCAGTTGAACTGCAAAATGAAGGAACACTGCAGCCCATATACAGCTGTACTCAACCCGAATGGCCCATCCACGATGTGGATTATCGCCAAGCCCAGGAAGTGCTGTTATTTACCCGCTGAAATTAGCTCTAGCACGGTAGCCCCAGCACTGCTCGTCCCAAAATGCCCCGAGCTGTCGTACAGTGGCGTGGGAAATTACGAGCCTGGTTCGACTGCAACAACGCCATTCGCGTCCCCTTCCGCCGGAAAACAAAATCCAGGATGCGGAGTCCATACGGGCTGCATATTCTACATGACAGTCTCTGCGTGTACAAGTACTGGCGAACCCCGCCAATGTTCAGTCCCTTGCCCTCTATTCGCCTCTTATCTCTGCTTCAAGTTGTGCTTGACCCTCAGCTATTTTGCCTACAATGGCGCGACTCCAAGCTGTTTACCGATTGGCGACTTTGTTTGTTGGCGTAGCAAACGCTGCACTTATTGATTCCTCCACACTGCAGAACTTCTCAAGTTTGGTGTAAGGGCTGAAATCCTCGCATTTACTCGTTGAGCTGTGATCTAAACTGTGACAGGGTCTTTGGTGATAGTTATACGGACGACGGACCAGAGTATTATACTCCACAGCCAAGTCAGAACCTTGTGAGTCCTCCACTTGTGTCGATAGCCAAGGCTTTGTCCAATGTAGTTATGCTGACTGACTGCCAGTCAACGGTCACTTCAACCGGAGGACGAATCTGGCCTCAGTACATCCAGCAGTATACAGGAATAAATCTCTATGATTATGCTGTATCTGGAGCAGTTTGTGACGCATACTTCTCGCCCTCGAAGCGGAATGGAGTGAAACAAAATCAAGTACCTTACTTCTTGAAAGACAAGGACTACGTTGGTGATAATTCACTCGTCATTCCCAGCAACGAGACGATCTACGCAATTTGGATTGGCACAAACGACCTAGGCCGTCAGTATCACTTTTATCCTCTTACTGATCCCCGTTGTTCATGTTTTGGAATATTCTAGAATGTAACACTTTAGGATCCGTGGCAGCCCGGAGGACTAACGTCACTGCCCTAGGTTAGCTTCATCATTTTTCACGGACAATCGGCAGGATCTTTCCCTTCTAGACTACGTGGACTGCGTCTACGAGCAGCTCGATACTCTTCACGAGGCCGGCGCACGAAACTTCATCCTCCTCAACCTCGCACCGCTCAACTACGCGCCGATGTATGCGTTGCCCGAGAACGGAGGCACGATCAACTCGACTTTCTGGAAGGATGAGGGCCCTGCCTACAGCAGCAACGTGACTCAGGTCAGCGAGAAGATGCGCCAGTATGTTGCGCTGCTCAACAGCGTCTATGACTACCGGACGACAGAAGAGGTTCAGATCTCCGATCGCTACCCCAGCAGCTCTTTTACCATCTTTGATGTGCATTCATTGGTAAGCCACTTTTTATCCTTTGGTGTCCCCATCGAGAAAATCGTGCTGACCGACCATTTGACCAACAGCTAAGTGACATCTGGAATAATCCTGAATCTTACCTCAATGGCACTGTGCCTGCGAACGTGACTTCAACAATCGTTGCCTGCGGTGCTGCCTGCAATAGTTCTGAGGTTCGAGACAGCTACCTGTGGTACGATGCGCTGCATCCGTCGGAGCAAACTGACAGAATCATTGCCCGGGAATTTGTCGACATTGTATCTGGGAATAGCACGTGGGGTAGGACATGGAAGTCGCCCAGTTCCAAGTAAGGTGGAACATATAAACACTCGTTCTTATAGAGCAATCATTCATCATATTCTTACCACTGTTATCGGCATAACATGTTTTTAGACGCTGGGTCTTGAGCGTTTACCACTGTATGAAGGCGCCACATACATTTTATATGTATGCGGATTAGAAACGAAACCACTTGCCATTGTATGTACAGGCTATGGATGGCTTGGACATGTGATACGGAAAAGAAGCGAGACCAGTTAAGATTATTGACCGGAAGTGATCTTGATCTGCCTTGGAATATATCTGTATGTATTTTCCAGGGCTGGGGAGTACGATTTTCCGAATGTTATTTGAATGCCCGTTTTTGGGCACCAAAAGCTTAGCATGAGAATATGTAGCGAGACAGCTCATATCATGCCCAACTTGAAGTGGTTTGAGCCAACAGAAGAACATCCACGGCGGGTTAGAGCCCCATGTTCTATTCCACACCCAAGACGTCGCAGAAACAAAATAATGAGTCTTTTTTTGGTGCTTCTATACTGTGCAAATACGATCCGTGACCTGCAGCGAATTTTATGAGAAGTCTTTGTGGTGGACTTGTTATCCGTGGATTGTCCCGTCCCCAGCTGTGCCGGGTCAAGGGTCCGGCTAGAGCTTACCGATTAGAGCAGGAAATGTGAGGAAATTTCCCCGCAATGTGCACACGGTCGCCGGGCGGCATCCTGTGCCGGCAATCCCGAGCGGCCGGGGTAATCATCTTAGTAGTCATTAGGCTTCTTGAGTGGCCGGTCTGCAATCTCTCATACAAACCTCGACATACCTCGTCCACTCCTGAGAGACAAAACTCAGAGCATCTGGATTACGTCAGAAGGCGAGGTGATCTCTCAGAAACTAACTACTTCACCATGTTGACCGGTTCTGAAGTTGCAAAGCATAAATCCAACGACTCATGTTGGACAGTGATACACGGCAAGGTCTATGATATCACGAGTTTCCTGGACAAGCACCCGGGTGGTCGAAGCATCCTTCTCAGGCAAGGCGGAGCTGTGAGTGTGCATACAATGATCCAGGCGGCCCACGTGTAGTATTGACGACCCTCGGTAGGACGCCACAGTCGAGTTCGACAAGATACACTCTTTGGAGATCATTGAAGACCTGCCCGATGGCAGCCTCAAGGGCGAACTGGACCCTTTGACGGCCGATTCTCTGAATGTTCCTACAAACCCATCGAAGGCAACAGCAGCATCCGACAGCCAAAAAGTGAAGCCCTTATCGCTCTGTGTCAGGGTCAGCGACTTCCGGGCCGAGGCTGAGAAGATACTCGACCGCCGGTCATGGATCTACGCTACCAGCAGTGCGAACGCGGGCCTCTCCTTACAAGGGAACATCGACTCGTGGAGCAGGGTGAATTTCCGACCGAGAATATTACGCAATGTAGCCAGCGTGTCTACAAAGTCATCCCTCCTCGGCAACCCTTCCCTCGTGCCCTTCTTCGTCTCCCCCATGGGCACAATGGGGATGTCGCATCCCAATGGAGAATTCGAGCTGGTAAACGCACTGGCACGGAAGGGCGTTCATGGTGTCACGTCGACAGCGAGTACCAAACCCTTGGAGAGCATCAAGCTATCCCATGCAGATGAGCTGAACAGGATCGGCGGAGAGTCAGTCAGCCCTTCCAGGTTGTTCTTCCAGCTTTATATCCCGACAGACAGGGCAAAAGCTGTGGAATTGGTCAGGAAGGTGAAACAGGCCGGTTACAAGGGTCTGTTCGTCACCGTGGACACGGCCGTGCTGGGAAAGAGGACGGAGGATCGAAGGAAGCAGGCTGACGAGGCGCTGGAGGATGGGCTAGATCACAGCACCTTCCAAACGCCTGTCGGCAAAGAAAGCAATGAGAATGCCTTTTCGCCTGCGGTGGGTGCACGACCGGTGCCGGGTCAGCTGAGTCCGATGGTCACCTGGGAGGACCTGGAGTGGATCAGAGAGGAATGGGCAGGCCCAATAGTCCTCAAAGGTATCCAGACAGCCGAGGATGCCAAACTAGCGGCCGAGAATGACTGCCAGGGTATCCTGCTCAGCAATCACGGCGGGCGACAGCAGCACACGGCCCCGAGCGCCTTATCAACTCTCCTGGAAATCCGCACATACTGCCCCGAAGTGCTCGAGAAGATGGAGATCTACCTGGATGGCGGCTGCCGCGATGGCGCGGATGTGCTTAAAGCCTTGGCACTGGGCGCCACAGCAGTCGGGTTTGGGCGGCCTTTCTTTTATGCGATGGCTGCTTATGGCGGGCAAGGCGTGGAGCGTTGTATAGACAGTAAGTTGTAAGCTGTGTTGATACCACTGAATGAGATACTGACAAAAGTATTGTAGTATTATCGGAAGAATTGGCGCTGGGAATGGCACTGTTGGGCGTGACTTCGCTTGACCAGCTTCGGCCGGAGATGGTGAATGCCAGCCGGCTTCTGAATGAGATGTGGAGACCAGAGTTACCTTCGATTTTGAGCAGACTGTAGTTTGAGCTATCTACGTACAGACAGTGTACTTTGGAGGTTGTCTTTGTGTATCGATTTGTTTGATTAGTCCCGTCGTGTCTGTGCATATGTTGCGTTGACGGATTAGACTATATCTGAGCTTCCGTGACCTCGAAACCTTTCCTCTTTGTGTTAAAGCTGTAGCAAGTCTCGCTCTTTCTGTTATGGCTCGTGACAGATAAGACCGTCGCGCCCCAGGACCGCCAGAGCGGCCAAACTTGACGAGTCTTCTTTCTTCTTCTTTCTTGAGCTATGATGTCTCGACAGCCTCAAGGTGTGTCACGATTTGCACGAGCACGCACTGTACTCAATTGCTTACGCACATATCATCATTAGCTCATAGCCCTCCAGCCGACAAATCAATCTACCAAGATGGGTCATTCAGGCCTCGGCGATTTAATCCCACAGCTTGCCAACCTGACGACTCTTACAAGGACCTTAGGATGGCAGAACTTTACGCACTGCTGTCTAGTCGCCGTCAATCAATCCATTGCGTTTAATGGACCGGATGGAACACTATCATTGAGCACTCCCACATACTTTCAGCCATCGTCCCTGACTATCTCAGAACTCGAACGAGCCTTCTCAGATGACTCCGGCTTCCCGTGCGGCGCTTCACGAGGTAGCAGCCCGGCTGGAGCACCCATCATCAGAGTTCCTTATGACTGGTGTCTATCTGAATGTCGAGGCTGGGAAATGAGTAGCATCAGCATTCCTCAGCAATCGGTTGGGCCCTTTGTTCACTTCATTCTGCCCAGCCTTGCATTTTGCTTAAGTATACCGAGGGCAAGTAAATTGGCGATGCCTCACATGATCGCCCGAGGGCGACCATGGAGCATTATATGGCTGGCCACATCCTGGATTGATTTGTTATGGACCAGTCTGCTCGTGGCGGTCGATACCATCGTTTGGATGTTCATCTGTTTTGCCTTTGGTGGGCCAATGCTGCTGAGTGCGATGTATGAGTCTGCGCTGGACAGGAAAATCTTGGGTCTCCTCAATGATCCCACGGGAGGGGGGAAATACGAAGGTGAAAAAGTCTCTCCAAAATTCAAGGCACAGCTGCTGTTGGCGGTGTCAGTTGGAAATTTGCGAATCTCCACGGCCCGCAGAATATCCATGGTCTCTCAATGGCACGCGGAGACCCACCGGAGAAGAATATCCGTCGGGGATATTCTCAAAGACAACACCTGGAACAGAGTCATGGCTATGGTCGATGAAGATGAATCAGACGTCGCATGGGTAGCTGGAGGTGGCAAGGTTTGTTTGTCAACCAAGCTGAACGCATTGCTCAACTCGCAGCCAAGGTCTGTCCACGTCCGGGAAAGAATACCCCGCAGAAACTCTGACTTTAATGAGACACAGATTCGGAGCAGCCATTGGGGCGCCAATCCTGTTCTTCATGGGTGCTTTCGTGTACACTTTGCTGGATCTAAAAGCCAGAAATTTCGAGGCCCACACCTTGGCCCTTGGAATGTGTAAGTCATGGGATCCTCATTAATTGGAAGTATACTCATTTTCCCATCAGGGTGGACAACAGTGCCGTATCTCGCCATTGTCTCTTGTGCCATGCTCGCATGCCCTGACCCGAGCACCCTCCGAGGCATTGTCTGGGATGGTGGTGCCATAGCGTCACGGGAGAGATCGGAGCGAGATTCTTGGGAAGCGATTAAAGATAAAGCCAAAGGCTTTGCCTTAGGTAGATGGATTCTAAAAGCCACGCGAAGGTACAAACTAACCCAGTCAATGTACGACGGCCAATTCAAGATAGTCACCCTATGGAGCCGTGGCCTCAATAAGAGGCGTTGGGTGGAAGAGGTCACCAGAGACTACACCGCCAACTTTGAGGAACATGGCGACCGATTGATGCCTCCAAATAATGTTCGCACCCGACTGGGCATGGGCCTTGGAGATTACCTCTACATTGCAGGTGGGGGTACTATCCTGGTGCTGGTTCCATCTGTGCTGGCATTTCTGACGTCGTACAATACGCCTCGGAAGGGAATTTCTTGTCACAGCGGCACGTATCTGATATATACCATCACTCAAATCTTCGAGAGTGTCTTCTGGGGCTGGGAAGCCCGGCTAAAGCACATATATAGGGAGAGGTGGTCGGAAGCGAGGACCCGGGCCAAAACGATTAGCTGGTGCGGTCAAATGATCATGGGGTTCTTTGCCACCCTCACAACGGTCATAGGTACCTTATTTCAACTAATTGGGGTGTACAGGACATGCGCCTGCAAGGTGTGTTTGGCCTTCTTTGCATTGCCGTTCCCACAAACTTCCCGCGCATCAGAGCAACTTTGGAATTGACATATCTGGAGTAGGTACCCTTCAGATACTGGCTGGATACAGAAGCACCTGGCGCCTATGTCGATCTGAGTGCCGATGGAGACATGAGCATTAAAAATGCTGAGAAATGGTGGCTAGTACTTGGCTGGGTATCAGTAGGCTGCGTTTGTTCTGTCAGTGTATCAGCTTGGTGGCAGCAAGGGAGACTTCGAGCAATTTTCAAAGTCCAAGCCGAAAGCCTGAATGATGGTCCAGGTAGTGCCCAGCTAACATTGGAGGAGAGTTGTGAGACCATAACGAAGGAGGGATCACGGATTCACTGGGGCAATTTAGGTTCCTATGCCCAAAATCGGATGTGACGGCCAGGAGTAGGTAGGAAAAGAGACCGCCTGGGAGTGGGTTGGTTGGAATCAACCTATCGAGCCGGCCCTTTCAAAGTCATCTCCTACCGACCACCACCCGACAACTGTAGGATTTAACACAACCTGTGGGAATAAGGGGCACGTCTCTAGCAGCTAGTTTTGAGGTCACGTGACCACCATGTTTGAGCCCATAGCGAGGAAGTCGCACTCGGCCCTGCAAGCCCGACTTCCTCCTCTAGCTTCCTACACACTACAACCCAACCAACCAAACCATCATTTACTTATGCATACGTGAAACCCGTACCAACACAATTCAAAGGGGAAGATCAACCCGACTGCATTAGATCCGAGGCTGGCGCCACGACAGCTTAGAAGACGACAGCAATGGTACCCCCCGAGAGGACAACAGTCGGCGGTTCGCTCGAGATTCCTCGAATGCTCAATGGCCTGTGGCAGCTCGCAGGAGGCCACCACAAAGACGTCTCCATTGCGGATGCATCAGCGGCCATGGACACACTGTGAGTGATAGCAAGTTGACGTCTACGAATGACTTGACCTGAGGATTGTATAGTATTAGTAATGGACTGGATGCATTTGATATGGCTGATCACTACGGGGATGCCGGTGAGAATGGTTTTGCCAAGAGACTCTTGATCCTATGTGATGGCACGACTGACCAGTTGACCCTCGCCAGAACTTGTCGTCGGCCGTCACAATGCTCAAAATCAAAACCAGGGGCAATTGACAGCGTTTACCAAGTGGTGCCCAGCAGAAAATGGGATCAAAAGTTTTGAGAATGCGGAAGCAGCAATTGAACTTGCTTTGAGGAGACTGAACCAGAGCACAATTTGCGTTCTGCAGTGTGAGCCGGCCCCCAACGATCGCCAACACGCCCCGGCGCTTACCCGTTAGCATTATAGATCATATTTGGGACTATACAGACGATACTTATTTGCACAACCTCTGCCACCTGACCAGCCTACAGTCCCAAGGCAAAATAGCTCACCTAGGCCTGACCAACACCGACGCCGCCCATCTGGAGATGTTGCTCGACACCGGATTCAACATTGCAACCAACCAGATCTCCTGCTCGGTGATCGACCTCCGGCCCGTCCGCGGGCGAATGAGCCAACTCTGCGCGTCCCGTGGCGTTGGCCTCCTGTGCTACGGGACGCTGCTGGGCGGTTTCATCTCTGAGAAGTGGCTAGGTAAGCCCGAGCCGGCGGACATAGACGCACTCAACTGGTCCCTGAGGAAGTACCTGCGCTTCATATGGGCCGCCGGAGGGTGGGCTACCTTCCAGGCTGTCCTCATGGCACTTGAAACTGTGTCGAATAAGCACGGCGTCCCGATCCCAGCGGTGGCGACGCGTTGGGTGCTTGACCTCCCTGCCGTCAAGGCCGTCATAGTGGGGACGGGGTTGAGTAACAACTCCGAGAAGCACATCGCGGAGAACCTCTTGGCCTTTTCGGTCGCCCTCGATGACGAGGACAGGGCAGTAATCGCAAAGGCACAGGATGCGCTGCGTGATATTCCGGGCGACTGTGGCGACGAGTACCGCAGGCCGCCATACCTGACAGCCGCTGGTGATCTAAGCCACCATGTCAGAGAGAGAGATCGCGCCAGTTCGGTGAGGGAAGCTATTGCTTTGGGCCAGAGGGTCGAGTATTTGAGCGGGAGTAAATGGGAGCCTATTTGTGTAAGATATAGACACCTTTGCCACGGGGCTTATTGCGCTGACCATCTATCTATCCCAGGGCTATGCTCGAGCAGTCCGAATTGGTTCTCATATCCATATTTCGGGGGTATGTTAACACTCATCTACCCCCTAACTTCCTACTTTCCTCCTGAAGCCTTCAAGCCTGCTCCACGTGAGGCTCAAATGTCAGTAAATAACATCCGCCAGACAACCGCGAACCCACCTGTGCCCTCTCTGCCCCGCGTAGGCGGCACCTCAGCTAGGAGTCAGGCAGTTTGGGCACTGGACATTATTGAAGCGGCATTGAAAGCCCTGGGTTCATCCATGAAAGACGTTGTCAGGACGCGTATCATCCTGTCCGACAGAAAGGACGCTGAAGCAGTAAGCGAGGCACATGGTTGGAGGATGCACTGCGCTGACGTCCTTCCCGCCAACACCTTGATTGAGGCAACCCTTTACGAGGATGAATTTCTGGTCGAGATTGAGGCATGGGCTGAGGTCGATTCTGGGGCCAGAGGGACAGTGCGAGTATACAAATCCTAACGACGCGGCCTTGATGCTGGCAACGCATCCCACTGGCGACCGGTACGCGCTCAAATGCTGAGAATCCAGGCTCGAAACGCCTTGCTCTTGAGCACCTTCTCGCAGCTGAGATTCTAGCTTCAATAAGAATTAAGGTTTTGCTACGGGGGTGACTTCGGTCAGGTCCGTCTCTCAAACGATACGCTACTGAGACCTCAAAGGCCCAGAATTTATTATCCAAAGGGCAGGCAACCTCCACATCTTGGCTGCCCTTCTTCCTCATACCTGACACCTGGAAGTTAAGCGGTGGGCCTGGATACTCAATCGGTCTCTTCCGCAGTGCCCTGGCTGTCCGGCACTTCCAGCTCCTCTCCTTCCTCCGCGGCCTCGGCCATCTCCTCATCCTCGTCTTGCGCGTCTTCTGCCTCGCCTTCATCTTCACTTCCATTCTCACCCTCCTGCTCCTCACCCTCCTGCTCGCCTTCGTCCTCGCCTTCTTCTCCTTCTTCTTCTTCGTCGTCCTCCTCCACGCCCTCGCCCTCCTCGCCCTCCTCACCTTCTTCTTCGCCTTCCTCTTCGCCGGAGCCCTCGCCGGAGCCCTCGCCGGAGCCCTCGGCTTCCTCCTCACCATCAGATGCACTGGTGCTCGAACCTGAGCTGGCTACAACCGAGAGATCCACACTGCGGCGTAGATTTGGGAACATCAATGTCGGCGGTATATCTCGGTCGTAGTCGTCAGGGACATCACTAAGGTCGCTCTCGTCATCTGCATCATCGTGGTCGGGCCTCGGACTCGACGCTTCACTCTCTTCGCCTTCCGCCGCTGCCTCTTCACCTGCTTCGTTACCGCCTTCTTGTTTTCCGTCAGCCTGCTCATCCTCGTTCTCGTTCTCCTGCTTCATCTCAACATCTCCGTCACCGTCCTCACCTTCGCTCTCTTCGCCCACGTTGTCGTCTACGCCGTTCTGCTGACTGCCTGGACTGCCACGCCTGGACCTCCTGCCGTTGGATCTCTCGCTAACGGCAGACTTGGGCGGCGGCTGCTCAGTAGCTCTCGAAGCTGCCTGTTCGGCCTTGCGCAGCACATCGGCACGTCGTACTCCTAGTAGCCTGCGTCGTGTGACGCCCGGGTCTCCCGTGTTGGAGGTGGACCGTTCCATCTTCTCCCCCCCGTTGACACCAGCAGATGGCGCCTCACTAGGTGCACGGCCGGCCGTTGAGTTTCCTGGGTCAGCACTCTTGTCCATCCCGCCGGGGTGTAGCAGACCGTTGAATTGCTCTTTGTCCTGATTGCCGTTGGTCTGCATTTCGGAGGTCTTAAGCCTGTTGCGCTCCTCGATAATCTGTGAAGGCTCCGGACCGGGAAGCTCCTTGGCGATACTTCGGTAGAGATCGGAATAGCAGTCGTGTATCAAGTCGTCAATCATACCTGCTTTGGTCAAACCACCGTTCAATTTCTTCACCTCGATCGCCTCCTTCATGGCGCTTAAAGCCGTGTGGGCCCTCTCCTTCGCCCCTGCCCAGTCGTTGATGCGTTCTCCCAGTATATCGAACTCTTCGAAGCTCATGTTCTTGAAAATATCCTCTTCAAGTGCTGGGATCTCATAGGTGCGGCGCAGGAGTCTCGTGTATGCTTGTAAACATGAAGCCCAGAGGTCACTAAAGTGGTAGAAGTCTGCACCTTTCTTGCGAATCTTGCGCAGAAGAAGCTCCATATTCACATGATCTTTTGTGTCAGTCAAGAGCTTCACTGTGTACCGTACATATTGCTCCGTGTACACATGATGACGACCGGCGCGCTCAGCGTCGCACTTCCAGACGTTGATTGCCATCGTCTTTGTGATCATGTGCTCGCGTAAGACAGCGAAGGCCGCTTGCGCTTCCGCAAGCTGGTTCAAGGGCTCCTCTTCTCGTGGGTCATAGATCATGCGTGCGTTCCGCATGATGATACGGTGCTGCCAGTGAGATTTGTCTTTGTCGCGCAAATGGCGCAAGTTCTCAATCACAAGAGCATTCCAATCATCTACAGACTGGATGCTCTCTTGTTGACTTTGTTGGACAGCGTAGGGCTGGCGCTGAAGGATGCTAACCGCCTCCGGGACCGTCAAGCTCTTGCGCGAGACCAGCTTGTGCAAAATGGAGACAATCTTGTAGTGCGGCTCCAAGATGGGGTCTTGGCCATGCCTCGGCTTGGGCAGCAGGACCACGACCTCGATTGTCTTCTCCAGAGCCTCGATGAGTGTCTTCACCGTAGGCAGCGTCTTTCGATCCTTCAGCTCAAGAACGTCCGCTGGCTTCTGGTGCATCTTCCAGAGACACTTGGACAGCATGTAAGCATTCTTCCAATCGTTTGGCTTGCCTTTCAATGCTCTCCTGAACAAAGTAGCTGCGTACTTCCACACCTCGTATTCGCTCATCTCTCTGTGCAAAAGCTTTTTGAACGTGCCACTTCCATTTGCCTCTGGGTAGAACCTGGCGTAGTCGCTATGTTGGAGAGGCTCCATCGCGAATGGCTCGCGGCTTGATGCATACATGCGCATGGCAAAATTGTGGTAGAATTGTGACAACTTGTCCTCGTCCTCTTTGGTCTCGGGGGTCCACGCGTGGGAATGTGACAGTGCTAGGGTGTAGCAGTGAATGGCATGGCGCTGGAACTTGAGAAGCTCGCTCCGATCTTTGTTCATTTTGTCAGCCGACCACAGCACTGCTTCGTCCAGCTCGTAGTCAAAACACTCCGCCAGTCGAAACCATGCCTCCCACATGTCAGGCGTGAATTGTAGCTGTAGGCGCAGGAATGTCGCACCGATGCGGAGGTCGTCTGTTGCTCCCGGGGTCTGGCGGCGATTCAAATCCACGCCCTTGAACTTGGTGAGGGCGATCATGCCCAACAAAAAGAACCAGCCATTCCTGGCGAGAGATGCTTCCGCCGTGTTGACCGTAGTTGCATCCAGCGGCACAGTGCCATCAAGAGCTTGATAAAGGCGCAACGGGTGTATCGGCTTCTTGAGGTACTCCTGGAAGTTGCGAAGATTGTGGATCATGGGTGTGCTGGACCTGGCCTGCCCGATAGCCCCTTGCATGTGCTCAATGGTATTCTTGAGATCCGACTTGAGCAAATCCTTCATAGATATGCGATTGGCGAGTGTCGTGATCTTCTCGACTAGCTGCATCGCCTGCCGCTTTTCCAGTTTCTCTGGTACGCAGCCATGGTCGTGTACCTCCCATATACCAACGCCCAGCCTGAGACCATGCAAATCGTAAAGAACCTGGCCCAGATAATCTTCCCAGTTCTCGATATTCGTCTGCTTCAAAAGCTCTATTCGCATCATCTTCAAGAAAATCTTGTTTGACGCACTGCAAGCTTTCCTGAGTCCAAGAACTTGGTGTACCGCGTTCAAAAAGTCAGCAAGGTCGTTGTCTGGTGTCTTGAACACACCAGTGTCCTGGTGGATGCCGACTTTGATCAGGCAGTATTGCAGTGTCCAAGTCCTCACCTCCAAGTCTCGCAAGCGCTCCGATAACTCCTTGAAGGTTGCAGACTTGGACGGCGGTGGCGTGATTCCTAGAGTGAACTCATCCCCTTGCATCACAGCAACGTGGATGAGGCAGCTCAGCCTCGCGAGAGCTGACGAAGTAGACCGAATGTGATCCTCATCAATGATGTCGAATGAAGTGTTGTCATTCAATGCCAAAGAAAGGGCGGACACCATCATATCATGGATGGATCTCAGGAGCTTCAGCAGAGCCATCTTTCGAGATTCTGGGGCCGCAGTTGAGTACGTCTCGCTGTCTATGTCATCGATGACCATCTCGATGCTTTTCAAGAGACAGGAGAACTGTTTCGTTGTGTATTTGATGGTGCCGTAGGCATCACTCAGACGAGACCACAAAAGAAGCCTGAGATCAGTGCTACTGGTCAGAAGGAATTTCCACAAGTCTTTCAGACCTTGGCTAGCACAGTCCTTGATTGAGACCTTGGCCACGGCTGCGCTCCCAGCTTTGTCGCCGTTCGTAGAGGGCCCTTGAGGCGGTTTTACGAAAACTGCATCGGGATTGAGCACTGGCTCAAGAGTATCGATGACCGCCACAGGGTCGGCCATTTCTTCCTGAAAAAGGCCAAGAAAAAAGTCCATGGTTGTCAGTTTACTGATCTCCCTGTCTGCCTCAACAGACGAGATCTCCGGCATAATGGCATTGTTCGGCAAGTCAATCCTGCCATCGCCAGTCGTCGTCAAATAGTCCCGCAGACTATGCCAGCATGCCAGTACGTGGTCTCGCGAGATTCCCTCGGCTAGGGTGGTTGAAAAGACGCATGCCCAAAGGAATCGCAAAGACAAGTCGACACTGGCGTCCGCTGGCCTCGTGCGCCTCAGATCAGATGCTAGATCCAACCACCGTCCAAGTCGCCCCTTCGTGCCAAGTCGTATTGCAACGTCGACGCGGCTATTCGGGTTCGTGATACGCTCGTAGACGTCAAGATACAACTCGAATAGCATCTGGACAAGGTTGTCAAGTTCAACAAATTCGGACTCCTTGTTTTCCTCATCCTCGCGGCCTTGAAGCTGGCCAATCTCGTAGACGACGCGATCATGGATAGCCTCGTCAAAATGACTGATGACTTGAACGACTGCGGTTTTGAGCTGCTCAGACCATTTCTTGGTTGTGTAACTTTTGGATATCAACAGAATCCAGTCAAAAGCGACGTCCTGAGCAGTCATCCAACCCGAGTTTATCCTCTTCACGAAGGCTTTCAGGCCGCTGCGTTCATCAAAACCGGCTGTCTCCACTACTCGTTGCGCACCAGGCTTTGTGTGCTCGAGGAAGGTGTTCATGCCTAGAGTGGGCGTCTTCAACTTTGTGAGGAAGACTTGTGCAATCTCTTCGTCGTATGAGACGAGGGAGTCGCGCAAATCCATGCTCGCAGCGTGCGTGATCTTCGACGTCCTTTCCTCGAGAGCGGCGGAGTCGATAATGTCACCAATCCGGTCAACGGTAGCCTTATCGGTCACGCCAAGATTTTCCAGAATATTTTTGGTCAATTGGAAGAGGTTCTGATCTGCGCCTTGGTATGGTTGCAACTGAGTCGCCCGCAAATTTGTGTCATTGACAACGTCTTCGGTGAGCGTGGTTTCACGTCTCCTTACTCTTTTTGGTCGTTTTGAATCAGCGTTGTCTTCTTCTGTGGGCTCCGGTAGACCGGCCACAGACATCGATCGTTTCCGGGATGGTAACGAAACGCTTCGCTGCCGACTTGTCCCATTCTCAGTCTGTCCATCTTTGGAGGAGGGCTTCGTATCAGTAGGCGAATCAAGTGCCGCATTTTCCAGAGAGGTTTCCTGAGCTGCAGCGGCGGGAGACTGTTGGTCAACTTCCATCTGCAGTCCTTCCTCGTCTTCGTCCCTCCCATCTGGCAGCTCAATCAGAACTGCTCGCCCAGTAAAGCCAGCCTCTGTAGCCAGATACACCAAGCGCATACCGATCTGTGCCCAGGACAAGCTTGGAATGTCGACAGGTAGTCTTGGCGAGCTGATTTCCGCGGCTAGTGATTTACGGGCAGCCAGCTCTTTGGTCGGGTTCGGAAGGAAAGGAAACGGGTCCAGATGCGGCTTCAACAATGCGGGCATGTCCTTTTCCACGAACGGTTTCATGATGGGATGGGATAGGGCTATGTCATCGGAAAGAATTTCGAGGTGATCCTTGAGTTGTTCGCCGGCGAACGCCTCAGCCAAGGATGGAGGTTCGGGTTCGACGAGGGCTGGGTCATCATCCATTTCTATTGCAGCCTCGAGGCAATATCGGCTCAATCGTGTACTGTCAAGGAACGCCGCCGTCCTTGCGGTTCTTCTCCAGAGCTCGGCGTCAGACGGGTCCCTGTCCAGGGCAGCTGTGAAATCATCCAGCGCTTTCCGAGCACTGGCTATGACCTCGGGCTCCTCGAAGACGGTGTCTGCAGACGGTCCCGCGGATTTCGCCCTGTATTTTATCTTATCCAAGGCGAATTGACCATGGTTCTTGTAGGAGAGGAAAAGAGCCTGGGGGAGACTGGCAGCACTGCCATCAGGGTCCACGGCAGTCACCTCGAGGCCCGAGCCAAAGTTCGACTCCAGCGGCACGAAGGGGTTCTGCAATCTTTCGGTACGTTCATACTCGGTCGTGCTCTCGGGGAGCTTAAATATGTCGGAAAGGAAGAGGGAGTCGTAGGCCTCGGATGCCTCGTCGAAGAACTGTGGACCTTGGGCATGGAGCTTAAGAGCATTCTGGAAGAGCTTGAGGGCTTCATCGACCTGAACACTGTCAATCACGCAATCCGAAGGATAAGGGGAAGGAGGAATGGGGTGTGTTTACTTGGAGCTCCTTGGTCGTGTCGAATTCCTCCTCGATATTCTCCTCGGGCTCGAGGTTGATGGCAGAGAAGGCAGGCTATGTATGAGTTGTAAGTCAGCGCGGCGCGTCGAGTTGCGCAAATGCCTGCAGCACCTACCATGACGCGTCAAGTACAACTGACGGAGCAATCGTTGCTTCCACAGAGGGCCCCGGTGTTGGAACGGGAACCAAAGACAGAATAAATGGCATCCGCCTTGTTGCCAGCCTGCGATGTGGTTTGCGACAGTAGGAAGTCTCTCTGGGTGCTTTACGCGTAGCAGGTCTGACCTCAGGCGGTGCTATGATGTACCCTGCCTGCCGCGTGGGACCTAAGCTTGGGCTCCAGCTACAGTACAAGCTAGCTCGGCATTGGCTGCCCATGCAGGGGTCTGCCGCCCTAGCAGAGGACCCCAAGCTTCCAGGCTCGTCTTCCAAGGCAGGCCTACCTGGATCCCGCTTTTCTTGGCCAACTGTTTGGTGTTGATCGTGCAGCAGCTGGCCTGGAGCTGAGCGAATGGACAAGTATCGGCCCGGGCCATCGTCGACGGATTCCACCACTGCGCCCGTGTTGTCTCATCAGTGACCAGCCAGATTATTTCAACATTGTCCAAGACTCGACACCCCAAAACGACCGCCCGTGCAGCCCTTGCCCATCTTCAGAGGTCGCATGCCGAGTACGTCTCCGTTTGGTTTAGTTCTCCCCGGCGGTGCTCTACCTTATCGGCGATTTGTTGTCTCGGAGCCGCTGCGAACTGAAGCCTCACAAGCGATCCAATTGCTCACTTGTCGCAAGGGGAGGACGTCGTCGCCATGGTAGCGCCAGCTGTGCCAGAGTATGTGCCCGAGCTCCCTCCCTCTCAATCAACCCCACTGCTGATGACTTGTTTCTCAGGATCACGGAGGAAGTCCTACAGGAATCCATCGATGCACGCACCGAGTCGCTCATCTCCCTCCGCGAACTTGGCCCCCCCGATCTTGTCCACCTCCTGAAGCAGCAGGCCCGTAACTCTGGCAAACATGTACGCTACAGCCTGCGCTTCCCCGACAGTAACTCACCGAGAACTATCGATTGACTCTGCATCAGATTGGCGTATACCACCATGTCACCGGCGTGGATGCCTCCTCCTCGGCCAGCCTGGCTGCGTACATAAACACTCTCACCTACAAAGAGCATGGACAGGCACAGTCTGCCAAGATCGTCGAGGGGGTGTACTGGTATGATACCACTTTGTCGTCTGAAGCATGCAGGTCCATCAAGCTAACCGCGATGCGCCATCAGTTGCTACAATGCCTTCTCCCGACTAGACATGCGTGTCCACGTCACCATCCCCGGGACCGTCGAGAGCTATTGCGTCGACGAGAGAGGTGAAAAGAGGAAGGCGACAGACGATCTCTGGCTGGAAACGTACCTCTGTAGCGTTCTGCGCGCTTACTCCTATGCCGACGATGGGAGCGGCGACACAATCAGGAAGGTCATGGGTGTGCGGCGCTTCAACCCAGTAACAAACACCGAGACCGAACAACGTTTCCTAATTGCTGCGGAGCAGTTGTTCTTCAGAGGTAAGCCAAGAAAGGGTGTCTCTCGACAGCATTGGATACTGACCACTACCAGGCTGGCAGCTTGGCTCGGACTCTATCGTTCAGGTACCGAATATTGTCTCGAACCACCTCACCACCGGCCTCCTTAAATATTTTGAAACCACTGGCCGTTATTCCTCCGGCATCAACCTGTTCGAGAAGCTCCGAACACAAAACGTGGAGGTGGCTTCGCTGTTGGCCAAGGTCTTGTTTATGGGCAACGAAGAGGTCGAGGGTGTCCGCGCTTTGCATGCGGCTCTCAAAGAGAGACCAATGGACTATGTCATGCTCGACACGCAAGCAGGCTTCTTGTTGAAGAAGGCGCAAACCGCTGCCACCCAGGAGCAGAAGGAGGATCGTCTACGGATGGCGCTGGGGTGCGCGGATAGGAGCACCATTGCAGCTCCGAGCGAGTTCGGAACATGGGCAAGACTCGCCGAAGTATATGTCGCCATGGAGGACTGGGAAAACGCGCTCACGATCCTGAACTCGTGCCCCATGTTTACGTACCAGGACAAGGACGCACCTCTGATGCCGGAACCCAAGGATGTATACCTTCCGACATTGCCCGAGACTAGGCTCGACGAGATCGACAGTGAGCCAGAATCAAGGTACCAGGAGCAGGTGGAGCCGAGCTTGCTGAGCTTGCGCGCCGCCTCGTACCGCGGCACATTCAAGAAAGCCTACGCAATCCTCACGGAAATGACCGCGAAGATCGGTTGGGACCAGCTTCTCAAGATTCGGAGCAATGTGTTTGTTATGGAAGACGAATACCGAACTGAGAAGCACGAGGTCGGGCCGCCTGTCCCAGCGAAGCGTGGGCCTAGTACTGACGTCCTTCGTGGAACGCCTGAGCCCACCACGAACGGCGAACAGTCCGACGAAGATGCTTCCGAAGAAGATTCGAAGCCCACCAACACCGACGAGACTGGGCAGTCGTCGGTTCCGAACGGAGACAATGGGAATGTGGAGAAGCCGACTGTCGCTGCTGATCCTGGCGAACCCAAGACGGAAGAGAACGTGCGTAAACAATGGCCCGAGTGCGATATTATCGCTCACGAAGCTAATTTGATGTCACAGGGAACCACAACTCAGCCTGAAGAGAACCTTTCCCGATTGAACAACAAGCGTCTTTGCGAGCGTTGGTTGGACAGCCTCTTCATGGTGTTATACGAGGACCTGCGTGTATATACCATCTGGCGCACGCAGATGGCTCAGTACCGTGCTCAATCCATGCAATACAAGAAGTCTGCCGAGGAATGGGAAATCCTCGGCTCTCTTGCGCACCGTCTGCAGCACACGGAAGAGGCCGTTGAGGCTTACCGTGCATGCCTTTCCCAGCGCTTCAGCCCCAAGGCTCTGACCGGGATCCTGAGGGTTTTCGAGCAGCAGAAGAACACGAGGGAAACGGTTGCAGCGACTATTCGCCTGGTCACCTGGCAGTACCGCTGGTATAGCGAGTTCAGCCCGGAGCTCCTGCACACGATCAGGACGCTTATCGAGGACGAGGGCGCCGTTAAGGTGAGGAGTATCATCCAAGCAACAAGCCTGCCGCAGAACGTTTTGGACTTGACCCATCATTACGCGGCTCTGTGCGCGACGTTCAGGAGCAGTGGGACCGATGGTTAGGAGCTGGCGCATGGGACCACTCCCGGACGGCGGCACAGAACATTTTTTGGGGGTGGTGAAAAGTCAACGGCAGACGGGAGTTTCATTGGAGCTTGATACCTTTTTGAAGTTGTTATTGGGCAGACATAATCCGTAACTCAAAAGAGCACATTGATACCAATGCAAGGCCTACTCGCGTCATGCTTCGTCGTATGGAGGCCTCGATGCGGATCAGGGCAACCCTGCCTGTCCTTTCATTGAAATGAAGGCTTGAATTGCACCGTCAGTGACCTCATAAGGAACACCACGACTACACAGGACCTTCTCAACCTTAGGGGCATGGGCATTTTTCCATGCTCGCTCTTGCCCGACTCCCGCTTCGCGCCCAACATAACGTCACCTGGTAAGCCTGCTGGTGATGAGATTGTTATGGCCAGCGCGGTGCAGATAGTTATGAAGAGAGCTGCGAGGTGTATGGTACACATCCTGGCGAGTTTCAGCCGATTTTCAAGGGAGACGATCGTTGGTGTGTGAATGAGCTAGCGTTGGTTGAGGCGGAAGAGTTTGCGTGACTTAAAGTTCTCGAAGGGAAGAGGGGGCATGATGGAGAGATTCACCTAGTCTAATTAATATACAAATTGCATAGCCCAGCTGATCTTTTTATTTCAAATGTATTATAATTTTCAAATGAATTATTACTATTCTGAATTTACCAGGGTCCTTTGGTCTTGGCCAGTTTCATACCTTGTTTACGAAGAAGGAAGAGAAAGACAATGACAGGAAACGCAGCAAATGGAAGGAATGACAGCTTGGTGGCTTTGTTCGAGGCACGTGTGACGGGGCCAGCAGAGTTTCGCCTGACGCGCAACACGCTACCACCTATTATTCATAGCAAGTGCGCGTTAGGCTGGACAGGCCAGGTCTTCTTGTCGGGGTCGTGGTCCATGAGTCGAGTGCTCCGTCCACAGCCTCTGGTAAAAGCTGGGTGTGCCCAGGTGTTGTTGAGATGCGGCAGCATGACTGACATGAGGCACCTCCAATCCGGCAGCCCAGCAGCAATGCCACTTGGCACCAAAGACAGCTGTGAACACCACGGCAGAAGCACGACGACCTGAGTGGAATCTGATTCCCATACTGTCTGACGTAGGCGCCTGCAAGCGCGACTACCACGGCACAGAATGGCAAGACCTGGCGAACAGTTAGCTCGAGTTTGACGGACGCGACCGAGTACACATTGATTGAAGGGTGCCATGTCAGAATTTTCAGTGTTATCTGATCACGGAAACACCATGCACAATAGGCAATGGTGCTTCTCAATGATGATAAATTTTGATGTCATCCTTATAGCGGAGAAGAGCGGTGTTCGCAAAACTTACACTTTCCGAGGTCGCATCGCCGTTTCTGCGCGCCGAGGTAGTGATATCAGGTCAGTCGTGATGAGGCGGGCGTCACCGGAACCATATCCCAGGTCTCCTCGTCATGGTCGTCACCAGTATGTGACTTCGAGTAGCCGGTGTCAAGGCCATGATTTGTGCGCGGTCCAGCCCTTGCCTTGCACCGCAGCAGGCTCAGGCGTGTGACCGCAGTGCGCTGCAACCCATCACGCAAGGAGCCTCATGCTTGGTTGCGACGTCCAAGAAGTCAGGTCGCTGCAAGCTGACGGCGCGCGTGGGACGTTGTGGCAGGCACAGTCCAGTGTGTGTGCCAGAGAAAGAGAGCGCGGGAGGGAAAAACTCGTCACCAAAGTGGGTTGGATTTTGAGTCGCCGTGGCCGCCGGGTTAGTGATTGTGGTGGGTCCGTGCGCCTGACGTCCAACGTCGGCCCAGAGGAAGAGAGACTTCAGCCTCGATCCTCACGACCTCTCAATACCTACACTACACGTACCGATATATCGTTCATGTCTTGGCAGAAATTGACCGTACAGATGCCGAGGAAAGGCCCCTGAAACCCGGAGCCGTCTTACTCGGTTGAGTTGACGCGCTCGGCCCATCAGACGATGGCGTCACTGCTCATCGCGGAGCATCCACAGTCTCTTCGCTCCCAGGACGAGGGGAAAATCATTCTGGTCTGTGCAGCGCGGACACAACATCCGGCAGAGCCGAGACCGCGGGTTCGGACCGCTCTCGCCGTGCAGAATATTTTGGGCCCGTACCATGAGGCGTCATGTCCATGCTGTTTCCGCTCTGCAGTACCCACCACAACCGTCCCAAGGGACAGTCGGCCTGACATGTCACTTGGACAAAGAAGCTGAAGCCAGGCAGCTCACGCGTCTACACGGCCAGCTAGACAGACTCCCGCCACTGCTTACTTCGTACAGGTCAGGGGCTAACCGCCTGTTGATCGATGCAAACAACGCTCGCTGGTCAGGTCTCAGCCGGGTTCAGCCTCTTTCCTTAGATTCGTGGGGTTTTGGTGACAGCACTACCGGAGTAGGCCATCTTGCCCTTGTACGCCTGTCCTGCAAGGCCACGGAACATGTCCGATGTTCGCATTTCCAGATGCCATGGTACTTTGACTATTTGGCTGACAATCCTGGCTTCCATTCTACCGAAAGGTGTGAGACTGTTGTATGATCGTGGGGCTCATGATGTCGACTATCCACGGCAAATGCGGCCGAGGCACAACCGCGTGCTGCACCACCTGCTTCGCCGCCATTCGTTGATGGACCCCTTCTAGCTTACCAGTCTCATACTTGCCAGATCTAGAGATCATCTTGCCGGTGGAGCCATGGTATTGGTCACTGTGCTCGGCAATGCAAACTAACGGCAGTGCTATACAGTGCACCACGTTGTTGATGTGAAAAGGGGCGAGCCCTTCTGGACGTCATCAGCCCGCGGAACAAATGCGTCTTTCCGCATCGCGCACATTCATGTTTACCTAATAGGCTCGCGGCCGCGCTGAGCTCTGGGGCGCGAGACTGCTTCTGAGATGATGGCCAGAAGCGAGGGCTTTCTCTCTCTCTTACGTCCTTGCTCCTGTTTTAAGGATTTACTCAAGTAGAGTTCACTACAACTTCTGGGGGTTTGGACGACAAGGATTACTGATCATTCTTAATTGCCATCTTTTCATACATCGAATTTGTGTTTTCGCATAAGCACGAATCATGTCACCCCGGACTGCAGTGCCGGCCCCTGACTGCGGTCGACGGCTGCTCCCTGCGGTCATCGACCAGCGAGCAAGAGAGGAGCCGGAAAGGCCTTGGTGCTCACTACCACGAGACGACTATGACTTGTCCAAGGGCTTTGAGAACATCTCATATGCTCGGTTCGCCAATGGAATCAACAAGCTCGCCTGGTTCATCGAGAAGGCGATCGGGAAGTCCACTTCCTTTGAGACCGTCGCCTATCTGGGAGTCACGGATGTTAGGTAGTAAGTCCATCAAAAAGATACCTGACCGTTATACACAAGTAATTTCATTAACCTCAACTCCTCTAGTCATATGATGCAGATGGCCGTGTGCAAAACGGGGCACAAGGTCCTATTTTCGACAATGCTCAATACCCCGGCAGTTCACGTGTCCCTGATGGAGCAAACTGACTGCAAGGCCCTGTTCACAGCTCAAGGTGTTCACGTGAAGGACATCTTGGCCTCACGGCCGATGAAGACCACGGTCATTCCAGAACTTGAGGTTCTCCTGGAGCCGAGCCCAGTACCTCGCTATCCGTATGAGAAGACTTTTGAGGAGGCCGAGCACGACCCGTACCTCATTCTCCACACAAGTGGCACGACAGGAGACCCGGTCAGTAGACTCAACATGAGCACCAGCAGCCCTGTCCTGCCCCAGGCTGGGCATGGACTTTTTGCTGGAGTCACCCTGCAATGTGGCTTGGCTAAAGGTAGTCTGTAGAAACCAATCGTCTGGAACCATGCATTCATTGCCACACAAGACAGGCATCTCTTGTTGCCGGAACGATCGGGACGAAAACACTGTTTGATGTTATCCCACCCCGGCGAGGACGTTCGATATATCATCACGACTTCGCCGTTCCACGCTATCTCTTCAGGATTCGCCATGGTCAGTCAAATAAGATCTTGGTGGCCAGCGGCAGTCACTTACACCTTCCTCACAGTGTATTTCGGTCTTCGGGAAGGCTGTTTTCCTGCCTGGTTTCCGTCACCGCACCGCTACTGCCAATGACGCACATTTGCTTCTCCAATATGCAAATGCATCCAAGGCATTCTTTACGCCCTGGGTCATGGAGGAGATTTCCCGTCGCGCTGATGCCGAAGGGCTCATCAAGCCCTTTGATCATGTATGCTTTGGTGGCGGTGAGTGGCATTCGCAGTCTTCCAAAGTTGGCAATCCGAATGGACGTCATCTAACAATTCTTTTTCAGCGGTGCTGTCACCGCAAGCAGCGAGCGTATGGGCCAAGTACACAAAAGTCCAGAACTTCTGGGGCGCTACCGAAGCTCTCGCTGCGGCTCAGCTTGAAGCTGACAGAGAAGATTATGCTTACAATTACTTTGACGTATTCACTGAGGGTTACGAGTTCCGTCGTGTGGAAGATACAGGATATGTGTCAGAGGAGGGCGATTCCAAAGACCTGTATGAGTTCGTCATGAAGGTTAACGACAAGTCGGCTCCGATCGCAAGCTGGCACGCCCGCCAAAATATCCACCCGTCAACCACCAAGCCACATCCCCTGGAGTGGTTTACAGGAGACCTGTGGACACCCCACCCCGACCCCGCAAAATCAGCCTTCGCTTGGAAGTTCGTGTGTCGCAAAGACGACTTGATCTCATTCTCAACGGGAGTGACAGGACACCCTGCTCCCCTAGAGCGCTCTGTCATGGCGGCCGACCAAGTGAGCGCCGCGATACTCATCGGCAACAAGCACCAACAGCCCCTCGCGCTTGTCGAGCTCGTTGCCGGTGTTGAGCCGTCCTCAGAACTGTCAAGACAGCTGTGGGAGCAGACTATCGAGCCCGCGAACGAGAAGGTACCAACTCATATCCGCATAGCCAAGACACACGTCGTGCTGGTGCCGGCCAATGGATTCGTCAGAACCGCCAAGGGGAGCGTAATACGGAAGCACACGGAGGAGAAGTTTAAGGGCCTTATCGACGAAGTGTTTGAGAAACACGGTGACAAGTGGCAGGAGGCTAAGGAGAGGTATGGCTCGATCTCACAGTCGACGGAAATTACGGTCGAGATCAACTAGAGAAGAGCAAATACGGATCTCACCACAGCGGGGCCGATTGATGCTAGGGAGATTTCAGTTGTTACCTCAGCACCAGAAACCTTGGAACGAACAGAAAGTTTCTTTGCCGAAAGCACCAGGTTGACAAACACATGGAGGCAGTTTTCCAGCCTTTTCAGTACCATGTCTCGTCTGCTTTGAGTAGAATCGAAGGAGCAACAGTCAAACAAGCTGCTGATTCACTTTATCCATCAATCTCAAAATTCTGACAATTATCTAGCCTGGTAGTATCTCCAGGCCAGAAAGGACCTTTGTATAGTAATTTGGAGAACAGTGTGTTGGTTATTGATGAGCCCTGGAGTACTTGAGGATAAATCTGACGAGAAGAGATGATCATGCATGTAAAACAGGTTTTGGTGAATCCCTAGAATAAGACCTTGTTTTGTCAGAGATTTTCGCCCCTCCCGGGCCATCCAGAAACGATTAAGCAAATTATCACTTGTCTTGTCAGTAGCGAGCAACATCTCAAGTATGATTGTCAATGCTTCCCTCTCTATCCAACTTGACAAAATCTAGTACTTGGCAATTCTGACCAGTATTCCAGTGGATTTCAGACAATTAGTACACATCATGTGACAAAACAGAATTCATCACACCAAAGACTTTGTAGGGGTTGTCTGTTGTAGTGCAGAGGTCATGAGCTGCTACATTTTTGCATGATTCACCAAGGATAACTGAGCAGACATGCACCCATTTCGTTCTCTGCTGTTAAGAGCCGTGCTGCCAAGAATTCCTTTGATCCTTGCCAAGAAGCCACAGTCTTTTGTTCCCTCCTGCTTAACCCTGTTTCCACTGCTGCTCTCCATCCTAATCAGGATAGATTCACCTGTGCCAAACACCCTCATGGCCCTGTCCATCAATAAAAGAGACACACATGGGCACTCAAGTCCTTCTGTGGAAAACTACTTCTACCAACTGTTTGGAACAAGGAGAATTTGTGATTCTAAGTAGAAAAGCCATCCCAGATAAAAAATTCCATATTAACTGGATGGGATAGGTCTTGTTCCTTCTGGACAAATATAAGACAATGTTTACACTTTATCCTGAAGTTCTGAAGGAGTGCTTACACAACTCCAAAGCCATATCACTGCTACGTGAGAGATACCAGACAGACTGTATTGAAACAAGGTGATGAAGATGATCCCAACTCACCGTGTTTCTGGAAGATTGGATCAATAACTGGCGAAGAGTAGTGTTCCCACTTGTATTTCCAACTCAACACCTCTCCTGCCTCAATGGTAACAAATAACTCCAAACCACCTTCTATTTTCATTACCTACAACCATCTGAGCAGTAGCAGCATAGCATACTACTTAGTATGACAATGCTTACCAAGTAGCCAAAGAACAGAGGTAAAAAGCTTAAGAAATGACTGCAAAAAGCCAACAAGAGACGTGACTGGGAAGTTATGTAATCATACGGTTCAACTGGCTACAGTGAGCCCCTTGATTTGCCGTTTCTGCTTTAGAAAGGTTTCATATTGGTCCAATTGCTGGTTTTGAGGGAGAAGAATCCCAAAAGCCGTCAGATTTTGCCACGGCCGAGTTTAAATGGCTTTTTTTGGTGTTAAGAGTCCATGGGTGGCAACTGGCGAGACATGCTCTTGGAAGGCTACCTACCTAGGTACCTAGGTACTTAAGTAGGTACCTAGTTATGTATTCAGATGTCTGCCACTGCCACCAGCTTTTCACCTGTCCATGCCGTATAATGGCTCAATGGACTAACTAGGTAGAGGCCTACATTGAATATGGGCTACTTTAGTCTTCATTTGCTTCAAACAAAAGCACTTGAGTGTGCTTTCTTCGCTACACCCAACAACCAGTTTCAGGTATGTGAACTCTGCGCTTGTGATACACGTCCATCCACATGCCCTAGAGTGTGTGACTTACCCTCAGGTAGCTAAACACACTATTTCTATCAATCCACTCATTTGTGCATGGTTCTTCCACTGATGGATTTGACGTAGTAGCCTCCACCTGGGCAGGCCTTTCCCGCTTAAGCAGTCCAAGGAGCTGACCTTACCAATATTAGGGTTTGAAGGGGCACCTTTTGTATCGTTGTACCCTCAGTCATATTTTGAAATGCTTTGCTATCCGCAGTAGGTACTGGCACAACCGATACAACACTTCCCTTTTATTTAACCCCAATGAACATAATTCCATACCTAGTACCAATGCTCGTATTGTCCTTATGTTACCGGCCAAGATTCTAAAGGCTGCTACTCGAGCTCTCGGTATTGACAGGAAAATTGGCTCTTTCCACCCATTCTGAAAGTGCAGAATTTGTTGAATCCATCTCAATTTTGTGGTATCTTGGTGATCTGGAAAGAGTTGGCGCAACTCCTTCCATACCTAGGTATGTTCTTGCGCGGATCCGTCGGATTTAAGGCTCGTGTTGGGAGGACAGTCGGTATTCAATGGGCGAAAGTCCTGTTAACCAGTGATCGCGGCATCATATTCTTCGGAATCGTATCTATGTTATGGGAAGTTCTTTCAGCTCTTTTCTGGATGTTTTGGTCTTCCAACGCCTGTTTGCCGTGAGACTCGGTGCTGTGGTGGTCGTATGGCGAGACGTGGCCTTGCAGCTTAAGCCACCAGACCTGGCTGCATCGAGATTGTCTCGGCTTCCTCGATCTTCTCGTTCCTCGAATCGATTTCGAAGCAGTAGGACATTACTCATGTGTCTAGACTAAGTGCCAAATGATGTCAGCAAGTTGAAAGGCGGTGCTAGCAGACAAACTTGAAGTGGGCAGGTCTCCTCGAGTCGGGCGTCTCAAAACTGTGAGGTTGACGGCCATTTCCCTGTTTGCGAGAAAAAAGTCATTCTGGATTTCCTCTTCAGCGACAGTGTTTCATCGTGAAATAGATCCAGGAAAGCACTGGCTGTCAGCTTTCGGTGAGCTCCAATGCCGTTCCACGTTTTGCTAGACTTCCACAGAACGTGAGGTCTTAGGAAACAACTGATGATTCAGAAGAACAGCTCCCTGGAATTCTTCTGTAACATCAGGCACCGACTGCCTTCGAGTGCCGCTGCTTGCATTCTCTTCCCTTGCAGTACGCACTTACGCCATCACTCTGCTCAGCCACAGATGATCGTGGTACGTACCGACACAACCCTCATCAGAAGCTTCCGGACAAGCATTCATACCATGAGAAGTACAGCCGGATCAAACGCTTACCGATACCACCATGGAACATGGGCCTGACCATGAGCAGTCACACGATCATCCGGCCGATCACGTGGCCAGTCCTTCTCATCACATGCTCAGAGCTGCTGTCTCATGGACTCAGCGAAACGGAATGGGTTTTCACAAAGGACAACAGCCAAAGAGCCGGAGACAATGTGCATGAATGACATTATATTTTTGCTCTTGCGGGATTACCCGAAGATGCACGGAAGGCTGAGAGGATGGGAAGACAATCACTGCATGATGTTGTATTGCACTACAGGATGAAAGACAAGAATCAATAACAAGAAACGTCAAGATAAAGGCATTCATTGAGATGCACTGCCATGTATTGCTTCTAAGGGACGGGCTCAAGTTGGTGTCACTCATGGCAAGGCTGCACTTACGAGGCTTGGAGACGGGGCTGTCCGAGGCTGTCCGAGGCTGTCCGGGCACAAGCGATGTACATCAGGAGAGAATGCCATAGGGATTACACTGTGTGGAGGACTCAAGGCACCACCTGGGCAAGTTTATTTTCCATTTCAACATGGACATCCCTGTAAGTTGGTCCCCAAGTCTTGCAAATTTTGGTTCAGGAGGATCTTCACACCAAGACTTTGTTTTCAGACGGGAGTGTGGTATCAAATTGTCAAACTGTCCCCCCAATCTACAAATCTAGTGTCCTATAGCTATTGGGACTACCTCCATGTTCAGGGGATTATTCTTATCTAGGTCTTGGCCAAAATTTCAATGACTCTATGGAAGTCACCCTAAGGAAAGCAGCAATGGGACATTAGGACACTCACCACCCCCAGCACCAGGCTCAAGGTAAACCTGTCAAGAAACAACCACGGCAAGAGTGTATGGGATGGTTGCTATGCCCCTTGTTTTAAGCTGGCAATAGAAGGAAGTCAGACACTAAATGGTTCACCAGCATCCTATCTCTTTCCGTGTCGTACAATGAGCTTCAGATATGACCAAAAGAGGCCTCTACTACATGGTGGTTGCCTTAGACACCGTCTGTCTACCTTTTTCATAATACACAACACTTGGAATCATGTGTATCCGGGCAGGCCTCCTTTCCAATCTGGTCTGTGGCTTCCCGAGGTCCTTGCGAAGGAGCTCACCTACCCTCCAGGAACTACAATGTCCACAGACATACCGCTATCTCTTAATCACAGGTCATGATGGATCTGTACCTAGGTACCTAGGTACTCATGCCCTGAGCCCTTTCGTAATGGATTCATCGTCCCTGATGGCAACAACAGCTGAGGGGACACTGGCACCATGATACATGTGTCTTGCCAACTCTTGGAAGGTACTCCTTCCCATCATGCTCATGGTCTCTATTCTGTCACACTTCCTACAACTAATCTTGTCAAACAACAAGCTGTGGGATTGCAGTATTTCGAAGACTTCGAAGACTTCGAGGACTTCGAGGACTTCGAAGACCTAAGCAGCCAAGGGCTGGCTTTCATACTGGGCACATTCAAGATTAGTATTCAAGTATGCCAACAAATCTTAAGGACACCTGGGCAATCACTGGCCACAGTTCCTCTGGTTGGAAGCACTCTAATTCACTCAATGTCATCCATAGCTCTTGCCAGTTTGGCCCCAGAGCCCGCGGTCCAAACTTCCAATGGCCCACAATGTTGGACCCGCCAACTTGACAACCACTCGCGACTTTCACGATAGCATCACTTCGTGATTTTCGCGATCCGGAATTGTAGCACAACACGGTCCATTGTGCGACTGAGATCAATAAAAGTTCTGGCACCCTCCCACAGGGTTGTTCTTTCCTGGGGTAATAATATTTAAACCCCCTCCCCTTTCCACCATAGACTGACCATCTTTCTCTCCTTTCCCACACCAGCCCCGTTTCGATGATTTCGTTTCTGACAGTCCAGTATTCAAGACCTCATTGAGCCATCCTCATACCCACGTCTTTCAGTTACAACCAACCGTCATCGAGACCGAGCTTCTCAAGATCAACCGTTGACCGCATAACATATCGCCTTCTCCGACAATCGTCGTCTTGGTCCATCGCACCCGTGAGGCAGCAACGCCTTGAGCCAGCAACGCCTTGAGCCAGCAACGTCTTGAGCCAGCATCGCCTTGAGCCAACCGACTACGGAGTCATAGCCACCTTGGGCCACCCTCGTCTACAGCCATCCTCGTCTACAGCAGCTTTACCACAGGGTCATCATCACCTTGAACGTCGCGATCCAGCATCGTACGATTTACCACGAAGCTCATATCCTCTGCTGTCATCGCCATCCACAGCCAGCCCTTCAACATGTCTTCCAACATTCCTACCAACGAGCAGAATGCTGTTGTCGCCGACGGAAGCGACGATGATTCTGTCTCGTCCATGGCCTCGCAGGTTGCTCACCTGAACCTCGAGAGCTCCTCTCCCCCGCCTCTCCTGTCGAGCCAGGTTTCTGATGATGAGGGTGACGTTACCATTACCAAGGACGTTTACGGAGAGGATTACCCAGATGAGGAGGGCCAAATCCCATTCCTTGACAAGGACGGTGAGGTAAGCGTTCCAGTCAAAACGGTTTCTGGATGGTGCCTTCTGTTATACTGCTACCCACAAATTCAAACCCCACTTTTTGTCTCTGTTGATGTCTGTCACTGTCTTTGTTTTGATCATACATCACAAAATCATGTATTGTGTTTCTTTTCAGATGTCTCTTGCCCTTGGTTGGGCGTTTTCCTCCAGTTCAAGCTTGAGCTCTTTTGTCATGATTTGGTTGTGCGTGCCCTTCAAAGATCCCACTCTCACCCCATTGGTGCCATCACTGAAGGGCCCTGATATTCTTTCGTCCAATATCACATTCCTCGTTCCCCTGTTGGCCTGACCGTCCCAACTTCACCCAAATGACCATGCCTATCTCCCACCACACATTTTTTGTTGGTTCACGTCTCCCCAACCGTCTGATATTCCTGGACGAGGCCTGCCTTACTCCTATTCCACGTTCTCTCACTGGTGGAATCATCGGATGTTTAGTTTGACACAACCCTTCTCACCTACCACTATACATTGTTCTTTTATTGGGCTTGTCTGCATGTTGCTGCTGGCAGGATTCCCCAAAAACTACTTAAACCCCCGCCTCCCCCCCTCCAGTTTCTGCTTTTTCCCCCCTCAACCATCTCCTCAACCATTCACTTCCTGAAGTCTCTTCAGATATCCTCAGAAATCCTCAAACCCTCACATGCCATCCTTGGGCAAGCTTTCTGCCCCCTCAGCCTCAAACACCCAACCCTCCTACCTATCGCGAGACCTTACTGGCGGCTTGGCACCGCTTCCTTTCGAATGTTCTCGAGCTGACGCGTTGTCGACTCTAGCCAGTCGACGAGGCCACACCTCCGGAGGACTTTGGCTCCTGGCCAGAGTACCTGCTGTTCTGCAAGCAGGGGTAAGTCTACTGTCCCCGTCACAATCCGAGGGGCACTATAGGTTTCTCGAGCAATGTTCTGACAATGACTCTGCAGGCCAAAGCTGAAGATCAGGCTGGCGGTGGTCAGGGACGGGGAAGCAGTTGGCTTCCGAAAAGTCAACTACCCGAAGAAGATGCTGCTCGACCACTCCGAGTACTTCCGTGGTCTCCTGCGCAACGCGGGAGCGATGGCCGAGTCGGAGAACGGATACGTCGACTTGGACGATGTCGACATGGTCAGCTTCGAGAGGGTCTTCATGATTCTCTCCTCTGGGCACCCCGGTGCGTACAACAACATCGGACCAACCTTCAGGACCCTTTCGGACCTCCTGGACGCGGCAATCCTCTGCGACCGCCTCATGATGAGGCAGATCGAGGCCTGGGTCAAGAAAATGATGACCGACTACATCCGAGACATGTCGGGCTGGTCGATCCAATACCAGCGCGAGGTGGTCGCGCACCCGAACGCTGGGCTCCTCGCCCAGCACAAGGAGAGGGTGATCGACGTGTCCGACGCGTGGGAGAGGACGATGGCCATGAGGGCCGACAACATAGGCCTGCCACTCCAGCCGCGGCACTATGTGAACTTCCTCATCACCTCGTGCCCCAAATTCCTGCTATCGCAGGTGGTCCACGAATTCCCGCCGGCACTGACCACGGAGGTCCTGACACAGATGTTGATGCTGCCCTAGAAGATGCGATCGGAGGTTCGATGAGGGGGGGAGGGGGGAGGGGGGAGGGGGGACTCAAAGGAGTCCAACTGGTGGTCGCTAGGTCGGCGGCCGGGGCAGAGAAAGTGGGAGGAGGGAGTTTGATTGTTTGAAGTTTGATTTTCGCACAGAGATCTGCACCATTCCAAAGTGAGGTGACAAGGGGAAAAGTTATTTCTGGCGTTCTAGGCTACGACGCCGTTTTCGAATGAGAATCACAGCCAAGCATAAGGCTTCATTCGTCATGCAACTCTCAGGGCCCTTTTTGTGAAATTCGGTGCTGGACGTAAGCTGCTAATGTGGTGACCTCTGCCAGGTGCTGCCAGACCTCGACAATACCTCCTTCCTCGATCCAAAATAGGTACAAAAAGTCACTCTCAAGGCCGCGTTTCTACTTCTGAGTCCATTTTAACTTTGAGAATCCTCGATGTGACTGGAGAAAACTGGCCAACGCTCTCATGACATTCCGCCAGCAGTGTTCCACTTGAAAAAGAAATGTATGGCGTTGTCATGGTGCCCACAAAGTACCTAGTTGGCAAGTATCAGAAATAAAGGACAAATTTCCATGGTGGAGAGCTACTGGTCAGAAGTGCTCAACACAGTGTCGACGCTATTGCGCCGCCAAGGGCGTCAGAGTACTTCTAAGTTGGAGGCATCTGGAGGGCATTTGCCCGTCTTCGAAAGCCGCCAGCCACCCACGAGGTGAGGATTCATAGCATGGGAGGGCCTGGGGAGGGATAAGTGCCCTGGATTTTCTGCGAGTATGCCCGAGGATGGCTGTCTAAGAGATGCAGTGGGAGACGGCCAGTTATGGTACCAAGGATACTACGATAACCCTAATTCTAGTCGCAGGTCTGAGATTTCACATAGCCATCATTTTGACAGAGTTCCAGAGCCCAGAGCGAGGTTGGGAGGATGTCCATGGCCTTGAGAGCCTGGAGTGGAGGGTCTTTGTCGTCGGAAGCAAGGACATGCCAATGAATATGGATGCATGATTGAGTGGCAGAGCACGCTATGGAGAAGCTGCATAAAAGTTTCCTGCTACAACCATTCTCCGTATGCTGGTTCTGAAGGCATTTTGGATCTCCTTAGAAATACTGGAACCACACCCATTTTCTTCTCCCCTCGTCACAACCGTCACAACGGCACCGCTCAGCCAATGCGTTGTTGGCAGCTAGGTGACTTGGAACCCGGCATAGAAGGGCAGTGACAGCAGCGTCCGTGAAGATAATTGGTCCGAGCCCCTTCCAGGAGACATTACGGCCCCAATTCTCGAAGACGAGTATCCCCTGGTCTTTCAAATGCGACAGCGACGCATCTGATGAGGCTCAAGCGTCCATCTCTGGACCTCCCATCCCGAGGCCGTTGCCATGAGGATACAGCCTCAACCACCACGACGACGAGCCAAATAGTGTCCACCTCAGTCGATGTTCAGTTTCCACAGTCCATCCCCAAGGAAATGGGCCTCCTCGATCACAGGACCCTTGCCCTTGTCCTTGACCTCCTTGGTCCCTGCCACCAGCAGCCCCACGGCGCAGGCGTGCTCCTTCCCCTCGGCCATAACCACCACGGGCTCCTCCTTCTCAAGCTCCCTGCTCCAGTGGCCCTCCTCGTCGACGCCCTCGTCTCCGTCCCGGGGCTGGGGCAAGCGACCGCCGGGGCTGGTCAGGCCGGGGGCCATGAGGGTGGCGCCGCTGAGCACGAAGCGGATAGCGCCGCGGTCTATGCGGATGGTGGGGAAGGCCTGGGGGAAGCGGTGGACGAGCTTCAGGTGAGGCAGGAGGGTGTCGTTGTCGTGCTGGAAGAAGATGGGCTCGCCATCGGCGACGTATAGCGAGGCGCGCTCGGGCAGCTTGATCTGGTTGAGGGAGGCCTTCTTGGGCAGGACCTCGTCGATGTATGGGTTCAGCAGCGGGTATGTGGTCAGGAGGGACTGGCGCAGGGAGCGCTGCACCGAGGACTTGAGCTTCTGCTTGGGAGCGCCCGGCAGACTGCGCGAGGTGGTCAGCCAACGTTACTGCTGGGCGGGCTCTGGAGGACGCAGGGGTGGGGGCTGCGCATCGGTCCATGTGCTATTGAGGGCCGGGACACTTACTCTTTCTTGAACATCTTTTCTGGCTATTCTGGGGCGCTGGGAGGTTCAGATCCGTTTGGTGATAAGATGTTGTGGGTTGGGAGCATGTTTGAGGCGGACTAGAAACTGCCCCGCGGAGCCATCGCGGGGTGAACGGGCAGGGGCAGGGGCCAATTCAGGTGTGGCGCTACAAGCATCTCCAATCAGCTGCCGCCACAGGCAGTGTCGTCAGCGGGGTAGCTCCCGAGGCTCATGCCTCAGTACCTGGTAGGTAGACAGTCGCTCTACGACGTTGGGGGGTCCTCCCCAAAGGCCTCACTGCATTTTGAGGGATTCCAAGATTGGTATCGTATCGTATTCTGATTAAACGTGACTAGGTAGGTAGGTGCTCAAGTACTCATGTAGGCTACGATGTCGTAATGGAGATTTTGACATGTCCCCCACCAACCAACTGCCCCAGCAACGTCGTCAAACGCCAGCACAGACAGCTATCGTGGGTGTCCCATTCCGCTCCCTCGCGTCGACTCAACCGTGGGTGACGTGCGAGACGGTGCCATCTTCCCTGACGTGGACGTTGAGGCGATCGGCGTGGAAGTCCTTGGTCACCATCGTGCCTGGCGCGATGACCCGGTGCTTCTCGGGAAGCTCACGCCTTGCAAAGTTCTGTTGGGACATGGACCGGTCAGCATAACTCGCTCTTTGGGACTCGGGTATTCAGGTGTCTGGGGAGATGGCTTACCACCTCGTTGGACGTCTCATCGTCGGTGATCTTCTTGCCGACTAGCTTGTTGCTCCACTCCTCCGTCTTGCTGTCGGGCGCGTTGGTGACTCCTGGCACGACGAGAGGCATCTTGGGCAGATTTCTGGGGATGCTCAGTCTTGGTGTTCTTCTGAAGGGCGGCACTTTGATGTCTTTGGTCGTACCGTATTGTCTTCGAGTTTTGAGATGGTTTGAGGTAGGGGGGAACGGCAGAGGGCCTGGAGTCTTGTCTCTGGGGAATCTGGTCACAGGCCATGACGTATGCTCCACCCAGCTGGGCTGGCCACGGTGACTCCTCACTGCGACTCCAATCACTCACTCACCTTCCCGAGTAGGCTACAACACCGGGCGGCGGCCTCCCAGACACCACGCCACGCATTCCGCACTTCTTACCCCAACCCTCCCGACCTCAAACTCGCGGCATCGAGGTGATACCACATGCCTTTCTGGCCTGCAGTATGTCCCTCTGACGGAGCAATTCCTTCAACGCGGAGCCTTTGCCGGTCCTCGCTGTCGCCGCCGCCGTGGATGCATCCTAGCCGTGAACACAACTCGTCGATATGCATGATGATGCACAGCAAAAGGCCATCCAGCCAGCCAGCTTGACCAGAAGAGAATCCCTCGAGTCATTTGGCAGACACTGTGACCGATCTCAGCCAGGAAAATTTTCCCGTCCTCTCGCCCTCACGCGCTAGGCGTCCCAATGCTTTCGCACGGAATGTCCAGGAGTACATGGTGTTGAGCGCGATCAAGTGAACCCCGTGGAGTCTGCGTGCCTCGCGCTGTCAGTGCCAACAAGTGCTGCGGGTCGGGCCTCTCGGTGCGGATCCGTGGCTGGCGGCAGGGACCTCCTCTATCTATGTATTGCTTCCCGGGGGGGTTGTCGCCCCAGACCAGGCGGACCCAATGAGGCTCCATTACAGTGCATAGAAAAGTCCCTGTTGGTGACCAACATCGTGTTCCTTTTGCTCCTGCAGGCTCAAAATAAGCGAGGCTGATGTGCATCTCAGGTGCAAGCATCCCTCCGCCCCTACTACATAGTACAGTATTCCCCAGATGTGGGCACGGCGAGCCTCATGAGGAACAGAACAGCTGGTCGAAATCGTGAGGGACTCATCTGCTGGGCTTGGAGCAAATAAGTCCTATCTATCATGACGTACAACCGATGGGAACTGTCCATGATGGCCAGTCCATCTGCAGGGAGAGATCAGTCTAACAGATCTTTCAATCTTCAGGCCCACCTAAAAATACTGGGCCACCGGACGGTGAGCATGGGATCGCTCCCCAACCTTCACCGTGATTACCCCTCGTTCGGGGGTTTCCCTGGTTCGATCTACACGATTTATTGTCTGATTTGCAAAAACGATACGAGGATTGGCTCCGGTGAGCCTCAGCCACCGCTGCCTGGTCAGGAAACTGGCCGTACAGTTGGCTATATAATTAGGCTGCCGGAAGCACTTGTCCAGACGTTGAGATACTCGGTGCAACAAGCAAAGACAACCGGTAGAGAACAGCTGAACATTCTCCACACAGATCCCAGAACCTGCCTACCAGCAATTTCATCATGCTTTTCACGGCCTTTGCTTTCTTCGCCGCTCTCGTCGGTGGTGCATATGCTGCTCCTGCTTCCGGTCGGACTGCCATCTCAGCACCCCAAGGACATGGCCAAATCATCGTCAGTCAGACCCAGCTCCGTGTGACGGGATGCCTCAATGCCTCTGGTCTTTGGAACGTGGCAGGCGACTGTGCGACCTTCACTGGCGATGAAGAGGGCGGTATTTCCGGCCCGGAGGGATATCTGCTCCTCACTGAAGATGGTATCACCACCTCGACAAGCTCTGATACGACCTGGCTGGGCTATTACTTTGATGGAAACGTGAGTATCTGGGCGAAAATAAAGCCAGATCAGGGTCCCGTTGATCCCACGAGGTGCCGATTGCATACTGATCTGCTCTCTTTGGATAGTCATCTGCCAAATACATTTCTGCCGATAAGACAAGGGTGAATGATGCTTCTGGACAGATCCTGCGTAAGTTCAAGTCCACCATCTCAGAACTGGCCCTCCTTCATGGCGGGAGGAAGGAAAGTTCTCACTTGGTTTCGCTCTTAATTCCTACACGTATAAAGCGAACGTGGTGCCTTCATGTATACGCTCAAAGGGGACTTCTATTCTCATGAATGTACCGCGGCCTTTTTTGTGACAATTGGACCATTACTGACATGGCATTATCAAGTACACGCGGACCATGTGCCCTCTGAGGCTGAGACGGTGCCAGTACACGCATCTGCCGCAGACAACGACGTTGCCGTGTACCTCTCATGGATCGCGCAATGATTGACGAATAACAAGGCCTTGGCAATCCCGGACACGCAAGACGAACATTTGAATTCAAGACTTGATGACCCGTGTAGAAGAGTGTGCGGCAAGGTTTTACGACTGTGTAACGTTAATGAATATTAAATGTAATCACTTGAGGCTCCGCCTCAATCTAGCACTCTCGCCACTAATCACCATTTAGAATTTGGTCATGAATCTCCATCCGCGGGCTCTCTGACTTCCATTCATATTGATTAATTCGAGAAGAAGGTATCCCATGAGATGCTAACCGATAGAAGGATGAGAGCCTGAGGTTATGAGAGTGGTGGGTAGACCTTTCTCCGGAGAGACGGGAGGATGCATATGTATGTTACAGGTGGTGAGCCCATATAAGGGTCCTTATTTTACGCCATTTGACTACAGCCTTTGGCTTTATCCCGAGGTCATTTCAGTGGGTTGACCAATCGAGACCCAGAATAAGTTTTCATATTCGTCCGAAGGCGAACGGTCTTTTCACATAGTGGTAGACTCTTAAAGACTCAGCCTTCACAAAAACACACAACGTCTATAACAGTGCTGAAAATACTATCGGTGGATTGCAAGAAAGCCTCTACCGTTTCCCGGATAATTTGGGCCCCAGTCATGGACTGGAAGCTGTTGATCTCAAGTGATAAATGCCTTTATACAGGTTCCATTTTGCAGAAGTATGTACAAGAAAGCTCAACGGTACCATTCATTACTCCAGCTCTTGAAGCCCGAAACATGATACCATCTGAGGGAGATGAGGCGGTACAAGATGTGTATCCAGATAGTGCGGCGCATGGCACAAGAAGAGTTCAACAAGCTCAGGATCTCACGGCGTTAGGCGGCAGGCCCAATAACAGTGAATCAAAGGCATTGAGAATAGTACTAAACCCCATCATTAGCTATCGCCAACCCGTAATGAAAGGAGATAATTACCTGGTTGGTAGCAGAACAAGTGCTGCCAGATTGGCAGCAGGTGGCCCCAGTCCAGCCTTGTCCGCCACATTGCGCGTACTTGGCAGCGCAGTTGGCACCACCCCCGGATGAAGCACTCGAAGTAGTCCCCGGCGCAGTAGAGGTAGTGAGCGTCGTAGGCGCAGCGGTCGTCGACGGCTTAACCGCGGTTCCAGTCGCCTGCGTGGCAGCACAAGTCGACTCACAACCCGCACATCCCGCGCCAGCACTCTTGGTTGAGCCCCCGGAGTAGACTGTGGGCCCGGGCGCGATGTAAGTCGACATCGGGGCGTGGATGTCGACGAGAATGCCAGGGTTGGCGGCGGCGTAGGCACCAGGGAGCTTGACAGTCGCGGGGGAGGCGGATCCACCGCCCGTGACGGTGATCTGGTAACACGTCATGTAAAACTGGGCTCCGCCAGATGAGCCTGCTGTGTGCAGTGCGAGGGCCTCGGCACGCACTTTTTTCATGTTAGTTGAAGATCAGTCAAGCATGAATGAGATGGCAGAATCAATACGGGGTCAACAGCATTGAGTAGTGAAGGGTATAAAGCGGTCAAGATGCTCAGAAGAATGTTGATAATTGTTGTAATACTTACACAGATAATCTCCAGGTGCAATATCGGAAGGAATCTTGACATTCATCCTACCTATAGTATTTGTTTGTCAGTGCTAGGTAATTACATTTTGAGCGGTCCGAGACACGAGACAGAGTTGGACGAATGCCCAGCAGGTAGGGTCAGAGTTGTAAACGTACCACAGCATGTTGTCAAGTCCTTGGTCCCCCAAAAATCGTCATCTCCAGAGGCCCCAGCAGAGTTCTTTGCCCAAGTGTCTGCAAAAATTTTAAACCATCCTGCTGAAGAACCAACAGCAGTAGAAGCGTCCGAGACCTTGGCCAGGTACACTTGCACAGGACCGTAGTGGGCTCCACCAATAGCTTCAGAAGCACAGTCCTTTGTGTTGGGCTGTTGATGCATCTCGACGGTGACCGTGGAGCCAGCCTTCACGGCGCATTTTGCCGCAGCGCTTGAGGACCCAGCATTGCAGGCGATGTCGTTCGAGAGGACGTCCGTGACTGGTGAGTTGCTCCCGGGAAGTCTGGCACACTGGGCTCCGTGCAAAGGAAGTCAGCTTGGGTATTCAGCCTGGTCTCGGAGATGGGAGACTTATATAATTAACGCCATCGACGTATAGAATCTGGAAGGTAGCATGGGCTGAGGCTTGAGCAACCAAGCCTGCCAGAATCGCAATCAATGTGGACTTCATTTCGGTTTGGATCTGCGTGATCTTCAATCAAAGCGTCTTGGCCTCTGAGGATCGTCAGGGACTGGTAATCGGATGCGTGGTTCGCCCATTCAAGAAGCCTACATCTGCAGGGCTGCAGCACCGTTATATACGCTTCATCTGGCGGTCCAGGCTCAGGGAATTTCAGTCATCTCGGGCCCTTGATCCCGTGCCCTTGTCATCATTATTTTGTTCTAGCTCAATCCAGGCGAGGCGACATTGGCATTCCAGACAAAAGCAGAGTCAAGCCGCAGTGCCTGGGTAGCCTCGTGCTCTCTAGGATGTACCACATGTACACAGTATAATGTCAATGCAAGCCTCTAATTACTGACGCATCTGACGCGCCTATTGATTACATGCACGTTGAACCAAGATCTGTTGTTGAGAAAAGTGCCCATGCGGCGCCAGTGAACATATCGTGTGATTCAACCCGGAATAGACGGGCCCGAGGATTGGCTGGCTGAATGTGATCAATATACCGGCAAAAGGTCACGGTCGGCTTGGCATAGACAGATGCGTGGTTATACTAGGCGAATCCATGCCCCGGTCCATGAGGTTCTCCGTCCCGTAAGTCAACTGGTATGAATTAGGAACCATGGAAGCAGCAGCGCCGAGATCCGAAATCCCACCTCTAAGGAGAGCAGAGCAACTCACCGACAACCTTGGAATGGCCGTCCATGTCTCCGATCGATACGCGCTCATTCGATCTCGTGGATGCTATGTACACAGTGTTTGGGAGAACGCAAGACGCCTATGTCTCGTTCTGCGTTGTACAGTCAGTCCCCAGCCCTGTCTAGCGACCTACAACGAACTCGAAGTCTGTGATGGTTTGAAAAGAATTCTCCGGTGCTGGGCCGGTCAGGCTAAAATTCTTGGCAAAAGCTTGATTTATCTATATTACTACATCGCTTCAGTCTTTCAACGGCAGCCACGTCACGGAGAGCGAGTTACGAGATGCGTTAGGATAGATGACAGCTGCAGCCGCAAATAATCGATTTTGTAAATGCCTCGTACTGTGGAAAACTTCACTTGGGAGAGCTCTCCGGGGGCATCTCATATCTTGTGAAACACAAGGAGAAAGGACTGCCTGGCATCGCTTCTATTTTTTCCATGGCTCTGTGTGGGTCTACTGGAAGTTAAACTGCTCCTATCCGTATGGATACCTAGGTACTACGTCTCTACCCACAGCACCCTGGATTTCCCGTTGGAATCATGTACGAAATGCGTTGCTCCATCCCATAACTAGCACTCCATATTGAAGTGCTGTTCAAGTTATTTATACCTACTTACCTACCTAGGTACTTGAGTATCTGAGTAGGTATGGCGTCAATGGTACCTAGGCAGGCTTGGTTGAGGTCGGCAGCATACCTGAACACGATCGTCCGCTGCTCTCACCTTAACGCATACAAAATAGTGCACAGAATATTTAATCATGACCCGTGCCATAAAGCCTCAGCCACACAAGGTATCAGTCTGAGAATGCAATGCTGCTTTGACATGTCGCTAATTGCGCATCCAGGCACTCTCCGAAAATGTTCTCTGATTGTCTGCGTGATCGAATCTCGAGGAGCGCTCTCGTCGGAACGGCGCCGTCTGATTGTCTACCTAGGTATGTATCTAGCAGTTAAGAAACCTGCACACCGAACAATTTGTCTGAGATCTGATACGGGATCGTGAGAATGTCCCCCTTGCGGACAACAAATTCGGGGCCATCTATATGCGGGTTGCGGTTCTTGAGGTCCTCCAAGGACACACCAAGCTTCTGCGAGATATTCGACATGGAGTCGCCATCAACAATGCTACACTCCGACGACCGCTCGGCTGACACCTCCTCGACCGATGGCGCATTGAAAGCATTGGCGGTGTTGGTCCCGTAAGCGGTCTGGCCCCACCAGTTTCCTGGTGGCGTATACCTGGCAACGATATAAGTCGCGCCATTCGAGGCCTTGGCGGCGGCGATCCCAACCTTCGTGGTTGTCGGCCATATGCACTGTTTACAAAAGGTTCTCGGTTATTTCAGTGAAAGAAAAAAAATGCTTGCATCGAGACTTACCTGGGTGTAGTGGCCGTAGCTGCCGAAATTCCCGTCCGCGATTTTCTCGCCGTGGTAGTTGGGCTTCTCTGCAAGCCAAGCTCGGGTGCCGTCGAGCAGACTGGCGTTACCACTAGACATGAACAAGTTTTCACCCTGGCCCTGAGCCCCAGAGTGCTCAAACTTTTTGTTGTCTGCTAGATATTGCGCGTATTTCTTGGCGTCGTTGATCAGACCATCATCCAAGGTAAGATCTGGGCGCTTCTGGCCCTGAGCAGCGCGGCGAGCTAGCATGTCGTTATTAGCTGGCAGTGATCTGGGGTAAGGAGGTCTGTAGGGTCTTCACCATCATTGTGAGCATTGAGAGCGGAAGTGATGTCAGACATGTCGATGGAGAATTCGGAACAACCGAGATATGTGGGATAGACCTCTGTGAACACGGTAGGAATATGAGCCGAGTACTGTAGGACAGACAAAGTCTTTACGAGGATGGAAGCGGAAATTCTCAATATTTATACACCCAAGGTCTAAGCAGAGACTCTAAAAAGCTATCTTGGTCCAAAGTGTCTCCACGATGAGGAGGTTCGACACATACCCCAATACAGACTCGGACATCCAATGTCTCAGATGATCTTGAGGTGGCCACTTGCAGAGCCCATGGTTCAGTTTCATGCTTCTCTTCTACTCACTTAAAGCGCGTGACTATATTTTTCGAGAAAAATGTGATTGTTCTAGAGATCTAACTGCTCATGTTTTGGTCGACGATGCGCTTGTTTCGCGAAAGGGATGCCAAACCCTGGCGGGTTTGGTCTTGTGTAGTCCCAATGGAGTGGAACATGCAGGCACAGCGCGTCGATGATGAAGGATGACCGTTGAGCCGACGCCATGCGGCGAGGCAAGGCAATACCAAAGCCACAATGAAGCCGCAAGGAACGCCTGCTGACATGCTGAGGCGGAAGGCTGTGGCCCGTCTCGGCTGACGACGAACATGGCTGTCAATCACATCAGCGGCCATGTACTGTATTTGGAAGGTAAACGAAATCTATCCGAGACCCGGACTGGAATATGACCTCATATTCAGGTATGGACTTTACAAAGCGCGGACGATGAGGTTGGTGGCTGCCGCTTCCGCACGCAGAGATATGCTCAGTACCTCTCTCCTTTGGGATGGGTCTCGTGGCCTCAGAGGTCCATGATTGAAATGGCCTTTGCCGCCATAAAATTACTCCATAGGTGCCTGGCGGGCGGGAAGCAAGGCGGCTTTTCAAGATCAGGTAATGTAACCGCATAGGTGCAAGAGCTTATGAGTACTAGGTGGTTTCGTTTCTGATGCCCACCCTATACCTATAAAACGTATGTGGGGCCTTCATAAAGAGGCAAACGCTCAAGACACAGTGTTTCAAAAACGCACAATGCCAATAAAAGTGTAGAGAGAATATAATACAGACTTGTAAGTTATTCCCTGTAATATAAGTATCAGAGAGAGTAAACTCTAGACTTTGGGAAATCAGACAATCCGTGCGAATAGCATCCCATTTCAATTACTACACAGATACAATTCCCTGACAACTTGAAGTTCGTACGAAGCGGACCTCTCTATTGCATGCCAACCTCCAATATAATGCATTTCACTGATATCTTAGATGTGCATTGGCTGGTCGTACATGAGCTTATAGCAGAGATCCTTGAATGAGCCGTCGGGGTTCATGAGCTGGGCCTCAGGGCTGACAAAGTCGTCGGCAACATGTCCCATACACCCAAAAAAGGCATACTCGTAGATGAAGTCCTTGCTGTCCATCCAGTTAGCCATCTCGACAGTGAAAGCCAGGACCTCGTCGTAGTTGCGCGAGACGCTGGCAATCTCGTGGACAATGATCGGTAGGCCGTAGCGCTGGTGCATCTCCTCGAGGTACCGCATGGTTGCGCCCGCGTCGGTGTTGTAGGCGTGGAGGCCGAGGTAGTCCGGCGGGCTGTCGGCGACGAGGGCCATGAATTGCTCGAGCCAGGCGCGACCCTCGTCGGTCCACGCCGGGCAGGGGCTGCACAGCTGCTTGCCGCGATTTCGCAGTTCTAGAACCTGACCTGATAGGAATTAGAAGTTTGACAGACAAGCAAGCCAAATGGGTCATCTCTGATTTACCATGCCAGATGTCTGCGGCCTGCTGAGGGCTAATGCCGTTGCGCTCCGGCTCGTTGAAGTAAAGTACTAGCGGCTGGTCGCTGTTGAGGATCCACTGCCACTTGTCACCTTGTGTCTCCTCTATCAAATGAATCATCGGCCGGAACGGCGCCCGGCCCTTAAGCTCTGGTGGGACCCAAGCATTCCAGTTGCAGACTGAGGATATAGGGTGGTCGTTGTCGAAAGGGACTTGGTCGAGCTGCTGGGGAAAGTTGTTGGTGTTGGTATAGTCCCAGAGCAGCATTCGTTTCTTGATGACCATGATGACCGATTATTTAAAGAGACAACTGTTGCGGAATTTGGATATGGAATCGATGATACTTCTGGGGTACTATGTGAACTTAATGTAGAGCAATGTGGAAGGTATGTTGCGACAAGCAGAATACTCAACACTTGAGAGGAATTCGAGTTGCTGAAATACGGACAAGAGCCGTGGAAAAGGACCGCCTGGCTCCATCCTCGGATTTTTTTCAAGACGAAGAACCTCATGCGGTCCCTCCACAGGCTAACGTGAGCTTAGACGACGGACACAGTACGTTGCTGACTCTAGAAGGGAGGCTTCACTCACGCGACCCCGATCGTATGTTGAGCGGTGAGCTAGGCCGCCAGGGGAAAATGCAATCGTTCGAAGTTAGATGCACGATGTTAGACGCCAAATCCGTATAAGCAACTTCCAAGAGTCAGCGCCATGCCCACCCACCGATGTGCTCCAGTCAGATCATGTGAGTGCCACTTACTAAGTAGCACATCTCAGCCACGCCAAGTAGGGCTGACTACGCTCATCTTTTGGAAAACACCAGGTTATTCAATAGATCGTTCACATCAGCCTCCAGGGCTTTCCTATCGTGGAGCAGTTGATCATATGATCCTTGGAGACCAACCATTTCTGACTAAGATCTTGGGACGCCGCTGCTAGATCGTGAGGATCGTGGCTGTTAGAAACCTCATGCCGCAGGTGTTTTGCGAGTCCAAGCTGTGCGAAGAGGCGGCCGCTTTTTTTTGAAGGAATCCGCCGTCAAAATTTACAAGATCGTCCCTCAAGAGGCGGTGATGGTTAGTCGTATAGCCTTGGAGATTTGTAAGTCTATATTTGTAGTTCTAGGCACGCTATTGCGTCCTCGAGTGTTGGTAAGCCAACCACGGCACTGAAGTATATAAGAAGACATTCACGAAGGCACAAAGGCCGTTTCTTGAATGCACATATCTTCAGAATCTCTCAATTTCCAGTACAATTGAGCATTTCAAGTTTGATTCGATTCACACCTATCCTTATCAGCAAAGCACTACGCATACCCACGAAAGCAACAGACATGGGCGTCATTAATATCAACAACATTTCTAGCCACGATCAGCTCTTTTACATCCATGGATGGGGCCAGGGAGACACTACTGTAGGCGCTGGTCAGATGTTCACATTTGATGCACCTGACGGTACTTCTGGCGCTATCATTGCTGTCCACGAGGGCCGTGAAGGAGAACAAGTCGAGGTCACCAAGGCCGGCTGGGGAGGTTCGTGTTAAATGCCGTTGATGATTTAGTTGCTGTTTTTACCATCCACATTCTCTAACGATTAGCACTAGGCAACGATGTCTTCGACACCAGCGTCCTGGTCGGCTCGGGTGGAAACATCACGGTCCAGCATTGGGGCAATGACAGCACCCGTAAGGGAGCACCGACTTACATGCAAGATGCTCAGGTTGCTTGGGATAAAGCGAGCGAGGAGACCAGAAATGCTATCCGGAGCGCTGTCATCGTCGACGGCGAGGGGAAGGTTGTCTATATCGGGCCGACGAAGGAAAACCCTCCCCTGGAGAACTGGGTTCGCAGCTTCGCCAATGGAAAGACTTATATCGGCATTGGGGCTTGGGGTGATTTCAAAGGGGACGTGAACGATAACAATCAGGTAAGCTACACCACAGGGAAGCAAACTCGTTCGTCTATCTAGGGAGGCTAATCTTCAATGACATCAACAGAGCTCCGCTGCTCCCGGAAGCCAGGACATCATTATAACATACAACGACGGCAATGCCAACCCTACACTAGGGGCCTCAGGTGGGTCCAACGAGCCCGAGCCGGCGCCGGTATTCGCGTTCACGGCCGACACGCAACAGGGGCCAGGAATCGTCCTGACTAACAAGTCCGGGGCGCAGTGTAACTACAACTTCTACAACAACACAGCCAACGGTGACGGCTGGGCCAACCCGGAGTTCAACAACACGACCGCCAGCGCGACCCTCGAGCCGGGACAGACCCAATTCGTGGCTCTCGACAGCTCATTCAAGGGCCGCGTGCAGCGCGGCACGCAGCAGCCGGCGACGTGGGTCGAGTTCCAGCTGCGTGCTGACGACGGCTGTGCGTGGGGCAACATCTCGCTCATCATGGGTTGCGACGGGGCGGCCGTCATCTCGGCGACGGATGGCAAGGGCGTCAGCGCTGGCTTTACGAATGACATCGTCAGCGGTGCGCCTGAGGCGGCCAAGGTGACCCGGGGCGACGGGGTCGTTGTGCTCGACACTACGCAGGGCTACTGGGCCGGCGGGCCCAACAAGGCCGCCAGTGATCACGAGTTGGCTGTCGTCGGCCAGCAGAACGCCTATGTGCTCGGGGGCTCCGGCACGACTGTCGTCCGGTCCGAGAACAACCGTCTTGCTGTGGACATGTATTGATCTAGTTTGACCTTTCATCTTTTGCCATATAAATAATAGATTTCCCTAACAAAAAGTACCGTGTTGGACCTTGGCTGGGGACGCCGTGCCTAGCTTTTACACCAAGGAGTTGCTGTGTTCAGCTGGCTGTCATTGAAACCACGAACAGTCATGTCAATCTAGTATGAAGCACTTGAATGGTTAAAAGCTGTGGCCCGGGCGCGCAAAGGAGAGCAAATACGAAAGCAGGAATAGCGCCATCGCATAAAGTTTTAGCGGGTGGATCTAATGCAACTGATGGCGGGATCCGTTAGTTGATAGATGCGTGGGCGTCCCGGAGTCCAAGATGCACACGTAATTCCGTCTAAGTCCGTCGGGGCACCGCCAGCGAGGCACAAGCAGTCAGGCCCATCAGTCTGACAAGATCGAATATAAAAAGGGAATGGATCTCGGTCCGATATCATGATGCACGCGGATCACAGATCTTGGACTGCGTCTTTTGAAACCAATCTACTCCAGTGCACAGAATTATAATGGCTTCCAACAGAGCCGCAATCCTGACAGCGACCAAGGCACCGCTCCAAGTCAAGGAGGCCCCCTACCCAATGCCAAAGGACAAGGAGATGGTAATCAAGAACCGCGCCATAGCCATCAATCCCGTCGATTGGTTTCAGCAGGAGATGGGGCCGGAGGGAATCCCATTCCTCAAGTTCCCAGCCATATTAGGGTATGATATCGCCGGCGAGGTTGAGGCCCTAGGATCCGGCGTGACCAAGTTCAAAGTCGGCGACAGGGTGACGGGGCTGGTGAACCAGGGGTTCCAGCAGCATGTGGCGCTCGCTGAACACATGGCGACGGCCATACCCAGCTCTGTCACTTTTGAGCAGGCAGCTGCCCTCCCGATGGGCGTCTCTGTTGCTACCAAGGCCCTCTTCCACAAGGACTACCTGTCGTTGGACCTGCCGTCAGCGTGTCCGAGCCGCAAGCAGGAGACGGTTCTGATCTGGGGCGGCTCGACCAGCGTTGGCTCCAATGCGATCCAGCTGGCGGTGGCTGCGGGATACGAGGTGTTCACGACAGCCTCACCGCATCGATTTGAGTATGCCAAGGGCCTTGGGGCTGCCCAGGTATTCGACTGTATGTATATCAGGTCTCAGATTGTGACGGCCGGCAAGCCCTTCACGCGTCCCCCTCTGAAAGACACGCCACCTCAGCCTGCGGTAATTGACACATCGCAGACAACAGCCCCAGCGTGAAAGAAGACCTGGTTGCCGCGGTCAAGGGGAAGATGATGGCTGGAGCGATTGCAAATGGCGGGGTGGACTTCAGCACATTCCCAGGGATCGTGGACGTGTGTGCGGCTGTGCTGTTGAGCACAGAGTCTGTTAACAAGGGCGGTAATTTTGTCGCTCTGACTATGGTGCCAGGCTTCCCAATGCCGGAGGGCATTCAGACCAAATTCGTGGAGGAGCTAGGGCCCGACGTGGAGCTTGCTTCGGCAGTCTTTCATGACTTCTTGGCTGGAGCGCTGGCCGACGGGAAGTACACGATTGCTCCGGAGTCGCGGGTTGTGGGGGAGGGTCTCGAGGCCGTGCAGGGGGCCATGGACACCCTGAGGAAGGGAGTGTCGGCTCAGAAGATCGTCGTCTCTCTCTGAGTGACGATTGTACTGCCCATAAAGCACACGATCTAGAATGGGAGAGAGAAAAAAGTATATTGAGCCAGAAGGATGTGCTTGGCCCGTGCTCCTGCCAAAATTAGAACTGCGGGAGTTGGCTGTGTGCGTTGGTGCAGATCTTAGCTCCCAAGTACCCAAGTACCTACCTAGGTACCTACCAACCACCATCGCCGTCAAGTGGTGCGGCGAGTGGACGTGTCTCTCCCCATCTGTCACCCCAAACACCTTCTCTTTGTTTGCCATCTCCTGCCAGACAGAATGCCTACTAGACAGGTAGATACCTAGGTATGTTACACCCGTGAGAGCATGGTCCTCAGGGGCAAGAGAGTGAGTGATACAATACAGTAAGACTGGCCCAGTGGGACCGGTCGAGTGAGACTGACCCCCGCCGGCCAAACATGCTTTGTGCAGCCGCTCTACATCCACAAAAGTCCATCGAATGGGCCGCAGTCAATCGGCCGTTGGTCGCTGCTGGCAAGCCCGAACGCGGCGTTTCAGGCAGCGGTGGGCTGGATCTGCGCGTTGGTGCGGGTGTGGAAGGATTTACTGCGCCCGTTGGTGAGTTGGTGAGCGATGCAGGAATCTGACTGAGATCCGCACCCTTGGAAACTCAAGTGCGCAGGCTTTTTTTTTTTTGGTGCTCCCTCCCTGATATTAAACTGGCAAGTTTGCCATCCTACCTCAGGTGATTTTTCTGCTTGCTCTCAGGTCCTCACATCCCCAGATCTGACCGTCTGCGTTGGTGGGACAAGCTGTACTCTTTTTTTTCCCCCCTCAACTACATCCTTCTCTCATTATTTCTCCTCGAATCTGTGAGGATGAAGCCCGCAAATATGAGAAACACCCTTCAGGCGGTGCTCCTGTCCTCGTCGTGGGCAGCCTTGGTCATGGCGGACCAGAAGCACTTCGAGCCGTGCTCCCTTGCCGAGAGACAAGACCTCGCCGCACACATTTCCTGCGGATCCCAAGAATCAGTCACACGGTGTGTGGCCGACCTCGCCGGGGACGAGGGCCTGCTGCAGGCGTGCCTGACCAGTGCAGGCTGCGATACGCAGGGCGCCAGGCAAGAGGCAGAGCAAGTAGCCAGGCGTTGCGGGACCAGCTCGGACATCGACGAGGCCAACATCGAGCTGCGGAGGCAGCAAAACCGGGGCCGCCTACGCTCCATCCAAACGGTCGTCGAGGTCCGCGCAGCCCTGCCCGCCGCCGACGGGAACGCCAACGACAACGCAGGAACAACGCTCGAAACAGTGGCCATCCGGGATGAGGCCACGCCCGCGCCCACCTCTACAAATACTTGGGTGATGATCCAACACCTGAAGGGCACGACCGTAAGCAGCTTCTAGACACTACCTCGAACCTATAAAACAATGGCTGACTCCAGACGCTGTAGTACACCACCGTGACGTGCATGACCCCCACCACCGTCGCCACCAGCGCCTGCAGCTTCATCAACGAAGCCGAGGACACTGCCTGCGTCCCGACCACAGCAGTTGTCCCCTCCTGCGTTCCAGGTATGATGTGCGCGTTTAATCAGGACAACGGCAGCGTCAGGTGTGCACAGACGGGGGGTTTCGGCCCTGGCGGCTTCGTCGTTGCTGGTGTCTTGGGCGTTGCCGCGGCCGTCGCCGTGTCCGCGCTGTGCTTCATGTGCTGCCGGGAGCGCAGTGCCCACAAGAGGGACCGCCGCGCTGCTGAGGCCCAGGCGGCGCTTGCTGCTGCCGCCGAGGCGAAGAAGGCTTCCTCGCGCGCCGCCACTGGCATGGCTACTGGAGGTGACTACGTGCCGCTGATGGGTGCCAGTGGCGGGCGAGACGGCCCCGAACAGCCCGGCCAGGCTGACCCTTTCAGAGGGGGCCAGCAATACTATGACCCTAGGTGAGAACCACCTGGAGTCTAGGTGCAGTGCATAAAATCGTGGCTGGTTTCGTATCCGGGTCAAACTTGATGGAACATGATTATAGAGGCGAAAGGGGCGATGCTTCATGGCCAATGGCTTGATGCCGGGTTACCGGGACAGTTGGGCTAAATAGACTGGAAATAGACCTGCTCCAACATCTCGCAGTAAGGCTCACATGAGGGACTCATAGACGTATTCTCAATCAGAATGTGAAATTAGTGTGATATGTGGTTTGCGCTGGTTCGTGCACAATGTTTTGACACTGATGTAACGTGTAATGAACTCTTCCGGTCCCAGATTAATTATACCAGTTGTCCCTGCTTCGACCGAGATCCGAAACACCATGATGAAGCTCTATGGTTTCAATACAAATTTCTGGTTCCCGCTCACATCATCCGTACCCAGCACCGGCATCTCATGGCCAACCTGGCTACCAGTCACCTCTATCGGGCGCTCGTCAACGCTCATCTCCACCGGCTGCTGGTTCACGGCTGGCATCTCGGCCGGCCACGAGGGCTTGGTGCTGTCGTAGTCCGGCGGCGGCGATCGCAGCGCGGCGAGGACGTCGTTGGCATTCTGGCCGCGTTCCTGGATGATGGCGAGGACCTCGTTCACCTTCCGCTCCATGTTCCTCCTCTTCTGGTCGACTTCTATGCAAGAAACCACAAAGAGGAAAAACTGGCACACGCTGCGGAGCCATTGTCAGTATGGAGTACTTGGTCGGAGGCGGTTTGTCAAGCAGCCCGTGCCGTGGAAGCAAGTCAAAGGAAAAGGGGGCCCCAAAAACTTACACCGTGGCAAAGTTGAGTGCGCACCAGAAGTAGATCACGCTCGCCCACTTGTTATACGTAGCTGCCGATATACCGCCCCCGCCTTCTGTGAAACTGCCTGAATATTGCTGGGTGGCAGCTGTGTCTGTGACCCACAGCGCCCCGACGACCACGCCCCCGAGCAATAGCAACAGCTCGCACGCGAGGTGCGCAGAAGGGTCGAGGCCCTTGTTCTTGTGACGCCGGACAAGCAGGACGGCGATCTCACTGAGCTCCCAGGCGAGGCTGAGAAGTGGCTGCCATGGTGTCTTGTGTCAGTATCAATGTGCGGGTCCTGGGGTATTCATCGTCGTTTCTGCCCGCCCGATCTGTCTCATAATAATATCTCGCTCCGGAAAGGGGCGAGCCTTTGGACAGTCATGCAGGTCTATCTATGTTGGTGGTGGTGGTGGTGGTGGTGGTGGTGGGGAACAACTAACATATGGGAGCCCGTACACGGGCATGAGGCGAATAATCCAGGAATCCCATCTTTTTGGGGCGCTGACGGACACGAGACTGGTGATGGTCGCGGCGAGCGACAGAACAATAATGATGCCTCTGACGGTGATCTTTGCGGTTGCATATCTCGGGTTTGTGGCCTGCTCGATCTCCTTTCTCTTCGGGCGTTGCGTGGCATCGCCAGAGTCACCCATGTTTGCTCTGATGAGCCCGGCGCCGATTTTCAAGCGATGAGGTAGAGGAACAGAGGTCTTCAAGCAGATCGTTGGTCACTCAATTCGAGCAGTGGGTCCAATTCAGAGTGTAGATTTAGTGTTTGCTTAAGAGCAAGACACCATGACTTGTTGAGGCGAGGAGGGACACCCCAAGGGCAACGTGTAGAGCTGACAAGGGCAGGAGAAAACACATGTGTTACCACAATCAGGATCGGGTCCGACTGTCGCGTGTCACATTCTGCCTCTCCATTTTATTTTATTTTCATTTCTTCCACCCATGTATGGCCACAAGCCGGACATGTTGCTCGGCATTCTTTCTCCTGCTGAAGGATCAAACATGGGGGCAGTGCGTCGCCCCATATTTTTTGTCCTTTTACCCTCAACATCCTACTTGCAACTTCTAGTTCCCCGTCTGTGTGTCTTGAGAGGCTCTGCCTCACAGTTATTCAGACTCTCTATCAAAATCTAGCTTGCTGGAAACAAGCAAGCAAAATATGAGGGACTCGCGCTCAGCTGAGCGATCGTCATTTCACTGAGAGCCATTGCACCAATTTCGTATCGAATCTTACTCAGCCTGGTGGCTCCTTAGGACCCATATTTGGTCCATAATGCGAGCTGTCATCCAGTCACATTCAACGCCACGGTTTGGTGGCCGTGGCGAAGCGGTGCGGAGACAGGCAGTGAGATGCAAGTTCAACAGGGAGTTGCCAAATCCATAAGGAAGATGATTCAGTCTGTAAGGGCCAAGACAGCAAGCAGCGTCATTGCACGCCTTCTTACCTGGGATAATGTACAAGACACGCAGGACCGGCAAGCAGATATAGTGATGGCAACAAGACCAGAGGTCACTTGGTTGCGCAGTTTTTGTATCGCACTTTCAGTACGGATACCAGCTAGTATTACAGTGATAATCCATAAAGTGGTAGGCTCAGGGGTATCAACAAGGGCGACCAGCCCCAAAGTGAGGGCCCAGGCCTCGGTTTCAGTGGGGACAAGCAACCATAGAGCGCTACAAGCATTGAGGAGAACCGGTATGTGGGTCTGGGTGTTGCGAGCCCCCTGGTTAAGGTTATTGTCGAAAGTTTCCAGCACGAGGTTCTTCACAGGCAAGTATTCGGCGCAAAGTTGTCTCGAGAGTCGGGTAACAGTCGCATAAGGCTGCCATGCTATAATGCACAAGGTCCGCCAACCATGACAAGTCGCCAATTTCCGAAAGCTAATGGCCAAAGGACGACCCCAACACGGGACTGCCAATGCCCGGCTGACCAGGCGCGCCGAAAGCGCCTAATGGCTGAGGCATCTTGTCCGGATTCCATCGAATGCTCTTCGTGCCGGCTTCATCAACCAGGTCGAAATTTCCCCCGCCGTTGGCCATGTTCCCCTCCGTCTCGCAGAGCGCGACAATGTCGTTCTCCGTCAACGGCCCGTCGCCCATAGGATTGAAGTCGACATAGGTCTTCACTGCCTCCTGCAGAGAAGTGAGCGGAATGAAGCCGTCTTTAGTGGGCTCCTTCAAGGCAAGGTCACGGCAGACATTGCAAAGGATCTGCCGTATCGCGACGCTTGCTGGCGGACGAACTGGCGCGACGTGGCGGAGGGGGATGGGCGAGGTGAATCCGAGACTTGGGCTGGCAGGCCATCCAACGGGAGTGCCAAACCCAGGAGGTGCCACAGGTGCCTGGCCGAATGCACTTATTCCAGGCAGCTGCATGGGGCTGCCCCACATAGAAGCGATTGCTGGATCGGCAAAGGGAGCTGGCGGGAAAGCCGGTCCCGGGCGGCCCGGAGCAACGTACCCGCGACGCAAGCCTGGCTGGAAGTCGGGGAGCGTCGGCAGGACGTCTTCAGAATCATCCAGTAAGGCGCTACTTCCCAAGTGATCCTGCATGTCATCAGGCTCCTGCTTCGGGGCCTTTGGCGGGGAGCCTGACTGCGGCCGCTGCCCGTGTACTACAGACGAGGGCCGGCCGATAGGCGTAGGCCGACTGATGGGTTGAGCGGCATGCATCGATGGAGAATCATAGCCTCCTGACTGCTGTCGCGTGTGTGTGCCCAGGGGTGCGTCTTTCGATGAGTGGTTGAAAGGTGACACCAGATCTGCAGCCGGTTGACCAAAACCAGGAGGCGGTGCGGGTGCAGGAAAGCCTCGGCCGAGCATGGGGCTGCTCAATCCCGGGGGGACCATCCCCGGGGGCGGCTGTCTGAAGCCAGGAGGCCCCGGGGGAAACAGAGGATTTCCAAAGCCTGGAGGCGGCAGCCCAGGAGGGTACGGCATACCCATGGGCGGGATGTTGATGGGAGCGGGCTGGGCGGAAGGGAACCTCGTTCCGCCAGACTGCGCCGGTGACATCGCCCGGGACACATTCGCCGAATGCTGACTTGCTGTGCTGCCTCTGGCACTTGGAGGCCCCGACGGCCGCGGGCTGGTCTGTGCCGGTGTGTTGGCACTCGGGGAAGGGTCGTTGCTCGCGGACCCGGACAATGACGTTGTGCCCGGGCCTGAGGAAATCGTATCCTGCTGCGACGCCTGTCGCGGTCGCATCGGCGTCGGTGCTTTCGGCAAGGCTGGCGTGGCGACCGAGGGTTTTGGCGAGGCAAAACTCGCCGTTGGCGGCTGCTGAGGCAAGACTGGCAATGCCGGGTTTGTCGGGTGTTGAGCTGGCCGCTTCGGGAGCGTCATCGTGGCAGGGGCCGTGGCCAGTGCTGCTGCTTTCTTGGCTGCGCGTTCCTCTTGTTTCTGCTTTTGGTTCGCCTTGTTCCCGTGCTCCGAGGTCTTGCTCTCGAGTTCCTTCTGTCGTTTCTGCGAGTCTTGCTTCTCCTTGAGCTCTTTGGCCTCGCGGTCCGACCTCTCCCTCTCCTCCTTCTCCTTGAGACGGGCCTCCTCACGAGCTTTCCTCTCACGATCCTTAGCCTCCTTTGCCTTCCTTTCCTGGTCGGCTTGGAGTTGCTTCTGGCGCTGTCGCTCGGCCTCCTTCCTCGCCCTTTCGTCTTCCTCGGCTTTCCTCTGGGCCTCCTTCTTCTTGCGCTTCTCGTCGGCCTTCCTTCTCGCTTCCTCGGCTTTCCGGGCTTCTTCCAGCTTCCGCTGCTCCTCCTCGGCCGCCCTCTCAGCCTCCCTGCGTGCTTTCTCCTCGGCCTGGGCTTGCTTCTTCTGGGCTGCCTTCTCTTTCTTCTTCTGTGCCTCCTTTGCCTTCTTCTCCTTACGGGCCGCTTCCCTCCGCAGCTCCTCCTCCTCCTCCTCCATGAGCTTGGCCTGGCGTTCGCGCGCCACTTTTTCGCGGTATGCTTGGAGTACTCTCTGCTCAAACATTCGCGCAGCGAAAATTTGGAACATCCGACGGCCTTCTTCCATACGTTGCTCTTCGGTCATGGTGTCCTGTGGTACGTCAGACATTGTCACACTTGCTCGCCAACTCGGACACCTACGTCATCCTCTTCCTCGTAATCGTCGTCCTCTCCAGAGTCGTACTCCTCGTCCTCGTCCTCCTCGTACTCTTCGTCGTCAACTGGTGGAGGTGGAGGGTGATCGTGGCTGGGAAGGCCGCCATTGACACCATGGCCGTAGCTCCGGTACTGGTCCTGGGTAAAGTCGCCCTCGCGTGCCATGCGTCGCTCGGCCAACTGTTCCATCATCTCAATGAACTTCTTGCCATCATTTTTCAGCAAGTCGTCGGCTACCGTTAATATGCCACCTAGAACAGACCCCAGTTACCATCGTGACACGGCTTGTAACCACGCATAGAGAGATTAGGGACACCCATACCCTGAACTGTCAGACTGCTTCCGAAGTTGAAGAACTCGGAAGCATAGTCGCGATGTATCTCCTCTTCGGGCTCATCCTCGTCGCTGTAGGCCTCGTCGTCGTCGAGCTCGTCTTCGCTATAGGCCTCGTCGTCGAGATCGTCCTCGTCGTCCTCGCCAACATGCTCCACTATTCGCCCGCGAGAGGGCTGGTGCCCCGCGTAGCTCGGAAACCTGTTGCCGTGGTGGAAGCCAAAATGCCGCGACGCACCCATCAAGGGCGGGTGGCCGTCTTGCTGAGGATGATTGGCAAACTGCTTGAGCTCCTCGTAGTAGGCATCGTACAAGCCCTCCAGCTCCTCCTCTATCGCATGCCGCTTCCTCCCACACACCGAGCAACTGCACGTGTGCTTCTGTTGCTCCTTCATCTTTTTCAGCACGGCCTCCTTTTCGACCTTGACCAGCGACTTGCGCTCATCCTCGCCGAGCCCGAGCCAGAATTCCTTGATCCTCTCCCGCTCCTCTTGAGAACTGGTGTTCCAAATCCGCTCCTTGGAGATGCCGGAGGGGTGGGGCGTGCTCAGCTGGGGGGTCGGAGAATCCGGCTGGTCTGCCAGCTCCCCCGCGGCTGCGGCGCCCTTGTGTCTCTTCTTCTTTGACTTCTTGGACTTGGGCGCGGGGCCAGGTATACGCCCGTTCGCCTGAGCATGTGCCTGGTCGGGTTGGGTGTGGAACTGGTCTTCATCCTCCTCGCTGTCCTCCTGGTCGGGAACCTGGTTCGGTCTGCGGCCTGCCGAGTCTGGTGCGCCGTTGGCATTTCCCGCATTCAGAGCAGCTTCGGCTGCGGCTTTGGCGGCTGCCTTTTCACGACGCTTCTGCTTCTTCCGGTTAACAGTCGGTGGTGGCGGGGGTGGCCCGTTACTTGTCAGGCCAGGGGCCCCGACGGCCTGTGGCTTTGCGCCAGACGCAGCGGAGGTCATTGGCGAGGGCTGTGCAGAATCGGGAGCAGACATGGTATCGGGCAACGTGATGAACTTGGAGCCGTCTCTGTTTCTGTATTTGGCGCCCCTCGCTGTCGGCGACATTGGTGGAGGGGCCTGGGGCGCAGGCTGGTTTCTAGACCCTTTGGACTTCATGTTGGCTGATTCTGTCTCCTACAAAGGGGCGGGTGTCGAGATCATAGAGGGGTATTCGGCGACTGCGCGGCCCGTCGGGTGGTCGTCAAGGTCTAGAGAGCTCGGTGGGGGGGGGGGGGGTCAAGCGTGACCTGGTTGGTGGCCTGCGGAGGCGGGATCGCGGGTCAGCTCAGATGCTCGGCAGCCAATATCAATCAGGCTCGTGCAGAGCGGCGCCCTTGGTTCGGCCTGGGGATTCAGTGCAAGGGCGAGCGGCCAAACGAGTGCTGCGGCCGTTTCGCGCTGGAGGGCGGAGGAGCTCTGACTGTAGCTACGGCTCGAGTGCGACCGGGACTGCACATGGGACGCAGGCGTGTGCAGGTATGAATCAAGCAAAAGAAATGGGACCAGGCACGGGTGCAGGTGCTGGGACAGGTGTGGGTAGTGTGCTTGGTGCACACAAATATCGCGGGCGGCTGGATGGCAGGATGGGAGGCTTGCTTGGTTGGGTGCAGGAGGGGCTGCGATGGCTCGCTCGCCTTGGGCTTGGCCTGCCTTACCTGACAGCGTCTGAAGGCTATCCGTACTCCGTACACACTAGCAGCTAGCAGCAGCTTCCCCGATGGACCAGAGCGAGGGGCGAACGGTTGATTGCGGGCGAGAGAGCCAGGCGTCGGGTGGGTCGTGTCAGCAGAAAAACCACAATGCAGGCTGCCACAAAAAAGAGCGATGATGATGCTGCTGCCCGCAAGAGCGCCAGGTGGTTGTCTGTCGTCTTCCCAAATAGAACCAAGACCCAAGGGGCGCCGTGGTGACACTGGCAATCAGTACTTTTCCCAAGAGCTACCAGCGTCGGCACGTCGTTCCAACAAGTCGGCCATAAGGGAGGCCGCGGGCCCAAGTCCCTCCCAGGTAGCCCTCCCATGCCGCCGAGGTGTGGCCGGTACATGCCCAGGACTTTGGGAGGAATCACGCCAATGAGCCTCGCCCCATGTGACCTGGAGACCCACTTCGCCCCATCTCCCCCGCGCCCGCCTTATCGGGCCTGGCACGAAGTCAGGGCACACAGTCCAGGGCAATCAGGCAGCGCAGGCAGCGCAGCAGGCAGGGCTGGGCAGGGCTGGCAGGTCGGTCCAGGGAGCCTGGAGCCTGCAGAGCCTGCAAAGCCTGAGTTGCAAGGCAAGTCATTACCGGTCTACGGCGTCACTTGGTTTGGCTGGATTCCACGTCTCGAAAATGCGAATTGCCACATCGGATTTCTGGACTTCCCCATCCTGAAACATGAGCAAATGCTCAGCTCAGCTCGGCTCTGAACCGATGCCTGGCGTACCTAGGTATGCTACACCTTGGCTCGACACAACCCCGGCAGCCCGGGCAGCTTCACCACACCAGCGCCCGACCAAGAGGGAAGAACTTGGCCCAGCAAGCCCAGATCAGGTCTCGACTGCCGCCAGCTGGCCTCCAATGGTGATATGACCCCGCCGGCGGTGGTCATGTACAGGATGTTTGGATCACGCTCGCGCCGTCCAAATTTTGCAGATGTTGCCTCCGCGACGGCTGTTGAGGTCACGCCTCCAGCCACGATAGTGACATCTCCCAGAGCGTCTATTGGTCTTCTGGATCATGCTTGCTCCTCCCGCGGCCATCCACGCATTGTCTCCATCGTCGAGCGCGAAGTTGATCCACTGGTCCAGCTCAGTGTGCGTGTGTGGTGGTCTCGAATTCGCCGACCGCCGTGCCACCATTAGCGTCAACGAAATTGGCAAAACACATCATGTCTTTATGAATCTGTATTCCACTCGTTGCAGGCGTACCGGAGGCGTGATCCGGTGCCGGGGCTTGAATGTATTGTGGGTCACGTCGGCATAGTCTCCGGTAGCGACACCACCCAATAGATGGTCCCGGTCTTGACGTCGCCAACGATGAGAAGCTGTTGGTCTGTATTGTTAGGAAACTGGTGAATGATGATTCGTGAGTCTGCCTTGCCGAAGGAAGAGTTATACGTCTCAGCGGTGATCGCGCAGCCTGAGAGCATACCCAGAGCGGTGGGTACGTTGGACAACATTTCTGGGGGTTGTCTTCGTTCTGGCCGAGATCAAAGACTGGTGCAGATTGTCTACCAGGGTAGTGGGCACACGTCGTCGCCTCATGCCCGATTCTTACGGGCACCATGGATTCCTCAAGTGCTCTACGAGGTCTCAGAGTAAGTCGCCGCCGACCTGAAGAAAATTGTCATCACTGATTCTTAACTCCGCCTTTTGACATCGGCCTCGTGAGGTGATGTCGGGGTTAACGAGATTGGTAAGGCAGACAGGATCCTGTACCACCAAGAGCTTTGCTCGGGTGTCCGGCACGCCACCACAGCCTCTACATAAGGCATCTAAGCAGTGCTCACGGTCTAAATTCCTGTAGGACAGATTCCCAAAGGATAACATACAGAATAACCGAATACCCCCCTTACGCCATAGGTAGGTAGTGCGTGATCCATCCATATGGGGTTATGCAATGACGGTCTCGCCCCTTTGAACTTGTTGTAACAGCGTATCCATATATGATGATGGTGACGGATTCCCAAGGCTCGGGTTCTGGCCACGGGCAGAGTGGCCAACGGCTGGCGCCTACCTCCGAGGGCCTCGGATACTCAAAAGAAAGCAAATCCAACACCAAACTTTGAAGCCAGTAAACGAGTCACGCTGGTTGGTTGACGGTCCACGGATTTCCACGCTGTTAGCCAGTAAATATACATGATTGAATCACGACTTGCACGTGCAGTGCAACGTCTGTCTTGTCGAAATTCGGGCTGATAGAACGGACAACGGCCCTGGGCGTTGCGCGGGCCCAAGGCAGCGGCACAACGCCCGATGTTCCGACCAGATTTGATCTTAGCTCAGGTCCTTTTGCCGTTGGATACACATGTAGTTAGTCCATGGGGTGCGTCACGCCTCGCGGCAAGCCCACATGACCTCGCGTAGACTAATCGGAGGGTGGTTTTTTAAGACGCACGACGCGCCCTATACTGTTCTGGGGGCCTGTGTGGAGAAGGTCGGAATAAAAACGCATTTTCCTGTGGTACGTAGGTAGATCCTTCTCTACATATGTCATTCTAATTACTCGTGTGCCCATATGGAGCTTTTTGGGGTCGCTGGGGCCGAACCAAAGCCGTGCCTGTAGACTACTCGGTACAGCTACGGAGACTCGAATCGCTTGCTGTCCATCTGCCGACGATCCCCCTGATGACGTGCTGCTTATTGTCCGCGCCAGGGCTGTCGTACCTGGCATGTACACTAGCATGCGCGAATGCATATCGAGGGGACATGTGATGGTCTCCGCCCTATTTGCAAGAATGGGGTACATGGCCCCAGTTGCGTACCCGACGGTATGGCAGAGACGGCGGTAATGGCAACAACTAGACGGCCCCATGCGTGCCGCCGGGGTTCTCGAAGGTTAACCAGAGCTAGCGGATGCGGCTAGCTGTTTCGCTCACGCTGGCCGGGGCAGCGTTCCAGTTCAAATTGACCCTCGTATCTCGCCTCTATTCTTGGTGCGCGCCCGGCTCCTTGGGTCGCTAGGGCCGGACATCAGCAAGATCAGCTAACAGAACCGCCCATACACACGCAGTAGCGCCAGATAAATCATGAGCCTGGCAACCTGGGTTGCCTCCCCCATCACCCAACGACAATGCCAGGTCGCCAGTTCGTGGCCGTCCCCACCTCCAGACGGCCGGCCGGGAGCCAAGAGAACCGTGACAAAGTTCTTCGGCACGGCCATGGGGGGGACGCTCGCTCGTGTCGCGATACAGAACAGAGGCGCTGGGGACCCTTTTGGGGCCATGGGTTGCACAGCCTCACTAGCCCTCTGCAACCTCCGACAGCAATGACGCGCATCGCATGCAGTACACCAGCGCGGTAGTTCACCAGCAGCTTCCGGTGGCCCCACCGTCGGCAGCAGCGAGCCCAGGAGTCGAAGGGCCGGCCTGCGCTGGGTTTGATTCGACATGGTTCGCTGATTCTGTGGCAGTTCGCCGGCGAGGAGCTGAGCACCAGTCAGTGCCGGACGAGGTCTTCGCATGCAACGCACGCGTCTCGCGATATTGCAGGCGGTGTGGACCTTGGAGCCGGGGCCATAATGAAGTCTCCGTTGACTCGTGCCATTTCTCATTTCTTTAATTTTTTTTTGTTTATTTTTTCTGTCTTTCCGAATTTGTTGGCAATGTAATAGCGGCTTGATTTACCATCGAAATGGTATATATGCTTGATATGGTCGCGCTCATGTCTGCTCGGGGTGGGTGTGACACTGCAGTTGGTTGGTTGTCGAGAGTGCCCGAGGCTCAAGGATGCTCCTTACGTCTGCTGCAGGCAGGGTCTCGTTGGATGCTTGCATCTCACGAGGCCCGATGCAGCCTGTCGATAGTCAGCTGTAGGCCTCGGGGCTCAGACGACTGGACGGTTGCTACAGCATCGACGATCAAAGCATCGGCCTGAACACGAAGGCGATTGTTCAGAAATAGAAAGAAGTATGGCATGGAAAGGTCCAAGGTCTCGTTGCTGTACCCTCGTACACAGTACAGCGGGAGCACACCACTTCGTCACAAGGTTGCAGTGCAGTGGGTGTGAAGCCCGATCGTGTACTGTACTGTGTCAAAGCAAGCATCTGGGAAGCCCTGGGGGTGGTGGGCAGGCCCGCAGGGTCGCAGGCCTCGGGACGCTGATGGCCTCACCTCCTTCCTCACAGTCGTGCTCGAATCTACCCCGTACTGTTACGGGTCGGCCGGGCAGTCGGCGGAGCTGGCAGGGAAAAGTGGAGTGAGTGACAGCGACGGGAATGCAGTGCTCCAGTTGCTCGTGGTCCCTCAGGTCCCTGCTGCCGCCTGCGCATCAAATACCCCCAGGCTGCAGGTGCTGCCCAAGACCCAGAAGACCCAGGCCTATGTCCCCTTCTTGGACCGAGGGTGCTTGGCGCCACAGGAGATCCCTGCCGCCGATCCACCCTGCCCATCGAGGCGGGCGCAGCAGAGCAACCCCCAATTCCCCCAATTTGTCTCAATCCATCGGTCCAGGACGGGCTGGCAGGCTGGACGGGGCTTCCAGGGCTCCCCCAAAAAGGTTGGCAGTTTGTCCATGACTGAACTGCCCGACTGGCTGGCTGGCCTCCGTACTGCGTACTCCCTACCTACTCCGTACCTGCTTGCTATTCTGCCCCTGCAGAGACGGCCATCCAATCCACCTCGCGAGTTTCAACCTGGCAAAGGCTGAAAGACCTGGCCGACCTACATGGGTACCTAAGTAATCTACCTGCCTAGCTAGCCTATTAAGCCTATCTTTCTACCTGGAATTCTTTCCCCTCAAGAATCTCCCATCCCGATCCACCCCCCAGCCTTGGAACCTCCCGCCGTCCCCCCCCCCCCAACGACATCCCAGTCCGAAACATTGATCCCGTCCGCTTTCTCGCATCTCTCCACGCCCAGCTCGTTTCACTGCGACTAGTAGTTCAGCTACTAACACTAAATTCCTTGCTTTGCTTGCTTGCTTCATTCATACTTCTTGACGATCGTTCATCCGCAACCCCCTTTTGGATCCTGCTCATCAGGCGCACTTGTTGGCGGAGGAAAAGGAGAACCTCACCGTTACATCCACAGCAGCCGGCCAGCAGGGACAGCACCACCACCAGCGAGACACCACTCCCGCCACATCAGTCAGCAGCACGCAGTTGGCGCCGACACTCACACATCCCAGTCCGATAACGACATCATAAGCTTTCCCACCTGCGACGGCTCTCCAACAACCCCCCAAACGAGCAATTGCTCAGTGAAGAGCGCTGTGAAACCTTGCTCTCCACGATGGCAAGCGCCGGTAGTGCTCAGAACGTCATCCGAAGGTACTCCAGAAGACACATATCCCCTTGACCTTGCCCTGGCCCTTTCGCCTCCCCAGTCGCCAATTGGATCTGACCGTCTTCTCCGCAGGAAGCTGGTTATTATCGGCGACGGAGCCTGCGGGAAAACATCACTGCTCAGCGTCTTCACATTAGGCTACTTTCCCACGGTTGGTTCTCCCCCATGCATGGCGATTCCCTCTTGGATCGAACAGTGAACTAACTCTTTCTCCAGCACTATGTAAGTCAATCGAACAGAGACTCCCCGATCCGGGCTGCCAGGGCGACACCATCCAGTCCGTGCTATCGCGACCACGATACCTAACGAGCTCGCTTGCCCCAGATACCCACCGTCTTCGAGAACTACGTCACCGATTGCAGGGTAGATGGGAAATCAGTTCAACTGGCACTATGGGATACGGCAGGACAGGAGGACTACGAGAGGTTGCGCCCACTTGCATACTCAAAAGCACATGTCATCCTAATAGGGTTCTCCGTGGACACGCCAGATTCACTGGACAATGTCAAACACAAGGTGGGTCGTTTTCTCTCCCGGGACTTTGACTCATGATAGGGACGCGGCAACACAGGCTGTGTGTGACGGACGGTCTTGTCCTTCCGAGGCCGTCTTGTCGCACCGGCATGGGCGACTGTCAACATCTTGGGCATTAAGGCCCTTGACGGCTGGCGGATGCGCCGGCCGTTCGTCGAAAATAAACCCGGAAGCTGACACAGACGCGCGCGGAACAGTGGGTCGAAGAAGCGACGGAAAAATGCCCGGGCGTGCCGATCATACTCGTCGGATTGAAGAAAGATCTGAGGGATGACCCGGTCGCCGTCGAGGAAATGCGGAAGAAGTCGCTCCGATTCGTCACAGAACACGACGGTGAGGCGGCTGCGAGAGAAGTCGGGGCGAAGAAGTACCTTGAGTGCTCGAGTCTAAGCGGAGAGGGCGTCGACGACGTATTCGAGGCAGCGACCAGAGCAGCACTGCTCACGTTTGAGAAGGGCGAGGGCGGTGGCTGTTGTGTGATCCTGTGAGCATGCGCCAACCTTGATTTTTCAGTGTTGCAAGGTGGTGTTGCCGGGGACCAACACAGGGACTTCCTGGTACAATCCCACTCGAAGCAGCACGACTTGAGACAGCGTCCCCAACAACGAATGCGCGGATAGCCACCTCTCCTTTGCACCGTCGCACACGTGGTATCCACGGGGCCCAAACAGGTACTCTGAGAGCCACAAAGCCACGAACGGAACACGGATGTCGACGGCCAAACATGTTCGGCAGCAATCTTGCCCTACCGCCCTGCATTATTTGATGGTGCAAATCCCACACGAAAGGGGCTTGCGAGAAACGCACCGGGAGCCTAAAGGCTGGCTAGCAAGGCCTGGTTCACGGTCGGGCGGAACGGAACGGAACGGAACGTAAAAAGGTATGGTCTACCGGGGAAGGGGGGGCTTACAGGAGGGAACGGGGCAAGGCAAGGGGGTTCAGTCATTCGGAGCAGCATCGCAGAAATCGCGCAAACTTCAGGCAGACTGAAATTCCAGCGTAGCAGACTTTTAACTATAAGCATCTAATTTCCATTCTATACACTCTCTGCGAGACTGGCGGAATAATCACTGCCTCTTCCACTCGTGGTTCCATGCCTTCTCGGCAGGGGTCTCGACCATGGGCCGGGCGTACTCGATGGGGATGGCCCCCTTGCCCCAGACACCAAACTTCTGCATGGCCTTGCGGTACAGCCAGCCCTCGGGGCGGGGCCCCGGCCCGCCCATGTTTCTCAGGGCCTCGCAGGCGTGGGCCATGCTCTGCTGCATGCGCATCATCTCCCTCTCGCGCGCCTCGGCCTCCTTGCGGCGGAACAGCTGCCAGGCGCGGTGGATGGTCCAGTGCCGGAGCCACCTGTTGCGGGCCATGCGCAGCGGCGGGGGCAGCTGCGATCCGGCGTAGATGAACTTCATCATGTCGGCGACCTTGGGGTCCAGCTTGGCCGCCATCTGGGCGCGCCGCTTCTTGCGTGCCGCCGCGTCCATGGGCTGGCCCTTGCCCTTGCCCGTGCCGCCCTTTACGTTCCGCTGCTGCTTCGGCGGGGCGCGCGCCAGGGGGGCCGCGGTGGTGCTGAAGGCCCGGGGCGTGCTCGGTGATGCCGTCGTGGTGGGCGGGCTGATCGAGAGCGCGGCCGTGGCGCGTGCGAGCGAGGTGATCCCATCTTGGGAGGAGGGTGTCGGGCGGATGCTGGTGCGTGCCGGTCTCAGGAGGGCCCGCAGGCCTGTTGATGTGAACATTTTGTTTGGGGTGTGGTGGTAGAGGTTGCTGGGCCTGGATGGTCGGTCTCGACTACGGCGAGGGTGTGGCGGTTGCGGGTCGGGAGGTGATGGTCGCCTGTGTTCGCGCTCACGCAGACCGCAGGCTATTCCAGCGTCACGGGTGGTATGCGTCCTTTCCCCTTGGCCACTCGCGTAGTCCCCGACCCTAGTGCCTGTCCTCTCGGTCGGTGTGTCGGCTGGTGTGTTCGCTGTTGTGTTCGCTGGCGCTCGCTCCTGGGCAGGCGAGTGCAGCGCGGAGAACTCGCAGGCTGGCTTGTCTGTCGGTGCAGGGTGGTGCGGGTCAATTGGCCGCCGGACCAGTCAGAGGAGGTGTCTGCAAAGTGTCGCCGCGAGGGCAGTGGGTGTCCGTCAGACGGGCAGGACAGTCGTGCTTGGCCTCGAGGGGATGCAGTATGGGGTACTGTACTGGGGAAGCATGGCTTGTCGCGACCCCAGAAAATCCGTACCGCCGGAGAAGCTCAGCTCCCGACGCTCCGATAAATTGGGTGGGGACGCGCTCCGCAGCTGTCTCGGATGACCTGTCGGGCGCTGCCGAGCTGGGTAGCATCAGGACCTCCCTATTAAGCCTAGTGGATCCCGTAGATATGTGCATCCTTGTCAAATGAGGCTCTTCGGTGCGCAGGTACGACGCTCAGACTTCAACCCCCCAGCAGTGCGGGTTTGGCACGGGCGCCATGTTATATCAGTTGGCATCCCTGAAAAGTCATATCCATCCTGGTACCTAGGAGTTCTTTCACATACCTAGGTACTTAGCAGGTAAGTAAGTAGCATTTGAGGTCTTTCGGTATAGCCCACGCTGTAGTGGAACGGACCTGTCGCACACAATGGCTGGTACGGCTGGCAGGAGCATAATATGTTTTCAGTACAGATTTCTGTCCGGCGTAGCGAATGAATAGACCCAAGGCTTCAACAAATAGAGTTTGTGACTTTTCACTCTGGGGCACAGACACCAGCCGAGCCGAAAGAGCCACATCTTTGGTCTACGACACTTGGGTTTATTTCCAGGCTCCGATGCCAGGGAACTAATCTTGTGCTTTGGGTTATGATCCAATCCTAGCGCTGGTCTTCGTGGTTAATGCTTCTCTATAAGCGTATGGAATATATTCCAGCTAGTTACACATCGACTCGCTCACTATTTGAACAAGATTTTACTAGCCTCAGGCGGGCTAAATTAGCTATATCATTTGCCAGTAATTGCCAGTAATTGCCCATTTTATATCTTCTTACCATCGGTCGACCTTGCCCTGTTAATTTGGAATCTAATCTGCACTTTCTCCAAATGCTAAATTCTAATCAAGGTCCCCTTTCCAGCCGGCAATTATCTACATAATCAGCCTCCGTCACAAAACAAGACCAATCAGATATACTGTACCATCAGTGACACCGACTCCTTTACTTCTCGCGGTGTACATCTTCTCCAAGAAATCGGCCTCACAGCCAGCCAGCCAGCCAGCCAGCCAGCCAGTCATTTCAAAGACCAGATTGGGTTAAAGTCTGTTCAGCTTTAGCCATGGATTCCGACTCTCTACCTTCGTCTACTGATTTCCCGGAATCAACACCGGGCAGCTCTACAACTTCACTCTCCACTTCAGATTCCATCAACGACACCAATACTCCTGGACTAATCAACATCCCGGCCCGTGTCCCACCGGTCGCAGGCTCAAAATATCCGAGGTCTCCTTTTCCGCGGCCATCCGATCGTCGTGTCTTTGGGCCAGGCGCTCACGTCAACATCGATGCTATCCCCCCTCTCGAACTCGGGCCACCAATGTTGAAGGTCCCACAACATACGTCAGCATCCCCATTCTCAAAATCTGTCGTCGATTTTGAGGGTGGGCCTGTCGTGGTCCATCCATTGCCGTATATCTTCACTACTCAGCCCACAAATGCCTTTGCAAAGCATGGTGTTCGTATAAACGAGGGATCTCAGGAGTTGAAAAACGCTACTCGCTCCATATTTCGAAATGGGTCGCGCCAGGAAGACAGGAACGAGACTCGGTCCAAAACAGGGCGTTTCCTGAGAGGGGCTCTGCGCCGAATTCTATAATTTTATGACTCTCTGGTTTAGTTGGAGCTGGTGGGGATTTTCTCGGCTTTGTCTGCTTCTTTGATCAATCGAGTCCGGGAAGAATTTTGAGCGACTTACATAGTCCATACTTGGGAGCTCGCCTCGCCCCTCTTATCGACGCAGTGCTAGTGAATGCTGGAGCGGGTGACATCAATCTGCAGGGTGTTGTGATTGTAGGCCAAGTTGAGGTTTCACTAATATACATCGCCTGAATTCCTCTCCAGTTCTTGTTCCTTATGCTCTTGACCGTTCTTCTACGTCGTCTGGCTTCACTCCGGAAACGAGCACATTCTCCTGACACCTGCCATCAATTCCATGCAGGGGTGGGCTAATTGTGAACTCAGCTTGCTGTATTGCATCTTTTAACCTAGTAAAAATGCAATGAACCTTGACTCAAGCAACCAAGCACTTAGAAGCTACCCTAGGAAATCAAAGTGGCCGTAGTAGTCAGGACTGCGGATGTATGCAAGAACGATTTGACAAGGTGAGTAATCTGGGCAAGTGTTAATTTGGTTTGTTAGATTAGATATTTGATTAATCCGCTGAAATCATACATCATACTAAGATACATGGACGTTAAGATCGTAGTCGCATTCCATCAAAGCGTACCATCAACTTCCCTTTCAAGGTCCCAAAACATTTTACCCGATTCCCCCCAATGGATAAATTACCATCGTGAATTATAACAGTCCAATAGTGCTCTTCGTTATCAAAAGTTCCCGGGAAGAAACCAGAGGGGGCTTGCGCGTTTCATTTATTTCTTCTTCTTGTCCTTGCCTGTCAGGGCCTTGGTCAAAGAACCTAGTCCAAGACCATCGAGCAGCCTGTTGAGGCCAAGAGTGCCCAGGAGGCCGTCGACGATACCGCCTAGGCCGAGACCGCTGAGCAGGCGACCCACGATGCCGAGAACACCGGTGAGCAGCAGACCGACGGCGGCGATGATCTGGAAGAGAGGCTCGCCCAGAAGACCCCACAGGGGGTTGAGCTCCTTCTTGGCGTGGGGCATGCCCTCCAGCTTGCGCTTGGCGCCGTCGATGGTCTCGGTGACGTTGGTGGTAAGCTATATAGTGGTATGTTAGTAAGTGTTTCTTGTTCTAGTTTATCAGCGGCATTGGGATCGACGCTTACCTCCTTGATAACCTCAGCAAGGTGGAACTCCTCGGGAGTGGCCTCACGGGTACCAGACTTGTGCTTAGCGTTGGCCTGGATGTGTCCGTCGGGGTCGATGCCGCGGATGACACCGTGCGCCTCGCGCAGGATGTTACCACCCTCCTCGATGAGTGGGCGGACCTCCCTGACTAGAGCCTCCTCGTCACGCTCTTCCTCGGGCTTACGCTCCTCAGCCTCGATCTTGTTGGTGATCATCTTGCAGATGGGCTTGACCTTGTCGAGGCACTGCTCCAAGCACATGGCCATCTGGGTTGCAAGCTTCTTGTCCTGCTCCGCCTGCAAGCGCGCCTCCTTCTCCTCCTCGGTCTCTCCGACTTCTTCCTCTTGGGGAATCTCGGAGAGCATGTTGACGTGACCGACTGCCTGACCTTTGCTGTTGATGACATCGCCATCGTCATCAATCTCCAAGCCAGAGCAGACAAGTGGGTCACCGCTGGTAAGCTTGGCGATGATGTTACCGTTGGTGTCGACGACATTACCCTCCTGGTTGACGTGCAGACCAGCGAGGGCGCCGACCTTCTTCTCCACCTCCTCGGGCTCCCAGCGCTCGGCCTTGCCGATGACGTTGCCGTTGCTGTCGAGAATGTCACCGTCCTGGTCGACCGTGCGGCCAGAGAGCTTCTTGGGGTCACCCTCCACGAGACGGCCGACAATGTCGCCGCCAGGAGTAACAACGTGGCCCTCCTTGTTGACGGTCAGACCGCTGAGCTGAGCGAAGATGCCCTCTTTGGAACCCTCACGCTCGCCCTCGGTGACAAGCTCCGCGTGTCCGATAACGTCGCCGGACTCGCTGAGGATCTCACCGTTCTTGTTGCACATGCGGCCAATCATCTTGGAAACATCACCATCGACGACCCGGCCGAAGATGACGCCGGCGGAGTCAACGATGTTGCCGTTCTTGTTGACGCGCTTGCCGGCAAGAATGGACTTGTCAATCTCAACCTCAGCCTCCGGCTCAACCTCCTCCTCTTCCCAGCGCTCGGCCTTGCCAATGACATTGCCGGCCTTGTCAAGAATTTCACCGTCAGGATCGACGGTCTTGCCCTGAAGGACCTTGAGGTCGCCCTCGATCACCTGACCAACTTGCTGGCCCTCCCACATGACTTTGCCCTTGCCGTCGATGGTGTTGCCCTCGAAGGACTCAAACGGCTTGGACTCCATGAGGTCTTGCAGCTCATTGTCGGGGATTGGCTCAGCACGACCAATCTCCTTGCCGCTGTCGTTCCAGATGATGCCATTCTCATCTACCTTTCGGCCGATGAGGTGCGACATGATACCCTGAGTAATGCGGCCGATAGCCTGGCCCTTCTCATTGACGACGTTGCCCGTCTTGTTAACCTTGGCACCCTTGAGGATCGAGTAATCGATCTCAGCCTCAGGCTGCACGGTGGCTGTCGGATAACCACTGGCATACGTGTATTCCGTCTGCTGGTCGTCGGGGATCTGGGCCTCGGAGCCAGCAGCCTGGGTACCCTCAGCGGCTTGGGTACCTTCAGCCTGGGTCCCGACCTCCGTCTCCGGAGCCTGGGTACCCTCATACTGGGTAGTACCGGGCTGGGACTCGTACTGGGTACCCTCATACTGGGTGGTGCCCTCCTGGAGCTGAGAGTCGGCCAGGGTGCCGTCCTGGAGTTGGGATCCCTGGATCTGGGTGCCGTCTGGGAGTTGGGTACCTTCTGGGAGGTCGTTCAGGTCGATTTGAGAGGCCGTGTACCCTTCGGGCAACTGGGTGCCCTCGGGCAGTTGGCGGAGTGTGCTCTCAGCCTCAGTTTGGCCTTCGGTTTGCTCGTCACCTGGGAGCTTTTGGCTGTTGTCAGCAGCGTAGGTGACCGAGTCGTCAGGTCCTAGTTCCTCGCCGTCAAGTCCGTCACCCTCGGTGTACTGACTGTCCTCGGGCCTTGCCGTGGTAGTTGCCTGCTCAGTGATTGCCTGGTCGTCGGTCTCGGCCGGAGTAATCCCTTCCTCGGTGGTGGCCTCGGTACCGCTCTTCTGGTCGGATCCCAGGGTCTGTGCTTGAGAGCTCTCGCCCGGCATGGTCAAGTTGGTGCCTGTGTCGCCGATCTGGCTCTGGATCTTGCGGATGGACTCCGGGATCTCCGAGTCGTCTTGCTGAGACTTCTTGCTGCCACCTCCGAATGAAGGAACAAGTCTGCTGGCGCCGCCCATGAAGCTGGAGAATTTGGAGCCGGTCTGGGACTGCGCCTTCTGGGTGTCCTCACCGGCCTGAGTGGCCTCTTCTCCGGCTTGCTCTATCGGCTCAGTCATGTCCTTGCCCTCATCCTCAGGGAGGTCGTCCTTCTTGGATGAGGCAGTCTCCTGCACGTTCTGGACTGCCTCATTGGCATTCTCAGAAATATCATCCTTGTCAACGCCGTTGGACAAGACACTGGGCTCCTTGGCGTTCCTGCTGAAGCTGGTGTTACTACCAGGACCCTTGACTTCATCATCCTCGTACCTGACTGACTTGTTGGCGGCACTGCCGGCGGCCGACTTGGCGTCCCCGACTTTGGATTGTACTTGAGATTGAGCATTGTCGCCCTCCTGAAGGACTTCTGGCTCTTGGATGCCCTTGTCCTGGAGTTGGTGCTGGGCTGTACTGGTGGGGGCCTCGGACGCGTCATCGCCCTTGGATGACTGCTGCTGCTTGTTCTTGCCCCATGGCCAACCTCCTGGTGGTTGAGTCTCCGACATGTTGATGATTAGAGCACGTGAATATGGTATGGGGTCTGATGACACTTGGTTCGCGTTGATGGTGTGATGATATAAGTTTGGTGTGTGATTATTCAGTCAGAGAACACGATAAAGATGCGATTTGAAAAATACGATGGGGGATCAGGGGGGAATCTTTTCGGGTATACGATAGTTGATTTGGACCTTTTGTGTTTTCTCAGCTTGGGATGATGGCAGAGACCAATCCAACAGCCTGGATTTGCCTGCGACGCCAGCTTATATGCGTCCAAACCACCAGTTCGAAGGACCCTGGGGGGCTCCGGCCTGGCGGCAGCTACAGTAGGCTGTCGACAACTTGCTGGCCAGGAACGTCATCTGTGGAAAGGGGTTGGTAGTGGTTCTCCAGCCTTACGTCACAGCCACACCCATCTCGATCGTGTCTCGTCCCGCCCGGTGGAGGAGATCATTGCATGATGACAGGATGGTGGTGAGTACAGAGGCAGAAGAAGCAGGCATCAAGCCACAAGAGCTCCCCGCGCATGACTTCATAACAGGGGGAGGGGGCGACATGTTCCGTGCTGGTGTAATTCTGCAGTGCATGTCACATCTGAAGTCCTGGACCAGCAAAAGCAGCCGGGCCCAGACCTGTCAGGGTTCGAGCGGTTACATCTCGAGCATGTCTCAGACTGGGCCTCGTGGATATTGCGTTGGCATACCGAGGTGAGGTGGGCGTGGGAGGGTGGGCCAGACTCGTGTAATGCCATTGGCCGGGCTCAGGTAAATTGGAGACGGCGCCCAGCGTATCATCGCATGCGGCAAGTGGCAAGAAACAGGTTATTGCAAAGGTGTGGCTTGTCTTCCTGGCGTGTGGCGAAGGACTTACACCAGGATGAAGTCAAGCCAGCCACTGGGCATCCTTCCAACGGCCCCAAGTGGCCGCCAGATATGCACTTCGCCCACAAGGATCGTTCGACAGGCCCTGATCGACACGACAGCGTTTTCCTGAGGCTTTCGCGCAGACAGAGGTCAGACAAGGGTAGCTACTTGCGTTGTACGTCATTCGGCCGGCTGGTGTGAGCCCATACGGGTTGCTTCTTGAAGCTGAGTTCCGTATCAGGAAACAGACAGCGGATGAATCGGCTCTCCTCCGGCTGCTTGTTCTCACTTTTGCTTCTGGACTCGCTGTTGATTCCCTGCCCCGCCGCGTCCGGTGCCCCCCGACTAATGTGGAAATTAGACAAATCGTATTTCTACAGAAGCTCCGCTTGGGCCAGCTGTTCGTTTCATCGCGGATTGACGAAGGGTGGTCCTGATCTCATCTCGGAATCTACGGAATACCACCTGCAAGACCACCACACGGACCCATATCACCACTCGGCCACCTCTCGGACCTATTGTCAGATCACCAGTTTAGCTAAGACAAACCCCGTTTGGTATCCCGTCTTCACTTTTTGGAACTCCTGACGCCGGCTCCCATCTATGGTGAAAACATATTGAACGTGAAAATCTCCAGCATGCCACAATCACTCGAACACGATCTTGGGTTTTGTCGGCTGCCCACTGCTGTTGAAAACCGTTGGAATGCGTATGGTGAGCTGAATGCCTTCAGTTGTTGATTTGACGTCGAGGAAAATGTCCGAAGGGCTCGGCTTCCTCTCTTCGGGCTCTTTCCTGTGACTCTGGGCATTCTCGCGGGGCCGGTACTCAGACGACGACTCGGCCTGACCGCCGGACTCGGGTGGATTGTCCTTTTGTTCTGAACCAGATTGTTTTGAACGCCCCTTGCCGGCCTTCCCGGCCTTGCCAGATTTCCCACTGTTACCATCGTGGGCTTTCTTCCCAAACCCGGTTTTGTTGTCGTGGAATGAGCCAACAACGTTCCCCTCTGCATCCAGGATGTTACCGAACGGATCGACTCTCAACCCGCCCGGGCCCTGACCAGCAGCAGCCATCGCTTTCATGACCTCCGCCAAGTCCCATGTCGGAGGTTGTTGTTTTGACTCCTGCTGCTGGCCCTCGCCGGTTTCCACCTCGGCAACGTAGCCGAGTAGTTCGCCATCGTCACCGAGCACATCACCCCGAGCGTTTGATATCGTGCGCCCAACCATCGACGGTAAATCACCCTCGACCCGGCCGAGCACGGCCCCTTGGTCGTCCAGAATATCCCCGAACTCATCGATGGTTTTACCCACAAGATGGTCCTTGGGTATTTGGTATATGGGGAGCTTTTTTGGATGACCTGGAGATTCGCCTTCTGGTGGAGGCGTTGGATGGAAACTGGGCTCTATGTGTTCGATTGGGTCGATCTTGGGAATGCCTCCAATAGGGGCAACATACGCCGGGCTATCTTTGGGCGTCTTCTTTCGCAAGCCACCTGGATTCTGGTCCTGTTCCGGCTCCGGACTGTCGTCTGAGAGCTCTTCCGCCTCAGGATCATCAGCATGGTAGACACCCTGTGGAGAGCTGCCTTGGCGATGCGTAGACTGGCGATAAGAGTCATCGACATCATTTTTTCCGCGACTGGCCGATTCAGGCGCAGCAGGCTTGTTGGCGCCGGGGCCAGGGCCGGGGCCGCCAGCGCTGGCACTCTGCTCCATGGGGATGTCGTAGGAGCCTCTCAAGGTCCCCTGGTGTGACACTTGTTCAATCGACATGGACTGATGGCCCGTCTCACTCCTTGATGTAGAGTGCAGGCGGAATATGCCTCTCGGGGCGAGGGCGAAGCTTGACTGTGAACTCTAAACAAGCTGTCTGCGGCGGTGAGCTCAAGGCGAGACCTTTTGTCGCGTCAGGCGGCGCTACAAGGTGGCGGCGACGCGCTCAGCTTCACCCCTAGCCAGTCGACAGGCAGAGCTCGAGAGGTGCAGGCGGAAGAAGCCGCAGACTACGTCACTCGGGATGGTTGGTGATGTGGGGAACGGCCAGGGCTGGTGTGAAGACAAGGAAGGCTGCAGTTGCAGGCTGGTTGGCTGGCAGGATGCAGGACATGCGAGGCCAGCGTAAGAAAGTAGTGCGAGTGAGCGAGTCTGGCGCCGTTGACTGTGTCGGGAGAACGCAGGAACACGACAAGGGGAGCAGCATACGGCCACGGCTGGGAGAGGGTTGAGGCGTAAGCAGGGCGAGTGCCGTGGATGGTCAAGAGGGTGACCCCGCTGGACTCTTGATCAAGCCACAGCTCTCTGAATACCCAAGCAACCAAGTAGGGTCTACATCGGCCAGTGGCCCAGTAGCCATCATGCGGGTGACATCACCTGGGCCGCCGCGCATACAGCAATGAATTGGAGGCATCTGATTCAGCGACGGGATGCCAGAAACCTGCTTTGGGCCCACAGACGCACACAGATCTGCTCCACACTCGCGCTTGAGATGAGGCTAGGGTGGAGTCTAGACTCGACAGAGATGTGGCTGACGCTCTGATGCTGGGATTGCGGGAAGATGATGGACATCCTGACCAGGTGCCAGGCAAGCAGGCAAGCCAGGCCCCCCCTCCAGCCACACCGGGCGTCTTTGGATGGCAGCAGACCTCCCTGCCTCCCGGGATGGGGGTTGTGCTGAGCAGCCTCAGCACGAACTACCGTTTCAGCTGCGGCGGGCGGTTCAAGGACCAGGAAGCCGTTCATAGCGTACCAGACATTTTCCATGCTACGGTCTACTATCTCGAGGGGCGCGGCTTGGCTGAGCATCACATGGACTTGGTCTCATTGCTCGAGACAGGCCCTGAGCGACCGTGGACCGGTAGTTCCAATGTCTCTGCAACTTGGAAATTCAGCAGGATCAAAAAAGGGAGGGTGTGTTTTGAGCTTCGTCGGTGAGGGAGGAGGGTGCAACCTGCTGGGTCGGCCGATAGGCAAAGCTTATATTTCCACGCACGAGGGTGGTGTTGTATGTAGCCCACCACAAGCTTTATGCGATGCCCCCTCGGTGAACTGCCGGACGTGCAGAGGAGAGAGCCAGTCTCAGCGGCTGATGAAGAGGCCATCAGCTGACAGGATGTGTATGTACGCAGTGCAGTCGTACCTGGCCTCGGGAGGTGGAAGGTTGATGTTGGTTGTAGTGAGTGAGTGGGTGGGCCAAAAGAGAAACACATGCACTCAACGCGAGGAACCCACACGCTCCGTACAATACTGTGTAGATGCATTGTGCGGACCCGGGTAGGTTGGTAGGTTGTGCTGCTGTGAGACATGCGCCAGCCTAAGCCTTTTTTTCCAACCTTAACCTGTACGGTTATCAGCATAGTGTGACTGCGGGTGTGCGGGTGTGCTACGGGACGCCTGGGCCGTCACACAAGAAAGACCCAGGCTGCCAGCCAGTCCAGAGTCCAGAGTCCTGGCCGTCCAAAATTTGGTACGGCACCGTTCGCCAAGCAGACCAGCAGCCCGGCTCACTGTGGCTCTCGTGGCAGCCGCCAAACTCTAATAAACCACTGCTCGACCCGCCACGCGACAAAACCAGGCTGAGCCACAGTTATTTGTCCTGTTATTATGAGCCTGAGCGCCACACCTGTCGATCCTGTTGTTATGCACGGCCATTGCCCCGTTGCAGTCGGATCCAATAGGCAAAACGGGCATACCTGGCGGTCCTCACGGTCTGGACCATTTGATCAACAGCGACAGCCTCTGGGCCTTTGGACCGGGCCATGCGCTACTGCGGAGGACTGCGGGCATGCGACAGCAAAGGTAGCATGTCAGCCATGTGTGGCGGCCGATTGGGCAGTCGGCCTGACCTTGGACCATGAATGGACGCCTCGAGGGCACTCGGCGCTGTTGATCGACATCCTTTACGCGTGGCCCTCCTCATCAAACCGTTGCTGTCTAGTCCCCAGGTCCCGTTGCTGTTTACACAGTACTACTACTCTGGCCATCCTGCACTGGGACTCGCCAAGCCCTCACCGTAGCGCCTCCGCCAGAGATTGGCTCTTTCTAGCTGCGGATTCAACCCCCCGATTCGTGCGAGGCGTGCTTCGGGATTCTCGTACGGAGAATATATGCATCACGCATGGAGCCTATCGAGCGGAGCCCACGCTGTTGGCTTGCTGGCTTTTTTGCCTTTTTGCCTTTTAGCACTGCGCTTCCTCAACAAATGACGTTGTTTTGGTGGAGAGCATGCGCCAGCCTGCCAGCGTGGCTAAACATGGCGGCCTTGTGCGAAAGTATGCTCGCAAGTGTCTTGTCTAGCCTCTGAGTTGTTCCGCGCCGGCCCCCATCGTTCAAGGGGGTACGTTGTGAGGCTGTTGCGAGCCGCCCGCCGCGCTGTTCTCAGCTTGAGCTTGTTCACGCCGTGCTGGATATCGGCACAAGGGTTTGCCTGGACTGACGGCAGGTCATAGGCGGCAAGAGGACGTGATGGCAGAACCGTGGGCCGGAGCTCATATATGCAACTGTGGTAGCTGGTTTTCCAATCTCCCGGTCCTGCAGGAGGCGCCGCCTAATGCGACAAGATGGCTTGACCAGCAAGACCAGCAGCGGCTGGTGGGGAGCAGTTGCTCCATCCTGTCGCCGGGGCTCCCCTGCATGGGCGCGATGGCAGGCTACGTACGGCTGGGCGTTGGGCCTGGCAGGCTGGCAGGCTGGCAGGCTGCCCACCACCGGCAGACAGTATGTGCAAGTCGACTGACTGTTTTGAATCATGAACCTCGCGGGATGTTGACATTTGATGGGAACAAACTCGACGTGGGGGTGGCCCAAAGTCACACAAACTTCCCGAACAACTCGTGCAGTGAGACAGGCCTAATATAAACTGTCCCTCACACTGGCAGACTGGCAGACTGGCTCATCCGTTCAGCCCGTTGCACAAGGACTCGATTTGTTCCCAAGGGATGGGCAACGCCAATGGTATTCAGATAGACCATGTAAAGGTGAGCACCGGGAATCCCGACGACCCATCCCCGGCCGCGCTACTCGTCCTCGAATATCGCCAGGACCGCTCGACGTTGCACTGATCTGCACACCAGAGGTGGAGAAAGGCATCACGGGCCACGGCCCAGTTGGAGGGCCGGGACCGCGAGCCATTGGCCGCTCCCAGATCTCCGGAGACGGCTCGATCATTCTTGCTGTGGGACCATGCCGTGGAACCAGCGGCCCTGTCCTATTGGCAGTCCCGTCTCGCGTCCGGTTTCCAACTGCACACGTCCTGACGTCCTGCGATGGACGGAGCAGCCTGGCAGCCTGGCAGCCCCTCCGTCGGGCAGGCGCACAGGCGCAGCGCGGCAGTGTGCGTGGGAAGGACTGCAGTGGAGTGCCGTGGTGCCCGCGATCTTCTACCGAGACATGTCCGTCATGTCCAAGATGCCTGGAGATCTGGTGTTGCATCGAGATGTTTGAGAACTATCGGCACTCCGGACTCTATAGCAGTGGGCATTCATTCCCATGAATTTCACATGAAGTTCATGCGCCACCTCAGCGCCGGCAGCCGGGCAGTCAGCAGCAAGTGTGTATGGGGACTACGGAGTATGGCAATGATGGGCACCCACCCCAGCGGTGATCCCGCAAGATCGGACCACACGCCACAGCCAAGCCCGCGCCAAAACCTGACAGTTTCGCCTCTGGCGCATGGCGGTGCCTGCGCAGCTGGGGTGGTAAGTGTGGCGCACCGCGCTGTGGAGAAACTCTGTTCACAAAGATGCTGCAAGCAACCGTCCTTCCCGCCCCCGTAGGGTTTCATCGAGCTGGGTCGGAGACGCGGGGAGCACGGTCAGTCCCATCAACATGACATCTGAGGCGAAGATCTAGAACCGCACACCCTCCAACACGGGAGCAGATCACTGTTCACGACTCGCAACTTGCTCTGGAGATCGACACATGGCGCATTTGTTTTGTTCTTATTCCCGTCGGAGGAGGCGACTCTTCAGCACAGTAGATGCAAGAACAAATTACACAGTAAATGGATTAACGTCGATAGGTCGTAATCATCCCCCGTTGGAATCTAGGCAAGCTCATACCCCTTTCATGACATGACTCTTGGTGAGTCCCCAAACCCAAACATGCGCCAGCACCGACTGCAATGACAATAAAAAAATACAAGAAAAATCCGTAAAATCGCCCCGAAAACGGCAGTGTCTCCGCGGGCGCCCCTCGCTCTCAGTTCCTAGTGTCCCAGCTTCATTAGTCTTCCGTGTCGCCTTTCACTGCCTTGTTCGCAGACAACAGTACATGAAGGTGCGGGAAATAGGATGCCAATCGCTCGGGACCACACCGCACGGCCAAAACAGAGACTAGCCAAGCAGGGAAAGACGACAACAGTATTGGTACATGTTTTCTTGGGGGGGTGCTCTTCGTCTTAGTCCCTGTCCGCCACACACAAACACACACTGTCTGGTTTGTCGAGTTCGGGTTTTATGTCTCCCTGTTTCTCGCCTTTAGCTGCCGTCCATGGTGCACCGTTGCTTTTTTTTTTTTTTTTACGTTGTGTCCCTGCCCGTTCTTTAGATACAGAACAGATGTGGTTACAGTGTGGTGGAGTTGATAGTGAGAAGGCCGTGTTGCGCTTTCCCTGTGGCAATGTGACAAGAAAAAAAGGGGAGCAATCTGAGGCAGGGGCTACCTCCGTCCACTGGGAGGTAGGTTTGCAGCCCCTCCCCCATGCATGGCGCCGCACCGGTGGGTGGCGAGAAAGCGACCAGGGGTGGATACAACAGACAAGAATAAATATGAAAGAGGTGAGCACATACAGCAGAGCAAGCTCAAGATCACCGTGGATCTTGGCCTTGAGAGTGATTTCGATATCCAGGTTCAGGTCCAGCCTCAACCGCAGCGTGTCTGACTTGCCGCCGCCGCCGCCGCCTTGTGGTTGCTGCTGCATGGCCTGGTTGGCCATGTTGCCCATAGCGCCAGGCATGCCACCGCCCATCTGGTCCATCTGGCCCATCTGGTTCATCGGGCCTTGTTGATTCCGCTGCTGCATCTGGTTGTTCTGCTGGCGCGAGCGACGGTTTGACCTCTTCGGGGGCTCGTACTGCTCCTCTGAGCCCGAGTCGGACTCGGACTCCTCGACCACCTGCTGCTGCTTCTTTTGCTTGCGGGGCTGGCGTTCCTGGGAGGAAGACATGCTGGCGGGTCTGGGGTTTGGTGGGTGAGGGCAGGGTAGATTGGGTATAGCTTGTTGGAGGGGCTTTGTGTGTGATGGATATGATGGCAGAGAAGAAGGAGAAAGGGCCGCTGGTAAGTGATTATTTCCCTTTTGTCTTTAAGAGATGGGCATGTCCAAGTGTCTCTGCCTCATCGACGCATGACAGCCTTCTTGTCCGAACGCCCGTGGCCTATATGGTGTCCCCCGTGCCGTCAAAACCTGATTTCCCCCTTCCTTTGCGATGTGCAAAGGTGTCGAAACAGAATGAGATCATACCTCACCCGCCGTGTGGCCCTCTCGGGGGCTTCGTCATCTGCACCCTCAGATGTGATCTTGGCTTGAACCACAGCTGATCGGATCGATGCCTGCTGGTGAGTGCATGGGCGGGACCCCTGTGGGCCCTCCCCACCGTACGGGGCAGGCGGTGGGACCACAAGATACATGGGATACATCACGGCAGGGGGGCGCCGCCCATCACCATTCCGTCTTGCCGTCTTGCCGTCCTGCCGTCCTGCCGTCCTGCCGTCCTGCCAGCCTACACTCGGCACGGTCTGGGTGGTCTGGGTGGTCTGGGTCTGGGCTCAGGTGGTCAGGGTGAGTGTCTTCTGTGAGAGGGAGTTGGGAGACAGGGAGACAGGTGCACCGGACAAGCCAGTCCCATGAAGTGGTTGGAGATTGACTTCCACTAACTCATTATGCCACGCAGCCAGCCCATGCGAGCTGCTGGGGCTGGTGAAGCTCAGACCAGCCTGCCACCTGCCCATGCTGACCTTCCCTTCCGTCTTTGCGTCCAGCGCCTGCCAACCTTGCTGCTGCCTCTGGACGCCTCTGTTTCGTGTCTGCCGCCAGCGGCTGTCCAGCCCGTCTTGTCTTCACTTCACCCCCCTCCACCCTGCCAGCCCTGCCTGCTGGCCTGCGGGTGCTACTGTGTTCAAGTGCACTACTGGTTCTCGTCCTTCTTGCCCCCGACCCAGTGGCTGTTCACCCCCAGCTGCAGCTTCCTGAGCAGCTTGATCGGCGCCCACCTGTAGGATGAGAATCTGGGGTCAAACACCGGCTGCTCATCACCCTGCTCCTCCTTGTCCTCCCCCTCCTCCCCTTTCTCAGCCTTGGGTTTCAAGCTGCCATCTCGATCCCTCGACAGGAAGACCTCCCACATCTTCCTCGCCCCTCCCCCGAGTGCCACCTCGACCTCGACGGCGATGAATCGCCAGTCGTCCTCGTCAAAGGTCAGGAACTGCTCGTCCTCGCTCCAGCCCCATGGCCCGATGACGTGCTCCGTCGTGTCCTTGCGGCTGCCGTACTTGATCATCCCCGTGTCCTTGTCGACGTACAGCCAGTTCAGCATCGGCGGGTCGTCTGAGATTGTGGACACCAGGCCCTGATACCCTTGTTCGGATGGGTACTTGAAGTAGTAGCCGTTGAACTTGTGGCCGGGGAACGGCGCGTCAGGGTGGTCTATCCACATCTGCCCCACGATTCAGTCAGCCCCAGTGTCCTCTTTCCTCTTTGAGGATCGCGATGCATCTCGGCATATATGTACGACGGCGAACAGGCAGTGCGTGCGTGTGTTTCGCAGTTCAGGGACCGTCACCCGGCTGCGACGGTGCGTCCATGGGCATAATTGCATGGGCGCATGTTGGTTCACCGCTGGCGTCGGCCGCTGGTCCAAGGGCGCGTCCGATCGAGTCCTGGGCAGGCCAGGCATGATGCCATAGCGTCCCCTCCCAAGACCGATGAGACAGGTGTGGCTAGTGCCACTATGCCGGAACAGGAGATATTAGCCTACTTACTCTTCCCGCCGCGAGGACTATCCAGGATTCCTTGGGTGGTCCCCCGTCGATGGACAGCGTTGCTGTCATGTTGAACTTGATCTTCTCCTTGAGCTTTGCATTCTCCTGTTTCTTCGCGCTGATGCCCTGGGCCACGCCCGTCACCGTCGGTATGGACGCGAGGACAAGTAGTCCTATCACCATGTCGTCTGTCGTCTGTCGCCTGGTGGGTCTCTTGTCCACTCTGTCGTTCCGTATCGTGGGCGATCTCCCCGTGTTGTTGTCCGATGCGATGTGGGGACTCGCCGACGGAATTAGAAGTTTGGTAGATCCTCCGTGTCGTCGCGGTCGCGCGCCTTTCTTGCGGGTCTCGCAGTGCAGTCGTGCATGCGGTCAGTCCACTGAATAGTCAGTCGGAGAGTAGAGAGTCAGACGGCAGGTTTGCAACTCGGCCGCCATCACGGTTCTATGCATCAAAGAGGGCCCTTTCTTTCGTCATCTTTTCCCCGGGTCCAGCCTTACTGTCCCCACACACCTGAAGCTCACCCTACCCTCCAGCGTGAAGCTCCATCCTGGCTATGACTTCACATCCTGCATGGTTGGCCGATGTGGCCCACCGTATCCCCACTTCACGCGTGTGTCATGCAGACCCCCTTAGTCGGTACCTGACAGTACATGTCATGTCAACGCTGCACACGCAGCGAAAGCCACCTTTTCTGCCTCTGCCTCTGCCTCTGCCTTCAGCTTCTCTCGACGTCATCCCACATCATCTCGATGTCCTCAATACCCACAGGCGCGGTCTGGACCACGGATACACACACACAGCGGTCCCTTGAGTTGCAAAACAAGATTCCACCCCAGCTCTCGGTATCACCCAACCCAGACCGGGCCCACTGACGCAAGTGCTCTGAGGCCATGGGTTCGTCGGCCGCGAGCTGGCCAGGCTGGGCGGGCGGAGGGTGTGAGATGATCGAAATGTGATCGGTAGTCCCCTTCGTTGTAAAACATGTTTTTTTCCGGACGCTCGTCGTCTGCCCTCCTTCGGGGTAGCAGGATCATTGCGTCAAGGCTGCCAACTTTCTCATGCAGGGTCTCTTCTGATCTCATCGACGGCTTTTAAAACAAAGACTTGCCGGGGCATGCACTTGCCCACCTTTTGGGATCCCCATTTTGTGTAAAGACAACTTTGTCAACTTAGTGTCTCGTTACCCTCCAGCAATATAGCCAGTATTCGAGTCCACTCACTAGAGTCACTCAACCTACTCAGCCCCATTCAAGCCTTTGTAATAGAATAACCGGAGTAATCATGTCGTCTCCGGTAGGTCGTCATCTTTGCCCGGTAACGCTCTTGATGGACACGGTACTGATTGCCGACACTTGTAGCAACAGGGAACGCCCAAGACCGAGGACAAGAAGGAGTCCCAGGGCGAGTCATCTCGTCCCGGCCAGCAGAGACAGGAGTCGCAGCAACAGGGAAATAAGGAAACCCAGGGCCAACAATCAGACAACAGCCAGGCACAGCAGTCAAAAGCTGAGGATACCAACCGCAACGCGCAGCCTGAGTCTCATAACAACCAGGCCAGCGCAGAAGACGAGCAAGAAGACTACGACCAAGACCAAAACCAGGAACAATATGACGAGGATGAAGAGCAATATGACGACCAGGACCAAGATCAAGAGGAAGACAACTATGACGACCAGGCCTACTCTGGCGACGAGGAACAGTATGAGCCTGAGCAGGGCCAAGAGCAAGCAGAGCAAGGAGAAGACGAGCCTGAGCCTGAGCCCGAGCCGGAGATGCAGCGCGACTCGGCCGCCACGCCGGCATCCGACCGGCCCGCCACGCCCAAGGACAACGAGGAAGCGACACCATATTGGGAACAGGACAACCAGCAAGACGAGGAGGACAAACAGGTAGCCAAGACCAAGAAGAGCAGCAAGAAGAAGAAGAGCAAGCGTCGACAGCCGCGGTACGAGACCGAGGATGAGGAGGACGACTACCAGGAAGATGACTACCAACAGCAGCAGTACTGGCAGCAGCAGCAACAGATGCAGATGATGCAGCAACAGCAGATGATGCAGCAACAGCAAGGTGGCGGCGACGGCGGCAGCAAGAACCCGCTCAAGCTGAGGCTGGACCTCAACCTCGAGATTGAGATCGAGCTGAAGGCGCACATCCACGGTGACCTGGAGCTGGCTTTGCTGTAAGTGGCCCCATTAAAACCCCCCATGCCTCTGACATGGCCTCTTTCCTTGCCCATTCAGTCCATGGCTTCCACGCGACCACTTGGTCCATGCCGTGTGGCTGGCACTCTCGGCGTTCGTCGCGGGTGTGTCGTTCTTTGGGTGTCATTCATCGTCCAGACTGCGGTCATCCGGCTAATTCAAGTGCTAATCAAGTACGATGTGATTGCAGTGACGGTTAATTATCCTTCATGTCGACTCGTACACACCACTGCTCCATGTCCGTGTCATCACATTCGCGTCGGCGGGTGTGAGGTCTCGCTGGCGTTTGGTCGAGGCGTATTTGAACGTTATTGTATTTTTGTTGACTTGCACGATGTTATGATTATGTGAACGGGTTTTCGGTTCAATATGGTGTGGTGGTTGGGCATCTCATGCTTTGTACTGATATCGTGTCTCTTTTGTATGCCAAAAGGATGCTTGATGGACAGCGTCAGGTCGATGGTATTCCAGATAGACCTAAATGTAATGCGCAGAACAAAACAAAAGTCTGTGAAGTTAGCTTGGTTCATGTCGCGATGCGGCAGCAAGCTCCTGAGGAAAGTGTTGTCTCTCTTGTTTGTTCGCGACCTGCCACCGCATAAAAATGTTTCCTGTCGTCAGGCATGTTGCCGCTGGTACGCTAATTCGACAAACAGACCACTCGAGGCTTGGGTATATCTCAAGCTCTATAGGCGGTATCGCGGCCGCTGAGGCTCAATCCGTCCGGATTGTTCATGCATCACCCACCTGGCAAGCAACCCTGGACGTGGCAGCCGGGACGACGCTACTGCCAATAGATCCAGCGGGATCCGACATCACAATCCAAACAAACAGTCGACAGGAACCCAAAGTCTGGCCCTGCGCTGTCGGCCGTCCTTGGCCATTTTGTTCCCAGCCCCGCTCGACGTCGTCGTCCTGTGGGTGGTCCATGCCCCGAGCCGCAGCCGCGAGGCGTCTTTTGTGAGCCCTCGGGATGTCTCGCGACACGGCAGCTGTCATCCCAAGGCGCCGGCACCGTCGCGCCGGGCATATGTCGCACAGGAAAATGAGGTCCGTGTTTTCTTTGGTTGGCGTTTGGCTGCCCGAGAAAAGCCCGTTGTTGTACAAATATTTGAATCTCTGCAGGCGTCTCAGCCACGCGCAAGGGGATGATCTCGGTGGTGCGGGTCTTGCGTCTTCGAGGTGACCGTCAGATGCTGGCTGCTGGGAGTGCCGAACCTCGGTGCTGTGGGTGGCTTTTGTGTTGACGTCGCAAGACACGTTCCTTCTCACTCGTGTTCTGCATTTCTCGCGGCTTTTTGGCATGCGCAGTCCCGGGGAGATGTCAATGGGTCCCTGGTAACTTGGCTCCTTTTCAAACTTGTACCTATTGGTGAGCATTTCGTGTCAGTAGCACGCCCTGCAATGTGCATCAAGGCTGCTGTCACTTTTCATATTGAGATTCGACTTGCGCTCTTGCCATGTCGGACCAGGTGTTGTTAACGGAGGAAAGGTCGACGGACCTTGCTCGAACGCCTCCTGTTACCATGGCGGAGCGGACATCTTGCCTCCTTGAAGAATTCCTGCGCGTGCTCGCTGGTTCCGGGAGGCGAGTTCCTCGACAAAGCGCGTGGATTCGTCAGGAACTGCGACTTGGGCATCCTGCTTGCTCTCCTGATCGAGCTGCCTTGCCCTTGAATGCAAACTCGGCCCAGCAGGAGTGGCACCGAGCTTTTGTCCAGAGATTCATGCCTCGTCGCTGTTCGTCTCGTCAAAGTCGCCAGCCTTCAGCAAAAGTGATGGTCATCCCGCAAACATCATCTCCAAACCTGGTGGAGGCTTTCCTGTGATACTGTTGTCGAGACATGTAACTCTTCCCATTCCCAAGACATCTCGTCCTCCTCTTGATGACCATGTAGCCATCACTATACTCTCCTCTTCTTGGTCAAATGAGACGATTCCCTGCGTGAAGCTCCTCCGCCGTGCACGAGATCGAAGACTGGTCGCCCGTTCAGCACGTGGAGCTCACTCATTACACTTGATAAACCATAGCCATCAACGGTCGGCGATCACAAGATGACTGCTCAGGCCCTTCGAGGCTCTGAATCCATATAAAGTCGATTTTCCGCAATTGTGTTCTGGAGAACCTTCAGCTTGCATCGGTTGTCAAAACTGTAGGCTACTGCCGAGAGCAGAGCATCCTCGCCGCAGGGGCACCTGTGCGGTTTATCAGGCGCACAATCTTCGGCTGGGAACGCATCTTTGTTTGTCATGGTGCGTCATTCTGCCCGTTGACGCTATGTTGTACCGAAGAAAGGGCCGCCGTCGTCCTACGGTCGGGCTGTTGATTGGCCGTGGGTTAGTTCCGCAAGCTACTCGCCGCCGCCGGTCCATCTTGATCGGTCAAGTTGAGGAGATTTTTGTTTTGTTTTGGCTAGGCGAACATTCCATCAAGCCGGATTGCAGCCTAGTCGCCTTCCCGTGCGTGTGACCAATTTTGTACACCGCAACTCGTGGCCCTCGCTATCATTGTGGTCCAAACCCGCCAAGAGCCGGAGCTGGGAGGTTGTCGAGCGGATCATGAACAGATACTGTCTGTTCTGCAGAGAGAATAAGAGGAAAAGAGTGGAAAGAACAGAGAGGAAGAAGAAGAAGTAAGAAGGATTTGCCGAGTACTACTCGACCAAGCCCATAGATGTCAAAGCCTGCAGGAGAGAGGAGCAGGCTGAACAGGAGGGTATAGGAGTTATTACCGTGGCAGTCCGCAGGCTCCGACGGCGGTTGACCAAGTTATCGGACGTGCTCGATGGGTTCCTGACTACAAGGACCAAGCAGGAGGGTTAAGGCTGACACCAAGATTGTTCAAAGGCCGAAATGTGGGCATAGTGTTGCAACGAACCAGGTATTCGTTCCAACGCCCTGACCTTTGCACGCAAAGGACCCTGAGAAGTTGGAAGGAGGATGTCGGCACCCCGGGTCGATAGCGGCCTCACATAAGCCCAAAATGCCCAGAAAGCATGGAATGTCGGCGCCCCTGAGGACGCCATTGGTGGAGGGGCAGCTGTGGACCCTTTGTGCTGCGACCTACAGAAACCTTATTTGGACCCTCGATGAGGTCAACAGGTTTTCTCGTACGATGCTGGGTGTGGCTCCCGGTGCACACCATCGGTGCCTCCTCCGACTACTACGGAGTACTGTAGCATGTAGTACTCGCAGGAGAGAGACACCGAGGCTGCCCGGGTGCTTGGGAGCCCTGGAGCTTGCGATGGACGGTCACAGGGCAGTGCGACCTCGAAGCCGGTGACCTCGCCCGCCAGTTGTGCAACTTGTGAGAATTTACCCAAGTATGGCCCAGTGACGCCAGAAAGTGTGACTATCTTGGCAGCCTAAGAGTGACAGGCGTTGAGCCTCTGGGACCATAGGCCAAACCAGGACAGAGAGCCCGTGTTGGTGGCTTGTTGGCTGCGCATTTGGAGTTTTATGGGTGTCAAATCTCACTATAGGCCATGGGTGGAGGTGCTTGCTGGGTTGGGAATCGAGATCAGGACCTGGGTTACATTGTGACCTGTACTCCGTAGACCTCGGGTCGTTGGCTACGATGCTGAACGATGGTTGACGACGATGTAGATGCATGTGTAAGTATATTATTATATGAGCTCTGGTCGGGTGTGAGCTGCTCGACCACGGGCTCCTACGGGGCGACCTCTTGTGCTCTTACGATCCCCCTATGGAACAAGGTTCTATAGACAAGTCTCCCACAGAGATAATACAGACAGCAAGCAGTCCAGCCACAGACTCTGCTGCAATATGATATTATTATTTTGATGGTGTGACGGCAGAACGGAAATAGTGTACATGATTGATGATAGACACAGCATCTACTACAGCCTGGTCCACATGTAGAGACCAAGATACCAGCCAAACAGAGGACGAGCAATGCTCGACCATGCACAGCGGGTGAAGTAGGCGTGGTGGGTCCAGGATTACTGAGGCCACGAGGGAGAGGTGGGATGTGGGAGGGGGGTAAGCTAACGATTTCAGGTTTGGGAGGGCAGGCGGTGGCAGTCTAGTACGGCAGTATGTGGCAGTATGGCAGTCTGGCAGTGTCCCGGCCCCTTTCTCCCCCGCAATTGCCCCCGGGGCCAGCAGGCTAGTGCAAAATGAAAATTCCAGTAAGAGTCACCAACCTGAGAGTGCAGCGAAAGTCAACCATGAGTTTGGGCGATCTCGGAGTCCAATTCTTTCCCGCTCGACTCGAGTCGCCTCCCACTGCTCCCATCCCTCTCTCCCCCCAGAGTGAGTCAACTACCGGACCCCTGCCCAGTGGAATAAAATAAGCTGCAGTCTTCTTCGCCGGCTACCGTTCGGTCCAGCCTGAATCTTCACCCGCCCTCTGCCCTCCTGCTACTGCCATTGACCTTCGTCACGTTGATGAAGACGTCGTAGGCTGTCCAATTCTCTGGGCCCAGTAGGACACACCTGTGCCAGACGTGCAGCCTCGCTCTAATCCTCTCTCTCTCTCTGTTTCTTTTGCCTTTTTCCTTTCCTCCTCTCCGTTATTGTGACCTCTCCACTCCTCTGCGCACACGCTCAAAATGCTCCGGTCCGGAAGCCACCAGGCCAGCAGGGCCTTCAAGGCCGTGGCACAGTCACAATCAAAACGGTCATTCACCACATCAAGTGCTCTGGCGACGGCCTCAAGACGGAGGGCGGTTCACTCCACAGCCAGGAATTCTGCAGCCGCCACCGCATCACAACCTACATCTTCGTAAGTCGCGCGCGCAACCTCTCGCAACCTCTCGCAGCCCTTTCCAGGCTCCCCCCCCACGCCCTTTTTATTGGTCCAATTGCTAATCCCAGCTGCTTTATAGCGAGGTCCGGTCGAAGCCCAGTCCCTCCTTCAACGCCGCGACAAGAAACCATGTCGAGCCCCTGGCCGAGAAGGCCTCTGACATGGACGAGTCGTACGTACCCATGCCAGTGTTTGGCCCGGCAGAATTGGTGTTGACAGCATGTGCAGGTTCATCGGCAAGACTGGAGGAGAGATCTTCCACGAGATGATGCTGAGGCAGAAGGTGGAGCACATCTGTAAGTCCCCATGCAAGACTGGACTGCGGGTTACCCTGTGGCTAACTCATGCACCCCAGTTGGCTATCCCGGCGGTGCTATCCTCCCCGTTTTCGACGCTATCTACAACTCAAAACACTTCGACTTCATTCTTCCAAAACATGAGCAGGGAGCTGGGCACATGGCCGAGGGCTACGCCCGCGCCTCCGGGAAGCCAGGTGTCGTCCTGGTCACCTCTGGCCCCGGTGCTACGAATGTTGTCACCCCCATGGCAGATGCTCTTGCTGACGGCATACCCCTGGTTGTCTTCACTGGGCAGGTCCCCACCAGCGCGATCGGAAGCGACGCGTTCCAGGAGGCAGACGTCATTGGTATCTCGAGGGCGTGCACCAAGTGGAATGTGATGGTTAAGAGTGTTGCCGAGCTGCCCCGGAGGATCAACGAGGCCTTCGAGATCGCCACCAGCGGCAGGCCCGGGCCTGTTCTCGTCGACCTCCCCAAGGACATTACAGCCGGTGTCCTGAGGCGGGCTATTCCTACTGAGTCAGCCCTGCCCTTCCTTCCCAGTGCCGCTTCGCAAGCCATGGCAGAGCTCAGCAGGAAGCAGCTGCAGGCTTCCATTCGTCGCGTGGCCGACCTGATCAACATTGCCAAGAAGCCGGTCATCTATGCTGGCAATGGTGTCATCTGCTCGGAGAATGGTCCTGCTATGCTGAGGGCTCTGGCTGACAAGGCTTCTATACCCGTTACAACCACCTTGCAGGGCATGGGCTCATTCGACGAGCTGGACGAGAAGTCCCTGCACATGCTGGGCATGCACGGCTCAGCGTACGCCAACATGTCCATGCAGGAGGCCGATTTGATCATTGCTCTGGGCGGACGATTCGACGACCGTGTCACCCTGAGCGTCCCAGGCTTCGCCCCTGGCGCCAAGGCCGCGGCGGCCGAGGGTCGTGGCGGTATTGTGCAGTTCGAGATCATGCCCAAGAACATCAACAAGGTCATCCAGGCCACCGAAGCCGTCGAGGGCGACGTGGCGACTAACCTGGACATCCTGCTGCCAATGGTCCAATCCAAGACCATGGAGGACCGCAAGGAATGGTTCGGACAGATCAACGCCTGGAAGAAGAAGTGGCCCATGAACGACTTCGAGAGGGCTGGGGATTCCGGGCGCATCAAGCCTCAGGAGATGATTGAGCAGCTGTCCGATCTGTGCAAGGACCGGAAGGAGAGCACGTATATCGCCACCGGTGTTGGTCAACACCAGATGTGGACCGCTCAACACTTCCGCTGGAGGCACCCACGCACCCTGATCACCTCGGGCGGTCTGGGTACCATGGGCTTCGGTCTGCCCGCCGCCATCGGTGCCAAGGTCGCCAAGCCCGACTCCTTGGTCATCGACATCGACGGAGACGCTTCCTTCTGCATGACCCTGACAGAACTCAGCACCGCCGCCCAGTTTAACATTGGCGTCAAGGTGATCATTCTGAACAACGAGGAGCAAGGCATGGTGACGCAGTGGCAGAACCTCTTCTACCAGGACCGTTACAGCCACACCCACCAGAAGAACCCTGATTTCATGAAGCTCGCGGATGCCATGGGTCTCGCCCACAGGCGCGTGTCGAAGCCTGAAGAGGTGGCCGACAGCCTGAAGTGGCTGATTGACACTGATGGCCCAGCTGTGCTGGAGGTCATTACGGATAAGAAGGTGCCTGTCCTGCCCATGGTGCCTGCAGGTCATGCCCTGCACGAGTTCATCACATGGGATGCTGGTAAGTGTGCTGATACATCTGAGCTCATGCAATGCCGGTCTCGTGACTAACTGATAATGTGTTCAACAGCCAAGGACAAGGCCCGAAGAGAAACGATGAGGGAGCGAACCGGAGGTCTGCATGGCAACTGATAGTCAACCACCCTCGACCAGGTCTACGAGTCTTCTCACAGCCAGCATGTTGTCTTGATCGTGATGCTACTGCCATGAAGAGGTTGTCCCGTTAAAACCCGCGGAGAAGATGGTGGATGTCCGTTGAAAATATACCCATCTGCGGGTTTTTCGATTACAAAAGTTGCATGTGCGGTTATGCCTCGTACATTGAGGAGTTTCACTGGAGCATCCGGGTTCGATTGGTATTGTCTGTAAATAATTAGTAAAACTTGAGGGGACCCAGGTTGGCGCAATGCAAAATAAGAACACATCTTGAGCGATAAACCGCTTCAGTACTGTATCCACGACACTCCTAGTACCATCCAAGCCCCCGTGATGTCGCGGCACCAAAGCGATTCTGTCCGGAAGATGTTGAGATGATAGATCACAATCCTCTGACTCTGAACCAAAAGTTTGACTATGTATGCTAAGTATGCGCAGTCATGAACCTACTTACACGAGTAGTGCCCACACTTGGACGTATCTCAAGCTCAATTAGAACCTACTTGCCAACATCACCGCACCGGCAAATCGGATATGCCTGACCACAAGCAGGTGGAGCGTCCAACCAGCGAAAGCGATAGCAGACACAGGAAAATCTCCAGGTTCTGACAAGGCCCTGGCGAGTTCTTTACGAGAATGGCGAGACTGTCCCATCAAGCCATGCAGAATACGGCTCGCGCTCGGACGTCATTTTGTTTTCCTTTCCCTGGACCTTGAAGGCAGCGATATTCAAGCCAGGACTCGTATATCACCTGCCGACTTGATTCCGCTTTTGGTGGGGGCTCCGCCGAGGGCGATTCCTGAAGCGGCCGACGTCTGAGGGCATCGCCCATCGTACCGAGAGAGCGAATTCAATCTCGACTCCCTGGGGCGCATGTCCTCGTGTTTGCCTTCCAGTAGGAATTGGGGTGCCAGGGCGTTTGCCAGAGGGCGACCGTGCTGCCGCCGGGTGCCGCACCGGTCACCCCGGGCTCGAGTCCGAAACCCCTGGCATTTTGCGGTCCAGACAGGGAGTGAGACCCTTAGCATTGTGGTAGCGCTCCGGAGGCAGGCTCGGAAGGACCATCCGGGGCTGGATCAAGAAAAAGCCTGGTCTGTTTGGCACGGGCCGAGATTTGTACACATAGGAGGCCTACGTCAAATGAGGACCCTGATCTCTTTTTCAAAAATGCCAAGACGAGAAAACAACAATCGTAGAGACCCGTGACCTTCATAAAACGGGTCCTGGTCCCACCCCTTATTTGCTTTTTTTTTCGTCCTCGTCTCCGCTAACACTGTCACCATCGGCCATTTCAGCGAGTGCGGTACCAGGGAAACAATCCGAACTGTTGTGTAAAGGACGGATCACCGCCGATCTCGAACGTTCCCATGAACGCATTGACAAAAAAACGGCAAGAGCCGACTGCGGGACCCGCGGAATACAAACGCACAAACGCAGCAGTGGGAAGAAAAGTGGATGTGTTGATGCTCGATTCCGGGGTCGTATGAAGCGCCTAGGAGCCCGGCTGCGTGCCGAGCGTCGAGTCTTGCGCCAGGCGACCCAGCCTGGTCATCTTTGCCCCCCCCCCCCCCCAAAAAAGAACTTATCTACCGCAGGGGCTGGCTGGCCGTTGTCCTCAGTAAAGTTGTGTTGTCGAGGTTTCACCGATGGTGGGTGTATGGCGATGGTCAGGGATATTCAGGAGATCCTGAAGTACAAGACCAAGCGGGCCAGCATAAAGGAGTTGCCAGTTCGACCAGGTAGGTAACATGGTAGCGGTAATCATTGTAGAGTGAGTGCAAAGGCTGCTTTGTGGAACACTCAATGTTGCTGGCAACAAGCCCACGCCTGAGGCCCAGAAGACGTGACTAACTTGAGCTTTGTGGTTTTCCTGTGTACTTAGTTGCACGCAGTTGCCACGAAGGCGAGCGCTCAAGCCAGCGTGGATTCGCAATTACTGAACAGTCGGGCCAAAACGGACGCACAGCGTTCGTTCTGTAGTCGATGGGGATTCAAGGTTGAAGGATGCTGTTGATGATGGGCATCGGAAGTGCTCGGCACAGTATTGCACGAAGAGAGCCCGTCTTGGGGAGGGATTCGAATGTGTCGTCCTCACCTGAGACCTATCCGAAACCTCTTTGCCAGGGGCGTCCCGCAGACGCAGGAGTGACACGCATGATTTTTCTAGCGAGCAAGACTCTGACGGCAGCAACAGATGCCGACTGCGCGCCTGTTGTGGCAGCGGGCATTGCTGCTGCTGCGTGACAGCCCTAAGGAGGACGCGTTTCTGGCACGGATGCGAGTGGCAGCCCCAGGGTCCAATAGCCTAGGGATTAGTGGCTGGCTCGGGCAGGTATTGTTGTGCATGGGAGCAGTGATGCGGCTTGATACAGTTTCGACGGGATGGATCGCTTAGTCGTCCGCACGGGATTCCTCGCGGTGGGATGGTGGGTCTGAGAGGCCGCAAGAACGGACGTTATATGCCAAGCACTGCTTGGGTATTTTTTGTCAGAGCTTACAGAGGGCATCCTCTTGCACGAGGTAGATTGAACTCTGTGTGCATGACGCAGAGCATGAACTGTTGAGCCCTGCTTGCGGCACACGGCCGCTGTGACTGCTGGCACGAGCTTGCATGCATGATTCCCACGTTGTTAAGGTTCGGGGCCCGACGAAGCACGTGGGAAAAAGCAAGAACCGCCGGGAGGGCGGTAAGGAAAAGGATGTTGGTTGCGTCAACTTGCGTGGGCGTTCTTTTCTCTCGCATGTGGTTGTTGGCGGGGCTGTCACCCTCGAGGTCGACACGCTTGATACCAGACCTGGCCCAATGCTTGCGCGAGGGCCGACATGACGGAGTGGATGTTGCGGAATATCCGTACTCATCGGCTTCCCCAGCCAGCAAGAACCATTGCGTGCCCTCGCTAATCTGGAGACGGCGCAGAGTCGCATCACCACCAGCCCCAGTCGCAGCGATCATTTTAGTGCAGTGACAGTGGATGGGGTTTGGAGTCATGACTTGTACGGAGTACCATGGTCCATGGTATCTACAGTGCTGTGGTAGAAGGCACTCGCTGGCGTGACAAGGGCGACCGACTGACTGACAGCGACCGTGCGTCGTGCGTCGTGCATGCAGTGGGATGCGGGACAGCCGGCGCCGAGCAATTTCGGTCAGTGCGGTCGTGTGCGCCTTGTCGTCAGCAAAGTCAATAGCGCAGCTTGTTTGATGAATATTGAAGCTTGACGAGCTCTGGAGTGTTATTACAAGTGGGTAGCTCCCGAGGTGACATTAGGGCGGGGGTGGGTGGAAGCATGTGGCATCATCGAGCAGGCAGAGCAGGCCTGGCAGGACGGCTGGCGAGTCGCACTTGATGTTACTTGCTGTGCGGCGGGCGGGGCGGCTGGGCTGCTGGGGCATGAACGAGCTGCAAGCTTCGAGGCTGCAAGAGGCTGCAAGAGGCTGCAAGAGGCTGCAAGAGGCTGCAAGGTCACAGTGCTTGCTGGCGGCTGCAACTGGCCAACGTCACTCCTGCCTGGCCGTTGTCAGCCCAAAGACAGTTTCTGCTCAACTCTTGCTCAATTTAGCACCAGCACTGGTTGCACCTGCCTGAATTGTAAGTGCCTGATTATGTGTCTAGGGTACGTACCTCTGTACCTAGCTTAGGTAGCTGGATTCCGGCTATTACCAGAGAGGCTATCTGTGTACTACGGTGTACTACTAAACCGACTAAAATCAGGGCCGTCCGCTTCAGACCAAGCTGACATTGCACGCTGTGGTGCAGTTGGTACAGTCAGTACCTAGCTCCGTACCTACACTAGGCGTGCACTTCCTTGAAGATCTAGGCAGGCTGGCTCTGGTGGCACGGAAGCTGCAAGCACGCTTATTAGATGCGACCTGCAGGTGTTGGCCCGCACTGCTGCTGTTTTTAGAAACGGGTAGTCTCGAGCTCCGCTTTTCTGACACTGACCAATTTGACGTGAGGAGAAGTGCAGCAGCCCAGCGAGCTGTCTCCAACGGCCGAATTCCACCCGCAATCCCAAATCCCTCGTGCGCCCCCGACTCTGTGCACTCAGCGACGGGCAAAGTGGCGGACAGGCGGCGAACATCACGGCGAGGAAGAGAGGAAGAGGAGGAGGAGGAGGAGTAGGAAGAGGATGATGATGATGAACATGCGCCGATCAGATCAGCCAGCCACTTGATCGCCGGCACGTCAATCCGCATGTCAGTCAAGCTGGTCAGGCAGGCCCGCCCTGGGTCTGGGCCGTCACCAACCCACCTCGACCTCCTGCACAATCAGAGTCTACACCCTTTTGATCTCATGTCCACCCAGGCTGCCAGGCTGGATATCTAAGCAGAGCAGAGGCCACCCCCGCCTGCGTCGCACCAAGATGCTGTCCTGATGGATCACCCGCGGAACACACCGCTCTCGTACGTACGTACGTACGTACGAACTACTATGTCCACAGTATGTGGAGTCGTCGACTGATTCCAGAGTCGCAAAAGCCTGTTATTAGCGTCTACTATACGGTGTATCCAAAGGCCAACTGAGATCCAGCCTACACTACTCCGTAGATCGGTTTGCGTCGAGCTAGGCTGTCGGCCGGCCTGTCGCCTCCTCTCGCTCGTGAGACCCTCCATCTGCGCAGGGGGTGGTTCGCAGGGATGCCTATGGCACTTGCATTGGTGGGCGATGGGCGGTGGGCTTCCATCCTCCTCCTGCTGTCAACACCGAACAAGCCCTCGCATCCGCTTTCGTGGCCGCGGACGGGACAAATCCTGACGAACACGATCTGCAAAGCACGTGGCTCCCTGTAGCTTCATCGGCGGCTCCCAGCATGCGGCTTATTGTTCCTCTGGGCTCTCCCGCCCTGTGCAACAATGCGCACAATGCACCTGTTCGGCCAGGACGACAAGCAATTACCCGGAAGACACAGGGCCCCAGGGATTCCAACTCGGCAAGATGCATGTTTCCCTATTCAAGAGATGCCAGCGCCGGTTCAGCTCATCCATGACAGCCGCCCGGGCCCGTGTCAACCTTAATGGTCCACCTTGTCACCTTGCCACCTCGTCACCTCGTCACCTCGTCACCTCGTCACCTCGTCACCCTGTCACCTGGCTCATATAACTGTTCGCCTATGACCCGTTGTCCCAGATATTCCGGTCTGTGAGGTCGCATCTGGCAGCCGAGGTGGTAGCTTCGCCGTGCTATGTCGTCGTCAATGGCATTGAACTGGCGGCTGACTCCGGCTATCACTTTGCGCAGCTTGGTGTGAACACACACGGCCTGGCTCTGCGTTAGCAGAACAAGACGCGGGCGAGAGTGAAACCTCTCTGTGGCAACATATCTATATACAGTCTGCGGTTGTGTGGCTGCTCGTGCATGACTTTGGTCTCAAGACGTGGTGGCTGTGGGATTTTCAGCTGGGCCCAGCCCCGGGCTGTTGGGGGTCGATCAGCGAGCCGAGATGTAAGGTGGAGGGCACCAGTCATCCATCAGCACGCCCGCTGAGAAGGGAGTAGCCCATCGGCGCAGGTGTTGGCTGAAGGTTTAGTGCACCACCAACTTGGGACCAGGTTGCAGACGCATATGGCTCACGGATGCACATTGCACACAGGACAGAACAGGTCTTGCTTTTCCCAGCTGGCCGTCCGCAGTAAATCATCAGCCGTGATCCCCGAGGCCACCGCGACTGCGATGCATCAAGCTAAGTTGAGTTGCAGTCAGAGGCCCGTCTCTGGAGCTCGAGGCGGCAGAACTCCTGTGAGTGGTTGATACTTGCAGCTTCTGGTTTCAAGTACTTCTAGCTCCTTTCCAAAATCATTCTCAGCCGTGTCGAAACATACCCAAGTGGTGATGAGCAAGGAGCATGGACCCCCATCTCGTTCATGGGGATCCCCCCGTCGGAAACGAGAGCTGGGTCCCCAGTCCAAGCAGGGCCCTGGAGACTCGACAGCAACGCCCCGCTCGAGGTCCCGCGTCTTCCGCCTCCGACAGGCTGCTGGTGCTGGTGCTGGTGCTGGTACCGCTACGACTGCAGCACGGCTGGTACCCTATACACACAGCCTGTGGTGCCTTGGGGCAACGGGATTGGTATTGTCTACACCGTGGCCAGCGTACCCAAAGCGTGGCGCACGCGCCCTTGGCATCCTGGCCTCGAGTTTGGATGGGTGTGGGCTTGGAGCCTTGGGCTGGCTGCCGAGAGGCCCGGCCAACCACAGTCCGAAGAGCGCAAAGGCTAGTAAAGTGACCAAAGCAGAAATGGATTTGGCCCTGGCAGGCCCTGGCAGCCTGAAGTGACCGACTGCGGTAGGGCAGGGCAGAACTCCGTACAGGGCAGACAGAAGAGGGTGGGATGGCGAAGAGGGGAGGGGAAAGGAGGAGGGGAAGGGACCCCAAGACAGGTTGCCAGCCAACAGGCAGGCCCAAGCCAAACGGCAGAACAGAGAGCAGTGCGCAGCAGACCACTGCGACATCACAGGCTCACAGCACAGCACAGCAGGCAGAGCAGGGCAGGCCGGGCACCACCCAGACTCAGACTACAACCACACCGCAACCTTGTGCTTTGGCTCTGCCTTTCATCCTCCCTCGCTCCCTCGCTCCCTCACCCTCTCCTCACCTTACCTTTCCCAGCAGCATCAGCACCAACAGAAGCAGCCAGCAGCCAGCAGCCGTGAAATTGCTGCGTGGATGGACCTCGACAACCGGCAACGCTCCTGCCGATCTCCCTCCCATTCAAGCATCGGGCCATTCCCAATTCAACCCAGCGCTCCCACCCGTGACAGGCAGCGGTGGTCCTGGCAGGCTCGCGCCAGACCAACTGCCCTTCCGGGTTTAAACCAGTGCAGAAGAATGCAGCAGACAGCACCAAAGCCCATCAGCTCATAATCTCTTTTTGCGCAGTAGGGTCTGCTTGGGCCAGTCACCACTCATCACGGCGCGGCCCCATCTGTGTGCATACGCCCTCATATAACCCTTTTCATCCTCCTGTCACCGGGTCTGCCTGCTCTTGTGTTGTCCGATGACACCCGCTTGATTTGGCTCGAGACCACCCATTTCCATATCCAGATCCATCCTGTCCATATTCAGGCCAATACCCATATACCCATACCTTATATCCACATTCCACACCCAGGCCTTGGGCAATAAGGTTGTGGAAAGCCGCCGCGTCCTCAACCGAACCGGTCGGTCACCCACACGCTCGCACCCACGCTCGCACGCACCTTTACCTATCTATATTTGAGGCCGCACACCACTCGACCTACCCTCTCCTCACCTGCAGATGTCGATGTGATTGGCACTTCCTGGACGTGAAGAGCCTCGTACGAACTCACCCGCAGAGGTCAATCATTCTTTTTTTCCCCGAACCCTTTTTTTCTCTTCTTCTCTTTCTCCTTCTCCCCACAATCTATTGTTCTCTTCTCTGCTTTCCAACATCATCACTTCGATTCAGCACGATCCCTACCCTTGTACACCGCCGACCACGCACGGCATCTTCGCTTTCTCAGCAGACAGCAATTTATCAGTCATTGCGGCAAATCAAACTCGGAGAAGACCAGTTCCTCGCCCCCAACTCTTACGCTTTTTCTCACCACCGCTCAACACATCGCAATCGGTCTGTTTTCCGAGTCCAACCCACGCATGTCGCGCCTTCACATGCCCCTGAACCTTCCCCGGAATTGAGCCAGTGGAGCCCATTTGCTTGAAATTCGGAAGGATGGACGGCAACAACAACGCCATGGACGACAGCGCGATGATGCGGTATTTGTTGGGGAAGTATGGATTGACCGATCTTGTGGGCATGCTGCGGTCAATGTCAGCAAACGGTAAGAACCCCCCTCCGAGCCCATCGCGACGCCCGGGTGCTGCCACGGGCGCTCGTTCTCTCACGTGTCTAACGGTCAGTCCCAGAACAAGGCATGGTACCACCTGTCAGTTCCAGCAGCAACGGCCACATGGCCGTGCCTTTCGAGGCCAATCCGAGCCCGATCTCATTCTCCGACGCCAGTTCCATCACTGGCAGCCTCTATTCTACCTGTTCCGACACCTCATCATTCCACAGCCTGAGTCTCGCACCCTCTCCGGCGTCCAACCAAAATGTGATGCCAGGCCACAATGCCGCACAAACCTCGTCAGTACGCTCTATTGGCCGCAAGGTCGTCCGTCGGGCAGCAGGCGCATCGAAACGCTCGAACCTCGGGGGGATTGGCAGTGCGTGGGGGAATAAAAAGCAGGATCCCTTCGAGTGTCCGTTCTGCGGGGAACGAGGGATTACGGTCGAGATCAAGCGAAAGAACGATTTGAAGCGCCACTTTCACGAATTCCACACCAACCACTCGGTGTGGACATGCGCCGCTCCCGGCTGCGGCTTGCCGTTCGAGTGGAAATCAGCATACACGAACCATTTGAAATCCTGCCACCAGGGCGTCGGGCCCTTGCCTGACGATGCAATGGCAAAAACATGCCCGCAGGTTGTTTTTGCGTGCGGCTTCCAGGACTGCAAACGGATTTTCGAAGCCCAGAGCGACGAGGATGCCGACAAGAAGGCACACGAGTATTTCGCTCACGTTGCCGACCATTTTGACGGCGATGGATTAACGCATCGCGATTGGTCCTACTCGGCGAGATTCCGAAACCTGATGCGCCAGTCTCCGGTGGACGAGGCGTGGAAACGCCGCGTCAAAATGTCATCCGAGTCGCCTGCTTGGCAGGCACTGTCGTCCTTCACGCTACGAAAGATGCTCGAGTGTCGCCACATCTCGGATGTTCAGCAATTTGTGCAATGTGCCTCAATGTTAGGATACGCGAAGAAGGACACCCAGCCTACTCTACCGCCTGGATTCTTCATTCCGATCCGCGCCACGTGCCAGATGGCATCGGTGAACCACCGCGCCAATCGCAGCCAGACCAGCCTCGACCAACTCCAACAACATCATCCGACGCAGCAGCAACAACATCAGCACCAGCAGCAGCAAGGCGTGGACATACCCGATTTTAGCCCTTTCGAGACACCATTGCCTACTTTCCCCAAGGTAGAGGAAGACGCGCAGAGCATGTCCAAGATAAGCATGGTGCCGGCGCCACTAAGCTTCACGCCTCAAAGCCTCCCATCGGATGCCGGCTCTTGGACTTCACAGGATCCACAGTCCGCTATGACAACAGCACAAGATCTCTCTAACACATCATTCCTATTGTAAGCCGTTTCTTTTCTTTTTTTTCCCCCCGTCCACCTTCTTCCTTTCTTTTCGTGCCTTGGGTGGCTCTTGGCGCACCTTTTGTAATGTGAGACATGTCTCAGCTCAGGGCTCATGTCATGTCTCACAAAGTCAATGTCCGCCATGTCTTCAGATGATACTAACCGTTGAAATCTTAGCCTGGACCCTGACGACACTATCATGAGCACACCCAACATGCCCAACATGCCGCTTCCGACGGCGCCAACCAACTCTTTCGGCTACTGGACGGATCTCCTCGCGCAGAACAACGGCTATTCGAACATGTCCGCCTCCATGGTTGTCCCAGGTGACCAGCAGCAGCACGGTCACATGCATCAGCACTATACAACATCGAGAGCGCCGGACCCACCCATCGGCCTCGACATGCAGCAAGGGCAACATCAAGGCCATATGTCCCAGGCATCGCAGAAGCGGCGATGGAGCATGCGGACCTCTAGCTCAGGCCAGACGGTCAGGCCTCCTCGCGAAAGTGCCCAGGGCGTGCCATACAGAGACTCAACCTTGACACAAAACAGCGATTCACGACCTGGCTCAATCATGTCCAGTGTTTTCCATTTTGGCGGATCATAGACCTGTGCATCGTTCACCGCGGGCGCTTGTCGCCGTTCAACGTAATTGGTCTACGATTTACCCAAGACCACACCATTCTCTTGCTATCTACCGATTGTTGGTTCTCCGAGAAGCAACTCACACTCTCTATCGATCTCATACCTTGTCACCCTTCACACACAAACACCACCCCGGCTGGTCGGTCTAGTACTTTTACTGGAGTCTGAGCGTTTCTTCGGCTGATGATGTACGCAACTACGTTTTCGTATGCGAGAGATACCGAGATACCCCCCTCCATTGTCATTTTTCGTCGACGGCCACCGTCGATCCGAGTCGCTCACACGAACACCTAATTTTCTTGCGTCATTTCCTCGGCGGTTCTGCTTGTTTTCGGTGTTCTCTTTTTTCCTTGTTCAAACCCTTCAAAAAAGTGGAGGATGTTGATCATCGGTTCTGCTGTGAATAATCATCTGGGAACCTGCCCACTTACTTGGAGTTTCCGAATCCCCATCCTGTTCTTACTTCCTCGTCTCTTCCGAATGTTTTCCTGCTCATTCCTTTGTTGGTTTCATGAAAGCGTTGTTATTTGCTCACATAGAATGGAGGTTGGTGGCCCATGCAACGAGTTACTCGGAGTGGAACGGACTTTTCTGGAAATGAAGAATACCCACAATCACACCTACATCCCGGACATTTTTCCTCGATGATGTCGGACGGTAGCAGCAGCTGCCCTGCTTAAAGTACCTAATATGGCACGTGGATCTTTGTTCTCATGGGCACTGACATAAAATACCCCCCAGTATCCCAAATACTATATACTTAAGTAGTGATGAATATACATAGACCCTGATGACCCCAATAGTCAAAGCGCCCTCCACGCCCTGCCCCAGTCTGCTCATTTTCGCCTAAGACAAGATCACACCACCTCTGGCTCAAAGCTGCCTGCAATGCCTCGGCAACAAAAGACTCCCTAGGCATCCGTGGCCCCACGTCCCTCTCTTAAACCTGCCGAAACGGTCACCCGGCAAGAGCCACAGATGCGTAATACAAAATGCAAAATGCGAGGTACAAGAAGCAATCATTCTCCTGCGGAACTGCCCTTGCAGTCGTCAAATAGATTACCGGCTTCTGCGCCTGGGACCCCTCGGGCTCCGCTTTGCTTTTCCGGATTCGAGGCGATGCAGCGGTGCTGATTACGCAGTTACAATACGAGGAGGGGCCGGGCCCGTTGTGTGCGATGCTGCTCTGCCTGCCTACTCGCCGACCCATGTTCCCCTTTACATGTGATTGTACTACATAGTGGTCTTTGTCCCACCTCTGAGTGACACGACAGTCGCCGGAATGCGACGTCGTGAAGGCACCTGCGGGAGAAAAGTCTAAAAGTGATGCGGCGCCGGAAGAGGCAGTTTGGAGCGGGGGTCATCGTCAGCGCAGACAGATTGGAACAAGCAACGGTGGGCGAACTGGGCCATGCTGATACTTGAGAAGCCCTCAATCACCCTCCTTATTTCCTTTTCCTGTGTTCTTTTGCTGTGACGGGCCACCCGGACGCAACTGTCCGACTGGCAAGACGTGGCACTCCGCGTCCGGCAACGTCCAGTCCGACCGACCGTCTGTCCGCTCCCTCACACGCCGGTTTCGTGCATTTCTGACTTGAGCGGAGATCTGGTCGACGACAAACCTTCCCAGGACCTTCTCTCCCTCTCCAAGCAGCAATCGCATCCCAAGCACAGGTTCTATTGCTCCCGTGGGAATGCCCAGTCGTCAGGGAGTTCAGTCCGGTGCGACTCTGCGGCGGGGCGCTCCAGGATTCCGCAAACCCCCCAAAACCACTGGGTTCCCACCTCCCGCTTTCTCGTCTGATGTTGTCAGGTTCGATCGCCCCAAGTATGGCGACACCGGTAGCCTCAACGGCCTCGTAGCCGGGAAACCGGGCTGGTGTGAGGTTCGTTCGAAGAGTGACGCTGGGGCTGTTTCGGGGCGCATGGACCCCCCCCAAAGGCCCCCCTGGTTCTCGATCATGCTCAGTCCTCCGGTTCTTGCTTGCTTCGGATGAACGCACATATCACGGTGCGGATATATGCCAGGTACCGCCGAGAATGTTCTCTCCAGTCCGTCTGAGCGTGGTCTCACCTGGACCCCTTCGAGGAGAGCAACGTCATCCCGGGACGTCTTTCGCTCACGGCGCAGTGCTCTTAATTCAACGGGGTGTTGGCCTCGCAGGGCTAGCCCTACAATGGTACTATTTTACAAGATGAAGCCTCTCAATCGCACCCTTCAGGCGTTCCTGCTGGGCACAAGAAGCCACATTCACAATGTGCCGTCGGCCACGACATAGACCGCGCTGCCGCTTCCCGGCCGGCTCTCGACAACCGCCCCCTCCCTCTGCTCCGGGGTGAGCTCCCTCTTGCTGTAGTACTCCCTCTCCCAGGCCTCCCTGACGGCGTCAACCTTGTCCGCCGGCACCAGGTGGACGCTGCACCCGCCCCACCCGGCCCCGGTCAGGCGGCTGCCGTAGCTGCCCGCCCTCCGCGCGATGCTGCAGATGTCGTCGATCTCGGGGCAGCTGCACTCGTAGTCGTCCCGGCAGCTGTCCTGGGTGGCGTTCATCAGCGCACCCAGCTTCTCGTTGTAGGCGGTCGTGTCCGCGCCGGCGTCCGGGTGGTTGGCCGGGTCCTCGAGCAGCGACATGAAGTCGAGCACGCGCAGGGCCTCGCTGAAGACGTGCAGCGCGCGCTGGCGCAGCTTGAACCGGTCGGCGCGCACGGGGAACTTGGACGTGAACCGGGCGTTGAGCTCGTCCACGCTGACGCCCAGCGTCTCGGCGACCTCCTCGCGCGTGTAGCCCTCGGCCTTGCTCAGGGTCGTCTCCGTCAGCGAGATGAGCTCGCGCAGCTGGTCCTTGACCGGCTTGCCCGCCTTGCCCGGGTGGCTGGCGTAGTAGGTGTCGTGGAAGCCCTTGAGCGAGACGCCCAGCGGCGCGGCGTCGGCGGGCAGCTGGGTTCCCGCGGGGTTCAGCGCGGCATTCAGGTAGGCAGCGGCCAGGCTGCACTCGACCACGCGCAGGTTGTAGTGGATGGGGCCGGTGACGTACTTGTCGGCGACGACGAAGGACTGGGCGATCAGGAAGCACAGCTCTGGCTTGGTCTTGGGGAAGTGCACGGGGCGCGCGGTGAGGCTGGGCGAGAAGGAGACGTAGAGGGCCGAGCCGCGCTCGGAGAAGACTGATGCGGACTGGTCCATGCCTCCCGAGTTGACGCCGACGGCGCGCTCGGAGACGATGGCCAGCTCGGTGAGCTCGGTCTTGTCGACCGTCTTCTCGCCGTTGGCGATCATGACGGCCAGGGCGGAGGTGCTTGTGAAGGCGGCGCTGGAACTCAGGCCGCCGCCGGCGGGCACGGTGCCGTCCATGAGGATCTGCATGGAGACGGGCTTGTAGGCGGCGCCATGCTTCTTCCTGAGGAGCTCCAGGGCGCCCTTGAGGCCGGACTTGAAGTAATTGGTCCACTCGTGGACCGTGGCGTCGATCTCGACGGCATCAAAGGGGATGTCGAACTCGTGGCTGGGGAACTTTTGGCCCTGGACATTGGCAATCTTGATCTTGTAAGTCCCCTCCTTCACAGAGGCAGCGTCGAGCGTCGTGGAGACGGCGATCAGGCAGTCGGCGGTAATGGCCATGGGCAGCACCGAGTACAGCGAATAGTCAATGTGCTCGCCGATGATGTTGACGCGACCCGGCGAGCGGGCGACGAACTCGGCAGGCTGGCCATAGGTTGCCTGGAACTGGCTCAGGAGATTATTCCACCTTTTCCCCTGGGTCGCGAGGGCATTGTCGGGGTAGATCTGGTCCAACGACTTTGCAAACGGCACGGGGCCCGCCATGGTGAGGGGTGAGGGTGGTGTCTTGTGTCTTGTGTGTCTTTGGGGGACGTGAAGAATATGCCCCGCAGTGGTGATGGTGGGTGATGGTGGGGGTGCGTTGGTTGCGTTGGTTGCAGGAGCGAGGGCGGGTTGGACGTAGTAGGCGAGTGGTTTATATGGACAAGACGTCGGGAGGCTGGAGAGACTTATAGAAGGAAGAACAAGGCCATGAGGCCAGGTGAGGTGATTTCATGATCTGTTAGCCTGGTCATCTCCCCATTTGCGCCGAGGATTGAGCCGCACCCTAACTGGGAGCACAACGCTGGTGCGCGAGCAAGCGAGCTGGCTGGTCGGAGCTGCTGGCTGGAGCTTGGAGCTGGTTCCACAGCCCACAGCCCACTCGCCCAACCCCATCGCCGCCCCATCCCATCCCACAACTGCCCCGCGTCCCACTCCCTGCCTAGGTACGTAGCTACCTAGGTACTTAGGTACTTAGGCACGTACCTACCCAGGTCGGCACGCTGCATCACGCATTCCTCCCACGAGATCCAGGAACGTGGCGACATGGGCGGCTGCGCTGACGGGCGCCGCAGGAACACACGCGACAACCACCAGGCTCGCTGCTCGCTGCTCGCCAGAACCGTGCCGCCAGAAAATGTGCACAACCAGGGCTCTAGGGCACCTCACCCGACCCATCCTAACGAGCTGATAGACTGATTGCTCGGTCCGCACTTCCCCGGCCCGGAATAATTTTATGTGGTAGCAAAACAGGGCTCCCATCGCCATCCTTGCAGCGATCATTTCACATGTCCACGCCAGAGGGCAAAATGTGCTCGTGACAGACAACATAAAACTACACACCATCGCCCATTTCATAATGCTTGTCCCACCGCTGTTGCCAGGGCATGTCAGCACCTAACCTTTGAGCGACGATGGCGATACAACAACTTGCGAGCTGGTGGCACGCACACTTACCGTGTCCCATGGCCTCGATGAGTCCACGAACCGCAGATCAGTCCCGACCCTGATCCGACCTTGGGCATCATGCTTTATCGTGGAAGCATGGATCTGGGAATTGGCGGCATCCAAGTGGATGAGCAGACGGCAACACCACAAATGCGGCCGCCAGCGGTGACCTCTCGAGCGCGTCCTGGCCCGCGCCGATGCCCGGATAGTCGGTGGGAGCCTTAGTGCTATTGAAGATGCCCTCGACGTTCACGGTGCCGGGCCTGAGGACGCCCGTGTGTGCCAGGCTGGCGAAATACGCTTCGCGGGCCTTCAGGACGTCACCGCGAGGGATAAGTCCCTTTAGGAAGACGTATCCGTCTGCCTGGTACCGCTCCCGCAGGACGTCGAGGGGTTCGTCTGTGCGAGACACTCGCATCAGTGCAACCTCAGACGGTGAGAAGAGACCATCGTTCACGTGTAGGTTGACGCCGCCGAGGGAAGCAGGTGGTTCTGCGTGAGGCATGATGACAATTCCGCTGGAGGCAGAACAATGAGAAAGACAAGAGCTGTGGCAGGGAGGTGATGTGGTTTAAACTTCCTGGTGCCGGCGTGAAAACGAAGAAAACAACCAGATCTGAACTACATATCCTGTGCTCCTTCTACCTGGGGACCATCGCTGAGGTCCCTCTGATCGCCATGTAGGTGCACTCGGAAGTGTGCTCAACCAAGCTTCCTCCCAGGGCGACCCACAAGGCAAAAACGGGCGAAAACCTTCCCAATCTGGAGTAAAAGGGCTAGGATACCCGACCGCACCGACGGATCCCTCAGGCGATTTGGGGAACCGACGCGTGGGGAAGATGGGGACTCCACGGGATTGGGCCCTGTGCCAGGAGCAACTAAGTCATGGTGGCCCGAATTTCAATACCTCGCGGCCGGAGGGCTGCCATCCTACGCCGCCTATCTTACCAGCCCGCGGATCTGACCCCTTATCCGCCTTGACGTGGAAGGTTTCGGCGGCTCGAACCGGCCATTCTGGTCCTCGGTCGATGCAATCGAGGCGACGTTGGTTGGAAATGCGATTACAAAGGTGAACAAGGTGGCTGCCTCAGTCATTTGCAACTTGTTTACCAGCCGCCATGCAAGTGCAAGCCTTGGACAGCTCCATAGCATGATATGACATATCGCTATCAGTCAAAACAATATGAACACAACGAGCTTTCGCGAAGCTGTTCCTGTACCCCACGCTATGTACCTCAGTATGTAGTCTAATCACCCTGTTGCGTTTGTGCCGGCTTTGGCTTCCGTCGCGGAACATTCCGAACCCTCCGGTGCCTCCTTACCTCAACGCGCCGATGTTTTGTGTACAGGTTTACCGCGTCCCTCGCCACGATAAAGACCATCCCGCCGACCAGGCTACGCCCCCATTGCTCCTGAAGTAACCCCGTGGCGGCCCGGGTGTGGGTTCGCATGATCCAGTTGTCGGGCAAAGTGTGGCGCAGGATCTCGCCCGCGCCCCAGCAGACGAGCGGAAAGGTGATGGCAGTGACGACCCCATTGACGAGATCGGTCAGGGTCGTCGAGGGACCGCCATTCCGCTCCCGAATCATCTCCTCTTGTGCTTGGTTGTTGTTGTTGTTGTTGTTGTTGTTGACGTTCTGGTTGTCGTTATCTGGGGGTGCGTTCTGCTCGCCATTACCCTGAGGCTCGATCCTGATGGGCGGTGGTGGTTCGGCGGCATCTTGCTCCCCCCCTTGGCTCGCGTTCTGCTCCTGCGGCTGCTCGGCTTCCTGCGCCCCAGCACCAGCACCAACACCGTCATCAACCCGCTCTTCGACCACTATGACACCCTGGTCATTCAGCTCATCCTGCAGCTCCTGGATTGCGGCGGCCTCGTCTTGATCAGGGCCGATGTGGAGCTCGATCTCGGCCACGACCTCTTCTTGGTTGTTCTCGTCGCCCATCAGATTGAGCACGGCATTACCGACCCTCAATGCCTGGGCAAAGTAGCCTTCATCATCCTCATCAGCTGGGGCAGGATTGTCCACAGCAGCATTGGCTTGCTGGCCACCGTCAGCATTTTCTGCGGCAGGGAGCTGCTCGTTGGGGAGACCACGGCCCCGGAGAGCCTTGTTGAGGCGACGCTCGTATCCTCCGAGGAGATCGTAATAAATCCTATTGTACGAGAAGCTAACCCATGGCATCATCGTCATGACCCAGGCTGGCGACGGGGGCCAGGTAGGCATTTCATCGCGGAGGACGAGCGAGACGCCATACTGCCACGGTTGTTAGGTATGAAGTCTCTGTCTCTTTCGTTGCCAAAGAAGGCCAACTCACGAGAATAGAAGCCGGGAGGGTCAGCATGTCCACTAGCTGGGACGGTAGGGCTTTTTGAATCATCAAGGCGGGCGCGATGAAGTTCAGCATCCAGAACCTGAAGCAGAACTCCCACCCAGCTTTCCACCTGTACCACGGCACGCCTGGGTTTATCCTTCGGTCTGCCAAAGCGCGTCCGAGACCAAGCCAACTCATCGCCGGGCCGGGGCCAGCGAAGACGCACATTGATAACATGCCGTAATAGCTCGATGACGCCACTGGTTTGGTAAAACACGCAGTTAGCCACCTCTGCTCCTTGACAAAGACCACATGTCTCTGGACAGAAGGCCAGACCGCATAGAGGTCTCGGATACAGGCGGTCTCCACTCCAAACCACCTTCGAGACAAAATGTCTGGTCACTACTGAAATGTGACAGACTCGCGGTGCGAGCAGGGGTCACCTACTGCTGCATCCTGTGACGACGCCCAACAATATCGCAGGGGTAATGCGACTGTACATCTTGTGTAACCGGTCTCGGAGACCCACGAAGCTGTCCTTGGGCTCTGTGGTCTGAATCTTTCCCTTACAGGCAGGGCAGCGCAGCGCTTTGGTGCTCTCACGCTCATGCTCCGAAATCCACCGCAGCATACAGTCTTCGTGCGCCTCCAGTGAACACGGGCATGCGTTGACCCAGGCGGCATTCGGCGTCTCGGCGGGCGTTTGCAGGCAGATAAAGCAGCTCCGAGAGCTGGAGTCGGTCTGGGCCCGTTGAAGCTGCGGCGCGGTTGGCGCTGCTGCGGGAGCAGCGTCGGTCCCGTCGGCGGAGGACATGCTGGGCTGGTCGGGGGGAGAACGGAGGTCGGCGACTGGCTCGCTGGGCTCAGGCGACATGGCTGAACGAATCGCGCCGACCCTGCCGCTGCCGGGGGAAGAAAGAGCTTCGTATGGTCAAGCTGTCTGCCAGGGAAGCGTGTGGTGCGTGCACGTTCTGAGGTGTATCTCCAAAGGGGGAGGGGAGGAGGGCAAAGCCGGCAGAGGTGGGCGCTGCCTGGGGATTCAGATTCAACCTGGATACTTGAGTGTGATTCGGTAATTCCTGTACCTGGGCTGAGATATGTCGTCTCTCCTCGTACGGCAGCTGAATTTTCAGACTTTTATCCCGTCACTGTTGGGAAGAGAGCAACAAGGACACGGAGCAGCAAACGAGGAGAGGTTAAGCAGTCTAGATGAAAGGGGGGTGGGTGGTCGGAAGGAGCTGCACCATTTGGGGCGGACCTGAGTGAGTGATGATTGTTTGAGGTGACATCAGAAACGCCAAGGGTTATGGGTGGACAGGCTTGGAGGAGCCTGGGAGAGAGAGGTGCCCGGTGGAGCAGTGGCCTACCAACCCTGAGTGAGTGCTTGCTTGGGTTGGTGCCCAAAATACTCCGTACCGGGAGAACGGTGCAACCCCCCTCGAGCTGTACTACTAGTTATCGTTTGCTGACGGCAGGCTGGGGCCCCTGAGACTTGGCTAGGTGCTGGGTACCTGCACATCCAACGTTTCTCACCTAGGGGGTCGGCAAGGTGTGTCCCTCATGTCTTGAAAGCATAGGGGATTGGTGTTTTTATGGTAGATACATAGGTACCTAGGTACTCTTCAAGCTCTGCAGGTTCGATCCTCGGGTATGCATTGATTATCTACGTATGAGAATATATTAAGTACATGGAGCTTGCTATGTATGTGTGTACCTAGCTGTGTCACTCAGGCCTACTGTGCATCAACCTCTTCTCCAAACTGGTCCCCGGGCAGGCCCCACCATCTGCTCCTCTTCTAGAACATCCCTCAATCCCACCTTTGTTTATTAGACAAGACACATCCTAGAGCCTCACCACCCCCCACCTTTCTGAATCTGCACAACATTTACCCTCTCACAGAGATACCCGAGCAATCTCTTTTCCCTGTGATATAAGATCCATCGAGCTATGGTACGTGCCCTGCTCTGCCCTGCCCTGCTCTGCCTGCCCCCATGAATTCTTGGCCCAGGCAAGAATGAATTGCCCCGCTGATCTCTGACCACAGGCAACTACGTCCAAGCAGCGCCTTGCGCTGGCCATCTGCGACTTCCTGTCAACCTCTGTCACCGATGGCACACTCTCAGCAGATGACCAGGACTCCATCGATGTTGCTGTCAACTGCATTGCCGAGTCCTTCAAGGTCGACCCCTCCAACAAGGCCGCCGTATCCGAGGCCATTGGCGACCAAAATCTCCTGAAAATATACGGCGTTTACGAGAAGTTGAAGAACTCTGCAAAGCCTGCTACCGATGCTTCCTCCTCTGCCGCACCGTCCCAATCAGGCCCAGTCAGCGAAGATGCCAAGAAGGAGGCCGAGGCGCTCAAGTCCAAGGGCAATGCCGCCATGGCGCAGAAGGACTACCCCAAGGCCATCGACCTGTACACCCAGGCCCTGAGCCTCCACCCCGGCAACGCAATCTTCCTGTCGAACCGTGCTGCCGCACACAGTGCCGCAAAGGATCACGAGAGCGCCCGTGCTGACGCCGAGGCCGCTGTCGCCATAGACCCCAAGTACACCAAGGCGTGGAGTCGCCTGGGCCTCGCCCGATACGCCCTGGACGACGCCAAGGGATCCATGGAGGCATACCAGAAGGGTATCGAGTACGAGGGCAACGGTGGCAGCGAGGCCATGAAGAAGGGTTTTGAGACCGCCAAGAGGCGGGTCCAGGAAGAGTCTGAGGCCGAGGTCGCGTCAAGAGGTGCCGGTGCCGGTGCTGGAGCCGGCGGCCCCAACCTGAATGACCTGGCGAGCATGTTCGGTGGCGGCGGTGGCCAAGGAGGTGGTGGCGGCGGCATGCCGGATCTGTCGTCCATCATGAGCAACCCCATGTTTGCTTCCATGGCTCAGAACCTCATGAGCAACCCAGATCTCATGCAAAACCTCATGAGCAACCCCAGGCTGCGTGAGATGGCCAACTCTTTCGGTGGCGGTGGTGGTGGCGGCGGCGGCGGCATGCCTGATATGTCAGCTCTTATGAACGATCCCAACATCGCCGAGATGTGAGTTCGACTGCCCTTCACGGCGTACGATACATCATCCACTGACATGTATACAGGGCACGTAATCTGATGGGAGGTGGCGGTGCTGGCGGCAACGGTGGTGCCCCTGGTGGTGGGCCTGGGGCTGGAAGCGGTTCTAGCAACTGAGCACAATAGCCGGCATCGCACATCACTCAACCTTCTTCTCCAAGTCTCACCTTCAAGACAACTGCTCCTCATTATTACTAGAAGCCTAGCTTTGGAGTTCACAACGAGGTTTTTCTCTGCCGGCTCTTTTACCGTATTTGACTGGCTACACCATGGTCACACTATTTCCCGCGTTCGCGCGCTGCTCGTGCCATATAAACCATATTTGAGAAGCTCATGACCCAAGCACAGCGCAGAAGAGGCGTTTGACCACAACCCAAGGCAAAGCACGCTCAAGTGAACGAGTGGCCACTGATGTGAACTTCACCCGTCTTTTGAAATCCGTTTATCTCGGCTCTTCGGGGTCTCGTGTCTGCCTCGTCTTGATGATTCCAATAAATAGCCCGGTGGGATGTTTCATATGGCAGTACCAACAAGTGGTTAAAAAATGCTCAAAATATGCCACTGCCTGCGTCCAAGTCATGATGACTATCAACGCGTGCTCGCGGTTGTAGATTCTTGCGTCTACAAAAGGCTCCTGTCCAGCTTGGACCATTGGGAAAAGGCATATTTAATATATATTCGGCTGGTTCAGCTCAGAAGCCACGCTCCGCTCCGTTCCACATTGATCTCAATGTGCTGAACATGGTCTCCCGGTGTTGCTTACAAATGTTTATGATATGTGATTGGTAGGCAAATGCTCAAACACCGAAAAAGCCACTCCCGGGACGTTCGTTGCAAAGCGAGGCGAGGTTGAAGCAGAGCAATAGCAACTTTGTGAATCCTCAAGTCCTTCCATGTCCAATAAAAGACCGTCTTATAAGAGAAGTCAAGAAAGAACTTGAAATAGTCCGTGATTTTGTTTTTGGAAGCCGTAGGTGGCTGCCATGAATAGAATTACCACAAACTCGTCCGAGACTCCGATGTCGTGACGACTTCAAGTATCTCGATCACACACACGGGAACGCACTCGAGGTGTTGAAAAGTAGCTTTCACAATACCAAGGCTCGAGGAAGGTTCGTTGTTGAGATCCTGGTAATAAGTAGCCTTACCATGTTACTCTTGGCAATAATTGGTGGACGCATTGGAGATACTGTCCTTGCCGTCACGCATAATTGGCGGAACATCTGCGGCGGCGCACGGCGCCTAGTCTCAAATAATATATAACGGACCCTCCGCGCCCCAGCTCACGAGGCTCGACCGTCCAGGTGGACAACACTCTCAGGTCTCGATGGACCGCTCTGTCTCACGCCAAGTGCCATGTTCGTGCCCACGGAACATGGCATCCGTAATGTGAGCACCAGGGCGAGCAGCCGTGTACGAGCGGGACATGGGATGTTGACTTTGCAGGAATGGCACTGCCAACACAGAAATACATATAGATGCTCGTTTCTATCAGATCTCGTCGCTCGGTAGTTGAAGTGAATCATTACTCTATCCATCGAAAGTCATCTCTTGGCAAATCGGAGAATAATTAACGCAAAATGAAGGCCATCGCATTTCTTCTGGGGTTTGTCGCTTCGGTCGCTGCTCACGGATATGTTGATAATGGAACCATTGGTGGGACCAACTACCAGGTATGGACATGAGCCTTGCAGTGTAGCTTACATCATGAATTCTGACATTCTTAGTTCTACCAACGTGAGTTGTGCAAGACTCTTCTGTGATATCCGACTCCGTCGTTGACAATGACAAGCCTACCAGGACCCTTACACTTCGACGCCTGTCAGTGCAACTGACCCTAGGACCCCTTTGTGCCATACCTTCTTGGGTACTGACGTTTCAATGCGGTCCAGCCTCAAAGGATCTCGCGCGCCATCCCAGGCAACGGCCCCGTGACCGATGTCACGCTCATTGATATTCAGTGTAACGGATATACCGAGGGCGGTGTTGTCGGCAGCAAGCCTGCTCCCCTACATGCAACAGCCGCTGCTGGATCAACATCCACGCTCTACTGGACAATATGGCCGGAGTCACACGTCGGACCAGTGATCACGTACATGGCGCGGTGCCCTGACGCAGGTTGCCAGAACTATCAGCCAGGCACGAGGTATGTGAAACACGATTCGCAGATGCATTGCATACTTAAGTACCTTGTTGTCGAGAATCGCAATATCAACTCACTTTGCATCCTAGTGCTGTCTGGTTCAAGATCGCTGAGGGGGGCCGTACTGGAACCTCAAACACCTGGGCTGATGTAAGCATCCTCATGAACTCGAAAAGACTGCTACTAACCAGGCTCAAGTCTTCCTTGATGGTTGCTGGCAATGCTGGAGTCAAGTACACCATCCCCTCCTGCCTGAAGGCAGGTTACTACCTCGTACGCCACGAGATCATTGCCTTGCACTCGTCAGGTACCTATCCAGGCGCACAATTTTACCCAGGGTGTCATCAGCTGCAGGTCACCGGCGGTGGATCGACAACTCCCGGTAACCTTGTTGCCATACCCGGTGCCTACAAGGGCAGTGATGCGGGCATCACATACGACGCTTATAAGGGTAAGTCCACGCAAACAGACATAGGACCCCGAGGGATATAATCCAGACTAACACCTCGCAGCGCAAGCCTACACAATCCCCGGCCCGGCTGTTTTCAAGTGTTGAGGAGGTCTAGTGCCAGTGGGTTGACTGAGGGACCGGGCTGGCTCTGCATCTTTCAATATAGTCAATATGCATGTTGACTGGTTTCGTTTCTATTCCATATAAGTCCGAAACCATACGCTGCGAATTAACAAGTCACATGTGCAGTACTCCTGTGAGGTCTGACTAGGAGACTGCTCTGATTTTTGAATATCTGTGTCATTTTGGAGTCTTTCTTTGCAGGATCGACTCAAGTGCCGAAAATACGCCAACTCATAAATCTTCCCAAGGGTTGTTTCTTGTGTGAAACTGCATCTTATTTGGGTCCGGAAGCATTTAAACTCGAGCTTGAAATGATGGATAATGAGCGGGCAGAGTTTGGTACCAGTCGACAGCTGTATACGAGCAATGTTGTTGCCCACATATGTTCGTGTCCCGAGCCCAAACTCCATCATAACGATACTTATCTAGTTATGTGGGAACGGTCAGGAAATGCTCAGCATTGCGCCTCCAGATTTCATGAAACTCTCGGCTCGGAAAGCTGCACACGGTGCAGAACTTAACCTCCGGGCATGAAACTGCTCGCATGTTCGGGTCGGCGCAACTGACGACGATTTGCCTTGCAGCTCGGTGGCAAATGTGTCATACACAACAGAAGATGACAAGCTCATGTCAACTGGTTCTATCAGCGTCAGCTGGGACTCCTGCGCAGGTGCTCTATCAAACCTGCCACCACAGGTATTCACTCTGAAGATCAGTTGCCTCAATTCGTCATTGAGCGGCGTATACTTAGCTATATATGTAGTTTTCACACCGTATGAAGGCGCCATGTATGTCCTCGGACGTATGCGGCATAGAAGCGAAACCACATAGAAGCGAAACCACATAGAAGCGAAACCACATAGAAGCGAAACCAGATATGTAGTCTTCGAGCCTCGCACTGACACCTATATACTAACAAACGATGTTTGGTCCTCATGTGACTCATGTTTCTTGATATGGTGTGGGCCACAACGCAGTGAGCTGCTGAATTGTGCTATATTGTATGACAAGGTCTTGCGCGGCCCAAGGGTCTGCTCGATCGACGTTACGATCTGGATGTTACATAGAACTGGCACCTATAGCACGATCTGGTGGCCGACCAGTATGACGTCCCTCCGGTCGGGGCATAATGGCAGTGGTTCAGTCACTGTGAACGCATAGTTGATGCTTCTTCATTCCACTGACGCTTGGACATTGATGATTCTCTTGGCGTGATGCTATCCTAGACCCGCTTGAAACAAATGAATGCCTGTCCTACAATACTCCGGCTGTAATGATGCATCATATCCGTCTTTGTTTGAGACGGGCGACAGTTTCGAAATCAATTTGTCGCATAGCACACTTTTAACTCCATTTTCATGCTCGACTTCAGACCATGAAGCGCCTTTCGTCAAAAACAGGCGGTCTTCTCAATTGGTTCAGAGCAGCCGCGGCCTCGAGAGCTTCTTCCTGATGGAGCTGGCGACTCGGGCTGTCGTGAATTGATTGCGCGCTCAGCGGCAGATGGACATCCTCGAACCCTGCGTTGTGGGGCAACATGATCGGCGCGCTGGCAAACGCGGACGAGCTGTGTGATGGGGGCACGGTTATCATCGCTAGCTGAGTGGCCAGTTGCGAAGTTGGTGGAGGAGCCGGCGGTGCCGCACCCGTCATTGTGTTTTGTCCATCGGGCTGTGCTGTGGTTGTCAGACCGACAAAGTCGAGACCTCTGCAAGGTCCCTCGAAGTTTCTCGATTGTGGATCTCTCAAATGAAAGGCACGATTCTGCCAGTGTTGAGGCGATGTTGGGGACATATCAGATGGCGGGCCCTCCACAATGACAATCGGTTCGAGTGGCTTGGCCAAAGGGTATGGCCGATCGTTGTGTTCCTTCTGCAGGTTGTAGCCTTCCAGGTTCTCTGGGTGGAGGGGTGCCAGTCTGCAGGACTCGTCAGGATTACCGGATCGCCCTGGATCAGGAGATTTACTCCTCTTGGGCTTTGGGACCGGACGACGTATAGGTATGGGAGGTGGTAGAATAACACTCTCCTTCATTCGAGCGGGTGCTGTTACTTCAGTTTTCACTGCCTTTCCCGCTCCTTTGTTTTTCTTCGCCTGTGCTGTCCTCGCCTGTGCTGGCTTCGCCCTGGGTTTGGCGCTGACGGCCGACGATGCAGGAGTCCCCCTCCCTGACTTTGAGAAACAGATGGTTTCTGGCTCAAAAATTGCTTTCGGCTTCCTAATTCTGTGGTGCGATTTGACCGCCGCAAGGATAGAGTTGCTCTCGACCGTGGTATCAGGACTGACACCCAAATCCAGCACTGGGGGCTTCTGGCAGGCTTGTGATACGGGCGTGGGGTCGTCTTTCCAGTCCCGGAAAGACTGATCTTCCGTGACTGTCAAATCTGGATCTGGTTTTGCTTCCGCCATGGCGGCAAGAGGACGGTCATCTCCGGGTATGGCCAATTTTTGTTGAAGCCCAGGACAGTCTGCACGTAACGTGCCAGCTTTGGGCTTCTGATCCTCTACTTGACCGTTCTGGTGGCCGGTTGAATCTTGATCCACATCTGAATTAGCAGCATCAATCATGGAGGTTTTTTCTGGCAGACGCTTTCTGGTCCTCGCATTCTTAAGGCGTGGGCCACGGCCCTTATTCAGGGGCAGTTTTGGCGCGACCAGTTCTGCAGGTTCCGGTTCAGCAGGTTTATAAACAGGTTGCCCAGCCCCAGGTTGTTTCTTCGCCGGTGCTGGCGTTGCTGACATCGTCGAGTACTTCTTCACCTGACGTCCGGTGAGCAAGGCCAAATTTGACATGATTCTTGTCGTCCAGTATGCACCATTGTCCTTGTGCTCCCGCTCGGAAACTGGTCGTTTCGGTGCAGGCTTCGGGGCAGAAGGTTTTGTTGGCGGCCGTGCACATTTCTTCTCGGCCTTTTTTGCGGGGACTTTTGGTTCGCTCATAGGCGAATCGTCAGCACCCTCACCTTTGACATCTCCCTTGCCGGCTGCCGCCTTCTCCAAGTCAACGTTGGTACGGCGTCTCCTCTTCGTGTTTCGGGGTTCCTCGGCAATGGTACCAGGCGGCGACCAGATAATAGGCTTCTTCTTTTTCAAATCATTCACCCAGGCATCGCAGTCCATCTCGACCCAGAAGTCGATTGTATCCGCCCAGACACTGTCAGCGGGTTTTGTGTAGTTTATGAAGATGACCTTGCCGTCCTTCTTGTTATGTATTGCTTTTGCAAATTCCTTGACGACTGTCTTGAGGCCATGGACTTTGAGACTCGTGCCCATGATTATGAGTAGGTCAGGCGCAAGAGATAGATCATGCTGTATGATATCGGATATCCGCTGTGACTCGGGATGTTCTTCGCCGTAGAGGACAATGTCAGGTCGCAATTTTCCAACGCCGAGAGCACGTTTGCCTTTTTCTTGCCTGGCCGTGGTTGCATCTTCACAGCGGGGGCAAGGCGGCTGATTACCAGACATGGTCTGCATTTCTCGATCGCCTTCGTCCCAGTCGATCACGCCTCCGCACTGGAAGCAGCGAAGCGAGCGCAGCGAGCCGTGGAGATATACGCACTCTACCCCTCGGTCTGGTTCTGGAGAGGAGGGAACTGTCTGGGCATCTCCTTGCTGGCACTGGTCTTTCGCTCCCTCGGTGGCCAGCGCGTGTGTCGTGTCATTTGCACCATTCTTCTCCTCCTCCTGGCATTCATCACTTGGCCGTGAGGACTGGGCGACTGGTTCTGGGCGATCAGAGCCATCAGCTGGACAAGAGGCAATCGGAGTAGCCGAGGTGGATGTTGCTGCTGGCCCAGCCGCCGCCGCGGCTGCCGCGGCTGTGGCTGTCGCTATTGCGGCAGCGGCAGCTGCTCGAGAGGCCCGTGCAGAAAATCGCGATCTGCTACCAGGACCTAAAAGTAGGCGCGTAGAAAGACCCACTTTGTCCTCAAGAAGGTCGATATTCTGGGTGTAACATCGAACCATCCTGCCGGAGTCTCGAAGGTGGCTGATGAAGTGATGTGAGCCAGTGGGATAAGCTTCTCTGGACTTCTGACGAAGGTTGGTGGCAAAGGTATAGAAGACGGAGGTTTTGACTGGATCTGACCATATGGAGGCGTCGAAAAGGTCACGTCCCTTCATCGTCGACAGGCTCGCACGCTTGAAGGTTTGGGAGTAGCTGAACGGCGGCAATGAAGGGGGTGAGTTCTCTGCCTCAGATGCAGACTCCGGTGACGTACACCTGCTACTAGATGTGGGCGAGTGATGAAATGCTTCCTCATAAGGATCAGAAAGAATCGGTGGAGGCGAGGACAAGGGTGAGCTGAAAGTGTTCGTTTGGGCCCCAGAATCAGAAGATGTTTGTTTGGGAGTCGAAGATCCAGACGACGTGGCATTAAGTGTATCTGCAGAGCGATTCGGGGATTTCGGCGCACTGCACCCCGATGTTCCTATGTCTTGTTGCTCTTGGTGGGAGGATAGCGCTTCAGGGGCCGGCGAGCTGCGCCGGGAGGGTCGTCTCGAGGATGCGGCTGCTGAGATAGGTTGGGCTTGACATTGTGAGTCCACGTGGGAGTTATTATGCGCCCCTTCGCTGCACTGGCCTCGATTCGCGGACTCGCGCTGAGACGCCCCCTTCGCATCCGGTCCAGCGAAGGAAGCTTCGCCCACGAGCACTGATTCCTCAGAGAGCAGATCGGCCTCCTCCTCTCCTGGTTCTTCCCGCTCACAGACGCGTTCATCATGATCACCTGGCTTCGTCTCATCTACTGGGTCCTGGTCTCCATGGTTTTCTCCTTGGGTCACGTCTGAGACAAGACTGTCGTCGGGACCCAGGACTTTGATGCTGTCGCCTTCAACCGTGGCGTCCCTATCCAGGTTTGGACCACCAACCTCAATGGTGTCGCCCACTAGTGATAACTTTCTGCGCTTCTTGGGGCGCAGCTCGTCACCACTGTCGTCTGACAAGACCCCATTGCCTCGGGTCTTGGCTCCGTCCAATCTGGCAGCGGCATCAAACTGGCTTTGAATCATGGAATACAAGCCATTCTCTGAGCGAAAATCCTGCAGGCACTGTCAGCAGACCGCATGTGAGCGGCGTATGCGTGCGAGCAAAATACTCACTGGAATCCCGGAATTGGTGCTGATACCGGCTCCTGTTACAACCACAACTTTCTTCGCCTTCCACAGCGAGTCGGCGATTTCCTGGAGCTGGGCTGATGAGCCAGCCTGTACGTGGATCGTCGGCATCGTGGACTAGCACACGGTCCTTGCAGCGGCAAGTCCGGCGATGTTTAGACTTGTTAGGACTTGCAGCGCCGCAGGGCAGATTCTGCCGCGATCTGGTGGCCTGTCTCCCGCAGTCCCTACTTGACAGGGACGGCCCTGACCCAATGAATGGTCCAGGGCGGTATGTTTTAGTCCTCCCAGGTTTTCCACAAGACTGTTCACGTGGCTGCTCTGCGTGCCCGTCTTGTCCATCCGTGACCTTGAACGCGTTGCCGGTCGGAGTAGCATGTGCTGTGGCCTCCGAGTGGGTTCTGTGGTAGCCTGGCAGAGACCGGAAGCACCACGGCTGCAGGGTGGGTGTATTTGCAGGCGCTCTTCGCCCTAATTGGTGTCTTTACTCGTTGGCAGTGAAGCTGTCACGCCATGGGGTGTCATCCGACCGCCTGTACGGAAAGTCGCATTGACCAGTAGTCGAAAGGGCCACCGATGACTCGATCCGGACACGAGAATGATTTGGCGGCTGTGTAGTACTCGAATGAGCCGCGCTCTCGGTGGTGATGTGGGAATTTGCTGTGTTGAGTGTCGAGGCTGTCTCGACTCCGCGGACTCGGCTCAATCCATGTGACCGCAAACAATGGCGACCGGGCAACACAAGTGCTGGAGGAAGGCCAAGCAGACTCAATTGAGGCTCAGATAGTCATTTGCTTGCCAGTCTCGACGGTCGTAGTCGTAGTTGTTATTGTCGTCGGTGTCGGCGGTGAACGCGTGTGGGATGCGGGAGACAAGGGTCCGAAGTCGAGGCACCGCGTCGGACGGGTACGGATACCTACTTAGTATATAGGGGGGCGGTCCCCTCCCCGAGGAGCAGAGCAGTCTGAATACCAGTCGGGCAGATGAGCCGACGGGGCCCGCAAGGAAGAGGTCGTTGCTGTTGCCGGCTGACACGGTCGGGACGGACAAGATGTCGGAGTGGTGGTCTGAAATGGGTATTGTCAATGTGGTGGTTTTGCCCAGTGAAGTCGAGGCGCGAGCTGCACATGGTCCAAAACATCCCCGCACAGGCCAAAGACAGCTCCTAGCTCTTTTGGAGTTCCTCCTGGCCTGCCACCTGCCAGCCTGCCACCCTCCACAACGCGCTAGAGAGGGCCAGACGGCCGAGACCCCTGTCCTGTGAAACCGTCTGCTGATGATCCCACTGTTCGTCCCTGCAGACGGAAACTCTGAACAGGGTTGCCTGGGGGGTTCGGGAGCTGCCGAACACAAGCCATGATCGAGTACCCTTTGTTTCGCAGCCACATCTCGGTCTGCCGAGACACTTCCTACCAGCCCACAGCTGCCACAACGAGAAACCGAGGGCTCAGGATTTTGTAGAGCTCGGATCAGTCAACTTCGATATAAGCCACAGGCTGAGGCCTTCCTCATCAATAACAAGACTGATGTAGGTAGGGGAGCAACACAACCCTCCAAGGTTTGATTCCTAGAAACAAGCCACCTGGAAGACAAGCTTTTCTTCCAGGTTAACAGCTGTACCATCAAGCATCCTCAAGAATCCCCCAACCTTTGCACGTCTAGTGAATTGTTACTCCTCGTCTGGACCAGGGGTCTCATGGTTGCCTGTGCCCACTCAATCCGCCAAATGTTCCAGTGGTGGATAGATCAGCAATAACAAGATAGGCACGGAAGGACTGCATTGACTTGGGTTTGAAATGCCGCAAGGTCTGGCTATCCACAGCAGCATCGAACCTGCTCCATGGGCTGCCCACAGGCCTCATGTCTTTCCCGCCCAGCTTCTCAGAGCTTTAACGCTCTCATCAATACCGCGAGGGCAGCCGTTTCTGTTCCATGGCCACTAATTTGAAGCCCGTCGAGCTGATGGTCATGATTGGACCAAAACTGAGTCCAAAATTGCTAAACAGGGCTAACGCTGAGGACGTGAACATTCTCGTCCCAGAAAGCCAGCCGGTAGGGAGGTCCAAGTCCCAAAGAGCCTCACACACTCGAGCCAATCCCTACGGCCTGTCCTGTTTATTAATCAACAGGGAGGCTGCCAGAATTTCGGTGCACATTTCCGCGGCTCTGGATTTTCAAGTCCGCTGTTACTATGCTGCTTTCTCCGATTCTTGATTTGCGCTACAGCCCCCTTGTCAATCGAGCACGCAACGGCCACAGGGCCGGGCCCGTCCAATCACATGTTACATTTGCAAGAGCGCTACATCATCCACGGATGTCGCCATCGCCCCTAGCCATGATGGATAACTTAACTCGCACACTGAGGGCCATTGCATAACTGGGTACTGCGTAGGATTCTGCCCTTGGTCCCGGAGGACTGGGCCAGTCGACTGAAGTGCCGGGACGAGGGCGGATCACTTGATAAATCTTGAACTCCTGCCCACGCCTGCATGCTTTTGGGGCACTGTGCCCCGTCTTCTCGCTTTCGATCTTTGTGTGCCTGGCGATTGTGTCCGTCCAACACTACACCGTGTGTTCCTGAAACACGCCGACTTCCATTCTGGTGGGCTCACGCGTGCTCTTGATCTTGGAAGGTTCACATCCGGCGCTTCTCAAGTTGCTGGTCATGGCTGAACAAGGCACCCAATATCCCGACGACAAGGTGGTTGAGAAGCAGACTGCGAGCCCCGGCTCCTCGTCTGATAATGGAGAAGCTGGTACCACTGGCATCAACGAGAACGCGCTTCTCCGCAAGATCGATCTTCGCCTCCTACCGGCCGTGGGGATCCTGTACTTGCTCTCCTTCTTAGACCGAAGCAACGTCGCAAATGCTCGCATCGAGGGTCTCGCCGACGACTTGGGGATGAGTGGCAATCAGTACCTGACTGGTCTTACGTTATACTTCATCGGTTACGTGTTGTTCGAGATACCGTGCAATATAATCCTCAAGAGGACCTCGCCACGGCTATGGCTGCCCACTCTCACGATCGCTTGGGGAATAGTCGCGACGCTGCTTGGGGTTGTCCAGAATCTTGCCGGTTTCTTTGTCGCCCGCTTCTTTCTCGGTGTGACTGAGTCTGGACTGTTCCCAGGTGGTGAGTAAATTCAGTCGCTCGTCCGAGTCTTCAAGGTCATGCCGCCACCTCAAACTGACTGACGCGGCTGCGTACAGTTGTTTACTACTTCTCCATGTGGTACAAGCGACGCGAACGGCAGTATAGGATCTCACTCTTCTTCTCTGCGGCAGCTCTAGCAGGGTCTTTCGGTGGAATCCTCGCCTATGTGAGCTAAACTGAGATCCTTCAACTTGATGCTCAACTCGATGCTGATATTAAGCTCAGGGAATAAGCTTCATGGCAGGAATTGTCTGGGCCAACGGCTGGCGATGGATTTTTATATTGGTACCCCCCCCCCCAGTTGGATAAAAAATAGAGGCTTCAGACTTGGTGCTAACAAATCGCTATTCCAGGAGGGTCTTGCGACCATTGTAGTCGCTGTCTTCGCGTACTGGTTCGTTTACAACTACCCAGATACTGCCGGATTCTTGACCGAGAAAGAGCGGAACATGATTCAAGCACGGCTCTCTGCAGACAGTGACTCGACGCATAACGAGGTCTTCACCTGGGGAAATGTCAACAAGGCACTCCGAGACCCCAAGTGTTGGCTTTACGGGTTCGCCTTCCACACTATGAGCCTGCCTCTGTACACGTACTCTCTCTTCCTGGTATGTACCATAATAACTTCTCCTCAATGTCTCGACAGTCTTGCTGACTGTAATCACAGCCAAGTATCATCAAGTCACTGGGATATACAGCAGCGAGGGCTCAACTCCTGACCATTCCGCCATACGCTTTCGCATTCATCACTACCCTGGCAGTAGCCATCCTCTCTGAGAAGCTGAACAAGCGTGCGATTTTCGTGGCCGGGTCGGCTGCTTTCGGAGCGATAGGCTATGTAATTCTGCTCGCAAATACCGATCCCGTTGGCCGACCTGGCATCCACTATCTGGGGACATTCTTCGCCGCCGGCGGGATCTACCCGGCCACGGCCTTGGCTCTGTCCTGGCCGGCCATCAATGTCTCCGGCCAGACGAAGAGAGCCATTGCAAACGCTATGCAAATCTCGATTGGAAACTGCGGAGCAGTCTTGGGTACGCAGCTGTACCGTGCCAATGACGGACCTCGGTATATCGTCGGGCACAGCTTTGCACTGGGGTATCTCTTGGCAAATATTATAGTGTCTGGTCTCCTGTATTGGATATTGAAAAAAGAGAACACCGAGAGGGAGGCGATTGCCGAGGAGGTCAAGGAGGTGGGCCAACTGGACGACTGGGCCCTCGGCGACGATGACCCAAGGTGGCGATTCCAGTACTGAAGCGGAAGCTTTCACATTGATACCATGTCCAAAAGATTAGTTACGTTATTGTAGTCTAGAGTTCCTGCCTGTTGAGAGGTGGACATAGATACCCCAGTTTGTATTCGTCGTTCTCCTTCACTAAACAGCCCTCAGGCACACTGCAAGCCGCGTATTGCAAACGCGTGAGGCCGACCGAGCGGGGTTATTTCTCTTCAAATTTATCATGTGCTCAACCCCAATGCGTGGTTCCTTCGAGGCATTCGGAAAGCAATACTCGAGTAGCTTCAAGCTATGATGGTTTGGGCTACTCTAAGTATTTGGACTCCATGCTTGAGTGCCTACCACCCGAAGGACTCGTCGAATCACAGCACACACCATCATCCTCTAATGGAGGCTTGGCAACCTGCCTACGCACACAGTTTGCATAGGCGCGAGCAACATGTTCTTCTGATGGTTTGACTGTGCAGGAACCGCTCATCCCTGCTTTCCCTAGGCCAAGAAGGATAAAAGATTCTTGCGTCCAGATGTTGTTCTGTTCTCAACATGCCCATGTTACGGTCCTCACTCTGGACATACAAGATGTTGCCCAAGGATGATACCGTCGTTAACTTGAGCGCTCCAGCTGAGGCGGACGTTACCACTACATCTGCGCCTACCAGGGAACGTCACAACCAGCAACAGTCTGCGAAAAGGGTGTGGTAATATCACAACTAATACTTAAGTATATTCCTCTATAACTTAATTATACATATAAATAAATTTATAATTATATAAATATAAAACTTTATTTTTTTAAAAAGAATTATTATATAAATATAAAACTTTATTTTTTTTTAAAAAGAATTATTATATAAATATAAAACTTTATTTTTTTAAAAAGAATTATTATATAAATATAAAACTTTATTTTTTTTTAAAAAGAATTATTATATAAATATAAAACTTTATTTTTTTAAAAAGAATTATTATTTAAAATAATTATAATATTTTTTTAAAATATTTAAAAAAGTTTAATTTTAAATTAAATAAATTAAAGCTTATTAAATTAAATAATTTAATATTATAAATATATAAACTTATTTTTTTTATTTTAATAATTATTTACTTTTTAATTTTATTAATATTATAATTATTAGTAGATTATAAGTATATACTTTAATAAGTGGGGGAATAAGGCTTGAGATAGTAAGAAACACCTGGCCCATGTGTTAATCTAGGTGACCTAGGACTCAGGCAAGCATGAGTTCCAATGAATTAGGGCTCCTGTTAGCCAAAAGTAACACAGGGAGTCTTAATGTCCTGATCATGTTGGGGTTGGACGCCTGCACTGCAGGTCACGTGAAACCGCGGCTGGGGCTGGGCGCGGCGCCGCAGAGGGAACAAGGGCATTATTATCATTGCCTTCAACCGCCTCCCCCAGCCGCACCCCGAGTTCTCGATGCGTCCTCGACTCAGATTTTGTTTGCTGAGGCGCTGGCCCTCAAAGAGGCTACGCAGTCGGGTATGGACCGGCGCTGGCAGACACGCAAGTGTTAACCTAGGTAGACTTTAGAGGGTGTAGAGACGATTGGATCGGGTCGATGAAAGCGAAGCGAGCTTTGAGACGTGGGAAGTGGGTGGCTGGGGGCGTCGAGGTGGACGGACTGGGTATGGCCCTGCTGGTACGCCGGGCCGACCCCACTGCACTAACTTCCACTTGGACGGTGGGTGCCAGTGCTGCCCCAGTGCCCAGTGCCCACGCACAAGGGCCCCGCCGACGAAACGCTGCCCACACAAACTCACGCTTGCCTGCCCACCCGTCCGCGAACCGCGTCGGCCTGGTGCACTGCAAATACTGTACACTGAATAAATGCAACACCCGGCATGCGACCAACCGACCGGCTGGTGGATTGTTGGATCAGTTAGATGGTTGGTTGGTTGGTTGGTTGATTGATGGACACTTGTGATCATATACAAAATCACACACAAATTAATTCCTCTCGTCAAGAAATGAGAGAGAGAGAGAGAAAGAGAAGAGAGAAGGCTGCTTGCTCTGCCCACCAGGCCTAGGCCCAGGCAGGCCCAGGCGTGTGTGTATGTGTTGCGTTACTTAATGCTTGCTCCCACGGGCCTGCTAGGCAAGGATGACCCGCCCGCCCAGCGCCCAGAAGCTATGGATTACCGCGCTGCGCGTCGCAACCACCTCGCCCGTCCGTCCACCAGACTGTCTGTGTTCCGTCCCGCTTCCCGCTTCCCGCCTCCCGTCGCCCGCACCGTCGCCAGCCAGTCGCCAGTCGACCGTCGACCGTCACCGACACCGTTCAACCACTCACTCCCACACTCGCTGCTGCAAATCCCCGCCGAGTCCACCCCCCGACCGCACCCTCTGCACCGTCGAGCACTCTCTCCCACCGCGCGCATGCGCAACCCAACCCAACCCGGTCACGACGCCATCGCCTTTGTTGTTGTTGTTGTTGTTGTTGGGCCACCCGAGACCTGGCCCTGACAGCGCCCATTGTTGACCATGTCGCGGCCTGCTGACGGCTTGCCGAGTCAGGCAGGACTCGGTGACAAGAGTGCCTCGAATCCTACAGCCAGCAAGCCTCACCTCTCCCTGTCTCGCGACACCATCACTCAACATTCCGCCCCACGAAACCGAAACCAAGACCAAGACCACGACCACCTCGACCCCTCTCGGAAGCGCTCCTCGTCCAACAGCGACTCCCAGGCCACCAACCTCTCCTCCGACGAGTCAACCCGCGTCTTCTCCCCGCCCATGATCGAGGCCGCCGCCAGCGACGGAGGCCCTGCGAGCGCCCAGGGCTCCAGCCAGGAGTCGCAACTCTTGCAGCTGTCCCAGCTGGCTGCTGCCCAGGACAAGCTCCCTGGCCACTCCCCGCCCCTCCGCTCTGCCGTCAAGCGGTCCGCCGATGGCACCATCAAGGACCCTCGCTTCTCCCCGGCCGCCTCCCCGGGTCGCACCGCCAACCACTCCAGGAACACCAGCGCCGTGAGCGCCGTGAGCGCCACCTCTGCTGCCAGCAGTCGCGTCACCGAGGTAAGTTCGGCCCCGCGGCCTCGTAAGCAGACACTGACGCGTCATGCTCGCAGCTGTCCTCGGAGCTCAAGACACGCCTCTCCTACGCCCTGCTCAAGGTCAACAACGGCTGGGAATCGCGCAACATCAACCAGGTTGAGGATCTGGCCTCGAGGGGTGCTTCTCCCGCCTCCAGCAACTCCACAATCCCCGGCGCGCCAAGGTCCTCTGCCAGCCCGCGCATCCAAGCTTCACATGTCCCGCCACCTCTGGCTCCACACGCCGCCTCCTTACCCATCCCGTCCCCGGAGGATACCTCGCGAGGCGCACCCACCAGCCCGGCATCACAACCCGCAAATGCTCACCCTCAAGACACCCCATCTCTCGCCCCTCCAGTATCGATACAGCCACATCATGGCGAGGGCAATCCTCGTCGGAATCCGAACCCCAAGCTCCCTGCCAACTTCCCTCCGCAGCAGCAATCGCATCATGCCAGCCCACGCACACCCTCGCTGGCCTCTCTGAACCTGTCGCCTGGCCCAAGGGGCTTGCACGCTGGTGCGGACCCCATGGTGGTGTCCCCGACTCACAACAACCGTGAGAAGGACGCCATGGAAGCCCTTCTGTTTATGAGTAGCCCGGGCAATTCCGCGAACCTAAAGCAATTTCCCAGGCCAACTCAACCACTGGAGCGTGTGCGCAACGGTGCGTCGGCCGCTCTCACCTCGCAGAGGACTGCCTTGCCTACTTCGGCACCAAAGAGAAAGAGCCTGCCAAACGGCCGCCCTACCCACAGCTCACAACCATCACCGTCTGCGCACTCACCCAAGAAACGCGTCGGCTTTAGTAGATCTCACAGCACGCTCAGTGAGATGGACATTGACGACCCCGCCAGTCCTCGCCGTCATGCCGGGTATGCGCGTCCGCCAGTCCCACCGCGGAAACCAAATGGCACAGCGGCAGACATGTTGCCGCCACACGGAAGATTCGCCGTGCCGCTTGCCCCGGCGTCAAGCAGGCCCACGCGGCCCAAACCCAGGATAAGGTCTTATGAGGACCTGGACGCCATGTTGGACCGCGTGGCAGCAGAGGCTTCGTCGTCAGATTCTGACGATGAGATTGACCTGTCCGGGGCATAACACGTAACAGTATGGCCGTCCATACTGTCGGGGAGTTTCGTGCACAACTCACCCTCAAAAGCGCCGAATGCATGTCCAATGCGCTCCAAAAGCCGGTGTCCAGGTGTCCAGGCCCGTTTGTTCGGTTCTTGGTTCGGGCCGTGCCGGTTTTGCCTGCACTCCTGAGTCTATTAACAGCAGCCGTACATATGTGGAGTCCTGGAACGGAGACTCGATTGGCGGCCCCATACACAGTTTTTGCTTCTTCCCCGTTTCTCCGCGCCGGACGTCGCCACGTGCTCCTGGCGCGCGCCTGAGGGCCAAACACACCAGTGATCACACGTTTCAAGCGTCATTCTGCTCCTATATATAACAATTTTGCCGTTTTATTTTTTCAATCATCACCACGGAGTTCTGGGACGGTTTTCGGGTCCTTGACCGGGCCTCGGAGGGATCAATGTACTATTATTGTCATTGTTAGTCTGATGAGCCACGACAGCATTTGCCCTAGCCAGGGCGGAAAGAGATCTGGCCACTGTTACCTGGCCGATCCAACGGAGTTTGCATCTTGATCACGGCGTTCTACTGGAGGCTTTGGATTTTGCACATGGCGGGCGGGCGGGCGAAGTGTCCGGAAGCTGGCTAGTCACGGTACTCTGGCATCAGACTTTACTTGATATATACAATATGTATAAGTAAGTCAAAAGGTCAAAAGGCCCCAGGCTATTCTTCGGTGCTCTACGGCGAGACAGGCCTTGGAGTTGTGACAGCTTCCGAGTAGCTTGCATGGTGGCTACGTGGCGTTCATGGCGCTTTCTGTGGCTGCATGTCTGTATGTTGCACCCGTACTTGTGATAGGAATTACATGATACATGCGGATCCCAATATCCCCAACCTTAATTTTCCACATCCGAGGCTATATCGTTGAAATCTCAAGAAATCATTTGCGCCTTTAAGAAGGAAGTGCGCGAAATGCGGCCCTGTATGTGGCCCCTTTTTGGGCATCCTCATTTTCATTCCTTGTCTGGTGAGCGACAACAAAAGCTCTTAAACCTTATGGTAGATATTTCTTTAAAGGTTTTTCTTCAAGTATTGGGAATTGGATAAGGCTGTCTCCACAAGGTCTTGTAATAGTCCAACATATGTGGTTTCGCTTCTATTCCGTATACGTCCGAGGACATACATGGCGCCTTCATATGGTGGTAAGCACTCAAGACCCAGCGCTTGGAAAGAATACGATGCCGATAACGATAGTTATAATACGATAGGTGGCTGCTACATATGCTCGCGAAAGATCGTTCTCCCCAGCACGAAATGATTCCAGGTTCCAGACAGAACTTCAAGACTGAGCGAGAGCGACCAAGGTCATTGCCTGATACCATACGAAAGGCGACCTGGAACGCCATTTGCAAGCACTTGAGAGCAGAAAAGCGGGGGCTTTCTGCTCCATGGGTCTTAAACCGGCTTTACAATAGCAAGGTAAAATAAATCCTCATGACAGACTTCAGGAAGCAACAGCTTCGGACGAAAATGTGGACAGAGCAAGTCTTCACACTTAGTTTGCAAGTATGTGCTCAGATGTATTAGTCTCGAGAAGTATATGTCCCGTTGATTGTTTCACACTATGTAGAATCTGGGTGATAGCGCACGGATTTGGCCGGGCACGCTTCTACCCTTGCCAGGTCCACACTGGCGAGGAAGTATTTACAGTGAATAGAAATTATCTCAAGCAATCTCATAGACCTCAAACCCAACCAAGTCCGGCGCCCAGGTCTGCGCAGTCCCCGAAGCAGTGAATACCACCTGGTTCGAGCTGCCGGCCTGGAACCCATCAACGTAGACATACAGCCGCCCAGAGTCGTACCAGTCACCGCCCGAGAGCGGAAAGGCAAAGCGCGTCCCGCTCGCGGCCGCCTTGTTGACGGCAATCGTCATGTTGCGAGTGTTGTCCCCCAGGCCCCACGCCGACCCCAGTGCGGCGTCGTAGTTGACAAAGTCCACGCCTAGGAGCTTCTTCCCGGCGGACTTGGCCGTGACGTTGGCGAAGGTCACCGCGGCCGCGCCCTGGCCCTGTCCGATGTTGCCGACCTTGCTGCCGGCTGGGAGACACTGGCCGGAGGGGCAGGCGACGACCGTGGCGGCCCCGGAGCGGGAAGAGCCCGTGGCGGCTGTGTAGTAGCCAGACGAGGTCTGGATGCCAGAGGTTGCGTTGGCGATGTTGGAGAGGACGATGAGGCGCAGCTCGTGGCCGGCAAGTGTGGTCGTGTACGAGCTGCTGAGGGTGCCGAGGTCCTTGGCCGCCCAGACGTCCCGGCCGGTGGCGGAGGCGATTCCCAGGTCGGCAGGGAGGCTGACAGTGACGCTCTGGCTGGCGTTGTTCCAGTTGGCCAGGCCCAGCACCTTGCGCGACCCGGAGAGCTCGCCCACCCAGACGTCGTACTGCTCGGTTGTGTACCGGCGGACGAGCTGGGCCTGCTTTCCCAGAGGGTCTTGGTTCAGGGCGAGGACCTCGGCATTCTTGAGGAGGTCTAGCGAGGCCGTGGGGGCCAGCTTGGTGTCCATGGGCGCCCCGATGATGAGAGGGGACTTGTTGATGGCCCACATTCCGAAATGGAATTTCTCCTCCTCGAGTGAGAGCGCGTTCAGGCCGACAATCAGCATGTCCATGTCGGCGTACTTTCCGACGCCGGTGTGCTTGTAGTATGGTACGACCTGGTTTGTAATGCGCCAAATGCTCCGCCAGGCATTGTAGATATCGTTGCTAATCCTCCACGAATTTCCGAGCTCAGAAGCCCTTTGAGGTTTTACGTTAGCACCTTCTAATTACTTCCGGCCAGCCTCGAATTGCGGAAACTTACCAGGTTCCTATATCAGTACCAACACCCCACTGGCAGATTTGGTATACAATGGCACGAGACGTGGCATCAAGAGCATCCTTCATGACACGGAATTTCGTAGGATCCTGTGTGACGGGGTCGTTGTAGTCTGCCGGGTCCGTCGTCGAGTTGGCGAAGCAGTTATCGTACCTATCTTGAAATTAGTATGAATACCTGAGGGGCTTGGGATGAGAATGGCACTTACTTGAGAGAATCTGCACCCCATGCTGTGAACGAATTGGCGTCTGTCGTCTCGTGGCCTGGGATAGGGGGGAAACATTAGTCAGATCAGTATGAAAGCAGTTAACACGCAATTACAGATAAATATCACGGTCAACTCACCCTTGGAAGCAGGCTGATCAGTCGAACCACACTGCAAGATGCCGCCGCCGGAATATACGCCGAATTTCAGACCAAGGCCATGAATGTATTCACCAAGTGCCGCGCCGCCGGCTGGGAAAATACTTGGGTTCCACACCAACTGGCCCGATGAGTCGCGGTAGTTGGCGTTCCAACCGCAGTCTACAGTCAGGTAAGTGTAGCCAGCCTTGTCGAAACCCAGGTTAACCAAGCCGAGGGCATTGTTCCGGACGATAGTCTCATTGGGATAGCAATTGTAGTAGTTGTACGTGTTCCACCCCAGCACCGGCGTAGATGTACGCACAGTCGCGGCAGAGACGAGGTTGCTTGTCAAGAACAAGCCCAGGAGCACAGTCGACGACATGTTGCCAGTTCAGATCAGAAACAAGCACTGGGATGGGGAAGTGAGGTTGAGCGGATGCTGTCTCTCATCCCGTCGCGACCTATAGCCATGCGCAAGGGCCGGACTATATATATGCGCGTGTATTCAATGTTGCTATATTCCGCCGGCAGACCGGCCGGATTGACATCACACGGCCGAACATTGCTAGGCAAATTGCTCCTGCATTCGCGTCGTCAGTGACCATAGGAAGCCCCTCAAGCAGACTATCCCCGTCCGACGTCGTATTATGCAAGTCATTTCCCCACAGACTGACCCCGGATTCGGGAGAAATGACCATCGGTCCCCGCATGTTAGTGCAGGGGCATAAGCGCACCATTCAATTGCGCCGACGAGTCGATCACCGCTAAGAATCAAACACAGACCCCCAGAGACAGGCCGGACAGAACGCGTTCATGGGAAATTCCGCCTGTTGTGACTCGTACGTTGTCCTCATATCGCTGTGGGCGTTCATCCCTGGCCCCACCCCGCCACCACCATGCCAACGACACGACGTTGCTGTTACATCAGATCGCCAGTTGCTCTGTCGAGACCAGGCCACTGGATCGCTTGGGGAATTCTAGTAAGCGCTCCAAATATGGAATGTTGTTGTGGTAGCGTTCGAGGAAGATGCATATAGCCTGGCATTCGAGGAACGCTCTCTTGCGCGTCCACCACTGCTGGTAGGGAATTGTCTTGGCGTACCAATAGGAGATCAAGAGGAGTACTCCGGGATCCTTCTCGATCCATAGTTCCCTGAAACCTTGTGTCATTAGGTATAGGAAAGTGGTGAATTTCAGAAGGTGGCGTTGATTGTACTCGAAGGGCATAAGCTGTGAAACAATGTTTGCGGCGCGGTAATAAGGACTAGACTGCCAGGTCTGTGGGTCTGCAAGTCCGAGAAAGTCCAGCAGCGGGCCGGGGAGGTTGTGGAATCCCCCATCTTTGAGCTCGTAGGGGTTGAAATCTGCGTCTCCGCCTTCGAGATTGGATCTGAGAAGCAGATTTCTGAAACAACTGTCCGCCCTGGACGGATCACAGAGATCCCAGATCTCATTCTTGGCTTGGCTGAGAGTCAACCAGTCTGGCTCTCCAGGCTCCAGGTCTTTCAATGGCCAGGCCTGTTCAGGTGACTCTGCTTCAATTTTGCTCCATTCCATTCCGCCAATCAATGTTGAGGTCATCCACTGAATAGAAGTAAGTCACTGATCTCCCAGGTCTGTTCTCTGGGTATTGTGAACGGCAAACAGGCCCCGGGGGTTCAATGTCAGAGCTGATATCTGGAATTAAGACTGGATACTCACTATTGCATCGCGCTCTGACGGAGTGACGTCTGCATTAAGCCTGTAGTTGAGGAGCGCAGCTCCTTTCTACAGAATTGGGAGTCAACGATCAAAGGGTTCAAGGAGTAGCTCAACGCTCATAAGGCAAAGGGTAGGTCGCAAGTAGCTATAGCCTGTCTTGAAATATGTAGCCCCGGAAGTCTTTATTGCAGAGACTAGAAATGGGGCATATTGTTCGAAAGCGTGGAAGGCTTGTATATAAAAGCTGCTTACATAGTTATGGAAGAGCTCAGCCGTACCGGCTTTTCCTGGTACTCGTTTTAAGAGGCGATCATGAGCGTAAGTGAAGGCGAGCACAACGTGCATTAGAAAAGGATGCTGGGTTTTTTATCAGCCTTGCAACCAAGAAGAAGCATAATCATGAAGGTTTAAAAGATAGGTAAGGGAATTATGATATTGAAGAAGCCCCGGTCTTTGAGCGTTCGCCACTGCATGAAGGCGTCGTATATGCCCAGGTGGCTTTGGACTTATACGGAATAGAAGCGAAACCAGTTATATGGAATAAGAACGAGACCAGTGAAGAAGCATGAAATTCACAGCATCAAGTAGATTCTGAGTCAAGTGCACAAGTGTTTGTGCGACCGAATCTTTGCGAAAAGTCTTGCTGGGTTATTGTTGCAAGAAAAAAAAAATGAAATGGGGACATTCGGAGATGAGCGTGACTTACAAGGCAGGCAAGCCTCGGGGTCTCAGCTTGAAGAACCCATTTGGTGACGTCGGTACCAATTGTTAAGATAGTGCGATTGCGGAACCTATCCAAGACCTCTAAATCCTGGACCTTGAGTTTGTATATTTGATCTCCCAGTATCTTGCCGGTGGGAGAATGGCGCAGGTTGTAATTGATCAAATCAAGCATAGTCTGATGCATGGAGACAGGGGCTTTTGGAGGCGTCTCCATGCATGAGGCCCCCTCGAAGGAGAGAACGAGCTCTCCCACGCTTGTGCTTCCCTTGGCCCCGTAATTACACGAGACCCCAAAGGCAACGCATTTCTTGCATTTTGGCTTCGTTTCGTCGCACTGTAAACGAGCCAAGGTTAGCGTGCTGCTGCTTACAAAATACTTTAGAGGTCTTGCCCTGCAGACCATACGCACCTTGACACGTCTAATCTTGCAATTGCCACATCCTGCTCGAGACTTGTGGTGGGCTTTGCGTTGCCTCTGGCCAGTCTTTGCCAAGGCGGCCGCTGATAACGTTGACACAGGGACCATGTCGGTGAGGGATTATTTGGTGAATCCTCGGGTCTTAATTCCGGCCCCAGGAGGTGTTCAGACTCGTGCTTCTCGGAAAACGAAAACTCTATTAAGACTTAAATCTGCGCATCCGACAACCCGGGAGGCAAGTGTATCGGATGGTTCGGACACACTGTCACTAGATCTGGCGAGGGGACGATGATTGCTCGATGCCGAAGGGATCGAAAGGAATTTCAGATCAACCCAGCCTGCTCGTCATTAGTCCATTCAAGTTGGGAGGCGCCAAAGGGGCTGAACTTAGGTGCAACCCTTTAAACCCGATTGGTCCGAACAATCTCGTCTTACTATTTGAGCAGATTACACTAACCTTGTTTCGTATTCACTTTGCTTCATTATTCCCGGGCTATGACAACCAAGACCCACACGTGCTTAGCAAGAAGGAACATATTATTTTCTTGCACCATAAATCTCATCCTCATGGGTGTATTTTATAGCGACAATTTGGGGATAATCTTTAAGAGATTTGGCCGTGATTTTGTATGTAATGCTAAGAACTTCCGCATGTCAGCGGTTCTGAATCCAGATGTCTGGAGGCAAAGTCATTACATATGCGGCTCACACCCATTTCGAGAACAAGATGATTATCATTCGATCAGACATTCTGGGGGATCTTAATGAGATGATGGGCAGCGTGCGCACTCAATTTACATGCCTCAAGCGTACCTAGCGCGTGTAGATGACCCCATCTGCTGTCTGGGCTGCCCCTGAAAGGATCCAGAGTTTGACATACTTAGGTATACTCGTGCGGTACACCGTCGTGGGGGTTTGTTTCATGGAGCTCCCGAGGTCCTCTGGTATTCAAATAGGACCTTGACAACGATAGTGTATATTTGAAGCATTGACGCCACGTGGACAGACCAACTCATCACAAATCTTATCTATTCCTAGGTTATCCTAGGCAATATTGGTACCTATTGCGGAAGGGGTCTTCAATGCAGCGGATTGAGAGGAACATGTGCATTTTACTGCAGCGTTTATTTGATCTTGCAGCCACGTTGAGATTTCCGCGCATAGCCATCGTGTGATCTAAAAGAGAGAAAGGGAATGGGTGCACTAGCTATCAGAGTACCGGGCTGTTTCGACAACTTTCTCTATCTTTACGTATCTGGTCCTTGACTACCTCCCCAGGTAGGTAGGTGGGGACGTCAGAGTTGTCGACTGCAATTTGAACCAGAATGAGCTTACTTGACGGATCTTCTAGAATATTCGCCAGCCGATCTGCACCATGGACACCGACAAGGGACATAAACTATCGCAAAGGGCTGCCCCTGATCGTTGGGGTTTGCCAAGATTGCTGTACCCAGATGACTGAACCTTGTCACTGTGAATATATCACGGAACCAACTGAGGCTGGAATCAAGTCAGATTTCGCTCTGTAGAAAATTGTCCCTACCGCCAGGTTTTGCCACGAGGCCCTCGGGTGTGCAGAGATAAGTGCTTGCGGCATTAACTTATGCGGAAACTTTCTTAGCGGGCACCGTGCGTCAGAGACAACCAAACGTATCCGCAGGACGGTGAAATGTATTCGTCATAAATATATAGATTCTTTCTTATGCTGTGTCTCAATATGTCTTGTAAAGTTGTTCGCCTTAACAGGGGTATAAACAATCCGGTCGTTCCGAGGTCAACCTATCGGCGCAATTCCCACCCCAGCATGTAGCCGCCCATACAAGTAAAAATCACAAAAACTCCACAAAGCTAATGCAAGGAATCCGTCACAATCAAACAGGTGTCGGTGTGTGGCGAGATCATGTTCTACCACTTGTGATGCCCGTGGTGACCATGGTGGCTGGAATGATGCGAGGGCGGCCCCTGGTGCTTCTGTCCGCCGAATAGGCCCCCGAGCGAGCTCATGGATCCCCCGTGCTGCGAGCCAGCGGCCGGAAGCAGGCCCCCGAACGACCCGCCGTGTCCGTGGTGAGAGTGGTTCGGGTGGTGCGGGGGAGGCGGCGCGTGATGGTGACCGTGGCTGGCCATGGGCTTCTTCTTGCCCTTGATCTTGTGCTCCACGGCGTTTGCCAGGGCGGCACCGGCTGCGCCTCCTAGGAGCGTCTTGAACTTGGAACCGTGGCTCATCTTGTGTCCTAGGGCCCCGCCGGCGCCGCCGCCGATGACCGTTGCCATGAGACCCTTTTCGCCATCCTGAGGCTGACCAGTCTGGCGGTTATCGTAATATTGTGAGGAAGGCCCCGACGCGTACTGCTGCTGTTGGGGTGCAGCATAATGTGAGTGCTGTTGATACTGGCTGGGGTGGCCACCATAATAATCTGCGGCAGACATGTCGATTGATGTTTGTATTGTGTTGTGTTGAAATGCTTGGTTTGTTGTGGTTCAAGTAAGAATGGGTGACAGGAGAACTTACTGCGTTTTCCGGGGAGAGGCGCGTCTTTTTGTATTTCTGGAATATTGTAGGTTCGCCTCTTAGGTTCGCTCCGCCAACGGAGCTTCAGCTATCGTGGCCGAGGCTTATGGAGGCGAAGTCCACGTACAAGGAGGCTCGTTGCTGCGCATTACGAATCAACGCGGCTTGTCATGGTTGCTCGGCGCTGAGCCAGCTGCTCGCCCTTCGCTGGCCAAAGGTGGCTGTGGCCAAACGTTATCTCACTTCTAATAAGGCTCCCAGTGGGTTGGGGTTAGGCGACGTCACCAATTAGGGCCGAAGTACCTGGGTACCCAGGCACTGCGCCCTGCATGCGGGGATCCCACACGATGGTCTATCCCTGTCGATGCCCCGGGCGGCCCGAGCTCGGGTCCCCCAGCCGTGGCCAGCTGCCGGCGACGTCTGATAGTTGGTGGCCGGAAGCACCAGGAGTACATGATGCCCCAGGAGCCGTTCTTCAGCCAGCCAGAGCGCGCGTAGACCTGGCCGGTGCTGGGTCATAGTTAGAAAAAAAAAAAAAAAAAAGACTGCTCCTTGCTGGATGACTTGAAGACGAGTATGTTCTTACCTGACCTTGCCGTCCTCAGAGACGACGTGGAAGGGGACACAGCGAGTGACTACCTTGGGATAAGGCTGGTTAGGAGTCGACGACGACTTGACCAGCCCAGCTTGGGGCGAGAGTGTTGTTCCAGGACTGAGCCTTCACGCCATCGAGCAGCAGTGACAACACTGGCAATAGCAAGCATGGACATGAGAGTGGACTGGATTTTGAAGGAATGTGGTTGACGACCATCAAATCAAGAATGAGTGTTGTGGTAGTTCGGCAAATGAGCGAAAACTGGCAAGGAAAGACTGGAGAATGCAAAAGAGAGTGAGATCCTGGGGTTGATAACTCGCGCGGAACAATGGTTTATACGGTAATTGTTTTCTATGGAGAGTTTTTCACATCTGATTCCCTTGAATCAACTGGCAACGTCCTCTTCGGCACTAAGAGAAGACAAATCCCCCTTAGCATCCAGGGCTCACAACGGTGGATGCCCAGGCCGTGCCACCTTCACCGGAATGTTGGTCTGCAAAGACACTACACAGCACAGCAGAATGGCTGCCAAAAGACATAGACGGGTGGTGGAGGGTAAGGGTCTTCGGCGAGTTTAAATCATCTCCCACGCCCATTGCATGAGGTTGAGAACGGCAGGTGGCGGTGCATCCGGTCGGTGATATGCAGCAGGCCGGGCTCATTCTGCTCGTCCACAATGCAATGCCGGACAAGGAAGTCTAGCCACACAATCGCTGCATCGTCCGTCATTTCGCCGGCCATGATCGCTTCTCTCAACTCCTCCGCATCCATTAGGAGAAACTCGTCGACCTCTCCATCGCGCGGGCGCGGCAGCAGGTCCGGCGGAAGCTCTAGCTCGTACGTGTGAAGGACTCGCGGTCGCAGGTGCCCTCCCTCGGCTGCGGGGCATTGATTGTAGTATGTCAGGATGCTTGTCGTTTTGATGTTCTCAGTCACAAAGTCCGGGCTAAGAGCGGCTTCCTCCTCGGCCTCGGCGAGGATTGTCTGCAATGGAGAGTCTCCCTAAGTATCAGGCATCCACTGTTAGTTGCGTGGTGAAACTCACAACAATACGTTCAGGGGTATTGAAGGAGAATTGACGGCAGTAGACAGACTTTCGAAAAACAAGACGGAACTTACGTTGGTGATGCCCCCGGCAACGGTGTTGTCAAGTTTTCCAGCATCATATTTCTTGTTGCTTGCTCGACGCGGAACCCAGAGCATCATCCGACTGCCTTCCTCAGATGGCACCCGAGTGTAGCAATTCATGTGTGAGCCCATTGTCACAATTCCAAACAGCTGGGCAGCGTTGCGGTCGACTTTGACGGAATCAAACGGGCTGGGGATCTGACAGCAGTCATTCTTGCGGTGGAGCTGATCAAAACCAGCGATGCCGCCACCATCAAGTAACTCCATGATCAGAGCGTGCAGAGCCTTGGTCCCTTCAGAGCCAGTACTGGCGTCAAGGTTGATGGCTTTGCTATCCCGATCGATTGTGAACCGGGGATGACGGTCCCAGTGGACCTTGTTAACGAGCCAGTCTGTGATATGGCCCACAGTGACAAAATGGCTCTGGGTTTCCTCTTGTAGGAGAAAGTCCCAGTAATGATTGAAGATTCCACCGCAGCTCTTTCGGTCTTCTTGGTCGGGGTAGGGAATATTGTCGAGTCTACTCAAGATTGTGAGCCAGGAAGACTGACCCCTCACAGGGTTGGTCGCATCCATGACTCAACAGACTGAGGTCAAGGCTGCTGCGATCTTAGTTTCGGGGGGTTTAGGGTGCTGAAGGAATCATACTGACAGAAGCAGTGAGAGATTTGGCTGATCACATCCAGACCATTTGTTGTCGGCTCAGTGCTCAAATGCTGAGTCTCAATGTCTACCCTGTGCACACAGCTCAGGTGTGTGAGACCAGGATTGAGTAGCGTTTAGGGTGGTGATCTGGAAGAAATGTTTTGCAAAGCTCCATCTGAGCCCAGACCTTAAGTAATGGCATGGGCGGTCTAAAATCGTCTGCGCTATTGGCAGAATCCCAGTGAATGTGAAGTCATTCACTCCCAGGGCTCACAGGGTTCAGACTTTTAATGTGCACATGGAATGACATGATTGCTATAAAGTGAGTTCCCGGTGGAAAACAAAAAAGACCAACGGATTATAGCCCCTATACCTTCCAAGGACAACATCTTCCCTGGGTCAAAGGCTGTAATTTGCATCCCCAAGTCTTAAATTGATGAAGTACAGGCTCACTGCAGCACATTCATAGTGTGTCCTGGGAAGCTGGGCTAAGATTGATGCAACACTCTTTTGATATGGACTTACCCAACCCAGCAATGCATTTGGTGTAATTATTATTACTGGACACATATTGAGAAAGCAAAAACCAACGATAGCATATGCCATATCTCACAGCAAATGATACTGAACTATGCCGTATTCTCCTTGGCAAATGAAACAAGTCTCGACCCCACAGCTTCGTACTCTGGCTCGTCCAGGCCCATACCAAATGTATATGATACATGGTTATGGCCTTTGAGCACCTCCAAGACGGGCAACTTGGAGAACCTCTTCCTGTAGTCGCTCAAGAATTCGAAGGTGCCATCGAGGATCTCATCGGCTTCGGCCTCGCCGACCATCACCAGCAGCTCACACGGGAGCGTTTCGCGAGGTGGGGCTGTTGCAGAGCCAAAATATTGCTGGCGGAAAATGGCAGCAGGGGCCCAGCGCTGGTTGATCTCGAACAGGTCGTTCGTCTGGAACCACTCCTTGAGCATTTGCACCCTGCTGGGGTCGCTGATGCTTGTGGTGAAGGGGGCCGAGAGGAGCACAGCACCACGGAGGATTGGCTTGGGGTTGGGGTCGAGCTTGCCAAGGAACATTGCAGTAGCAAGATGGAATCCGCCTGCGCTCTGGCCGAGTGCAACAATCTTGTCTGGGTCCCCTCCGTGCTTGGAGATGTTGGCTTGGATCCACTGGAGGGCTGCGGCGACATCTTCGGCTCCGTTGGGATGGTGGCCGCCCTGCAATGCCAGGCGGTATGTGACAAGACATGTGATGAAGCCATTGCTGGTGAAGTAGTTGCCTGACCAAGCATCAGACAAGGATTAAAAACGGTTGGCACGGGATGAGAAGATGGCAACACACCTATGTTAGCATACATGTTGTTGTCCCCAGCCACGAGGCCACCGCCGTGGATGAAGACCATAACAGGTCTGCCAGGGCCCATGGACTTGTCTGCCTCTGCTGGCTTGTAGACATCGAGACGATTCCTTGCGTCTGACCCGTACTTTATGGCAGTCTCGGCCTCGATCTTGCCGTCGTACTTGCTGCTGAGCTTGGCCTGGACGGGCCCGTAGAGCTTGGCCAGCGCAGGAGGCACCTCATTATTCCAGGTGTTGCCATATTTGGCCAGGGCTTCCCTTATGGAATCCATTTTGATGGACTGATTGAGAGACGAGGTTTGGGCACACGGTGGGGGGTCAAAGCCACATCCGATAGAAGTTCTGGGAGACTGCGACTTTTCATACGCATATTGGTAGCTGTGTGTAAGCCCCGGCAGCCGTGTATTATACAACCCCACACACGGACGGCTGGACCGGGAATTCCGGCATGAGTGCTCAAGTGCGTATATACCTATATACCTAGGTACCCATACTATCCGGGAAGAGGAACTCGACGAAGCTTGACTGGATGATCCGGCAGTATTGGAGCTGAAGATGGCTTGGCCCTAGCCTGGCCCGGTTTTGACCATGACCTGGGCCATTAAATAATTTGAAGCCTTCCCGGCCTCAGACAATTCATGTCACAACAAGATGAGGAGGTGGCCAAGGCTCAAAGAGGAGATGATGCATGCTCCTGGTGAGGCAAAAGACATGCATCAGACTAGCATTGCTACTGGACAAGAAAGTCAGTTAGGCTTTTGGGTGTGCACCAGCCCAGACAGGTCAATCAATTATAGACTGAAGCTGAGCTGAGGACAGACCCTCACCCACGATCGACCTCATTGCCAGGTAGACCAAGAGTCTCTCGACAGTGCCTGGAATCCCGAGGTGCTCCGATGGCCCGTGGCGCTAAGCCCTGAGGGGACAGTCGGCTAGCTCGCTAGCGCCGAACGGACAGATGGGCTCCACATCAGCAAGACCGACCGGAGTGAGCTTTTTGGACGCACCTGCAACCTCAGATTGGAAACTTTTCTTAAAGGCATTGTCGTCACCATCAACCCCCCAGCCTCTAATCTCTTGTTGGTAAGGCTGCCTATCATCCTCCTCGAGCTTCCTCCGCAGCAGTCGGGCTAACCAAGGTCTTCACCGCAAAGTCGTCTAGCCTTTCTGTTCTCTACCCTGACAAAAAGATAGTCAAGATGTTCGCCGCTCCTCGTATGGCTTCCATGTTCCAGCGCCGCGCCTTCTCGGCGTCGGCCCGTCAGGTATGCCTCCAATTGCAGCGGTGCCCATCATCTCAGAGTGGGAATTGACCTCTGCCTGTCTTCTCTTTAGCTGTCCAAGGTGACCGTCCTCGGTGCTGCTGGTGGCATTGGCCAGCCTCTGTCCCTGCTGCTCAAGCTCAACCCCAGAGTGACCGAGCTCGCCCTGTACGACATCCGCATGGCTCCGGGTAAGCTTCAGAATCTCCTCGTGCCATCGCATCAACTCCCCCGTTGTGGCCCGAGTCTGGCAACCAACCAACGGCATGAAGCGCTGACCGTCCCGTCCCGTCCCTTGCAGGTGTTGCTGCCGACATCTCCCACATCAACACCAAGTCCACCGTCACCGGCTACGACCCTACCGCCTCCGGTCTGGCCGACGCCCTCAAGGGTGCCGAGGTCGTCCTCATCCCCGCTGGTGTCCCCCGCAAGCCCGGCATGACCCGTGACGACCTCTTCAACACCAACGCCTCCATCGTCCGCGACCTGGCCAAGGCCGCCGCCGAGGCCTCCCCCAACGCCAACATCCTCGTCATCTCCAACCCCGTCAACTCCACCGTCCCCATCGTTGCCGAGGTCTTCAAGGCCCGTGGCGTCTACAACCCCAAGCGCCTGTTCGGTGTCACCACCCTCGACGTCGTCCGCGCCTCCCGCTTCGTCTCCCAGCTCAAGGGCACCGACCCCGCCGATGAGAACATCACCGTCGTCGGTGGCCACTCCGGTGTGACCATCGTCCCCCTCTTCTCCCAGTCCGCCCACCCCGACCTGTCCTCCAACGAGGAGATCGTCAAGCGCGTCCAGTTTGGTGGTGACGAGGTCGTCAAGGCCAAGGACGGTGCCGGTTCCGCCACCCTCTCCATGGCCATGGCTGGTGCCCGTATGGCCGAGTCCCTGCTGCGCGCCGCCCAGGGCGAGAAGGGCGTCGTCGAGCCTACCTTTGTCGACTCCCCCCTGTACAAGGACCAGGGCATCGACTTCTTCTCTTCCAAGGTCGAGCTCGGCCCCAACGGTGTCGAGAAGATCCTGCCCCTTGGCAAGATCGACGCCAACGAGGAGAAGATGGTCGAGGCCTGCCTTGCCGACCTCAAGAAGAACATCGAGAAGGGTGTTGCCTTCGTCGCCAAGAACCCCGGCAACTAAGGCTCTTTGCGGCCAACACTCGAGCCGGTGGAATGGATCAGACGTGCAGAACCGCTGGTAATCTTGACTGTGTCGGTTGTGTGATGGGAGACGGCTGTTTCTGGATCCTTGATTCCTGCGTTTCCTTGACCGGAATATCCCAGACTTGTGATTGTGGATTTGGATCCGATGTTTCGAAAAAGAGGCAAGATAAAACGGGGGAGAGCGAGAGAAAGAGCTGCTACTTTCTGCGTAGTCAGTCTAGTCTTTAATTCTTTTTCGATCTTCTATCGGAGATGCAAATAGACGACAGCTGCTTGTACAATAGCACAATGTTTCCCGAGGCTCCAGCTCGACTGTGAGAACGTTCTGTGACGGGAAAGAGCCTGCCTCAGGATGATCCCATGGTTTCTGGTCAAGCCCATTCACCTCCCGCAGTCCATGGCTTTGTGTAATGAATTCAAGCTACCGGAAGGCTGTAGATGCCTCCCCGGGACAGCGCACTTATGACTTGAAGGCGTGGAGCGAAACAGATTTGTTGGTGGGTACAAGCGTTTGCACCATGCGTAGTCTATCAGATCTTGTGTGATTCTAATCGAACCCCACCCAGTCTATATTACTTTCCTGACTTCGTACCTTCTGGCACGGCAGTCGACAGGTTTACCTAGCCCTGCTGACGGCCGTCTCTCCAAGCCTCCAGCCTCTGCCTCTGGGCCTCAACTTTGCGCTCAAACTCAGCCACCTTCTCAAGCCTCTTCCTCTCCTCCTCGGCCTCCTTGCGCTTCAGCGCCTCTTCCTGGCGCACCCGCTCCCGCTCCAGCTGGTCTGGTCTCCGAAGCGCGATGTCACGCGGCCTGTAGTCCGAGAAGAGCTTCTTCAGGGCAACTTCAATGATCCAGCATGCTGCGTAGTCGACGATCATGACCGCAGTCATGGTGTACTTGAACTCGTCCGAGAACGGCACAAGCTTCATTTGCTCATTGAGCTCCGGAATGAACTCGGTCGAGCAAGAGAAGGCAATGGCCGTCACGCCCACGATGCCGTAGAACATGCCCTTGTTCTCGGACAGGGCCTCACGGAATGGCCGACCTTGGTAGTTGACGGCGAAGGTGCTGATTTGCTGGATGAGCTGCAGGAGGTACACCGCACTGTTGAGGAGCGAGGGAGTGAACTCCGCCTCGAGATCGACAATTTCGTCACGGCTATAACAAGGTGTCAGTGGATTCCCGGGGCTCCTTTGAAGGCAATGATGGAAACTTACGGCTCGAGCTTGTCACAGAACCTGGCGATATAAATCAAAGTCACAATGTGCACAGCAAACTGGCCGAGGATAGAGCCGATGATGTAAAAGTTGAAGATGTTGGGCTGCGGGCGCTCCTTGGAGAGCCCCTCCACAGATTTGGCCCGTGAGATGGACAAGAAGCAGACGCTCATGAGCATGCCGCTGATGGTGTACTGGCCATCACCGAACTTGATGCCCTCCAAGTACAGAACACTCAAGCTGTAAGCACTGATGAGACAGTTGAGAGCAAGGATCTTGTACATCTGAATAGTGGCGACGAGTGTGCATCGGCCCTGGCGGATAATGTTCGGTATGGCAATGACATTCCGCAACTTGGAGGTGAATGGCGCAGCGACGGAGGCATCTCCAAGCTTGAGGGCTGGAGGTTCACCGTCGTCCAGATCGTTGTCCATCATGCTTTGCTGGATCTGCTCGGCGAAGCTAGCTGCCTTCTTGGCTGCTTGTGCTTGTCTGGCCGCACGGGGGTCAGAGTCGATCAGCTGTTGAGCACCCGGGGACGTGACTGTCTCGATGGGCTGCTGATGCCCCTGAGAACGGGCGTACTCAGCTGGAGAAACATTCTTCTTTTGTGCTTCGCGCTCGATGGCCTTTTGGTAATGGGGATTAGACGGCCCAGGAGGGTACAGGTGTGCGATCAGTGGAGGCACTGGAGGCGCAGGCTGGTTGAAGCGCTTCATCAGATCAATCTGCTTTTGGTACATCTCCTTCATCTTGGTGTTGCGACTGTGTTCGGCGATACGGGTGAGGTCTTCTTGGGTTCCGTTCAAGAGCGCAATTCCAATGTGAGCTTGCTTCAGTGCACCGACGTCGTTGGTTCCGTCGCCTGCCATCAGCGTGAAATATCCCATGTCCTTGTATCCCAAGAGCAGTTCCTCCTTTTGCTTGGGGGAAACTCGGGCATATACCCAGGTATAACGCAGAATTTGATGCCAGCCGACCTGATCCTTGAACTTGGCGAGAGCGTAGCCAGTAACACAAAGGTCATACTTGTTTAGGATTTCCGAGTCAATGGGCTTCGACGCGTCCACCTGGATATTGATGCGGCCATCGACGCTGTGCCATACAAGCTTGTCTCCATTCTCATTCTGCTCGGGCGCGTCAAGGATAAGCACATCACGATCAACAATCTCAACCTCACGAGCCACGTGGGCAGCCGTAAGAGGGTTGTCACCAGTGATCATGACGACCCTGTGACTGCTCTCGTTAAGCATCTGGACAGCCTGCTTGGCATCGTCCTTCAACGGTGTGTGCAGTACCAAGAAACCGGCGAAAGTCAGCCCAGCCTCCACGTTCTCACGCTTCAACTCGTTGATCTTCTTGGCGCCGAGTTCGTCGTCCGTCGATAATTGCTTATAAGCCAGGGCCAACACGCGGGATCCCCTGCGAGTGAAGTATTTGAACGTTTCCTCGTAATCGGCGGGAACGGATAGGAGCATTTTCATGATTGTTTCTGGCGCGCCTTTGACCCCGACAAATGTGCCTCGCATCTGCGCACCGGTCTTGGGATCCTTTCCTGCGACCGTAGCAACTGAACTCTGACGCTTGAGAGCAGACGAGAATTGGAAGCGGCGCTTGATCTGAACAGTCCCAACAGTACCTCCAGCAGCAGCAGTCGCAGGTTTGTGCGTCAACGTGTCGTTCTTGCCAAGAGTCCAGCCGAGAGCTGACAAGGTTGCCTTCTCCATTGGGTCGCCGACTATTTCGCCCTCATCCAGCTTGACCAGTGCATGAGCGGTCGCGAGCACGAGTGTGGAAGCCAAACCAGAATCCTTCACAGGCGTCATGTTGCTATGTGCGCCATCGGACTCCTTTGGTGTGTCGGTGCCAGACGCACCCAGGCCAAGTCCAGCGATACCCTCGACGACAAGATCCTCTCCGGTCAGGGTCCCCGTCTTGTCGAAACAGGCCACATCGATGCGACCAGCGAAGGGAATGCGGAAAGGCTCCGTGCAGAATATGGCGTACTTGGCAAGAGCCGCCAGACTCGTGTTGACAGCCAGACTAAGCTCCATAGGCAACTCGGGAGGGACCACACTCGTGATGATGAGAACGCAGTCGAGCAGAAGCTTGGATCGCTTACGGTCTTTCTGAACACCCTCAGTCCACACGTACCAAGATGCGGCGATGGCGAAAATAAGCAGGAACAGGATGAAGAGTAGAGCCTCGACGTTGTTGGCAGATACACGCTCTGTGGAATAGATCATGGTGCGGACCAAGCTACCCTGCGACGTTTCGAATCCGGTCTTGATAACAATGGCCATGGCACCCTTGTCTGGGGGAGGAGGCACGCCGGACGCAACGGGAGGCTTCGGGTCATCGGGATTGCCGTGGGTGATCTGGAGGACTTTGGTGCCTCCCCATAGGAAGGCGTTCTTGTCAAGACCTTCGGGCTCCAATCTCGCGTCGGCCGGGCGTAGCTGGATCGACTCCTTCAGTAACGGTGTGCTCTCTCCAGACAGCATAGCCTCGTTGACGATAGCTGTTCCTTCAACGAGTAGCATATCGCAGGCCACGCCGCTGTCTTCCTTGGTTCGGCCAGCAGACACCAAGTCCCCCGGGAGTAGCTTATCGCTCTGAATCTCAGTCCACTTTCCCAGTCGGTAGACCCAAATATCATACGGTTTGATGCTCATGCCACGGAACTCGTTCAAGGTCCTCTGACGCTGCCAGACAACGGTACTCTCAAACACAACCAGCATGAACAGGGTGAAGAGCGAGTAGTACCAATAATCATCCAGCATCCACAGACCAACGCAGAACACCTGGAAGACGAAGAACGGCGCGACTGCATGCTCCTTGAAGAGCTCGGTGAACGTAGGGACAGGGATGTCGAAGGTATTGGTACCGTAGTACTGCTCCAGCTTCTTGATCTCGGCAGCATTCGTAAAACCCTTTGCCTTTTGAAAGGTGTCGATCGTAGGCTTTGGCTCTGCGTCGACAGCGTAGCTCAAGGTTGCGAATGTCTTCTTGTCGGGGTCATAGAGGAAACGGCGTTTCTGGAAGAGGAAAGACAGGGTGTTCTTGCCATCAATCTAGAGACCGGTCAGCCAACAGTTCCGCGTGGTCCCAAGCTGACGGACAGAGCCGGCGGCAGAGACTCACCTTCTCTCGGATCAGGTCGCTGATGTCGGCGACGCCGGCATTTGCGACAGGAATGACCTTGATCAGTTGCGCCTCCTCAAGAGACGAAGCCTTTCTCGCGGTGATTATGGCCTTCGCGCTGACGCTCCAATGGGTACTCAACCAGAAGAGACTCTGGAAGGTGATGATGGTGCCCATCCAGACAAAGGTCCATTCTTGGCCACCAATGTGCTGATCATAGAGCTCGGGAGTCAGGTAGAAGGCCAGGAATACGGGCCAGGCGATGGTAAAAGGCCAGACATAGGCATGCAGGAACAGCGGCCGCGGCGTCAACAACTCAGCAGACTTGATCTGCGGGTTGTCGACGAGAGTCGTCGGTGGCGGCGGCGCCATGGTGGGGCGGGCTGCAACAACACCTGCAGAGCGGTGGTTGCGATGAGAGGAACCGGGTCAAGGTGAATGATCTAGGTATGCGCGCACAGCATTGAGGGGTGGGACGGAGGTGGTTACTTCAAGCAGGCTGCGCTTGCTCATGCGGAAGGGGTAAAGGAATGGAGTTGGGAGAGGTGGAAGTGGACGGGATACGTTCCTAGGCAGGAAGCAGATGACGAAGGAAATTTGGAGTCGCCATCTGTACTTTTTTGGGCCTGTCTGGCCAGAAGGAGCTGGAGAAGGTGCTGGTACGACAGGGATCAGTGTCCCCAATCCGCCCACCATGCGGAGGCGCTAGCCTTGCCAGGTACCTAGGCATCTTAGCAGATAAGCTGCCCTACGGCGAGGCCAACGTGCCCGCAGTCACAGACGGTGGGTACCAGGTAGGTAGTTGAGTATTCGAGTATTTACGCATGTCCACACTACGGTGACAACGGATCCGACCTGTTTTGACACACTTTTCCTGTTGCTAGTGTAACTCAAGTACCTAAGTGCCTACTTCAAAGGGACCTAGGTACTTAAGTGGGTATCTGATACTATGGGTGTGCTCCACCAAGCTCAGTTATACGGTGGCCAATCCTACAGCATCCGAATTAGCTCATGGTCAGCCCTCTCAGACTTGAGGGAAATTCACGGTTCAAAACTTACCCAGACACATCTCTCCTCTAACCTCTTAGTAACTACAACATCTCCCCCCACCTGGATCTCTGCACGCTCGGCCTGGAGGAAGCCGTACCGGCCAAAGACGGGCGAGTACTTGTTGCCTTTGTCGACTCTGCGATCTTTCATCAGCTTCTTGAGAACTTTGCCGCTTTCGCCTGTTCCGGGCTTCCCCGTCGTGTAGTCGACATTTATCGACACGCATCGCCCGCAGTTCCCCGTCAGGGAGAGCCGCACGCCATTCTCAACCTCTAGCTCTCCCCAGTAGTCTTCGTCGAACGGTCCCTCGCCCTCAACGACTATGTTTGGCCGGAATTTCCGGATGTCCATCTCCTCGCCAGGTGGAAGCCTGCTGCTGACGTCGTTCAGAGATGTCTCAGTAGCTACTAGATATGGGGCGACACAGGTGAATGTGAGCCAGTGCGGATCTTCGCTAGAACCAATATAGCTCTTCATAGAAGACAGCCACCCCTGGTTTTGCTTGTTCTGCGCATGTGGCGACATCGTACCCAGCACCTGCCGTTTGCCGTCGCCGACATAAACGAGTATGGCCTCGAATCCCAACCATGAGCTGAACCACGAGTTATGAGCCTCGGGCATACGGTAACCCATGGTCTTGCTCTTGTACAAGTCGACTTCTATTTTCTCAAGCCCCGAAGTATCCGGTTCCAATGGTATCTCGAGTGTTGTTTCCTGCGCCGGTGTCGGCGCCGGAGCAGAATCTGGCAGCTGGTATCTCACAACGATGTTCCCATCACGAATTTCCGGGATGAATAGAGCACATGCCGGATACCTGACAACTTCCACTGGTTCATGCCAGTGGTTGCCATCACGGTGGACTCTCAGGAGCATAAATCGACGGTCATGCTGAACACCCTGCCTATCAAGATTCGCCTTTTGCAACGCAATGCCTTGCAGCGATTTGATTGGGTAAACATAGATCTGTCAAGGTTATCAAATGTCCTTCATCTTATCATTCTCGTGTCGAAAATGCTCACTTTTGTGATTTTCATGGTGTTTGATACGTTCAGCTTCGATGCAACTTAGAAGGGAAAGGGAAAGGCAGACCTTTCGACCATCTCGGGCTTACATAAGAGCTGCTTGTCAATGACTAGCTGCTTGTTCATGACTCCATGTCTGCCAGGCTCGGTGCCTTCCTTCCCGACCTAACCGAGCCGAGAAGACTGTTTTATGTCGCGAAGCATTTAATTGTCTTCAATACATTAAGCAGATACTAAAAACCTTACTTTTCACAATATTAAGTAATTTAATAAAACTACTATTATAATACTAATAGTTTTACTTCTATTTCACAAATATTTAAAGATAAATATAGTATTTTTAAATAAAAGTAAATAGTTAAATTTAATACTTGAATAATTTTGAAAGAATATAGTTATATAGTATAAAGGAAAAGTATAGTGTGGCTAAAGCTAGACACTATTAATATCTTTAAAAGAATAAACTAATCCTCAAGGCCACAATGTGTCTGTGGTCTTATAGGACTATCTTTGCCCCGATGAGATATGCGAGCTCCCAACGAAAAGGTTCCCAGGTTCAGGAAAGAGGGAAATCAGTGCCGGTCTTCGCTTGTCGCAACTTGCTCCATCGAGGTACGTGGCAAAGTCGGCAAAGCACCGCTTTCTGCCTCTTGCTTCTGCAGACCCCAGCGAGGGTTGTTTGCAATGACCTCTTCTAACCTCTTAAGCAGCAGGCCAACGGAAAGTGGGCCCACGATGGTGTTCAGGACGATGGCCCAAATAGCGACAAGGAAGGCCTCCCCGGACAGGAACGTGGTGTCGTTCAGGCCCAGTTGGATTATTAGCAAACCAATCTCGCCCCTGGCGACCATTGCCATCCCTAGTAGAGTAGCAGGAGCCCAGTCGCTTGGAATGCCACTCTGTGGCTTGATTTGATCTCCATGCCCGGACACAAGCCCGCCCCAGAGCGAATTGAGCGGGATAGAGAGGCCAACCACAGCCTGTCGTGATAACGGTGTGAGCAGAGTGACATTAAGCTGGCATCTAGATTAGAGGTGAAGTGGATCAATTCTTACCTTTCCAATCACCATGAGCAAGGACAGTGTGATACCACGCCAAACAACAGTGCCTGTCCACAGCCTCGTGAATGGGATAGCGAAACCAATGCTGGCAAAGAAGAGCGGTTCCAGTACAAGGGCCAGTGAACCTGATATGAAGGTCTCGAACGTCTCGTGGAAAGCCGGGGCTACCTTTGAGCCGTCACTCCCACTCTCAACAGCTTGGATTGGACCATGTGGAAGGGTACTCAAGAACGTGCCCGCTAAGAAAGCTCCAAACAGGACAGAAGCCCCGGCATAGCCACAGACAGCGAGGTGGGCCGACAGAACGAGTATCATGAGGCATATCGTGGCTCGGTGGCCACAGGCAGCTATTTGTCGCTCTACAAAGCGCCGGTACAATGGACCTGCGACGAATTTGGCTAGTAGGGGCGAGACAGCACCAATTGCGAAACTCGCAAGGATGGGTCTGCCCACAATCCAGCCGATGTTTCCTCCTCCACCCTTGCCAATCCGTCCGAGGTTTGATATGACGCTGATCATGATCAAGCCAACGACGTCGTCAAACAGAGCCGCAGAGATCAAGACGGTGCCAACCTTGGTGTGTGTGAAGTCGACATTCGGCGAGCTATTGATGACCACGAAAGTTGTGCCGATAGATGTGGTGGAGAGAGCAGCACCGATAATAAACGTCTCCAATGCTCCATATCCAAATCCGAGGAAAAGGAGCAGATAGCATAGAGCGATGGGCACAGTGATTCCTATGGCTGCAGCGACTGTGCTGAGCAGGAAATTAGCCTTCAAAAGATCGAGTCTAATTGTCAGACCGCCTTCAAAGATGATCAGGATAAGCCCAACATATCCCTACAGCATTTAGAGTCAGCCATAAAAGAAGCAAAGGAGTAGCTTTATGCTAATATAGCAAAGGGTGGGCAACAAGTAAGCTATAGAATGTCTCAAGAACTAGAGCCCTTCAAGTCTTTGTTATGTAGGCTAAAAACGTGGTATTTTTGTTCCTGAAGTGGTAAAGACTTTCCAGAAGCTGCTTACTTACCAAGGCCATAAAGGTCTCCTGCCAACTGTCCAGGATGTTGCCGACGGGAGCGCCGTAGAGGATGCCCACGATAATCTGGCCTATAAGACCGGCATGGATGGCCTTGTGGAAGATCCACCTCAAAGATGACAGGAAGAAAAAGAACGAGATCAAGACCAGAATACTGATTATATCCGGTTCTTGATATTGAAGGAAGCGGTCTTCGGCTCCAGCCATGCTTACTTGGGCTGAGCTGGACAGTCTCGCGCAGAAGGTGCTGCAATTAGCAGGGGTGCAGTAATCTCAGGGACCACGGCGAAAGGAAGCCCTGTAGAAGCCTCTGGACACTGAGTGGCAGGAGTCCTGTGTGAAGGAATGATCGTGAAGATGGTGGGGTTTGCTGTGATGGTGAGCCAGAGCACTTGAGCCCTGAGGTTTGACGACTGCCCCGGGGTGGCCAGGTCAGGGAGCACGATGTCTTTGTCTGTCGCGCCGGATTCTGCGTGAGATAGTGTTGAGTGTCAAAGACTCCATCGAGAGACGATATGAGCCGCAGCAGTGTCTGGACGTCTGGTCCTTGGAAAGGGGGTGGAAGCTCGGAAACTACAGTGTGGATGGGCCGAGAACCGATGAACCGTGAGCAATTGAAATGTACGCGGCTGGATTGTGGCCGTCGATCTTTGGACGGATGAGTGCGGTTTGGACTGATGAATTGTAGACAGAAAAAAACGACGTCCTCATGATTTGGTAGATAAGGAATTGAGTTGAGGTTGGCAATCGTGGTGGGGACTGAGTGGGCGAGTTATTTCCGCCCCCTTGTTCATGGCCGATTTCAACGACGCTTCTTAGCATGATGCCATTTGCCATTTCCCATCATACTAGAACCCCAACCCTCATGTGAGCAAGAGGCCTTATTAAAAAACTTAATTAGGCTATAAAAGTATTAAATATTCTTATTATTAAGATATAATATACTAATTAATTCTTTAATAATTTCTTAATTATAATTAAAAAAATTATATAATAATTATAAATATATTATTATTAATAATAAATATTATTATTATTAAAAAAAATTATATATAAATAAATAATAATAATTTATATTTTAATTAAAAGTATATTATTATTAATAATTATTATTATTATTATTTAAAAAATTTATATATAAATAAAAAATAATAATTTAATAATTATAAAAATAGTAGGCTGCAGTAAATTAACCACTATAAGGCTAGTAGGCCCGTGCATACACACGGACCAAGCTTAGTCAGCAGGTCTAACCAACCTAACTAGGCACTTCACCACCCAGCCAGACAGACCTCTAACTATCATTAATTCACATCACTTCACCCACTTACACATAAGCTAAGCCAACCGACACTAATTAGTTATCAACTAACTTCTAATAGTTAGGTATAGAAATTATCTAAACTACTTAAACATCAAGTCCTCTCAAAGAACGAATTAATAAAGCTACTTTACCGTCATAGTCTTTAATAAGGAGGACAAATCGGCAATACTACTATTACCGTTACAACCTTTTTAAAAGGCGAGTCGTCTAAGTTACCTAGGCGCAATCAACCACTAAGTAGGACCCCTTCACTAAGCAAGTCTTACAAGCAAGCAACTCTCTTACAATAACTCTCTCTCTTTCTCATAACCAATAATTCAAGCCTACCCACCAGACCCTCAAACTAACGTTTAGCTACATACCTACTAACCCTTATTTAGCTACCTATTAATTAACCTATTTACCTACCCTTACATCACCTAAGCAATCAACTAAGTAAGCAACTTTTTATACACTCTTTTAACTTCTCTCTCTCTCTCTCTCTTTCTCTCTCTCTCTCTCTCTCTTATAACACTTAAGTAAAATTACTCTAGCATTATAACTACTATAATCCTAAGTCCTTTAAAGATAAAATTATTTATAACTACTATAAGTATATACTAACAATACTTTTACCTATACTACCTTAATAAAAAAAAGAAAATATTTAAGTTAAAAAATAAAATAAAGAAGTATATTAATAATATTTATAAAGAGGAATATATAATTATAAAGTTTAATAATAATAAAGTTTAATAGTTTATTAATAACCTTATTAATAACTTATTTTAAAGTAACTTTAATAACTATTTTTAATACTTCTATAAGACTTTTAAGTATTAAAGTAATTATTTTAAGTAAATTAAGTTAGAACTTTTAAAGATTTTTATAATAACTTTTATTTAAATAGTGTTTATATTAAGTTAAGTAAGTTATTATTTAATACTCTATTTACCTTTATTTAAATACCCTACTTAAATAAAGAGAAGATACTATAACTACTTATATAGCTAATTAAATATAAGATAAAACCTTTAATTAAATAAAAGATAAAATTCTTAATTAAAATAAAGGATTAATAAAGTAAGTAATAGTTTATTATAGAAAAAGAAACTACTAAAAGGGCTAATTAGTTAAATATTAATAGTTAGTAACTACTTAGTAGATAGCTTAATAAGTAATTAATTAGTAATTTAAACTTAATTTTATTTATTAAAGTAATTTAAATTTAAGTAATTTAAATAATTTATAAAATATTGATTTAGAGTGTTTTTATAGTATTTAAATTAAGTGAATTATAATTATATATTTAGTGGTAATTCTAAGTAATTTAGTAATTTAGTTAGAAATTACTTTATTAATAAATAGAGTTTTTTAATTAGTTAGAAGGAAGGAACTTAATTTTAAAAGACTAAAAAGTTACTAATATAAGAATAGTAGGTTATAGTAGATTAGTTACTATAAGGCTAGTGGGCCTATATATATATATAGACTAAGCTTAATTAGTAGGTCTGGCTAACCTAACTAGGCACTTTACCGCCTAGTTAGGTAGACCTCTAATTATTATTAATTTATATTACTTTACTTACTTCTTATATATAAGTTAAGCCGATTATTAATAATATTATTTTTTTAAAACTTTTTAATTATTTACTTTTAATTTAATAATAAAATTAAAAAAATATAAATAATTTATAATATTATTTTTATAAACTATTTATATTTTTTAATTCTATTATTAAGTTAGAAATAAATAGTTAAAGTCTTAAAAAAATAAAATATAATATATTTTTTAAAAATTAATTTAATTAAGTTTATTATATAAAACTTTTTATAATAACTTTATAATTATTTATAATATTATCTATTATTAGAAGATACCTTTTTATACTAATATATTAGGCTATACCTATTGAAAGTTAAAGCTATTATAGACTATAAGCTACTTAGTTTTAACGCCGTTAAGCACTATATATAATATCGCTATATAACTTAAATATAAATATAAGTTAGCTAAAATAGGTAAAGATAAAAGCTACTATTCTTCTAATTAGGGTTCTAGTTTTACTCTATAAGTAAATATTTATCTATTAGCTTTATAAGTAAAACTACTTAAAAGTAGTCACTTAGTTAACCTATTAAACTAAGAGATAATTAAATAAGGTAATTACACTCTATTATCTAGGTTTATAGTTTTAATAGCTTTATAAAAAAAGAAATAACTATTAATAATTAAATCTATAACTATATAAAGATAGACTTTTACTTTAAAGAGAAGTTATTAATATTTAAAATAGTTAATATATTTTTAAAAAACTAAAAATTATAAGTTTAATTTAAAGTATATTAAGATTTATAAGAATCTTAAATTTAAAATTAAAAAATATAAAGCTTTAACTCCTTTAAAGATATTAAAGTTAGAAAAACTTAAAAAGAGACTTAAATAAAGTTAGAAATTAAATAAGGTTATAATAATATAATATAGTTAAATAAAAACTAATTATAAAATTATAATTATAAGTTTTTAACTTTATACTTAAAAGAGTTATTTAAATATATAAATATTAATTTATAAAAATTTAAAATAAAGAAATAATTTATAATATATTACCTTTAAGATTTCTATAATAAAATATTAAATCTTTTAAAAAGAGTTTTAAAAGTAATTTATAAAAAATAAAAAAATATAATAAATTTATTCTTTTAAGTTTATACTTTTATTATTAATAATTATTAACTCTTTAATAATATAAAAATATAATAAAAATAAAAAAAAGTAAATTTAAAATTCCTTTATATTTAAATTATAAGGATATATATAAAACTATTAAAAACTTTATATATAAGTTTTAAACTATTAAAGAAAAAATAAATAATTAAATTAAAAAATAGTTATATAATATAAAGAAAAAATATAATATAGTTAAAGTTATAATATATTATTTAAAAACTATTTAAACTCTCTTTTTATATACTTAAAGATTTATAGAAGGCCTTAAAGAGAGTAGTAATAATATAATACTTATATACTATTAGGAATACCCAATAGGTAGATTAGTTATTATGGTCTTTTAGCCGGGCAGTTAAGACGTGTGGCTAGCAGTCGCGCCTTCCGTTGCAGAGGGGAGCTAAGAACAGCCTTTTTAGTGGAAAATAGACGTGTGTGAAGGGGTTGGTGTGTGAGTGGATATTCTGACTTACTATCTTGAATCTGCATGGTTCGCATTCTCCTCGCATCCTACCTACATCACGGACCGAGCACCCCATATGTGAATGATCGACGGATATCATGCATCGAGTGTGATAAGACTCATGCAGGGCATGCTTACACCAGCGTTCCAGTTGCGTTAGCTTGAAATTTGAGGGCTGGGCATCAGTCATCTCACGCACTCGTCAGCGCATATATTTACTCAGACGATTCCCACTCAGCATTCATGGCCACTCGATATTCTGGGGGAGCAAAGCCCAAAGTCCAACTTGAGGAACACCAGAAATGTCAAATGAAGCAGAGAAGCTCAATGTCCGATCAATTGGCGATCTGGAGGACTTGGGCAATGTGATATTGGCCAGTGCAAAAACAGTCAAGTCCTTCCTCTTGGATAACAATTTGCCAACACTGTCTTTCTCTTCTGGTGCTCCTCCGAGCTTCCCCGACTGCCCTCAGCATGTGCGAGAAGCACGGAATCAACTTCTTGATGCGTCCAAAAAGATTCACCAGCTGGCTCTCGGGCCAATCGATCATCTTTTTGAATACATGTGCTCGGTGTGCCCAGCTCCCAGCTTTGTCCAATCCCGATTACATTTTATTACTGACATCTTTCCAGCACAACATCGGCAATGCGTTTCGCTGGGTCTGTCATTTTGATGTGCCTTCGTTCGTGCCTATCGACGGTGATATTAGTTACTCTGATCTGGCAGCAAAGACGGGCGCCAACCAAGAAATCACTCAACGCATGCTGCGCTACCTGATGACGAGCAATATCTTCCATGAGCCCCGACCAGGTACCTAGAGCTCTGTCTATGTCTGGACGGTTTTGAACTCTTCTGATAAGTAATTCATGCAACAGGTTTCATTGCTCACACTGCTGGGTCAAGTAAGAACATACTTCTAAAGTTTGCCTTTTTATAGAATCTCTGCTTTCTTCACACGTTTTCACAGCAAGATACTTACCGATACACACCAGAGCTCCTGACTGTCCCTGGGCCTCGAGATCTGACCTATTTCTCAACGCTTGAGTCTACCCAATGGGCCGCCTCGTACGTCGAAACTTTTGACAGGTGGGGCTACTCAGGGGAACCCAACGAGACTGCCTTCAACTACACGTCAGGAAGCCCTCTCCCTATATACAAGGCCTGGGACTTGGATCCGGTCAGGGGCCCTCGTTTTGCTCGCGCCATGGACGGGTTTCAGTCTTCCCACGCCTACCATACAGAACATATGGTCGCAGGATGGGACTGGCAAAGCCTACCACCGGGAAGCACCGTAGTGGACGTCGGAGGCAGCAGGGGTACTGTATCATACGCACTCGCCAAGGAATTCCCGGACCCGAACTTTATTGTTCAGGATCTGCCCGAAATTATCTCTGAGGCGCAGGGCAAGTTGATCGTGGAAACGAGTATTGCCTCGCGGGTCAGTTTCCTCCCGCATGACTTCTTCACTCTACAGCCTGTCAAAAACGCCGACGCTTACTTCCTACGCATGATCCTTCACAACTACTCCGACAAGTACGCCATCAAGATCCTCCATCAGCTGATGCCAGCGATGAAAAAAGGGCCAGGGGGGTCCAAGCTGTTGATTGCGGATCAAATCATGCAACCGATGGTGGGATGTACCTCTTGGGATAGTACTGGTGGCGGCAGTAACCGAATGCCTGCGGGTGATGAGAGTTGGATGCGATTCTTGGACTTGCAAATGCTCATCATGCTGAACGCCAAGGAAAGAGAGTTGGTGGATTGGGAAGCTCTATTCGAAAAAGCAAGCGAGGAACGGGAAGAGGGGGTGTTAAGGATTACAGGCCACAGAAGGCCAGCAGGGGGCGTTCACTCCATCATCGTGGTTGAGCTGCTTCCCCATGGAGTTGAGTGACATCTGGAAGCCACCAGTTGACATAGCACCGATACTGTCGCAACTGGTAGTAAACCCATTGACATCTCATTCAGGGATGAGAGGTAAATGGAACGGTTATTTGGATGCCCCCAAGCAACAGTCAGGCTCTTTCAGGCGGAGAAGCTGCTGTCCCTGTTTTTTAGTCAATTGTTTCGATGATTCCACACAAATCGATTGCAATAGGTTACAGACAAAACAGCAAGATGCAACCTTCTGATAGAGACACCCTAAAACTTCTTCAATCACGGCCAAACATCACATTCTTTCATGGGCCACGTATATCCCCACTTCATTACCGGAGTATTACCACGGCTGACTTGCCTCTGATCTCATTTTCCAGGAAGGAATACTACAGAAGTCTTCTCAATACTCTGCCACAAGACATTATCCAATAGCAGGTTCTTAGAAATTATCCTATGGGATTTTATTTATGGGAGACTATTCCGTGGGAGCACCTGAGATGATTTTATTGGAGTTTTGGTCACAAATGATGAGGCTGCGAGGTGAACATCTGAGAAGAGCTCGCAGACTTAAATCCCTAGTAGGTAGCTTCCGAGGTATGTAGGTTTGGGAGCACTTGAGAGTTTCGCCTGACCATCCAATTCCTAGAGGCTCAACTGTGATGTCGATCAATCTTGGGTGCCAGTGCAGCCATGTTGATACCGACAGGCCTGTAGGGTAAGGGTTCTTCGAGTGTAGCAAAGGCGAGGTTCTGGAGCATCTCGCACCTTGGATACCGCGGGCTGATTTGCTCTGTCCACCTTCATATTTGATTGAGCGAGCGAAGGGTCGGGCGCTCGCGGCGCCTCGAATATTAGTGATAACATGAGCCAAGACGGGGCTGAAACCGCATCGATAGCGTGTGAGCCATGCAGGCACAAGAAATGCAAGGTCGGTGTTGTCTTTCCCCGGCACGAGCAGCGGCGACTGACGATCGGATGCAATCCCGGCAGTGTGATCGCAAGCTGTAAGGACCGTGGCCTTCTTATTATATGGGCAAACACAGGGGCACTGGCTGACTTGTCTCGGAAGACCCACGTGCACGCAATGTGCCGGTGCAACGGCGAGCTGCCTTTATCCAGAAAAGCACCGCAGGTTGGTCTTTCCGGCCAGCACAGCGGCGGAGGTCACTGACGAGGACCCCTGACAGAGGCATACCCGCTGGATACGTGAATGCTTTAGAAAAGAGGCTCGCTGAGACAGAAAGGGCTCTTTTCGAGGCCCTTGCCGAGGCCCGTTTCGGCGCTCGCCGTGGCGCGACGGCGGTGCCTGCTATTGCCATGAGGCCATCCGTCCTTGTCAGGTCCACGCCGACGACGCAGCAAGAGAAGGCAGGATTGATGGCGGTTTGGGGCAACGCCCCGCTGGAAGAGCCCGCCCAAGTAGAGGCATGGTTTGAGGCGAATGCAGCGGAAGGTGGACCCCAGACCAGCGTAGATGTCGGTCAGGCTCAGACACATGACGATTCTCAGCCTGGCATTCCACCCTCCACAGCACAAGATGATGGCCAGCACCGACTCGGAGTACGTGCCCAGCGGACCCGTCGTGTCCCGAGGCAGTCCGAGTCTCGCATCAGCCGACCGAGCACGACTCCGCGGCCGGCTCTGCCAAAAGTGAGTAGGGCAAGCAAGTTCGTCAACGAGAATAAAAACCTGTACTTCTAATTTCGGTGCAATTGTGCTCATCTTTGAGGCATCTGACTTCGCGCCGACGGGGAGCAGTGGAGGGACTTCATGGCGACAGTCGAAGTATAGAGACGGGTTATACCCAGGTACCTAGGCTCAGCGCCCTGGGTGCTAAATGTGCCCCGCCATCTCAGCTCCGAGGGTGCCAGGCATTTGGAAACTCGGCGCCGCTCTCTCACATCGGCCAACCTCACTTGCATGTTTTCCAAGTACGATCCGCAACAACAACAACAACAACAACCCAAGCACATACATTGGGTGGCCACCGGACACGATGAGCGCCTCTGCAAGTCCGGACGATTATGAGGGCGATTGGTCTCAAACAGAACCACGTTCCCCCGCCGAGCGATCCCGTAAACGACAGCGCACCGCCGCCTTTCGCGATCATCAGAACCAGGAGACAGGCTTGATGAGAGATGGCGACAACCCGGGACTTCCTCGCTTTGTAGGTAGCAGCAGTGGCATCCACTTTGTTCGAACAGTCTACGGCATTCTGTCCCGCACTGGCAACCAACTCAGCGTCTCACACCTGGTACCAGGTGAAGACGACCAGCTTGACGACGCCCGCGAATCTGTGGCCGGGTCCCCGGCCACACCAGGAACCGGTGCCCGTACTCCTCTGTGGCGTTCCGATGAGGTCGTACAGGGTGGGAACCACAAGGCCTCGGACATCACCTTCGACACCTTAATAGCCTGGACAAAGAGTTACTTCGAGATATGGCATCCCGTCTTTCCGTTCCTGCATGGCCCCGAGGTAGTGGAGATCCTCGAGCAAGTCGCCAACAACGGCCTGGAGAATATCTCTCCTCAGGACGCAGCTATAGTGAGAGCAGTAGTCTCCATCTCATTGGCAGATACCCGCCAGTTGGGCCCTGGGACAGATCCTGGCCCAGGGCCAGTTCCCCTGGACCTCGTTTTCTCCAGCCTCGATCACTTGGCCTCATCCCTCCACTTTGTCTTGGGGACACCGGCTTCACTTAAGAATATGCAGGCCGCTCTCTGCGTCGAGCTTTTTCTTGTCAGCATGCTGAAATTCAACATGGCCTCCAGAATAGGCGGAGTAGCCGTGAGGATGGCGTACCACCTCGGCTTGCATAGATGCCCGCGTCGCTACCAGAACTTTAATCCACATGAGGTATCGATGAGAAAACGGATATGGTGGTCGTTTTACTGTCTGGAACGGCTGGTGTGTCAGGCTCTTGGCCTCCCACTGGATGTCCAAGATTCCGACGTCGATGTCTGCTTCTCACACGATGTGGAATATCACCAACAAGCTAATAGCGAAGACGAGCAGTACGAAGATGAGTCCAATGGCATGCCGTTCCAGTTATCTCGGTGACATCATACTCTATGGCTGACATTGTAGTCGAGGGTCAGCTCAGTTAAAGCTCCTGACTCTTCTGTCTAAACATGCGCAGATCAGAGGCATGATTCTGGAGCTGCGTCACAAGAGCCTGCACGTTAGACAAGATACCCTTGATCGCTCATTGCTCGTTCAATCGAAACTTACGAGGTGGACAAATGTTGTTCATGAGAGTTATGAGTCCCTCACTGGCGAACAAACAGACGATGAAGATCAACCAGGGCCTGTGGCAGCAGGACAGTCCGGCGTTGACCGCACAGCTCCCTTGTATCACCCTTTACTCCTGATTCTTCAGCATGAGTCTACAATTGCGCTCAACAGACCACTCCTGGCCAAGACGCCTCGGACGTCTGCCTCTCAAGCCGCCCTTGAGGCTTGTATTGGCGCTTCGAGGGGGATCCTGGAAACAGTGAGTGACCAACAGTCGGACTGTGCCGGCCGTGCATTTTCGGCTGCGCTCATGGTCTGGCCCTTATTGACGTGGTCTGTGTGGATGAGCTGTTTTATTCTCAGTTACGCTGCACTAGAAGGTGTAACCAGTATTTCGTCCGCCCTAAGGTCTGTTAAGCGGGAAATTCACGTCTTGAACGCGCCTATTCGGAAAGTCTTAGCCCGCTGACCAGTTGACCAACCCCCATGGTACAGATATGCGAGGCGGACGCTTCGAATACTCGGCGAGCTCTCCAAACGGGGCACCTCGTGGCCTGATTCTTGTGCCCAGGCAGTAAAGCATCTAATTACGGCTCTCGAACAGAGGAAGTCAAAACCAGATGCTGCGCCCGCTCCCGGCGAGAAATCTTCTGCCACTGGCCCAGCTCATCCAACGGACCGCTCTACACGATCTTCTGGCAGAAGGAAGGGCAAAGCTATTGGGGACGCTATCAGAGAGGCCCAACAAGATGACGAGAGCCAGGCCACGCCAGTCGGCCAGACAATTGCGAATGGACAGCGTATCAGCACAGCATACCAACCTAACAAGCTTGGCCACGGTCTGAGGCCTTCGGAATCCGCTAGAGGGCAAGTGCTTGATCTGTTTGAGCCAAACATGTCTTCTGCATGCAACTCTCCCAGCAGACCACCACGAGCATGATGGCTAACTTTGCTGACCAGTACTCCATTGGTTGCCCAGCAGCCCGAAGTCGTGAGTTTCTATGGCATGGCACCGGGGTCCACCGGCTGGAACCCAGGAATGACTGCTACAGACCCGTATTTTATGCCGGAAGACATCACGGATTTCATTGAGAAGGAATGGTGGGACCCTCTTGGCGCCCTGGATTTCTCAAACTTTGCACAAGCTAGTAGTGCAGACTCCACGACCGGATTCACATTCTACTAGTACTGATAATCTGAGTCCGGCCCCATGCTTCCTAGCCTTGTCTGCGCGGCACGAGGCTGAAGCCACAGGCCCAGTCTTCTAACAGCGGTGTTGGCATCGTGTCTTTTTAAACGCTGGATCTTTCAGCGTTTACCACTCTCCGGGCTGTAAAGGGACCGTACGCCTTCGGGATGTGTACGGATTAAGAACGAAACCACACACCACCTATAATATCAAATCCCCGCTGATTTAACTTTCCACGACGCGGACTCGCCTTACTTCTTCCCATACAGGCTTCTGATCTCGTCACATACGGCAGCGGTGACATCAGCCGTCTTTGCGTTGCCGCCAAGGTCGGCTGTGACGATCCCCTTCTCACAGTCCAGCTTCGGGAGTTAAAATTTTCCTATTTTAGTAAAAGCTTTTCCTTTAAATAGTATATTATATTAATTATATATTTTATTTATATATATTTAAATAGTTTTATTTTTAATTTTTATATTTTTAAAACTTTATTTTTATTATTATTATTTAAAGTTATTATAAATATAAAAATATAAATATAAATATAAATATAAATATAAATATAAATATAAATATAAATATAAATATAAATAAATATAAATATAAATATAAATATAAATATAAATATAAAATATAATATAAATATAAATATAAATATAAATATAAATATAAATATAAATATAAATATAAATATAAATATAAATATAAATATAAATATAAATATAAATATAAATATATTAAAATATAAAATTTAAAATATAAAATATAAAATATAATATTTAATAAATTAATAAAATATTTATTTAAACTTTTATATATTTATTTAATTATTTATTAAAGTTATATTAAATTTTATATTTTATATATTTTATATTTTATATTTTAAAATATAAAATATAAAATATAAAATATAAAATATAAAATATAAAATATAATTATTATTATTATTATTATTATTATTATTATTATTATTATTATTATTATTATTATTATTATTATTATTATTATTATTATTATTATTATTATTATTATTATTATTATTATTATTATTATTATTATTATTATTATTATTATTATTATTATTATTATTATTATTATTATTATTATTATTATAATAATAATAATAAAAATAAAAGAATAATTAAATAAATAATTAGGTAAATAACTAGAAGGGTAGGTGGGAGGGTGGGTAAGTCGGCTGGCCAGCTATTGGCTAGCTGTTGGCCAGCTGCAGGGCGCGGCCGCACGGGTTAATCCGCTAGAGACCTTTAACAAAGCCTATAACCACCATAGGGTAGGGTACCTCTAAGGTATATAAGAACGGGATAATGGGTACCTAAGAATCTGGACCACTAACTGAAACTGAAGCGCGAAGAATAAAGTTAAACCTTTACGTTTATTAATTTACTAGCAAAGGCTACTAAACTTACTACAGAGAAAAATTGCCGCCAACATTAAAGATAAGCCGCGAAGAATAAAGTTAATATTTGCGGCAAATCTTTTCAAGTACCTGCTTATGTACCTTCTAGGTTACTTCACCTGGCCCCTTCGCCTTCTAACCTGCCTAGCCCTTCCAACCTGCCTAGCCCTTTCAACCTACCTAGCCCTTCTAACCCACCTAGCCCTTCCAACCCGCCTAGCCCCTCTTATCTACCCTCTTATCTACCCTTTTATCTACCTTTTTATTTACTCTTTTAACTACTTTTTAACTACTTTTTTAACTACCCTTTTATTTATTTATTTATTTATTTATTTATTTATTTATTTATTTATTTATTTATTTATTTATTTATTTATTTATTTATTTATTTATTTATTTATTTATTTATTTATTTATTTATTTATTTATTTATTTATTTATTTATTTATTTATTTATTTATTTATTTATTATTTATTTATTTATTTATTTATTTATTTATTTATTTATTTATTTATTTATTTATTTATTTATTTATTTATTTATTAAAATATATTTTAAAATATATTAAATTAAATAAAACTTTTAATGTAAATAATTAATAAAAACTTAAATAAATATTAAATAAATATTAAATAAATATTAAATAAATATTAAATAAATATTAAAGTTTTATATTAATTTTATTAAAATTATTAAAGATATTAATTAATTAAAATTAAATTTATAAATTATATTTTTAAATATTTTATTTATAATTTTATATATATATAATTATAATTATAATATTATATTTAAATAATTATAATATAATATAATTTTTATTTTATATATATTTAAATATATATATATTAATTAAAAATATATATTAATTATAATAATATATAATAATATAAAATATATTTATTTATTAAACTTTTATTATAAATAGTTTAAAATTATATAATTAATATAATAAAATAATTATTATTATATAACTTAATTTCTTTTTAATAATATTTATTTATATAAAAAGTTAAATAAACTATTAAAATAGGTAAAAGCTTCTATAAAAATAGGAAATCTTTTACTCCCGAAGCTGAAGAGACGTGCTCCACGGCATCCAACAGCTTGGTGCTTGCATCCTTTTCCCCGATCCATGCCAGCATTTCCGCACTAGTCCAGAATGTGGCAACAGGGTTAGATATTCCCTTTCCGGTGATGTCGAACGCGGAACCGTGGATGGGCTCGAACATGCTGGGATTTTGGCGGGTTGGATCCAGGTTTGATGTTGGCGCGATCCCTATGGACCCAGCAAGCGCGGCTGCCAGATCAGAAAGGATATCCGCGTGCTGAGACAAGGTCAGATCTAGGTTCAGCCCCCGCGAGGAGATGTGCTTACCAAATTCGTAGCCACGATGGTGTCGAGTGACTCGGGCTTCAGAACCATCCTGCAAGTCATAGCATCTACCAGCATCTTATCAACAGTAACATCAGGAAAGTCCTCGGCCACTGATGCGGCGACCTCGTCCCAGAGGACCATCCCGTTACGTTGGGCATTGCTCTTGGTCACGACTGTGAGGAGCTTCCGCGGCCTGCTCCGCGCCGTCTCGAATGCGAACCTCATGATCCTCTCCACTCCGTGGCGCGTGAACACTGCCACCTCGGTGGCGGTCTCCCAGGCCTGCCCGCGGTGGCTACGTCCGCCCTGCCCAGCATACTCGCCCTCAGAGTTCTCGCGGACGATGACCCAGTCGAGATCACCGGAATTGCAATTCCTCAGAGGCGACTGAGTTCCTCGGAAGACCTTGGTCGGTCTTACGTTGGCATATTGCTGGAAAGGTTGACATATAGCAAGCCGGAGGCCCCAGAGCGAAATGTGGTCGGGAACGTCTCCGGATTTGTTAGCAAAATTGAAACAAACCCTAAATTCAGCGACAGACAAGGTGAATTAATTACCTGGGGCGCCGACGGCGCCAAACAGAATGGCGTCGTGCTTTTTCAACTCATCGAGTCCGCCGTCGGGGATGTACTTTCCTGTTTTCTTGTACGTGGCAGAACTCCAGTCGAAGTGAGTGAAGTCAATGTCAAACGACCCCAGCGTTTCTGACAGTGTCTTCAGGACTGTGATGGCGGCATCAACAACCTCGGGCCCGATGCCGTCCTGGAGCCTCGTCAACAAGTCGTCCCGCGCGAGGGAGGCGGCCCAACTGGAGGTACTCACCGCTGGGATGGAGGCGATGCTGTAGCTCTTGGGTGCTGGGGCAGCTGAAGGGGACATGTTCACGGTCAACACAAGGTTACGGAGTAGCTTGTCTTCGTATGTGGGGGTTTTCAAAGAGATGTCCTCGTCAGTCGCTTCTTGCCATACACACATTATATACGACCGGTTGTCAGGCCGGGGCGGGGTGGTGGGGGCGGCGGGCGGCGGGCGGCGGGCCTGTTCCGGCAGCGGCCGGGCAAAGGAAACACCGTGAGGGCCCCGTCAACCGGTCCCTGTCTACGGCATTGCATACTTCCGCCTCCAACGTCCGACAAGCCAGCAACGACGTGCGGTTCAATGCGTTGTGCAACGATCCGAGTCCGCCGAATCCTCACGGCCGAGGCAGCAGGAAACATGTCGATTGCATTCGGAGATCACTGTTCTCCTCGGAGCATTGAGCTTTCTCACCGGCAGGAGTTAGTACTGTGCCTGCATCTCAACAACCGCCAGCTCCTGCATTCATTCACATGCGGCCCCAACCTGGGCCCGCAACGCCGCGCCCCCCCCCCCCCCAAACGCGCCAGGCTCGGCTCGTCTTATATGCATACGTGCTCGGATCTCGCTGCAGCCCGCGCTCCTGCTTGACGTCTTCGTGTTGTAAATGGGTTTCTACGCGTACAAGCAAGTCCCCCCACTTATTGGCAGCTCAAAGCTGGTGCTCACATATGACAGCCACGACAACATGGAGGATTGCGGGTCGACAGCGGGCAGGAAGCGGGCAACATGACCAGCCCGGCTGCCCGGCTGTCGTCATCCCACGCGTGCATACGGATACACAGTAACGTACCCTCAAGTGCTACCTCCCATGTTGGTACTTGAGTGGGTAGGGGTACTGTCAAGTACCGCCCTAATCCTTCCCCTGAACGTTGCCTTGGTTTTAGCTGGTTAGCATTGGGGCAGTAGGGGTGACGGCTTCTCGTGTTTAGCCAGTCAGCCAGTCGAGCGCCGTCACTGCCCTACCACGGCATGTGGCGCAGCCGTGAGCACCGGCTGTTGCGCTACCAGCGCCAAGTCCTGGGGGAGGGGAGGGTTCCAGGAGACAGTCGTATCCGTAGAGCTAGTCGAGACCGCCCTGGGCAGCTAATAAGGGAGTTAGTTGCAAATCACCATGCCGCTGCGTAACGTCCCGGAAGCCAATGGCCTCACCCTGGTCTAAAGCCACGAGATATTGGCCTGGCTCTGGCGGCCCCCGTCATTAGCACCCACAGTGGGGTCATCCGCCATGGAAATCCTGTGCTCGGGGCGATGCCCCGACCGCTACTCGTGGCGGGGGATGGCTAGGTAGTAGTAGTGCACGGAAGAGTAGACTAAGTAGACTAAGTAGACTATTTCATCTGCCCGTTGGCCTAGGCATTCCTGCTCCTGCCCAGATCCCACTGCCGACGCTGTCGACACTGTCCGTTCTTGAGGCTTCCACGGTTCCTCACAGCGTTTTGCAATTCATCAACGATGGCGAGCAGCGAACCCCCCGGGGATGCAGCGGGTGCGACGCCTCCAGCACCCCGACCTCCGGCCACCGAACCGTCGCCCGGTTCCTCTCCGCCCGTGCAACCCCCGGCGGCAGCGGCAACAGCAGCGGAAGCGGCACATGCAGCCAGCGGATCAGCAGGCGAGGAGGCGGCGGTCGAGGAGACGGGCTTACTGCCTCCCACGCATTGGACGGAACTGGCGGGACAGGTGGGTGCCACCTTGGGCAGGCTGAGAGGCATACAAGCAGAGAAGCATAGAAGCATGTGACGCTGAGATCCGGAACAGCAGGACCTGGACGAAGACAACGACTCCGCCTTCGGGGACACGGCCAGCTCGACAGACTCCATCACCTCGAGCATCCTCGAGTACAGGACCATCCACGGCCGGACATATCACAGCGACAATGTGGGCCTCAATGCGCAGTACTGGTGCGAGACACCCCATCCCGAAGTCCCCGCTGCTCCGACCCCCCTCTGTGTCTTGGCAACTGACTTGAACCTTGCTTTTCGACGCCAGGGGCTCCAACGATGAGATGCAGAACGAGGCCATGGATATCAAGTGGGCAATATCAATCCTGGTAACACCATCCACCAAGGGCGAAGGGCAACCTTTGGCTGATTACCGCGTCAATTAACAAACAGCCACCACTTCCTGAGCCTCTGCTCTGACAACAAGCTCTATTTTGCCCCGCTCCGAGACAATGTCCAGGTACGGCCCGGCCCTGCGGCACAGCACGGCGGATCCACGGATGCCACGCTGACCCTCGCTTACTAGAAAGTCCTCGATGTTGGTACCGGAACAGGGCTGTGGGCAATGTATGGCCCCCGATCCCGCATGCCTGGTGCATGACCGTTGCATTACCGGTGCATGACTGTTGCATGAGTGGTGCATGGCTTACAGATGCCTTCACAGAGACTTCGCCGACGACCACCCCGAGGCAACTGTCATCGGCACCGATATCTCCCCGATCCAGCCCAAATGGGTGCCCCCTAATCTGAAGTTGTAAGTCCTCCTGGCCGTCACTCAGCGTTGGCTGCGACCATGTACCCTGACCAAGAAATCCCCCCCCCCCTGCAGCGAGATCGAGGATTGCACCTCAGAATGGACCTTCCACGCCAATGAGTTTGACTACATCCATCTACGTTACCTCGTCGGCAGCATTGTCGACTGGTCTGCGCTATTCAAGGAGGCGTACAACGCTGCGAAACCAGGCGGCTGGGTGGAGAGCTTCGAGGGCTCGCCCCACATGGTCAGCGACGACGGCTCGGTCGCCGACAAGTCGGCCATCTCCCAGTGGGGCAAGTTCTTCGAAGAGGGCGGAAAGACCCTTGGCCGGACGTTCCTGGTAGTTGAACAGGGAATCCAGAGGAAAGCCATGGAAGAGGCCGGCTTCGTTGACATCCAGGAATGGGAATTCAAGGTGAGCCCGTCGTCATCGGGTGGGAGGCAATCGGATCTTGACCCAGGATCTTGTAATGAACCATGACTGACCAGCAACACCGCAGGCTCCTGTTGGCGGCTGGCCCCGCGACAAGAAGCTGAAGGAGATAGGGCACTGGGCGCAGACCGCTCTCGAATCCGACATCGAGGGCTACGTTCTCTTCATTGCCAATGTCATTGTCGGCTGGAGCAGGGAAGAGGTTCTGGTGTACATTGCTCAATTGAGGAGAGAGATCCGCTCGAGCAAGAACCACTCCTACTTCAAGTTGAAGGCGGTGTGGGGCCGCAAGCCAGAGTAAAAGCCTTGATTTCTTAGTCCATAACTGGGGCGGCACTTTGTACTTGCACATATCGTATACCCGAACGCAGCTCTGGGCAGAGCGGGCTCAGAGCGTGAGTTGTGAACTTATGGGATGAGATCATGACCATGACATTTCAAGATAATTAAGCGAACCTTATTTTATTGTCCGCTTTGTCTGCCCAGTTACTTGTATATACCCACTTTGTATGATCCTTCTAGATGAAGGGGGGCCAAGGGCTACCAATTTCTCGCTAAACATGCACCAGACTCGGGAAAGCCTTGGGTTACTTGCAGTGAGTCTTCGAGGGATTGTCCCGAGCTCAGTGTCATGTAGAGTCTCAAACAGTGTCTGAATCCGTCGCCAATATCGATTTCAACCCAAGGTCAAAATCTCCCGCCTGTGACTCTTGGCCGAAGAAACTGGAACAAATTCATTAATCATTGCGTCGAGGAAAAAACCTTTAACATTGTTACTCACCTCCGAATCATGATATTAAAGCGCTTGATGTCTCCGAGATTGAGAGGCGCCGTATCATTCTGCACCCTGCCACGATACGTGGGGACCAGGTCCTCGAACCTAACTACGGCCTGGCCATAACGGTCATCCGCCGCAGCAGCCGCGTCCCGAGGGGGCAACTGGAAGTCATGCTCCCAGCTGACCGTCGCCTGCTCGACCCCGTTGACAGGCGGGAGCACCGTATCCTTCACATTGAGCGTGTACGTCTTGCCGTCCGTGTACGGCACCTCGATGATGAACCTGTCGAAGGCGGAGAGGTCCGCCCCGGCCCACCCGTCGACGGTCCGCTGCGATGCGAACCCACTGCCGTTGAGCGCCTCGTAGTCGAGGTTGCCGGAGAACCTAGCGATGGCCTCGTCGCCCAGCAGGTTCCCGGGCGAGCCGGGCTGGATCACTTCGAGGCGGGACCGGCTCAGGCCGCCGCGGATGCCGTCGTCTGATGCGATCCACTCGCTGGCGTTCCAAGGGTGGAATAGTGCCAGACTGGCCCCGTGGACTCCGGCGGCGTGCAGGACAAGCACCGCGAGCGAATGCTGGGAATAGTACATGTCGATTGTTTGCTTGGATCGGTAGAGACACTACAGACTGCGGACCAGGTTCGCTCTGACCTAATAAATAATATTGGTTCTGAGCAGTCCCTCCTTTTCTCAAAATTAAGCTAGCTTCTAATTTTGACTCCGCTGCCGAGACTGGTTCTCATGATTCAAGACGCTGCGCCTGCGCACTCGGGGTGATGGCTATCCCGCGGGGGTGGATCCTGGTACGTTGTGCCTCCGACGGTACAGACAACCCGAGATGGTCTTCTCAGTCAGAGCATTTGAGATATCACGGCTCACCTGTTCAAATTCTGGCTTGAAATACGATCTGTATCCAAACCTAGAAGATTGACTTCATGATCATTGAGGCGCTGGGCAGTCATTGCCAAGCCAAGTTATGTCTACATTGCTTTTCAACTAACAATCGGCATACACCGTAATTCAATGTCTCGGTTGAACCATGCTTGCTAATATGCTGTGTGTATTACCTCTTGGCATATGCTTACATGTTCGAGACCGCTGACCATACTGCTGGCTTGCCTCGACAAAGTGCATGGGCCCGCAGCTACCTGGCCAGGTGCACGAACGACCATGTAACACGTCACTGATTTCTGCTGACTATGAAGTAGGTGCCGCCGTCTCGGTGCACAATGGCTTGTATTGATTTATGGTGCTGAGATGTTAGTCTTGATGAGGCATCGTGGCGGGCGCTAGGACGGCTCCAATCTGCTCAGCCGTTCGGATGACCTCAGCTCGACCTCAACTTTCAAAAGCAAAAAGTAGTAACCTGCAGTATCAGCTGGGGCTGAGGTGTTTGTGGCATAGAGAGGCAGGCTATAAGACTCTAGGGTACCTAGGTATTTCTGCAGCACAGAATCTTGCCATCTTTTCGAACACCGATAACCTGATTTCTGCCCGTCGCTCACCGTCTCGATTTTCAAATCATAAACCTTCATCTTTAATCGATCGTCTAGTCATGAAGATGATTCGCTCGTGCCTATCATTGCTGGCTCTAGCTGCTGCGGCCACGGCGGCCCCTCGTCAGCCCTCTCCGCCAGCCCTGAGCTACTTATTCTCGCTCAACATCACAAGTGGCCAGGCTATCCCTATCGGGCCAACTCCGTTGGGAGATAGGGTATTCGAACCTATTGTCGGTGGATCCTTCTCTGGGCCCAAGCTTTCAGGTAAGTCCAGTGAGCGAGACAGAGAAGCAGCTTTCTCGCCCCCTGCCGAAACAGATTGCTAATCCAAGATTGATGTATGTAGGCACTGTAGCTTCTGGCGGTGGTGATGCACTTCTGACTGACGGCAACGGGTCCGTCAATCCGGATGTCGTGTACGTGCTTCAGACACACGACGGAGGTAACATACTGGTCCGAGAAAAGGGCCACGCGCCGAACCTGTTCCTACTGTTCGAGACCGGCAGCGACAAGTACGACTGGCTTAACTCGGTCGTTGCGTATGGGCAAGGTTCGCAGATCCCTGGTGGGGTATCACTCAGTGTTTGGCAGGTCAGTGCCCCTTGAATTTTCCATAACATTCCTATATAGGAGTGTTTGTGCCGAAGAGAGTGAGTGCTGACATATTGAAGGTGGGCACATACCATTGAAAAGGTTCTGGCCGCTGGCTTGTGGTTCATGGCTGAGGGCCGGATAGTGCTTTGTCATTCACCTATGTAGCAATCTACTTAATCATGAGCGGTGGAAAAGTACTAGTTTATATTAATAAGAGGTCAGACAAACCCATAGAGCGCTATGCTATAGACGTCCTAGCTAAAAGACCACAATTTAAAGTAACTTATAACTTAGAGTCTAGTATTTATTAACCTATATTATTATAAGAAAGAAACTTTAAGAATTATTTTATAAAAAATAAAGTTTTATATTATATATAAATATATATAAAGTATTATTATTAATTAATTAATTAAATAACTTATAATATTATATTATTAAATTTTATATTATATTAACTTTTAATAATCTTTATATTTTAAAATAATAAATATTTATAAAGTAAAAGATAAATAATATAAAGTATTTTTTATAAAAATAAAGCTTTATATATATTATAATTTATTTAATATATTAATTTAATTATAATTATTATATTTTATAATAATTTATATTTTTAAATATATATTTAATAAATTACTTTATATAAATACTTTATATATAAAAATAAAAATAAATATAAATATATATTCTTTACTTTTATTATATAAATTATTACTTTTAATTTTATATTATAACTTTTAAAAGTATTTAATTTTAAATAAATAAAAGTATTATATAATATAATAAAGAAAATATATTATTAAAAGTATTATTATTAAAATTTTACTTTTATATTTTTATAATTATAAAATATATATTATTATATTAAATTAAAATAAATAAATATAATAATAATTTTTAATAACTTTATTTTTAATATAAACTATTTATTAAATAATAATAAATAATAAAAAGTTTTAAAAAATATATTTATAAATATTATTTAAAGAAATTAAAAAAGTAAAATATAAGTTAAATAATTTAAAGCTATAATATATTATAGTAGATAGACCGCTAGCTTATTAAAGTAAGTCGACAATTATAAAATATAGGTATTTTATTAGGTAAGCATTATATTCCCTCTGCACTGCTATTGTCATTATATCTTTTAAAACGCTGGGTATTGAGCGTTTACTATTGTATGAAGGCGCTACATATGTTTTATATGTATGGGGATAGAAACGAACTAACCCACTTTGTTGGGTAAGTTAGGGACATCTGAGTGATACTGACTTCCACACGAGAAGCTGTCCGGGTTTGAAAGAGCGTCTTCCACACAAGCCACTTTTGGGCGATATCACATATTATGGATAATTAATGGATCCCTTTGAGCTAAAATGAGTGTGGTTTGCCAGCGTGCTTAAATTTCCCCGCAGGAGAGAATTCCTGCAACACAGACGATGTTTCAAGCGCTAAATAAACGCGCTGGAACAGAAACACGGACACTCAGGAGTTGCCCAGGGCTACAGGACGGTGGTAATGGGGCGGGGCAACACAGGCCAAAAATAGAAGCTAACAGAAATAATGCACTGCCTTGACTCGTCGTGAAGGGCACTGATAAATAGGTTGACCTCGAGTAAACTCTGCTGGGGATTACTTTTACCTGCGGTGGCCGGCGCTGACAGTGTTGGGAATAAACTCGATGCTCTTGACTGAAACCCACCCTACTGGGCAGCAAACAGAAACGCCATTCCGGAACTAAAGGTCGATCATGGCACTGAGCCTGTCCAATGATTTGGTTCCCAGGTTGTATTTGCAATTAATAGTACTTTCGTTGGCGCTGTCCTGTCACGGCGCAATGCATTATCACTATCGCATGATATGGTGATCGATGTTAGGTGTGGCAGCCATTAGACTAAACGCTTCTGGGCCGGTGGTGGCTCGTTCTAGCCTTTCTGCCCCGCGAAACTGTCCCCCCCATATTGAGTCAACCTTAATGTCGTGCTCGGGTCGGCCGTCTCCCGGGGACTCTTTGAGCGGTGGCGTGGGGTGAGAAAAACTTGGTACCGCAGATGGTCCAAGGAACTCCCGGAACCCGGAGGGATGCTTGCCTGTGGCCTGCGACAGTTTTCGGGTTTTAGGGGGGGAGCAGGCGCCGAGATGGGATGGCGCTGTGGATTGGGTTGGCTCCAGCTGGGGGAAAGCGTAGCACAGCACAGCACAGACAGCAGTCCGATGTCCTCGTTGGGGTGTCTCCGGCGCCCCTTATCATACCATGTGTGGTCATGCCCTCTGGCGGTATCGGTTCTGGTTTCTGCTTGGTCTTGGCGACGGTTGGACTGGGCGCTGTTTCGACGAAGTCATTCGACGGCTCCAGTCTCCTCTTGGCTCGCTCACGCTCGCTCACGCTCTCCCCAAAATGCCAAGGCCAGAGCTGCAATAAGGCTCGATTGAGCGTATTGTGGATGGAGTCCCCGAAGTCATGGTTCGGCACGTCGATACCGAATGCAAGGAGATAATCATGGATGGCTAGAACTTTGAACTCGTGCATATGTTGTATGCTTTCGTATCAAAACGAACGCCGTCTTTCTGGCGTGCACGGGTGCGGCGCTCGCATATCGTTCGTGTGCCGCAGATCTCCAGGACAAGGAAGCTTATCGTTTTTGGGGCAGCGGCTCAACTGTTTCAGCCCGGTAGCATCATGGACATCCTTCTTGGCAATAGAAGCTCGGGACAATGCAGGTCATATAGTCATGAGGGCCCTGGAGGGGAGGCAGTTAATCATAGAAGACGATCTCTTGCGACCTTGCTGGCATCGTCAAAGGTCACCGCCGTGCCTCCCGTCTGTGTATACCCGTAGCTAGCCGGGTGCTGCTACTTTTTTGCGTTCAGTTAAATCCTGTTTGGAGACCACTTACATACGTGGTCATGGGCTTCAACACGAGAGCGGCCGGCCTGCTCGGGCTCTTCTCCTTCTCGTTGGCTGCGCCGGCTCCACAAGTTGGCGCTCCTCCTCCAGCCGGCAACAATGCCTGCGCGGCTGTCTCGCAGGCTCAGGCCCAGCAGATGGCCGCGAACCCTCGAGGTATGTCATGAAGCACTAGGAGTCGAGCAGTGTACGATAGCCAGCCAGTCGCGCTAACTCACCCTGCACAAAGCTGTTGCGAGGGTACCGGCCTCAACAGCCTTCGCATGCCTCCAGTCCGTGCCAAACAAGCCAGCAGAAGCCGCAAAGCTGATCGCCAGTACCAAGGCCTACGCCCAATGGCAGAGTACACTTGCATGGCTCAAAGATCCACCACCTTCCTACATGCTTCCGCCTACGGACATCCAAGGCGGGCTTGACGCTATAGGTGCCAATGCCACGGCAGGAAGGTTCCAAAGCGAGTTCGAGTTCCAGTCTGCCATGATCCAACTGGTTGCATCAGCACATGACGGCCACTTTGCGATCCGCCCAGACATGTTCAAAGCATTCAGCTTCAGGAATGACCTTGCCACGGACATCGTCTCCGTGTCAGTTGACGGCAAGCAGGTGCCAAAACTCTACAACCTCGGTCAGTGTTGAACCTCAAAGCCGTCTCAACTTTGCTAACTTCCCGTCAAGGCGTCCTCAATGGCACAGCATCGATAGGAGGCACAAACCAGACAGCCGTGAACAGCACGAACGGAATGCCACCAGCAATAGTGAAGATCAACGGCCAAGATGCCGCACAAGTCATTGAGGAGCAAGGCTTGAGGTTCATCAACTTCCAGGATCCCGATTCTCAGTGGAACTCACAATTCCAGTCGTACGCCGTGCCCACAGCGCGGACCGCACTGGCCTCGTCGATCTTCTTCCTCGGCGACTCGGTGACGCTCGAGTATGACAACGGCCAGAAGGTGACACAGGAAAGCTACGCCCTGATCCGACCAACGGCAGATTTCACGGGTGTGAACACCGGGGAGGACTTCTACCAGAAGTTCTGCAACCCAGCCAATGCACCACCGCCCACGGCGGGAGGTGGAGGCGGCCAGCCCATGCAGCCGCCGACACCACAGCCGCAGCCGCCCCCGGGTACATTGCAGCCGCCGGCGCCGGCGATTCCTGGATTCCCCATGCCCGCGATCCGTGACAGTGGGGCCAACATCACAGCCGGGTATTTCCTCCAAGGCGCGGGATACGAGGACACGGCCGTGCTATCGGTGCTGGGCTTCTCGCCCGAGGGAGACTTCGACATCCTCGAGTACGTGGTCAACTTCCAGAAACTGACCGAGAACTTCCTGGCCATGTGCAAGCAGGCGGGCAAGACGAAGCTCGTCGTCGACGTGACGGGCAACGGTGGTGGCCTCGTGGCGGCCGGTTTCGAGCTGTATGCGCAGCTGTTCCCAGGCACGCCGCTGTTCCAGGCCAACAACATGCGCCTGACAGAAAGCATGGAACAGATGGCCAAGATCTCGGCAGCATTGCAGCCCGAGGTCCTGGCGCTCGACCTCAACACGCTGTCCCCACAGAACGCGACGCAGAGGCAGCTCGCGCTCGCAGCGATCTCACAGAGCAGCGTCATCAGCAACCTCGTCCCGGGCGGCGTGTTCTCCGCCGGCGGTCAGGTGAATCTGACCTCGACGGACCAGATCATCTCACCGGTGACCATCAAGGGTGACCGGTTCACGTCGTACATCAGCACGCCGCTGAACGACACGGCCTCTGACTTCAACCTGACGGGAACCGGCAACCGAGCCAACCCGCCGCCGGCAGTGTTCGACCCGAACAACGTGGTGATCCTGACAGATGGCACCTGCGGCTCGACGTGCACGTTGTTCTCGTACCTCATGATCATGCAACAGAACGTCAAGACGGTTGTCGTGGGCGGGCGGCCGACGACGGGGCCGATGCAGTCGATCGCAGGCGTGGAAGGCGCGCAGGTGTTCCCGCTGAACGAGCTCCAGCAGGCGGCGGCAGCCACGCTATTCCTGGCGCCGCCGGAGCAGCAGCAGCAGCTGAGCCAGTCGGAGCTCGGTGTGATCGCCGAGGGCTACCTGCTGGACCGGTCGGCGACGCCGGGCAACGGGGGCGCGATCAACGGCAAGAACGCCTTCTCGCACACGGACGCGCAGACGCCGCTGCAGTTCCTGATGCAGCCGGCGCAGTGCCGGTTCTTCTACACCAAGGAGATGATCTACGGGCCCGAGGCGGTGTGGAAGCGTGCGGCCGACGCGACGTTCAAGGACCCGCAGGGACTGTGCGTCGAGGGCAGCATCACGCCGACGATGGGCGTGCAGGCCATCTCGAACGACTTCTTCGCGAACCAGCCGGGCATCGGAGGCTCGAGGGCGGAGGGCGCCAACAACCCGGGGGCGAGCGCCGGAGTCCGCTCCGCGGCGGAGAAGAGTGGCGTGGCGGTCTTGGCTGCGGCGCTGGCCAGCATGGTGTTGTTCTTAATCTGAGGGGGTCCCTTTTTTGTTGATTGCCTGCACGGCGTAATCAGGATCAGGATAAACGAGCTCATTTAAATTAAAGCCTTGACAGAATATTACCAGTTAGAAATTCATACATCAGTCCAGCCGCTCAATACCAAGGTCGACTGTCGATTTTCTTCAGCTGGCCTGCGCATACGAGACAGGCGCACTGGTGATAAGGGTGGGTCGCTTTGATGACTCGCTTGGTTCATCAGAGATATCATCCTGTCAGCCTGTCCGCCTGCCCGGTTGTCCGGTCGAGCAGTGCGTTGGTTGTCCCATGGGGATGCGGGCGGCTGCAGGGACCGAGCAATGGTCAAGTGGTTTCGATTAGAAGACGTTTCCACTTTTCCATGCCTCCTGGCCTCCCAGGTCGAGGAGCCGCGGCCTAGATGCAGCCCAAGTGGACGTCAGCTCCCGGGCTGGAGTATCGATTGGATAAGCAGCTGGGGTAAAAGATGGGTGTATCTACATACTAGTACCTGGGTAGTAGTACATGGTAAGTATTTATAGGTCTGCTGTCACTGACAAAAGCCAACCACGGCTGATGCCAACGTCGATGCTCCTTTTTGGACATACCAAGAGCCAAGCCGCCGTGGCTTTCGCGATTGCCGAGGGGCCAAAAAGCTTAACTGTCGGGACTGTCGGGGTGTGGCTTCAGGCGCGGGCATTGACTGGCCGATTTGATGAATCCATGAATGACTGATTGAATGCTCGAGGGGCCTATACTGGCCGATTGCGACCTGATAAGCACCCCAGCAAGCCCAGTCCATGTCCCAGTCCATGTCGCCAGATTCCGCATTGGCTGTGGAGACGGTCGGGTCCCGACGGCAATTCCCAGATTGGCAAGTACACACGAGAAAGGGTCCCGCCTCCCCAACCCCAACCTTGACCTTGGTGCTTGGGGCTCTTTTGGGCTGAGCCAATGCATACCCGGCCCGTCCTGTCGGTCACGAGGGGCGATCACTACATCACCTCCTGGGTACACAAGGTACACTACCAATGTATACACTGTACATGACAGCCCTGGAGTCCTTGACATTGCAGGCCTAGCGTCGTGTTGCAGACCAGATAGATAGAGCAAGAGATCTGCCCCAAGGTAAAACATAGTCTATCTACCATCTCTATATCTTTCCTGGCGGCTGCTCCTCGTTGCTCCAAAGCCCTCCTCCCATCGTCCCAGGTGCCGGAGCGCTACCCTTTTCTTTTCTTTCCTTTTCTTCTCTCCCCCCGCCCCTTTCGAGCCTCAGCCAGCTAGCCCCCGGCCACTGCAACCTCACTGGCATCGACGACCCCGACCCCGACCCCGACTCCGCATCCTCCGGCACCGACACGAGTGAAAAGCTTTACCCGGGCAACATGACACACGGTGGCATTATGGCCAATTCGGCCCAGGCCGACACTGAGGCCGACGCCACGCTCGAGAAGTTGGGGGTCAAGCAGGAGTTGCAGAGGAACTTCTCTCGTGTTTCCATGCTGGGTCTCGCCTTTGCTATCCTCAACAGCTGGACCGCCCTGGCCGCCTCACTTTCTCTGGCTCTTCCCTCTGGAGGGCCCTCGGCTATTCTTTGGGGCCTGATAACTGCTGGAATTTGGTAGGCATCTTCAACACTTTGAGACCCGTGGCAGGACTAACGTCACCATCAGCAACCTGTGCCTTGCTGCCTCACTCGCCGAGTTTCTCTCAGCCTGGCCAACGGCCGGGGGTCAATACCACTGGGTTGCCATCATCTCATGGAAGCGTTCCAGTAGGGCCATCTCATACTCGACCGGCTGGATCAACACCGCTGCCTGGGTGTGCCTCACTGCCACCGGCGGGCTCCTCGGGAGTGACCTGATTGGCGGCATCATCTCCCTGCTCAATCCCTCATATGAGCCCAAGTCCTGGCACCAGTTCCTCATCTACATCGCCTACACTCTCGCCGCCTTCTTCCTCAATGCTTTTGCCAACCGCCTCCTCCCGTACTTCAACAAGGCCGCATTCCTGTGGTCCCTCGCTGGGTTCACCATCATCTGCATCACTGTACTCTCATGCGCCACCCCAAACTATCAGAGTGCCTCGTTTGTCTTTGGGGGCTTCATTAACGACGTGTCATGGCCGGACGGGTTGGCATGGATGCTTGGTTTGCTGCAAGGTGCATTTGCGCTGACTGGATTTGATGCCACTGTGCACATGATCGAGGAGATCCCACGTAAGTCATCACCGGGCCTTCCGGGCGTTCAGCATCGACCTTTGGACCTGCAGAGACTAACTCACCATGCCATCCAGGTCCCCAGATTGAAGGTCCAAAGATCATGCTGTATGCCATCTGCATCGGCATGTTCACCGGCTTCATCTTCCTCACCTGCCTGCTGTTCGTCCTCAAGGACGTCAACGTCGTCATCGAGTCCGCGGCAGGACCTCTCTTGCAGATCCTGTATGACGCAACGAACAACAAGGCCGGCGCGGTGTGTCTACTAATGTTTCCGGTCGTCTGGTGAGTACAATTCTCTTCTCCTATGGGACCGATCACCTTCATGTTTTGGGGGTGTTCCAGAATGCGTCCTTCCAGGATCCGCAGCAAGTGACTGACGCATACTAGCATGCTTTTCACGACAACTTCCATCATGACCACCAGCTCTCGCATGAGCTATGCTTTTGCGCGTGATCGTGGCTTGCCCGCGTCCCGCGTCTTCGCCCAGGTCCACAAGGGCCTTGACGTGCCTCTCAACGCATTGATCTGGACTACCGTGTGGGTCATCATCTTCGGCTGCGTCTTCTTGGGCAGTGATTCTGCTTTCAATGCGATTACTGCCGCCAGTGTTGTCGCTCTGGGTGTCACATATGCCATCCCACCAGCCATCAACGTCATGCGCGGCCGGAAGATGTTGCCAGAGTCGCGGGCTTTCAAGATGCCAGAGTGGCTGGGTTGGTTCACCAATCTTGTGAGTGCCTCGCCGGTTCCTTGCATTTGTGCGATGACCCTCAATAGCTTGATGGGAAACTGACAACCCTTAATCTAGGTTGGAATCGGCTGGACGCTCCTGACGACCGTCCTGTTTGTCTTCCCTCCTGAGCAACCTGTAACAGGGACAAACATGAACTATGCTGTTGTCCCCTTTGGTGTAGTCCTTCTCATCGCCATTGTCCAATGGCTGACCGACGGCCGTAAGAATTACGAAGGCCCAATTATCGACGCGGAAGTCTTCGGTGTTGGCAAGGATGTTGTCGAAGGCGTCTCGGGCGGTGAAAGCAAGCCCTCGGGGGACGAGACAATTGAGTCCAAGGCAGTGGATCAGTGAGCGTAGCCACTTGAGCATGTAGACAGCTGCAAAATTGGGGAAACTGTCACATATATCAGCAAATTACCATAGCCACGCGCATAAAATGAGAAAATACTATTATGAAGCTCCTCTGGCCCATTGACCTTCCGTCTGTTTCTCCCATAGGGTACTTGGGTAATACCAAGTCAGAGCCTGGGAGGGTTTTCTCATAAGAGTTCGTCGCGATGGGGGCTTTTCTGCAGGGAATTAGCCTGCAGATGATTTTCTAGTTAGGTAGGTATCTCATCCGAGACAGTCCGGCGGGAATTCTAGATGAGGCTGTCCTGTATGAGACTGTCCTGTGTGAGGCTGTCATACCTAGGTATGTGACATAGTTTCCTGGGGGCACTATCCCGTAGTAGATTGTCAATTGTCTGTGAAATGGTGTCTCAAGAGAGCTGGTCTTATAGGGGCCATTCTAACAAGGGATTCTGCGCACGTAAGTTATTCTTCAAACACTCGAGGGTTGCTTGTGAGTATAGCCCATTGGGTAAAGGTGCTGTGGCCGCGTAACTAGTGGACCACCGAGCAATTTTGCATGAACGGGCAATGCAAATTGCGGATTGATCCTTGAAGTTTCTTTGATCGCCATGTCAAATGGTTGACTGTATGGGGAGTAGCATCGCAGTTGTTCATTATTGGTTCGGCGATAATTTCAAGATGCCGAGTGTATGCACGCCCAATCCCAAGTCCAGATGCCGTCAGTGAACCCCTGTTATGATACACTGCAAAGAAAGATACGCACATCAACAACCCTAGACACTGCTTGCAATTTACCACCAAGGGTAAAAGGGAAACAGCCGAAGCAACACAACATTTGAAATCTGAGGGGGAATGGCACGTCACTGCACGTGGCAAGATCGAACTCGTATTTGCAGCTAGCAGCGCTTCGTTGCTTCAACTTTGGAAGGCAATAAACTGTCGGTTGTGAAGAAACCTTGTTCGCGTATGCCATGAGCCGCTGAGGTTCCAAGGTTTACGTGCTTGCTCCATTGTACACAGCCATTGCGGCATGTTGATTATAGCTCAGCCCTCGGCAAAAATGCTCTTGTAATTTCTTCCAAATGTCAGACCAACAGAGTATCAGTCCTCAAGCCGAGTATCAGTCCTCAAGCCGTCGGCGACACGGGCGGCATCTCGGTGGCTACGTCTTCGCACGCGGTGCCTGGGCGCATCTCGGTGGCTCAAAGACGACTCGTAAAGAAATGGCCGTGGCGGTGTGAACATTCGAGAAGAAAATAACTGGCGAGACAATGACGCGTTCGGTCTATTCACCCGCCGAAGGGACGTAGGCTTATTACTTGTACCGACGGCGCACGGGCACGGTTGAGTCTACCTCCCCTCATTGCCAAGCAAACAGGTGAATGCGGCCCCTATTCCGAACTAGAAGGTCGAGTGGCATCGGGCCCGTGAATGTAACAACGCTATCTCTTGGCTGACTTTGCATCAACTCGTGCCCGGGAGTCGTGATGGGAAGCGGGTGGCTGCCTCTTAATCACTTTTGTCCGATTGGCGGCCGCGTCTTGGAAGAGGAGATGATCTTCATTGCAAGCCTTGGTTGCCGGCGAATCTGTCGACGGCAGTATGTAGCCGAGAAAAAGCCAAGGAAGCCAAGTACGGCCCACAGCAGTTTGTGTACTGTGACCCGGGGTGTCATTTGCCAAGCGTATTCACACCTACCTATTTCGTACACTCGAATATACGAGAGGCGATCATAGACTCTGTGATGCTTGAATGGCGTGCTGAGAACTTCGCCAACGTGACTAATACCATACCATCGCGGTTTTTTTCCAAGACCTATAAAAGATAGAGCCTGCCAGCATACGAAATTTGTTAGCCGTCTGTTTTTTATTGCTTGGTTGCTGTTGCTGCCGTTGTGCCCCATCGCGAACAATTCAAGCCCGTGTCGCGCAGCTAAGGAAGCCTGACAAGAACTCCCTTCTGACTATCCCACAATCGGCTTTCACCATGAAGACCACAGCTATTGGGGCCCTGGCCACGCTGGCTGGCTCACCGTTGGTGGCCGCAATCAGCCAGGTCAATAACCCTGCCAGGCAGGAGAAATACACCAGTGGCGCTGTTATGGACGGAATCATGGCTAAGAAATACGTGAGCGGGATGCCCCGTCGCTTCCCAAGTGCCAAGTACTAAAGGAGCACTCTTAGGCAACTTGGGACTCTCAGAAGGCTGCTGGCGTCTTCAACTCGGCTCTTTACCCGTCTTACACTGACGCCGCACCTGTTGCTTGCGTCAACGGCGTCGCCGAGGTTGTTCCTGGTGATGCCAACAACACCTTCAGGTGTAGCAACGTGAGTATAATATTGTCGCTGCAGCCTTTGTCATCTCAAAATAGCAAAGCCTCTAACAAATTACTAGATCGACTTCTATGACTTCAAGAGCCACGCCGACCTGGGATCCGCTACTGGCGAGGGTGCTTCAACTTGGGGGTGGGTCAGCGAGGATGGCCGCGAGTTCGTCGCCATTGCCCAAGCTGATGGTGCTGCCTTGGCCGAGGTTTCCACCGAGGGCAAGCTTGTGAGTGTAGTCCCACCACCATCTATGATTTATGACTGACCCAATCCTAGGTCTACCTTGGCCGCCTTCCCCAATATTCGGCAGCCGCGCCCAGCATCTGGCGCGAGATCCGAGGTTACAAGAACTATATCGTGATCGGCAGCGAGGCCCAGAAGCACGGTGTGCAGTTCTTCGACATGTCCAAGCTGGTCGATGTCGATCCAGCGAGCCCAGTAACGTTCGGTGATGCCGATCTGGCTGGCCATTTTAACGAGCTGCCTGTCGGCCGCTCGCACAACGTTGTTGTAAACGAAGAGCTCAACTACGCCGTTGCCGTCGGCGCGCAGCCTCGAAACTCATCCTGTGCCTCTGGTCTTATCTTCATCGATCTTGAGGACATCTCCAACCCTACCACTCCAGGCTGCGCGTCTGGCGATGGTTACGTACATGACGCACAGTGCCTCGTCTACCGTGGCCCTGACGAGAAGTACGCTGGTCGCGACATCTGCTACGGCTACAACGAGGACACTTTGACAATGTAAGCTTGAGTTCTCGCTCATTGCAGCGTGTGTGGCTTGGCGGCGGTTGTTAATGCATAAGATAGCTACGATGTGACCGACAAGACCACCACAAACATCATTTCGCGCGTTGGCTATGACGGTGCATCTTACACGCACCAAGGCTGGGTCACTGACAAGAACTGGCAAACAACCCTTGTCCTGGTAAGTGAGCTTACTTTCGGCCCTCTAGGCTTCGTTCCCGAAAGCCGTCCTCCAACTATCCTCTGATCTGGGCAAGAAAAAACTAATACCTAGGTAACCAATAGGATGACGAGTATGACGAGTACGACAAAGCTGGAGCTGGAGCTAATGGTTTCCCGATCTCCTACTTCTGGGACATTACCAGTCTGGAGGCACCGGTCCTCACGGGATATTTCAGGAACGAGTATGCCCTGGGTATCGACCACAACCAGTATATGTCAGTGTCTTCCAGATAATAGGTCGTGGAGCTTCTCCATTGCGGTAAATACTAACACCCACTAGTATCGATGGAGTCGCATATCAGAGCAACTATGGTGCTGGTCTGCACGTGCTTGACATCTCCTCGCTGGAGACTGACAAGACCGGTGCCGGTGTCACCGAGCTCGGCTACTTCGACATCTATCCCGAGAACGACGCACTTCCTGGTGGCGGCAGCATTGAGTTCGTCGGCACATGGGGACACTACCCCTTCTTCCCGTCTGGTTTCATCGTCATCAACACTATTGAGCGGGGAGCTTTTGTTGTGAAGAGGACTAACGCCTAGAGATGTTGGCGGGCCAGTGTCTTCAATTAGGGATTTGAGGCTGGTTAGGCAGCCCTGACTGGGACATTCGGCAGAGCTTAGATTATTCTAGTATAAATTATACTGAAACATCTTTCACTCTAGTCATATGCTAATTAACATAAGACCGACTTTTCACACACCCTTAGATATTATGCACCTTTTATTTACTAAGAATCCCTTTAGCTAATTAGGCTATAGGATTTTAAAATCTTTATAACTTTAAGAAATAAATCTTCTTCATAATTTCAAAGAACATAGGTAAAAGAGGTAGGTTAGCCCTCTAGACTTCCTAAGGGTTATGTTATGTGGTAAACTTATGTGACCCTCCTTGTAGCACTTTACTACACCTTAGGGCTTGCCCCCTTTACTCTACCGGTCTTTCTAGAGAAAAAGTTATCTTTAATTTATATAAGATGTATTAAGGGTGTGTGTTAGCTAAGAATAGGTGCCCTAATATTCAGTCCCATTAATATATACTAAGCTTGGTGATTAAATTTACTTAGATACATACCTAAGTATTTAACCTTCTATAGGTCCTAATAGACATACTATTAAAATACCTACCCTAACATACTATAAGTGCTTATATCACCTAATAATATACATAATATTATTTTTTCATGTATATATATATATATATAACTAATATATACTAAGTATGTGTGAGAGTTGAAAAGCGGTGTCGGTGAGACTAAGGATCCTAGTGTGGCTACTGGATGGTTTCTTGTGTGGGTTAAAGCAGCTACTTCTTGAGGTCGGCCATAGGAACGGCCCGCCTGAAAGAGAACTACAAGTTTTCGACACTACAAGTAATGGGTACACAAGGCAATGTATCGTCGTTGCTTTCAATACAATGCGCCGTCACCATTAGCGATTTCCCATATATTCATACGCAACTGGCCACTACAACCCGGCATACTCTGCGGGTGTCACACTCCGGCTTTTCCCGGTCAGAACCATGTCTAATAGCAGGACTATTGTCTTGTCTATCGTGGTGGTCCTCTCGTAAACCGGGACGCGATTTACAATACTCCTGGCTTCTTGGGACAGGCTTGAAGTTTCCAAGGTTCAGTGGAGCATGCCAAGCCTTGCGATCCATAGTAATTAGAATGAGAACGGAAATTCGCGTACCCTTAATCGAAAGGCGCATACCCTCCCTACTATTTAACCAATCAGAGCACAAAACCTTAAAGTCTTTATAACTTTAATAAATAAGGCTTCTTTATAATAAAGGACTATAAACAGGGTGGGTTAATCCTCTAGGAACTTAGGTCGTACCTACTAACCCTACTTACAGCCCTCCGCTATACTTCGCACTCTAGGGCTCACCCCCTTCACCCTAGCCGACCCTTTTAAAAAAAAGTCATCTTATATAAAATACTTCTTAATTAACAGATAGATATATACCTTCCAATTAAGGGTACGCGAATTTCCGTTCTCATTAAAATTTAACAATAACTTTATAAGCACCTACAATTATAACGTTTTACTTTATAATAGATAAGCAGCCGGATTTACCGCTGTTAGAGCAGCCTAGAATGAAATAAAAGGCAAGGTTACTTTTCCCGTACTATTATATTTAGAATATTAAAAAAGAGCACTAAAGCTACTATATACTATACTATACACACTAAGTTTATTAATAGAATATAAATATAAATACTTTAACTTTTAATATAAATATAATATAATATAAAGACTTTTAATATAAGTATATATAATGTAGTAAGTTTAAAATTTAAGTGTAAATAAAGGGGGGTAGGGGGGAAATTTTAACTATTTATTTAACTACTTATTTAACTACCTATTTAACTACTTATTTAACTATTTATTTAATTATTTATTTAACTATTAATAGAATAAATAAAATAAATAAATAGAATAAATAAATAAAATAAATAAATAAAATAAATAAATAAAATAAATAAATAAAATAAATAAATAAAATAAATAAATAAAATAAATAAATAAAATAAATAAATAAAATAAATAAATAAATAAATAAATAAATAAAAAATAAATAAATAAATAAATAAATAAATAAATAAATAAATAAATAAATAAATAAATAAATAAATAATAAATAAATAAATAAATAAATAAATAAATAAATAAATAAATAAATAAATAAATAAATAAATAAATAAATAAATAAATAAATAAATAAATAAATAAATAAATAAATAAATAAATAAGTAAGTAAATAAGTAGGTAAAAGTTATTTTATTTTATTTTATTTTATTTTATTTTATCTTATCTTATCTTATCTTATCTTATCTTATCTTATCTTATCTTATCTTATCTTATCTTATCTTATCTTATCTTATCTTATCTTATCTTATCTTATCTTATCTTATCTTATCTTATCTTATTTATCTACTAAATTAGAGCGTAAGTAGGTTAGTTAAGCGCCTAATTATAAGCTTAAGGAAGCACCTATATAGGGTAAAAGGAGATAGTAAAAATCTCTTAATTTAAATATATTTAGAAAAGAAATAAAGAAGGATTAAATTCTTCTAACTACTTAAAAGAGGGGTAGGTAGGTATTTTTTATATAGAGTGTCTATAGGTATAAAGGCCCTTACTAACTTATATTTTTACTAGTATATATATATTTAAGTATATAGGTAATAATATAGGTTTAATACTTATATAAATAAAGAATATTAAAAAGAATATTAAAAAATATTATAGTATAAATATAAGGAATAAATAAAGTTAGGTTTTAAAATAAAATTAATATATTAAAAGCTATAAAATATATTATTATTTCTATAAGTTTTTATTTAATTTTTAAACTATATTTTATATTTTAATTTTCTTTAACTTTTATATAAATTTATTTTTAAAATTAATATTATAGTTTATTTATTAATAAATATTATACTTTTATTTTAATTATAAGTAAAGTTAGAATACTTAAATAGAAGTAGTATTTATAACCCTTATAGTTAAAAAAATAGCTAATAGAGTAATTAAGTTAATAATAAGCTAATATTAATTATTATAATAAAATAATATTAATTAACTTAAAGACTATAAAGACTATATAAGTTAATTATTATTATTATTACTAATAATAAAAAGGATAATACTTTATATTTTAAAGGTATATAATAAGTATTTATCTTTATATATAGCTTTTATAAGAGTTATTTAGTTTAAAGAAATACTTTATATATATAAGTAATATTTAAAAGTATTAATTTCTTTATTTTTATTATAAAGCTTTATATAAATATATTTAATAGTAGAGTTTTTAAAAGAATTTATTTTAAAATAAAATATAAGCTAATAGGTTTAATAATTATATAAATTAAAATTTTAATAATACTTTAAGTTCCTTAATAAAACTTAAATTATTAGTTAATTATAAAGTAATATATAGTTATAACTAAAACTAAATATTTTTATAGTTAGATAAATTAATTTTATTTTTAATAAAAAGTTTAGGGATAAATAAGTTAAATTAAGGACTAATTTATAATTAAATATAAAAATAGCTTCTATTTTAAAAGTATTATTTTTTTATAATATCTACTTTATTTAAAGACTTATAGTTTTTAAGTTAATAAAGTTAATAACCTTTACTTTTAAATTTTATTTAAATAACTATAACTATTATATCTTTTATTATATTTTCTTTTATTTTTATATTTTAAATAAGGTTTATTATAAATAAAAGCTTTTATTTAATTTATATATCTATAAAAGCTTTTAAATAAAATAATTTTTAATTTTTAAAAAAGTATTTAAAAGTTATTAATAATATAAAAATTATTATTAAATACTTTTAAAGATTATATAATATTTAATAGGTATATTATATTAAAAATAAGTACTTTATAATCTTTTACTTAAATATATATAAATAAAATTATTTAATTATATATAGTAATTATTAAAAGGTTTTATAACCTTTATAATTTAAATTAATTATAAAAATCTTTTAAGTTTATAATTAACCTAATAAAGTATATAGTACTTATTAGTAGCTATATAAGTAATAAAGGTAACTAGCCACTTATTTTTAAGTTAAATATTATATTTTTAATTATTATATCTTTTTCTTATTAATAAATTTAATTATAATATTAATAATATAAATTATATTTTATAAATATTAATTAAAAACTTATTTTAATTTAAATATAGGTATTAGTTAGTTTTAATTATTTAAAATAAATCTTTTTAACTTATAAAAAGTATAAAATATTTTACTAAATAGGTATTATAAACTTTATTCTTATATTTATCTCTTATTAATAGGTTAGGAAGAAATAGTTAATAATATACTTTATTTAAGGTCTTAAAGTTATATTTATATAAAGAAAGGGAGGATATTTTTAATAAATTTAACTAAATATAAAACTTTACTAAATTAATTATATAATATTTAAGTCTTTTTAAAATTTTATTATTACTTAAATAAATATAAAAGAATATATAAGTTATTTTATTCTACTACTTTTAAGGTATTATATTAAAGTAATTTTAAATTAATATATAGTTTAATAAAAATTAGAAAGTTTATTTAATAATAGTATATTAAATAATAAAGTAAATAAATTTAAATAATAAAAGGGGTTTTATATATAAAAAAGTTTATAACTTTAGGGAATATTATATAGTTAATTAAGAAGGAAAGCGTTATAAAAGTTATTAATAAAAGGGCTATAAATAATTAAAGCTTTTATTATAATAATTAAAGTTAGATATATTTAATAATAATAAAAGTAAGTAACCTTTTTCTTATTTAATATTTAAAGGAGAAGTTATTAAAATTTTATTATTAATAGTTATTAAAAACTTCTTATAGCCTCTTTTATAAAGTAGTTATTAAAAGAAAGAAGGTTAAAGTTAGTTATATTAAATTAAAAGTTATGTTTTAAATTACTAATTTATAAATAGTTAAAATTATTACTAACTTATTTTAAATAGTTATTTATTTAAGTAATTAATAAAGTTAAATAAATTAT